TGTTCCTGACCAAGGAATACAGGGCACCTCGGCGTGTTGTGCTACAATTGTGGAGGAAATCTTGTCACCTAGTGATCGCATGGCAGATCCGGGAGGACCAATGAAGACGATCTTGTTTGGTGAAGCAGCCAGCGACTCTGGCAGCTTGGGGTTTTCTGAAGCATGGCCCCTGATATCTCGTTAGTCCATGGATACAGACTCGCATCATAGCAAAGCTTGAGAGACAACTCACCATCCAGCCCAGACGGCATGGACGTTCATGCGCTCGGCAATATCCACAATCAGCTCGACGTTGGCATAGTTGTGGTTGTTTGTGCCGCCGGGAACCTCGACGTAGTGGTCGGCCATTCTAATGTACTCTGCGTTGGCCTGCAGATCTTCGGGGGTAGCCATCACTGTGAAGTGAATGGCTCGCTCGTCGCCGAACGTCTCGTACGCCCATTTTCGGACTGATCGAATCTCCTTAACGGCAGCGATACCGTTGTTGGCGATGAGAACCTGTAAAGCAACTTCGTTAGCAAGATTGTCACGATGATGGTTGCAAAGGTGGCGGGGTTAAACGGAATCGGTGCAAATATCGCCCCAATGCTATCAAGTTTCGCCGGCAAGGTATGTTCTTACGTTGGTGATGACAGTGTGGCCATCAGTCTGGGCAACAAAGTCCTTGACCTTGCTCGGAGGAGCATTCTCCAATCGGTTGCCGCCGATGAAGTGGTCTGCGATACTGTACTTCTCTGCATACGACTGCTTGCCATTGACGTAGGGCACCGACCGCCCATTGGCACCCTCCTGGGCACCAGCTGAGATCTCAGTCATGGCTGCTGTGATATGTGTGAAGGGAAGAAAAGAGTGGGGGGGAGAAGAGGAGAGGAGGAGAGATTATGGGAGGAATCGAAAAAAGAAGTCCAAGATTCGAATGTAAAGGAGGAGTTTGATGGTCTCGCTCAGGTCGTCATGAGCCGGTCAAAGTGGCGGGCGCGCAAGGGCAGACACGGGCAGGGGTAGCTCCGGCCGAAGAAAAAACGAGACCCGACTGGGGGAGCTGAGCCTGGCGTGCTGTGTTGCGTTGCTGTTGGGGATAAAAAGTCTCCCAGGTGGTATAGGCGCTAAAAAATTATAGAAGGGTGAAATGGAGAGCAATTAAGATGAGGTGGGAGGAAGATGTTCTGGCGAGGAGGACCAGAATGAAATTATGTGAGTAGAACAAGGTATGAAGCTTGATCTGTCTTCCGTTATGCTTCCACGATGTATTCGACGACAGGAGAGGAGTGAGGAGAGAGGGAGAAGATCAGGGACGATAAATCAGAACAAGACCTCTAGAAGAAGAAAAAAGAGGATGTGGATGAGCCCAAGTACAAAAAGAAGTGATTGGAAAGCCCAGCAGCCAGCTTAGGCTTGCACGGCTTGGCTTGGCTTGGCTTAGGATGTCTAGGATGTACAATTCAATGGATCTGCAATGCTCCCCACTCCATCTTCCCCTTGTGGGTTGTTGACCTGCTCCTGTTGACTGCTGTTGGTTGGTGGCAAGCCTCTCTCGGCACCTGGCGGGGAAGAGAAACGTGGGAAAACTAGAACTGTTGGGAGACATGGAGCCTCCACCAAGGGACAAGTAAATTGACCCCCTTAAGGCCTGGGGTTATCCAGTAATAACTACGATGTGGTGCCTGGTATCCAGCTGCAAGACTGCAATTACAGTACACTCAAGCTACACCCCCAATGGAAAATATGTCTACGTAGAGAGGGTGGAGTTTCTAATACCCAAGGTACAAAGTTACTCCGTACAAAGTTTGGCCTTGAAAAGACCCGGAATGGCAGTGGAGGGGGGTTCTTTCAGGGTCCATACTGGGACAAGGGTGGTGGGAGGTAAGAATCGATGAGAGATTGAGGGGCCGATATTTTCCAACTGCGGGCGGAAGTGGGGGCCGTAGCCGTAGCCAAGCACCGCTGTAAGGCCCTCGATAGCATTACCTATCTCATTCCCAGCCAAGCCAAAGTGGCTCCGGGGAGCAATTGATGGGGAGGGGCAGTATGCAATGGTCATATTGTTTAGTACCAGGCGCATTGGCTTTGGAGCTTTGGCATTGAGTGGTTGAGAATATTGTCATGATACCGAGACCTGTCGGTCTTCGGAAGCCGTATCGGAAGCCGAAATTGTCATGCCGTATACGGGGTTGGGATTCCATTGGTAGAGAGAGCGTGTTATGACGGCAGAGACTGATCTATACAGCCTGTTCCTGATCTGATGCGCATGAGAGGGTAAGCTGACGGCTTGCTCGTGATCGTTGATTTACCATCCGTACAAGTCGAATCAAGGCTACGTAAATATTCAAATAACTAGTAACAATAATTATATGGTCAAACGTGTATAAACACATTTAATGCGAGTGTAATTAATATCGAGCACTGGAGTGATATTTCTACTCGGTGAGGGCTTCTGCTATCTCAGTCGGACAGTTTCGGCGTTGGTCGGAAGTACATCATTATCTGAAGCGGCTGACATCTTCGGAGCCCGACCTTACATCTGCATTATACTCCGTGGTGAGATCACGATTATGCCATTCTCCTCCAAAGGCCCTATCCTTGAACTCAGCTATATAATAACCCTACAGCTAGACACCAATTCCTCACAACCCAGGACTCCCATCCCCTTCACACGATCACAGCCTCGTAGTCTACCCTCGATCTCTCACCATAAGGCTGGCATATCCCTTCTCGTACATGAATATCTGCACACCCCTGCCCCTAGCAAATCTCCAAAAGGGCCAAAGCCACAGATGCGAGCCGCATGTTGGGGACCAGGCGGGAGCCACATCGCCGCGTCCGCGTTGAGTGACAGTTTGCACTGCACGCAACTCCAACGCTTTTCGGTGACGTCTTGCTTCAGACTTCCTGTGATCCGGATTGCCGTTGACCTGAGCTTTTACCGAGCGGGAGTGGACAAGCGAGGGCACGGCAGAGAGATCTAAGACAAGGGGTTTTTGAACTACGAGTGCGTGACGGAGGAAGTATAAGTCATCGATCAGCTAGGTCAACGTCCTTTGGGGATATCTTTGCATATCTCTTGAGCTTCATGGACTATGATCTATACGAGTGATAACTCAATACCACCGTCTTCAATTGACACAAGCTCATTCATTGAGCCTCATGTAAACCAGGACAACCTAACCTCCACTTCCCTCGTCCACGCACCCCTGTCTGAGCATCCTCATCTGTGCACAAGCTTATCTTCCCCAGCATTCCAAGCTTCAAGAGTGCTGATATCGCCCTCAAGTCGTCATCTCTACTCTCGATCATACTCACTCACAATCTAAGATACAGTATCTCAGATTGGATTGGATTCAACAACCTCCAACTTCCATCTCCTTGGTAGAAACCCCCCACTTCCCACTAGCGTCCTACCTTATTTCACCCACACCCCCTGAAGGAAGGAAGAGAAAGAGAAAGAAAAAAAAGGGCCATCCCCAATTGTTGAGTTCCCCAATCCTTCACCCCCCTCCACCCAGTTGAACAATTCCCTTTTTTTCATTCGGAGGTCCGTCAGTCTCAGAGCCGCAGCCTCGCAACCCGCGGTCATCGTCCGAGTTCCCCAACATTGTTTCCGTTCCGTTCCTTTTCTTTTTCTCCCGGAATGCCGGCATTGCTAATTATGCCAAACCTGGATAGAAATTGGGCTTCAGGAAGATGAAGTGGGTTGAGTCGAGAGAAGTATGCGGACGTCCAGCGGAGCCGAGCTTCACCGATATGTCGGTGTTAGGTAGCACCCATCTCACAACCTTTTTTATATATGTTGAGTTGTTTGAAACCGTGTAATTCGAGGTTATCGAATAATGGACCAATTGGCTGATGTGCTTAAAGGGCATGAGGTATAGAGCAGGCTCAATTATCGCAAGAAGCTATCTCCTAATCTCAAACAGCCAAATCCTTTATCCAAGGCTTTGCACGCCCGATGGCTATCAGCAATAATGCACATTAGCTCAGGACTTAAGGACAAGGTTGCATCCATTAATCCGATCACTCTATCTTAGCTTAACGCCTGTATGTCCTCAACGCCTCCTCCCCTAGTTGAGATAGCTTGAAACTTCAGTTACGAAGTACTTATGTGCTTTGAGAATGTTGTCAAAATAGGTCCTTACATGCCTCACCTGTTTTACCATTTCACTCTTTACATCACACATGATCACTCAGTGAAACCGTTGTAATGTTATCAGTATGTATTGGGCGTACCGAGGCCGGGTCGTCATCTCCAATGCTCCCGGTCCTCAGGCTCAAGTTAAATGTATATCGTACGCCTCCATAACCTGTATCTACACCTCCCTCCCTCTACTCCAATGTACAAAGGAAAAATAATTCAAGATGTGGTAACGAAGGCGAACTAGCCCGCGGGCCGTTGCCTCAGCCTTGTCAGACATCGTACGACTCCCCACTGATGTCCGTCCTCCCCCGCGAGCAACCTTACTCGGGTGAGAAAAGGTAGCCTCGCATCAATCTTCCCCAGTATTACCCGCTCCTTTTTAGCAAGCCGTTTTTTAAAAGACCATCCAAGCAGCCTGCCTGGTCGATGGCAGTACACCCCCGTCTCTTCAGGCCCTAGCTCAAATAGCATGTATGTGATTCGGACATACACCTATCCAGCCAGGCCTTCCCTTCTAGAAACACAAAAGAAAAAAGATAAAATGCCATCCATGTCTTCATAACGTCCGTAAACCCCGGTGCCGAAATCCCATGTACCCAAAAAAGCAGCAGTATTAGTAACGAAGTCTGCCAGAGAGCAAGAAGTGGAATTCCGTAACCATCGTCAACACCGTCTTCGCCGTCTTCAAGCGCCAGCCGTAAAAGTATGCCGAACCGTCCCACCCCTGGGTTTTGGAAAATGGATATCAATGATGGGGTGGAAATGCGACCAATTTGTATACACCACTCGAACCGCTGTAAAGCAAAACCAAATCAAAGAAATATGAACGACCTGGAACTGTCGTAGAGTTGTTTGTAGGAGAGACTACTCAGTACGTCTCTCCCAGATCGCTCAGTTGTTTCCTCGGTCCGGAAATACTGGATCTCATGGTATTGGCACTGATCCGTCGGCTGGTGCTCGCACGACGCATCGATGGCATAGGAATGCCAGTGCCGTCAGCGTTCGAGTGTGTGCCTCTACGGCTTGGCGTTCGGTATTCGCCTTCATCCTCTTCTTCGAGGTCAAGTTGACTAATACTGGCAGAGTGGCCATGCATGGGACCTGCCATGGATGAACGAGGCCGGGCCATAGGTGTTCGTGTGCCTGGAAGCGATGCCCTTGAAGCGGGTCGTGGAATCATGTCTCCGGCGGTTCGTGACGGTGGTCGGGCGTAAGAAGTGATACTAGCACGTGAGCTTGGCCTGCTGATATCCTCTGGGCCTCCACGGTTTGGCAGTGGTCCAAAAGATAGCCTGCTGACTCCGGACGTGCTAAGGCGGGGCACATGGCTTGATTTGGACGCAGACGGAGGAATGCTGCTTGGCGTATCGTCGCCAGCTATCGAAGATGCGGCAGAGCCACCAGTGCGCTTGCGAGAACGGATCGTAACCGACGCAGGCATGTTGGTGGCACTGTAAACTGAAGTCCGAGGTGAAGCTCGAGGTGGCGTGCGCGACGGCCCGGGAAGCTTAGATCGTACAGAGTGCACGCGGGCCTCGAGGCGCTGCATTTGCGCCGTCAGAGTTCGAATATGAGTAAGAGAGTTGGAAGCAGGAAGCTTGTTTGAAGCCGATCGGGGCCCTACAGCACGGCTGGCGGGCGTGCGCATCGTCGTGGCACCGCCTGTCGAGATGCGGCTGCCAGGTGCACGGGTCGTTTTAGTAGGAGGCTTGGAACGAGGCTTGGGAGTGGTGCTGTTGTCGGCTGAGGGCAAGCGCGAGCGACTGACTGTCCTTGCGTGAGCCGGGGTTCTCGTGGATGCTACCTTGGGCAGATGCAGAGAAACGTCAGACATGGGAGGCGAAGGCGGGTCAGGAAGCTCGGAAAGAGTATCGCCATCGTCATCTGGTATGGGCGACTTGGAGTTGGGAGGCGTGGTAATGAGAGGAGAGCTGGCGGTAGAACCTGGAGAGGCAGGATGGGTGAAAGTTGGTGAGCCAAGGACAGAAAGGTCGGTCGAAATGGTGGACAAATGGCGAGACTCTTGCTTCTTGATCTTGTCCTGAAGAAGCTCGGCCTCGATCTTGAGGTCGCCCAACTCCTCGCGCAGGCGCTGCGATTCGATGCGCAGCTGTTCACGTTCCTGCTCACCCATCTTAATCTCCTCTTCCATCAAAACAGCCCTCTCGATCGCCTGGTTGTACTTGGATTCCATATCCTCCAGCGATGAGGTGGTGTTGCGCGCCTGTCGCTCAAAATCATCGTTGGCAACCTCGATATCCCTCAGCTTCAATTGCAAAGTTCGGTTCGTGTCTCGAAGGGTAGTGATCTCTTTCTCGAGCGTATTCTGGGATGCGCTAGCTTCGGTCTTTGATTCTCTGTATTTTCTCTGTGCGACGAAAAACGAAGCGCTTGAGTCAGCCCAAATGTCCGCCCAAACAGACTTCTCTGTGGCTGTGCCTGTGGAGAATGAGTGAGTCGACATACCTTCCACTCTTCCACTTCGTAACCGAGAGTTTCGGCTTTCTCTTGGTGCAGGCGCTCCTGCTTCTCTGCGCGTTCGATATCCTTCTCCAACTCCTGTTCCAGCTCCCTGCTGGAATCCCTGAACTCAACAAGCTCAGCCTCTAGTTGTTCATATTGCGACTTGTACCAGTGAAGGGTGTCCTCTGCGCTGGCCCCGTGGCCTGGCGGAGAGGAGGGGGGCTCTGAAGCCATATTGGGTGGTTAAGTTGAGTTGCTGGTGTTTTATTGTTGTTTATAGTCTCTCTCGCATTTATTCGACCGTAAAGGGGGGTGATAATTGGCGATAATTGAATGTCGGGAGACGGGATAAAAGATGGCGCAGTGGAGAATGCGTGTGTAAGAAAGATAAAAACCGTCGATAATGTCGTCGAGTGACTTAGAGTGATCACTGCGCAACTATGGGCACGGTCAGTCGTGCTGTTCGTGAGCGAAGTGGCTGGTGAGGTCGCTCACCGATCCCAGAGGCCCCAACGTTGATCCGAAGGAAAATAGACTAGAGGACTCCTTGGATATAGAATGGCCCTAAGTTGCAACTACACTTACCAAAAGGCCTTACCTGTAGTGCAGAATTGCTGCTGTATGCTGTTAGTGTTAGTATTCGCGGCCGCTCTCGAGCGGAAGTTCCATGGGAGGGAAACGTCGCGCGATGGTCGAGATGCGAGGTTGTTGAATGTTGAATGTTTAGCCTGTGACCCTCGCTGTTGATGCGACACATGGTCCCCCCATTCTCCTTGTGCCAGCATCATGCACTATGCCTGTCTGGGAAAGGTCTCTGGCAGCCATGGGCAACAAGAGCGTTTTCGTTCCTTCAACGACCCCACTATTGGACAGCAATAACATGTCTCAGATACACGTGACTCATATGACTCTTCGTTTGTGCCTGAATTGTGGTCATGGTCGTGGTCATGGCCTTACGCATCATCCCTTCTATGCGTTGGCAATTAATGGGTCTTTTCTCTTCCTACTTTGTCTGTCAAGCATGTCCATGTCTAGTTGCCTTCTAGATCGTGTCGGGGTGCATTGGTATCGGGATCGCGCACTGTTACTCTGTGACTCTGCCAGGGGTCCCGCCGCTTGTCTTAGACCCGGGTTTCAAAATTGTCTATGAATAGATGCCAGTGCCGGATCAATATGATGCACACATATGTAGCATTTTTACATGACAGCTACTAGGTGACACAACCACTGAGCTTGATGTGATATCCCAAAATAAAAGAGGCATTTTGAATTAAGGTAGCAACGCAGATGCATCACCTGCACGCACTCATTGTTGTCTTCAAACACTAATGTATATCCACCTTCGTGCAGGGTAACATGTTCGTGGCCTCATTCCGCAAAGCGCTGACATCACTGCACGCTTATGCACTTTAATTGAAATGATGAGTGGTTCAAATGGGCACTAAACGCTAAATATCAAAAGAGCCTCTAAGATCTATCACATACCCGATGCCGCCTCTTGTCTTCTCATAGTCTTGCCCCTCCAGCTCTCCACGCCCCTCTAACTCTTCCCGCTCCTGCAGCAACAGCACCAAAATTATGCAGCCTCTCCCCAATCAGGTAAGCCTCATCGCGAATGCGCGCTGACCAGCCCCTGAACACCTTCACCAACCCAATTGTATTCTTGGTCAGTAAAGCAATCAGTGCAACAGCTGGGTATGACTGTCGATATATGATGGCGAGCCGTGCAGCTTCCACCAATTCATTCTCCCCCGATTCAATGCCTGAAATGATGTTGTACTTGATAAGACCACCAGTGATTGCTGGAGGTCCAAAGATGGCAGCTCCTGCAATTGCCAGACCGGGGAGAACGAAAGCTCGGGTGAAAACACCAATGTCGGGCTGCACCCATCCGCCTCGCAATACCGTCTGGACAGCAATGGCGAGGCGAGTATCAGGAAACATTGATGTGATCATCCTAGCACTGAGTTTCAAGTAAAGCAGGCCAAGTGTCCAGGCCTGGATAACACGCACCGTGTGGCGGCTCGCCTCGGGCCCTCCCTCTCTTGATGCCTGAACCGATGCCGCAGTAGGAGGATACATGTAGGTGTGGAGAGGAATTGTAAGATATAGCTCCACGAGTCCCGAAGCGAGCAGCGGGAAAACAATAAGGAGGAAAAAGTAGGTATAGACCAGCTTAAGTCCTTGTAGCACAACCGCAGCTGTTCGGCGCTCAAGATCTCCCGCAGTTAGCGATGCTCGGACAGCAGAGAACCCATCCTGAATCTTTGCCCATACACTGCGGACGTGGAAGACCAAATAGGCCGAAGAGCCCAGTAGGTAAACACCGATGCTGAATGCATAAATATCATTAGTACGAATGTGTTGCGGAATCAGCATCTTGAACATGCGTCGACCAAAGACAAGCGGGATGATGGTGAAACCAACTCCAGTGACGGCCGCAAAGACCCAGATGAGAAGTATAAAGAGGAAGATTCTAGCGCGGAAGTGAGGCGGGATATAGACCATCTGGTACTGGTTGCTGGCGTATAGATCGGTGTCGTCCTGCCCGTCAACTCTTCGTCCATTTTCATCCACATCAAGAAACACCCTTCTGCCCTTGGGAATTTTGACACGGTCGGATGCAGGTGCGCGAACAAAATGTCCACTCTCAACAAGCTGGTTCGCATCCTTGAGGTGGTTCTTGTGTCGGGTAAGTGAACGGATCTCACTGTTGTTGAGAGGCGCTCTGGGTTTGGCATCACCGCCGTCAAAGAAGTCGACCCACGTTTTGGGGATAACATGGTACCTAGTGTTGAGCTCCAAGAACAAGGTCTTGTACCAAGGGAGTCGCTGGTACCTGCGAGCATTGCCCAATTGTAGGCTCCCCTCCTCGTCGATCTTTCGTTCGCCAAAGAGGAAGTAAGTGAGTCGCAAGCCCCGGGCACAGGTTCTGAACCACCAAGTATACATGGCATGAAGTCCATCCCCAGGTTTGAAAAAGTTCACAGCAAGCGGCATGAGGAAGTTGTAGAAAAGCAGGTCTACGGGGAACTCAAGTACTGGCTCGTTGGAAGAGTAGTGGACTGGGAGAACCCCAGGAACTGAATATGAGAGACCCCATACCACGCCGCCCAGGCAAACGATGACCAGGGCACCATACACAAAAGCCGAGAAGAGAATCTTCCTCAGCTGTGTTGTCAGGTTTCTCTCCAAGACATCACGAACAGGATGAAACTCAGGATCATCCGGATCGCGAATGAAGTCTAAACGATGATATTAGTAACACATTATTTATAAAGAGCTCAGCCAGACTTACAGAGAACGCCTTGGCGCATTATCTTTCTGCACATTGACACAAAGAGGGCGAAATGGAACATGTATCCAGTACCAACAAACCAGTGAACGAAAACCGAAGTCATGGGATAATTATAGGTAAAGAGGAGACGAGACTTGAAAGTTGTGTTCTCGAAGAGAGGAAGGAGGGCACCATCCAGGAGAAGTCCGCAGTAAAGCGGGAACACAAGCATCTCGATACTGATAATCATGATGACTTTCATAATGCCACTCGCTTGATGTAAAGTATCGATGATACCGGCTTCCCAATTCTGTAATATGTGGCCTCGAGAGAATGGGCTTCCACGCTTCAAATACAGCGCGCCGAAGAAGAACAATGTTGCATAGCCAGCTATGATTGCCCAGAAGCGATCCAGACCAGACCAATGCGCCAGTTCAGGGTTAACAGAGAGCAGTCCGTCGGGCTCGCCGAGGTTGATAACCCATGAATTAGGCTTCAAGAGTGCTGATGAAATAGAAGCAATCTTCGGCCACGCTACAGTACTGGCGAAAGTGATGACTTCCGCTGGGCTGCCACTGGTTAAAAAGCTTCCACTGAGAATAAAGCCCAAGACTTTGCTGATGGTCGTGAAGACGGTACCAATATTGCTCTTCACAGCGAGAAGTGCACCATGGCTGATAGCAGAGAAGTTTTGCATCTCGGCTGCTGACATGGGAAGATCCATGAAGGTATAGTCCAGAACTCGGGAGCCAGCACTAGTCCAAAGGGACCAAGAAGCCTTCCTCGCGAAAAGCACATGGGTGCCAATGACACCTCCAATCAGGCCAGTGAACATATCGATGATGTTGATGATGACCCAGAGACCGAATCCAGCAGCCATGACCGCCGCATCCTGCAGAAGCTTCGACAACTCAAAGATCAAGCGAACAAGGCGCATGGGATTCGCAAGAACCCAAACACTTACACGCCCAAAGTTATAAGGAACGAAAATGCAAGCAAAGATTGTTACAGAGACAAGAACTGCGCAGAAGATGGCGTTTTGGAAGAGTCCTGCAACAGGCCCGCGCATGCCAACCAGTTCCATGACTCCCTCAAAATCTTCAAGGTCTTCCATAGCTTCTTGATCAAGTCCCGCACCAGGAGCATCACCCAGATCTTCAGGTTCCTCAGGGTCGTTGGCTACACCCACATCTGGAGGTGGGGCTTCATCATGAATCTCATCAAGCTCAGTTTCCCAACCATCAGTGTCTTCTGGGATTGCTGCTAGGTCGCCCAGGTCGTCTGCAGCGTTTGCATCTTGTTCATTTCGTTGCTGGTCATCCAGGTCGCCCCACATAAAGTCTGTTACTCTGTTGACCAAGCCAGCAGGTCGAACATTATCTGGGCCTGCGGCAGCAGCACCCTCCAGTGCTCGCGGTTCCGGGGCTGTTCCGAAAGTTCCAGTACGTCCAACCTGGGGAGCGAGCTCGTGGAGGTCATTTTCTATGAAGTCAAGGGAGTCACGTCGACTGGACGCCCTAGGATCAACCGCCAAATCCTGGGGGAAATCCTCACCATCGTCGGACATAAACATAGACTGTCTAGAAGCGATCTGGGGCTCGTTTGAGCGCTCTGCATCCTTAGTATCTGGGGGAAGTCCTGCAAATGACCAGCTATTGTTGGCTAGAGGGTTGACAGAATCATGCGGCTGAGGACCATCCGAAACAGCGCGAGGTCGAGATGTGCTTGGAGAGAAGCCCGACCTCCATGAGCCTGCCTCAAAATCTTGATCAGGAAGAGGTGGTACAATTTCTCGCTCCTTTCCTTTGCTGGAAGAGGATCCGCCAGGCATATCCATTGGTGTAGGAAGGCCATCGGAACCAGGCGTGTAGGCCTTTCTAGATGAACTAGCAGCAGTAGAACCAAAGCTTTCTGTGCGCTCTCGGCCAATTGATGGATCTTGAGGCACACTAACGCCCGGGGTATCATCACCATCTTGAAGAGCCCGGCGAGTGACATCAACCCAGTAGGATAGTTTTCTTTCAAGTCCCTCTTCGTGAATAATCTCCAATATCCTCTCCGCATCTCCGTCGGCCTGGCGGTAGATACGCAGATAATCGTAGACGCTGGCACGTTCTTCGGTGGGGTTGATGTCTGCGGGCAGATCATGTTCAGCAGGGCCTGCCTCAGAAGGCCCCGTATCTACAAGACCCGCCGGAGCAAGGAGCTCAGAGTTCGTTCGCCTGCGAAGAGGTGTGTCGGCTTGGACCTGAGTAGCAAAATCTACATCGCTAGCTCTCGCAAGAGGCTCACCGGTATCAAGAGTCTCGTCATCAGATTCATCCGGGCCCTGCAAGTCGTCCACATCCTCAGGCCGTACAAGCATTGGTTCTTGTTGCGCCATGGGGTCTTCGGGGGCTGCAAAGGCTGCGCGCATATTCATTTCGGGCTGTTGTTGAACAACATAGTCCCTAACAAGTATGACCAGAATAAAGCAAACGATGACCAAGACAGTGATAATCTGGCCCTCAAGAACTGATGTTATTGTTCGGTTAATGGTGGGGTTACGAGTGAGGTTGTTTAAAAACGCCACTTCTCCAAGCAAAGTGGGTGGGATAGATCCGGATCCAGATGAAGTCGTATTGGCAACCTCAGGGGTTGAGTCAGATTTGCCAGAAAGTCCCCAGGGGCCCATAAACATGCGCACAAAGAAATCTGAGATGTTCTGCTCTGATAGGCCTTCGAGCAGCGCCTTAGCGGCCGAAGCAGGAGTGGTTGTACGGACAAATAGGGGACTTGCAGGACATGTGTCGATATCAAAGGCTGATGCAGACATTTGATATGTCGAGTTCGCTGCTGTTTCGTTGGCTTGGGATGCCATAGGGGAGTTGCCGAAGCCCTCGTCACTAATCCAGAACATAAAGGACCACACAGATCTCATAAAATAGGGCAGCCAGAAGAGCCAAACGCTAATAGCCATAGCAGCACGAAGCCAGACCAAGACATTCTGTAGGAAATACCGGGCCATATGTCCAATGAAGATGTGTACTGGCAAAGACTGGGGCATGTCGGGCGCGTATAGTTTGGTGAACCGGAAGGATGTCTTGCAGAGCTCGCAGTATTTCTTTTGCGAATGGGAGAGCCATTCCATCAAACAATCTTGGTGCACATATTTAATACTACCACTGCACTTGCACGGGTAGAATAATGGCTCCTCGGGAGTTCCTTCGCCTCGACATATTCGACAAATGCTAGGGGTAGCATCTTGAGATTGGAAAACATCGTCGGATCGGGTCGAGGTTCGGTGAAGGCCTTTAGCCTTGGCAATCGAAGCCGGATCTTCCATGGCGATAAAAATATTTCGGCAACGGCGATTCGGATGAAATCGATCGCGCCCACAAGGGGCTTATTATAAGGGTGTTGCTGACAAGAGCATGCGCCGGTCACCGAGTAGTATCCGAGGGGCCTGAATAGAGACAAAAGACCGAGTTGGAGATGGAGAACGTGCCGAGGAGCGATACAGAAGTACAGACGGCTCGGTTTCGGAATTAGAAAGGGGATTTTCGGTCTAGTAGTGTAAACTGTTTGTGCTTCCCGCTTCGGGTGGTAAACACTATCACACGTCGTCGCAAGAGTAAGGTTGAGGCCTGAAGTTCAACCAAGTCAAGCCAAAGTGTTGAGAGACGAGACGTGGTTGTTAATTAATGCCTGTCCGTGGAGTCGAAGGAGCCAGCGACCGCCACCCCCCACACTTAACCTAAACCCAACACGAGGAGGTGCCTGGTTGTCTGTTTCGTCCTGACCTGACGGGTCGGGGCACAAATATTCCGGGCGAAGACTAACAGCAAAAACTCACGTGTCAACGGCTGATCTCACGGTGATAGATACGCAGGGAAACTTCTGCCGAAATGCTACAATATCTTTTTTTGTGCTAGAATGAGTAATAAATATTGGGTATGAAGTATAAATCGAATACTGAGATCCTTTCCTAGGTGATGTGAGATTCATACCGGAACTTTGAGGTAATGACTGTCACAGATCTAGGGTAACTATTTCACATTTTCCACAGTTCAACCTCGAGTGAGTGAGTCGCTGTCACATGGTAACCGAATATCGGCTACATAACTTGCAAGCAAGCCTGGCTCGGATCAGTGCGTGTTTGCACTGTGAGCTCTGATGCAAAGAGGGTTGGGAGCTGTCAATGTCAAAGCTTGAAGGACGATCCTTTTCATGAACTTAGCGCACGATATGATTGTTCTTGGCAAAGTTTATCCATCGACGATATCCGTTCCCCAGACTCAGAATTCAGGAAGAAGGCGGAACAGGACACATATCTAACCGGAATTGCACTGAGATAACGACTATTTTATCATGAGCATGATTCTCAGTAGCTGTCACTACAGTTAGTGTCATTTTTATAGACACACTCATAAGAAACATCAGCATCAAATGGTGGAACAATTCCGGAATCTTTGTTATTACCCAAGCCATTGTTGACACCACTTAAGCCTCCCTGACGTATTATTTGGCTCTGCTCATGTGTTATCTATTTCGTGTGTCCAGAGTAAGCCAATCATTACGCGCACTGCTGTCTCTGACATCAAAGGGCACTTGGGGTAAAGCAAGCTTATGCGGTTCGCAATGACGTCGCAACCATGCAACTGTTTCGAAGCTGCAGGAGAGGAAGCGAACTGCTGGGCGCAGCTTATCTTTTTTGCTGGCCGTGAACCGCTAAAACCTGGCGGGGGTTCAGAATACAGTATGGCGTACGGATGGATGACACCACTGTACAGATGGATTGGCTGTGATGTGATGTGCGAAGCTGCTAGGGTGTTAACGTGCTAACGGTAAGTATTGGAGATTACACCGTACGTACAGTTTAAGATTCCAGACCAAGGCAAGGCAGCTGAAACGACGTCAACCAGTGACTTCAGTTCTCCAGTTCTCTATTTCCTACCTTATTTCTGTTTTCTCCTAAATACAACACCATCAAGAGCCAAGAGTTTGACAGATTCGCTTTGTCTGCAGTGCTTTAGGTTAACTTCGTTTCGCCATCTCGCTTTTGTCTCGAGTCGTGTTGCAGAAGTGCTTGTAGTACACACTACGTATTACTTTACAGCACGTAACCCCTGCAACTTACTGCACCGCACCAGGTAAGCCAGCTTCATTCATCCCAAGCTCCAACTTCCGAATCCTCCCAGGTCGAATTTTCTCTTCAACCCTTGACCTTTGGCTGACCTGGTTTTGCTCAAGGTTATTTGTTCACCACAGCGACCTCATCTGTTCCACGGTGAATCTTCCCGCGTAGCTCGTTGCTGGACTCTTGCTACCGCTCGCTCGCCTATCCTGGCTCTCGTTTCTCGCTATCTTCCATCATCGATTACCTGACCGCAGCGCGCGTTTAGTTCGTCATCATGGCCGAGTCCGCCGGCTCAATCATGAACGGCAATGGCCACATGAACGGCAAGACCAATGGAAAGGCTGTCGCTGGCCGCAGAAGACCAATCAAGCAGAGAAGAAGCATTTTTGCATGGACTTTCAATGTCGTAGCTAGGTAAGTCTGTCGAGCGCAGCGATGCGCACCATCTTGCCACTGGCTTGATGCTTTCCTTATCCTCCACTCTGGCATCAGCGCATCAGAAGGATGCCGTCTTCCAAGTCCAGCTAAGCTGACCATCTCTGTTAGACTCGCGACATGGGCCGCCATCCTCACTGTCCTCTTCCGATGCCCCTCATCTGTAGAGGAGTGCAACGAATCATCACCCTCAATCTGCAAACCATACTTCCAGCTCAAGAACAGTGTGCAACCTCATGTCCAACCTTACTACGATAATTACGCAGCGCCATACGTCGAGATCGCCCGCCCCTACTACAACACCGTTGATAGCAAGGTCTGGCAGCCTACTCGTGCGTATGCCGTCCAGTATGGAGCTCCTTGGGCCGAAAAGGCGCGAGCGCACACTGTGGCTCAGTGGGAAAAGAACGGACAGCCTCAGCTTGCCAAGTACCAGACTCTTGCGAGTGCGCATTATGACAAGTCTGTTGGCCCTTACGTGAACCAGGCTGGCCAAAAGCTTGGTCCCTACTACGAGATCGCACGCACCAATGGCTTGCAGGTATACTACGAATATCTGCAGCCTGGTTATGAGTTTGTTCAGCCCTACGCTGCCAAAGGCTATGGTGCCGCTTCCGACTTCACCACTACCACTGCGCTTCCTACTGCTTACTGGACCTGGAACAAGACCTACTCTTTCCTTGATGGCAACGTTTGGCCTCACATTCGTGCTGTGTATGTTCAAACCGTGGAGCCACAGCTTGTTCGTATTGGCGAGCGCTTGGGACGTTACAAGACCAAGGCCAAGCCTGTGCAAGACAACTATTCCTCAACGTAAGATATATCTTTTAGCTCCATAGCATTAAAAATCTTCCTAACCTTTTGTAGCTATGTGACCGGAACAACCGCCTCGTCCTTCCAGAAGCCTTCTCAGAGCACCACATCTGTTGTGTCCTCTTCTCAAGCTCCTGTTGCCACTAAGAACCCTGAACCCGTTGTTGAGTCTGCTCCCCAAGATTACATCAACCCTGTGCAGGCCCCTCCTGCCTCCGAAAATGAGAGTGAACAGCGACGCAAGGCCCGAGAGATGGTGGCTCACGACCTAGAGTCTTGGCAAACTAAGTTTGCTGCTCAAGCCGACGAGGGTGCCACTGATCTGGAGGAGCGTGTTGACGAGATTGCTAAGCGTATGATCGAGGAAAACGTCAACGTCAATGGCAAGAAGCTCTATGACGACCTTGAAGCTACAATTGATCAGGAACTCAAGAGTCTCCGAACCAAAATCTCATCTCTCGCTGGATCCAACCAAGACAGTGCTGAAGTAAACGAAAATGTCGTTTCCGCCGTGCGATCGTCCGGTATGGCGATCAAGCAAAAGGCTCAGGCCATCCGCCAATGGCGCCAATCTTATGACAAAGAGCTCCAAGAGACTGTGGTCACTGTTGCCGATGTTCATTTCCAAGTCCTGGACGAGACTAGAAACCTCGCCCTGCAACAGATTGGTATGAGGTGGGCCTGGACTGATGCTATCACTTACAAGGACTGGGCCAAGTACCACGAGCTAAAGGCCACGCTCAACGAGTGGACTGAGCAGCTCAAGCAATTGATTGTCACACATCCAGCTCTTCTTGAGGCTCAAGACGCCGCCGCACGAGTTGAGGATGAGGGTATGGAGATTGCCTCTACGGCTGCCAAAGAGCTGGCTCGACTTAAGGAAGTTGCTCGCTGGAAGGTGTCTGCAGGAGACTCAACCGACAATTTTGATAGTGACGCCATGAAGCTCGCCGCCGAGCAAGCTCTTGCGGCAAGAGAAGCTGACGAACAGACCCCAGCGGAAGACGACAATGCGACCTCCAGCCTCTCGGAGGCCGTTGAGGAGGCTACATCACAGGCTTTTGAGGTTGAACAAGAGTTGGAAGACTACGTCGCATCGGTTGCCGAGCCTGTCCAGGAGAAGGCTTCTGAAATCGTCGAGTCCGCCAGCGACAGCATGTCCAGTGCTTCCTCCGTTGTTGATGAGCCTAATGTTATTGAGAAGGCTACCTCAGCTGTATCCAGCAGTGCCTCATCCATTGCTAGTGACGCCTCCAGCGTCGTTTTCAAGGGAGAGAAGAGTGCCAGCAGTGTTGCAGACGAAGCATCGGAGACTGTTGAGTCCCTGTCTTCGACAGCATCCGAGTCTGCCACCAACGTTATCGAACAAGTATCAAGCGAACTCTCGGAAGTGATCGAATCAGCCACCAATATTCCAGAGTCTGATGACAGCAGTATGTCGACCCCCCTTGCCTCGGAAGCATCTGATGTGCTTATCGGTGACACCTATTCGATAGTCAGCAACGGCAGTGAAGAGCCCCTTGCGGTCGGTGAAAAGGAACCGCTCGTCGAAATCGAGGAAGACCATGTTATGCATCGCGACGAGACCCCCCTATCTGACCAACACGAACGTATCAAGCCTGCCCTGTTCGGCGCCGCGGCTCAGGATGTCCCTCACCGACAGATTGTCCTTGATGATTACGTGGACACAGACGCTCTTGCAGGTGCCACTGATGCCGCGCAGTCAGTTTACAACAACGCTGTGTCTCGTGCTTCTGAGCAATACTCAAGCGCTCTCTCAGTCGTCTCAGCTCAGATCTACGGAACCCCTAAGCCAGTTCACGAGAAGCTCCTGTCCTCGGTCTCTTCTTCTTACGACCAGGCAGTCTCAGCCGCTGATAACCAGTTTGACAAGGCCAAGCAAGCTGCCACCACAGCTGCTTCACAGCTCCCTGCTACTGCCACCGTCCCCAACTGGCTTGATTGGGAGAGAATCGAATCCATCGCTTCCCAAAGACTTAACGAAGGCCGACTGTGGGCTGAAATTCAGTACCAGAGTGCTCTCATCGCTGCAGGACTCGCCACAGCTACTCCTTCTTCGGTGCCCGAGAAATATCTGGAACAGGCCAAGCTTAACTATTATGCTGGCCTTGGTCTTGCCCAGGAGCGATACTCTAGCTTCATGGCTGGTGTGACATCTGGTCTCTCATCTTTGACTGCCACCCCTACTCCCACTGACCTTGCCGGATCTGCTTCCTCTGTTGCTTCCGTGGCTCGCGAGTCAGCTGCTTCCGCGGCCCAAGCTGCTCGAGATTCGGCTGCTGCTGCCGCCCAGGCTGCCGGTGACGCGGCTGGATCTGCCTACTCAGCTGCTGGTGATACTGTCAAGTCAGCTGGCGACGCTGCTGGATCTGCCTACTCCGCTGCCGGCGATACTGTTAAGTCAGCTGCTCAGGCTGTTGACGATTCGATCTCTTCGGTAGTTGAGGCAGCCAGTGAGCAAATTTCAAGCGCTGGTCTGGCTATCGGTGATTCTTGGAACAACATTGTTGAGCAGATCAGCGGTCAAGTCTATGGCGAGCCCACACAGATTGCTTGGTACGAGCATGTCTGGGGCGATGCTAGCTCATACGCATCAAAGGCTACCGACGCTGCTGCCGACAAGGCATCTCTCGCCTCCGAAGCAGCAGCTGCATCCGCCGCTACCGCCTCCGCTGAGGCACTCAAGCAATACGAATCTGTGAGCGAGCTTGTAAACGAGCTCATCAGCGGCAAGGAGCCATCTTTCACCGAGAGCGTCCTGGCCCGATTCCAGAAGGCTTATGCCACCGCTGCCGCCAACGCTGAAAGTCTCAGAAGCCAAGCCAATGAAGCTGCTTCGTCTGTGGGCCAAAAGGTTGGCAGTGCAGCCAGCGAGGCCACCGAAGCCGTCAAGGAAACCTTCCAGCGTGGGAAGGACGAGCTGTAAGTACAATGGCCGGACCAGGAAGAACATTCTTTGGACGATACCCTAGATGAAATGAACGATCGTTTAATGCCATGGATGATGCGGAGGAAACTACAAGAATGACACGAAAAGAAGGTGGGAAAGGTGCAGGACACGAACAAGAATAAGGACAGGACGTTGGTGCGTTTGATGGGATTTGGATCTCATTTGTTTTTAACGATGACTGGTTGTTTATGTATTTTTATGATTGGTAGCACTAATTAAGATGCATTAATGCGTTACTGAAGATTTTGTGAGTGGGACGACACTGGGTCGTTGTTTCAGCCCGGTTAGAAGGAGTAGAATTATTGTCTTTTCATACCTGAACCGCAACACCTACAGGTTGCACGTTGAAATGTAGGCACGATGCCTTCTGTTTCAGCATGCCAACCACATATTTCACATCACCTTAATATTCATCGTAAAGACTCCGCAGACCTCTTTGCTTCTATGTATGTCACAGTGGGCGTGTAAAAGTTCTGACAATTTCCTCTATTCCAGACTTTATACTTTCTAATTTATATAATAAGTCTCTTAATAATGCTTAATTTATATATCTATTCCATATCTCGTTGGCTCATTGTCGGGACTTTTGCACGGAACTGTAGTTCATAGAATTTGGTAAATCATGGCTAGTTTCAAGTATCCCCAACCCTCACTTACGATCGTCATATACATGTCGAATCATGCATCAGAATTTACAAGGTGACCTTGACGTGAGTTAAATCTTTATGAACCGAAGAGCGAGACCGCCTGTCAGAGACCAAGATTGTTTATTGACCGAGTATAAAGCCCGTTGGAAAAGCAAGATACCATCCGTACGCCGTATGTCCCACATATCAAACCCAACCCCGTTCTCCCGCCGTCGTTATAATACCTCCCCGTCAAGCATTCGCTGCAGCATTCGTTTAACGCCCCTCGTTTCAAAGCCATTCTACTTCGCAAGGGAAATGGTCGTCCATATCCATGTCTGCTTGACCAAAAGGCGCCATGTCCACTTCTAGTGCTGCTACCTGTGCCCATTCCATGTTATCTTCTGTTGCGGCGATGGAGAGCTCGGTGGCAGTCTGGTCGAGGACTTTGGTTATGTAAGATAGGTCATCGTCGTTTGTGTCTTGGAGGAGGAAGGCTTGTTCGTAACGGTTGAGCTCGTCTTCGCCCATGAGCGTGTCTTCAGAGTCGAGGAGGCTTTCGGTGTCGGAGAGTAGTTCTTCTTCCTCAATGATGAGTTCGTTATAGTTTAGGAGGATAGATCCATCGAGGAGTATGTCTTTAGCGAAAAGTTCAGTATCCTCGTTGTTGTCTTTGGCTTGGAGAGTGATGGTGTGCTTGACCTCCTCCACACAAGTCAACTGCCTCATAATCGAAATCTCAAACTCCTCATCAGAGATCTCTGCCTCATGTGGCATATAGCATGGCTCAGGTAGATTGTCGCTAGGCCATGTCTTCCGGTTGATCAACTCGTCAGGGACGTCGTGCGGGATCCAACATTCTCTATTGGAAAGGTGTGCCAGTCGACATCTCTCGATAGTCCAAACTCCCGGACCCAGATCGACGGGATGACCGCAGCCAGGATGGACATATCGAACAGGCTTGCACATTGTGGTCTGAATAAAGATCATCAGCCTTGAGCATGTCGTGCGAAAATAATGACTTACCGTGCCGTTAACCTCAACGATGCCAAGAATGCTGATGAAAAGAAAGGCTCCAGAAGGTCTCTCACGATCTAAAAACCGTCCCCTTGAGATGTGAGAAGCATTACGGTTTGTGGGACGCTCAGTTGTAGTCAAAGGCGTGGCTTGTTTGTCGTTTACACAGCATCACTTATTGACACCGGCGGGAACGGTCAAAGAGATACAATGATCGAAAGTGGGAATCAAACGGCCACTCACATCAGAAGACACCCCATCAATGTGTTGTTGGTTACAAACAGACATTACGGAGCTCAATGGGCAGGAATTGGTTGCTAGATTTTGTATTGCCAGTAATCAATGCATCCCATGATTTGCTGTTCGTAGAGATATATCATCAGACATTCAATGATTCTACCAACATTATGTCTCTTCTACTGCTACATATATCATGCAAGACAGGGTGACGAGATCTTTATAGAGTATTGTATTTCTTTCTAGCTCCAGATAGCTATTGTGTAGTAGAACCCGTCTTTTATCGAAAGGGGACGAAGCACTGTCAAGATGCCGAGGATGGAGAATGAAAGGACAATGTCGGATGAATAGAACGTTGCCTATTACTGAATAACACAAAAAGACAGAATCGACAAAAAGTCTTTCATTATTCATAGCTGAGATCCTCTTCCGCATCAGGACTTCTCACTTCCATGTTACAAACTCCATCAAGCACAATGGCATACACAATGTTACTTTATAAACTTGAAGATTCATTGAGAAATATCTTTTCCGCTCCGTTCTAATCTTACGTATAAGCCTAGGTTGAATTGCTATACGATTTTCCCCGTAAACGTATTTTTGAGACCATTGTTATATCTTGTGAAAGAAAGCGCCGTGTAAATGCCATCCAGACAACTCCATGCCAATAACTCCAAACATGTTGAGCCCCATTTTGGTACTAACTCGCCCGAGACCTTGTTTGTTCCGTCCAATACCAAATACCCTTGAATGAAGTCGAGTCCAGCATATGCGACCAATGGTCACAATCTAAGTACTCCCGCTACCACTTGAAAACGAAAACCAACTATGAACAAAATGAGAAAATAAAGTGAGCTCTACCACTATGTGTGACGGCGTAATTGTCAACGCTGCGTTGGGATATCATAAATGTTGGAAAACAAGAACTTTGTGCTCATGAAGGTGTGCCACGTTCTTCAACACGCTCACCCTCGAAGCTGTACAATCGAACCTCGCCGTCCTCACTACCACTTGCCATGCGGCTGTCGCTAAGACCAACACAAGTAACAGGGCCAGCATGGCCAGTGAAGCTGCGCTCACACTTTCCAGAGCGAGGCTCCCAGATCTTGGTCATGGAGTCATTGGCACCTGTGACTACACGAAGAGTGTCGCCAACAAGACCCCAAATACCCTCAACATGACCAAACATGCTGCGAATGCACTTGCCATTGGTGGTGTCCCATAGACGGACAGTGTTGTCCAATCCACCAGTGAGCATGTAGCGTGGGGGCAGTGGTCGGTCAGGATCAGATGTAAAACCCGATCCATAGGATGCTCGAACATCGACGGGCTGTTCAGAAGTTGCTGCAGGCGGGGTGTTGCTTCGGCTACTTGAGACAGACACAGCATCCGTGGTGTCCAAATGAGGCATCTCATCAGGCTCAAAATCCGCAGGCATTAAGAGCACCTGCTGAACCTGGCCAACGTGACCAAGGAATGTCTTGATACATTGCTTGGAGTCGATGTCCCAAATTTTGACCGAGAGATCGTCCGATGCTGAAAACACAACACGGGAGGGCGAGTCAATGCGTACATGGTTGACCCAGTCAGTATGACCTCGGAGACAAAATGTCTGCTTGGTGTTGAAGCTGAACACCTTGATGGTCTTATCAATGGAGCCAGAAGCCAAAGTGCAGCCATCGTAGTGGACTGACAGAACACCCTCAGTGTGGCATTGAAGCGTACTTAGACACTCTCCCGTCTGCCAATTCCATATCTTGATAGTCTTGTCAAAACTGCCACTAATCAACTTAGAATCGTCGAATTGAAGGGTGCGAACTGCCGATGTGTGGCCTCGCAATGTGCGTATCACTTCTCCGGTTTCAATATTCCAGATTTTGATGGTAGTATCGTAAGATCCAGTGGCAAGGATGTTGTCATCAAACTGGAGACACGTGACGCCATTCTCGTGACCTTTGAATGTCTTGATGGAGCAGCGGCCGGTCTTCCAGTTATACCCCACCTTGAATCGGTCGCGATAAACGTCTTTCCAAGGTCGAAACTTGCGTTCTTGTTCAAGCTGCTGTCGCGACTTGCTCCCGCTATTCACTCTCGTGCGTTTGGCAATTCGCTCTTCATGTTCTTGTTCGTCGTCGGCTTGGCGTTTTCTTGATTCGCTCGTTTGGGTCTCAGCTTCGTCGTCGATCTCAACCACATCGGCGGCACGCGGTTGTCGGTGAACTTGTTGATGTCGGCTCCACGCCATGAGTTTTTTTCTTTCAAGCAGAGGGAGGCCCCAGCCACACTTGGTGCATTTGCGATCAATATGTTGCTCGCACATTCGATGCCACACCACATCATCATCGGCAAGGTTCCTCCATCGCCTGCTGACCTGAGCGGCTTTACAGAGAGAGACTGTATCAAGGTAGGATAGGATCTTATAGGAGAGTTCAGTGGGAAGAGCAGCAAGGAAATCAATCTTGAGTTGCTCCTGGACCTCGCGCGACACTGTTGACAGTTGAGGGAAGCAACATTGAGTGATGATACCCTGCAGCATCAGCTCGCGATGCTTTGATGGAGCAGCGGAGAAGAGAGACCAGACGTGGGTGATGGCCTCTTGGTCGGCGGATGAAAGACTGTTGAGTTCCTAAGACTGAAGTCAGCATGAAGTTATTCCAACAGTCGCCAGAGGTGATCAAGCTGTCCATAATGGGGAGAAGGAAGAATGAGACTCACACTCTGGATGAAGCCCATCTTAGATTCGTCAGCAGCGCGACGACATTTTGAATCAGGCCTGTGACGGTAACAGAACTTGCTGTTGGGATCTTTCTTTCGAATAACGGTAGTATCGTTGGAGTTTGGAGACAGAGGCATCGCTGCCTTGATCTTGCCAAAAGGTGCATAGAGGCCGGGAATATGTTCCTTGAGGAAGGGGCTGACGGTCTTGCCGACCAGTTCAGAAGGCATCTTGACGAGACGTGGATTTATTTCTTGATCGGATCGGTGGCGGTCGCAATTGTTTTTGGAGGGTTGGTTTACAGAGTTGTCGTCGAGTTGTTCGGAGTCAAAGCCGGAGTCGGTGGCTTTCAAAGAGCCACCATTGGCAGCAATAAGAAGAGGTGACGAGGTTGAGGTGGATTCTGTGGACAGCACAGGATCATTGCGATGTATAGTATCTGCTTTTGAGACAAGAGCAGGTCGAGATGTAAAGGATGAAGTAGACACGGTGGATTGAGGTATAGTTGAGTGTCCAGGGTTTGCGACAGAATCGGAGGAGGGCCGATGGCCGTTGACGAGCGAGGGGCTTTCCATTGCGCAGAGGTATGTACTGTACTGAGAACCAAAGCAAGGCCCTGGGGGTGGGAGATTAGAGTCGCGCGATGAAATGGCTAGATATCGTAACTCCCGGGTTGCGTCTGGGGGAGAGTGGCTGTCAACTCCTGGGATGGATCTGAGGCAAAGTGACTGGCGGATGGCGTGCTGGGCCTCGAAGCGCTATGTACCAGCACAAGCTGGTGGCCCACCTTGAAAGACTCAGGACCCTAGTCAGCGACTGTGCGACAACAATTCTTGGCTTCAGAAGACGCTAATTGGATTGCGGAAGGAGGTGAGCAAGGTTGTGATTTGCTGCTTTGTCTCCGAGGGTTGTCTGGAGGAAGGATTCGGTCTGGCTGATTGTACTGTAACGAGTGTCGACGCCAAAAGAATTTGTGGTGTGGAAGATGTAAGTGGGAATGGATGTGACGTTTGGTGGAGGCAAAGCAATCAATCAACCTTGAGGGAGAAAGGGTAGGTTCGGGTCGTCGGGGATGGCCCCTCTTCTTTCCGTTTTGTGAAATTCCTATTCTGCACACCCGAACCAAAATGGCGGGGGAATGACAGGGAAAGATGTCTAGTTTAGTTGTGCTGCTTTCTGCTCCTTAGCACACTATCAAGACGACCAAAGTATCGTATCGACTTTGACTGATAGTATCAACTGGCAACGCATTTTAGTGCTATTCCCTATCATGGACGATCGTTTGTTTCCCCGAGCTTCCTCTTCAGTACGTCCTCCGTACCTGTTGTGTGACCATATTTTCTTTTCAGACAGGGCATATCGCTCGCTGAGGTGTCCAGCTCCTCCGCACTGTTTTGAGCCCTGGGGAGGCGTCTAGCTTGCTTGTTTCTGTTCAACCGCCTAACAAGAAGCTCTTTGAAATTTGGGACCCAAATGGCGTTATCAGCGACCGATCAGCCGAAATAAGCTGACGGGGCGTTAAGAGTGGGGCCTAGACACGGCAGTCGGTCAGCTTGCAACCCAAAATCGAACATTGGCGGCTTTGCTGAGATGTACAAATTCGTGATATTTGCCACTTCAGCTTCCACTATCAATATCGATTCTGTGAAGATAACGTGATATCGACGTGCTTCAACGATAAGCTTTGTCCCAGACTCCCAGAAATGCAAAGCGGGCCCTCACACCACTCACCGTTTAGGGGACCTGACGCTATTTACGACTTAGCTTCTACTGAGCACGTTATGCACCAAAATGGGGAATAGCCTTGGACCTTTACGGCACAGAGGAAACGCCATTAGCGGCCATGAATAGAGCTGTTGTTCTTCCGACTCTACAGCAATCCACCTCCCCATATCAACTTGCAGCATAGTTTTCTCTGTTGCTCGGTAGATGAAAAGAAAATGGATCCTCGAGTGCCGGCGGTATCCTCGCCATGTTACATAACAAAGACCCATCGTCAGAACTTTTCCTTCAGGTCTCCTCTTTTTTACGTCTTGTTTTCTCTTAGACTTGCAAAACTTGTCTAGCCTCGCTTGTTTGATCTCTTGCTTCTTGGCCCCTGTTTTCCGGCATGCCTTTAGCTGATCTTTCTGCCCATTTACTCCCAACAGGTATGATATCCAGAAGCTGCGCCACAAGCAGCCACCCTGCCATATATCACATTTGTCGAATTACGCTGTCAAAGTTAATTACAACTGGATACGTAGGATGCTTCACAAGTAGGAACTTGAAACAATGACAAAATGAAACAGACTATGGCATGTTGTTCTAGAACTTGCCACTCGAAATGATGCGATTTCCCCATGACTATTGGCGCTTTCTCGGCCGATATCTGGATAGCTTTGTCATCCAGATCTGTCGCCATTCCGATATCCGAGTCGAGTCATCCTGACAGCTTATCAACCTTGAGAAATCGTCACCGAATGATTAAATGTAGAATTCCTTTGATGACTCAAGATTCCGGTGGTCCCGGATTTTGTTCTGCTTCGACTTCTTACCGTTTAGCCAAGCAATGCCTGGCAGTCTGAGGCCTGATTGCTCACTTGGCTCTTGAAGCACATCATCGCAGCAGGCACAGTCACGGCGCTGAACTATAATCACACCTACTCCGTACAGCGAGCCTATCGTTTCTGATGTTGGCTTACGTCGGAATTCTTTCGAACTCTATTTCCATTTACATGGTCGCATCTCACTTTTGTTCTGGGCTTCATGGACAACAGGGAACTTTCCTGCAACTCGAAGGCAGTCGACGATGCAGTTGATATCAAGGATTATCAACATTAGCTCCTACTCATCGATCACAGTCAATGTTCCGCGCAAATCGCAGGGCGCGCTCAGACCTGATGGCTATCTATAACGACTTGTCATAGATGCATTGGCCCTGCCATCATGTCGACCTGCCAAATTCCGCTGCAATCCAGTTCTAAAAGTCCTTGCGACATTCTCTGTCGGTGTGGTGTAATCGAAAACAAAGCAAGTATCAGCCTCTGAAGCGTTTCTGATTCGATGTTCGAGTCGCGGTGTAAAAGTAACGGGCGAAGCTATGCAGCTAAGGTTCTGCCCCTCAATCATGAGCTGGTCGGGCATTTGGTCCTTTGTTTCGAAGGCTCGATAGGCGTCAAGTTGAGTTCGGAGTCATCCCGACTCTTGTGTAGTTTTGGTGTTGACCATGAAGGAGCTTGGGCATGGACAGTTGATCTCATCCCTTGCAGCTTGCATGGGAAACAACGTGCGAGACACCGCCATTCGACGCATCATCGAATCATGACAGGTCAATGCGGTTAGATATTAGATGTATTTCATCATTGTGACATTTGAGAAGCTGACCTGCAGCTTGAATTGATCAGCACACCAGCTCAACAACGATGTGATGCAGATTGGTGTGGCACATCATATACAGCTTATGCGGTTACTCACCCAACAATTAGTTCTCGGTGAGATGGCCGAGTTGGTTATGGCGCCAGGTTAAGGTTAACCTTAACACCAATTTCCTGGTGGAGCAATCCTCCTGGGTTCAAGTCCCAGTCTCATCAAAGATTTCTTTTTGCATTTTTTAAATCTGATCACAACATCCATGATGTTGTATGATCAATCGTTTTGCTGCGAGAGACATAATTTTGCTAATATGTTTTCCGCTCAAGGCTTTGTTCTTCTTCCCTTCGCAATGATGGACTGAGGTTAGGCCTAGGTATTGTTGAGGCATATATACATAAAGACCCAGTAAAGCATCGTCCATCTTCCTCCCTTCTCATCTTTCTCAACTCTATGACTTCATCCATGATATAATGGTGCCTGTAAAAAATGCTATATTAACGGTTGGGTCTTTAATTTGCTTCTTTGCAAACTCCTATTCCATCTTCCACTAACGATCGTCCGGCCTACGAAGCACTGACCTCGATTCAAAGACTAGCAGCTAACTCAGCATCATCGATTATTGATGCAGCTCACGAGAAATTGGTTATTGTCTCATCAGCGACATCCAAGATCGAACTCCACCGCTGAGCAAACACCACTTAACGCGTCGCTTCCCGTGTAAAACGCGGATCTTCCACGGCTGGAGACCGCCGCTTGCATCACAGCATCTCAACTAAGGGGTGTCTTATCTTAGATTCAACGCGATTAAGCTCCTGGATCGTAGATCGCCCCTGTGAAGTTGAGAATCCAGGGGTACTATGGATCGGGTACGGAAGTGCTTGCAGCTGAGCTAGCTGTGAGCTGTGCTGTTGGTCCTTGAAAGATGATTCATTGAATCGACAATCGGACAATGTCGTCATGGATAGGTGCAAGTCATGGTGGAACAATTGTTCTCAGTAGGAGCAAGTGCTGTTATTGAAGTGTAGAGCTGAGATGTATAAGAAGAGCAGTCTTCTTGGTTGAGAACAGAGGCTTTTCTCCATCATCACTCAATCTCAACCTCCATCTACAACTTACAACTTCAAACCACTACCACTACAACCACCGCCTCACCAAACAACCCAAGCAACCAACATGTCCTCCAACGGTGTTCAAGATGCTCCCACTGGTGACTACCAGGAAGATTCCTACGTCTCCCGACCTGGTCAAAAGGAGCAACCCATTCCTGTGCAATCTGACTCCGACCGAGTTGACGAACCCATCGACGCTGAACAGGCCGACACTGACGCCCAGCTTGGTATGTATACGTCTTGGGTTATGACATGAAGCAATTACTAACACACTGACAGAGCGCGACGACAAGGATGCTATCGACGAGAGCAACATCATTGAGGAACGTACCCGAGGCGCTACCCAGCCTGGCGGTACTTACACAGAGCCCGGTGACGAGGAGGGTCTGCCTTCTGACGACGGCCGAAGCTCCAACTACTGAGCGAGTTTTTGAAGACTGAAAGCGTACTGTTGATAATGAATCTGGCTGTATAATAGAATTTGGAATGGAAATCTTTCGAAGTCTTCTTTGAGCAGTGACTATGTACATCATCATTTACCTATTTCCTTACCTACTTTGTCATGTTCATGTCATTTACACTTTAAACAAATAACAACATCACTACCCGTAGTCCAATTCGTCTCGTGTGTCAAAGTTTCTGCCTATTTTCTGTAGTTGGCAGTTGAGTGCAAATCGTGTTCAGCTGGGGTAGAAGATGTCCATAGCGGGTCTAAGATTGCTGAGATGTGATTATTAAATATATCTCACCGTACTACTGTATTGGATTCTAAGCTATTGTGTCCATAGTCATGTCATTTTACAGAGTTTGTATAGAGTATTCTTGCAATGACTCTGTCGCAGACGCAAAAAGATGCGCAAATGCTCAGGATGAAACCTTTCTTACCGACTTCTTACACCGACATCAGGAGTTTACACAACCAATAGACGACAAAAAGCAAGACAAACTCCATAGCATTCGAATGATAAAAGAGTATTGATAAAGCCGCTATCACAAGCAACGTTATAACTATATATTACATGTCGATGCAAAGATCTAGGGTAGACCCCACCAGAATGATAAGATCCCCCGCCACCGGGACCACAACGGGAAGCCCCACTCGCCCGCATCGAAAATCTCGTCCGTCAAGCAGCCAAAAAAAGTACTACGCGATAGCTGCATCTTTTCTCTTCCATCTACCATTACACTTGTCGCAACAGATGAAAACATGGCGGCAGATAACGAAACTCCTGCCGCGAGCGGCACCAATGACTCTCGTCCCTCGGGCGACGCTAATGCCTCTCAAAACAACAACTCTGGCAATCGTCGCAACCCGCGCCATGACCATCGAAAGCCTGGCAAGGGACGAACTGAGAAAGGACGCGGAGAATGGGGGTAAGTTTTCACCTCAATTGACGGATTGAGTGCAGTCACCAACGGTGCTAACTAGATGTTAGTCGAGAGAAGGGCGATAAGCGCAAGAAGAATGATGAGTTCAAGGAGTTCAAGCGTCGCAAACTGAACAAGCAGGGCGAGTCTGCAGATGCTGATTCAAGCAACAACCCCTTCTCCAAGGACGAGATTGCTGCCGAGGAGCGACGACCCAAGCGAAAGGTTGCTGTCATGATTGGGTATGCGGGCACTGGCTACAAGGGGATGCAAGTCAATGGCAACGAAAAGACCATCGAGGCCGATCTGTTCAAGGCGTTTGTCGCCGCGGGTGCCATTTCTAAGGCCAATGCCGACGATCCCAAGAAATCAAGTCTCGTTCGATGCGCCCGAACTGACAAGGGTGTGCACGCAGCCGGAAACGTCATCAGTTTGAAGCTCATCATCGAGGACGAGGATATTGTCGAGAAGATCAACGCGGAGCTGCCCGAGCAGATTCGAATCTGGGGCATCCAGCGAACAAACAACGCCTTCAGCTGCTACCAGACCTGCGACTCAAGATGGTACGAGTATCTTATGCCCAGCTACTGTCTTCTGCCTCCCCATCCCGAGGCCTTCTTAGGACGAAAGTTGGTTGAGCTGGCTAAGGAGCATGGTGTCGAGGATGAGCTAGCAGCCAGGATGGCGGATGTCAAGGATTTCTGGACCGAGGTGGAAGAGAAGGAGATCAAGCCTATACTGGCCCGCCTAGACCCTGAGACCAAGGCTATTGTGCTGGAGCGAGTGCACGTTGTGGACGACGAAGAGACTGCTGCACGGAAACAAGCTGATAAACAGACCGAGGAGAGCGCGCCAACAGAGGAGATGCCTGACGCTGAACCAACCGCTGGAGAGGCTACTGAGCAGCCTGCGGACTCTGAGGCCCAGCAACCTGGCCTTACTCTGGAGAGCCATAAGCCGAAGAACCGTGAGCTTGGCCCAGTTGATTTCGCCCTCCGCGATATCAAGGCTGCTTATGTTGCCGCCAAGCGACGATACCGTGTCAGCACCGAGCGTCTGAACCGCCTTCAGGAAGCTCTCGACAAGTACAACGGCACAAGGAACTTCCACAATTACACTGTTCAAAAATCATTCTTTGATCCTTCAGCCAAGCGACACATCAAGTCATTCATCGTCAACCCTAAGCCGATTATCATCGGCGACACAGAGTGGCTGTCTCTCAAGGTTCATGGACAGAGTTTCATGATGCATCAGATTCGAAAAATGGTCGGTCTTGCCAGTTTGATTGTTCGATGCGGTACACCCATGGTGCGCATGGACGAAAGCTACCGCAACCAGAAGATGGCTATTCCCAAAGCCCCTGGTCTTGGCCTGCTGCTCGAGCGCCCAGTTTTCCACAACTACAACCGAAAGGCGACAGAGTCACTAGGAAAGGAGGCAATTGATTTTGGAAACTACGAGGAGGAGATTCAGGCCTTCAAAGATAAGCAGATTTACTCTCGCATCTTTAGCGTGGAGGAGAAGGATAACTCGTAAGTACTGACGCACACTATAGCCGGACAATGCTAACAGCACAAACGCAGGTTCCACATGTTCTTCAACCAGATTGACCAGTTCAAGACAAATCACTTCTTGTGGCTCACGGCTGGCGGTATGAAGGCTGCCGAGATCGCAAGGGACACCACAGGTGAAAAGGTGCAACAGGATGTTGACAAGCAGCTCGGTGATGAGGACGAGGAAGACCCCGAGGGCGGTGAGGGTTAAGTATGTAACATGAGAAACTGGATAGAGTCAAGCCTTGATAAGATCTGTTGTAAAGGAAGCATTGTTTCATCATGAGCCTGTTACCGGACCTTTCGGAGAGGGTTTCTACCATTGAAGTTGTTTGGTAGTCATTGTACAGCATTAGTTACACTGCTTTCATGTCTTATATCCGAGCCTGAGTTGCTTTGAAATCATGAAGAGGTTTGAGTGTGTACGCTCGGAAACGCTGTATTACCAAGCTACCTCATGACTGCCAGTCGCATCAGCCGTGAAGCATGAGATGTCGTGTAAGTGAGGTGTGTTTCCGTTTTGGGCGTTGAGCCAAAAGGATCCACTACCTCAAGGTGGAGCTCAGTGACAATGGATGCCTCAGGCCGAAAGCGCTAGTGGCCCAGACCCGCGCACAGGGTTTGGAAACCCCAATTTAGCGACCTCTCGAATTGCAAGCTACTCAAAAATATTAACAGGCTTTTGCAACAGCATCAACTTCGTCGTCGTCAATCACGTAGTCGCACCAACCGTCAAGATGAGCGCCCAGGCCCTTAACAAGATCGCTGCCAACAGCCCCTCGAGGCAGAACCCCTCCGAGCTCGAGTCGAGCATCGCCCAGGCTCTCTTCGACCTCGAGTCCAACACCTCCGACCTCAAGGTTGCCCTGCGACCTCTGCAGTTCGTCTCTGCCCGTGAGGTGAGAACACCGTGAAAACATACAATATGAACCTAGGCACTTCTTTCGAGAAATCCTGTTCCCACACAAGAACATTGTCTTGCAATGGCATCGTGTCCACTCCGTTTCCCCCCGACCGCGCAACGTCGAGAAGATTATCGAAGATGAAATAATTTTTCGAGAGATTCATTGACTTGAATGCGTACCCCCCGTGTCGTCGGGGACGGAGGCGTGCCCAGCCGGAGTATCATTGACTTCTGTGGAACAGGACGGGAAGCGGTCCAAGGTTTTGTCCTGGAGCTCGCATGCTGACTTGGGATCTTGATTAGATCGAGGTTGGCCACGGCAAGAAGGCTATTGTCATCTTTGTCCCCGTCCCTTCCCTGCAGGGCTTCCACCGCGTCCAGCAGCGGTAAGATAACCCCCCTCCTCCACGAAGCCAAAGGCCTCAGGACTAATTACCCCACAGTCTCACCCGTGAGCTTGAGAAGAAGTTCTCTGACCGCCACGTCCTGATCCTCGCTTCTCGCCGCATCTTGCCCCGCCCCAAGCGATCTGCCCGCTCCCGCAACACCCAGAAGCAGAAGCGTCCCCGTTCGCGAACTCTCACTGCTGTCCACGACGCCATCCTCGAGGATCTCACCTACCCCGTCGAGATCGTCGGCAAGCGCGTCCGCACCAAGGAGGACGGCTCCAAGACCCTCAAGGTCATCCTCGACGAGAAGGAGCGTGGTGGTGTTGACTACCGCCTCGACACCTACTCTGAGGTCTACCGTCGTTTGACAGGCCGCAACGTCAACTTCGAGTTCCCTCAGAGCGGCCCCGCTGACTACTAAGTCTGCGTTGCTTCGAGATGAATAGAAAATGACTATTTTCCCTCAAAAATTCAAGGGACTGGGAGTGCTTTTAACATCGTTGGTTGGTCAAAAAGGGGCTTGGCGTCTTAAGAGAGTAGCTTGATAAATGGTACAAGCTGCGTATGATTTGACAAGACAACTTAAACACTTCTTCCGTCCATGAACTCGTCCAATTATCTGGGTATCTAGATCTATGTGTCTCACGTGCATGTCTATTCTATTTTATTCGTGACTGATGCGGCCAACTCCTAACACACACCAATAAGCTAGCTCTCGCCTCTCCTGAGTATCCTTTTCCTTGGCAGATGTCGTGCCGACATCTTGCTGGGAGTCTGGCTCCCACTCCATCCTCACAAACATGGGTATCTCCAGGATATCCTCGTCTTCCTTCAGTGGGCTCTTATCCGTCTGGTGGTCAAGTCCGAGTGATGCGGGAACCACCTCCAAGATGATGCTGACCCAATTGCGCCCCCGCTCCCAAATCTTACCGGCTTCGGGCTGGCCACTGCTCTCTTCACCTTTGCGCTTCTTGTCCCGGTCGTCGTCTTTCAGAGCATCGTCCCACATATCCGTGTTGGCATCGACGTCAAACTGTGGACACAGGATGGTGACTTTGCTGGAGAACCTGCCAGGCGTGCTGTTTGGCGTGGCCAGTGTGACCTTGATACCGTCGAACAAGGGGTTCTTGAAGGTTATGATGTAGTGATACGGAGTGAGAGGCTTGAGAGAGCGCTCTTCTTGCAGCTGAGGACGCTGTGTGGTAGGAACAGGGCCGACCGTAGGGTTGAGAGGTTTGATGGTAATGGTAGGGATATAAGATTTTGCAACGAGCTTGATCTTGAATCGTGTTGACGTGACCTTGTTCTCAGGCTTGGAGATGATGTGTCGGCATACAGAGCAACGCTTGGAGCGCTTTGTCCGGAGGAGGTATGGTATAGGCCGTAAACCGTCCTGGAATCTCTGGCCCTCTGCTTGTTGGAGGTTCTGCTCAATAGAGGCCGTCGTGTCCCACCCCTCTTGATGCAGTTTCTTGATCTGCACGGATTCATCCAGGTCGGCCACCTTGAGTCCTTCCTCTGTCGTAAGAGCCTCACGCATCACATCTGAAGGACCGTTGCGCTTACGGGTATGGCCGTGCCCGGTATACATAGCCATGATGCGAGTCAACGCAGCAGGTGAACCAAATCCAACATTTTCGTTGAGCATCGACGCACCGCCCAGAGAAGCATTGGTGTCTGCCAGCTGTGTCTGGTAGAATGACTTCAGATTGGCATACTGCAGGTCTGTATCGACGTCGCTGTCGGCGGGGGGTGGCTCCTCTGGGTTCTCCTTGCGGCGCTCCTTAAATTCTCTTGCTGTGAGCTTGAGATCACCGCCGTTGTTGATCTTGGAAAGCTGTGAGTGTATACCGCTGGGCCGGTCGAAGTCGATGCCTATCTCGGTGGAGGTCCAGTTACAGTACTGGCAGTACAGAGCATACGGGCCGCCGTGATGCGACGAGGGATCTGTACCCAACTGTGATGCATCCGTAGGTGCCAAGGCCATAACCTGTAGAGGTCCAATACACACAGGACATTGGTAGCAGCTTCGAGTGCATCTGAAGGCGCATACTGTCAGGCTCCATCATGAATAATTTCCTCGGGCTGTTTTTACCTGTTACCCTCGCTCCGCAAGTTACTGCTGGGAACCTCAAAGAGACAATTGGGGCAGTAATAAGTAACGACTTCTTCGTTGACGCATCGCGGGCAGCGAATCTGCTGACAGTCTTCGCAGTAGAGGAGGTACTCGAGGGGATAGAGGCTGTAGTTTGCACGAGGATCGCGGGGGTCAAAGGTTCGCTCGTCGGAGGATTGTGTTTGAGGCGTTTGTGGCAGGTCGGGTGAGATATCGGAACACGGACATTGGATGTACGTGTAGGGTATCACGGGCGACATTGCGGCGGTGATGTCGTGGAGTTTGCCAGACTCGATTCGGGGAGCTGTCTCGAAACTGGGGTCTTGAGTTTGGAGGTGAGCACGGTGAGCTAAGGTGAAGGGAGTGGGATGTTAGACGGTGAGGAGCCAATCATGAGAACCAGTATCTTACAGTCAACTCTATAACAGATTGGACAACAAGATATCCTCAAATGCAGTACGCAGTGTTTACGATGAATTGGTATACTGGGGAAATAATAAACATTTTGTCTTATTCAAGGAATCCTTCTATTTGAATGCAGGTGAGAGACAATCGGTGGTACACTGCTTGTCATTCTCGTCTCCAGTTACCTGCTTAATCGATGGTATTGGATGGAGTGGAAAACAGCCGTCTAAACCATTACTTTGTTGTTTATTTCCAGCCGTATCATTTCTTATTTCTCATGTCTTGTTCTATTAATTTGATAATTGTTGATGCATATTGGCTTATGTGAACTCCAGGTACACAACGCTGAATGGCTTCACCCAGGCCAAATCGGGGAGCGCCTCATCCTGCTGGGAACTTGCTCTCGTTACCAAACAATTCGGACTGGCCATTGAACCCTCTCCGAACGAGTGGCACCGAAAAAGAAAGCATTTTTAAAGCCTTTTTTTCTTTTTCTTTACGGTATGGTCGGAGCTTTTGGGTGGGTGAAACAAACACACAACTTGGAGGGTGGTGAACGCGAATGCTTTACACCCATTCTCATAGTTTAACGTTGCAGCCATGAATGGATAAGTTTTTTTTGTCACAGCCGCTTGACGATTGAGACCAATCGCTGGTCTCAAGTCCAGCTTTTAAGGCGGGAGAGGAAGCGGGAACTGGGACCACAAACGTCGAGTCTAGACCGGTAAAACGTTTGTTATTTGGCCGAACAGCTCAACCTTGTTCATTCTCGCCTTGCGAAAAAGACTCTGCTCAGCGATGAACCCTTCTGAGGTTGAGGGGTTGAGGGGTTGAGGGGTCTGTGTTTTAAGAAACTTGGACTTTTCAACTTGGGACTCTGCTCCTCCGGGTCCGAACTGACCGAGTTTAGGAGCCATTCTCCATCAATGTTTGCCTTGTCTTGTTGGGGCCTTGGCCTTTACGAGGCGAAACGACATTGGATTTGTGCGGGGGGCTTTCTCTAAGTTTTGGAGAAATGGGATTAGTTCACGATGGGAAGGGTGTTGATTCATGATGAAAGAACAGCTCATACTTGGCTCATCAGTGCTTGGCTCATCAACGCTTCGCTTACTATGGAGTATGCAGCTAAAAGCTAGAGTGCGTCTGCCACTGCGAGTCTGCCCCTGGCCTGCCCCTTGGTCCAAGCATCCATGAAACTAGGCTTGGCTGAATTGACCTAAAAGGGCCCAAGTATTGAAGTCTCTCGACGCCTCGTCGACTCGGTGCGGCTGAACCGAGTATTTGTATGTGGTTTCGATGGCCACCACGGTAGCTTGTTGGGGAATTGAAAGCAAAGTAATTGGAGCAGTCGTGGCATTTACAGGTGCAGCCGATGAAGATCGATTCGCTGTTCAACGGTCAAGGATGGGCATTGTGTGTACACAATTGTATGGATGATCCATGCTTGTAGATAATCTGTTGTCCCTGGTGGAGCTGAGAATGAGAATCACCATCTCCCAGGCGGGTTAAGCCAAGAGTAAGACAGGACGAGACCCGTGGAGACGGACAAGGTCGACAGAGAAAGAGGGGCACGTTAATTAATTCCCGAAATCCTGGAACGTCACAGATTAATTCGAGGGCAACCAATTTCGGTGACCTTTTTTACGAAATTAAGCCACTCTCTCATTCTGCGAGAATGGGAGAAAGACGGAAATCCTTTTCTTGCTTTGTAACCCCGGCAGGACCGGTTCAATAGATAATGAGGATCATCATTTCTCAAGAAGCTGTGTGACTGTGGCCAGCAGCAGCGACATGCAGAGAAACACACCTGCACACCTCTTGCTGGCTGTATTGCGTAGCTGTACGCGTCGAGGCTAGTTGGTGGGTGGGTGGGTGTTCTCGATGCTCCGATAGATCGGATCGGGAAGACTTTGGGAGGCTCTACAGCTGTCCAGTAATAATACTGACTTGCAAGTTGGAGGATGTGGTCCGTTAGACTGGCATGGGCTGATGAGCGAACGGGGGTGATGGTCTTTTAGAAGCTTGGCTCTATTTTCCTTCTCGTTCTTTTTGATGAACCCGGTTCCTAGCAGCTGGAGCCCTTTTAGAATCATTTGCTGACACGGGGCGAACTGTAACAAAGACCCTTCAACTTTTGTTTTTTATAGAGTTTGCAACGGCATGAATGAACAAAGCATTGATCATCTAGTGACTTCTATCCCGTACGGTCCAGTTGCAGTTGCCAGACCACACACGTCAAAAAAGGCCAGCTCAGAGCTGGAGCTCTCGTCCCAGAGGAGCTTATTAGCTCTCAGGCTTAGGCGAGCTGCCTGCAGGGATCGTCAGTGCTTCTTGAGTTTTACTACGTATTAGACAAGCCTAATGGGCCCAGCGCTAATGCGGTGGCTTGCTGTAGTGTCTCACAAGCCCAAATTCCGACCGTCGGGGCCTTGTCTTCCCGGACAGTGGACTTTCAGTCTTCTACAACTCTCTGCCTGCAGGGCAAGGGTTCACCCTGTTGGGCAAGGCTAGGCTTGGTGCTTTATTGCTTGGATCTTAGTCCACCTGGGCGAGGGAAAACCAATATCAACACGACCACCCCCCTGAAAAAGCGTGATGGGTGGTGATCTGATCTACCCGTCAATGTCTGACTATTCTCTCGTCTCGGCCTTGAGATCTCTTCCATTACGTAGGTAGGACCCGTCATGGAACCCTGCGCCTGACGTCTTGTCTTCTTTTTACTCACATCCTACCTACTAATCTATAGTCATGGCCGTATCACTTGAGATGTCGTGTTGAGATTTGTTCAGTTTTAAAACTCGCTCGTTCCATACAGACAAGACACTTCTAACCGCAGGCCGATTGGGAACATTACAACCTGAAAACGAGCATCCATAAACGAACAGAGACTTGAACCTGCAATATCCCGACGACACGGCTCGCTGCATCGATTTCTTCAGCCGCTTTCAGCTGCCACCAACACGTCTGTTCCGGTGTTCTCGGCACCAACAGCCACACGCTCGCTTACATATATATAAGACCCTTCGACAATGGCCATCTCTAGTCAGAGATCACTGAGGTTCAATGCCTTTGTGAGTCGGAAAATGGATCACTGTCCAACAGTCATGCGGTGGGACGGTGCTGCAAGATCGTGCTCAGAATGGGACAACATCCGCCGAGTAAGTTACGGAAGTTTCACATGGTGACAATGGATATATCTAATCACACATATAGGACCCTGAACTGTGGTTTCGAAATGGCAATTGTATGGTGCACCTGCAAGGAAAAGGCCAATCTAAACGAGGCCCTTCATTCAAAGTCCCCTTCTCAGCACTACTCGACGCCCAATGTTACCCCCTCATTCAAAGATTCCTCGTATGGGATGGGATTCAGACGCCTAACCTTCGGGAACTCACAAGATGGAGTCGGAAGAACCCTACACGCAAGATCGACCTATACATTCCACCGCCTCCGACATCAGATAAGACTCAGGCATTCAACTACCACTTGGCAACACGCAATTTCTTCGCATGGGTGTTTCGCAGATCAATGGTCGGATGCAGCCTTGGTAGTGCCATCATCGGCCTTCTTCACAGCTTGCACGAATTCCGCTCCGGCGTCAACGACAATGTCGCAGATATGATGGACTACTTTGACGAGGAGGGATATCTCGACATGGCCAACCAGCCCAATCACGCACTTGCTATGCTGCATCTGGCCGAGTTCTTTCAGATGCGCGAGCTGTATATCCGGGCTTTTGCTCATTGCGTAGGCATGAGCGAATACTTGCTGGACAGCCCTGGGTTCGAGGTATGTCTTAACGCTCCGGAATGCTGGTAAGCCACTGACGGAAGTAATACAGGAACTTGGTACCACCACACGCAAACTCCTCCGAAAATGTCATATTGAACTGGATTGTCGAATGACGCGCTCTTCAGCTATGCTGAGGACGTTCCTCGATGATGAGTTGTCAGAGGCTCATCTGAGTGTGGCAGCGGGCGCTAGATCACATCTCGAGCGTTTCCGAAGCTTTCTACTATCATTTTATGCGACTAAACTGGGATACTACCCTCCTAACGCCTCTAACCGTCATAACGACTTATTTGATCCAGCTGTTCTTAGAATTATGCGCGAGGACTTTGAGGCTCTTTACGATCTTTTGGTTGATGACCGGTATACCTCATTTAACACCATGCCACCTACGGCACATGGTGGGATTTGCACTATTCAATTAGTACAGTCCTTCGACCTGGAGCATAACTATGAAACTCTTCAACACCCCCTACCGTTAATCCCAGAGACTGGAGGTAGTAGATCCCGTCGAATGACTTGGCTCTCTGAACGCGTCACTCTTAGATCAGATCGCAGAGTGACGGCGCATGCAGCGCTGATCAACGCCTCTAATATCGCAAAGCCAGGCGTGGCTCAAAACGACCTCGTGCGAGCGTATCGACGGTTCGAGGAAGATTCTATCATGTCGCCCAACAAGGCGGATAAGCAGGATAAGGTGTCGCTGGTGGATGCTCGCAAGGTCCGATGGATTCTCATCTATGCGACGTATCAAGTGCTCCGCTATGCCACAGATTTGGCGCCCGAGTTGGAGGAGGAGGAGATTAACGATGCTCACTACAGCCTCTCGACACTAACTGAGAAGCTTCCTCCTTGGGATACACCACGTGAGTTGAATCATGTGCTGAAACGCCAGACGCAGTTTGTTGCATCTGGTATGGACTGGAGTGTGTATGCCAAAGATGACACAACTTTAAGAGAAGATTCTTTTGGAAGAATTGAGATCAAACCAGACATCGATTACTTTGCACTCACTCATCAAAACCGCCCTAAAACACAACAAGACAACCACAAAAGGGAGCGCCGAGCATCTATGCTAGCGCAACCATCCCGCTCAAACTCATTCTCTCAAGCCCTAAGCCGCTCCTCGACTATTCGACGCTCCATGGCCATGTTTAAATCACCAAGCAGCACACCACCGCAATCCATCACACCACCATCTCGACCGCCCTACCATGAGATTGTTGTCCTCGGTTACGGAAACGGAACCAACGACGTGAGTCTTGAAACAGACTCGAGCGACTCCAAGACGGACGACCCTGGTGTAGCATCCCCCGAGAGCATAGAGACCATCGACGATTCTCTCGAATCACCCCCCGACACTCCCCCACTGGTGGAATACTACGTTGAGCCCGCAGTTCCTGAGGATGTGAAAGCACTCCGCGAGCGACGTCGTAACGTCGTGTCCATGATGGCGCGCTCAATGTCTGGCCGGGTCTCGAAGCGTGGAGGACGACCCATCAGCGCCATGTTCTCAGACAGCTCGGAGACCAGACGGCACAGTATGTTCCCGCAGCCGCTGCGGGTGAAAACAGACATGAACGAGCCGTACATCATGAACGATGACGCGGACTGGGCGGCTATGCAGACGTTTATGGAGAGTCCTGGGGAGATGAGCGAGACGGACGATGATACGATGCCGGCGTGGGAGCAGTATGCTGACTTGGGAGGATTGACGGATATGAGGTGATTGAGGAGATTGTCACATCTGGATCTCTTCGATTTTCGCTCGACGCGAGGTTCTTTTTTTTTTCTTTGTTTCAAGTTACTAGCGAATACCCCCCTTTTATTTCTTTGTACGAGATAGCAATGATATGTCTGGATGAGATAGTTTGATTTATTATGTTTGTTGATAGGATTATACGGGATGAGTTGAGGGTAGGGTAGTTGAATACTTGACTGTTGAAGTCACTTGGCTGTTCTCCTATGTCATTTACTATTGATATGTGATAGGATTGCTATTGACTTGATAGGCAACAAGTTACACTACCATGCTTATTATACCCAGCGTAACTGCCCCAGTCCTTAGTTATTTAAAACCAGTTGAAGCCATGAATCCAATTCTATATCGTTCTTCATTACCATTATTCATACAGTCCACCAAACCATGACCTCTACTCTACGCTCCTCTTCACCGACGGACCAGAAGCAAGTGTCAGGCCATCGAGGATCTCCTTACCAAATAGCCAAGTCATGTAAGCCGGGAGGACAATCCAGAAACCACTGTTGAAACATTAGTGTCGGTTTATCGGGATGTTCGAAGGGTGACTTACTTGGGAAGAACCCAGAGAGTGAAGATATCGAAGGGTGTGTTATGGGCAATGTTGTCAAAACCGCTGTAGTATTCGTTGGCCCCTGATGGTCATTGTTAGTTTATGGTCTAGCATAAAGTATGTGTACATACAGTATAAGACTGTTTTGCTCAACGTCATAACGGCAGCACTGAAGCCAATCACAACGGCCAAAGCACCGTCTCGTCCGCTCAGAGTCCTCTTCGCAGCGCCCTTGCTAGTCTTGTCGGCTCGAGTCCAGAGCATCCACAAGTACACCAGATACATGGCCGACTCGACAACATTAAGAGCCGTCTGGGCAGCTGTGAAGCCATTGTTGGAATCAAACGCCTTCCACCCGTAGATATGATCAACCTTCCCGTACAAAGCATACGGAATATAGATGGGCCAGTGGAGGTACCCGTCTGGCATGGTGTGAGGTCGACCAAACACATAGCCTATATCCCACACCACAAGAGGCACCGATATCGCAAGCCACAGCATAATTGCCGACGAGGGGGTGTGATGCCATGTCCGAGACATATCGACCGATACGCGACGTTTCTTGGCGCTGCCTTTGGTAGAAGCCGAGGACGTCTTGTTGATTGCTCGTTTGCGTGTTGATCTCGATGGTGTAGATGGAATAGCAGTGAATTCGAAAGCAGGAGAAAAAGATTCAGGACCGACGCTGGCACCGCGGGAACTGGCACGAGTAGTAACCATCTTTGCGGCGACTCAAGGCTTTATTTATGCGTATTGACGAGGATGTCAGGAAATAACCAAAAAAAGAAAAAAGAAAGAAAAGTGGTGCTGTTTGGTTACAAGACACGAGAAGTAAACAATTTGGTAAAAATCGGATCACTTTACATCCGACTGGAAGCTGCAATACATGATTACCCTTTTCGGCAATTAGCGTGTCAGAACCCTAAAAGTCCCCTGGAGCGTTGGAGGGTGGCGCCGTGTTTTAGTGGCGTGTCGGCACTTGAAGGCTGCCACACTCGTCGGGTATTTTGACACCCAGAGCTTCCTATTGGTCTAGTTAAGGTGTCCTCGGCACCCGGCGCATAGTGACAGTTAGTGGACGTATTCGTACGAGAAATAGGTACGCTTGATACGCTCTTGTGACACGGCTGGTTAATTACCATTTATGACGATCAATTGTCTAGTTCAAGTCTAATGGATGAGATACACTCGAATACGGAATCTACTTATGCTCATCACTTGTATGTACTTATGATGTAATCTAATCTAACAGAACAAGCGTAAACTGCCGTATCTCAGCTCCCAAACGTATCACCTCCCTTCTCAAGAAACTCCGTCTCATCCGGCCTCATCTCCCGCCCAAGCGCCTTGTTCCTATGAGGATAGCGCCCGAATTTCTCTATAATCACACGATGCTTCTCTTCAATATTTTTGTTCATCTCCCCGACTGACTTTGCCGTCTCAGGATCTGCCTGGACGATTTCCCGCGCCTTCTTCTCATACTCATTCGCACCACCTGTTCCCTCCAGCAGGCTCAGAATATCCTGGTTCATTCGCTCAAACGCAGAAACAGCTTTATCGTGCGTGGATAAGTCCTCTGAGTGCATCAATGGCAGGTAGAACCAGTTGCGGTAGTAGAATACCCAGCGGATCTCTAGTGATTTGTCTGGAATGCCTTGCCTGATGGCCTGCTGGGCGATTTGTGAGGCGAGAGGGTCGAAGTAAGTGAAGCAAATGGACGATTCGTCACCACGGTATGAGTTTCGGGGAATTTGGTCAAGTAGGATGACCAGGCTCAGCCAGTCCAGGGAGCTTCGAGGCTGAACAGCCGAGAGAAGCTCTTGCGCTGATGTAATTCCCGAGCTACGAATGGCCTCAAGTATAGGCTTGAACTGGCTACTGGGAATTATCAGTATCAATCAACCAAGAGAGGGTGACGAACTTACACGCAGTCATTGTCAAATTGCTCATTGGAAAAGAACCATCTCTTCACATGTTCTGGCGCAATAACCACACGACTCGCGCCATCCGGCAAATGTTCAAACCAAAAGCTCCGTAAAGCGTCGAGCTTCTGGTAAGTAAGATGCCCTTTAAGCATATCCAGATTATTTGTCCGGGAGTCCATGTTGACGAGGACAGCCTGCTCTTGAGGTTTGAAAGTAGATGAGCTGAATGGCTTTCTTCCGGAAACGTATTGCTGGTAGACTCTTGCTGGTGCAGCGGTCAATGCGTTTGGCAAAGACAGTTGAGAGAAAGTGCCTCGATGATCTGATATCCACTCAGCACTCCAGTAGGAAATCAATATGAAGAATAACAAACAGGTGAGATTGCGAGCTGTAGTGACCCAAGTGGTGGATGCTTTCTGTGGTGCTCTCATGATGAGTGAATTAAGTGCACTTGCTCTAGTTCGACATGTTCTAATAAGGGATGGCTTGTTATTGTATTCGCGAAAAGAAGGCTAAAGATTTTAATTGTCTGCTAAACTTGAAGTTTGAACTATCAAACGCCGACTGACAAATCACTTCTTTGTCTAATGCGAAAAGAGGTAGAGTCAATTGAGACTACATGACGATTGGATATCCGACCTCCGGCGATCCACGTCCTGGCCGAGCTAGAGACCCACCTCGGTATTCCGAGATCCCCGGAATGTGCTCCGTGCTTGATTACCCGATTAGGTATGAGACTATGAGTCCTGATCACGTTGAAAGAGAGGATGTATATGAAAACAATTATATAGAGCGTATTAAGTACTAGTATAGTTGGACCGGGGGAGTTCTGGGTCTTGAAAGACCTGCATGTAGAGGATTAAGCCAGAGAGTACAGACTCGAACAACAGGAGCATATTAAACCATCATAATGGCAAGAAGAACAGCCATCAAACTAGCTCCTCCAGCAATAGTCTTGGAGCTGGCAGCGTTAACAACAGTGGCTCCTGTAGGTGTCGCGGCAGCATCATCGGTAGGGGTTGCATCGGCAGTAGCAGTAGCAAGAGCAGAGACGTCGATGACCTTCATGGTTCGGAGAAGCTCAGGGGTGGTGTAGGTCTCGCTCTCGGTGGCGTAGCTGATGACGGAGAAGGGGAGCTTGGAGACGGGTGTGGCATCAGGGAAGGCCAGACGGTCGGTGGCATCAGCAGCGGGCTCGAGATCAGCACGGTCGAAGGGAGCATCAGCGGGGTTGAGGACACTATTCTAATCAGTATGGACGACTAAGAGTGAGGAGAAGGTATGACTTACGTGTCGATAATATGGGCAACACCGTTGAACAGCAGAGTATTGGTGAAAAGGATCTTGGCACCGTTCACCCAAGCACTTCCATCCTCAGCAACAGTAAAAGTCAAATCGGCGCCCTGAAGGCTGGGAACGCTGACGTTGGCTAGGCTGGTAGAAAAGAGAACATCGTCGACGATGTGGTACTTCAGGACCTCCTGGAGGGTCTTGAGATCAGCGCCCGCAAGAACGGAACCGATGTTCTCAAAGGCAGGGTCGTTGGGGATGAACACAGTGAAGTCGGAGATGTTGAGCAGGTCGGAGGAGTCGGTGCCGATGTTGCCAAAGTTGTAGGGCAGCTCTGCGGCGTTCACGGCGGCGTTGAAGTTGAGCAGGTTGTCGCGGCGGGTGAACAGCTGGAGAGGAGGGCCAAAGCTGAGAGGCTTGTCGACCTTGTGGATGATGACGGAGTCGCCAACTTTGATGTCCTGGGCATGGTTAGCTTAAAGCAAGTGAGTAGATGTGAGTGGAACTTACTGCTTCGGTCACATAGGAGAGAGTCTGCTCGCCAGAGATGACAACAACATCGTCACCGTCCTTCACAATGCCGTTGTACTGACCGCCAGTGAAGTTGCCAAAGGGCTGACGATAGTTGACAAAGCTAGAATCGAGAAGAGACTGGACAAAGACAGGAATATCGCTAGCCACCTTGGCGGGATAGTAGCCCTTGAAGACGTGGTTGGACAGAAGAGCGCCGATGGCGATGGTATCGTTGCGCTGCTCGATGGCCTCACCCTCGGGAATGTCTCTGGGGACCGAGTCAAAGGCCTTGTTGGTGGGTGCAAAGATGGTGATGTTGCTGGCAGAGGCAAGAGTCTCGGCGATGTCTGGGACAAGAGCCAGGAGCTCGGCCAGGGTTGAAAGATCTTTTTGCGATGAGAGGATGCTGGCCAGATCGCTTTGAGCGGCGACAGCGGTTGCGAGAGCGGCGAGGTTGAGGAACTTCATCTTGATGAGTTGATGCTGGGTATCGAATCTGAAGCGGGATGAAAGCTGTGAGGTTGGCTGTTGAGAAGCTAGATGATTGTGAAGCTGATGAGTGAGATGAGACTCTTACACTGAGACTCCCTCCTCGCTTTATACACAACGCCGTCCATTGTGAAGCCTGTCGCCTGCGACGATACTACTCAACCCCTTGATCAATATCCATCTCTTCCAGGAAAGATGATAACTTCCTCAAGTCAAAGCATCATCGACTCTGTGAATCTGTAGGCATCGTGCTCCTCCAGCCTGAAGTTGACTCCAAAATACCAGGGTCCTGCAGGTCCTGCATACCGTGTATATCCATGCTTCCCCCGTGGCAGACAAAATTGTCGGGGAAAATTAACCGTCCCCGTAAAAGACCCTGGGGAAAATCATAAACGACAAGCTTAATTGCTTAGCACAGCCTTAATTGTGTTTGTAGTTTGCACAGCCTTGCACTAACCGAAGTTGGAGACTCGAAAGGTCTGACAATGAAGAGTCGTGTACGTCATAGGTAGCGGTCTTTTGTAAATCTTATTGATCCCTTCACCATTCAACAGACTTCTAGACCGTTTGGAGTCTGCAACGCGGAAAGAATGCTACTGTGACAGAACACGCAGATTATGAGACTATAGGCAAATATTGAGACAAGGAATGCGCTTTAGAAGTGTCCATTGGGGCTGAGCACTCCAATTTCTTGTTCGGCTACTTCTCTTTCCAGATTCGTCTCATATCGCTGAATAATACCCTCATAGTCATCCAACCAGACACCCAGCCATTCGACAGCCCCTATGATCCTCGTGTTCCAATTGCCCATGTGGGGATCGAGCTTAAGCAGAGTTTCCTTAACGGAGACAAGTTTCTCCATCGCACCCCTGATGCGCAGAGCATCGCCAGTCAAGATCTGGCTGTACGTATTACCCGGCGCGGACACTGCCACAAACACCTTGACGAGAATGGAGAGCGTGTAGCTCACCGCTGGGCCGAAGCATAGGGACGGCTGGCCAAGGATCGCGCTGGGCTCCATCTCGAGAACGATGTCGATGGCCAGGTGGCACGCTTCTACAAGGGAGCGCAGAGCTATCGCGGCTGTCTCGGTCATCTGTAGTGGACAGGCAAAGTCGTTGACTCCGATCCTCATGGACAGATACGGCGATCCGAAGAGTATTTTGTTCGTGGCTGTGTGCAGGACCGGCTCATTGACAAGGATGGCGACTTGCATTCGCCAGAAACGAAGTTGGACGTCGTGCGCGAGAGGTCTGGAGCTCAGTTCGTCGAGATCGCTGTAGATCTGAGATCTCGTAGCCGCAGCGAAATCGGAGTTGATGTCGTAGAAGGAATAGCTGTTACAGAGATCGAGGGCACTGGCAACTTGGGCATGAAGCCTGGCCGTATGGAGCATCTCTAAGAACATTGGGTCTGAATTGTTTGTTTCCAATGCGTGTAGTGCCTCGTAATGTGACAATTGCCAGTCGAATGAATGTTCTCGTCTCAGTGGAATGGCAGCCATTGTCGAAGTCATCCACGAGACTAGCCAAATCCTCTGCATCTCCAATGTAGACGGCCCCTGGATGCGGAAGAACCACGCCGGTGCAGAGGAAGGCATCATCGCACCTCCCAGGCCTAGTTCCACGCTGAGAGTATGTGCCAGAGAAACAAGCTGCAATGAATTCCCGTGACTCATCCCGAGAGAAGGCCTGATCCAGAGCCCGACTATCAGCGCAGCTTGCACCAGGTCCAACGATGGGGGTTTCAGACCGACTGCCACCTTGCCGAGGATCTCAAGCGTCTTTGCCCGTATATCTTCTTGGGTCTGAGGATCGATCTCTGCATCCGTCGGCGCCATAGCACAGGTGATTATGGCCATGAGTTTGACTGGTGTTTCTGCCCGGATGGAGTCGAGCCACGACCTCGCCGAGCTGCTATCGACCAGAGGAACAAGAACCCAGAATCGCCCGACAGTCCGTGAGCAGGCCTCCAAACATCTCAGCTGCGACTCATAATCAAGATGGGCATCCAGAAAATTGAGATCCGATGGCAACGCTGTGCCAGACCAAGATCCCTCGGCCGAAAACACCGAAGTCGCCCTCGTAGAAGCCGCACAAGTCGACAAGCCCTGCGACGAAGCACCATCCAATTTCTCCTGCAGGTTCTTGACCTGCTCCTCTAACTCACCGATTCTATCCCTCTGCCACTTCCTCGCGGCAGGGACACAGGTGATGGTGAAGCGGGCGCATCTCTCACAGATGGATTCGTCGGGAGAGGGCTCGCACTTGACTTTGAGAGCCTGGCAGGCTTCGCAGGCACGAGATCTTTTCTTCATGGCGGTATAGCATTATTGCTGGTGATTTTGGTTGTAGTGGCCAGCGGAATTTTGAAGGTGGGATTTAAAGGTGTTGGATGGTGGCTGTGTATGGTTTGGGTTGTATTGTGAGGGTAGGTACTAGGTTGTGAGGATTGCGGGGTGGAGTAGGTACAGATAGAAGCGTCATTGCTGAATGAGTGTGGACGCTTTTGCTTGTTAGTCAGAGGATGAATGTTTGTTACAAGATGTTATATTTAATTGTCTTGGGATATGCCATGGTCGGTTTATGAGTGTATTTTAGTAAAAGGGCATACCTTTGACACCCACGTCTACCTTATATTCACGCATAATCAAGCCAACACATGTGTTGTCAGACACCCATATTCATTTACCTGCTTCTTTATCTATCTAGTCTATCATGGGCCGGACTTATAAAAACAAAATATCAGGCCCATTTCATTCCCTTAACATATTCAGTGATGTGTATCCGTACCTTTGTTGATCAAAGAAAACGAGAGCCCCAATTGATGCACATACCCTGGAACACCGACCTTGACAGATACCATGCCTAGGCATCCGTAGGCAGCGGACGTTCGTCCTTATTATCTTAGTGGAAAATGCAGTGACGTCAATCACATTCGACCTTAGATGTTCCAAGGTTATGCTGCCTCGAAATGCAATATCGGAGCGACCGGCACCTGTTTCTGTTAGCTTTTCTTCATCTTAGACATCTGGAGCGGAGCCGAAGCAGGGCCCAGGCTCTAGCAGGCCAGACAGGCTCTCCGGGTAGAGATCGCCTATATAGCAGTGGCAATCGTTTTATATAATTCATCCAATTTCCGCAAGTTTTCCGTTCCATTCTCCATGGCCAGTTGGTAGCGAAGCAGATCCTCCACATCGCTCTACCAGCTGAGGCCGTAGGTAGGGCTACACTGGCGATCTACACTAAAACCCACCCGAATTTAACAACAGCCCATTGAGCCCCCATAAACGGACGCTATAAAATAGCGTCTAAAAAACGTCGAATCATGGATGTTTCACGTTCAAACGCATTGTTATTTCCAACGTTGGGCTGAGTGACGTCCAAAATGATCCGTTCCGCCGCGGATAATTATAGCATCTGGGATGATTAGTCTTTATTGATGATCTAGTCCTCTTTGTTGGCGTTAAGTTGCAATTGCGAGATCTGGTCACTTATGATGGCTCGGTATTACTTGGGTGATGCGGGATTTGATCTGTTATTTGCTTTTGCAAGATCTGTAAAACCCTGCTGGAGTGGAGTTTTGGGTTGGCCTGGTTGTTGAAGATATTGATGTTTGTTGGTCTCTCCACGAGACAGCCACTTTATGAATCAGACCTTTCTATCCCCTTGCACAATGTTTGAGTGGTTGGCTTATATCGCCTGCAACCACGGACCTTCACCGAGAAACTCTCTTCACCCAATAAGTACCCTCAGCTCATAAACACCCCTGCCACACCTACAATATCATTTCAACTCAGAGTTTGATAGTCTCCAGATTGGCTGACCTCTCCTGCATATTTAATTGCTCTTTTCTGTTGCAGAAAGTAAGGATCTGGCTGATATGTGCGGCCGTCCACGTGGGCCCACCTGGATCTGTATCTGACTCGTACTTCAAAGCAAGTGTCACTCGTTGATCTGTGATGCGACTGGAGACAAGCTACTTTCTCTAGACGACCTTCTGGAACACTATCGGGTGTTTCGTCTTAATAGGGCTGCAATGCTGTTTTTGGATATTGGATAACTGCTGATATCACACAGATTCTGCAGTGCAGTTTTACCTGTCTGTGGCAATCTTGCCTGACTCAATCACCCACGCAAAAGAAAAGAAAGATGCAGATGTAGATGCTAATGAGACATCGCCATCAACCAAGAGAAAGCCACTTAATAATCTCCATAACAGACTTTGCCGGGATGCACGTTGCCGGCTGATACGCAGCCTCGAGGGTCTTGCCTGTCGAACCAACCACAGTCTGACGAGCGGTCAAATGGATATCATCCGCCTCATGCTCCGGGATACCCTGTCTAGTTTAGATCTCTACGGATCCGGAGGATGGATTCTTGATCTGTGCTTTCTCACCCTTGGATATATGATCACCAACGGCTGGAATAGGATCCGCAAGATCGTGCCCTCTTAGCGTCGATGTCTTGTATCAAATATGCATGCCTTCTTCCCATCTTCAGGCTTACTGTCTGAAACTATTCTATTCTTCTTACACTCTCTTACTAAAGTTCAAACTCTTGTTCTTTTCTTTTGTCCAATTTCGCTCGTTTCAACATATCTGCCCTAGTAGCAGACTCGCAACACCGGCAACATGCTGGACTTATGGAAGGGCCCCGGGTTCAAAGAGGTCAGCGCGGCCCCAACCGACATGAACATTGCCAGTATCGCCTGGGGAATCTCGCTCGGCGTCGCCATGTTCACATTTACCAAAGGCATGCGACAGACGATCAAGTCATGGCTGAGGGGACGCAGGATGAACCACTACATCATCTTGATATGGCTTGAGTGGACAAGTAGTTGCCTAATGAGCGCCGTAACTTGGTGTTATCTACGAAATTACATTCCCGGCGGGTTTCCGGTCTTTTTTGTTCTGAGTAGGTTGAGCCTACAACACATAGTTCTCCCTGTGGTGTTGGTGACGCTCTTGGTACTGTAGCTAATGACTCACAGTTTTCCTCTGGTCCATTCAGATTCAAGCACTCATCCAAATCATTATCAACCGAATTGCAATCCTCATGGTTAACCGACAGAGTGCCAAACGACTAAAGATATGGTCTTTCGTTGTCATCTTCTGCATCAACATCAGCGTCTTCACAATCTGGATCCCAGCTAGACTTCAAGTCAATGACACCTGGGTCAATATCAACAAAGTCTGGGATAGAATCGAGAAGGTCATCTTCCTGCTTGTTGATGCAGGACTTAATCTCTACTTTATCCATCTCGTGCATTCGAGGCTTATCGCGAACGGCCTTACCAAGTATACGCGCCTGTTTCGCTTTAACTTGGGCATGATTGCTATCTCGATGGCCATGGATGTATGTATAACCAGGAATCCAGCTATCATTGTACAAACTAACTTAAACTTAGGTCATTCTCATTGCAATGATGTCTCTCCCCAACGACATTGTGTAAGTCTTTCAACTCGCCCATCACTTGACAACCGCTAACTCAAATTCGCAGCTACGTTCAATTCCACCCCCTCGCATACCTCGTCAAACTCCACATCGAGATGAACATGGCCGACCTCATCATCAAGGTCGTCAAAGCCAGCAACAACGGCAACTACCCCGAATACTCCGGCTCCAGATCCCGCAGCACCCAACAAAAGAAGAAGAGTTCTGGTCAGTCTCGCAAGAGCAAAATGCCGTCGGCCATGTTCATGGGTGGTAACACTACAGTCATCGAAGCGGGTGTAGAAGACATCGAGATGGCGGATATGACTGAGGGAGGCATTCAGAAGACGACAAGGACTGAGGTCTCTGTCAAGCATACCAGACGGTCTGAAACCGACGATCGAGATATGATCAGCGATGCAGAGTCGACAAAGCAATTGCACAGGGAGCATTTCACAGTATGAAGAAACCCTCGCATGGAAAGCATTGTTTGGCGAGGATGAAGGCATGGGTGCTCCTGGCTGCAAGATTCCCCAGCCTTGAACAGGATAGACTATATGATACCCTTTTCTTTAACAAAAGTAATGTAATAATACAATTCAAATTGTTCGAAACATAATCGCTTGCTATCTTAGTTGAACATGTAGTGACCTAGTTCATGAATTTGGTAAACCATTCCAAGAACTGATCCGGCTCCCTCTGGAAGTACGTATATCCATCCCATCGTTTCTCCGTCCCCTCAATCCACTTCAGCTTCTTCTCCTCCATCGGGATATTGTCATAAACTGACTGAACATCCTTGGGAGTCGTACAAGGATCGTCGCGCACCTGATACAAGAAAGTCGGCACGTTGACGTGCTTCGCGTCGGTTGGGGGATTTAATTGACTTATGTGAAAACTGGTCTTCATGAAGAACATCCGATCAGCTTCCTCCATGTACGAATCCGCAGCGCCCATGCTCTTGAGTAACTTCCCGATGGAGGATCCTGCTGATATCGGCTGGGGCGCGACCATGCACCGCACGCCTTTGAAGGCATCAGGTCGGTGTCTCATGGCGGATAGCGATGCATTCGCTCCAGCGCAGCGACTGAATAGTCCGATGGTCATATCCTTAGTATCCGGACGTCCTCGCACGTACTTCAACGAACCAAGAACATCACGCCATTCAAAGAAGCCAAACAAGCCCTGATTTCCCTTCCCACTGAGTCCATGGTTACGAAGATCGTACGCCAGGACATTGTACCCGGCGTCGTGGAGGATTTTGTAGTCGGGAATAAAATTGACTTCAAAGTCATTTCCGGGCATAAGCTGACTCCAAGGCTCGAGGTGAGAAGGGATGCCAGCGCGGTTGAACCAGTGAGGGTGGTTGGCGATGATGATCTTGTTGGAGCCCTTGCAGGGGATGAACCAGCCTTCCAGGGGGACGCCGTCGTCGGAGGGAAAGCAGATGTCTTCAAAATCGAGGCCCTCTTCGTCTGGGAAGTGCATAATTGGGGCGAGAGGCCAGCCGCGGAAGTCGTCGACGACGGCTTTGAGGGTGGCCTTGATTTGTTCGTCTGAGGCCATTGTGGACTGATGGTCTGGAGACGTTCTTGAGATGAAGAAGATTGAGTATATTCTGAATTGGCGATGTATTGCCTGTCTTACCAGGAGGTATTTAAGTCAATTGACACTCAAGTTTTGATGATCTATTGTTGCCCCGCCGAATCCTTCGCTATGCCCAATCTCCATATTCTCCAATTGATAAGTGGTGTTTTTGTTCAACGGTCGCTTTTATGGACATTTTGGTTCCGGATTGCCGAATATCTTATCTCCATGTTGCTTAACTCCATTAGGTGACAGGGTCCTGCATGTAATTGGGGGTTGTGCGCATCATAGACAGCTTTTACGAATCCTACGACTTGAAATGTCCTGCGATCTACAGCGATCAAGGTAAAACTGATAGCGAACAAATACACAAGGTGAGTGAGTCGGCTCAGTTCACTTTGCGAGGCTAAATAGCCAACTGGTGGTAAGGGAGCTATTTTCATTGAACAGGTTCAGCAATTGGCATTGATGATCTAACATTGTCCTGCTTATGCGTGATACACCGGTCCAGTAGGAGGATACCCTGTCAGCTTTGAGTCAGGACTAGGCCTGAACTTGGGCTCCTTGTAAACTTGTGAGCGAAACTGTTGGGGGCGTATTGTTTGTTTCCCGCATGGTTGGCATCAACGCGCATGGGGCTGTCGAAGTTGAGCGAGGCGTAGGACTTTTCCATGAAGGGACAGTTGACAGGGATCTGATGCAGGTTGACACCAATGCGATGGTACTGGGCATCGCGGTAGAAGAACATGCGGAACTGGAGAAGAGGGTCGGGCGAGTCTTCGATACCATGGACCATGCTGCCTGGCGAGAAGGCAGCCTGCTCTACATCCCGGTGGAAGTTCTCCGTGTTCTTATTGAGCACTAGACGACCGAACTCCTTCATGGGGAACTGTGATCTTGGCCACACCTTTGTGACATCGAAAGGATCGAAACCAAGCTTGTCAGGATCGGCCTGTCTGGGATCCATGACCTGGACATGAGCAGTCCACTCGATGTTCTCACCCTTCTCAATAGCCTCCCAGAGATCTCTATTGGAGTAATCGGGGTCTTCACCACACATCTGCATGGCTTCGCTGTCGGTGAACTGCTTCTGGCCATGCTTGGCGATGAAGTGATATTTGATGTAGACGAACTCTCCATTTGCATTGACCCATTTAAAGGTGTGGCAGCCGTAGCCATGGTTGAAGCGCCATCCTTGGGGCGTTCCGTGATCACTGAAGAACATAAGTCCGGCGTGATTGGCCTCTGGGGTGTTGGCGAGTAGATCAAAGAGGGCGTCGTGGTCCAGAAGGAAGTTAACTGGGTTACGGGACTGGGAGCGGATAACATCTGGTCCTTGAATAGGATCGCGGCAGAAGAACACAGGCTTGATAAATATTAGCTTTGATATAATCAACGAGATAAGGGAGACATACAAAGTTCAGACCAACGATATCGTAGTTCCCTTCCATGGTGTAGAGTTTGATGGCGAAGCCTTGAGGGTTTCGAGCCTCACCAGGAAATTCTCTACCAAGAGTCACAGTGGAGAATCTAACAAAAGCAGGCGTCTTTTCTCCAACGGTAGACAAAAAGTTAGCTTTCTAAGGTTATTGTTAGTGACCATTGCTGTTCAGGCTGTATGGGCAAGAATGTTACAGTGAGCTCAGTGACCTCCTTGGTACACTCGAGATATCCGAAAGCACCAAGCCACGATGATGAATCATTCCTAGGAAAGGTTAGGAAGATTAAGGGGCTTTGGGATGATGGCTTCCTTACGTTCCAAGTTCTTTGCTTTGTTGAAGTGTTGCTGGTTTTCACCACAAGATCAGAATTTAGATTAACGCAACAAGGGCCAAGACTTACCGCGACAAGAATACATCGCTGATCAAACAAAGCCCGCCAATAGTCTTGATATGGGTACTAGGTACCTATTAGTTAACGATCTTGAGTACTAATTTCAAACACCTACTGATCGAGGAAAGGATGGCCCTCTTAGTTGGTAAAGTAAGGCCCATCATCCTCCCTCTACCATCCGGCCTGGGCACCAGAGACCTTGACAATCGCATAGGCTGGTCCTTAATTTACCCCTTAGAAATGGCCCACACTAGGGGAACGTCGTTCTTCTTAGGTATCAGCGCCGATGGCGTTGCCGATGGCCACCAGAGGATGTTGACGAGGATCGAGCTAGTTGGAGTTGAGAGACATGCTGGAACTTTGTTGTCAGTCAGCTTCGTTTGAGGCGAGAAATAGGAAGGGATATAATGTGAGAGAGATACCATCTTGTGATGTAGAAATATTTGTTGCCATGCAGTACGATCTTGCAACCACATGGGCAGTGGAGGTAGCTCCGGATTATCGATCTGTTGGTATCCATAGAAAGGGTTCATGTTCGTTAAAATGCGACTTATTGCAAGTAGGTAGGAGTTTGAAAGACTGTTGAGGTCTAGCAGAACTCGGTGTATTTGAAACTGGCCGATAAAAGTTGGGCTAGAGACTATTGATAGGTCGACGACAAGTTGTCGTCATGGAGGAGATTTGTACAGCTCAACACGAAGCCCTTTTGACGATACTGATAACTTGTGGACAGAAAAGAAAAGAAAATGCGGAGAGATCGAGGAGACTGTGTTAATTCAACTTTCAGTGGAAATATCATGAAGATTATTTTGTGTTGAGTTGATGAGGCTGCTTGCCGGAGAGGATATTCCGATAGGTTTGTCATTATCCGTAGATCTGAAAGAGATGGACAAAGACAAACAGCAAGCCAAACACAGCAAAATACTCCGGGAAAAGCAGCCGCTGAACTCCTCCTTAGTAAGCAATGCAGGAGAAGGTAAGCCTGCCTTTGACGATACCTTCAAACGTACAACAGCCCCGACTCAATGCAAGAACTGAATTATTGTGAGTACCACCATCACAGTGATGTTTCCGATTTGGATTTCAATGCTCTGCTGAATTATGAGAGATTTTCAAGGAAAGTGCCTTTTATTCCCTCGTTGGAAGCGGGATGAAGCATATTTATCGAACCGCGTCATGTCGGCCTGAGACAATCTCAGTTTTCTCAAAGCAACAAACAGCAATCAAACCGATGGTCTCATCACGGCGAGACAATCTCTTTGACAGTTACCCTGTATTCAATTATCGAGGATGTGTATCAGCTCGTGAATACTTACTGCAGCCACGGTGACAGTGGAGGCTTTGAGATAAACAAACATCCCGCCATACCACGAATTTCACAATTCCAAAAATCGACAAGTGGCAGATTACGCTCAGGGGCAGGACAACAACTGTACAATCATGTTCCTGGCCTGAATATCCACCAACTCTTCTAGCGTTAAATCGATCTGATCTGGATCCTCCCGCCCCTGGTTGGAACCTTATCCGATCCTAGGCCACGATGCTGACGTGGTGAGACAGGCACTGGAATTCAACAAACATTGGCAGCGGAAACAAACTTACCCAAAGCGTATTACGTTAGATCTGGACTTTGGCACGAAATCCTTCGGCCTCAGGCGTCACGAGTGCTATTTCTTAGTAGAACCGAAATGTCTTGTGTTAACGCCGAATCGGACTTTAACACGGAGCTATGGTTGAGCCACAGTCTTGCAGCATAAGCACAAGCAGAAGCGCACAGGGGTTGGATATTAGATCGCATAGTTAATTTGTAAGTCTAACTGAGCTAGAATACGAAAAATAAGCGAATGCTGACAATCAACGGAAATTCGCAAAGGCCTATGTCCGCAGATGCTGCGGATGCGGGAATTAGAAATATGTCAGATTTGACAGCTGCTCAAGGTATATAAACAACTTAGTTGTATGAATAAATCGATATTTCGAAATAGCAGTTCATTTTACAACAAACCACTACATCATACTCTCAACCTTCAAAACATCAGCCATCATGGTCACTATTGCAGTTGCAGGCGGTACAGGTAACGTTGGCCGCTCCATTGTCGAAGCCATCGTTGCGGCAGGAAAGCACGAAGTCATCATCTTGAGTCGACAGGTAAGTGTAATGAGTCAAAAGCCGTCATAAAAACACTACTAACAAGCTCCAAGGAGAACAAGCCCCTTGAGGAGAAACTCGGCGTTCCTATTCTCGCAGTAAACTCCCAAGATGTTGAAGAACTCACCCAACTCTTCGAAAAGCACAATGTGCACACCGTCATCTCAACCATCGGGACAAATGGACCTACGCCACCAGAGACTAGCATGATCCGCGCTGCAGAAGCTGCAAATTCGACAAAACGATTCATCACGAGCGACTGGGGACTTCCCCACACTGAAGAGTAAGTACTTGATTATCTCTTTGTTATTCTGAAATAGGTCGAGAAACTGACTGGACATCAATAGACACGCCTCGCAAGCAAACTCTGCTAACAACAAGCTCCGCGCCCAAGACGAGTTGCGAAAGACGAATCTCGAGTGGACGTCGATCCACAACGGCTTCTTCATTGATTTCTGGGGCTCATCTGCAACCAAATCTCATATGCATACCACAGCTACCTTTGTCGACATTACTCATCGTACAGCAGCTATTCCTGGATCTGGGGATGTCCCTGTGGCGTTTACTTACAGTCGAGATGTAGCACAGTACGTGTCTGCATTTCTTGACTTGGATAAGTGGGAGCAATCAACATTCATCATTGGAGATAAAGTTACATTCCACGAACTTGTGAAGATTGCAGAAGCTGCTACTGGTAAGAATGACTTGTTGAGTATGGAAGATAAGAGGCTAACCGTTCTACAGGTGATAAGTTCTCCGTGACTTATGATAGCGTTGAGAAGATGGAAAAAGGAGAGTTGACCGAGTTGCCAGGCCATGTCCCGATGTACTCTCGAGTTCCCAAGGCTCTTCTGCAGAAAGTCATGTCTGTCTATGGCTTGTGGTCTGAGAAGGGTGCTTTCAACTTGGACGAGAGTAGGACCTTGAACCAAAAGTTTCCTGATATCAAGCCTACCAGCGTCAAGGCTTTCCTAGAGGAAGCTTGGGGGAATCAGAAGGAATGAGAAAGGACCTTGATAGATTTTTTTAATTAGAACCTAAAGATACGGGGAGTGTTTCAAAGTTATTCATCCTTGTCATGTTTGTTGCAAGGCCAAGATCGCTAGCAAGGGTGACTTGTTTGTGTTGAAACGACAGGCATACAAAAATACAACCCTGGCTTACAAGCACATGCACCTGTTTGACTTGTGTGTAGAATTTAGGATGCCAGTATTTGTTCCAAGACTCTCTTCCTAACAATGACATCAACGAACTCACTCACTTTGAAGAGGCTCGGCAAGATGAAGAAGCTTTCCATACTCCCTACTAAGAACGGCCAATCTTCGATCGAGCGCCATGGAAATAAAGCAGGTTACCACAGTACTACCGAAAACAGCCACCCCAAACGGACGCCGTCGCAGAAAGCAGATTCAGGTAATCTCCCCTGACTATCAAGCCATCTGGAGACGAAGACGAAGACGGATGTGAAAGGTTCGCATTAATAGAAACAAAAACGTGGGAAGAAACATCGAAAAAAGGTTACCGTCCTCCATTTCTACAGCAACTCCAGATCCGATCGCTTAAAAATAGATGAGACAACGCCACGATCGCTGGAATAAGGTTAGACATGGGTAGCCGCGATTGGAATCCGGGAGTGATGCTTGCGGGTGGTGTCATGGCTGGAATGTCTTTGGCGTTTTTGACTAAAGACGATGCACTTGACGCCGCACGCGGCATGGCGAGCCTAGGAGATGGGTATTGCAGAATGTGAGTAAGTCTTGATGTGAATGTGTCTGGGACAAAGCTTATAAACCCCAAGTCTTGGTATGTCTCTCGTTTCTTTTCTCCTCATCACATTCTACACATACATACAACAGCTTCACATAAACCAGCAGACACATTCGCTAAAACACTCGCTTCGACACTTAACAAACAACAAATACACACTCAACTATCAATCGCGACTCAACGATCAAAATGAACAAGATCATGCTCCTCGCTCTCTCGGCCTCAGCTGCCCTCGCATCAGTGCAGTACTCGCCCAGCTTTCCCCTCCTTGCAGTGCGTCAGGTCGTCGAGGTGCCCTGCTCGGAGCAGAAACTCAAGGACTGCGGCACCGGCTGCATCCAGGAGGACTGGACCTGTTGTCCCAGCAAAGCCGGCGGATGTCCTCCTACGGCCTACTGCGAAGTCGGCACCAATGCGCAGTACGGCTGCTGTCCCAACGGAAGCATCTGCAACGGCGACGGAGGCGGTACCACTCGCGGCTCGACCGATACTCTGACCTTGGCGGGCGGGGATACAACTACCGTTGTCCAGGCTCCTGACACGGCGGCGACGCAGCCTCCTGTCATCGAGGGATCATCCACCGCCGTCATTGTTCCTCCTCCTGTCGACACTGCTTCAGTCCCTCCTGTTGTACCTGTTGTACCTGTTGTACCTAGCTCTGTTGCTCCTATTGTGCCAGCTCCAGGAACTCCCTACCCAGTTGTCCCCGTCCCCACGCCCAGCACGGTCATCGTCAATGCCGGATCATCCAACAGATACAGCTTGTTCTGTGGTGTCATGGCTGGTTTCGCGGCGCTCGTTGTCTAACAGAGCGTTCGGCTTTCTTTTCTTGCAATGGAATGTTAGAGTTTGGCAGTCTAGAACTGTGGCACTGGAATGGATTGGCCATGGATGGGTCGAATGGCTGATTGGATAACCTCATAGCGAGCCGGATTCAGGTACTAAACCTAGTTTGACTGAGATTTAATTATTTGTGGATTAGTTACTGCAATATTGATTCATTTATTTTGTGTCGCATGCCCAACTTCTTGGCCTACCGTCTAAGATAAACCTGGAAATAAATCGATCACTCATTGGGAACTGGTGTGTGCAAAAATGTGGTATCTATTAATCGTAATTATACGTAAAAGCCAGCCTCAACAGCCGTGTGGCGTAATTGAGATATGGCGCTGTTTTTCATAACTCATCGCTTAATCAATCTTGATGCAGACCTTGCCCTGGTGCTTGCCAGACCACTGGTACTCGTAAGCCTCACGTAGCTGCTCCAGAGAGAAGACCTTGGAGTCGACGACGGGGCGGAGCTTCTCGGGGTTGGCCTCGACAGCGCGGCACATGTCCTCCATCTGGGCTCTGCTTCCGACGAGGAGACCTCGGGTGGTGCAGAGGTTGGACAGGCAGTCGAGGAATCCAGGGTCGTTCTGGCCAGTGCCGCCAACGAATCCGATAATGGAGATGACACCGTCAATCTTGATGGCGTTGAGGGACTGCTTCATGGATGAAGGGCCGGCGACCTCGATAACGTGGTCGACACCAGCGCCGCCGGTGAGCTCCTTGGCCTTGGCTCCCCACTCAGGGGTCTCGCGGTAGTTGATGATGTGGTCGGCGCCGAGCTTCTCGAGGAGCTTGGCCTTCTCGCTGGAGCTGGTGGTAGCGATGACCTTTGCGCCGGCAGCCTTGGCGAACTGAACGGCGAAGATGCTCACACCACCAGTACCCTGGGTGAGAACCCACTGGCCGGGGAGGAGCTTCTTGCCCTCGAGGCCGTAAAGACCGTTCCAGGCAGTGAGACCGGCGCAGGTGAGGGTGGCAGCCTCGTGGAAGTCGAGGTTGGAGGGCATGGGGACAAGACCTTGCTCGTCAAAGGCACCGACGGTGCGGAAGGTTCCGTCGGTAACACCGCCGAGGCCGGTCTGGATGCTCAGCTGATCGAGAGAGCCGCCGATGTGGCCCTGGTTGAAGAGGGTGACGACCTTGTCGCCGGGCTGGAAGCGGGTGACGTTCTTGCCGACGGCGAGGACGGTACCGGCGCCATCGGAGCCGGGGACGACGCCGTCCTTTGCGGGGAAGGGGTACTTTCCGAGAGGGAGGATGAGATCACGGTAGTTGAGAGAAGCACCCTGGACTAGAATGTGTTAATTGCGTTGGTTGGTAAGAAGGTTGTTGTGTTTGGACTTACGCTTGACGAGGACCTGGCCGTCACCGAGTTCAGGAGCGGACTCCTCGCTGAACTTCAGACCGCTGAAGTCCTTTCCATCACGGGAAGGAATGGTCCACTGCTTAACAGTCTTGGGAATAGATTGAGACATTATGAAGATGTTGTGAGAGTGTGAGTGTGGGGAGTTGTAGAGTGATGAGTCGTATTAATGAGGATATTGACTTTCGACGACGACTTGATCTAGTCTATATATATGCCACGACTCAATCAAATAAAAAAGCTCAGATATACTGTTGCAATGCTAGAAAGATACAGATTTGTAAGGAAACAAAGTCTGTGCATGAGATTTGTAAGAAACCGCGTCCGTGGAGCAAGAGAATGGCCATGATCATGTCGTCCTTGAGAGAGTCGGCAACTGACGTAACTCTGTGGATCGCAGATCGAAGCAGCCCATGAACGACGTTGTAGTGAACCGTGACAGTGGCGAGTGCTCAACTGCCGTCAAAGCATGTTGGAGACAGGCCAATGGCGGGCTTTGGACTAAGAATTCCGAGGTCCACCGTGTGTCTGCAACAGAAAACGATCGTGTTTTTTTCTTCTCTTTTTTCCCTCGGCCAAAGAGGGACGGACTCCACCGCAGGAAAAAAAGACTCCACGCGGATCCGAGATTGTCAATGCCTTCCGGTTGGAGATATAGAGCCGCCGGTCGAAGATGTAAGGCTGCCGGTTGCCCGGACGGACGCATTGGGCTCTGAGTGTGCGGATGGGATTTTGGTGTTGATGTTTTCAGGTGGTGATTGTATTGTCTGTCATTGGTGGTTGTGCCACGTTGCGTCACTGACTCAGTGGTTCAAGCATTGGAGTGCATGAGCATGAGCATGGGCGTGCAATAATGGACATGGTAGATTGACATCACGATAGCCTCGTGTTCAATTGAATGGCATTTATCATGACTGTAGTAACAACTTCTCTTCAATTTGATGTCATCTACGGGGTATCAGCCGTTGGACTCACTGAAATGCATATGCTGTAACTTTCAACACTGGGGTCTAGACATGGATATTGCCCCGCTACTGTCACCTGTCATCAGCACACTCTATCTGCGATCCCTAAATCCTCCAAAACAAGGACATCATCGATCTCAATCAATCAATCACATAATAACCCCGACCTTCCAATCAATCCATGGCCGCCAATTCCCTTGGGCTACAGCTCCCAAGCTCCAGTGGATCCACGACCCCTAGACGCCCCATCACACCCAGTCCCAGCTCTCTCTCGGTGCCACCGACCACGGGCATCGTTGTCTTCTCGGGTGGTAGCGCCGCTAACAACCTCGTCGATGTCTTCGAGAGTGTTCGAGAAGCGAATCAGTGCACTCTGAGCTACGTTATCCCCATTTCTGACAACGGCGGCAGCAGTAGTGAGATCATCCGTGTCTTTGGTGGACCAGGTTTGTTTGTCTCTTCCCCTTGCTTTCACACGTGGCAGAGGCTAAACCAGGATCAAGGTATCGGAGATGTCAGGTCTCGACTCGTGCGTCTTATTTCCAACGACGGTAGCCCCGAGACTGTAGCTATCAAGCACTTCTTCAACCATCGCCTACCAAAAGCCTATGCTGAAGCTAGGTCGGAATGGTTTGAGATCGTCGAGGCTACTCACCCGCTCTGGAACGACATCTCGTCCCCCAAGCGGGAACTCATCCGCTCTTATCTCAACAGCTTCAATCTTGAGGTTGTGAAGCGCATGAAGCCCAGCAGTCGCTTTGACTACTCTGGAGCCAGCATTGGAAACCTCTTCCTCACAGGCGCCCGCCTCTTCACTGGTAGTTTCGAGGCTGCCATCTACCTCTTGAGCTCCATCTGTTCGGTACCGGATAGAATAGCAGTCCTTCCGGCTCTTAACACTAACTTTGCGAGCCACATCGCTGCTGGTCTTGAAGATGGAACGATAATCACAGGTCAGAACGACATCTCTCATCCCAGCGCTCCAACTGCGGCTGTCCCGGGGGCATCGGCTGGTGTGCATAGCCCAACGGTATCACGACATGAGCCTTGGGATCATGATCACCATCACGTAGAGGATGCTAATCTTCCCGGAACGCTGCCTGCATTGCGCCGACCAGCAATTGCCTTCTCCAAAGATCAAGAAGAGGACCTGCCTGCAAGAATCTCACGGCTGTGGTACATCAACCCTTATGGCGAGGAGATCAAGATGCCTGCCAATCCGAGAGTTCTCGATGCTCTTCGTTCGGTGCATAGCATAGTCTACAGCATCGGCTCCTTGTTTACCTCATTAATCCCAAGTCTAGTACTCCGCGGTGTCGGAGACGCCATTGCAAGTCCACAGGTTCGCAACAAGATCCTCATTCTCAACGGAACTACCGACCGCGAAACTGGTCCATCGACCGCGCCTTTCACAGGCCTTGACTTTGTCGGGGCTATAGCGAATGCTCTCGCCTATTCAAGAGGTTTGCCAAAGCCCGCCGAGGAGGAATACTGCCACTACGTGACGCACGTTATCTACATAGAAGGCCCAACTTCGCCCAAGGTGGATAAACCACAATTTGGGATGCTGGGGATTGATGCAACACGGTTATACGGTCCAAAGGATGAGAACGGAAGAGGTGGACGTTATGATGCCAAGGCTTTGACACAGGCGCTTGAGACTATCATCGGGAGAAAGGATGCGCGATCAGATAGAAGTCGACGAAATACCCTTGTTGGTTAGAACTGTGACAGACATGCGAACATCACGCATTGCTGTAGATGAAGCTAGAGACAGATCCGGCTCAATAGCTTCTGCTTGGCAAGACCAGCCACCCACAAGGCAGTGAGTCGGGTAACAGAGTAAGACAAAGAAGAGATTTGTATTAGATGGTATATCATCGTGGTATGCATTCAAACTCCAGGTCTGACCGTAATGCCATGCCCACCACTGTTCCTCAAATGCGCCGTAATCATCCATGACCATAACGTTTCCCATTCCCATCGCTTCCCATCAAAACACCACACACTTAGTAACATCCCATTATCCTTCCTTTACTCGTAATCGGCCGGCGAAAACAGCAGGTACGCCATAACCACAGGCCAGGCCGTCGATAATAGCAACGCTCCCAGCACTGAACCTCCGGTCGTCCGGACGCGGTCGTAGGGGCCCTTCCAGCGGTCGATCAAGGCGCATGTGCTGAAGACCATGGCGATTGCGTACAGAGAGGCTGCCCAGAAGACAGCGAGATGTATGTCGGCGTTGCGGTCCTCGGGGCTCAGAACGACGCCCGAAAGGTCGGGGACGAATGTTGAGGAGAGATTGGCGCCCATTGCGGGGGTTTGTAAGTGGGATGTGCGTAGATGTATGTAAAATACGTAGGTGTGAAAGTATGCGTTTGTTTAGGTGTAGTGTTGTATTGGTGATATAAGGTTGCAGTAAAGGAACGATGCAAGATTAAGAATATTGCGTAAGATTTCTTTTTGTCGGATAAAAAAAAGGATTAAGAAAACTACTCGCCAGCGAGGATAAGAGAAGAGAATGAGAAATAGCAGGAAAGGTCGTCGGCTTCTGAGAGCGAATGGCGCCAACAAAAGAAGGTAGAAGCTGGAGGTCTCACATCTCTTGATGCATGAGACAAAGCAGGGGTTGTGCCCCACGGCCAATCACAGTAGAGAGATGGCGATTCAGACAGGTCGGGGCCAAGACGACCCGGTCGCGGATGCGTCTCGTTGGTTGAAACATCTGCCACCTTGTGAAGCCGGGGCCAATGGCGATATCCTCTTAAGCGCGCGGTATAGCATCACCAAGACATTGGGCAACGAGCTGAGCGACATAGCTGAATGAGCCCATTTCACCCAAATTAACATCTACCAAAACCAACACCATTTGCCTATTTTACCACTCACCAACTACCCTCAGCCCATCGTCATGGCAGGCGTTTTCTCACTTTCTGTTTCCAGATCTGTCTCAGATTCGGGGATGTGACGTTGGTACAACATCCGAAACATCTTATCAGCCGCCTTATGAACATCCATATCGGTACGACCCCGTATTTTAACGACTGATGATTCTGGGTTTTTTTATGTATAGCATTAATTGCTATTGCTTGGCTATTATTCTTGGCTCATGCGAAACTCTTCTTCTCCCCCGCCAACGCTCGGATCGGAGACAGCCCGGAGTGACCCGCTTTTCTCACCGGCCCTATAACCGGTTGTTCGGGACACCATGGGATGAACGATGGACATGTGAGAGCACGATGGCCTGTTGCAGATACTCTGACGTTCTGGGGTTATTATTTTGATGGAGGTCAATGTCTTGTTCAAGAAATGCACAGTACCGTTCGCTGTATTGTTCCTGACTTGACTTTCTGTTCTCTGTAAAGTTCTTCTTGGGATAAATATAGCCTAGGAGAGAACAAGTAAAGAATTTATAGCAACAGTGTGCACCTCTAAACATGAACAGATGAGATTAGAAGTATAAAAATCACGAGACATCAACAACTTGTTTTTATTCTATTCCCAGTTCCACTTTGCTACCCGCTTGGTGGCATTTGTGGTCTGTCATCTGATTTTCCACGTCCAGCATACCCTCTGAATCACTGCAAGAATTCACCATGGTACGTTTCCCCACCTTCGATGGCCAGCCCTACTTCTACCCATGGGTCAGCCAAGAATTGCACATGTTCCATTGTCTTGCCTCACACCCCCCCGCCATCGCCGCCGTAGATGAGCTCTGGGAAGGCTGGTACTCCAGACAGCCACTTGACTGCAGCATGGAACCCAACATGGACCATGTCTACTCCATCATGAGGCTCTGCGCTTACGAGCCAGATAAGTGGCCCTATAACCAGCCTAACCCTAACAAGACTACCTGGAGTGAGGTCTCCCATATTGCGCGGTACTGTATCAGGATGTGTGTTGTACTCCGAGGGGTTTTGCCGGTTATCTACAGTATTAGTTGGGATTCTTGTGTTCCCATCTTCATGTGGCATGCTATGTTGAATGTCAAGGCCCATTCTTCTCGGGCATTGATTCATCGTCGTGATGAGCAACGGAGCAGAATTTCAGCCTCTCGTGAGAGTGGTGGCTCAAATTAGGCGCTTCTATCCGACCAATAAGCTGTCGCTGACGATTCCGAGGTGAGTAGGTAGTCGTTTTTGCTTTGTCTGTTTGTTTTTGTTTTACTCCCATTCTGAGATTTTTAACACTTTTGAGAGAAGATGATGTTTGTTTTGTAAGTAGTCAGGGCGTCATAGACGAAGTGAAGTAAAATAAAAAAGTTTGGCCATTATCCAGTCATTGTGCGGATATTTTCAGTTAGCTTTATTTGAGGCGTTGCGTTTATTAAAGTTGACTTGGTATGAGGGAGCTCATGTAAGTTTGTAGTGCCGCCACTAGAGTCGGGCCAACCATGAAATATCTCTAGATATTACTGTGGGAAGTGGTTGTAATCGATGATTCGCCCAGAAGTGATAATGAAGTTTGTCCGCCCAGAGTGAGTATTTATCCGTGGAGTGTTGACCTGGTTGGTGTACGGCTCTGAAATGAATACAGTTTGCACTTACATCACGATAAACTTAGAATTCCCAGAGCCTAATCAAAACCTGTCTGTGAAAGATTTCTCAACAATTTTTGACTCCTATAAATTTGTGCACCTCCCAGTGTTGAAAGTTCAAACGTGTCTACAGTCGTCGGTATCAACTTGCGGTTTTGAAAATCCATCACGCTGACTCGACCTAATAAGACCTAAACAGCAGAGATGTTCGCCAACTCAAGAATTATTACTCAACGGATCGGCCTCCCCGAGCACAGATTGGCTGGTCAACACGCAGGCTACTCAAGGCTCATCAACAATAGCAAGGGACAGATTCCCGACACCAAAAGATACACCCTGAAGAATTATGAACGACTCAGTTTACAGGATCAGATAATAGTCAGAAACAGACTCAGGTACTCAGACTATACACCAGCGACGGTCGAGAAGATGACCGAGCGTGTTGAGGAGAAATCGAAGCGGCTAGAACAGGATATAAAGACAACTGAAGGAGTTGACAAGGCAAACTGTTGAGGCTGTAAAGAAAAACAGAAATCGAAAAAGGTAATCTACCAGCAGTGAGCGCTAGGAATTATCAAGACAACCGCTGTTATAAATGTAAGTTGTGGTCTTGGCCATTTCGGTACTTTGAAGTAACACATTTACAGCCAAGCTGTTGAAGAATGAAAATCGCCACCCATCTGCTACATAAAATATAAATGAAATTGAAACAGATTCAAGTACAGAAGCATAAATTGCCCATTGAAACTTTCCATGTCTTCCCTTCTCACGGCTCCTTCACCATTTCACGACACATCCGACACTGTGCCACCCTCGGCAACGCCGTGTGGGATAACAAGGATCATCGAGTTATGAGACATAATATAAGCTTATTTAAGGTACTAATCTGACAGTCCTGGGGTCTGCTCGAGTTTGCTTTGTGCAACATGTCTGTACCGCCAGCCACGAGTTTCCATTGCAAAGCCCTGACCTTTATCAGTCCCAACACTTCGACTCTCGAACCCTGAATATCTGCACCGCTCAATAAACTGTTTCCGAGAATGTTCCTTTCTTTTTGAGTTCGAGAAAGGTTATATTACATGTACTCACAGATGTCTATTTCTTTAGTCTGAAAGACTGGATACCCCTGTCCATCGTATGAGATATCTTCATACGGAGACCCAGCTACTCTTAACAAAAGGGTTTTAAAATCCCCTACGACATAGTAGGTCCCTGTGGGGGGAGCCAACCTACAGCTTAGCAGGTTGATTGGCGATCTCGATCTTCTCGACTCCGGCGGGTTTGCTGAAGATTTAAGCTTTTGCTACTCTCGGATCTGTGTAGGGCCCTCTCTTTTTGATGCTTCTGTGGGCTTCATTGAGACAGATGGGTATATTTTTCTTCATTGCAAAATGGTGCTACTAGACTAGATTAAATCTTAATGTACCCCTATCTCAACTTGCAACAAGATCACATCTTGTCCATAGCCTCTCGCCTCGACGTTGCTTGGCTATCCTTGGCTGCACCTGCGATGCTCCTCTATCTTCTAGCCAAAATTCTTCACCCATACTCATTGTCTTAGTTCTAGACGGTACCCTACCTTCGAGCTGTCCGTCTTGGGGTGGAACGATGAAACGCATCGTCCATCTGATCATACGCGGCATTGGCCCCTGGCCTTGGACATCGTCCCCGATAGTCGTAATACTCGTCTGGTACTTGGTAGTACTCATCATAAGAGGTAGAAGCAAGTCCTCTTGGTCGGTGAATACCGCCCCCATAGCTACCAAATCTGCTGACACGGCAGCTCGGGCCCAAATACGGAGATCCCGATAACGAATAAGACCGATCTGAGCGATCTTCTTCATTGCGATGATATACACAGAGATCCGAAAAGCGTCGACTCCTTAGGTCCCGAGCTTTGCCACACCCGTCTTTGATACAGGCCTCTTCCACGCAGTATTCGCCGAGCACCTTGGCTGCTTGCTGACAAACTGTATTGATGCAAGTGTGTGTTGGGCAGAAGTAAGAACCAGAACCGGTCTCATTTGCCTTTTCGAAACAGTCGAGTTGCTGACAGGTATGTCGGGGACAATTCTTGAGTCGGGAATTAGTCGGATCAGTGATACGATCGTCGCATCCTGCTACAGGGCATCTATCTGCAATGAACCATTAGTCTACCATCTTGGCAAATCGAGATCAGGTACTCACGCTTGCGACACCAATAAGTAGAAGCGTCAGATTGGAAGTCGCGAGGACGATTGCAGTTAGGTGTACAACATTTATGATCATAGCAGAGTTTCGAGTTCGGATGAATGATGGCATCACATCCCCCTATCATCGTGCACTGTCCATGGTTGACACAGAATGTCTTAGGTATCCTGTTCAAGTCCAGACTAGCATGCGTTGCACATCCTGGAGCAGCACATGGCTGATGACGATAGCACTTTCGTGTATCACGGCCCGCCGTGAGTGTTTGACGGTGGCAGTTAGGCTCCTGACAAGTGTGATTATCGCACATGCGTGACGTGGATGTTCGATCCAAAGGGCAATCTGGGATGGAACATTTGATCTCTTTGGAGTGTTCTGCGCAGTATTGCGTGTTGGAATCCCGACGGGGTAGGTAGCATCGTTCGTTTCTGGTTTTCATCTGACAACAGTCTGGAAGAAGTTAGCATCTGACCCAATGTGTAAACGATCAAGTATTGGGGACTTGCGGTCTGGGCAGAGCCATTCATCACTCCCTATCCAGGAGTACTGGAAGGATGGTCCTTCGACGATCTCGACTTGTGCTGTGCATCCGGCCTGGGCACATATGGAGTCTAGGCTGGTTAGTACTTGTTCGCAAACAAGGTTTCTATGTTTTACTGACGTTTGTCGCAGAACTTCTCATTTTTCTCGGTATAGGAAGTGCATTTTGACCCAGCGTAACAGGTATCTTAGGGATAGTTAGCAGTGAATGTGAATAGCCCTTTTTATATACTTACGATCTGGACAGAATTTGGATGGCTTCTTTGTGCTGCGGTAATTCCCTGCCGGCTTATCACACATCAAACACTTCAATGGTGGGTTGAAAGTAGAAGACTTGTTCCGACTGCGGTCTTTCCTATGAGACCCCATGGTGAAGAGGCTGGGAAGATGTTGGTTGGTTGTAGTGGACTTCCAGACTGTTATGGCAAGTTTCTATGTGCTAAAAGAGTCGGAGTATTGAGAGATTTGGCGTCCTTTGTAAATGTATCAGTGTCAAGCGTTTGTGATGGACAAGATTATGACGGGTTTGGGCTTGCTTGAGGATAATCTCAGAATAGTTATGAATATGACTCAGTCGGAGAGGTAAATAGGTAGCCCTTATATATCCCCAACTTGAACGAAAGATACGACGCTTCGGATAAAGTTATGGGGTGAATTCGCTTATACATTTCAAGCTCCCTCTGTGTGCAACTATGGAAGTGTTACACTTCGGCAAGGGAGCTTTGTAACGTCTGAGCTTTTTGATCGCCTTAAACTTTCTTATAAGGCTGTCACCTGAGTATTGCTTCTATTTCGAGGTCGAATAGGTAGGTCTGGATAGTCGCGAGATCGGAGGCCTGTTTTTTGATGTTGTATATCAAGCCTGCAAGGGTCACAGAGGAAGTGATGTTTGGTCAAAGAAGCGAACCTTTCCCGATTGCCAAACCGTTTTCATGACAAGCCAGGAATCACTCTGCCCCTATACTTCTGTTTTGTAACCTGGCTTATGATGGCATCTTTAGCCCAAGACAGAGCTTTACCATAACGACCCGTAAACCCAGGTCAATTAAATCATCGTCCGCCTTTGATCACTCAATTTCCTAATCAACTATCAGCTGTAGAATCTTCTGCTGTTGCACTTAAATCACAGGCTTGTCGAAGTCCCTTACCTCAATTCGGCAGAAAGGCAACCGCGAGCTTGTTCGAAGCTTGGCTCGAGGTTTTGAGCCTCATGATACATGGGTTGACAAGGTCTTAGCTTTGCATCGATGTTGTGTCCTGTATGGCGAGACCCACCATCCTGTATCACAACACTTCTAGCCAAGGTGTCAGAACTGATATCTAAGAAGGCAGCAATATGTTTACCCTGCCTTGATCAACGCGTAAGCAGTTTTCAGTTGGCAAAAGTCCCCCCTTAGTAAGGGGGTAGTTTCCTGGAAAAGCTCTGGCGCGACAATCACAGTCATTGTGTGATGTGTCTTGGTAAACACAGTATTTGTCAATGGTTGTTCCGCAGCAAGGTGATACTTCCTGGAAGTGAGATGCATCTCAACGTCCACGAGGCGGTGTCTTGACTTACTCGCCAGGTTGAAATCTCGGAGATTTTGCTCAACTGACTCGCATCATGTTTCCTCCTAGGCATGGTGCCTTGTATTTTGGATTGTTCTGTGACTCCATGTTTGTATTTCAATGTTGGAATGGCTCAAGGTTGCGATAGGCCACTACGGAAGTAGTGGTATCCAGATAAACGGGACAAAGGAGAAAAATCGGTTTCTGTTGTAGTGCAAGGGTGTTGAAAGCATAGATCTAGAAAGTAACTCGGTGGTGTTGAAGAAAAAACCGAGTATTGGTGATTGGTCACGAAATCTGAGAGGGAGAAATTTCCAGAAACAAGACTTGATATTTTGCTAAGGTAAGTGCAATCAACCAAAATCCAGCCCCCTTTCGGCAGTTGCAGCCTACTAGCCCCCATATCCCATATGCAGGCAGCCGCCCCCTCTTCTGTCCCCTAAGGATCCAATGTCTTTTCAACTCAACAAAAGTGAAGTTGTATCGGTAATTCCGTCGTTTGATCTCTTTTGTTGTACCATTTCTTGCCTAACACCGTGTGAGCCCACCCGTGCTCGTCTTTGTGCTGCCGTCTTGTGAAAAGTTGGGCAAACAGAGAGGTCATAATTCGATTTTCATCAGGCCACACGACCTTACTCCGCGTCACCAAAGGTTCGTCTCGCTTATACTGCAGTTCTATTAGCAAGTTACCATGATCGCCGGTCGAGTGGATAAACCTTGAGATTCCGTAACAGATGCTAACATCTGAGTCACCAGAGAAGCCACCGCGGTACCATGTTCGACTGTAACAACACTCTCGCTTTGTTGACCAGTTGTCCCTCAGACTACCTCGAGAGGAGGCTTCTTGCAGCGGTCCGACAGTACAGCTGCCGATGTTGGGTCCACGATAAAGGACAGAGTTCGAGGTGAGATCAGGATGAACGACGCTCCACTATCGTGGATTTGGCAAGGCAAACCACGATGCGAACCATGGTCAGGAACCAGCTGATGAATATTGGTTCGCCCTAGATCCAACAGAGCTACAAGGTCAAGTCACCAGCCGAGCAAGCAACGACACGTACTCCTGAACCCCAGACAATCCAACGTTGGGACAACACGATCGTCGATGCCTCTTCTCGCCGGACCTACTTCCAGTATCCGTCAGTCATACACAAACTCAACATAAAAGATAACAGGAACTCTTCTCACCTGAGTTGGCACCATCTCTCGACAATGACTCAACCATTGAGTAGCAAGAGACAACCGGATTCTCCGTAACCTGTCTCTGGCTTTCCGAGGGAGCGCGTGCATTTAAATATGACCTTGACCCTTGCACATTGTCCTTCCCCGCCTCTTCGCAAGCTTTACCAGATTAAGAGCTTACATACCATACTCTTCGAAGGGTGAAGGATGTGAAGCTAATCGGAAGCCCCAGATAGTTAGGTACTCAAGCCACACAAACTTGTCCATAAACGACTGTGTATCCAGCTGATCTCAAATGGCCTACACTAGGGAATGCCCGATTGTTTGCTTCTTGAAAGCGTCGATCAGACCAATTGCTAGGCAGCTATATCCGTCGAACCATCGGTAGTCGGTATGCTTGCCTATGAAGACTGGACAAAGCAGGTACATATTAGTGGACAACGTGACACAAAAGCGTTGGTGTGCTCCCCTCGCTAAGACCTACTCTCCCTGGCCAAGTCTTATTATTCTGGACCTTTGTACTGATGTATGAACTCTCGGCAGTTGTTTTGTGCTCCCCCTGTTGCCCCCCACCCTATCCATGGCCATTTTCAGAATGGCCATCGAGAGATCTCCAGATCAAGGGTCAGAGCTCTCAAAGAACAAGGAGAAAGTTCCGAAATCATGACCAAAGGATTCCTATCAGCCCACACCTAGGTATCTCTTTCCGCGGGTTTCTCAGCAAAGTTGGTGGACCTTTGCCAACATTGGCTGAGATAGATTGTCCCGAACGTGGACATCTATCACGATTGCAGGTGCCCAAACTTGTGACCGAGTACTTCTCGGCAGATCGCCTTTGTCCGATGTCAACATATTCCCCTTCAACCACGAGCTCACATCATATCTTTTTCTAGCAAGCTGACATTTCCACAAAGCATCATTTCACAGTCCAAGTCAATTTCAAATTTCTCAGTGTGTCAAGATTTTCAAGGTATGTCATCACCCTTGTCAACATGTGCTCTGTCCATGCATATGTACCAGGAGCGTGAAACACGAACTCCAGGTCGGGATAATTCCATTGACGGCTTTGTCTCAGATATAGGTTCTAGCACCTCAGATGTCTATACCTTTCTACCTCCTTCCGACCACCCATCCAAATTGGGGCCACTTTGGCGAGAAGCTGCTCTTCATAGGGTTGCCACATGCTAAGCCGAGCCAACCGAAGGCCAAGCAGGAGAAGAAAAAGGGAAACGGTTCTAATCGGGCAATCGTTCGGTATGAGATTCGGAAGAGCAGACTTGTTTTTACTGTCAAGCCTCTTCCCCCGAAGCCCAAGGAAAAGTCATGTTCCAATTGTGGCCACGCCGTATAAGATGGAGTCTATAAAATGTCAGCACTTCTGGTCCAGGTTCGATCCCAGACCATATCTTTAAGCAAGGTTCCGATGTCGTCTTTGGTCATACTTGCGAGCTACTTCCTAACGTCTCATTACATAGTTATGACACATCAATGCAGACACATGGAGCATCGATGTTACGAGTGTGAAACTACATCTTACAAGGGAATTGTGTTATGAGTCAGCTCCCCAAGACTACAAACAATCGGAAGGATTTAATTGTCGTAATCCGGCATGAACATGAACCCCGGTACCTCCAAGTCCCAAAATGTGCAAAGATCATGTCCACTCGTCTTTTACGAGCCAGGTATATCCTTGCTTGCACTCATATCGAGATGGAATTGATCACCTATCTGTATCACAACCAAAAGCGGCTCATATCTTCCCGTTTCATGCTTCCCTCCGAGACTTTAGCAAGTTCTCTCAACCCTTGTTATGATCTCAACTAATACCCTTTGCATCCTAGATAATCCCCCTTTGTCGCAATTACTACGCTCTCCCCTCCGTGGCCCTTGGTCTGTTGGTCTCTCGAAACCTGGCTGCCGCCCACTGCATCGATCCTAGGACATTCACAATGTGAACGAACAGGTAGCTCTGGTCATTGAGATGCGAGGAAGTGAGGTCGTCAATACAATTAAGGTACGTCCCAGTATTCATCTTCTGCAATACGAGGCCATCAATTAACAGTTCCGCCAGATAGAAGGCACCGGTATACCCATCCAATCTTCCACTCCAAATACTTCCCCCAGCCTTCGTAGACCTTTTCCGTACACCGGACTACTAAGATCCGCGAAGAAACTCAGCTCTAACACCCCTTCCCTCGAGAATTTTCCATTGAGCCGCTTGGAGCTATCCCGCTCTACTTAGACTTTGTCGACCCTGACACATACAGTCCCCCTTTCCCAGGCAAAAGATGATCCCGGGGCCTCATTACTACCCAAACTGATGGCTGTTCTCGGAGAATAACCTCAGATAGGATGTTCGATCCAGAGCTCTCTAACTGACTAGTGTCTCCCCCTTTTCAAACTTCGGCATTCATCGACCATCAAGCTTGGACTCATCCCCTCGATACGGCAATACCTTTGATTTTCACAATTACTACGACCAACAGAGATGCATAATATTTCCATCAAAGGTGGTCACTAATTCCAATCGTCGATCTTTCAGCCCAAACATTCCCTATCTGAGAGGTTGGCACATAGATGAACATCTTCATCCACGTACCTCGAAGACACCAGACGTGTAAGCAACAACCCACTTGCATCCCAAGGATGGTTATAGCCCTGGGCCATTGATAATATTAACAACCCTCTCATAATAATGAAGCAATCTTCTAACAGTCTTCTCTTCACAGCTGTTCACAAACCCTTTTCCCTCCCCGGAACGCAAACGAGCCGATGAATATACCCTCAAATATTGAGCTACGAAGAGACGTGGTGGCGGAAGGACTACGAGCATAGTAGAGGCTACACGGTTATGAATTGGTTGTGCTTCATGAAGTTCATGTGGCTATGGATCTGATAGATGGGTTGTTGAATGCGGTCCTGTATGAGGTGGAGGTCAAGATCCTGTGTATCTATCGTTAGCTTGCCCTAATGACCATAGAAGAACGACCGTAATTCAAAGGGTTCCGATGTGCATTAGAAGACTCTACTTTGGCATCGGCTACGAACTTCACCTTCCACATATTACATACAACAAGACATCACGAAGATTGAGACCATCAGTTATGTACGAATACTATAGTATTCACATGCTTCATGAAAGTAATTACAGTGGCCATTGACGTTACTGGCATTAGGCTATTCCGCAATTCCACCATCCGAGCCTTCAATCCCGAAAATATGTTCCCCTATTTCATCAACCTACTCCAGCTTGGCGCTGAGAGGCAAGTTTCGAGAACTGCTTCCAACATACACCGTCTTGGCGTGGTCAGTGATGACCCAGTTCTGGGCATCAGTGTCCCAGTTGCTCAGATCACGACGAGTGATGGGAGCGTTGAAGATAACACTCTGGCCAGGAGCAATATTCTCCAGGCGCTCGAAACCACGCAGGACGCGAACTGGCTCGTTCTCACCACCCAGGCTGACGTAAAGTTGAGGAACCTCGTCAGATGTGGCGTTTCCTGTGTTGGTGATAGTCGCGGTGACGGTGTAAAGTACATCCCACAGCTGAGGGTTGCCACCAGGAGCGCCAGACGCAGGGGAGCGAGGCTGGGCCGAGCCATTGACTGCATTGGGGGGCAGAAACTCTTCAGCGGTAGCTCCAAAGCCAGCCGGATCGTTCGAGGCCTCCTTGGCAGATGAAGAGGTGTTCAAGTACGGGTAGATGAACTTGTAGATGTATCGAACACCCTTGGGGAAAACGTAATCGTTCAGGTCAGTGCTAAAGTTGCCGAAAGTAGGTGCAGGAATGGTCTCTCCGGCGGGAGGCTGGTAAGTCGCGTTGCTAGTGGACTGGATGTTGAGATCGGAGTACTCAAACGTGGTCCACGACAGACCGAAACCGAACTCGTAAAGGGGGGCAGCGGTATCATTAGTAGCTCGCTTTCCGTTGGTGCTAGGAGATTGTCGGTCAAAGTGGCGGTAATCGATGAAAACACCCTCGGTGAAGTCGTCTTGGGGAGCACCACGGCCATTGTTGGCCTCGTAGAGAACCTCAGTACCATAGCTCTTGCGAGTGCGGCCCCAGGTGAAAGGAGAGCGTCCGGGGCTTGTCTTGCCGTAGAGAATATCGGCAATAGCGTTACCGGATTCTTGACCAGGGACACCGGCCCAGACGATGGCCGTAATGTTTGGATTGTTCTCGTACTCTGACAGCAGGACTGGGCCAACAGTATGGAGGACGACAATGGTGTTGGGGCAGATGGAGGAAACGTTCTTGATGAGCTGGTCTCCCTCCTTCCACAAAGTGAGGTTCTTGCGGTCACCAAAGTTGCCATCAACCTCAATGTAGCCTTCACCAGCGTTGGCATTGGCGAAAACAATGGCTGTCACGTTTGGCTGGCTGATAAGGGCTCGTGTCTGATCCCACTGGTTGTTTTGCAGGATGCTCTCGTAGCGAGAACCGTCCTCGGTAGCTTGGGCCTGAATTCCTTGGTCAGGAGTGACCAAGTAGGGGAACTGAGCGGTTCCCGATCCCCAAGACATGGCAAGGGTCCCGTTGTCACATCCACGGTCAGAGCAACCGTTAGGTCCAGCAGGGTTTGGTCCAGCATCCTCACCAATGACAGCAAGGAACTTGGGCTTGTTGAGGGGAAGGGAGCCGGTGTTCTTGAGAAGAACGCATCCCTTGGCACCAGCTTCACGGATGTGCTTCTTGTGGTCGTGCATGACGTTCACTCCGAAGTTGACCTTCTCGAGGTTTTCTTGAGCGTAGGTCTGGACGAAACCAAAGGTATCACGGGTCCAGGATGAGAAGTTGATGTCAGGAAGGTCCTCCACAGTCTTGCCAACCTTGAAGAAAGCTGACATGATTCGGAGAGCCATGTCGTCGATACGCCAGGCGGGAACTGTTCCGTTGACGACCGCGAGGGTCAGGTTTCCACCCCAGAAGCTGAATCCGGTGTTGAACTCGGTATCACCAGGCATGGTCATGTCGAGTCCGGCAACTGCAGAAGCAGCACCAGTGTGCTGAGCCTGCCAATCGCTCATGATGAAACCCTGGAAGCCCATCTCATCTTTGAGGATTCCGTTGAGGAGCTTGGAGTTCTGGCAACCGTAAGAGTTGTTGATCTGGTTATAAGAGCACATGATTGAGCCAACTCCAGCACGAACAGCATCGGCAAAAGGCCAAGCATAGACCTCGTGCAAAGTCTTGTCGTCAATGTTGGACGATAGAGACTCGGAGATATTAAACTTCTGAGACTGGACTTCGCCACGTTGACGGAAATGCTCTGCGTAACGGTTAGTGTTCTGCTCATTGCAAGATCTCCAAGTCACATACCTTGTTCGTTTCCAATGTAATGCTTTGCACAAGCAACAGTACCACCATCTTGAATACCCTTGACAGCTTCCGCCATAGCGTGGCCAGCCATGTAAGGGTCGACGCTGAAACCTTCCCAGTTTCGTCCACCAGCAGCAGTACGTCCAAGTGGACCAGTGGCAGGACCAAGGGCAATATCGATACCCTTCTCCTTGAATTCAGTCCCCATTAGAAGTCCTCTCTCGTACCAGAGAGCCTTGCTCCAGGAGGCACCAGCTGTGATACCAACAGGGAAAGCACTGTTGTAGTCGGACATACGAATTCCGAGGGGGCCATCCTGAAGGCAGAGACCTCGCATACCAAGACGAGGAATGGAACCCACGTTTCCTACGCAGCGTTCACTTTGCCATCTGGAGAAGACGTTAGCTGAGGAGGCACAGAAACCGTGTTCTCGCGGAGTGACTTACCCAACACCAGTGGTCAAGTTGACCTTTTCGAGTAGAGTAAGCTGAGACACGAAGTCCTTGGCCTTAGCATAGGCATCCTCCCAGCCAACAGCTGAAGGATCCATCCATGGAGAAGGATAATGAGGCGGAGAATGAGCGAGTGTATCCCGCGAGACAAGCTTTTGAGTGTCAGTAAGCGGATCAACCACCTTCATGGATGCAAAGGCCGCGAGAAGCGGCGTAAGAAGTGAGAGGCGCATCCTGGTCGATCGAGAGCCTCTCTTGTCTTGAGTGACTTAAAAGATGATTCCAAGATCAAGGAGGTAGTCCACGAGAATCAGGAACGGAGCAAAGGGGAAGCCAACGGTGAGGCAGAAATAAATGAGGGCAGAAAGGATAAAGATGTCTTCGACGTCAGAGATGAACACGTAGATATCAAACATATCGAAAGAGCGTGATAATGAGAGACTGTCTCGAGAGTTTTGTTTCTGATTTGCAAGTACGAACGAAGGGAAGGAATGTGGTGATGTGAAGTGTTTTGGGACAGTTGCAGGGGAAGGAAGGTGAGGGAAAAGAAAAACTGCAAGGCAAGGAAAATGGCTGTGGCCTGAAACTGGAAACTGGAGGAAGCTGGAGGAGAGCAAAGATGAAAATGGCTAACCTTGACACCTGCTAAGGCTCCTGGAACCTCAGAGGCAAGTGCACCTGCGCCATCACTGCCGGCAGCACCTAGAATAAGGGCTGCAGAGAGCCAATTGGTCTTCATCCTTGGTCGTCTTCTCTGTTATCGGATATATAATTTTATATATACACAGTTTGACTGCAACGACATTTGGTCAGCATTGAACTCGAATAATAGGGAGCAATACAGTCGTTTTTGGCACTGGAGGAGGGCACTGACAGGTAGCTCACAGGCTAGATCCAATATATTGGACTGAAGTGAGACTCAAACGGCCGGGGACGTTGAGTGTAGAAGATGACACACGATGTAAGCCACGACGAGCAAAAACTCAACGGTCAAGGAGACACGGGCAATTGGAAGACTTTATATAAACATCAAGCCCATGCAAGCTCATGCAGGCTCAAACGCAACAGCACACGTAAGTTAAGTTCAAGGAGCTTTACCAAAGCGTCCTAGAGCGGCCCATGTCTCGGACCACGCACTCCACCAGCCACTGCAAATCCCTTCCCTTGGAGAGCAACACTAGACAGAATAACTCAATCCGCCTGTCCCGGGCTCCAGCAAAAATAAAGGTGATGCATGCCTCACATGGAAATCGTCATCAACAAAAAGGACCCAAGTCTCTTCCCCACAGCGTTGGCAAAGGCGCCCATGGACATGGAGGGTCGACACACGCCGGGATTGGACAATTCGTAGTGAGCGCGGCATTGACAGGCCCTTGGTCGTGGGGTAAAAGGGCCGATGTTGGAGCAGCAGGCTTCCAAAAGGATCGTAGGTTTACTGTCTACCGGTGTGTTATTGTTATTGCGACTGCAGACTCGTCTGACCATCAGCTTTTTACTTACAACACATGGCCAGGGCCTCGAGAAGAGGGTTGTATCTGAAGGTCTTGACGTCACATCTGTTCTCGGCCAAGGCCAGAATCTGCTGGTCATTATGCTCTGGTTCATGGTTTTTTGTTTCCCCGCCTCAAGAGAGCTACACAGGGCTTGAGCTATGGACAGGGATCATCACCATCCAGCCAAGTGGGTAGCAAAATAACCGGCACACTGAAACTCGTCTGCCATATAAAGTTAGTACAGAGACAAAATAAACTCGTCATATCTATATAGATTCTCGACTAAACCCTTCTGTCTATTGGGCCTGGTGTGCGAGTTATATTGCGGCTCACCTGCCAGCTTCTGTGGGCATGACGAGCAGACCGAGTCTGTGGCCTCTTAGTCACGATCATCAGAGCACCACTGATCTGATATGCAGAGGCCTAATACGAATTGGAACTCTTGGTGCAAGGCGAAATTCCAAGACCAACGTTACACTACAGCTTTCGGGGCGCTCAAGGTCGGCTGATCGGTCAGCGAGAACTGTGATCGACATAGCTAAATTTGCAAGTCGTCGTCCACGGACGATTAAGCTTTCATCTAATTTCTTTATTAGTGCAACAGGAGGTGAAAAGAACCAAGCCTCCCTTGTTAATCCCAAATGCTTCCGACTGGAGTCGCTTACAGGTTTTCCTATGCTCACTCAGCCGGTGAATTTGCCCTCAATTGCCGGCTTCAAAGCCAAGCCTCATTATCAACAAGTCTCCGTTCCCCACGATGCCCTTGTAGCCTTGCTTCCCGCCCTCTTTCCCCGCATCACAGCCCCTCTTGGAACCCAGACCCCAGAACTCCAGCACCCAAATGGATATCGAGCGATCGTCTGCCTCCGAAGAACCCCCGCGGAATGTCGGTCCTAGGTCCCGTGTCCCATTGAAACCCAGCTATAGTGCCCTTGGCAATGGTCAGATTACCACGGTTTATCCAGTGTTGTCGGTATGAAGTCGTTGTTGACTTACAAGCGGTGTAATAGCCTTGGATAACCGCCCTTAGAAGCTTGGAATTATGTGCCTGCGGGTAAGAATATTCACTATGGGTAAAGAGGTTTGATGGGTGGTATGCATACTGCACATATTTAAGCAGTCAGATGTTATTAGTTGGGTTATGCAGTAGCTTACTGCCTATATAGGAAGGTTGGTAAGCTATCTAAGCGATTTTATTCTTTCCCGGGATTCTTATAATCCCGTCGACAATGAATGCCATCATTGATCCATTGTAAGTTTTCCTCCCTGACCCGGGCCGTTAAACCGACCATTCCCTTAAGCCTTGAGGCATCGTGGAACTCTACTCCTCAACCTCCAGTTTTATCTCCATTTAAATCAGTAGATGCCGGGAATGATTCGGGATCGAACAATCTTGCGGTACTCCTCCCAGTCCTTGCCGTACTTGCGGTGGCACTTGTTATCGTCACGGCGTTCGCGGTGAACAAGAAGAATGCCAAAGTACACGATGTAAAAGTAGGTGATGAGCATGCCCCAGCCCTTGGCCTCGCCCTGGATAACTTCCCGACCGTCACTCATCACGTACGCGCCCTCAACGTTAGCTCCGGCGCTCAGAATCTGATAACCGGCAAGGCCGGTAGGGAGACAGTAAGGCCACGACTGGATCCAATCGCCGAGGTAGTTGATGTGTCGGGCAATACCCCACCAGCCAGTCGTGAGCAGCTTGCTGCCCTTCTCGGTCTGGATGTACTTGAGGTGAGAGATTCTGGGGTCGTCGGGGTTCGTGCGGAAGCGGTTCTTCTCGTTGTTGGCTGAGCGGAAGATGTAGAAGCCAAGACCGATAAGACCCAGCATCGCAGCAAGGCCGAGAGGGCCGAGCGAGATGGGGTGAACCGAGAGGTAACGTGTCTGCAGGGAGTAGACATACGGCACCCAGACAATATCGCCGAAAGCCAGCATCATGCCGAATCCGTCGGTAGTGATATCCATTGTGGTGAGAATTGCGGGCTCATTCCACCAAGAATCGAAGACGTATAGGGCCTGGACAGCGGTGATGAGGATGGAACTATCGGTCACATAACCATAGTTGCGATACTGCTGGGCGCACCAGGAGCAGTTCATAATGATCCAGCCCATCATTCCAGGTCGAAGCTCCAAGAACTCCTTGAGGTCAACCTCGCCGATAAGAGGAATCTTAACGCGCGGGTTGAGTTCGCGGCCGATGAACCAATCGTACAACATGTTACCCGAGTGGCCTCCAGCAGCGAGCTCGCGGTTCTCTTTGTTTCCAGGCTTGACGCTGAAGCTGCGAACATAGACGAAGGTAGATACGAGGTATGAGTAGATAATGTTTGCGGACAGGATCTGAATGAAGTGCTCCGACATGAAGGTCCAGACAGGGAATTCGGCGCCTTGGGCAATGGTTCCAGCGGCGAGCACAGCGAGGGTGAAAGTACTAGAGTACAAGGCTAAGAGAGATTAGTAAAATCCCAAGAGATATCCGAGAGTTGACGAACTGTTGAATCGGTAGTTGAGTCGGCCGCCGGAGCTCAACTCAGTGCCCTCAACTTCGATCGCAGGCAAGACACGGTACAGGATCAGAGAGAGCGCATTGTAGCCTACAACAGCAGCAGTTCCCTCCCAGCTAACCAAGCCAGCAACTCCATTCTGAGGCCAGCCGACCTCTTGTTTCAAGTTGTCGAGTGATAAGGTCTTGGGGTGAAGAAGCGAGGGCGCGGGGCAGCCAGAGATGTCGTTGCAGACGAAGTTGAAGACGTATACGAGGATGGGCAAGAAGAAGGAGATAACGAAGGCGCCAGGACTGGGATTGTGTTAGTTACGACTTCAATCAAGAGTCAAGGGTTAACTTACGGGCCAAAGAACTCGTAACCATGCTGTTCCTCAGAAGGAGGCGCCTTGGTCTTGACAGCCATGGTTGAGGTTGTTGTGAATTGAGGACTGGTACAGTAGTTGAGGCAGTCAATAAGGGGTCAGGCCTTGTAGGCTTTTGTAAGTGAACTCCTTTACCAGTATGAAGAAAACACTTGCACAACCAAGAGTTTTGGGGTTTAAGGAGGACAATGTCAACTTTTTGGGATTCTTAGAATAGAACGCGCAAAAGATCAGTCTACGGGTACGGATACAGGGAGTCGTGACGAAATTACACCAGCTCTAGTTTAATCTACGTGTACCGGGCCCATGCCCATGCTAGGGGAGCTAGGTATTCTTTTTCGGGCCCGCTGGACCCTGTCGTATTCGGCAAGATCGTGTCTCATCCAGATTGACAAATCAGAGCTTGAGCCGTATTTGCTCGTTTCAGGAACACGGACGTCGGCGACAGAGCCTCCGATAATGCATGATGATGATATCCGGACAATTACTTTGCCCGAACTCAAATGGCAGCGAAGATGGCCAGCCAATCACGCTTCCGCGCCCCCTTATAGACACGTCCGTCCCATCCCCGACCAAAGCTTGCTTGGAGGGACCCTGAGCTAATTATCCGTACCTACTACGTAGCAGGCAGCTAAAAGCAGCAGCCGGAGCACGGCAAGGGCAGGTTTTAGTAATTGTGGAAAAGACAGTTTGAGGTTTGGGATGCAACTGAACCGGGGCCACAACGCGTAATCAGGGAGAATCAACTCTCAATTTCCTCATCACCAACCTTCTCTTCTCTCCAAGTCGAGATTCTTTATTTGTGTTCTATTTCTGTTCTGTCTAGTGACGCTGCTTTACTCACTGTCTTTTATATCGCATCCCTCCTTTTACTCCTGGTGACATTCATTTCATGTCAGGTCTTATCGCAACCTACAGGCTACCATCCACCACAAGACAGTAGATCTGTCTGCTAAGGCGCGACATCCATTCCATTCGACTCCGCACTTCAAAATACTCCTACGATCATCGACGAGACACGCTTAATCCGTCAACATGCGCTTCCAGGCATTACCGTTCATTGCCTCCTTGGCCGCTGTCGTCAGCGCACAAGTCGCCGAAGTGCCATCGACCACAATCCCGATCCCGGCATGTACCGCGACATCACACACCGGCATGGGTGGATTTTACGATCTGCGGCCGGACATGGCTGTCGTACCCGATGATAACACCAAGAAGTACGCCGTGACAAAGGACTACTTCTCCAAGGGCTACGACTACGGCAAGAACTTCACATTGAACATCTGCGGTCCCGTCGTGGAGTCAGTCACCAACGTCGTTGGCGTGGAGCCTCCCCTGTGGCAGAACGTGAGCGCATACTACATGGTGGGCGGCGAGGTTTTCTCGATAGGGTTGGTTTGAACATAGCACGGTATTGCGCCGGAGGGAATTGCGCCAGCTAACACGAGAGTAGTTTCGAGTCAATGGACCTACAGAGCCGTGGTCGCAAGCTGGTTCTTCAGTATACTGGAGGATCTCCTTGCGGCGCCGACGTCAACAAGACGGAACCCATCTACGAACGATCGGCGCAAAAGGATTCGTACCTCGAAGACGAGAACGACTTGACCTCTTACACACCTGTCCCCGAGCCTGAGGAGCCTGAGGAGGAGGAGCCCAAGCCCAAGGATAAGCGCAGACGCAAGTCTACGACCATCTCGTTCCACTGCGACAGAGATCCGGGCAGCACCTCGGCTAGCGTCTCCTTTGTTGGTACAGACCCTGACGAATGCGCCTATTTCTTCGAAGTCCGATCCTCCCACGCATGCGCCCATGCGGAGCCCCATAAGCCCGGCAGCGTAGGCCCCGGCAGCATCTTCGGCCTGATCGTGGTTATCGCCGTGCTAGTCTACTTCCTCGGCGGCATCTTCTACAACCGAACCGTGACCCATGCCCGCGGTTGGCGCCAACTCCCCAACTACAGCCTCTGGGCCGGCATCTGGAGCTTCATCTGCGTGCGTCACCCCCTCGCCGGCTCTAAGTCGGAGCGATACTCTCCTTGAGTCGTCTTTCCCCTTTTTTCCTCTTCTTCCTTATATATACCCCTTTTTATACTTTTTTGAGCTTGTTAGAAAAGAAAACGGAAAAGAAAGAAAAGACCTGGGGCTGACGGATGGGAATTCTCTTTCCTTTCTTATAGGAACTTTGTTTTTGCTGCTTCACGACTTGTCTGCGACGAGTGGCCTCCCGACGTGGCTACCAACAAGTCAACTCGAGTCCGAGCCGGAGAGAGCAGGACCGGGATGCCGAGAACCGGCTTATCGACCAATTGGATGAGGAATGGGAAGACTGAGGAGGAAAATAGTAGATGCCATATACGGATGGAGTTTGCGTTTTGTCGATTAGGGGTTTGACTTTGTACCTGGGTCCTTAGGACTTAGCCAGGACATAATGGAGTTTACGGATTGCACGAATAGGGTCGGATGCATTTATTAGCTATGAGAGATGGGCTAGTACTTCAAACACATGTCAAAGGTTAATGCCATCTGTTTTATAATATTGATTGTGTTCATATTGTGATGTCGCGATGTGTGAGTGAGGAAGTGGTCAAGTCTATTATGGTCTATTCTACCCAAACTCCCAAGGATACCCTATACCACAACTTCACCATTACGAGAAGCTTTCGGCATATAGAAGCCTCCAGAGCACAATATCAGCAAGTATTACACGTATTTGGGATTGAGGCTTTTTCTAAAATCGAGCAGCGAAGTTACAGCAACACAATTGAGCATAGAAACTTGCAACATGGTTTTGAGTTTGAGCATTTCTTCCTTAACTCCAATTGGAACATGACACATCCTCCCCAACGCAACTTGTCGAAAAGAGATCCAAGGTGTGAGCGGCACGGCCCATTCCCCGACGTTTTCTAGCGTTAGTTTCCTCTTCACGCACCAAGAAAATAAGCAAATACGGAAAAGAAACAAGTACACAAAAGAGAAGCATACCCGGAAAAACGCCACACCCAACCTCACATTGGCCGGAGGCTGATCAAAGCCACATGACACCGCAGTCTTTCTGAGACACGCTTTACTACCAATCATTCACTGAAACGAAGTTTACTGATCCGCACCGAGAAGTTGGTCTGATGCAATGCAATGTCTTACTTAAGGTGGCCGAAGCAGTGGGGGGGGGGGGGGGGGGGGGTTTAGAGGAGGAGAAAGCCAGGCTGCAGCAGTAGGGTCTTTACATGGGACGAACAAACACACAGTCGCCATTAACGAACTATAAGGAGAGTTTTGCAGGAAAATATGCAGGCGCAATTCAATTTGCCTGGGAGGTTTGTAGTGAACAAAGTACATACTGTGGGGGTCACGATGAGGTAACGTTTGATAGCCAGCTGCAGACAAGAGACATTCTGAAGCCATCATCAACGCAGATGCAGTAATTACAGAAAAGAGAAAGGATCGCGAGGCGGCCGCCAACACGAGGCTATCCTTAGCTTGGCCACATGGCCTTATGATTGATCTGATGATTCAGATCTGCAGACGTGAGATGCTCGGATGCACCCAACGGGGAGACCATCGCCAGAAGCCGGCTTGACCCTGTAAATTACCTTGCAAACCACCCATGCATAATATTCCTCGAATATGACCGATCGCCGGAGATAAAACGACGATTCAAATGAGATGTAATCTTGGATTCGAGTCCGTGGACCCGGGTTTTGGCTCGATTCCAATATGCACGCAAGATGGCTGGATGCAAGTTAACGTCTTTGGGAGTTTGACCTGTGTACTCCGTTAGTATCCAGCCACGAGTGGCAGAAAAAAAGAAACACCCAATAACCCCTGTAAGCCCTTGTTGTCTCAACAGCCAGTGTCTCTCTTCCCCTCCACATTCCCCCCCAAAAAAGCCAACTCCGGATGTCGTTTAGTTTTCTCGCAACGGTCCTTGTCTCGGGCCCCTGGGTGTGGTAGCGGCAGTTAACGGGAAGAAGCCCGTGCTTTCTTTCTACTTTTGTTCCAGCTGAGTATTGATGAATTTGAGATTTCCCCTTATTCAAAATATGGTCGCTAATCGCTATGATGCACAATAGATTACGCAATGCACAACGGATCGATACACGCCATCGCGGTACTACTGGATCAAAGCGACTCTGCGTCTCATGCATAGGATCTGACATGTTCATGCCTGGCTACGTAGTATCGTAGCTGGAGGCTGGCCTCACAAAGTACCACCTCCGCAAAAGCAACGAAGGAATAAGACAGACATGGCTCAGCTCCGAAGCTCCTTGCATATATAGTACATATTGGTAGCGTGTGATGGCTTAATCGAGTACGATTGTCTTGTGACAAGGAGTTGCTTTTGCTGTAAAAGTACTTCTAAATATCATTTCCTGCTTTCAATTCAATGCTGTGTTATTCGTCAATACTTTACGAGTCCCTCTAGTAAAGCAACATCAAGATTGGAAATGAGGCACTGTATCCATGAACACAACTCAATTGGACCCCCTTGATGACCTTGGAGCAATGGATTTGTACCCGCCGATTACCGGCACCAATGACCCAATCTTGCGAGGCTAATCATATTTCAAACCGGCACGCCGTACATCAGCCAATGCCCATTCTGGCGTATTTTAACCACCCTTGCTATGAGATATTATTAATGACTGAATGACTGTACCAGAAATAAACTTAACCGTATATCTATGAAGTGATAAAAAGCCAGTGGCCTATGTAAAGACCGGTACAAACCCGTTGAATTAGGACCATTGAGAGGATCGTATAAGAAAGGAGGAACATCGGGGATCTTCCGGACCATCATGCAATGCAGGTCTCTTGCAGGCTCGCGCTGTAAGGCTACTTATTGAGATAGGCAATGTAAGATAGCGAACTTGGAACTTGGAATGGGGTATTAGTCGAGATGTGCTTGTTGTAGATGGTCTCAGTCAGAAGTAGATTGGATATGATATGTGATATCTCCCAGCCGGGACGATCGTGATGTCGAAGTCCTGAAGAGGAACTGGATCTTCTGCAAACAGAACCTGTAACCCGTTGATTTCATCCACTCCAATCTCCTTGCCGTAGTCTCATTCCCTGTACCGTCATGGCCGTGGCTTTTACCCGTTCCCCGGACCAGGAACGTCTCCCATAAGCACTCTATTGCCAGATCGAAGTGCCTGCATCTCCGGTACCAAGATAGACGGTTACTAGCCAAGGATAAAGACCAGTCACGCCTCATTGCATCTGTGGCTTGAGCCCCATGGATGAGAGACATGGCTATCAACACGCCTTCCCCCACAACCGTTGTAGTCAATCTGGTTACACCACCCCTTCCAGGACGCCATGGTACGGCTTTCCACGCGACTACTGGGCGTATGCCGTGAAACGAAGCGACCCGACTAGCTGGATGCAGCCTCATCTGAGTAGGGAAAAGCGGCCATGCTTCTTCCCCATGGATAACTTGGAAGCGTGCCCTCCGTCTTGGGGCAACTGGAGATTTCGGCATTAGTTCGAAGTAGAAATGAGAGGAAAGAGACGAGGGGCTCAACGGGTTCAACGGGAGGGAAACGGGCTCGAGTGTGGCGATGTTTGCTTTGAGGCTCTCGACGGGAAACAGGGGCGTCGGTACTTGAGATCATCTGATGAAAACGGAAGTTAGCTACAGGACAGATTTGAGGAATATGGATAGTACTGTAGACATTGCAACTTGAGGACTGCTTTTCCAGCGATCTGGATGGCTGATGAGGGTGGTCTGTTGGAAGCCGTCAACACAGCAGTCACCGGCTTTCTTTGATTTTCTTGGAGCAAATCTACTGGACTAACAGTATGCAAGCATGCACAGCTAGATTATGCACCAAGATAAAAAGTAGTGAGGGAACACAAGAGTGTTATGACGCTCTTGTGGCCTGTGCTGCAGAATCTGTACATGCTGAAGTGTGATGTCGGACGGCTGTACTTTGGCATTTATTCTGTCAGTGGAGACTGGGAATTGGGGCAGACTGACGCGTTACTTTCTTCTTGCCGTCACTCCACAATCTGCTGCATTTCAAACCCTCCAAACTTGATCGAAAAAGTCCGAAGTCCAAAACATGGTTGCAACTGCGCGATGAATTATCACGATACGGCATTTTATCGATTTGTCTCCTTCCTCAACTGATTTCCTTTTCCCTTGAGTTATTTCACGGCTACCCATACCTCCTTTCCAGCTTGTTTTCAAGAGCTAACTAGTATTGTTTATAGAAGTCCGACAATCACGATGCTGCATACCGACAAGTTCTCTTTCCTCAAGAATCTTTTAAGCCAACGTTCCTCAAATCCCCCATCCAAAGATTGTCGACCAATACAACATATCATGTGTACTGCAGCAGAAGTCATCTGATGGTGAACCTTTCTCACGGGGCCAATCGACGGACTCTATGGCCGCCTTTTCGACATTCCGGTTCGAACTCATTGCAATTCTTGTTTAACAAGTGTGTTAGCACATAGCAGGATGTCTCCAAGATGATGATCTATTATGGTGATGGAGTGTATTGATGGCCTGCATTCCTCAACTCGTCGAATTGGACTGTAAGCTGCTTCAGAGCGTTTACATAGATAGGTATCTGGTGAACCTTGATCATGGGGCATATCGACGGCCTCTTTGGCTCCTCTTTTGACTGGTCTCTTATCATGATGGAGTTTATTGATGGCCCCTATTCCTCAATTCATCGAATTGGACTTTGAGCTACTCCAGAACGTTTATACATGGTCTAAGGGAGGAGATCAGCTACAATAGATCATCATAGGTAAACCAATTCCTCTTCAAGTGATCTGCAACCCAGGGGCAGAGTTTATCCAACGGTGAATTATTGTAACTAAACTCTCTTTCCCTTCAATTGATATGGTTCCAACGGAAGGAGCTATTTAGGAGCGGACTGTCGTTACTTCCAAGATGCAATATCTTTACGGCCCCCTTCCTCTTCCCAAGTATCTAGATCTTCCAAACGTATCTTCCTTTACCAATTGACTTCTGGCCTAAGGGAATGGCTTTTCGACATTGAATACTTACCACCGTGAAGATGGGTATATCCTCAATGAATTACACTTCGCAATGATTGAAAACTCTCTCTCCTTCATATTCACCCATACCTTCAGAACAAGCCTGGCTAAACTGACTGTCACTACTCAGCGAGCTGACAGACCTCAGGTTCAATGGCATATTAATTTGACAGCATGTCATGATGGGGACATAAACGATCTTCTCTTTCACTTTCCTAATGATTTCAAAATCTTCCTCCTACGCATTCTTCCATTCTTCTACCCTTCTAGGGCAAGCCTCAAGCCTAACAGAATACCTAGCTATTCGACAGTGATTCATCGACGCTGACTCTTCCTCCTTCACATTCTTCCACTCCTCCAGGGCAAGCCTCAGGCACAACAGGACAAATGGCTATTTGACAGTGATTCATAGACGCCGCCGAGCTGGGTATATAAACGATCCCTTCTTCCACTTCCAATGATTTCAAACTCTCCTTCCTACACATTCTTCCACTTCCACCCCTCCAGGGCGAGCCTCACCCCTTGTCGGGCTGCCCGCCTACAAGCACTGCAGCTCTCCGGCTTCTTAGTTTGCTATCGCCTCACTATACCCGTCGCTATCGCCTACCAAACAATCGCGGCAGGTCGCGACACCCCTGTCTAGTCCCGCAGACGTCACTCTAGGCTGCCCGGGGGTGCTAGCCTAGCCCCAAGCCTCAGCTGCAGCTGCAGCCCGACCCTTGCTCGACCCTTGCTCGCCCTGGGGGGGTCCGATATGCACGACACGGTTACAAAGCTACAAGGTACGTTCATCTACATTGCAAAGTAATCCTATCCCATATACCCGTGTGCATGCAGGTTCGCAGATGTGTGTGCGTCCCCCAAGTGGATCTGTAATTCCTCTTTCAGACGAGGACATCTCCAAGGGGAACGGGTTGGCACACATGGTATCAACGTTCAGTGGCTTCCAAGTGGGGAGCTGCAGATACTGCGATGCCCGTTGCTGTTCTGGAGTTGCAAGTGATCGTTTTGAGAAATGCCCTGCCCCCTGTCTGCCCTGGAATAGCCTGTCAAGCACACTTGAGATCAGGGGTTCAAGTGATACCGCATCAAGAAAGCTCTTTTCACGTCACAATGGCGCTGATGAGAGAGATGTGACTTCTCAAGACCTGCAAGGGCCTCAGGTTCTATATCAGAAGCCCATTACCCCTCTCCAAACTTGCCATCATCTTCCAGAAAGCACTACAAACACTCAGTCACTCTACCTTGCCCCTGTCACTTGACACTTGCACTGCTATCCCATTGTGTCTCTATTGTCTGCCTAGCTTCTATACTTGTCATTGGCCACTGGGTCTTCACTTGACACCTGACTAACCCCTCTCACAGTGAGGAGCGGCCAATAAGTCCACTCGAGATTCGTGGTTCGGACGAATTCCACTAAAGCTGGTGGTCGTGTGAATCACAGCCAGTGTTCGTCAGACAATGCAGCTGGCACACGGCGTTTGTGGGAGCTCCCCCACCCCACACTATATCTGCACATCTTGTGTAGGCTTTTCTCCTTCTTACTTCTCCCCTCAACCTCTTTTTCTGCAAGCTTCACATCTCAACACGAACTCGTTCCTCAACACGACTTCACCAGCTTTCAGTTCATCTTTCACTTCTGATTCCAGTTCAGCTTCTAGCCCAGCTTCTAGCTTTTCTAATCAGACTTCCTTTCTGCAAGCTTCGTATCTTAACACAAACTTGTTCCCCAACACAACTTCACCAGCTTTCATTCCAGCTTTCAGGACAGCATCTAGCTCTTCTTCATACCAAGACACAATCAACCCTTATCAACGTAAGTCACCTCTCTTCCTTGCCTTTATCGTTCGAAACTGACTTAAAGAAAGAATACTCACCGATCAAGCAAGAAACCATGTCTGCCTCCAACTCTAACGCTTCTGGTTTTCCTTATCATGGAATGAACTCGTATGGTCTGCCAAACCCACCTCACTCTACTGAACTCAACATGGCCGGTCATCACGGTTCTGCTCCCATCGATGGCTACCATTCTTCTCTCGACAATGCTCATCTTCGTATGAACGGAAACCATGGCCTTACGAACTATAACCCCTCTTCTGCCATCGATGCTACTACCGATGCTGCTATCGATGATTCCGATAAAAGCATGGATGATTACGATGAAAGCATGGATGATTCCGATGTAAGCCTCTAACCTTCTCGCCCACCAGGTTTCATATGAAGCATCGTCTTACACTATATAGTCCCAACCCTCTATGTTCCCGCAGCGACCCACCGCTATGAACGAGGATACCTTTACATGCCCGGAGATCCTCGACTCTGTACTTGCAAACCGAGATGGGAAGTATACTCTTGATCGACAGCTTGTGATCGCAGAAATCTTGATCCTCGTGAAGGAGAACCCGGACTTGCCCTTCCCGGAGTTTCTTCTGGATGCCCCCGATCACAACGACAAGGAGGCCCGAGACACCTATCTGCTTATTGCGAGGTGGTTCAAGCTTGATTACAAGCAGATTAAGAAGCTTGGAGAGTTTCCGGTCGCAGAGGCCACCCTCCGGGGTCGCCACCGGGTCTTCACCCGTCCCGCTGAGGCCCGCCCCCGCAAGCCTGTCGCGTGGACCGAGGAGCAGGTAAGTCATCCAAAATTCTTTCACATTAATTCGGTTATCTAATTTATGTTTCAATAGACCAGGGCCATGCATCTGGCCAAAGCCCAGGTCGAGGCATATATCGACAGCATGAAGGCGGCCAAGCGGGCTGGTCACCAGGTGGGGCCTATCCCGACCTTTACCTGGCAGCGGGTTGGGGATTGCATGCGGGAGATGGGGGTGAGCCACCGCTTCAACGGTGGTGTGATTGCCAACCAGTACCGGGGCGGTAGGGGAAAGAAGGGCAAGAAGGGCGCCCAGTAGGGGCATCTGGGTGTTTGTGGTTTTCTGTTGTTTCTTTGTTAGTTTTTCGCTGGTTTTTCGCTGGGGTTAGGGATCAATAGCAGCATGCGACAGGCAATCAAAGGCATGCCTCCAAGATATCGTGTGCATCTGGCTGACTGTGACGTGACTTGGTGCTTTCGCTGATGCAATGCATGCTTTGTGAAGTGGTCGTCTCACATACCAGACATGCCAGGCAATCTGACACCTAAACAAAGAAAGTCCACGAGTCAAGTTATTTTATTTTGCTTTTCTTTGTATACTGTCTGATGGGTACTGAATTAAGTATAAATGCCAGGTATATTATGGATAGAATAATGATTTGGACGTGTGATTTTGGAATGGTTTGCTTTCTTTTATGCCTAACCTTTTTAAAGGTGAATTGACTTGTCGCTTTGAAATGAGGTAGGAACACCAATATCTCTCAGAACTTTGCTCAAGGTCTCCGGGTCCTTCTTCAGTGCTTCCCATTCCAATTCGTTCTTGACCAAAGCGGTACCAGCTAGGAGAGTGCCATTGAATGCCAGGGATCCCAATACATCGCCATCTTGACTCTGGAGGTTTACCCCCTCTGCCAAGCGAGGGCAGACCACCAAGGTATCCTTCGTCATAGCCAGGTTGTAACTTACTTGTGTCGGACCTTCGGCTGGCGCTTCCTTGGAATGCATGGGGTCTTGAGTAAAAGAAGTGACTGCTCGACAAGCCTTTCGGTATAATCGTAGATAGATAGTGTGAAGGTCTGCTCCTGTCATACCTAGCTTGATTTCTTCGGCAAAGGTAGCAAAAGGAGCAGCCTTGGTCTTGAGTTGGTCGGCTAGAACAGACCAGGGGGTGTTAACCTCGAAACCTTCCTTCATTCTAGCAATTGGGAGAAGCTGAATGTGTCGATGAGGTTGGCTTGCTCCAGAGTGGTCACCGCAGTTGAAGAAGGCAAACAGACCATCTCCACCACTTAATGACCCGTCTCGGTGACCTTGCTCTGTCTCAGTTCTTCTAGCAGCTTCATATGCCTCAATGCAAGCCAGCGTGGCTTCCAGGTCTGCTTCTTCAAGAACGTGAGTCTGCTGCTTAAACTCCGTAGTAGCAAGTATGAAGTGCTCAGGCACAACGGCAAATTTGTTCAGCACGAGAGAGTGAGAAGGGCCAAGGTCTGCGACTTTGAGAGCAGGAAGGGGGTTCTCAAAGGGGTCAAATGGTTTCTGAGGTTTGGTGACATCTTTTGGTGGAGGCTTGGGTTTGTTGGCGAGGGAAGGGGAGAAACGTAGTTGGAACTGAGATGTAAGTTAGCATTGGCCCAATTCTTTCAAGTCTTCTCATTGTATTTGATATGCGAGATCAACGATGAACTTACTGGGATGGAATCAACGTTGAGAATCGTGACTTGGGTGGGGAAATAGTGCAAATCTCCCTCTGATCGAGCCTTTGTAAAAGTCGATTTGACGAGTTCGGGGAGGTTAGAAGGGGCTTTTATACGTGGCATGATTGTGCAAGTTATCAGTACCAGGACTGCAGTGTCTAAAGAAATGAGATATTGGTATAAATGTGGCTTTTACAAAAGTGTAAAGTTCTCAAAATCTTGGAATGTCTTGGTCAGATGTAACCGGGGCTGCATCGGACCAAGGCCCAGTGCTGGTTGGTCCACGAGTGCCCCCTCCCCCTGTCGATGCCGTAATGCGGACCTACCTTTGGCCAAGCTTCTCCCCTGTAGCCTCCCGCGCTCAGTTCTTTGTCATCTCCCCCAACCACAAAGTCATTTCTCAAAGTTACTTTTTTTGACACGCAAACTCGTTGACAGATGGAGATCTTCATTTGAAATTCAGTCATCTCATCGCCATTTTCCTATCTTGAAAGTCGGCGCGGCAAATCCGTAGTTGCAGTCACTCTCCAACGATACGACACACTGCTGAAGGCATCAACCCAAAGTTTGCTATGGAGCCTGTATTCTTTCCGCATATCCAAATAGCTCCGAAGATCATCTCCCGAAACTTTCAGGTTGTTTGAAGCCCTGGGAGACGATATGCATGAAATGGCGGTAAAACAGCATCCTGAAGTCCTGCTGGGGGCCAAGCAGACAAGCGGTAAGAAGCATTTGACACAACGATGCCGTGTAACAATCTGACATCCAAGCAGTCTTGACCGCTTACGAAGACATTTGGTCATCCTGTGCTTGTCACCCTGACCCCTTGTTGCGAAAGGTGACCCCAAGAAAACCGCCGTCACGGCCACCACGTTGCTTTGTGCTACAGGAGACTTCTGTACGACACACCCCCGATGACACCAACCCTACGGGGGATCTGTTATACTCACTGTCAGTTTGAGTCAGAAATAGACATTCGTCACCGGTCAAAGCATTTCTCTGCCGGCATATTGCAGGGGGTGATCGCAGAATAGCTGGGTTCAAACTTCTACGAGGCCTCAGCAGTTTCGCTCGAAAGCATTTGACCCTTCTAATTCTGGTGCTGAGCCCAACCGGAGACCATATATCTAACCTGAGTCGGTAAATACATCATCTATCGTTACTAGGGTCTCTTTCGGGTCAGGACAGTAGACCAGATCGGACCAGAGTAACCATTCGGCCAAAGCCAGATAACCTGCAACAAACGCCATAGGCCTGACAAGTTCACTAGCAATAGCTTCGAACAGTACGTACAGAAGTGGTGACGGCTCCTTCATCCTTCACACAGCTGATACTATCTAGTCAGAATAGCTCGGTTCTCACACATACCAGTCATAGACCATTCCCTTCCTCACAGGCTTCGCCTTGGGCATGAGCAGTTCCAAATGGTTAGTAAAGACAGAGCAATATAAGAGACGAAATTGGATCCAGTATAAAGTCTGGCACTATCCCAGGCTTAAGATATTTCTGCCAGGAGTACAGCCGGTAGAGTATCCCAGGCTTCAAGTTCGCCAAAGGACGTTTCCAGTCCTTCTCTACACTGGCAAATCAACCAGCAGAGAAACAGACAAGATAACTTGGTTATCACTCCAGAGCAAAGTGTCTATCTCTCTAGGGGTCAAAAACAATCATATGAATGTAATATGGCTGCTGAGATCTGTGTAAGTCATGGAAATCGACTCCAGGGCGAAATTTGACTAATTTTGATTTTCGTGTAGAAACCGGCCACCGAAAACGATGGATAATCTGCCACCGCCAAATTTAGAGGGAATTTATGTATAAATCACCTACATAAAGGCGTTGTGGTGATCTCAAAGTGGAAAACTGAGATGAAAATTCCAAATGAAGAGCCGAGAAGTCAACCGCCCCTGCGAGCGACCCGAAGCACTGGGATGAGTATCGAGGCACAAATTAGGGCCATACGATGATTCTCAAGCCATTCATCTTGGGTTGATTGCTTGATCTTGAGGAAGACTCCCAGTTACTGGGTTTATCTGCCAGCTATCTTGTGTCTAGCTGGACCACAGGACCACCTTCTGGGACATATACTGCAAGGTCAACAACTTCGATAACCTTCGCCGATACTTCGAATACAATCGACTCGCCGCTATCCGACGCGCCGTCAACAAGAACCTAGGTGAGAGCTCCTGATGAGGCCCTGCTTGGATCTATCTTCAATGCCATTCCTGAGCATCTTCTCGATGAAGGATAACGTTCAGTTGAAACTGGCTGGTAGATTACTAGTGATCTACTGTCTTCGATATGATACAAAGGTCATGGAGCGCAAAGCAGCTCCAGGCACAAAAGAGAGCCAATGTTAATCATGGAACGAACGGTCATGATTGGGCTTCTACCCTTCTCTCTGGCCCGGCAATTTGGACATCATCCAGCCAATGAACACCAATTCGACAGCAAAAGGGCCCTGACTTAATCTACATTGATAGTTTTGAGTACCAGTATCTCTATCCATGTAAGCAGCCCTGAGCTCGTTATTAAGATAGTGACTTACGCGGTGCACAAAGAGACGTCTCTAGACGCTATAAGGACTCCGATACTGCCATTAGCATGAACCGCTTTGGGCTTGGGATATACAAAATATCCCACCAATGGTATCAAGGTAAGGTAGGTGGAAGCCCTTCGATTCTGCTATTTTCCGAGGACTAACAACGCTTATCTCGTAGAATCCAACACCCTCCGGTCCCCCTTTCATCTCCAGAGTAGTCTATTGAGAACAATTCAGTTCAAGGGTTCAAGAGATACTGAACCAGGAAAACCTCTTCTGCCACAACAATAGTGAGCAGAAGATGGTAGGTTGCCACCAGGTAACAGTTCGCGGTTGAAAGGAGAACTAAGAAACGTACAGGACATAGTCCAGGGCGAACTCTTTCTCCGCACTTTGCGAGTGGCCGCAGGCATTTCCCACAAGTACGAAGACCTCTGGCAGAAAGACTGTGCATCGAGTCAAGTCAAACGGGATTGAGTATGGCGGGATGGTTTGTCGGATACTATCGCGGACGCCGTCGTCTCTCTGAGATACAAGTGGAATAGCGCAGCTAACTCAAGCTGTTGGTGGGTTTGGAGCGTGAGTACGCCGCGATTGGAGGTCTGGGCCTTGGAAGCTGAAGGAAGCATAATCAACTGCTATCTCAGAAGGTTCAGGGGTTGAGATGCATGAGTGATCTATCAGGTTCCTATTAAGGAGCGGTTGGTAGTAAGGAATGAGAAGCTAGGCTTGAATATTCACCATGACGACGGGGGTTCAAGTTTAATTCCTGTTACCTGAAATTGTTCTTTAAAGCATCAAAACTAACAACTATGTGGTGCAGACTGACTACCGAATCATCTTTGCCCTGGGCCGTACGAGATCAAGTACCTGGAGACACGATGGGGAATTTCAAACATTCTCATTCTCAACAAGACAACCAGTCCAAACTCAATACCTTACCCCTAAACCGAAAACGCCACACAGCATGTCCTCGAAAACGCTAAAGACTCGTGTTGAACGTGCTTATGCCCAAGCGCTGTTCACATGAAACCTTATCCATTATGGCATGGGTGCTTAGGGAACGAGAAGGGCTTGTTCAAGTTGTGTATCAGAGTGGATGGACTGTCACAGGGTTTGATAATGGGATCGATGCCAACAGTTGTTGCGCATTGTCCTTGGAGGATGGGAAAACAAAAGAATCGACTCATGGCTAACAGTTTCATATGTTTATCTATTTCGTCCATGCACATATGCAAGTGATCAGTTTGATTCGTTGTACTTCTTGGTCACAGGCAATCGAGAACTTGAATAATACTCTGAGCAACGTGTGTTTACAATATTTACACAGGACTTCCCAATGGCTCAGGCACACAGGGCAGAAAACCATGGTAAGTCAGACCTGCATCTCTTTCCCTGAATAGCCATAGGGAAGTGGACACACTCCACAGAAACTTCAACTTGGGCTAATATTCTTCCAGATGACTGATCGGCAGCTTGAGCATTCGCCAGTACCTTACATGCTCGAGATTCGGCATACGATCGATCGAAGCGAAACAACCGTGAGAATAAGTTATTGTTCGTTTAATCTAAACAGAGTGCCTACCGTTGAGTATTTCTCAGTCGATGGATTTGTCAACTCCACGATCCTGACCCTTCAGGAAGGACATCACAACATAATCTCGAAGGGGACTTGCCAGCCAAGTCCAGTGTGTTTCAAAAAGTCAGCCTTGGACATATTTCCTTTGCCAAAAGCTTCCTTTACTGCTCAAACGTAAAAAAGGCGGGGATTGTGGTAATTTCAAGTTCGACGTCACAGCGTAAGTCCAAATGTTACAAAGCAAGGCGCTGACAAGAAGCATGAACTGTTACTAGATGTTCTTCGCTTTTAGGACCGAATTGGTTTCCAATATACGATAGGATTACAGTTTCATGCTCTGCTGATCGATCAGAGCGTGTGAGTGAGATACGAGCGTAATCACAAGTGGCGGCATTACCCCTGAGAGGCCAGTCTTTCAAAGTCAAGATCGAACTCCCCATCCACTCCTCGCCTCTGAGTACTTCTACGATTTTCCTTGTGTATGAGGAATTTGCTGACATCTTAGAAGCTTTTGCAGTACCAAATACCCGAAGAACCCTACCTGAACACTCCGATCCCCTGTTGCAAAAACCCACCGAACGAGCCCAGACACCAGCAGGTTATGATCCCATGTACTTGCCAAGGAGGCAACATGGCAGCAAAAGTCATTTCCGAGTTTGCAGTTGACGCCCATGGCCTTTTCCCAGAGAACGGTAGCCTCTCAATGGCTGTAGATCTAGGAAACCTGGCTCCAAACATAGAAGGCTCATGAAAAGAACACTTATGGCAGGAACCGCAATGACTGGGACATAAAATAGTGCGAGAGCGCTGTAGTTGTTTCCTTGGTTCATAGAACTGGAGGTACGGATGGACTGAACATCAGGTTGACATGTTTGTCAGATACCACGCGGTGTTGATACACCTTGACACCAGGACTGCTGCCATGTAAGTTGAGCCAGCTAAGTACTGTGTAGCAAGTCACCAGCTAAATATGCTCGACTTGAAAACGAATGGTGCTCGAGCCTCTCACCTACACCCGGCCCTCGTGGTAGAAACGACACCTGGAAGGTTGTAGTGAGGCACATGTGCAACCAGAGCAAAATCGATATCTGGTCAAACGACACGTCCTCGGATACCAAAGGAGATGGAAGTAGGGTGATAGTACGGTATCTCACCCGAGATGAAATCTCTACGTTGCTACAAACCAAGATCTTTAGCCAAACTACGAGCTGGATGTTTTCTAGACGTCAGCTGCGCTATACAGTCATTATTTGGAAATCCTCGATTTCCGGGGAACCTCTCTATGCAAATCCAAACTTGAGCCTTGAGCAACTCCCTCATCGAGTCAGTCTCGTGGTGAAGGGGCATCTAAAATGCCAAGGGACAATAATAGGATACTGGTGACCCAGCCAAAGCTGCTATTTCTCTGGGCGTCTCCTTCATACGCTGGAATTACGCAGCTTCAAGAATGATGTCTTCTGCGTTAGACACCGCCAGGGTTACAAGGGTATCGATATTATCTTCAAGTTGTAGACTTAAGCTAACCTCTGTACAATAACAGACACGGGCCTTACTCCGATATTCAGTCGAAAAGTCCCCTCCGAAATTTCCATGGGCCGGACCCCTGACAATTTGATCCTCCCTGGATTTGAGCCCAGCTTAACAGATGTTTCAATGGCTTCGAATTGAATCTGTAGCGCTTGCAATCTATCAACCAAGTCCTGTACCGTCCCCTGTTTTCGGTCTCCCTTTGCTGTCAGTTGAGAAGACCATCACCTCGAACTTAACAGCACAATTACCACGTCTCCTCTACGGTCACCTTGGGCTTCTCTATAGAGCGAATCATCAATGGAATGTGGTTTCCTGACTTGTCACGAGGTATATCGCTGACCTCTCGGAACCCCATCTTCTCGTACAATGGCTTTCCCACCTCAGTTGATACAAGTGCCGCAGAGACTTGCTCCTCTTCGGAACGATCAATGCCCCATTGGAGAAGCTTCTTCCCAATCCCGGTTCTCTGACACTTCGGTGAAACTCCCAACCAGGCAAGACTCCAATATTCGGTAGGGTAGAGATGTTTGACGCTGCCCATCCATGAGAAGACATCGTTGGTGGCGTCTATTGAGACTCCGGGATCAGTTTGGCGGAGTAGGTACTTGGAGAAACTATCCCACATAACCCCAAGCCTTGTAACTTCTGATGAGAGATAAGATTAGTCGTGGTTTCATCCATGTTGGAATAGGCTGACTTACTCTTGTTCCAGGAATCTCCTTGCCAGCTTCGAGCCACATCACTCGTTCCGAATCGAGTCCACACTGCAAAAGCAAGAAATTCCCCTCTTCCGTCGTCACTGTCCTCATCCTCTCTGTAAGCGGCGAGAATCACCGAGCCCTTGTCTCCATACGCTTCCCGAAAGTTCGACGACCACATCTTTCGAAACGTATCAGGATGCTCACGGCGGCCTGGTACAATGAGAGAAAACCAGTAGTCGTCAATGAAGGTCTCGCAAGCCAGGTCAACGAGTTGCTCTGCTTGATCCAGGCAGCCGATTCGAATAACTTTGAGAGTGGGTTTTGGGGAGTCCATGGTGTCTGTGATATCTGGGCTTTCGAATCCGAATGCCGATACAATGGCGAATTTCTGAGGATTGGGTCGATATCTTGTGGTGTATCCGTAACTACAATGGACTTTAGTGAGAAATCTTCAAGGGTTGGGCGTCTTATAGAGTGTAGAATAATAGGGCGGTTCTACAGCCGTGTTTTGCCACGTACTCCGTACTTTCAGTCACTCCTATCCTATAGTTGAAGTCCATACTTAGCTGTCATCTCGTGATTGACTGGACCGTAAACGCGATGAGCTTATTTGGCGGGACTTATGGGTTAGCGGCTAGGGATCCTGGTCATGCACGGCCAACTCGAACCGAATTAGTCCAGGAGTGGAATCTGCGGAGTTCATCAAACCCCAATTCTAAACAGAGGTTGCGGCCATGAAAGCGAACTTGCCGCGGTATATTGAAGATACAATAAGATTAAAGGGATCATAGAATTTTCTCAGTTGAAGAATAATCGGGTTTGGCAATGTTAGTGGTAAGAAGTCGGCGGGCAGTTGTAACACGGCAACACAGGGAAGGCGCCGGGGCCTAGAGTCAGGAGGACATGCCGAAAATGTTTCCTTCCATTTTTGAAATTCCATCCTCCATCCCACCCAGCCTTGATAATCAGTCTCGATTTTGTTTATCTTTCTGATGACTGCAGACGAATCGAATAGAAACGAAATTCTTCGTTGGGCGTACTTGCAACATTAAGCGCAGAAATGTCGCCTTGCAAGGCGACGATTTTCACCAAAGGCTACACTTTCAGTCAATAACCACCGAAGAAGTCGAGCATTCGAGACTCTGGTAAAGTTTTAAACTGAATCCTAAGCATAGCTTCTCCGGAGTACCATTGTCATGTTATCGGAACTCGATCTCATCGTCTTGGGCGTGAAACATTGCCAAAACAAGGACAGAAACCTGACCGGAACTTCGAGGTGAGAGGCCCATGCTCTGACCATCCATCACATCGCTGATAGCCTAAACTCACAGTTCATATTAGGAAACTTCCCTTCGATCTATCTCTATCTCACCGTTGGCACTACTATCGAGACAAGACCGGTGGCTGTCAGCCCTTTGGTCACTGAGTCGTGAAGTTGTCACGATACTACAACACACTCGAGCTCACACGGTCGAAATTCGATACTGGAGCCTCAAACCCGATTACCTGATAAACATTGCCAAACTTGATGATGCACAGAGAAGTTATGGGCTTGAATGTCCCTAGTCTTGCAAAGAAGCGCAGAGCCAGAGTTGCCAGGCAAGCTCCTCTGACCTAGAAGACCTTTGCAAGGCCCAGGTGACAAGGAAGGATGGGGTTTTCAATTCGATGGGCTAAGCTAATCCAGGTCATACACTTCAGTCTCAGTAGTCGTGTTTACAGTTATGCTCAATCCATACTCTTTGAAAGGCACATGTACAACGACGTACTCTCGGAATGTGTGGACTTCAAGGACGGATCTCAAGTCACACGTTACCTGCACAAAATCGAACAACACATCATCTCTTCAAAGATCGAAGCAGTGTACTGTCTTTCTAGTATAACGGTACATCGGCGGAGTTGGATACTGCTCTCATCTCTTCAATCGGACGAGCATATCTGATTATCACAGAGGTTAGTCTTGCATTAGCGTTTCCCCAAGGCTACTCAGCTCCTAGAGATTGGGCTGCTTGTGGTGATGTACCTTTCTGAGTGGACTAAGATCTAACATGCATGTTTGGCAGGTATCTGGGATAATGCCATGAAATACCAATGGCAGATTTCACCAACTCCGGGGTTACATGAGGGAATTCTCGACGCACCCTTCGACGAAACTAGCCAATGTGAACAAGGGCAACCAAATCCAAGGCCGCTTCATCCTCTCCATATTTTCAGGATGTCCGAGGCCACGATCCTTTGAGCATATCTGGTACATGTAGACGGACCAAATGGCTGGCCAGGTTTCAACCAACCGCCAGGTAGAATGAGGCCTGCAACACCTCATTTGACTTTCATACCCCTCCAGCAGTCAGCTGGAGTGAGCTGAGCCGGCTCATTTTTAGTTCTGATTAGATGTCAGGAAGATTCGTCAGAGTATAGGTGCCCTGATGGCTAGTTACAGCCTCTTTCAAGTGCTTACATATGGCAACCCAACTTCCGACCTTCCAGCTGCCTTATCAGCAACGCCTTTCAGCTGTCGCTTCACCCTTTACCAAAAGAACTAAGAAGTCTTCTATCAGATGGGTTCTTTCACTCAATGGGACTTTTCTCTGCATCCCCAATTGATGGGTCTTCATGCTTTGCTTCTTAGGTAAGAATCCTTCACCACAGCATGGTTTCGTTGGCCATACCGTAGGCTTATTGAACGTCTTATCGACATAGACCAACTCAATAACCCCCGATGTCACGCCAGCGTAAAGCTAAGGTATCAAATATCTCGTACCTCTCTCTCGGCAAGGAGAGTTATTCACCAACTTCCATCTCAACCACAGGTCTTCTTCTCGTCGGATACTGAGAAGGACTGTTACGGAACCGAGCAGCACCCTTTACGACCATTAAAAGAACGGATAGATGTTGGCATCGCCCTTGAAACCAGATATCTTTACCGAAAGAGCAACCGAGATCCCTGGCAGAATGGTCACGTAGGGATATTGATGCTGATGGAAATTCATCACTGTCCTCACTGTTCGCCACGTGTATCAATCCTCTAATAGCTACGAGTCGACCCTGTCACTGCGCTCAATTACGAAACAAAGTCTATTGATCGACGAACTGCTCGGATCTGTGCTTGGGGACTACAAGGACACCAATGCTAGCCTGAGGAAGATTCTCTTCAAAGTTCCCTTTCGAAAGTTCCTCATTTGATAGGACAGGCTCATCCAAGCAACGACATCGAAAAAACAACTGAGAAACTTTCTCATTTCAAGCTTCTCGCTGTCATCATTTACACTGAGATCTGGCAACACATTGAACAGAACTCAGGTTCTTCGAATAGCAGTATCATCTCGTTCAATTTTGCTTAGGCACTCGTCGAGCCTAATGTTGAAGCTTTGAGCCATGTCGATGGCCATGAGCGATTGTACGCTCTAACCAGTGGTAGATACTCGAATCTTCAAGACGAAACGATAGTATGCCTTCGTACCGTTCGTTACATCGATACTGACGGGGCAAGCTTCGGCTCTCGGGATACTGAGCTGTTAATTTGCCTATTTGAGAGGATCAAGTCGATCTCAGAACTTGAAGCTGTACCTATCTATCTTCAGGCTAGTAGTGACGAAGTAAGACAGCGACTTGTCAAGCGAGGAAAGTTGTTTGAAAGCTTGGAAGGAGTTTCCCACAAGTCGTATTCGGGCGTCTATACGCCGTCTGATGCTGCACCAGGAGCCACAAAGCACAGCACGTATGCGAAACTTCCCCTGAACTAGGGTTAATCTTCTAACCTTCCTGGCAGGTCACAGAGGAAAGAAACGATATTGATTGTCTTCTCGAGGTATCTTGATAGCCCTCTAGAGTCTATTTCCTCCCTGAATCGTTCAATACTTCGACGCTTCTTAAGAAACACTCAAGGTCGGATTTATATGACGGTGCAGACATCTGCAGATCTCCTCCCATGTTTCCACATATCCCACATCGAGGCGGCGGAATACTGACACATGGTGGAAGATACGGATATGCGGCTATTTGTCTTGATGAGCAAAGATTTGTCGACCATCAGCCTCAATCGGATCCAAGCCGTTTCATTATAACTGACTGGGAGCCTGATACTACTAGCAAGCTGCTTTCTGATAGTCAGCATTCACTCTATTCTCACCTAGCAACGGCTTTTGTCTGAGGTCCAGACAATCTAGATGTTTTCTCTGACATACCTGTAACAAAACTCCTCCTCGTCGTGGGTAAAGCGTACTTCGACGTTGACCTCGTTAAAGAAGTAGCATGAGGCTCAGCCGCTTTCGACCAGCTTGGACCGCCGCATGTCTACAAGCAAACAATCCGAGCCTTTGTTCATACACAGAGGTATGGAATACATGGGTTTGGCGACGTGGTTGAGGGAAGGGTGAGAGACGCTGCGAATTGGCGAGACAATGGATTATCTTACTAACATATGTTTAGGGGGATGAGTTACTATTACCCTGGGTGGAGAATCAGGAACAGCTAACCCTCCTACCCCTGAGTCCGGTATGTCGTCTCTCGAGAACATGCTGTCCCTTACTGATACTTCGCTGGTATAGTTGCCGAAGCCACGAGAAAGCCCCTGTACAGTATGGGTGCCAGCGAATTGGGCGTCATGGTGCATGGGGTTGATAACGACCTCGAGCGTATTCTCGAACTCTCAACAAGATGAGGAGCAGTCGTACTTGTCAATGAATATGACGTGTTTCTCGAACGCTGTTCTCTGTCAGACATGCATCGAAATATACTCGGTTTTATCTTTCCTTGGCTCCTTGACTCCTACCAGGAAATTTTATTGTTAGCCAATCGACTTTCAGCCTTTTACCCGCCTTCGAGTCACGAATTTATTTCACCATATACCATCTCACCCTGGAATACCAGAGCAGGTTCCATCTGGAAGATATTTGCTGGCATTCTCTCGGAATTTGAACTGGAGCAGTTGGCTCACAACAAGTTCAACGGAAGGCAGATCAAGAACATTATCAAGAACTGCTATGAATTATGTCAACCCCGTCCTGAGGATGAAGAGGGGTAACAGAAGGTGTATAAAAGCTACGATTCTTTCGGCTCGGTCGATGGTGATTGAGCGTTGTGGGTTCTCGACTAGTTTTTCCAACGATCTTAGCCCATAGATCATATGCTGACGATGCTTCTGACCTTTGGGGCACAGGTTGAGATTTGATTTCCTTAGCTGGCCCAGCTAGGTGTGGTTACTGGCAATTGTCCGAATTGACTTGTTGTCGTGCACCATAACGAGTTCACCGAATGTGCTCTTGCTAATGAGCAGATACTAACAATAACGAGCATTGTGGGAATTGGCATGTAAGCTACCTCAAATCAAGCTAATATTTTGCAACTGATGATTAGCAGCTACACTATGCATCCATACGCTTGTCACTCTGAATTGAGCCCCCACACACAAAGCGTGACACGACGACTAGGATCAGGGATGTATGGACAATTGCATCAATGATATGTTATCGGAGAAATACTGAACTACGTCAGATCAACACTCACTAACAACCTCCTCTTCCTAGTCTCCACTTCTCGATCTCGACAACTGCCTCCAATCACGACTACAAATGCTTCCGACCTAAACTAAGCAACCAATGAGCTTCTCGAACACCACCACGATGTCAATTACACAACACAAAGATAAAAACCTCCGAACATCCACGTGGATCGTAGCAACGGTTAGCATTCGATGCTTACAATCCTTATCTTTATTACTGGTCGCTCACATTGTCACATCACTGCTGCTTTTGTGACCGCAAGGCCAAGGCCCGGTAACACGGCAATGCACGACCGGGGAACACCACAAGCGGTGATGCAATAGACTGGATGGAACGTGTACGAGCCTGGTCTGTCTGTTGGCTGCATAAATGCGGGAAATGTTTCTACGAAGAGTGTGGATAACAATAGACGCGGGGGGATGAGTTAAGCTTTAAAGCAAGACCGGTACGCTGGGAAGAAGCCTTTTGCATTGTCAACGGCTTTTATCGAACTCAACATGAAGTGTGTTACGCTTCTCTATGCGTGTGGTCTCTTGGCTACGGTCACAGCTGAGTTCGACGGTAACCTCAACTACGCCAGTCCGTCTCGTCGTCATGCTCGACTGGGTATCGATGTTCCTCTTGTCAAGCGTCGATCTTTGAAGCGTGGCAACACACCTTACGATGCATCCCAGCTCAACTTCACTCATGGTGTGGCTTCTGGAGACCCCTGGCCTGAGAGTGTCATTCTCTGGACTCGAATTGCTCCTTCAGCTCAGTCTGATAAGAGCAACAAGGTTGTCAACGGCACCGCAGGACTGTATAGCCATGAGACTGAGAAGTACATCAAAGCTGATGCTCATCCGATCTGCGTGGAGTGGAGTGTGTTTGTTTCTGAGAACACCTCTGGTGATGGGAAAACAGTGGCCAATGGAAAGGCTTATACTACTTCAGACATTGACTACACTGTCAAGGTATGGCTGGTCTAGTGGTAAGTTAACAATCGTGACTAACTGTTACCAGGTCGAGGCAAAAGGCTTGAAACCTCTTACTACTTATAATTATCAGTTCACAGTCTGTGACTCTGACACTAAGAGCCCCATTGGTCGTACCAAGACAGCCCCTACCGCAGACGACGATGTTTCGGATCTGAGCTTCGCCGTGTTCTCTTGCAGCAACTACCGTAGGATTCACTGTTTCAACCAATTGGAATCAAAGTAAACTAACAGTTTTAGCCAATGGTTACTTCAATGCATACGGCAACGCTGCCAGAAAGGATGAGCATGACTACGTTATCCATCTTGGAGACTACATCTACGAGTATGGAGCAGATGGTGAACGCACCAGTCAGCCTCGTAATGAGATCTTTACGCTCCATGACTACCGAACTCGCCATGGACAGGTATGTTTCATCACCTGCTTGAACTGCCCGAGTAACTATTTCTGATACGATATCTAGTACCGCACCGATTCTGATCTACAGCTGCTTTCTCAGAAGTTTGCTTGGGTTCCAACTTGGGATGACCATGGTGTGTTGCTCCCTGACCACAAGGAACTAGCTGACGCAAAGTAGAGTTTGCCAACAACGGCTACAGAGATGGATTTTCAGGTCTTAACAACACTGAAGACTCTTTCCTCAATATTGGCCCCAAAGTTAGCGTCGATACTCGCAAGGTCAATGCTGTTCGAGCTTACTTCGAATGGATGCCTATCCGGTAAGATCAAGCAACCTACTCAAATTCTATGATTACTGACACCCATGTGACAGTCAAACTGACTTGGACGATGGTCTGCGAGTCTGGAGATCCTTCCAGATGGGCAAGCTTCTTGACCTGATCATCCTTGACACAAGGAACTACGACCGCAGCATCACAACCCTCAACTGGAACGACGACTACATCGACATGATCCGAGATGACCCCAGCCGTACTCTCATGGGAAGTCGTCAAGAGAATTGGTTCTACCGGTCCCTTAGTAAGTCTAAGGACCGAGGTGCCGCTTGGCGAATTATTGGCAACCAAATCATCTTCTCGCGTATCACTGAGGATTGGGGTAATGGCGAAATTCTCCCTGGTGACAACTGGAGTGTAAGTTGAGAATGAAACTCCCATTGATTTTATTTTCTAACCTCAGAAGGGTTATGTGGCGAACCGAAACCGAACTCTGGAGCATCTTTACACCAACGACATCGGAAACAACGTATTTCTCGCTGGAGATAGCCATCAGAACTGGGTATGTCCTATTTCAAACATCAGACGCTTGACTGACATCCTTAGGTTTCGGATCTTGTTTGGCTCGGTACCAAGGAATACGACAACAAGACTGGTGCTGGAAGTATCGGAGTAGAGTTTGCCGGAACAGCTGTTAGTTCAAACGGTGTCAACGGACCTATCGAACCTACAGCTGGTAAGGCTGCTCGTGCTAGAATCCAGAAGAACCCCGAGTTGCAATGGCAGGAGGGTTATTATCGTGGATATTTCATCCTGGATGTCAATTCTAAGAAGGTTTCGTCTCGGTTCTATGGTAAGAATCAAATATTTGATATTTCGACTACCCTCACTAACCACCGCTTCAGGCTCACCCTCGGTTTCTTCTCGCAACTCCTGGGATATCCCCTTGGCCAATTTCACTGTCGTCTCTGGTGAGAACCACTTGCAGAGACCCGTTGCTGGCGGTCGTGCCGAGTCTGGTGCACTTCGTTATGGAGAGGTTAAGCACACAAATCTCACGCTTGACACTCAGACTGGCGAATGGAAGGAAATTGGATTTGAGACTATGTATGTTAAACACGAAGACTAGAAGTGTAGGAAATAAGAGGAGCCAATAAGGACTTTTGTTATTAATCCGGCCATAACAGAGCCTAAGGAACCAATTTCAGTTTTAAATGCTATATAGGAGCTAGAAGGGGATGGGGCATTTTGGGGTAATAAAGAAATAAGACAAATAGTTAAGATCTTAACCAACTCTCCCTTCCCGCATCTAACCCTCGTACTCCTCAGGCTCGCCCTCACCCTCGTACTCCTCGACCTCGTCGTCGATATCAGCATCCTGGTATTGCTGATACTCGGAAACCAAGTCGTGCAAGTTGGACTGGGCCTCGGTGAACTCCATCTCGTCCATACCCTCGCTTGTGTACCAATGCAAGAAAGCCTTGCGACGGAACATGGCTGAGAACTGGTCGTCGACTCGCTTGAAGATCTCCTGGATGGCGGTGGAGTTGCCGACGAAAGTGGCGGCCATGTCCAGACCTCTTGGGGGAACGGAGCAGACAGAGGTTTGCACGTTGTTGGGGATCCAGTCGACGAAGTACTCGGAGTTCTTGGTCTGCACCTTGAGCATCTGGTCCTCGATTTCCTTTGTTGAGAGCTTTCCACGGCTGAATTTTGTTAGCACATCTCATCTCACATCTCACCTGGGGATGAAATTTCATATCGGAACTTACAAGATAGCGGAACAAGCGAGATATCGTCCATTGCGGAAATCAGCAGCGGCCATCAGGTTCTTATTGTCGAAAATCTGCTGGGCGAGACTGGGGACAGTAACGTGTTGGAAGGTCTTCATCTTTCGGCCCGTCAGAGGAGCAAATCCAACCATGAAGAAATGAAGTCGGGGGAACGGAATCATGTTAACAGCAAGCTTGCGCAGATCCGAGTTGAGCTGACCGGGGAAACGGAAACACGTTGTCACACCGGCCATGACTGTGGAAATCAGGTAGTTGAGATCCGCGTACGAAGGGTCGGTGATCTTCAGTGTCTTCTCGTAGATATCGTACAGAGCCTCGTTATCAATACAGAAGGTCTCGTCTGAGTTCTCGACAAGTTGGTTCAGCGACAGAGTGGCGTTGTAGGGTTCCACAACGGTATCGGAGACCTTGGGGGAGGGCATGACGGAAAAGGTGGCCATCATGCGGTCGGGGAATTCCTCTCGGATCTTGGACAGCAAAAGCGTTCCCATTCCTGAACCGGTACCACCGCCGAGAGAGTGGGTGAGCTGGAAGCCCTGAAGATGCTCACAGTTCTCGACCTCGCGACGGACCACGTCGACGGCCTCCTCAACAAGCTCAGCACCTTCGGTGTAATGACCCTTGGCCCAGTTGTTTCCGGCACTGGCCTCACCGGCGACAAAGTTGTCGGGGCGGAACAGCTGGCCCATGGGGCCGGCGCGGATGGCATCCTGGGGACCGGACTCTAGATCCACAAGAACAGCACGGGGGACATACTTGTCATTTCCAGCCTAAATTGCAAGGTTAGTGAGTCAAATCTCAGTGAGTGCGTTTCTGCTCAGGTGGGTTAGCTTGCCTCAGCAAAGTAGACGTCGATGCGCTCTCGCTGCTGGTCGTCGGTTCCGTGGTATCTTTGAGTGAGTTAGAGGGAGTGAGGCAAATAAAGGGTTAGTGACGTTGTTGACTCACGCGCCGCTACCGTCAACGCCGTGCTCCTTGGAAACGGTGTTCCTGATGAGGTTGTCAGCATGGTAGCTCAAATAAACCATCCAAAGACATTCAAAACTTACCAGAAACTTGAGCCGACTTGGTTGCCCTGCTATCATCAACACATGTCCTTCAAGTTAAGTTTGGTGAGGAAACCCCTTACACACTGGCCGACCTGGATGTGCACCTGAGGGGAAAAGAGAAAATGTTAGCGTCTGCAATTAAGTGACCCCCCTAAACATCGGAGGGAGGAGCTTGAAGCTCATGCTCAGCTCAGGCTTGGGCTCATGCTCACAATCTCGCGCATCTTTGCTGATATGACCTAGGACGACGTGGAGTCTTGAGTGGTAGGGTAGGTAGGGTAGAGTGAGAAAGGGACAAAGGGTTCAGAAGGGGGGACGGTTGCCTTGAGGCTGTGAGGCTGGACACGTCTTAAATTCTAAACGCAGGGAAAATGGTGCCTAAAAGTAAAATGAAGGAGAATTCCGGTGCCTGGGCAAAAAGGCGGTAGCCTAGTGCCCGGTTTCCTAGGCGGTGGGTGTGGCCTGATTATGTTATCAACTTATCCCTAATCCAATTTGCTCGGTTAAGTGAATACGTTGTTTTTTTCTTGACAGGTCACTGGTCAGGCACTGGTCGGTCACTGGTCAATCACTGGTTGCTATGGGCTCCAGTGTCTTACAGCAGTGGAGTTTTAGCACACAACAGCCCGTGGCTCGGTGCTCGGGGACTCGCCCGCCCTCAGCTGGTCCCCCAATTCGCAGGGCGGTTTCATTACGGATAACAGGATATAAACAACAAAAACACATAACATTACTCATGTAACTCTAACTAATGAAAGACACCGAATCTGACCAGTTTGTTGATGGTCATTTCGCTACTCCTTTCTTGTGGCAAATGGCAAATTAAACCTGTGTGACCCATGTAAATTTGCATCCGTGGTCCAATTAGGTGGCCCAGATTTAAGCGCCAAAGAGCTCTCCCGCTCTCCTATTCTCAACAGTTTACACCGTATCCTTAGGTTCTTTGATATGCAGCCGCAAACACAAACACACACGACGTGCGTGACCGTGACCTTGTCTGCTGTCAACTCCGGCTTGTCGGAAGGGATCGTCATTATTGAAGATATGATGCCGAATCACATGTCACATGACAATTTGGAAAGTGATTAATCACCCAGAAACCATACCGAACTCACAGACTCACAGCATTCTTGTTGATACCTCAGTGCTCGCTCATTATGTGAGCATCATATATAAACGCCTCACGGTGAAGCTCTGGCTACAATTGGAGCCTCGGATCATGTCTTCGGGGTAAGATATCGGGTTTCTCCATGTTTTTATCACTCCGTACTCCGCAATTGACTGGCGGATCATTGATGTGCCGTGGTGGAGAGGTGGCTCCCTTGGATACTGATTGTGCCGCGCTTAACCTATACACACGTCACGATATCATGTAGTTTTGGTACTAGACCAGGCGATTGTTTCTGCAATGGCTTCTAGATCTTGATCATCGCTGTAGAATATTGTTCAAATCTTTCTTTTTTCTCGGATACCCTTCTATGGAGACTCAATTGAGGGACAAGAAGAGTCCCACCCCAAGTGTGAGAAATTATTTCATGATGGTGTCATGATGAAAACACGATGTGATACTTCGTATGTCAAACGCACATTCAAATGGGGTCATGCAACCCAAATAAATCAAATCGGATAAGGGAATATGCTCCTAGTTGGAGCGTTACAGACTAAATCCGCCTAAATTGGATGTTCAAAGTTGTGAACCGTCAACATCATCGATCCCACATCGCGAACCCTTCTTCTCAAGCGCTTTGACAGCGACAAGTCACAGGGTTAGATATTCTCGCACCAAAATCCTCCTGGCACGTCCCCAACCTGATTTATCTCATCGTCTCTCCTGATATTGCAACTTTACATTCATTTACTGAAAGATGAGTCAACACTAGAGGATTAAAACATGGTCAGGATGCCAGTGAGAGCTCCAACTCACCATCTTGCCAACAACACTTGTCCAACTCCTCACGGGAAGACCATGTTATATTCCTGAGGTGAGAATTCCTGACTATTGCGATTGATGCCTGGTGCCTACAAGGTGAGTCCATGCTATCGCAGGCAAGAAAATTCAATAAATACGTAAGCATACCTTATCGTCAACAGATGCTATGGTCCAGTTTCCACACCTTCAGCCTGGTCCTTCGCTGATACAGATGCTTCGAATGTTTGCTGTGGTGCACGTGGCCGGAAGCTGAAGTTGAGAGTATCTCGAGCTCCTTGAAAGACCTGGCACCGATATGGTGAGTCAAGAGTCTTCTGGATATTGACATTGTCTAGAACCTTAGAGGTGGTTTCCCGCCCAATAAACCTACCCTAATGGATACAGGAAATAACAGTACTGTTGGTGTTTTCCTAGATTTTTCATTCTATCGAATGTTTATAACGAAATGAACAAAAGAAACAAAATAAATAAATAACTTAAGAACCTAGCTTTGCAAAATTATAATTTCTCATGTCTCCCTAAGGCTAGCCCCCTTACACGGAATCTCACAGCTTAACCTACGGGCTGTAACTACCTCCCAGGCTAGAGGCGCCTTCACATTGGACAGGATGAGGCTGATCAAGAAGGGGATACCCAGCTGCTATTCGGTATCGCTACTGCCTTTCATGCCCAAGCGTTCTTTGGTACTTCCTTTCCTTTTTCCACTGGACATATGGGCGCTTTTGAATTCAGGACGTCAACCAATTTTCATTCTCTAACATCACCCGAGCAGAATTCCCATCTATATATAACTAACAGGGACTTACCTTGGACATCGAATCCTCTTCCGACTTGGCCTAGGCCATGCTTCTATCTACCTTGATCCGCAAACGTTGCATCATACCAGCTGTTGTCTTCGACCAGCATTTAAACATCAAACCTCTATCAAAATGGAAACGCCAGCAGACGAAGATGTGACCAACGCTGTATTCTTCGCAGTCTACCCGGAATCTGACCTGGTAGTGCAGCTAATGCGTTATTCTACATACGAGTACGCGGGGAACTTCATACGATCGGCTGAGGTGAAGGGCTTCTTGAGATATCAGGTCTTAAGAGACGGGAATGCCTATGGCGGCACACTCCTCATGAAATATAAACCTGAGAGCCAACTCCGTGGTTGGGTTTTGCTACTGGAGAACGAAAAACAGAAAGACTTGGCTTTTTCTGCGCTCAGCTACCTCCCCCGTCATGAGGTAGTTGACATTGTCTACTGGCCTAGACAACCGATCAAGGCACATATACACTATGATTTACCCCGTTAGAGAAGGACATGGGCGGACACGAGTTTGTATAATGAGGCATGGCTTTATTGCGGCCCTACAATACGGGCAGATACACTAGGGCCACCACCGGGATCGCCTTTACCTCCTGAAACCGCAGGCAGTCCCGGGCCACAGCCAATATTACCTTTCCCTCCTCAACCAGCAGACAATCTCATGCCACCTCCAGGACTACCTTTGCCTCTTCAAACCGCAGGCAATCTTATGCCACCGCCGGGACTACCTTTCCCTCAACCCGCAGGCAATCTCATGCCACCGCCAGGACTGCCATTCCCTCCTCAAACCACAGGCAATCTCATGCCACCGCCAGGACTACCACCGCCAGGACTACCCTTCCCTCCTCAACCCGCAGGCAATCTTATGCCACCGCCAGGACTACCATTCCCTCCTCAAACTACAAGCAATCTCCCCACTCCTCTCACAACGCCCGATTACTCTCCTGCTAGAAGTCAAAAGGACGGTGGGCAGGATTCTGGGCCCGAGTAATCGTCGCCGTTCAAGAGGAGGTTTCACCACGGCCTTGTATTACAGAAGAGGAGCAACCACCATGTCTTTTCAAAGCGGAAGATAAACCCGAGTCTATCAGCGGAATATCTCTTAGATACAGAGTAGCGACAGGGCCATAGGTTAAACTTGACTTGATTGGCTATTTCACTTTCTGATTGATACATGTGACCGTTGACGAACAATGTGTAGCTGTATACTATTGCAGCAAATGCATGGAGTCCTTCAACCATACTTGACACTAATGTTTTAACTGGAGTATCAAGCCAAGCCTTAAGGAACTGGGGGTTGCAAGAGCGAGTGATCCAAAGCAGTAACTGCTTATCGTCAGTATCTCTTATCCGAGTATCGGTGTCATGGGTTTTGAAAGACGATTGATGATTAGACTAAACAGGGTTGAGAGTCCAAGTAACCGACGGAGCGGGGTGAGGTCGGTGATGGACAACTCTAAAGATTTGCTTAATTTATATCCCGGTTAGGAAGGTAACTATACACGTTGCAGGCGGGGATAGTGGGAGGTGGATTCTCGGACAGCAGTTCTAGCTCCTAGACTAATAGCGACCGATAAAAGACCAAGGAAAAGGCGATGCATGCCATGTAATCGCTCATCCTATCTCTGGTTCGCCTAAGTAGATCGTATCGTAGACATGGAGAAGGCAGTGGAACAGACGTATAAGACATGGCAATCGCCGTCTCTGGATATCTTGGCTGGCCATTGGATGTGTACTCACCACGTTGAACTGCCATTTAAACCATCAGGCATACCCAAGTTTGACTGATAAACTTCATTTACCACTATTAAAAACATCTGAAGCTCAATTGCTATCAACATGGTCTATCTAGCTCACGCTAGAGGCCTCGCCGCCTTCGCCCTTGGCCTAACATTACTTGCTACCCCGGTATCATCGCTGCAAACCACTCTTGAATCCCGGCAGAAGAAGAACGCGGCAAGTCCATACACAGACATAGTATCGGAATATGTTGATTCTCTGGATAAAGAGCTCTGGTCGATCAACAAGAACATCCATGACAACCCCGAGCTCGGATACAAAGAGTTCAAGGCCCATAAGCTCCTCACATCGTACATGAAGAAGCAAAAAGGATGGAAGGTCACTGACACTGTTGGTGGGATTGACACGGCCTTCATGGCTGTCTTTGAGGGTGATGGCGATGGCCCTGTAGTGAGCTTCAATGCTGAGTATGACGCTCTTGAGGGTTTGGGTCATGCCTGTGGTCACAACTTGATCGCCACAGTTTCTCTCGGCGGCGCTCTAGCAACAGCGGAGATCATGCGCAAGGAGAAACTAGGCGGCAAGGTCATCCTCTTTGGCACACCGGCTGAAGAGTCCCTAGGCGGGAAGGTGAAGATGCTGGAAGCAGGTGTCTTCAAGGATGCCAAGATCGACATCTCTCTCATCTCGCATCCCAGCAACGGTCCTGACACTCCTTATATGCTTGCGCAGTCAACAGATCGCTTCGACGTTGAGTACAAGGGTCTTGAAGCCCATGCTGCAGCAGGACCCTGGGAGGGCATCAACGCACAAGACGCCCTCCTCCTCGCCAATAGTGCGCTGTCCTACATGCGCCAGCAGATGCGAACAACAGACCGCGTCCACGGCATCATCCACTCAGCCGGAACCCGTATCAACGTCATCCCAGCAGATGCATCAGGAAGCTACCAGCTGCGGTCAGCCAACGAAAAGCAGCTGGAAGAACTGTCAGACCGCGTGTACAACTGCTTCAAGGCCGGCGCTCTCGGCACAGGAGCCAAGATGAACTTCACCACGCGTCCCTACGGCTACGCCAACATGAACAACAACGATGGTCTTGCCGCGTCCTTCACGCGCTGGTTCGAGGAGCTAGGCGGCGATCTCCCGGATGCTGATGTCGACAAGATGAGAGAACCCGGCGGTTCAACAGACCAGGGCAACATCAGTCAAGACTTCCCAGCCATCAGCCCCATGTTCCAGATCACCTACGCCAACGGGACTGTCCCCAAGGGCGGCCCCCATACTGCGCCGTTTGAAGAGGCCGCGGGAAGCAAGGCGGCGTTTGAGAAGGCTCTGATGGTTGCGAAGAGTCTTGCGGGTGTTGCAGTAGATGTGTTGACGGTGGATGGACTATTGGATGAGATCAAGGCTGAGTTCAAGAAGACCAAGTCGCCTGCTAGACGGAGGAGATGAGGGCTTGGAGTGTTGATTAAAGGCTCAATCAGACGCAAAGAGTAGAGTCATGCCCCCACGAGTAGTACTGCAGACCGACCGATTGATGACAGGGCAATACAGCTTAGTGTAAATCATTGCCTGCTAGATATGTATTACACTATGCCAAAGAATTACAGTATCAGAAAGACTCGTGACCATGCAATGTTTCTATCTTACATCTATATACGCCGTCCGTTACTCATAACCACGTATCTCGTCGACGCCTGTTTCGCTCTATATTCCAGGAAGACCAATGACCTGTCTGAAAGCTGGAACAAAGCGAGGTACAATGTACACGACGTAAAAGGCTGTACCCGCGGTCAAGAGCCCAGTAAGCTACGATTCATTAGTATTGTACCCAACAGTTCGCTTGAGTCACTCACCTTCTCAAACCATGTATGGAAGTAAATAGCTGTCATCAACAGCATCCAGACGCTAAGTCCAATGACACCAACGGCGAATTTGCCACCGAGGCCCAAAGTAGGTTGCTCAGAACCTTCGCCCAGAGATGTTTCGGCCTCGACGTTGGCGCTCTTGAGTGCTCCATCAGTCATGACGACGCATCGTTCCTCGTTTCTCTTTCCCGACCATCTCAGTACAGCCCAGCCAACTTCCTGCATAAGGAATGCAGTGCCTAGAGTGAGAAGAAAGACATGACCCGATATGTCGTGTCCTCCCTTCCACTTTCCACCAGCAGCTTTGCAGGCCACAGCCGTGACCTTGTCTCCGACGGAATCGACACCAAACTCGATCTCTCTCCTGGCGAGCTCACAGCGACCACCTGTCCATTGGAAACCACGGTCGATCAGAGCTGGACCAAAACACCACTGCGTAACGATAAACCAGATGCCGGTAACAACGAGCCACCGCAGACTGGCTCGGACACGTCGTCCCACGTCAGTGGTGCTCGGATGGCTGAAGATAAAGACGAAGAAAGCAGCGGTGATCCAAGCCCAGCCCCTTTTGACGAAGAAGATGTTGAAGATATTGGACTTGCGCGCAAAGTAACTTGGCGAAGCGCTGGGATCTTGGATATGCGATTGCGTGACAGGGTCGTATGGTGCGGCACGCGTCTGCGGCGAGATGATGGAGAAGATAGTACCGAAGATCAGAAACGCTGGGAACAAGACAAGTCCAGCTCTCTCCAGAGGTGTCGGCAGGAAGGGTGACGTCCGCGGTGTCGAGGTCGTTCGTGGAGAAGTGTCCATAACTATATCGTGTTCAGGAGCCGCTCTAGCAGCACGGCGAGTAGTAACCATTTCTCCAAATAGCGCAAAGTGAGAGTATGCAAATGAAGGAGCTCGCCACAGCATCAGTAGAGCTCAATGAAGGGGTGAAGACAAGTCAAGGGAGGAACAAGGTGGCGCCAAAGAAAGGCATTGGCCCGTGTTTTTGACGATCGGGAAATGCAAAGTTGGCTTGTGGCAATGACGTCTACGTACTCGCGCTAGTAGTGGGCTGTCTCGCCAAGGAAGCTGTCGGAAGTTGGGAGATCGGGCGGGACGGAAGAACAAAAGATCCGACGTTGTTTCTTGGATTATTCCGTGGAGCGGGGTGAAATGACGATAACTTCGTCCTTTCAAAATTTGGAGACATGGATGCTCCTCGACCAACAAAACGACCACCCCGAGAGGTTCCGATCGTAATCAAGTGATTATGGGCTTCCCAAGGCATTTTGTCGCGTCTTACGCATGATTTACTTCACGCGCTCAACTGGACACCTGTTGTCCCGCCACGACTTACCTTCCGCCATCGACGAACCAACCGAAGCCGACTGCTGCCGATTTTGACTTTCCGACCACACGACCCTGGGTATCTTTATACATCAAATGCCTTCCAATGCATAGTGGGGAGTGGTGTAGTGGTATACGCTCCTAATATCCTAAGACTCCTAAAATCTCTAAAATCCGCTCCTAAAAAATCTCACCCACTACACCACTTCTCTTTTTGCACTTGATGCGACTTTATTTTTCTCTTTTCTCTTTTTCCATGCCTTCTTTTTTTTACTCGGAATTCCCACTTTTGACGACGTTCGAACCCCCCAGACGACAACACGCGCAGACAAACCTCGATTATCGACATTCTACGTTTCTCAAACGACATTTGCGACATATCCATGACTCCGCGGTGTCACCTTTGCTGGCTCGGATCATTCCCAGTGTGTTACCATGCGACGTCGCCGACATCCCAGCATCGAGGGTGTACCTTTATATACCAAAGTCGCTCTAATAGATCCTGTGTGGAATGGTGTAGTGGTATCCGTACCTAAAACCTATAAACCTTCTCTAAAATCCGCTCCTACAATTCCTTCTCCCACTGCACTCTCTTCTTTTTTTGCCGCTCACAGGTCGCTATTCAGCAATAAGGACGACATCTCTTGGCGCCGATTAGTTGCGGATATCTATCTTCGAGATTTTTATTTTTTTATCGACCGCCAACACTGAGGGCAGTGAGTGCCATCACCGCAGCCTCCTCGGACATGCAGCCACAGGACTCGCCCGCCTACCTTTATATACCAAGCTGTGTCTATATACCCCCAGCGAAGAGTGGTGCAGTGGTATCCGTACCTAAAACCTACAAACCTACTCTAAAATCCGCTCCTACAAATCCTTCTCCCACTGCACTCTCTTCGTTTTTTGCTGCCAGTTTGAACATCTCAACGACGACAAACATGATCAATATTTTTGCTTTGCGACGAAGCATACGATACACGACTTTTTCGATTTTTTTGCGCAACATGAGCCCAAGCTCTGCATCACGTCGCGCCCACCGATCAGGGATTGCTTCTGTTTTAGAGATCACTCCTTGGAAGTTCAAGGAGTATTGAACCCGACTGGAGCGCCAGCTATGGCCCCTCATATCGACCGGGTGGTGCTCTAGCTTGGTGTTGTGTGGAATAGCGCGCGGGACGGGGTCTCTACGCCTCCCCTTTATATACCAAGCTGTGTCTATATACCCCTGGCGAAGAGTGGTGCAGTGGGAATCCGTCTCCTAATAAACCTAGAACCTAAAATCTCAAAGCCTCACCTACAATTCCTCTCACCCCACTGCCTGCTCTTCGTCTTTTTTTTTCTTTTTTGCCAGAGCTCACACCTCATGAAATCGTTCTTTTTTACCCCTTTTGCGATCCGACGAGGCATTCGGATCATCGACATGTGGCTCATGGGAATCGGAGCACATTCTTGCTAACACATCTAGATGACGCTTTCGATGTTGTGCTGAACACACGTCTCCATACGCGCCGCCGACCTCCCCATTTGTATACCAAACACACTTAATACTCTCAGCGAACAGTGGTGCATTGGAAATCTTTCTCGATAATCTCGAATCTCGAAACCTAACCTAAAACCACTCTCACCCCGCTGTCTGCTCTTCGTGTTTGGTGGTCGTGGCTCCGGTCCACCCGTCACCCCTTTTTTGGACGAGGACGTCCCGCCCTCACCTTTATACACCAAGATTGCCCATCATTACAGCGGAGATGGCGCAGTGGGAATTCTCTCCTAATATCCTAAAGTCTAAAATCCGCTCCTATGATTCCTCAACCCACTGCGCCTCTTCTTTTGCCAGGTCGTGGCTTCGAAATCACCCGCCGGCTTTCCTTTTTTTTTTGTTGCCTTTCAGCAACGAGCTCTCGGCCCTACCCCTTAAATACCAAGTTATCCCATACCCCTTACGGAGAGTGGTGCAGTGGAATCCGTACCTAAAACCTATGAACCTAAAAACTCTCAAACTCGCTCCTTCAATCTCTCACCCACTGCACCCTCTTCTTTTTGCATTTTCTTTTTGCCGTAGTTACGGCTTCAGCACTATGTTACATGATCTTCATTCCCGAAATGAGCTTGGTGCCTCTTTTTGTCATTTTGACACACATGTGAGAGCAGTCTCGGGTGTAATCTCCATTTTTGCAGTCTTGGAAAGGATCCTCTTGTTCTTTCCGCTATGACTTCTTCCACCTGGATTACCAAGTTTCAGTTGAACTTGATCAGTGTCGTTTGTCGTCTTTGCTTCTTTTGAAGAGCTCAAATCGATGTCTCTTATTGCTTCATTCCGACGCGAATACAAGGCCAGCTTCGGGCTTGAACTAACATCGCAGGTACGGGTGGATGGTGAAATAGCTCGATGTAGGGTGGTGATGTTACTGGTAAGCTGACACGCTTGAGCACGGTAGGTGCCTGAGGTGCAGTGGCACATGACGAGCATAGCTTTATATATTAAATACTGCTATTACCCTTCTGAAGTGGAGTGGTGTAGTGGTATCCGTACCTAATTACCTAGAGTCTAAAATCCGCTCCTAAAAACTCTCTCTCCCACTACCTGCTCTGCTTCATTTTTGGCTGCAAGTTCGAAAACACTGGCTGTCTTTTTTTGCCATTTTTGAGTCGTACATGTGAAGTGGCCTCGTGTTGATGCTCAACCCACGATTTCCTCATGGTGTAAGTCAGGGGCTCCGCTGTTGGTAGACCATTGTTTTGGTAGACACTCATCCATCGCAATGTAATACGTTCATTTATATCTCTTAAATGCAAATCTGCTGAATCATTCTTTGTGCACTTTGGTCCTTCGATTTGGAGGTCTTGTTGAATACTTTCCGCCATGGGTGCTGTGATTGATGTCACTATACTCGAGCAGATGATCCCAGAAGCCCCCTTTCTCGAACTGCAGATGCGCACTGCGAGATCAGATCGTCAAACACCGACGAAGAAGGGTCTGAGGAGGATATTCCTTGCCAGGGAGAACATCAAGAGCCGATGAATTATCCATGGGGGATGCCACGTCCTCGTTCCGCGCCTCCGTTGCTGCCTGGACCGAAGCGTAGGTTCACGCCATACTTGTCAACGCCAGTCCGTCGACCCTTATATAATTAAATGATGCGTCCACCTTCCAGCGAAGTAGCTAAGATATAAACAGCTAAATGTATGGTGTAACGGGGAGAAAACCTCCGACACCCTTCGCTTTTTGGTGTTTGTGCCCTTCCTGGGTTCAAGTCCAAGGCTCACCACGCTGGCTTTCTTTTTTTGCATTTTATATCCTTTACCGCCTTCCCGTTCTATCAAGAACGATATTTTAATACTTTGCTATCATAGAGTGGGTGCTTTGCTCTGCTGTCTCCCAAGATGAGGCCGTGATTCCTCCATTCGGCCACATCACACTTTGTATCTAGGTTTACGCACAGAATCTTATCAACGCCAGCCTCTACTTATATACCAGAATAACATGTTCTCCTCCAGCGAAGTAGTTACAGTGTAACAGGCGTAAAGCTACAAGTTTGGTGTAGTGGAACAAGAGTTACAGCACCCTTCGTTAATCTCGGGTTCGAGTTTCAACAACTCGTCTCCCTTTTTTCTCTTTTTACCATTCTTAGAGTTCTCGATATCGTCAACAACCTGGTGAACAGTAACGTACAATGGAAGTGTTCCGTAGCCCGGTATAGTCTAGTCTCTATTTCTTCAATAGACTTCCATGAGTCTGATCACCAAAGGGAGAACGTACGCTTCCTACCAGCAGGTCTTTCTTTGTCCAAAATACAGACAATGGCGATATAGATTGTCGGGTTTAGTTAGCACTCAGCAGATAAAGTTGAAGAGGGGAGCGAGGACCAGGGCTTACATGGTCCCAACACTCGCACCAAAGCACAGCCTCCCACCAGGCAGTATCCAAGCAGGCATCCACTTGTCAGTCCCTTATAAGCAGTCACAACAGTTTTATTCTCAGCGAAGTAGCTAAGAAATCTTCTACGTACCGCACCTTTAGTGTGGTGGTATTACCGTCCCTTGGTACCAAACTGGTCCAATTCCTCTTAATTGAGTCGTTGCCTTCGTTTTTTGGCTCTTGCGTTCGAGTCGGGCTCTAACATTGGCGTAGTCTTTTGCGCATTACACTCTCCATTTTTCAATCGGTCGCATGCTCTCTTGTATTTATCTGCCTCTTTTCTCACTCTAACAGTGGCTTTTCAGCATTCTTGGTCGTGATGAGCAGAATTGCAATGTCAGCCCTAGAAGGCAGGCACGAAGTGTTGATGGTAAGTGCTGACGATGTCTCAGAATGGAGCATCCACATGGCCCACTACAGGAGCTGTGCTCCACTAATGCCCCCTAGACCCCTGACCGTTGACGCCTCGCAACGTAGATCCTTCAGACTAAACATCTCAGTTGCATTCTAAACATTATAAATGGAACCATTTCTAAGGATTCACAAGAAGCTCGGCTGTGTTCTCCTGCGATTACGCGTCAATCTCGAGGCTAACTAGCCCAGCATACGCACACAGCAGAAAGCAGAATATCGGTCGAGTCATGATATGACCGTACCAACAACCAACAACCCAACTCAATCAACATCGTCTCTACCCTGTTCCATGTCCACTCTTGTCTTCTTCATCTCGGCGTTTACCTGTTTCGACGGATCATACCCCGACAACTCCCGTTTTAACCCTCAGGAAACCTGCCGATCACAACCTTGCGCAAATCCTACGCTATAGTTTTCTCGAAAAGTCCATGGTTTCGATGGCTCACAATTGGCTTTATTGTACACGCTACAAGGCGTTGGAGTTGGAGTTGTATCCGGCTCTTGTCATTGCTCCCTCTCTGGAAAGGACCCGATAGGATGAAGGTGGAAGATTTTGTAATGGGTTTTACAATGACATAACAAAATCCGGGGCATCGCTCACCAAGTGCTCTTTGTAATGGAGCCACTGTCATACTTTGCCGAGAGGGCTAGGCGGATCCTGCAGCCGTTTCATACGAGCTTGTGATTTCGATTATAAAGAGAGTTGTACGCTGATCCGACGGGCCTTGGTCGGTGCCCGAATAAAACATGCTGCTGTTGTATTGTGCAGGCGGTTCTACATCATCATCATGCGCAGCCTGTTTCTAAAGGCCGCGGCATGTATTGCTTTTCTCTTATGCCTCAGCTGGTATGGACAAGCACACTTCTATCGCGATCCTGGGAGTGTCTTCTTCGATAAGACGCGGGCGTATGAAACCCACTACTCCAAGAATCGCAAAGCCGAAGCACAACAAGTGATAGAGTCATACATGAAGGAAAATCCTGCAACGGATCGAAATAAGAGCATTTGCATAGCACTTAGCTCTGTGACACGGCAGACGCAATACCTCCCGGTATGGACTTCACCAATTTTGCGGGCGACCTACTAAACCTGCGATGAACAGATGACAGTCGGCAGTTTGTTGCACGGCCTTACGAAACTGGAGCGAGATGATCTTCACATCTCCGTTCTCATTGCAGAACCCGATCCCACGCGCCATCCGAACTGGAACGAGACATGGCTCCGCCAAGCAGTCGACGATGTTTTTACTTACGATCTCGACGACAAAACGATGGCGCACTTGCGCCAACTCCAAAACACCCAAAGCTACCTTGAGAAGGGTGTCTTTGACTACACCTATGCCCTCCAGCGATGCTACGACACAGGCGCATTGTATATCGGAATGTTTGAGGACGACATCATCCTGGCAGATGGATGGTTCATACGGACTCTTCGAGGTTTAGCGAGAATACCAGGTTCTACCCAGGATTGGTTGTTCATGCGCTTGTTCAACCAGGAGAGGTCAACTGGCTGGGGAAGCCGCGAGATTGGCGGCAATCACGAACACTGGATCATCTTGGGCGTGGGTATGGGAATCTCGGCCTTCGTGCTCTCCCTCCATAGACGATGGAGAGCTTCCCGCAGGTATCTCGACCTAGAGACGCTCTTCGTAGTTGTGTTCATTCTGGTGCCAGGGCTGGTGATACTGCTATACCAGTCTGGCAAGGCATCTTTGTTTCCCCCATCACCGGGGGTGTTCAACGAGCCGTTTGGATGCTGCTCGCAAGCAATGATCTTTCCGCGCGTTCAAGTCCCGCCGTTAATAACATATCTTCGGGGGAAGAAAGGACAGGTGGATCTGATGCTGAATGACGTTGCAACGGAGAACGGTCTAGACAGGTATGCTCTGTATCCAGTGCAGGCGCAACATATAGGTGAGTTGCCTCCGCGTCAATTGAGATGGGTTGCTAATTGGTCTAGGTATTGAATCAGCGAGGAAGACGACAAAGGACGAGGCTCAAGCTATCTGGAGCATGGCTTTTGAGGACTTGGATGCGAAGGTTCTGAAGAAGGAACATCAGAAGATGGTTAGTCAGTACCAATCATGGCGGAATGAGATTGTGGCTAGAGGGGAAGACTGATCTACCGTCTTCCGTTGGTGATGGAGTTAACAAACAAATACATCTGAGCCTATGAATAGTCCCCTCGTCCGTATTGTGTGCTATGATGGACCAAGCACCAGGTAAAACTAGAGTAACGTTATGTCAATGCAGAATGCGGCATGGTCAGAACTGCAAGGGCAGCTATTCTTAGAATGGCAATGATTGGCTTGCTGAATGTCGGCACTGAGGCCTGCAGCAGGGTTTTCATCAGCTCCGAACTGTCCAAATGTTCCGTCATTGACAAGGTGTATCGCCGTTATACAGAGTAGGACGAGATATAGAATTCTTGTTCAAAAATGATCAAGAAAAAGACACATGTCAGGAAGATCTGTATAGCCTGGGATAATTCGCCGACAGTCATCAATTCCCCACCAGCGACAGTTGATGGGTCGAGCCCTTGTGGCGTAATGGCTAACGCGTCTGACTTCTACTTCGAAATCAGAAGATTCAGAGTTCGAGTCTCTGCTCGGGCTTTTCTTTTTTTATTGCCTTTGTATCGATCTAATGATCCTAGGGCTTCGCCCAAGTCAGGAATTGGAATGCCTGTCGTGTCCGGCTATTCCAGCCTCTATGCGTCGAGGTTCATGGAGCTCTGGTCATTTGGTCAAGATCAATCCCAACTACATTCAAGGGCTTGTATAACAATTAATTACATGAAATCTTCAAAGCCTTAACTACATTCCTTACTATTTCAATCGCTGTCTTTTGGGTCTTGGTCGCTGCCAAGCGTCTTAGCATCAATGATGATCCCCTGGATCTAGTGCTGCAGACTCTGAGTCGAAGAAGGTGCTGACAGAGCCTTGGGTCTCTCTATTAACTTCAAGGGACAAGTATCGGCATAAAATACCCTTTGAACTGATTGCCTTGACTAAGGCCAGGGAGGGCTTTTTCGTAGTTGACTTGCTATTGAAGGAACTCGAGCTTGTACTTACAAGACTAGAAACCGATAGTCACATCAACGGTAACTTGATCCAGTCTGTTTTGAGCAAGGAGGGATATCGATAATAAATATAGTGCCAACAGATCTGGCTAGAATTTAAGCAATAAACTTCCTACTGACCTTCCTTGTCTAAGGCTCATAAGCTTGTAATGTGGGAGTGGTCCTCAGCCCACACCGTTACAAACTCCTGAGCTTTTACAATGGAAATCACTGTGTTTAAATGATAAAAGCTTGCTGTCTACTTCCAGATTTTACTATTTGACCTAGACATGTATTTTCCCCAACATGAAAATCAATAATTAGTAAGAGGCAGCGACCTAATAAACAGTCACCAATATCTTGTCACGGCCACTCTGATTTAACTCCTCTCAGCTATTATGTCCTTAACCTTAGTATCGAATTGATGTTCAAAATCGACTTAGTCCATAGGTTGACTTCTCATGAAATCTCTGGAACATTTGCAAAGACATGCAAGCTGATCTGCTAGTACTGGAGCATAAAGGTGACGATGGCGATGAGGTCGAAGTCGAAGACAAGATCTGAGGTTGGCCAATGGATTTAAGAATAATAATCATGTGCAGGGAAGACTAGTAGTATTTAGAAGATTGATCTTTTTTGAAGTAGTATGATGATAATTACTGAATGGCGAGACTTGACTTGATTTGTGACGAGTTTTTTCTGGATTGCAGAACATAGACTCTGGCAAGCCCAACATCCCCATCAGTCAAATCTGATAGGCCCCTCTGGCGTAATGGTTAACGCGTCTGACTTCTAATCAGAAGATTGCGAGTTCGAGTCTCGCGAGGGGTTTTCTTTTTATTTTTTGCTCAAATTGCTGATTGTGATTTACCAACATGGTTGGGTCAATCCGGCGCGAAATCATGGCTTGTCAGTTCAGGTTGTCGATTTTTCCATGGGTGAAGATCAACTCCCGGCGTGGTGACTCAACGCCGATTCAGGGCCCCACATTCACTCACAACACCATCAAGATGACTTGGCAGCAAAGAACAACATGGGAAAGACGCTTTATGTACGGGAAGAAATAAATAACTCCCAACAAAGCAGCCAAGTAGCTACTTAAGCTATTTGAAAGCGCAAATGAACAACATTCTCCTGCGAAAACCTTCGCTTTTGGCGGTGGATGAGTCTATCTTTGTGTAACTTCAAAGCGTGACCCCGTAGTGATTTGTCTGAGATAGCATATTGTCTTTTTGTTCTCTTTTCATAGGTAATAGTAAAATGCAAGATGTAAAAAGCATCAATTGCCAAACTAAATTGTAATCATCGTTTGATGTACATACCATCATCTCCATAGTCCCCAGTGACACTCTAGGACATGCATCGCTCAAGCCCAGTGACCAAGACCAACTAAGCAACCCAGCCAATCCTTCGATGGACACGCCCTTATAAACCAAATAAACAAACACATCTTTCAGCGAAGTAGCTTCATAAACCAATGCTCATATGTTGTTGTAAACTCGGAAATCCCCCATATATTTCTTCGCTTTTTGCCTCGAGAGCGTGCGTTCGAAGTTGCCAGATGATGAGTCTGCCCTGTCAGTAATGAGTTTCATTCCGGTCTTGCCTTTTTTGTTTTATTTTCTCTCTTATACATAGATAGATAGATACGCTCAAAAATGTTCTCATGAACATTATTCTCATCATCTCCAATGCGTGACCGTCTTCTGTGTTGTCCTTCAATTCGTCAACCTTGGACACGGACATTTACCCTGCACAGCTCCGCCCCATCCCGCTGATCATTCTCATTCTTCTCCGCCCTGCTTACTACTAGGCTGCAGCCCATATAGTTCATTCTAACTGCAAGTCTCTCAGCGAAGTAGCGTTGACCTAAAGTCTTACAATTGAAACAATCAATCGTTTGGTCGAGTGGTTGGGCTCGCTCTCCACTCGACCCTCTCCTTCGGGAGACTTCTTCGCTTTTGCCGCTCGATGGTTCGATTCCGTTGTCACCATCAAACCAATTCTTTTGTCACATTTTTTTATGACAACCTGTTCCTAGAAATTCACATTTTATCCTCTTGACTTCACTCCTACCATTTTGTCTATTGTTCACTCACGTCATCATCCCCCAAAACACTGCAGTCTTGGACCGTACCAGGTGGTCTTCGGGCCCATCATAGATACTCACTACCTCATGTCCACAGTACTACATCACCATCGAGCAAACATTCACATTTCGCAGACATATTTAGTGGCAGCAATTTGATTCATTTAGCTACCCAATTTAAGCAAAGGTGAAAGGTCCAACCGAGCGATTGACGCTGATATATCCGAAACTCCAGTTCCACCTGGAACAAAACCCTAAGACAAGAAGAAGAAAAGAACCGACTCAAACGCGTCTGCGACGTTGAGCGGGAAACGTTGAGCATTGTTGCTCGGGTATTCGCATGATCTATACGATCTCGCTGGGTGTCGCACTTTCATCACACTACGATGAGAAGAGGGCAATAGCAGCGCAGAAGTTGTTGCGGTTGTCCTTGTCAAGGATGGCAGACTTGCCATTAACATTGACCATGTTGACGCTGGCCTTGGTGCTGATACCGTAAAGGTGCACCTGTGAGCTCTCGAGGCTGATCATGTTGTCCTGGCAGTTGTTCTCACCAACGCAAACCTGATCGTAGTTGTCGAAGAAGCTGTAAAGACCACCACCAAAGATGAAGATGTCCTTGGAGTTCACAGCGCGAACACCCCAGGTGCGGGCACACCTCTTAGAGGTACCAGTGCAGGTAGCCTTGAAGTCAGGGTCGTAGAACTTCTTGTTGACAGTGAAGGGAACGGTCGCGTCGGGGTTGCCCTGCATGTAAGCAGTCTCAGTCTGAATGAGTGACATGTAGACATTGGCAGCATTCTCAAGGTGGTAGTTGTAAAGAACGCTGTGCTCGGAAGCAGTGCCCCACAACCAGGAGCCCTTGGTGCTCTCAATCAAGACACCACGACCGTTGTAGAGGTTGATCTGAGAGTGGTCGCTAAGGTCAAGCTCGTGATCAGCAACCCAGAACCAGGTGTTCTCGAGGTAGACGCTGGACTGCTTGGTCATGTGGAAAAGCATGAAAGCAGCCATACACTCAGCCTTGGGCTCAGTCTTGACCGTGGGGGTCTTCTTGCAAGTATCGGACTGGAGCTGAGTACCGGCAGAGCCACCGACGCGGAAGTGAACGTCAAAGAGACCGGCAGAGCCAGGGGTCTGGCCAGCAACGTTGAACTCCATCAAGATAGCACCGGGCTGGGGTCCGAGAGTCTCAAACATGAGGTCCTGGATCTCGACATTGCCGACATCACCAGCCTGACCGACTTGCCAGACGGGCTTGGGGTTGGCCTGGTCCTTGAAGTTCTTGTCGCCACCAGCCATGATGAGAGGCCAGATTTCGCCAACAATCTTGATGTTCTTGGGAACCTTGACAGTATCGGTAATGACGTAGGCACCGTGGTCGAAGTAAACAATCTGGCCCTCCTGAACACTGTTGAAGATAGCTTGGATAGCAGCAGTGTCGTCGGTCTTTCCATCACCCTTGGCACCCTTGGACTTGACAGAAACAAAGCTGGAGGCGGGAACGGTGTTGTACTGAGGCTTGCTCTTGGTGACGACGTTGCCGTTGCTGTTGAGGATAGCCTTGGGCTTCTGGATGGGAGTCTGAGCGCTCTGAACAGCCTTGCCGCTACCGCCAGTATAAGCACGACCTTGGACCCATGAGTTGATCTTGGCGTTGCCAGCAAGGATGGTAGCGCTGGTACCTCCGTTCTTGACAGCGACAGGGACGGCAGACGACATGTCGACGTTGTCGAGGATCAGAGTACCGTTGGTGCCGGGCTGGCCGGGGTTGTAGTTGGTAAGGAGACCAACTTGGGTGTTGGCAATCTTGCTGTCAGTCAAGAGGATGGAGCCGACGTTCTGGACGCTCCCGCCAGCGGTCATGTCAATTCCAACCTTGGCACCGGAGATGTCGAGGCCGTTAAGGGTCCAGACCCAGTTCCAGTTCATGTAGACGGCAGTGTTGCAGTTGCGGAAGGTCATGTTGCGGCTAGTGAACTGTTGGCTGCCAAAGAAGCCACCATAGCGTCCACCGATGAAGGTGAGGTCGGTCATGAAACCACCAGAGCCGTTGTCGATGAAGATACCCTGCTGCTTGTTGTCCTCGCTAGGGTCCTCGATCATCTGGAAGACAATGTTCTGGAGAGAAGTGGCCTGGGCAACCTGCCAGTGGATACCGGTTCCGGAACTCTTGGGCATGCCAGTAAGGTCAATCTTGAAGTTGCGGACCTGGCGGAAGAAGTTATTCTGGTTGGTGTGCCAGTTGGAACCGTCGGGGTTGTAGGGATCGGCATCGATGACAGCCATACCCTCGAAGTTGGCAGAAGGCTTGAGAACGGGAAGCTGACTGAGATCGCCAATCATGTGGGTGTAGTAGTAGGGGAGAATAGGCTTGGAGACAACGTAGGTACCAGGAGGGAAGTAAACAATAGCAGGGGTAACAGTGGAAGAGTCGCAGCCCTTGCCGCAACGGTTGCCATCAGAAAAGGCGGCGTTGATGGCCGCAGTGTCGTCAGAGCTGCCATCACCCTTGGCACCGTAATCCTTGACGTTACGGAAGATCTTGTAGTTGCCAGTACCGCCATAGGCAACGGCACCCTGGCGCTTGATAGACGAGAACCACCAAGAGCCGGCAGCAGCAGGAGCCACAGCAGGAGTGGTGTACTGAGGAACCGCAGGAGCAGTAACCTCGATTTCGATAGCCTGGGGAGCAGCCTCAACCGGTAGGGAGAAGAGGCGCATCGCCAGGAGAGAGGCGGTGACGATAGTCGAAAGCCCCATGGTGACGATGAAGAGCCAGCTAAATCGTTGGTGTCGTGTTGTTGAGATCTGGTGTTGATCTAGAGAGAGTTGTGTTGGTATTCCAGCAGAATACTGTGAAGAGTCAGTTTGGTGATCGCGATGTTTGTGAAGGATGATGAATTTTACAAGGGAAAGATTTGAGATGTGCAATTTGTAGGGAAGTGAACAATAGAAGGGAAGGTTTGAATGAACAATGATGTAATGAACAGATGAAAAGTAAACAAAGGATAATAGCAATAGTGGGATGTGAATGAGAGTGAATATTGCAAGTGAAAGTGTTCCGGCAGCTGTTGACGGCCGTTGGGAGTATAAGTGACGAGATGATATATTCTGCCACCTCGTCGCAGTGCCACGGCAGAAGTGGGCTGGAACTTATTCTTAAACCCAAGTCACTTGAACTTTATGCTTACTTATTCTTCCGGCACTTGCGGAATCGGCACTTGGGATGAAATTGCGATAGGATATGATCCCCTGGTTCCGGTTGCATATGGAGGCTTGAAACTTACCAGTAGAAATGCCGAGTTGATTGCGAACAAGATGATATCAAGGGAGTGATGATAAGATGGCGCAAGCCTTTTAAAAAGGACAAAATTTGTAAAAATGAGAGAGGGTGGGTGATCCAAAGCAATGACGCTGTTCCAGACAAGCCAAGAGAAAGAAAGGATAGGGAGGGACTGGGAGAGACACGCGAGCGCGTGTTCACACGATAAAGACTGTCGTGATGGTGGTGGGTGTGGTGGTTGAGGATGGGACGGAAGGAAGAGAAGAGAGACAAGGGAAGACAAAAGGCCTTATATGTAACATTGAAGCAATGAATGACTTGTTTGCTTCTTGCATCGGGCGAGTCCAGCCAAGTCTAGTCGCCTTCACGTACCTTGTCGTTATTGTTACCACTACTGCCATTGTCAAGGACAGGGATCTCATCGTGGTAGCTCTCAATGGACGCCATCCGCCGTCTCTGCCTCCGCGAACCAGTCGTTGCAGTGGAGTTGTCCATGGCGCGGTCTTTCTTTGAAGCAGAACAGGGGTGGCTACTAAGAACAAGGGCAAATGATTGAGGGGATCGTCATTGGCTATGGATGCATCACGGACTGTTTCAAAAACGGCCTGTCCCAGGACCAAGGCGAGAGGATGCGAATTGAGGATGAAAAGATGAAACGAAGAATATCCCGAGCTAATGGGAAAAGATAGGACAGCGTTTGATGATGAAGAAGCGAGAAGTTGAAGTCTGCAGCAAAAATAAGAATGGAATGAACCAAAGAAAGGAGTCGTCCCCAGGAACCGAAAGCGCGTTCAGCATCTCGCACCGAAAAAGGAAAGTAGCAACTGTCCGAAATCAGTCTAGCGCTCTGTTTCACCGGATCACCCCAGACAAGCCAGCGGGTGGCTCACGCCGTCGCCGGATCAAAAAAGCCGGGATTGGATCTTTAACAGCGGCAAAGGCATAAGAAACCCTGTTTTCCCTGGGAGAAACTAAACATGAAGCCATCATGAGTCTTGCGCACAAGACCAGGGATCTCGGAATATTATCCCAAAAGAGAGGCAAGGAAGAGTCGGGTGCCTTGCAGCGGGAGCAGCCATGGGGCATGCAATAGAGTTTCCATATGGTCGATGTCACAATATTAACTTGAACTCTAATTTCCATTCCTAATGCATTCATCATTCCATCAAACCCTCTTCTCCAAACCCCTCAAACAATAAAAGCTACCCTAATTAACACAAAACCAACCACAACATCCTCCATTCCTCCGTTAATTAGCAGGCTTCTCTGCGCCACGATGTAGAATCCTCAGTCTCAGGCCAACGTCATGGCTTTCAAACACGCGCGCGACTACCATCAGATAAGCGCTCAAAGAGAAACATGGGCTGAAGAGGATCGAAACCTCTGGCCGAGGTGGTCCCGGCAGATAAAATGGATTCTAATTAAAGGATTCACAGTAGGGGTCTTTGTTAGTCTTGGCTCCGAGGCTCCGTAGTGGCGGTTATGCCCTCCATTCACCACCAGATATAGCATTGTGATGCTAAGAGCAAGTATAGATAGATACTGTGGTTATGGCAGTACCGATTATAGATATTATCCTAGCCACTGGTTTATATAAATCTTGATTCATCTACACTCGAAGCCATCACAGCCAACAATTTCCCCTCGAGGTCCCCTGTTTCAAAACAGCTCCCCACATCCCGCCGCACCACTACGCGCGCATTCCACAACCAACACCAAGCATCATGCCTTGACGCCCGACACCCGATACTACGTATCATACTCAAATCGATCTGGACAATACTACCCATGCTACCATGGCATCGCATTAAGTCAACCGTTGTCCGCATGTGGCATCCTATAAAATCCTATAGTACCTCCCCATATAGGACAAGATAGACATCCAGATCAGGTGAATATTAATTTCAGGATGGTCATTTATGCGCACCAACTCCATTTGTTTCTGATCCCCGCCTTCACATGATCTACGTTAAATATCACACGCTTCATGTTTCACTCTGCATCCCTCACCATCTCATCCCGCATTTTCGATATTGATGCACATTCCCGTTCATCTCCCTTGTTTCACGTATCATCCCATGGACCCTGCAAACACTTAAACATATTATTCACCCGTTCGTGAAACGATGCACAGAGGAAACCGAGCTGTCGGAAACAACTTGACAAGTGATAAATAATTAAACATTTCAACTCCAGACGCATCTATGATCCAAATCGCTTGTCAACGCTAGGAAACATGTCGCCGAATCTCAGATGTGCTCCGTGAGGTTGCACGCATGCACCATGTTTCCAACATGCCACCGATGCTGTCCATACATGAAAACAGTCTAACCCAGTCCTTCCGTGTCATAAGTCGTAACAGCCAGCTCCAGTCGGCCTAGCCCAGTATTATCCGTGCCCTTGATCTTGTTCCCATAGCATGTTGTAGCTTAAATGAATCCTCCGTCCACCTCAACCTCGACAGGTCTAGCGCTTTCGATTGTCTCAATACCCTCGACGTCAGCGCCAAAGTCCATGATCAAGATCTTGGGATCCTGTCCCGTGCTGACAATGCGACGGTAATCACTCTTTGCGCTCAGCACCCAGCTTGCGTGCCACTTGGGGAAGTCGAGCAGCTGATGTCCAGTCTCCATATCCCACACCTTGATGTCGGTGTCATAGCTTCCACTGACCAGTCGACCGCTCACACTATCTATGTGTAGGCTGCGAACCAGGTTCTCGTGGGCACGCATCTCATGCAGGCACTCGCCAGTATTGGCATCCCAGATGCGAATGGCTTTATCATTACCAGCAGATGCAATATACCTGCCATCTTCGGAGAATTGGGAGCAGGCAAGGCCCTTGGTGTGCCCCGTGAACTCGCGGATGTTTTTGCCCGTTTCAATGTTCCACAACTTCACGCGGAAATCTCCCGAGCAGGACACGATGGTGTTGCCCCGCATTTGAACCGCGTTGACAGGTCCACTGTGCCCGCGAAGCTGCTTGATCAAGTCGCCAGTCTGGCGATCCCAGACACAGATACTAAAGTCCTTGCTGCATGTCACGATGTGCTTGTCGTCAAAGGCGAGATCGAGAACAGCTGCGGTATGATGTCGAAGTCGACGAATGGGTCGATATCCTGCACGAACGTCATAGACGATGCAGGTAGAATCGGAGGATCCAGTTACAAGAATTTCATCGTCATACTGCAGACAGAGGATAGAGGCCATGTGATAGGTGGGGAATGAGGTACTACGAGGAATCGAGAAGTTAGACTTCTCGTTCTCAGAAGAGCCTGAAGCGAAATGGGTAGGGTTTCCATCCTCATCGAGAAGCATGTCCGGTTCGTTAATGACATCGGGAGGTCCGATGATCAAACTGCATTCGAGGGTGTGCATATCCCAGACACGGATCGTCTTGTCGCGAGAACCAGTGATAATTTTGTGCCTGTAAAGGTTAGCGGAGGAACTTCAATAGTCCAGGTGACTTACTCGTCAAACTGTAGGCAATAGATACTATCTTTATGCCCATTCAGATAGACAGGCGTGGCCTTGCCAGTCTTCCATCGCTGACTCAACTCCTGCTTGACACGATAAATCTCTCTCCAGTCGTTTACCGGTGAAACAGCAGGAACTCCAAGGCCAGTCCCTGGTTCTACAGGCTCGCTGGTGGCATAGGTGGTGGTTGTCTCTCGAAGGCAAGACTCGCGCCAGATGTGCTGGTTGCTGACAATCTTTTTCCAGTTCCTGCAGACCATGCTGGCGTTGACAAGAGCAGCAGCGTCAAGATTTGCCAAAACGTGGATGGCAAGTTCGGCCGGGAGTCTCGAGACAAAGTCGATTGTGCTGATAACACTGCTCTGGTCCATCTCGGTTTCGCACTCGACACCAGGAAGAGTCACTGTGATTCCGATACCACTCTCGCGGTCGTTGGTTTCGTCGTTGGTACTCGGGTTCAACCACATATTGTATAGGCCTTGGCGAGCGAGGTATTCGTTCTGCATAGCAGCTGAAGCCTTGGCAGCAGCTCCCGAGTTGCTAGGTATCACAGGTGGTTCGCCGCGGAAGCCAGGAATCGGCAAATGCGAAGAGTTATCGGTATTGTAGGTGCCATGTTCGTGAGTCAGATCGAACCCATAGATAGATCGTGATCGACGAATGGTAGCCTGTCGCAGGCGGTTCCAAGCCGACTGTGTATTGCCGTGGGCATAGGAAGTGATAGGTCTGCTGGTCTCGGAGTTCTCGTCTATGTCTTCAACGACAGAAGGTCGACGATGGACCATTCGGTTGATGGAGAGTGAGGCGCGGCGAAACATGCCCTTAATCTGTTTGGCACCGGGCGTGTGGAAATGATGGTGTTGTTGGCCCTCGTTAATCTGGTTCGAATCGTGTGCGTAGTCGGCGTCGTCAACAACGAGATCGTCAAAATGGCGGGATAGATGCTGCGAGTGAGAATGATCGTGGCCAAAAGCGAACGACTTTGGTCGACGCCAAGGCATAGATAGGCTCATGCTGCGATTTCGCAGGGGAGGAGTTGTGTGCATAGTGCCTGCTTCAGGACGCAAAGTGCCAGTCGCAGACTGACCGTTGCCTGTAGAAGCAACCATAGTAGAAGATTCGGATGGGGATTCCATCATGGCTTCCTGGGCCCAGTCGTTGACGGGGAAAATGCGCTTGGTCATGATCGGTTTGGAATGGAGCGGTCGAAAGAGCGGATTGAAAGATCGTGTGTTGAAGCCGGGGCTATCGTTTCAAGGTTGAAATCACTCAAGAGCGATGGCGATAAATTCCATGGAATGTCGAATCGAGCTCGAATGTCAAGCGGTGATGAAAATTCGAGCTAAATGAATGCGCTCGTCGTAGGCTCTGAGGCTGAGTTGTATTTGTTTACCGTCATGCGGTCTTGATCGTTCTAGAGGTTCCGCGACCTTGTTTTGGGCCCGAATGTTGGGTGCTAGGTGGCAACCTGAATTGTAACGGTACACGAGACGAGCTTCAACGAGCAAATTTCGAGGATTTGAACTTCCTTAAAGACGTTCGCACGCTGTGCTGAATCCCAAAGAAAGAAAGAAATAGCACGAAATAAAAAAGGAGGAAAGGAATGGAAACGGATGTGAGGGAGGATGCAGGGCTTCTTGAGAAAAAGCTGTTGCAACGAGTCGATTAGCAATCCCGGCTCAGCCAGCGGATAGCAGGGGTAATATAGAGCAGGGCGAGCTGGACTGTCACTGAAGGGGGCCCCTGTTAGAACCACGACTTCACTGATTAGATTTTCAGTCCAAAACAGTGCAAAGAGCAACCCAACGAGTCAGAAAGAACGGGATGATCAGGGGAATAGAAGATGAAGGGGTGTGCTCTAGAAAAGAAGGGAAACGAGGCAAAGTATTCCTTTAACAGATGTTGGTGCAACTTGAGGCAAGCTGTGTTACGGATGGACTCTTGGCGGTGATGTAAGGCGGTCTTTCAGGTCGTGGTTAACGCCATCTTCAGCACAAAACATCCACTCGCCGCGCCTTGCAAAACTAGCGCTGCCCCAGAAGAAGTTTTGGAATGCGGGAAGACACCAATTCTTGATTCATGGCGTGGAGGTGGATCGTTGAGGTCCAGTTTTCTCGGGGGCCGCGATGCTAACTGTCACTACCGGACCGGCAATAACACTGATAAATCACTTTGCAGAAATAGAGAATTGAAGAGATTGAAGGTTGTTTTCTTTGGTTGTAATCTGTAGCGGTGAGATCTTTGGACTAAGTTAGTAGCGCTATTGTGAGCCGCCTCCCAAATCTATTCTCGCAGCTTCAACCATGTCGGGTGCTGCGCGTGGCAATGTAAAAGTCACTGGCCGCAGGGAATCTGTTTTATCCATAGTTTAGTAAATACAGATCGTACTCTAGCAGGGGGCTTTCTTTTCTTACCTCTAGCAGATTTGCTTGCCTATTTTGATATCATCGTTAATTTCTGATACTCGGGCAGTAGTGGAAGTAGCTGGTTACAATGATCAAGACTGTCTACTTGTCTGCAGGGGCGCAGGGTTAGAGCTTATCCCCGACGGGAGATTTTCCCCGACAGACTTGAGCTCTTCATGTATCGTCGTGAGGTCCTCATGTATCGACGTGAGGTTTTGACGTATCGACGTAAGGTCTCCACGTAGTCGTAGTAGGTTGGCTGGCACTGGGGAGGATATCACATCGGGTTTTTATAAGGGAGCAGAAGAAGGTTTATAGCAAGATTTTACAGTTGAGTCATCTGAAGGTTTGATGCGTGGAAGCTTAGAAGAAATTTGAAGGTATTCAGTCGGCCAGATGTTGGATAAGGTTATCAAATCAATATGTTTCTGTCCACCGCTCAGCTAGGCGACCAAAGAAGAGCATCGTAGCTGTGTCCATTAAGATGAAGTTGGCGAATAGTTAGATGTGGTGTTCACCACAACAACAGCGTTACTTGGAGGAACCCATCTGCAGTGCAACACACGAATTTATTGCGTCCAGGGGTCTTGATCAAATTGGACTAGCTCCCCAACCAGTCCGTTCCCCCAGATTTGCAAGGGACCAGTGTTTTGCTTTTAGGACCCTTGCTTGGTCCTTGTTATTGCGTTGAAATGTTTCCCGTTGACTACGCCCCTGGCAGGCAGAAACGAATGGCATTGTGAAAGATCTAGATCAGGGGATCTAGCAGATTCGAAGGGAGAAAGTTGTTCTTTGGGTCGAAGTTGGGTCAATCGAGGGCTACATTGATGACTCGAACCTTGCTGCAGAGCATTAGTCTGTACTGATTGTTGATCAACAACAGTGGTCAAGGTCCTTCAAGTACTAGTCAGGATGGTATTTAATATCATTCCTACTCACTATTAACGTTATTTGTGCAAACCTCTTTGTCTTGTTGGTGAAGATAGGATTACATGCTGTTGAGGTTGCGCGTCAATTTGGTGATCTGGCTACCCGGAACCATGGAATGAGGACATCTTTCGTCGGAGCTATCGTTCCTGGACAAACCACATATCCTATCAATTGAGCACATGGACTTTAGACAGAGACATTCACTGTAAACCCTTAATGTCTGAGTTCCAATCATGTCTCAATAAGCTTAATTAACATTCTCGCTTGCTGCAGGGTATCGTGGGGAAGAATGGATCAAGTTTTTCCCGCTCAGTATCCATAATGGAGTTTTTGTGAATTAACAAAATATCGTGTTAAACACCACATTGCGACATCATCAAACTCATAAACTCACCTTGCAAGATCAATTGATCCTGCCACTCACCAAACACCATGGCCGCTCCGCAAAGACCTGCCCAGGTGGCTTTCCGCATCCATCCCATCTACCGCATCTTCTTCCTCGTTCTCGAGCCCATCTCAGCTCTCGTGGGCGCCTTCTACACACACTTCTGCCAAGAGACCTACCTAGCCTTGCTAAACGCACCGTCAGCACCAGCCGCCCAAGCCCCAACGGCTACGTCGGTCGCCATGTCGCAGCTCGCCAACATGTACTTCTTCTTCGCGCTCAACGAGGCCCTCGTGCTTCGCTCCACGGCGGACCTGCGTGTCTGGCGGACTGTGCTTCTTGTTCTTCTCATTGCAGACGTCGGACACTTGTATTCTATGAGTGCGCTCGGCTCGGGGATCTACTGGGATGTCAAGGCTTGGAATGTGAGCGATTGGGGGAATGTCCCGTGGGTTTATGCTGGTATGAGCATGAGATTATGCTTTTTGATGGGGTTTGGATTGGGCGAGTCGCGGGCTTTAAAGAGGAAGGATTGGAAGCAGTGAGTTAGAGACGGGTGTTTATAGCGAGGTTCGGTATTGGAGAAAGCGAGATTCGGTTTCGATGGCCGAGTCTAGTGATGGTTTGAAGGAAATGTTTTGGATAACTTGGCTGTGCCGTTGTCAGACATGATGATGAGATCTAGAACTTATGATGCAGAATACGACATGCCACCACTCAGGACAATTGGAGTAGTAAATGAGACTTCCCCGGACATCTTAACCCATCATAATGCAGGTCTCATATTAATGCATATCATGTCTTCTTCGTCAGACCAATTTCATGATTACCCACAATCTCATAAGAAAGTCATGATGGGTCCATCTTCGCGAGCTCAATCCCTATCGGTTATCGGCTGTCGGCTATCGCCTATCGCAAAGCCATCCGTACCCATAACTCGCCTGCAACTCGGGTCATGACCCCGAAAAACCCCCAAACCCCAAATACAACACTGGAAACCTCCCCCAAAGCGCGTTGTCGCCTAGAATCATGTGGTCACTCCATGATGGAGGGGTCGCTTCAATTGCCCCTCATCTTGTAACGTAAACGGTAGTCGACGCGATGAGGGGTGAGCATCATCGAGTGGGGGTTGTTCTGTTGCTCGGCTCATGAAGGACCGCGAGGTTTATAAAGATTCAGATACCCCGATCGTCAGCCATTGATTCTCTGTTTGTTTCCCTCTTCTTCCCTTTTCTGATACCTCGCATTTCCAATACATCATGTCTGTCCCCGATAAGTTCCAGGGCTTCCAGTCCCCCAGCGCCGAGAACTGGACCGACTTCCAGAAGAACTCGTTTGAGCCCCGTCCCTTTGGCGAGTACGATGTAGACATCAAGGTCGAGTGCTGCGGTGTCTGCGCCAGTGATCGTCATACCATCAGCGGAGACTGGGGTGAATGCCCCTACCCTCTTGCTGTCGGCCACGAGGTCGTTGGCAAGGTTCTTCGTGTTGGTGACAAGGTCTCGCTCGCAAAGGTTGGCGACCGTGTCGGTGCTGGTGCCCAGGTCTGGTCGTGTCTGGACTGCCGTCAGTGCAAGAACGACAATGAGACCTACTGCAAGGATCAGATTGACGCCTATGGCGCTGATTACCTCGATACTGGCTTCAAGACACAGGGTGGTTATTCTTCCCACACTCGCGTGAATGAGTACTGGTGAGTCCCTATACTCCAATGCATCGAACTCATCAACTGACTACTAATAGGGTCTACCCCATCCCCGAGGCCCTGTCCAGCGCCCAGGCCGCTCCTATGCTCTGCGCCGGTATCACCGTATACAGCCCACTGAAGCGTCTCGGCGCCGGACCTGGCAAGAAGGTCGGCATTGTTGGTATCGGTGGTCTCGGCCACTACGGCGTGATCTTCGCCAAGGCCATGGGCGCTGAAGTCTGGGCCATCTCCCGATCACGCGCCAAGGAGGAGGACGCTCGCAAGATGGGCGCCGACGGCTTCCTTGCCACGGGCGAAAAGAACTGGACCGAGGGTCACAAGATGACCTTCGACATCATCATCAACACAGCCAACTCCTTCGAAGGCTTCGCCCTCAGCGAGTATCTCAGCCTGCTCGACATCCACGGCCACTGGAACTCAGTCGGTCTGCCTGGTGGTGACGGTATCGAGATCCGCAACCAGGACTTTATCAGCAACGGCTGCTACATCGGCTCATCGCATCTGGGAAGCCGTCGCGAGATGCTCGAGATGCTTGATCTCGCTGCCGACAAGGGTCTCAAGTCGTGGATTGAGGAGATTCCTATCTCCAAGGAGGGTCTGCAGAAGGCCATGGAGGCTCTGAAGACCAGCTCTGTTCGCTACCGATCTTGCATGGTCGGTTACGACGAGGCTTTTGGTTCTTGAGCATGTGTTATGTAAATAAAAGAAGGAATTGATGAAGTACGAGGAGTTTATGGCAAAAGAGTGGTGGAGTAAAGATACCTTGATGGGTTGAGATGACGAAAGCGACTTTAGGTCATCTTAGAGCGAATGACGAATTGAACATGATGAAACGCGCTATCAGCTGAATAACTTGGATCAGTGAACTTCACTCTGTTGACTCTTTAATAATTCAATCGTGACTCCATAATCATGAGTACTTTTACTCATGATAGGACATTATAAATGCGTGGTAACGTTAGAGACCAATACTAGAGTTGATGCCGTAGCAAGGTGAAGCTAGGCGAGTCTAGAACTCCGCTTACCATCGTGGGCAGGGATCAGTTAAGAACAGAGTCAATTGAGCTGACAATACACATAACGTACAACGAGTTGTTCCATGCAATCACTGCAATGGCGCAAACTGTTGTACGGCCATACTACCATCCTCTAGTCTCCAAAGGTCTCAATACAAACTTCTCTTAAGGCTGACACCCCAAAATGGCACCCATGTCCTCCACGCCATGCCTAATCCTGCCTCGCCGATGCTAATCTTCCTGACCTCCGGCTATCTCCTGCGAAAACCGACGGGACATCACAGCTTCGCACAGTGACTCACGAGTCTGTAGCCGTTTTCACAATAGGCTGAGGTGAGCGACAGATTTTCAGCCGGCTTTCATAGGAATTCATTTTGGGCCACGCCGGGTTATGAGATGTGATTAGCAATATTGTCAGGATCGGTGAAAAATATGCATGAAGGAGTCATAGGGGTTGCTGTTGACGATTGTTTAAGATGAAGCTGTTCGCCGTTTCTTTGACAAGTTGGGGATACCCTCAATTACCAACCTCCAAAGAAAACCATACAATCAAAACAACTACATCAAACAATTGAACATTCATCGCCTACCTTCTCCCCAATTGGATTCTCTCGATTGACCACCAACATCATGTAAGTCACATCCCATTCATCCTTGAACTATGGCTAACAATAGGACAGGGGACAATCATCAGCTTCTCCCGCTTCATCTCCCACAAGAACCCAAAGCCCAAGCACTTCAAACCCATCATCAATGGATCTTACCCTCCGCTTCCAACGCTCCTGTAGCAAGGCCGAGATCGCCTCAGTGGGCATCTCCCCTTCTACCTCAGCCGCCTTCGCTATCTATACAGCAGCGCAAACTGCCCAATCCTGGATCGACGTCTTCGACACCAAGACTCAGAAGGGCTACTCCAAGACAAGCGGCTCGCGTGCTGTATTCTCTCCTGGTGGATCCCGGTTGGCCACTGTTCGAGACTGGACAGTTCAGCTCACTGGTGCTGTGGACTTTCACCACTCCAGTACTGTGTTCGTGAGGGATTACGCAAGTGGCAAGACGGCCTGTGAACTCAAGGAGGCGAAGGGTGAGCCCATTGCTTGGAGCCGCGACGGAAAAGTCATTGCTGTTGGGGAAGCAAGGGACCGTATCGGAGTCTGGGATGTTAAGAACGGAACTCGGATCGGCAAGGTTCTGGGCCACATCGACGCAGTAACACACGCCGAATTTCTCCCTGATCACAGCCTGGTCACCATCTCGCGCGATGGGACACTGCGAATCACAAACATAGCGACTTGCAAGACGATCCGCCGCCTCGAAATTGACGGCTCGAACAATCCCCGGGCTCTAGCCGTCAGCCCTGACGGACGCCGCATAGTCTCGATTTGGGGAACGAATGTCCACATTTGGGTGCCCTCGGTCAACGACCTGACGTCCTACAATCTCAATGCCGTACGCCGCTGCGAGGGATGGCCGCTGGCTATCTCGCCCGATTGTCGATACCTGCTCTGCAGGACTGAAGACGGCTTCGATATCATGGACGTGGCGACGGGAACTGTCGTGTACGAGGAGGCCACGGAGGAGATGGTAATGTCTGGTGCTTTTGCAGAGGATGCGAAGACCTTGGTTCTTGGACGGATGGACGGTGTTATAGAGGTTCGGGATGTTTTTGACAGGAGGGCTTGAAAAGTTGCGATACCCAGTTGATATTCAGATTGTAATTAGATGGGATATAGGATACATAGGATGAACGGACTTGGAGGGAAGGGCGTTGGCGTAAAGGGATTGTTTGAGGTACCTAGTTTCTTAGTCAGGCAGATATTCAACATAGCTTTCTGTTTGGTGGGATTTGTGTATAGATCTGTGAAAGTGATCTGATACTTCTTTGGGTCTGACTCCGGCACTTGGTCAAATTCCCACGATACATTGCCCTAGGATGAGTTCACCTTCCTAGCAATACAGGCGTTTGCCGAGGTATTCTAGTGTGCAACACGGCAGTCGCGAGGATCTTGGTAGCGTCAACCCCGAGGAATATGCGCCGTTTCCATGTTAGTCATGACTTAACTTGTCTTGGCTATCGTCTTGTCGCATGATGTTCTGCCGAGGAAGCTGCTGGTGATTGTAAAGGCCGCCCCGGCGCGCGATTGTTGTTCGATTGGAAGATTCTTATAGAAACAACAGGAGAAGAGGTCTAAGTGATTGATGGATCGTACGGAACTGAATATGAAGTTGGGAAATTATGTCTGTCAGTCGCGGTGTGTCTCAGCCTGAGGCATAACTAAGCCAGAGACATGGAACACAGGAAGGAGCGATGTGTCGTGGGTGCATGATGCATGAGCCTCAGATTGCAACTCAAGCTACAGCAATGATTGTATTTAGCGGAGTTTGAAGAGCACACACACTTGAACTATTACCGTTATCTACCTCCCCAAGGCTTATTGAGCCATACCTAAGATTACCGAAGTTTGACAAGGATAAAGCCACAGAATCCACAGGCGAGCGCTAGGCATATCACAAGCTAAAAATGATTAGGACCAATCAATGATTCTCTGTAGACTGCATTGGGTAGCAACTCGTCTGTGGATAACATCATCCCGAACCTCCAACCGCGTATCCCGTTTCTTTGTTCTGTCGATTTTGTCCAAGAGACGGGTCTGGAAGGATGTTGAATACCACTCAAGATCGATGAGTTACCTGCTCACGATATGAGAGACACAAGGAGTTTGTCAACTGCCACCTGCTGTGGGAGTTCCTAGGCGTCAGTTTCTGGCAGTGCCGAGATATGTGATAACACTGCAACATTTTAGTTCATTATTTCACTTGCAGACTTCTTCTCTGGCGAGCCGGCGTAAGAAAAACTCTTGAACAAAACAACATCAAAACTGAAGAACGACAGCATCGCAACAAGACATCTTCTAGTATTTCTACCAATAGGTAAACCCGACCCACAATTAACACTGACGACTTCCTAGATCACATCGTCATGAATCCTGGCGACATCCGGCCAGGCTCTTCTCAGCCCCCCAGTATTTCAACCAACATACCCAACTCGCAAACCATACTGACGACTTCCTAGATAATATCGTCATGAATCCCGGTGACATCAGGCTGGGCTCCCCTCAGCCTGGTGATGAGCTCATTCGCGCTTATCTGATGTCGCGTCCACCACTGTACCAGAGCTTCGACGAAACGACAGGTATTGATTGCCTGACCATGGTTCTGAGGCGCCTCCACGCTCACACCATGATTGGACCACATGGTTTTCTTCGCCTCCGGTCATTCCAAGATGCCGAGAAGGACAATGCCATCATCAGGCACTCATGGCAGAAGTTTGGGACGGAGCCCCATGAACGCCGTGATGCTACCGCCTCTTGGAGGATGCTCAAGCCTGAGCTCGGCTACCACGGACTGAAGGCCGATGCATCTTTCGGTGATATTTGCACCTCAGCCTTGATGAACAAGACATACTGGTCGCAGAATGAGATGCGGCTTCTGGAGCCAAAGGTTTGCCTCGAAAGCTGGCAAATTGTGGGCGAGAACGCAGAAGAGATCGCCTCCTCAAGCCTCCTGAGGCTCGACCTTGACGACTCCCCTGACCTGACCCTCCAGGATGCTGTAGATAGGTCTTTTGGTATATTTGAGCGCGAGGGAAAGAGGACTATGCATAGGCCATCCCGACCTTACATCATCCGCGTTCTGTACAACCCTGGGTCTCAGCAACGTCTCTTTTTCCAAGAGCTAAGAGGCCTAATCCTCCCCTTCTGGACAGAAACCGGGGACAGAAATGACCCCTTTGACAAATCAGGAACTGCCCCATACGTCCTCCTCGCGGTGGTTCGGATGAGAGAGAACTCAACAGACCACGACTACGCCCGAATGTATGCCTGTCATGGATCAGAGATCATCTGCCAGTACGAGCACCCCCACTTCCTTAGGACTGACTGGTCAGTCGAGGACGCCGACAACAACATGTACATGCTGTTTTACGGTGCCGAGGGTGAGGCGCCTTTTGGAGACCCGACCACATTTCCAGAAGTGGCACCTCCCTCCCTCGATGATGAGGATATAGATGACCTTCTAGATTTAGGGAAATGCCTAGATGAGGAAATGAATGAGATGCTTCCAGAGAGGGAACCTGGCGTTACAGAGGAAGAGAACTTGGAGGGGAATATCCGCATGCCTGGCCAAAATGGAATATTTCCAGGTTGATCGACCGTGTCTATCCAACGATTGGGGCCTCGAGCGGAGATGCAAGACCCAATTTGGTCTTCCCAGCCAGTCCTGGAACATAGCAGACCTACCAAGCATCCAAGGGCAGGTCTTCACGAGGACCCGGCACGCCCCCAGAGACAGCTGGAGAGAGGTCCAGAAGGACAGCGACGACCCCGCAAGCCCAAGAGACCCGGCAGAGATGGCTACGACCATTACGCTCCCGGCAGTGACAGGCGAAATGAGAATGCGCCTCGAGAACCTAGAGCCGATCGGCGAGGCGAGGGGCCTGATCACAGGACCTGAAGGACAGGATAATGGCAGCCAGTCTACTGGTACGCGGCAAGCTGGTGGCCGGAAGGGATGCAAGGGGCATGAAAGCTCCCAGAGCCATTTCAGGGACCCTGCTGAGGAGAGACGGGATCAGCGCCGCGATTTCTAAATGATAGACCAATAGAACATGAGTTGAACATCACTGTGACTGGGCTGTATCTTAAAGAGCTGAGTAAAGTATAGTGACACAATGTCATTAGATTGTATTATGTATGGCACCTTAGACTACATGACCAAAAGATCTCTTTTTGCAGAACGAATTGCGGAAATCCTAAGCTGGGCAGACAGTTATGAGTTATTAAGCTTAGATGAATCGGTACGTTTCTGGTTATGGAATTGGAAGACTGGGTTGCCAAGTCTCTTACTAAGTTTTATAATATGATATGGCTGAGCCTGAGCCGCCCGCAGTAATACAGGATGTATATAAGTGTGTTCTTAATAATGTTAGTAAAGCTTTAGATGCTAAAAAATCTAAAAGTCTATCTGAGATTTCTACCTGAGATTTCTATTTAAGATTCCATTATATGAATTCTATCTAATAGGTAAATCAAGGATGTACTGAAAATAGTATTTTAGTAAAGGAATTTAATAGTTTACGGTAAGAAACTAAAAAGATTAGATTATATGAAGGGCGGTAGAAGTGTGTAAGAAGAAGCTACTTATTCAGTCAGAATCAGAGGTAAGTACTCCGTAGGTTCGTTGATTCAGGCTCTCTGTGTCACGTCTCGCACTTGAAAGCTGTATGCCCCTAACAATCCGTCCCACTGATGTAATGAATGAGATTGCCTAGATAAATTCCACTGTGAATGCACTACTAGTAGCATATTATCTTGCGCGGGTTGCCTGCCTAATGCCCTGTTACACAGCGCAAGCTTAGACGAAATAAACAAAACTTTCCCAGCACCAAACTCAATCTTTACGTTAACACAGATCTCCTTTCACACCACGCTTCGCAAGTATGTACACATTCCTGGTGATTACTGAATGTAGCTAATAAGTATTTGCGCAGAATGTCAAACCAAGACACGATGCGCGATGAGCTTCGCGGGTTTCTTGCGGAACTCCGCAAGACATTTACTCACCAAGTCGGCCGCGCAAACGCACGCTTCGCTCACGTGAAGATACCATCATACCGTCTTGATGTCCCCAGTTTGATGGAAGCGATACGGCTTTGCTCTATGCAAGACAAAGACGATGGTGGCATGCTTATTGTCACCTCAGAGTTGGAGAAGGACATTGGTGTTGGAGTTGAGCTCTCTTCACAATCACTCCTTGATGTACTGAACTTCACCGAGTTCTTGGACTGCATAAAGAAGAATCGAGGTGGCCTTATGCGACGAATGAATCCTGCTTGGCAACGGTATCCGTCTGCTGACAAGAGATATATCCCTGTCTTGCCTCGGAACCTCCTGATCGTTTTCCAGATCGACCCAACGATTCCTGCCGAGTGTGCACTAGCTCTTATTTCTCTTGTAGACTGGGCCTTGAAAGCTTCGTCCACACCGAAGACAAATATACGAGTGCTTACCTTGTGCAGTGACGACGACTGCAACTTTCTCGCCAAGCTCGTGTCCCTTCAGGCGCCGGACGTCGTGGTGAAGGATTTCAATCTTACCCGAGACGAATATCCAGCTAGCAGAGCGTTGATACACTGCTCCCAGGACGATGCTGATGCGGCAGCCTTGATAATGGCCGATATAAAGCAAGAGCCTGATCTATCACAGCTTGTGGTATCATTTCGTCCCTTAGACCCTACGGATTTCGAAGAATTTGGAGACCAATTCGACAGCAAATCTCTGCTCTCTGGGGGACAAGGATATGTGCTTCGAAATGCTACTCAGCGTCAAGGAAGAGGTGCCCATGTTTGGGTAACCATAAACCCCGCCCTAGCGATCCTTCCCGTCGCTTTCGAGGGTTATGACAAGATGCACGTTTTGCTTGAGTCAGCACATGCGCCTTCAGTTTGCTGGAGCAGCAAGAGTAGACAGATGGTATCAATGCGTCGGTTCACATCTTCCGAAGAGCGCCTCTCACAACTCTTGTGGGCTCGACAGCCCTTTGCTAAGCAAGTATGCCTCTACACTCGAGAAGAGTGTATCGAAAGCGAGACTGAAGGATCGTCATCTTTCAGGGACGTTGAGTTTTCTCGCCATCGTCATGTAGAGAACGCTCAACTTGGAGGATTCATCGCTGCCGTTGTCGACATCAGTTCAAGTTTAGAACTGAATGTTGATGGGGTGCTCGCATGCTTCGTCCGCTGCCCCTTACGAGTGGACGAAATGACACACAGGCTCGAATTGCAACGAATTGTGTCTCATGATAAGCTAGCGATGAATCCAAGCGAATGCGTTGCATTCAAAATTGTGCTGCCCTTGGTCGGATACGACCATCGACTTGCGTTCTTCGTGGCTCTTGATTGCGACGATGTCGTTCGCAAGGTCAAGATCCAGCTGGCTGCGATCCTTGCTATTGACATTGCCTACATGTTCGGCTTGGACGTGACCGAGCAAATGGATCCCTCTTGCAGCAAGGCTCAAGAGATAATGGATGCGTGCTGGGGGTACGGCAGCGCCCTCGCTCGGCAAGGGACGATGTGGCTCACTCTCGGCATCTGGAAGTACTACGAGAGAACGATCAGCGATGGTTCAGCGCCGATGTTGGACGAGCAGACTGTCTTTCCTACGCAGGGCCTGACCGAGAATGCGAATCTCTTGAAACGCAGAATCGCGCAATCGCTGCTGGGCCACCGGATCGAATCGAGAGAGAGCGAGCATGTAGATCGTGAGGACAAGGACATTGGCGAAGAAAGGAAGAAGCTCCTTCAGGCCCAACTCCTGCAGGCCTATGTCTTCCAGCTAGCTTCTGGATGCTATCCGAAGATCGATGGTGTGCGAAAGCCGGGACGAGGCTTTAGGCACAAGGTACTCTCATCAACGGGAGAAGCCCATGTCGCACCCGACCAATATGGTTTGACGAGCCTAGTCGATGTCGAGAGGCTGCTTCTCGAGTCCGGGCGCGATTTCGTCTTGGGTATTTCTCACTCGATGAGGCGTAACTCCAATGGTGGAGAGGAACTCTTCATGTCCGACTGGACCATGATACCGATCAGGGTTGTGTGTGAGTGGTTAGTCAACCACGCACCGGGCCTCAACATCCACGCCGCGCTTTCATCTGGGATCCCACATTACCCACAGGATAATAGCGAGTTTTTTTTAATGAACTAGAAGTTTCCAGTTTAATAGAAAAGTTGTCTTCACAGTTTACATATGTATGATTGCTAAATCTCAAATTCCCACCAGCCAAATCTTAATGCAGTTAAATCTCAGATTACCAGTCAATTCTTAGATCACTAACATCAGTCAAATCTTAAAATACCAAATCTCAAAATACTAAATCTCAGATTCAATACCAATCAAATCTCAGATTTCCAGTTCTCAGATTTCCAGTCAGATTTCCAGTCAAATGTCAGATTTCCAATTCTCAGATTTCCAGATCTCAGATTTCCAGTTAAATGTCAGATTTCCAGTTCTCAGATTTCCAGTCAAATGTCAGATTTCCAATTCTCAGATTTCCAGTCAATTCTTAGATTTCTAGATCTTAGATTTCCAGTCAAATATCAGATTCAACACCAGCCAAATCCCGCAGGATGGCGCCGAGTCTTTAATTTAGTCTTGAGTTTCCAGTCTAATAGATAAAACTAGTACGATATTTGAAGTTTATAAATATGCGAAGTCACTGCCAAACGTAAACAGTAACGCCTATTTCCCCTTGGTTATAAACCTGACGAAGATAATGACCACTACCTAACCACTTGCTTCTCACTCCTGTTCTTAGTTTGATGTTGAAGTGAGGTATTGTTTCTAGGTGACCTCTAGCAGGTACTATGCCTGAAAGGGACGCGATAGGTTTTCCTGACAGTGCCGGCGGGTGGCAGCCAGCTAGCAAACGAGATATCTGAACGTAGGCACTTGGGCAGAAGCGCATAGCATGAAGGTGAATGAGCTAGCTCACATAGGTAATTCAGAAAGCTCTTTAACATTAACAAATCTTCATCTCTTCCCTCCTCTTTCCCTCTCCAAACAACAACAACAACAACAACAACAACAACCACCACCACTACCACCACCAGCGCCATCATCTTTCAAGATGACACCCTCTTGGCAGGCTCGTGTTGCGAAGCAGGCGTACGAAAGACGAGACGCTCGTGTTGCTGAACGTGAAGCGAACAACCCTGGATCCGGGGTTGATGCTGGCGGTGGTCCCCGAGACACCCCAGCTGAAAGTTCTCGCCAACGCGATAGTGGCAGAACTTCCGGTGCTGGTCATGGCAATTTTGCGCCTGATCGTCACCGAGGCCAGAGCAGCAATGCTCAGGCTCTCAGTGCAAGACACGGGGTCAACAAGACCCGTGCTGCTGACAAGCCTGCTCCCCTCGTCCTTAGCGGCGAGTTACAAAGATACGAGACGATGCGGGGAAACTCGCTCGATCCTGTTAACACCTCCGCTAGAGGTGGTCTCGAAGCTGATCTTATGTGGAATGCCAACAAAGACCAGCTTCGGGGACTGATCAGTCAGCCAGAAGATGGCGAGAGGGTTGTCAGACTCGTTCAAGAGCAGACCGGCGCTGAGCGCGTTATCATACGTGCAAAGAATTCCGGTACTGATCGTGTTTTCATACGCGCATATCCTTACCGCCCTGACCTGATCGCCGCTGCCGAGAGGGATCAGGTCCCCGTTACGATTACCTCGTCAGATGGCACAGTGAGGTTCAGAAATATGCCCGGAAGCCCCAATGCTCGGTGTTGCTCGTGTGACTCGCCAGGTCACACCCTGAACAACTGCCTCGCCTCTAGCGAAACCGGCGTCATCGAGGCTTGCATCCTCTGCAACAGTTCCAGTCACTTGACTGATGGGTGTGCACAGTTTGTTAAGCTGTCACTGTCCGGCAAGCTCAATGTGCTTGTCACAGAGCGGGCCGGAAAGCCACCGCTGGCTACCGTAAAAAGCTGGTGGGACTATCTTCTCGACTGGTATAAATCAGACGAGACCCGGGATGAGCAGGCCCCTACTGCCTTTCCTTGGAGACAGGAATTCGCGGCCAGAGTCAACCGTGGAGACTTCCGGGGCAAGTCCGTGGAGGACTATCAGTCCGAGTTCAACCGGCACGGGAGCTCGGCATCGCCCGTGGACAACGAGATGCAGACTTTGTCTGATGTCTTCTACCGGTACTGGAAGGGAAAAGAAACCCCCGTGCCCTCTCGCGTACAGGCCCAGATTGGTCGGGCTCCCCTTAACCCCTAGACGAAGGAGGTTGTCGCCAGTGAACCGGCCCCCAGATGTACCAACAGAATGGCCGATGAAGACTTCAACATGGACAACTGTTGAGATGGATCCGCTAATGGCTAAACGATCTACCCCCTCCTCTCACACTGGTGCTTTATCACACGCCTAGTTGGGCTATTTTGTCATGTTCCCTGAACTTTGGGAGAGATCCTGTGGATGACCTTCCCCGTCTCTTTTACTGCACCGACCAATCTTCCAATACCAGTTTGCTTATTATCAGGTAAGAAGTCATTGTGTACTAAGTAAATGGATATACACTGACCATAACACGCATGGCATTCTGGCTAGTTGCCCACTCTCCGGGGCTTTACGGGAAATCAATAGCCCTCAAGCAAGCATACAACTAGGTCTCAAGGTGGCAAAGTGGATGGACTGAAAGGAGTTGGATGATTGGATGGACGGGATAGGTTAGAGACTATACATGAATACAGGACTTGTTATGAGAAAGCTATCTAAATCTGAGAAATCTAAGAAATCCAGCTTAAAAACCCGTCTTAAAAAGCTAACTCTTAAAAACCCGTCTTAAAAACCCATCTTAAAAAGCCAACTCTTAAAAACCCGTCTTAAAAAGCCAACTCTTAAAAACCCGTCTTAAAAAGCCAACTCTTAAAAACCCGTCTTAAAAACCCATCTTAAAAACCCGTCTTAAAAACCCGTCTTAAAAACCCGTCTTAAAAACCCGTCTTAAAAACCCGTCTTAAAAACCCGTCTTAAAAAGCCAACTCTTAAAAACCTGTCTTAAAAACCCAACTCTTAAAATATAAACTTTCGTCCTGGTCGTTGACGTCTCTGCTTAAGTTAAACCAATGTCTCTCTCGATCCAATACTCCATGAGAAACCTTTGGAGTCGTGTTGTTCAGTGGGCCGTTGAGGCTTACAATGGTGACACTGTATCTTTGGCGACGTTCCTGCGAGTTCGTCAGGTTGCCTTCCAGAACATCGAGAGCAAAATCCCTCTCGCTAAAAGAGAGGCCCTCCTCAAGTGTCAGTACATGGCTGCTTACAAGAGAGATAGCAAAGGTAGATAGCCAATACCAACTCGTCTCTTCCGAATATTTCAAAATGCGTAGAATGTGATATGTCCCGTTTGATATTTGTTTTGAACTGTCCCTAGATGCCTTGTTAGTAGAATATTTGCCATTTTGATATTTTACATAAGTGTTAATAATATCTAAGCCCCGAGTAGAGTGAATAAAGACGAGTTCGTCTGTATAAAGGGAACCACATATGAATTAGAGACACTTTAGTTTCACTACAAACTGTTTAACTCCTTTACTAAAACACACCACTTTTAGTATATCCTTATTACCAACTCTTGAAATGCCAAATCTGAGATTACCAGTACCAGTTAAATCTCAAAACGCTAGCTAAATACACTACAGCATATTAAGGATTGTACATAGTATACACTTTACATAGGATTCACTGTTGATTCTTTCGGTTTCTGTTCTTGCAGTACTAACCTGATCAATTCGGCGAGCCTCTACGTTGGGCTGTTGTCGCTGCTTTGCCACTGTGCAAGGTTGGCCTAGGGGAATAAATTGTTCTTGTTCGTATGCACAGCCTTGATATGTCTCGACAGTGCAATAAACACGATTAATCATGCCAATACCACTACGGATACGCTGCTATGTACCAAACATTAACAATATGTGAGATGTATAGTATTTAGAAGACTAATGTTAATATAGAATTCAATATGTTTATATATAATAAAGATGTTACATTTATAAGCAATGGTACAATTGATAAATAATAGTATAATTCATAAATAGTAGTATAATTTATAAATAATAGTATAATTTATAAATAGTAGTATAGTTTATAAATAGTAGTATAGTTTCTAGAATAATATTAATAAAGTCTTAGGTAAGATTTACTAAATCTCTATGCTTTACGTAAATTAATGTACATTTTAGAGAATAATAGGAGAGGTTATTAAAACCCTTACACGCTCAATCTATAGAATAATGTAGCATTGTCAATCGCTTGAGTTCATACAGCTATTATGTGTGCAAGGCGATATAAGGAGCCTGAATCAGGGCATCTCCTTGCGTCTGATTCTGTTCAAAGCTGTGCTTTGTACTGAGTATTTCTTGTATAAATAGACCCTCGACTTCCTACTGCGAAATATTGCACTTCTTTGTAAACCCAGCCCTTTCAGTATATCTTCTTTCATTGGGATATTTATATATTATATAACCTCTCCGTCCACTCAGCCTTATTATCGTCATGAGAGAAATTGACCCAAATACCACCGCTCAAGGGTTCCAAAACCTTCCCACCGAGCTCCTTCAACAGACTTTCGAATTCTTCTGCCAACACTGCACGGAGAAGCATCTTACTCCTCGACATGATCTTTGGGACCAGGAGATTAAAGAAGACCGTCGCTGTCTTATCAACCTGTCATTAACATGCACAAAATGGGGATATGCCGCACAGAAAGTCCTCCATCATCACTTCGGCTTCTTAGAAACCACCTACGACCAACAGATCTCCTTTTGCAGAACAATTTGTGGAAACCCCGAGCTAGGAAGACAGTTGCGAGTCGCCAAGCTTAGCAGAATTGGCACATTTCTGAACGTGAACTTGGAAGACTGGGTTGCCGAGTCTCTTGCCAAGTATTCCGAGTTCATCTCATATCCTGGTAGTATCTTCGATATGGACTCTTTGACCTGGGAGGACTATATCGCACCCCTTATAATACTCCAAGCGCCCAATCTTGAACACGCCGTTTTGCATGGACTCTACGATTGGTTGGTATTGAATGAGTTCAATGTACGGAACGTAACACAGGCTCGCGCTCTCCCTCAAAACCTCAAATCTCTGTCGCTAGGGAGACAACACAAAATGATATGGCTATGGCCCGAGCCACCCGTAGAGATCCAGGACAAATCCATGAGTGTGTTATTTGCAACGTTCGAAAAGCTCCAGATGCTGACCATATCCAACCCGCACCTATACCTGCTATCAAAACCACCTCCTTTGCAGAATCTGCGCTCTCTTCGCCTATTCAATGTCGCCGCTGTGGAAGAAAAGCTCCGGCTTTTGATTGACGGGGCGACTTTTCTCGAGGAGTTTGTGTTTTGGGAAATGGAACGGGCTGACCTTGCACCACGTAACTGCGTGACGCCTGACGAGATTTTCAGTATTCTTTCTTCCAGAAAACTGACTCTAAGAAAAGTTGTCTTACAAATGATGGCCACGACCGTACCTTTCGCAAATATGCAAGAGCTAACACAGCCAGAGACACTTAGAGACCTACGGCAGCTGACCAAGCTCGAAGAGCTGAGGATGAACCCCGAGATGTTCTGTGATATCCCCGAGCTTTTGTCCAGAAAGCAAACTTTGTGTGATGAAGCCTTCATTGCTATCTTTCCGCCATCTCTCCAAAATCTGTGCCTTGACATTACGGTATTAGGATTTACTTGCTTCGGCGCAGCATTAGGAGCATATGCTAGGTCAACCTACAGGCAACCCGAGCAAACTTTCAAGCAGTTAACCCTCCACATCACTTCTGTATTCCCAAGACATCTACCAAACTGGTTTAATCTTAGGCAACCTTCAGAAGAATGTCTAAAAGCAATGGGTGATCTTGTCAAGGGAAAGTGGGAAGAGAACGGACGGCTGAACATCACCCTGCAGCAGCTTCGGTGGCATAGTTGCAGTGAGCCGGGCACGAATTCCATTCTGCCTGCGTTTAATGACTGAGTTTATGAGAAAATCAGATAAACTTATGTAAAGACATGAGAATTTATAAAGAGTTATAAAAAGTCGTATAAGATTTCAAAACATTATTTAGAATTAGAAGGGACTATGAATATTTATATAAGTTAGGATAAGTTTATAGAAATCGAGACAAATACACAATAGTTTCTTTATAAATTAATATAAACCTTTCTAACCTGGTCTATTAACGAAGATTATCCAAGTGCCCGTTCACAGGCCAGCTCTAAGCTGTCTTTCTTACCACATATTGCGTAGGGTTGATCCAGACTGTGTGCATTTCCTGCCCCGAATGAAGACAGCGCATCGCCGCCAAGTGATATGTCTCAGGCATCTGGTGGCCCTCAGCTGGGTTACCCATTCAGTCTCCTTAATTACGATTGCCAAGGTCCTGATGCTGTAAAGAAAGCACTCGCAATCTGTGTGCATGTCAAACAATACAATCTCAGTACCATCATTGATTAACCTACCCTGATAGAAGTCTGTTGTGATTGTACTTGTAAACGACCATCAAATGTTTGACAATCAGTGCATAAGAGAGTCGTGATACCTTGTTACGGGGCCCAGGACAGTTATTCATTGCATTCTTAGGTTAAGCGTTGAACTATAAGAAGCCTGGCATGAGCACGTACCTAATTCATCATACTCAACAATATATACGACAATATTTCTGGAAGAATGACGCGCAGAAAAATAGATCTTCAACACTTCCCACCGGATCTTGTATATCTGATCTGCGAGACTTTCTGCCAGCACTGTACTCATCCCAACGTTGTTACATATTGGACATCAGACTACCAATGGAAACCCGAAACGATATTCAACAGGGAAACCCTTCTAAAACTTTCCCTGCTCTGTAAGAGCTGGGGACATATCGCGCAGAAGGTCCTTTACCATCACTTTGGTACTTCGGAAACTACACTCATTGCTGAGATTCTGTTCTGTAGGACTGTATCGCAGAACCCAGGCCTAGCTAAACTGGTAAAATATGCAAGGCTACGACATATAGATACAACAGATAACCCCAGTCCTATCGAGGACTGGATAGTTGAGCCTCTGAATAAGTTCTCGGAATTTCTCAACTTCCCCGGTACAACATTTGACTCGGAGGCTTCAAATTGGGAGTCGTTTGTCGCACCGCTCATTCTACTTCAAGTACCAAATCTCAAGTATCTTCACGTTGGACACAAAGGGGACTGTTTGATATTCGACAAGTTTGACAAACCGGCTGTTGTCCGCCAGCAGGCTCTTCCTCTTTACATCGATTCTTTCATGGCTGGCTACGACCAAGCACTTAATGGGACTCTATCAGAAATCCCTGGGCACCTTGACGTCTCACAGGAAGGCCTTGGCGGATTATTTCCTGCATTGAAACGTCTCAAATTCCTGGGCATATGCAGTCCCAACATCAACACGGTTCGAGATCCATTCCAGCTCCAGAGCGTGACACGCCTGGATTGTCAACGTTTCGCACTTCGGAAAGATCAACTACGGAAGTTTATCTCACCTATAGCAGCTCTGGAACTGTTTAATTACCATGCATGTGGAAATGGTCGGGAGACGTTTGCCACGGGTCAAGATATATGCGAAGTTCTAGCCCCCCACAAGGATACACTGCGGATAATGTCGATATGTACTTACTACGCAGAAGGGAGCTTCATGCCTATACGTCAGCTGGAAAATCTACAAAGCATATCTTTCACACCTGAAGCCTTCTGGAACCCTATGAATAAGCCTATTTTGGATGAGCAGGCCCTGGTTTCCGCATTGCCCCCTTCTCTCAAGCATGTAACGTGCTTTCTCGACAAAGGAATCTGGGAAGGAACAATTGATGCAATCATAGCGTATCTCCTATCGGTTGGCAAACAGCATACTCTGCTGCGTTTTGAAATTTTGCTTGATGATGGAAGGATAAGTGTAGCGTGGAATGAAACGAGAGCCGTTCGGTTCCGAAACACGATGAGAGCGATGGCGAAGCGACTCAGGGAGATGAGTCAATCAATTACTGATAGATCGAGGACAGGGATTGTAATTGTTGAATGCCGCAAACACATTCCTGTTCCACTGTTCGCAAAGTATCCCTTTTAGCTAGAATCGAATTAAACCATATCTAAACCTCGAGTACCTACTCAAGGGTTGTTGATGCTACGAACTTCTAGGTTGCTCGTATTGTTTGCTAGAATTGACAAGCCCTTAGAACTTTGTGAAATAATGACTACCTATGTCCACTAGAAGCTAAACAAGGACTATTGCTAGAACATCATAGACCGGGGTAAAAATGATCAAGATCTCTTCCACAGCAGGCCAAAAACCCAACAGGGATAAAAGATGCTCCATTGATTAAGAGCTCAGCTTTGCAAGGAAACCAGACAAGACCTCCTGAAACTTTTCTGGCTCGTCTGTCGCAGGGTTATGCGCCGACTTCTCAAAGACGACAAGCTCACTGTGAGGGATTCCCTTACTGATCATATCCGACTCTTCAAAGGGGCAGATAACATCCAGCCGTCCAACTAACACCAGAGTTGGAACTTTAATCTCTCCCAGTCTACCCCGAACGTCAAATCGAGGCTGACAATGAGAGAAAGCAGCATTGTGAACCTCCCAGCGCAACTCATCTCCTGTGCCCGCGCCTTCAATCTGCAGAGGCTCCAAGTTCTCCTCATCGGATCGTTCAGGAGTGTAGATGCTGACTATTTCCACCAGACTTTCTTCTGCATCTTTCCTGTCTCGAAGGTTGCCGGACCAGAGTCTTGCCTGTCGAAGAGGATCTGGCTTGATGCGATGGGATGAGAGGATATTTGCGAGGGCGCGATGAGTCCCGAGGGGTCCAGATGCCCAGGTGTTCCGAAGCACCAAGCCTAGAAGCCGATTGGGGTAGTTTATGGCGTAGTTTAGGGCGAGAAAACCTCCGTAGGAGCCTCCAGCGAGGACAAACTTGTCATCTCCCACCCAAGCCCTACAAGCTGTTAGTACAATTCAAGTGTAAGACCAAAGTTACTTACCGGAGTTCATCAATATCAGCTATCCATTGTTCATCAGTGAAAGGACCGTTGGCGTCACTGCTTCCACTGCCTCGGCAATCGTAGACAAGTACACGGAACTCATTTGCAAGAAACTTGAATCCTTCTTTGATATCGGTGTGAGTTGAAAGACCTGGTGCGCCGTGAAGGGAAATAATCAAAGGTTTCGATTTGTTCTCAGCTCCAAGGAGCCAGACGTTGAGCTTAGTTCCGTCACTGAGCTGGACTTGAGTGTTGACTGCTGACATGGTGGTTTCGTGGTAGATGAGTGTTAATGATGTTGTGTGTTAGTGAGAGCGTACAATTGAGGGGAGATGTTTATATAATAATTGAACACTTGCTACTAGTTCAAACTGGGTTATCGGCAAGCGAAACCTGTGAAAGAAGTGAGTCTCGCTCAGCGAGGTGGAGCTTCGTATGATCTCCGAGCAACAACGTTGGCGGCATACCAAATATGTCAGTGGACTCATTTTGAAGCCTAACAGGCAACCTAGTTACTTGACTCTTTTTAGATTGCAATAAATTGATGCAAGATTAGACAATCATACCCATCTGGCTATGTTGAAGTCACGCTGCTGCTATGTCGATCGCTTTCTGTGCAACCCGGCCATCATCTTCATATGACAAAATAGACCCTACATCACTGAAATCCGCCCAGATAGTATCAAAGTCCTCATTCTCCTGCTGCGTCCCTTCTTGCGGTGCAATTGTAGAATCTGCTACAGCAAGGTACCAGAATATGATCTTCCAATTTCCATTACCGGTATCTCGTTGAGATATAGCGAAGGGTTCAGTGATCGCTTCTGGACGTTGACTGTCTTTGGCTGTTGTAGCGAGTGACACGATATTGGCCGGGAGTAGTTGAGCTGTCACCCCTGTCTCCTCGAATGTCTCTCTCAGAGCTGTCTGGTCAAGGGCTTCTCCCACATCTTTGCGGCCTTTGGGGAGCAGATATTCTCCAGTTTTGCGCCAGTGAATGAGCAGGACTTTGGACTTTTGCTTGTCTATTGAGACGGTACCGCAGCTGATGACGAATTTTTCCGAGAAGACCAGGCTTTTGTTTGTAGATGCCATCTTATTGTTGTTGCAAGAAGAGAGGTCTTTGATGCATGTGAATGGTTTGGTCTGTAAATGTCTGCCTGGAGATATTTTGTCTGGCTAGCAAATTGCTGCATGACTCAGCAGAGGCTGTTCTTCAACTACGACAAACGTCTTACATGCATGTGAGAAATTGAAGTTATTTTTAAGGCCATTTAATTGTCACGATTACGAGAATGGTCGCAGGATGGAATTGTCCCTTACCTGGCATCCGCTTGTACAGTCCGTGTCGCTGAGCGAGATGTACAAATTACCTAAATAGGCAATTTTCGTAAAGCGAAGCATGCGAAGCGGACCATTGCTCTAAGTGGTCGCGAAGCGTAAAGAGGATTGGCAGACATATAATAAATCAAGAATATGAACAATACTTCATGAATCCTCACAAGCCTTGTTCTTATTCACAATGTCGACTGAACCAGATTCTGAGAAGTACCCCAGCGACAACACACCATGGGACCAGGATGCTGCAAACCCGCAGAACTGGAGTAAGTTGAAAAAGACAGTCAACCTCGGAATAGTATCAATCCTCGCTTTCATAACGTAAGTAATATGAACAGTTCCATTATCCATTGCTAACCTATCAGGCCCTTGGAATCCTCAATTATTGTCCCAGGCGTCCCCCTCCTCAAACGAGACTTTCACGAAACTCGAAAACCCGTCACATCCCTCGTCGTATCAATCTTTGTCCTTGGATTTGCATTTGGCCCTGTTCTTCTCTCACCCTTGTCCGAACTCTATGGCCGCCGTCTGCTTTTCAATATCTCCAATGTCATCACACTCTGTTTCTCAATCGGTAGTGCCTTGGCGCCAAACATCGCATGCTTTATCGTCTTTCGATTCATAGCTGGTAGTTTTGGGGCTGGGCCGATGAATATTGGAGGGGGAAGTATCGCGGACCAGGTTGAGTTGTCCAAGAGAGGGTTTGTCATGTCGATTTTCTTCACTGGGATATTCTTGGGTCCTGTTATTGGGTAAGTTGGACATTGTGTGTGGTCTGAAGTAAGACTAACCAGTATCAGACCTGTAATAGGGGGTTTCATCGCTAAAGACCTAGGTTGGAGATGGGTTTTCTGGGTCATGACTATCGTTGTAAGTACTATCATCGTGTATCATATCGGTACTAATCATGCCATGTTTAGAAAGGCGTCATGACAATAGCAACCTTTCTCTTCCTTGCCGAAAGTCATGCTCCTACGATCCAACGAAAACGAACCAAAATCGCAAACGAGACACCGGTCAAGGATAAACCAAAAACAAGCCAGGTCCTGCTAAGATCCATCTCGAGACCAATGAGAATGTTGTTCCGCAGTCCAATCGTCACTGGTCTGTCTCTATACCTTGCTTTGATATACGGCTATCTATATCTTCTATTCACCACCTTCTCAACCGTCTTTCCCGAGCAGTATGGCTTTGGCATTGATACTCTAGGGCTTGCTTTCCTTGGCCTTGGAGTCGGCTGTGTTGTTGCGCTGGTGATTCTTTCGTGGCTTAGTGATTGGCTGCAGAATCGACTTACCCAGAAACACGGGGTGTCCAAGCCAGAGTATGTATTGTGTTCTTATGCAGAAACACAGCTGACGATATTCAGATACCGACTACTTCCGATCGTTCTAGGAATACCCTTACTTCCCATCGGACTGTTCGTCTATGGCTGGACAGCACAGTACAAGGTCCATTGGATAGTACCCATAATCTTCACTGGACTCACAGGAGCTGGTCTAATCTTCTCATTTGTCAGTCATCCCCTTTTGCCAGAGTGCCAAACTGACAATCATAGCTTCCAACGCAGATATACATGATCGATGCATTCACAAGATATGCCGCGAGTGCTTTGGCTGCTACCAGCGTGGTGAGAAGCATAGTTGGCGGCTGTTTGCCCATTGCTGGACTACCCCTCTACTCTGCTCTCGGTTACGGATGGGTCAGTTATCTGTTCATGTCTCGCGTCTTTTACTAATTCTCATCTAGGGGAACTCTCTTCTTGGATTCATTGCCATTCTTGTTTCGGTCGCACCTCTTCTTTTCTGGCGATATGGTGAGTTATTAAGGAAGAAGTATGATGTTCAGTTCGACTGAAGTCAATGTGGTTATTAGAATGGCTGGGATTCGTATTGGCTAGGAATGACTTGCGGCGAGGTTGGTATACTAGGTCATCGACCACCTATGTTAGATTTGGGATATCTTTAGAAACCCATTGTGAGAGCCAGGCTCGGACTTAGTCCATAATCATTGATCTTTCAACTCTGAAGCCCAATCATCCCGTTCCAACAGAACCCTCACACAATCAAGCCTTCTATCAAGGTTCGCCGAGACATCAAACAACCACTTCAGATTGAGCTTTCCCGCATCTCCAAGCTCCAGAGTCCCAGCAATGTACCTCTCTTCGAACCCTCGAGCACCTTGATGAAGCGCCTCAACCGACATTTTGACATTTCTTGTAGCGTGTCTCAACATCAACTGTTTTATCTCAAGATCGTCCTGCTCTGACGGTAAAAAGCCCCCCAGTACGGTTTTTGTCATGTCATTGCCAAGATGATGCACCGGCTGCTTGGCGATTTCGCACAAAAGAGTAACTTGTCGCTGATGCAGCATGGCGAGGTTTATGTGTCGAGGACATCCAGCGTCGCAGTTCTCGCACGCCAGGTATTGTGCGGATTGATGAAATGTCCGCTGGAATAGTGCTAGGGTTTCATCGATACTAGTTTGTCCAGGATCTCTTGAGATGGCATCCAACCTACCATTCAGCTCGTGAATAGCGGCGTAGCATGCATTACGGCATTTTGGTCTTTGCTTCGTTGGAGACTGTGTTGGAGGTGGGGAGTTGATGATGTTCATTATATCTGTAAATGTTGGCGAGTCCGCGTTCATAGCATCTTCATGCCCCTCGTTAGTGAAGGGTTGGATAAACTGTATGGATTCTTGGAGTAACTGCTTGTGTCAGTGACTGAGTGTTTGTTCTTTTGACTTCTCTTACATTCGGGTCGATGTCAAAGGTTGACTGATTAGCTACATCCGCATCTGAAGCATATGGCTCTATCCCCGAATAGCTCTGCCAATCTCTGGCCTCATTACCAATAGCCTTCTTCTTTCCGCGCCGCTGGGAGAGACTATAAACACACTGCGGTGCCTCGGAAGATGTTGCGCATCGGTGGCATGGAACACCGCCTGAACATTTGACTCTCGATTTGCGACATCTATTACACGAAGTATTGTACTTGCGTGGGTAGGTTCTACTTGGAGTTTCTTGGTGTGGATGAACACGCGTATTCCATCGTGTTGTGTAAGTCGTCGGAACCCTATTAAAAGTGGTCATGCCGATAAATAGATGAGTTTCTGATTCTTGGACACCAGTTTGTTGTTCAAACGGAATTTGGTGTTAGGCATATGAGGCTTAGATTTGTCATCATACGATCACGTTAGTTGAGGTTATAGCCATAACGTTAATATTACATAATCTTCTGGTCTATCAAGTATATCCCAAGATTGCGGCATAGATGGTTTTCTCTATCCTATCCCTTCATGATACCAACGGTGGTCTATATGTCGAGTCGGTTTGCATGTAGTTGAAAAGACTTCCATTATTTCATAGCAATACAGCTGAGTGATAATCTGGGGAAATAGTGGAAATGCGGGGTGAGATCGGGAACGTGGGGGAATCGGGACACCACGCGGAGAAAGTGAACCACTCCTTGTAAGCCGATGAATTAGTTACCATGCATCGCTCGGTACAGCAGAGAAGCGATTGTTGGTTACGACAGCGTTCCCTTGACGAGGTAGACTAGTTACAAAGCTATCCTCTCACCATACAAATATCAGTACCCATTTAGCCAAGCCGAGCTAACACTACGGCCATGCCATGGCTTATAAGTGTCAGCTAATAGCATCACTGCCAAGTTTAACAAGTTGCACAAGACGGTCCTTGTTCATTGTATATTGTTGTCCATCAAGTAGAAAATCAGTCTGCCGAATCGATCACGCTGTTTACCAGTGACTCGAATAGTAGGAGGTACAAGGCGGTATTTGAGACCAACATTAGGCACGGAAAAGCAACCGAAAATTCGATGCCGAACCGAATCCCCGGAACGGGAGGTGGAGGAATCCACATACTCATCGAGACTCCAGTTTGTCTATCAAGACTCACAGCTACCCCAATCTCCAAAGTAATTAAAGCAGTTGTTATGCCGTACTTCTAAGCACGTCCCTCTTCTCCAACCATCTCAACATCAGTATCGACAATGGCTGAAAAGACAGACTTTCCAGACCTCGCAACGGTGGTATCAACCTACCATATCGAGGAAAAGGCTAGAGCTCACACAAACCACCGCAATGGCCATATTGAGGGAAACGCGCTGTTGGTCGATCGACAAGGCGAGATTCGCAAAATCCCTATCCCTTCGTCAGATCCAAATGATCCTTTGAACTTTAGACCGTGGGAGAAATGGGGCCTTGTCTTTTGCTGTTGCTGGTTTTCTGTTATGGGACTCTCAGTGGCTTCGGGGCTAGGTGCTATTCTGAATGTCTTCTTTGAGATGTATATTCCTCAGGGCTTCAATTCGGATCAGGTGGTTCTTCTTATCACTCTGCCCACCTTGTTCATCGGTCTTGGTATGTTTCTCAGTATCATTCATGTTTCTTACTCCTCACTAACAACACCAGGAAACTACATCATTCTCCCTCTGTCTCTCGCCTATGGTCGTCGACCTATCTTCCTCATTTCTGTGGTAGTTCTCTTCGCCTCCAGCATTGCAGCAGCGACTCAGAACAGTTACTATGGGCACTTGGTCTCCCGTATCCTTCAAGGAATCGCCACAGGCGCATCCGAATCTCTCCTCCCGCTCATGCTCACAGAAGTGACATTCCTCCACGAACGAGCTTACATCTTTGGGCTCTACTGGATGATCCAAAACGCTCTCTCGTCGTCTCTAAACTTGGCATCCTCATACATCAACGCCGATCTTGGATGGCGATGGTACTACTGGGTCTTCACCATTACTGTCGGAGTTGGTCTAATAATCGCCATCTTCTTCGGCTTCGAGACCCAGTTTACTCGCCCTGCTGCTTCTCTCGACGGTCAACTTGTCATCACAGATGAGTTTGGCGTTACCAAAGTTATCCCTGACTCAGAGGCCCAGGCTTATCTGGAGGAGATGTCGAAATCTGGATTGACGGCGCCCGACGCTTCGAACCCGGCTCAGGATTGTGATCGCATGCCATATACACAGCGTCTTCGACCATGGTCTAAGCCCTCTCCCAAGCCCCTCCGTGTCATTCTTCTGAGCTGGAAGCACATGCTTACGTCGTTTCTGTCACCTGGTATTCTTTACGCCGTGCTTACCTCTTCAATTGCTCTTGGATGTGCTGTCGGTATGTCCTTGACATACAACCAGGTTCTGATCCAGAACTATCACTGGGAAGCGAAGGATATCGGCTTGATCAACGTCGGAGGAGTCATCGGGGCTATCATAGGCATGGTATACTGCACCTTCATCGCCAACCCCTTTGTTATGTGGCTCGCCCGTCGAAACCGCGGTGTCCACCAGCCTAAGCACCATCTCATCACTTTGGCTCCTCCAGCTGTTGTCGGCGTAGCTATGCTTCTATTGTATGGCCACACAGCCGGCGGCGGCGCAACATGGTGGGGACCTTATCTTGGCTGGACCATTTTCCAATATTCCTTCACAGCGGTTCTCATCATCTCGACCACGTTTGCCTCTGGAGCCGCTCCCAAGCATCCGGGACCTGCTCTCGTCACCGTTGTTGGAACTAAGAACATCATCTCTTTTGGCGTCACGTATGGTTTGACTCCTATGGTCGAAGAGCATGGATACAAGTGGGCTTTTAGTGTTTTGGCGGGACTTTTTGGAGGTATTTTCTTGCTGGGTATTCCTGTCTGCATGTTTAACCCCAAGTGGCGTGCCTATGTTGCTGAGAGGGAGGCTCAAAAGGGTGTTACTACCACTGACTAATTCTGCAAAATGACTACATGAACCACAAGTATTTTATCTAGTTTTATATTTAACTCCAATATCATTCCACTGCGGACTGAAAACAAGTGCAACCGACGGTTCCAGAGATGATGTATTTATGTAACTGAAAGCTCAGCAATTTAGTAGCTGTCATGGACAATTGCCTGATTGGGATCTCAACGGCGCCGCAGTCCCGGAGCCGAATCTCGGGACCAGTCTCCACATTTCCGGACCGGGCTCCAATTCATCTTCCATACCTCGTCAGAACTTCCTCACCAATACTACCATCATAATTAAATTTCTCATATTGAGCACAGTTTATCAGACACTTCGTCAGCTCGATTTTACCGATCTATGACCACATTTCCTGATGAATGTAGCGTTCGCAATTACGCGGACTTTGCCAATGCTATATCCGGACGCCTTGACATTGAAATACATGTAGTGCAACATATGCCCGCAGGACGCTAACCTGCAATCGTATTCCTAAATTCCTATCTTCCAATAGCTGCCAATAATACAAGTTCCGAAGCTAACCTTCGTTCGTATTCATATATATTAACTTACAGCACTACCATGATATGGAATCCAGAGTACAAAAAGTAAGTCCGGGATTGTCTATAAAAACCAGCGAATATTCGTCGAACGTAGTCTTTTATCCCTCGATTCTATCAAACAAACACTTCTTATTACAAAATGCCGACAAACAACGCTGCATACCTCACTGCCATCGAGGCACCCCTCGAGCTCCGACAGGCTCCCTACCCTGACCCCAAACAAGATGAACTTGTAGTCAAGACCCGTGCAATTGCGATCAACCCAGTCGATTCAGGACAGCAGAAACTTGGCCCCTCAGTCTTTCCCTGGCTCAAGTTTCCTGCTATCCTAGGCTGTGATGTTGCTGGAGAGGTCGCCGATGTTGGCTCGAGTGTCAGCTTGTTCAAGCCAGGCGATCGTGTCGTTTGCTCCCACATGGGCACTTTCCAGGAATACGTTCCTGTAAAGGAACCCTTCTGCGCCAAAATCCCGGACAATATTGGATTTGAAGAGGCGGCAGTCATACCTCTAGGATTGGCTGTGGCCGCCAAGACTCTGTTTGATCCGGAATACCTGGCTCTTGACAAACCTACTCCAGAAACCACAGCCAATGGCAAGGTCATTCTTATCTGGGGAGGATCTACCAGTGTTGGGTGCAACATGATCCAACTTGCCAAGGCAGCAGGATTCGAGGTCATCACCACCGCGTCTCCCAAGAACTTTGACTATCTCAAGGAGCTCGGTGCCAGCCAGACCTTCGACTACAGCTCGCCCACCATCAAGGAGGATCTTCTTGCTGCAGTCAAGGGAAAGATAGTCGCAGGCGCTATAGCGAACGGCGGCACGAACCCCGCAGACTATCCTTCGATCGTTGAAAACTGCGCAGCTATTGCTCTGAGCTCACCGGATAATTGCAAGTTCGTTCCCCTGACTATGGTGCCACGATTTCCGTTGCCAGAGGGTATCGAGACAAAATTTGTCATACCGGGAGACGAGGAATCTGCCCCGTGGATCTACAACGAGTACCTCCAGAAGTCTCTGGCTGATGGCAGCTTTGTACCGGCGCCTAAACCGAAGGTTGTTGGACAAGGTCTGGATAGTCTGCAAAATGCACTGGACATAATCAGTGCTGGAGTGTCGGCGACCAAGATCGTGGTCACTATCTAGTGAGGAATTGTAGAATTTGTTGCGATGGTCGAGAAATATGTTTCACTTGAAAGCCCCATAGCATATATGAACACTATTGATTTGTCCCTGTCTGGGTACCGAGAACGTGAATCTGTGATGTCAGTTCAGAAGCCGAGGCACAACCTTCTGAATAGAGCATAAGCCGGCAAAATACAATGGCATGGGTGATGTGTTGTCGTATAAACTAGCAAGGCCAGTAGTTGTAGTCTGTGCTGCAATCTTCCTCTAAGATATCTCAGATAAGCTGATCTCCTCATGAACTACCATGACATACACACGATACGTTTTCCATCAACCACCACTTAATGCTCTCCACACCTTACTCCTTACTAGCCAAAGCCTTAACAACAGCTTCCAGCGCCTTTCGATCTGCGCCCCGCACCCTATCGACTAATCCATCCTGCGTGAGATTAACAGACCTGCTACTCTGCAGTCCCTCAACAGCCACACCCTTAGGCACACCTCCCGAGAAGAACACAAACGTAGGCATGGCTGAAATGCCATACTTGACTGCAACTTCCTTGACATGGTCAGTGTTGACCTTTGCGAAAGCAAGATGACCCTTGGACGCGTGGGTGTCAGCCAGGTTTGAGAACACGGGTGCAATGGCACGGCAGGGCGGACACCAGTCTGCGTAGAAGTCTACCACGACTTGAGTGTGTGATTTGAGAACGGCTTCTAGTTCAGCTGGCTCGGCAATCTTGTAAACTTTGCCTGATGTCTCGGGGATGGGTGAGCGGTCCGTGAAATAGGCCTGGAAGTGAGTGAGTTTGATGAGATGGTTAATGAGGGGTTGAGGGCTTATACCTGAGCGACCATGAACAGAGCCAATAGGCCGAATATGATATAGATTGTTGCCATCTTGTTGGGTGATCTTGAAATGCTGTGTCGATGAGTTAAATGAAGCCGACGGGTGTGTAAGTTGAAGTTGGAGGTGGATTGAATCTGGATAACGCCACGATGCTGACAAAGTGCGTTATCACATGACTAGCATGGTACTGTAATGCCAACCTCATGTTGATACCAGAGATATTTTTGTCGACGTTCATGATCTAAGAATATCTGTACGTATACTAACTGTGAATTGAGCAATACTTTTTAAAAATGTTAGGATCTCACGTCGAGGTTGACAAAAGTCACTGTGTTGTCCTGGAGATTTGTTAGTAATCGAAGTTTGATATAAAACATCACAGCGTAAGGCATCGATTTCACAGTGTATTAGCCAGACCAAGAATCAGCAAATCATAAGACTTACCAAACCAAGCCATCTAGCAAGAATATCCTTTTCTAAATAATAATATTGACTCCTGACACCACTATTTTAAATGATCACTAAGATCATCACAGGAATGAAGCTACCCTGGAGACACAACACCGCATATTCCAATCACATTACAGCATGTATCAACAACTTGAGGATTGAGAAATTATCTTTATAGCTAAGAGGTCGTATCTTTCATCGTAAGTCTATTCTTGATTCAATTTTCCAAAGATGTCAAAGGGGTATGATGAACAGAATGCTCGCAGCCAAACAAAAACGACTGACCATGCCCCGTACTCCTGTCTTGCTATGCAATTCACTGACATTCCAACAACTGTCGCCACAAATGCTGCACTTATCCTCTTCACCCAGGTAACCACTATGTGCTACCCTGCCCCATATATCACTACGCTGCCCGCTTCCTTTCACATCTCTTTCATACTCTTATGTTGGTGGTGTTGGTACCGTCTGACCCAAAACTATGTACCGAAGCGAATATGTATTTCGCAAAGGTTTCATTAAGCCCACCCCAGCATCTCAAGGGTTGTTCGAGCATCCGAGGCTGCCATCCCGCTGACGGCAAGCTGCCTGACTTGAGTACCACGTCTGAGACGCTGGAGTCCGACGGTAACCTTCCAATACTCCGATTCATCGATAACGAATAGGTACCGTTTTCCTTCTTGGTCTCGGACCGTGGCCCGCAACAGGTGAAGACCTTGGGATTTCCACTCTCCAGTCTGTTCAGGACGTTAGTATTTCGAATTATACGATGAACAAGTTTTAGACACCCGTCGCATTCCCTCAAGTAGACGTCGACCGTCTTCAAGAGGTTGGGCCAAACCCAGATTGCGAACTCAAGGGGCAATGTTTCAGGAAAGGGGAAAAAGAGAAATAAAAGAATTCAAGCAATACGGGGGGCATACCTCAACTTGTTTCAAGGTCCAAGCCTTAACGTCCCATTCTCTCTGTGGGACACTTCGCACATCGTCATCGATGAAAAGGCCTTCAGTGGTTATACGGAGGATAAGACCGTCAGTGACAGTTCCAACACCCGAGATGAGCTGACTGGCGGGTGTTTTGGAGAACTGGTTCATGAACAGGTATACACCTGAAATGACAATCTTGTCAGGGTCCTTGGTGGAGTAAGGCCCTCCGCGCATCGAAGCAGGTGGCGTGGTTCGACCAGTAGTCTGCGAAGCCGCCCACGATGACTCGGAGCCAATTGAAGATACAGAGTTCTTACGCTTAGGCTGCTTGGGCGTATCATATGGCCGGTATGAGTTCTCTGTGCTAACGCCAGAGACATTAGACCGGGCGGCAGAGGGAGTGGCATTTCGTTGAGTGGAAGCTGCGCTGGGAGGAGGCCTGGAAGTAGATGAGGTCGTCGACTTGGGTGCTGGCGGGCGACCGTTGGGCCACATGCTTGTCTTCTCACCAACGCCCGAGTAGGCGTAACTGCTTGGTTGCCGGGCTGCAGTTTCTTTTGCAGCCGTTTCTCTTTCAAGTCGTTCCTTTTCAGCCTTCTCCTTCTCAGCTCTCTCCTTTTCGGCCTTCTCTTTCTCGAGTTTTTCCTGTTCGCGTTGTTTCTCGAGCTCCTTCTTCTGCTTCTCTTCCTCTCGTCGTTTGGCCTCCTCCGCTTCCTTCTTCCTTAGAGCTTCACGTTCAGCAGCGAACTTCTTACGTCTTGCTTCGCGCTCCTCAGCTTCCTTCTTCTTCTTGGCTTCAAGTTCGCGAGCCTCCTTTTCGCGTTGTTCTTCTCGCTCACGAGCTTCCCTGGCTTCCTTTTCCAGTCGCTCGCGAATTTCCTTGGCCTCCTTTTCCAAACGCTCTCGTTCCTTTCGTTCATGCTCCAGCTTGATTGCAAGATCATTGGCACGTTGCTCGGCCTCGAGACGTTCTCTCCTCTCCCTGCCCTCTTGATCCCTGCGCTCACGCTCCTTTTCTCTTTCTTGTCGCTCTTTAGCGTCCTTTGCCCTGAGCTCCGCAAGTCGCTTTGCAGCCTCCTCTCGTCGTTTCTTCTCAGCTTCCTTGATTCTGCGCTCCTCTTCCTTTTTCTTCATTTCCTCTCGGGCTTTCTCCCACGAGCTTTTCTGCCTGGCTGCCTCGACTCTCTTTGCTTCAGCCTTTTCTGCTTCGACTCTTAACGCCTCAGCTTTCAATGCTTCAACCTTTGCTGCCTCGATTCTTTCTGCCTCAGCTTTCAGTGCTTCGGCTTTCAGTGCTTCGGCTCTAAGTGCTTCGGCTTTCGCTGCTTCAGCTTTGATTGCCTCAGCTTTCAATGCCTCAGCCTTCGCTGCCTCAGCCCTTGCTGCCTCGATTCTTTCTGCTTCAGCTTTCGCGGCCTTGGATTCGGGAGTAGGGCCACGCGCAGGCTCTGATTCGGGTTCTGGCACCGGCCTAGACTTAGGTTTGGGAGGTGGACTCTGTTGACGAGCTTTCGAAAGAGGTGACGAGTCTCTCGGCTTCGACTTCGACTTCTTGGATCTCTGCTTCGGCGGAGGCGTCTCGGGAGGAGTTTGTGGCGCTGGAGGTCGAGTCTGGTGAGGCGGTCGTGGAGGTGGTTCTGGGTCACCTCCAGCTGTCTGAGGCTCCGGGTGAGGCCGCGCGGTAGAATCTGATGGCGGTGATCCTTGCCAGGACGTTCTGGGACCACTATGAGGCGGGGGCCTGGGAGGGGTGTCATGATGGGGAGGAGGTGGAGGAGGAGTTCCATGAGGAGGGGGAGGAGGTCCCCCAGCGTTTGCTGATCGGAAACCCGAGCTCCATGCTCCTCCATAACCTCGACCGGAACCGCCTGAACCACTACCACCTGGACCACCAGCACCGCCCGGGACTTGATTCTGGAAACGACCAAGGGCCCATGCTCCGAAACCGACACCAACAACTAACATTCCCATTGCCACATTTCCTAAGCCATGGAAGGTTTCCCACCAAGTTCGGAAAGCGGGAGCCAAAGTCTGGCCAAGGACGACGAGTATCAGGGCCGAAGCAAACCCAGCGGCGAAGCTGTTTACATTGGGTTGCATAGACGGCAAGTATAAGAACCCGCCTCCGGAGGAATGCTCAGGAATGACAAAAATGTCATATTTGCCCGGAGGTAGGCCAGTACCCTTTGGCACTCCGCCATGAGGCGGAGGCGGCGGAGGGGGGCCGCTCATTATCGACAATCAGCTCAGGTGGTTGTTTTTAAATATCGGCTCCTCGGACTGTCGAGTATTTGGAGTCGCTAACGCAGTCGCAATCGCTATTCTAGGAGAGTCTGAAGACAGCCATTAAGGCTGCGGGATGTTATCGGTACTGAGAGCAGGTCAGTTGATACCGTCGGCACACTTGGGCAGAAAAGAACAACGTCTTTCGAAGCCACTTCAAATTGACAAAGTGAAGAAACAGGAGTCGAGAAAAAAGTTCGTTCCCGAGTGGCTGGGGCCGGGTTACAGGAAAGAGAAACGAGGTTGGACAAGACTCACACAAGACAAAATCGGGAATACAGGCTCTCGGATCTAAGTCGAGGACCCTGAGCAAGAGGATGTTGCAAAATGTGTCGACCAAAGAGCAAACAGAATCGATCGCTTGTGATACAAATTGGTAATGCCCTACTCCCTCTTTGTGCAGCTTTCGGTACCGAGGGTTAGTAGAGGCGGTATAGACGAGGAGGAAAAAACCAGGATGATAGGAGTACGAAAGAGGAGGAGACAGGAAGAAAATGGCGCGGCGTAGTGGTGGAGATGAGATGGACAGAGCGGAGGCGGGAGTAGGAAGAGGCCAAGGTCATGGTCGAGGCAGCAAGAGTGACTACTGAGACGACCTAGACCTTGTTTACTTCGAGGCGCTTTGGGAAAAGTGTGGGAGCGGGCGGGACGGGGATGGATGGGTGCAGACGAGATAGGTACTTGATAGGTACCTTCAGCGCATTTTACAGCTAGTCCCAGGGCCTGGAAACACGCTGCGACGCTTCACTGCTAGCGCACATGCAGCTCCCTCCACCTCTAGCGCCTTCCCCCCGTCAGCGGGCTGGCGGGGCACACCCGCTTTGTAAACGGCCCCACCCTTCTATGGATATCGTCACTCACTCGTGCTTTTTGACTGGCGAATGGCTTTGAGAGACGAGGACTTCACCCTGACTCTTTCAACCTATCAGTTGAGTGTGACTAGGAACCAGGATCCAATGCCGCGGTTCTCAACGACTCAAAAGGTGGCTGATCAAAGTTTTGTGTTCTTGCAATTTGGCGACCCGGCCGTTTTGATGATACGATACCTGATCTAGGCTGGCAGAATCACTCCATGTGATGAGTTTGAGGTATCATTTTGACCTTCTTTGACAATGGTAGTTACTCATTTCTTTTTATGGCAGTTACTCATTTCCAGTCAACCCGTCGAGGAACCATCCAACAGCAGCATCCGTACTCCGTACAGGTACCATTTAGACTCCAGCCTTCATCTTTTTCGTTCCCCTCAAGGCATCATCCTCTCCAATAGCTGGGTCTCCCCTGCTTGTCAACGTCTCAACGTCTTTCAATTCCACAACGCTCCTTTTCTTCTCGCCTGTACCTTGTGATGGCTTGCATCCTACGATAAAGCACTGACAGGACCCTGCGGATCGAACAAAAGATCACAGCAGAACAGACCACGAATGCAAAATAAGCGAGGCCTCAAGAAAGACAGAGCTTTGGGGATTTCTGGGTTGTTCGTGAGCTCGTGCCAATTCACAGCAAATGGGAACGTCCCCGCTTGTCGATCTTGGAGAAATCTTGAGTATTTTGAAACGATTGGGCAGCAATGGCTCTTGTTCTTTGCTTCTGTCAATTTTCCCGCAGCATTGCCATGTATGCGTGCTTTGCCTCGATGTTTACAAAACATTGCAGGAACTAGCATTGGGTCTCCGCTTGCAAGCAGAAGACTGTTTGCAAGGCACTGTTCGTGATATCTCCCGCATCGGCTACGTTCCACAACTCAAGGATATAACGCCCGAGCTTTTGGTCATGTCAACCCACATGGGCAAAAGCTTGCACGTATCTGGATCGTCACCGACAGATCCGAAGGTTAAGCTAGCAGCGTTGACATTTTCACCGCTCTCGATGTCGAGGTGACTGATATCCGCATTCGTAGTCTAGAGCTTGAAATACCCTTGCTGCGGCTTAGACGCGATACCGTGGCCTTCTCTTTGTTCTTCTCTTTGCCGTGGTTACATATGCAGATTGTACAAGTCTCGGTGCCACGGCACCAACACCACGGATGCGGTTCTTTTTCCCTGCGGAAGAGGTAAGGTAGACAATGTATCCCAACTCCCGCAATGTGAAGTTAAACTTTGGTTCCTGAGGCTGCCAAGCTCGGCACGTTGAATGTCATCCTGTGGCTGCGCTTCAGAAGGCTTGCTTCTTTGTAAAGTGTATTTCAGACGTTTCAAAATCTCGATGTCTCACCGATAATTTGTTTGTGTTTGACTTTAACAATTGAGTGAAATAATACATTGGTTTGTCCGCAGTTTCCGCACGCAGTGCCAAGAAAAGAGGAGTGGCTGTCCGTTCATCGCCTCACCGCTGAGGCCCTCTCCGCCCACCTTTTTCCTTCGCTTGTCTTCGTCCCATATCTCCCAGCCTTCCCCAAATGCGAGTAATCTTTACGAGCCTACGACACGTGCATGTATCGAAGCGTGGCCCCAATCATTGTTTAATCACCCAAAGCCTTAAGCACGATGTCCCAGGCAGTTGGTAGCTGACTCGAAAAAAGAGGCCAGTTGACAACCTACTTTACACGTTGCCTAGCAACCGTAAATCAACGAAGGGACCCCGGCAAATAAAAAAGGAAAACGCGCTAAGCTCGCGACGACGTCGGCTAGTGACGTAGCTGCGCCACTAGAAATTAGAGCCTAAAGACGGTTCTTTTGCAGTGCTGCATGTCTGAGTCTACCTCGCACCTACGGATACAGTACGAGGTGATGTCAGGTCCCGGAGACCACGTTGTTGCTGAAGAGAAGAAAGAGAAAACATCGACGCTAATCTAGTCGTTGTCGCTCTTTATTTGTTTCCATCAAGGTCATTACTCCGTAGCATTGCCTTATCACTTCTCTTCCCCTCACACTGTCACCCCCATTCAGGCGGGTTAGTACCTCTCTTGTACCCAGAACCCAGTCCCATTCTCATGCAACGTGGAACGGTCCGCTCCAAGGTTCGACTTGTCCATTCTGATATCCCATCGAGCCGGACCACCTGTTTACCAAGCGGTACTTTTTGTTTCCTATGTGACTGTCGGTGGTGACTCAATTGCCCGCCATGATGTTTGACTCAATCACTACTGCCGAAGTATGAGGTATGAGGAAAAGCTAACAAGGACGAGACTCTGAATGGAGAAAGAGTCTCAGGATTAGCACTTCTGGGTCTTGAGGTGACAAGTCGCAGATAAAGACATTTCCTATATTTCAAGATTGTCATTGAAACCCGTATACTCAACCAAAACGCAGATATCTTGTAACCATTCTTAATTCTCAATGTGCCCTTCCTGCTGTGTGGCACTCAACACTATCCGCAATCAGGTAGACAAGAATACTTCATATGTTGCGTATCTTCCAAGTCCAACTGTAGTGCATCAACCGTCATTTGCCAATCGTAAAACGACTCATACTTTATTACTTTAACAAAACCAATTCAACCTCCAGCAGCTCTATGCAACAGCTGGAAAATTCAGGACTCCGGTTCCAAAGCCGCACAAGACGCCTTGCATGCCCGCATTACATCAAACATTTCCCCCTCGAGTCTGCACCGTGAATGTTGCTACGTCTGCAACCCATGAAAGCCCATTAGATAGTATCCTTAAAAACCATACCCACCAAACTGCAACTTGTACGACAAACAGAACCATCTTTACCAGCAGCGTGAGAAGTAGCAGTCACATCTTCTTGATTCGGTTGTTGGCGACCTTCAGCTTTGCGCCGGTTCGATCGGTGTCTTGGTCTAGTTCGTCAAGCATCCGGATCTGGTCTTCAACCTCTTCGTGAATTCTTTCTCCCATCTCCCTTTGTCGTCGAATGACTGCTGTGAGCTGATCAACTGCAAGATCCTGGTTTTGCATCTCTTGCTTTTGTAGCTGAAGCACTCCTGAGTTGTCCAGTTCTCGTGTCTTATCTGTCTCTGGTAAAGGAGCGCCTAGGACACGACCGGCCGGACGACCTCCCTTGAGAAGTCCAGCTTTATCGGCTGCTGACGCCTGGCCTTGACTGAATCCACCCCGTCCTGCGGCTGATGTTGAGCTGGACATGCTGTTAGAGAGTTTGTCCAGACCTTCTCGTTCCATCCGGGCTTGAGAAACCAGGTCCCGACGACGCCGTAGCTCGCCTTCACCCAACCGGCCCGACTCCTGTATTCTTCGTAATCCATCTGCAAGTGTTGCGATCAATGTTCCACTTCGAACAAGAACCCTTTTGGCGGCTGCGCCTGCTTCTGCTGCAGCCGTGGAGTTGCCACTATCCACAGCTGCGTCTCGGCGCGACAGACATTGTCTAGCCTCGTGAAGGTTCTGCTTCAGATCGCGGTGGATATCGAGCCATGTACCCGGGTCAGCTGCGCCAGCGACAGTGCTCTTAACCATCCCGCCTGCTGATATCGCCGAGTTTGTTGTGCTTGAGCTTGGCAGGTTCAAGAATGTTCTCCATGCTGAAGTATCGCGCCATCTTCGATCGGGTGACTCTGCAATACCGCGCAAGTATTTCTCAAGTCCGACTTGGCGATCGCGTGTCAGCTCGACTGAGTTCACAGTCGATTTCAGCCAGTGCTTGGCAGGTAGAGGTTCGGGTGGCGGAGCGCCAACTTGTTGCGTGAGAGTCTGGTGAAGATCGTTAAAATCGGAGTATCGTTTCTGAACGACAAAAGACCGCAGAGGTAGTCGAAGCGTGATGTTGTACAGTGTATACGGTTTCTTGGAGCCTTCGTCGGAAACGCTGGTGGAAGGGATGGCGATTTCTGGCGGCGGTGCCATGTTGAAGCTTGTTTACTATATTCTTTGTTGTACGCTTGCGGTTGAGACTTGGGATTAATGAGTTTGTGTTAAAGCAAGTATGGTTCACGCAAAGAAGGTCAGGTGGTAAATTATTGATGTTGAGAAAGGACAAAAATTAGGACATGAGAGATGGCGAATGCGTCATGGTCATGGCGTCTCAAGAGAGCTGGGCTGGATTGCCTGACGTATTCGTACAGAGGCTTGGCTTATGCGTGCCCTGTAGCTCCCCGTAGGCTGACCGACGGTCAAGGTCACGGCACCCGGTAATCTGTGACACTAAACTTCAATCGGATGATGGACCTCTACCGATTTTTAAATGAACGTCCATTGGTATCTAAGCATCAAGCTGGGCAGTTTATACCACGCTTCCAAATTATATAACCCAAATTATACTGCAATCTTTTGCAACAATACCAATTATTCTTGCGGTTGCTACCTCCCGGCTTCAAAGATTCCGGTACGAGATACCCAAGTGCTAATTATACAACGATGGACTTATAGTGGGCACATGAGGGTTCTGAGAATCTCTGTAAATATTCCAAAGTCCTTCCAGATAATGCAAATATAATCCTATTCTTCCTCTTACTCCTGTGTCGGTAAGTTTTAGTATGTCCTAGTTAATCATTCGAGCCTTTACACGGTACTGTAAATCAGGGATGTACGACTAACGTCGAGCTTTGTTATGGGAAGATAAACATTGGATTCAAAGACGCGAGCTCCTCGACATCTGGCATGATATCTCTACTTGACCAAGTATATAGTCTCTCATGAGTTAGGATCTTGCAGTGAGTCCCCTATTCATTATCCTGCTCGCACGTTTCATACATACGAACAGGTGACCAGCAGTGACACCAATATTGATATAGCAAACCAGTCATTACTGGGCAAACATTTACTGTGGTACCAAGCAGGAGCATTTGCCCGTCTCTTTAGGTACGTATCTGGAGAAGTCATTTTGCTTGCATGTAAATATGGTACATCTGAACAAAAAGGGTAGTTGCTTAAGCGGCCTCCTACTTGTTGGTTATCACCTCAGGCCCCTGACGACATTCACTTATTGTTGATCTGCCTTCTCAAGACAAAGACTTGATATGACACATTGGGTCTACAGAGAAACCCCAACCCTGCATTTAGTCACCCTTTCTAAAGCTTTGCTACCAATCAACAGCACAAGTCTTGTGATGCATGAAGCTCATACGTAATTGCTCAATTCAAGTATGTACTAAGCTAATCACCCTCGAACATGAAATCTTCCGGGACATTTTATGCCGTGACTATAGACCTTAAATGTTGGTAACAAAATTATCAATTTCGTTGAACTTTATCTTTATTGAGTTACTGGAATATCTGATCAACGGATTCAATTTAGAAGCACTGATTCATCTCCCTATAAGACAGTATCAATGATGCATGGAATTTAATAAGTTCACTAATGAAAAACAAATTGCTCTTTAAACGTCATGTTCAGAAACTGAGTAACCAAACCAACGTCACACTAAGCTTCGAGTGAGGTCAATTATAACTAGGTGAGGATGCACCTTGGCTTTATATTGCCAACAGCGTGTGTACAACTCCATCTGAATCCTTTCAAGGATATTACGGACTGTATGCCCAAATCAACTCCCAAGTCTCAGTTTGACTTCTCTGGCGGCGGCCCGTCCCGCTCCATTTACCTATCACAACGTTACTCAACACACCGAGACAACTTCGAATGTCCAAGTTCGGGGTTGAGCTCATTCTTACGGACTCGACACACGACCCGGAATAAGTAAAGAGAAAAGTTCGCTTCTATGGTTCAACATAACCCACCCAAGGAGGATGGGCCTCAACTCCAATTCCATGTGTTCTTTTACGTCCTGCCCAGAAACAAGTCTTTGTTCGACTACACCACTGTCATGATCGCGTTCATAAAATCGTTCGGATTTCGATGATAAAAACAGGCTTAGAAGGTCTCCTGGTCGTCGACAGCCTCGCCCTCTGCAGGGATCTCAAAGCCTTCCTCTGTCGAGTAGAGAATAGTCTGGATGTGCTTGACCAGCCCATCCTCTTGCTTCTCCAGCTCAGGATCTTCATCGACAGCCTGTTGAACGAGGAGCTCAATATCTCGGAGCTTGCTGAAATAAAAGTCACGTTCCCTCTCCAAGCCGGTGACGGTCTCCTTGAGAGTGGCATTCTCTTGCTGCAGAGCAGCGGTAGCGGGTCCAGCGGCCTTGGCTACTCGGGGTCCACCACTAGGGGTGCTGCCTCCCCGACGGGCGGCGCCAGTGGCAGCAGCAGCAACGGGACGAGGAGCAGAGGCGGCGGGAGGCATCGCTCCACCTTTTCGTCGGGCGACGGCGTCGTATTCGTGGTCAGGGAAGTTGAGATCCCAAAAGCGCTTAGTCCATTGCAAAAACTCGAGGTTGTCCTGCATCTTGCACTTGATGAGTGCTGGCACGGGAATGGGTTTGTCGATCTGGTGCTTTGTGAAAGTGTCTACCGACACGTTAGCATGTTTTCAAGTTGTACGTATTATTTGAGTGACTGACTCTGAAGGACCTTAAAATTTTGAATGTAAAGGTATTCGGAGTTCACGTTGAACTTGACCTTGGCCATGGGCACGTCCATGTAGATACTGTCGAAAACCTGGCAGAGCGCAGCTCTAGGAAGCAGTGTTAGAACATGACATATTGTAGGCGCTGTTTCTGGAAAGTGTCCTCATAAACAAAGGGCATTCGAGTGAAGTAGCTGTGATAGTAATCGCGGGGTTGTTTTGGTGTTTTGTTCTGAAACACTGCGATCGTGCAACACAACGTAGCAAACCGTAACGAGGGGGCGGGGCAAACAATATGAACGGACTCACCCAGTGCCGCATTGCTCAACCTTTGTGATGTTAAGTTGTAGAAGGCTGTTGAGCCATGCAACGAGCTCTTGTCTGTGGTATTAATGTCAGTCAACATGACAAGTAGGGATTGCTGTTCCGCAAGCAACCCTGGACATCATCACCAACCTCGATTCGCCCATTTTGAGATCGTTGGGGTATTATTAGGGTCGTAGAAAGCGTAAAGAAATGACGTTAAAGAGGAGACAAATGTCTATCGAGGATATCGTCTTTGAGGAGAGAAGAACGGACAAGAGGATGGCGCGAAAGGGAAGCTAAAGAGAGATTGCTTTTGTCGGGTTAGGTTGGGAAGAAATTAAAAGCAACTGTCTCCGCGCTGATTTCACGAAGTCGGCAGCCATTAGGCCTGTCGCCCAATCAACCAGCGCACCGTTGGTGGGGGGTACATGGAAAGACCACATCCTGCCGCTGTTCTACCAATTTTAAGCGCCGAGGTCAGGTATCAGCAAGTACTGCCCTCTAGAACTCCTCTGACCCCTCGCTCTGACCCCTGGAACTGCCAACTGCCACTGCCAGGTCACGTGTCGTGGCTTCCCGCCTCGCTCGTCTCCAATCTGATCTGCTGCAAGCTCTCACCGCCAAAATTTCCAGAAGCGGCAGAAAAAAAAGTTCGAGATTTGCTACCAGAAGAGCCCCACTAGACTGCTTTGTGTCGCGTCTGCAAATCTTGATCAAACAGCTAGACGAGTGCCTCTTATTTCACCAAGATGGCGCCCTCACAAAAGCGAAAGCCCGCGCAGGACGACTTTATCCTTACAATTGACGACGACGACGAGCTTCCTTTCGAGGAGGAAGAAGTCACCGCAGAGCCTCCCAAGAAGAAGGCCAAGACTGACAAGAAGTCGAAAAAGTCGAAGCGTGATGCCAGTCCCGAAGATGACGAGGAGGATGGTGTAGAGGGTATTTGGGGCTTCAACGATGACGATGATGGTGCCATGGACTCCGAATTCGAATTCGGCGCTGAGGAGGGCAACAACTTGGGCACAGAAGAGTTCGAGGAATGGGGCTTTGACGGCGCAAAGAAGGGTATGAGGGTCGAGAAGGCCGGCGTGGATCTAGACGAAATCATCCGACGACGTCGCGAAAAGAAGCTTGGAAAGGCTGCCGCCGACGAAGTTCCAGAGGCTGATGTTGAAGCCGAAGAGGACGAGGTCATGGACGTTGACCTGGACGACGACGATGATGAGGTTCTGGCAGACGATGCATTCGGTATGAACGTTGCTTCTGACGTCGAGGAATCTGGCGACGAGAAGGATGAAGACAATGATAACGACGAGAACGAATCTGCAGCTGAAGATCTGGATGAGGACGATGAGGCCGCCTCGGACAACGACTCTGTCGCTACACCTACTGGGCACCCCGAAGACGACGTTTCTGACGCGAGCGACGAGGAGGATGCTGAAGAGGAGGCCAAGCGCAAAGCTTTCTTCGCCCCCGAGGAAAAGGAGGAGCCCGGCAAGAAGACAATTGCCTCTACTTTCCAGGCCATGTCTTTGTCGCGTCCAATTCTCCGTGGTCTTGCTTCAGTCGGCTTCACCAAACCCACACCCATTCAGTCCAAGTCCATTCCCATCGGACTTATGGGTAGAGATCTTGTCGGTGGTGCTGTCACTGGTTCCGGAAAGACTGGTGCTTTTATCGTCCCTATCTTGGAACGTCTGCTATACCGACCCAAGAAGATTCCCACCACACGAGTCGTCGTCCTTACCCCTACTCGTGAATTGGCGATGCAATGTCACGCTGTCGCCACAAAGCTCGCTGCCTTTACTGATATCAAGTTCACTCTCGCCGTTGGTGGTCTGAGTCTCAAGGCTCAGGAACTCGAATTGAAGTTGCGACCTGATGTCATTATCGCTACTCCAGGTCGTTTCATCGATCACATGCGAAACTCGGCCAGCTTCAACGTTGACACTATTGAAATTATGGTTCTTGATGAAGCTGATCGTATGCTTGAGGATGGTTTCGCTGAGGAATTGAACGAAATTCTTACAACTCTCCCCAAATCACGACAGACTATGCTGTTCTCCGCTACCATGACATCCACCGTCGATCGTCTTATCCAGATTGGCCTCAACAAGCCCGCCAGAGTTATGGTAGACTCCCAGAAGAAGACTGTCACCACCTTGGTGCAAGAATTTGTTCGTCTACGACCTGGTCGAGATGACAAGCGAATGGGTTACTTGGCACATGTTTGCAAAAACCTCTACAAGGAGCGGGTTATTGTCTTCTTCCGTCAAAAGAAGGAAGCTCATCGCGCCCGAATTATCTTTGGTCTACTTGGTCTAACATGCGCTGAACTTCACGGTAGCATGAACCAAACACAGGTTAGTAATTTCCTCACGTGTAACTTCCAACATTGTCACTAATACTTTCTAGCGTATTTCAAGTGTTGAAGACTTCAGAGACGGCAAGGTGTCGTACCTTTTGGCTACTGATCTTGCTTCTCGTGGTCTTGATATCAAGGGTGTGGACACTGTCATCAACTACGAAGCACCTCAATCACTCGAGATCTACGTTCACAGAGTCGGTCGAACAGCCCGTGCTGGTCGCAAGGGTGTTGCTTTGACATTAGCTTCCGAGACCGACCGCAAGGTTGTCAAGTCTGCTGTCAAGGCAGCCAAGTCTCAGGGTGCCAAGATCGTTAGTCGACAGATCGATTCTGGAGAGGTTGATGCTCTCCAAGCACAAATTGACGAGATGGATGACGAGATTGAGGAGATCATGCAGGAAGAGAAGGAGGAGAAGCAAATTGCTCACGTCGAGATGCAAGTCAAGAAGGGCGAGAACTTGATCCAGCACGAAGCCGAGATTAAGGCACGACCTAGACGAACTTGGTTCGAGTCAGAGCACGACAAGAAGCAATCCAAGCAAGCCGGTCGGGACGAGCTCAACGGTGTCAGGGAGGGCATGAAGAAGAAGACAGGCAAGCTAAGCAACAAGGACAAGAAACGCCTCGACATTAAGCAACTACGTGCTGAAGGTGGCGCGGAGTGGAGGAAGGGCAAGTCGTCAGAGGCTGACATGAAGGCCAGGCATAAGGAGCAGGCTAAGACAAGGGCCAAGGGAAGAGCTAGCAAGGGCGGAGACAAAGATGCCGCTCCTAGCAAACCCAAGGGAAAGGGAAAGGCTGGTGGTAAGAGAAGATAAGGCTAAAAGTCCAGGAGTTCTTTGGCAGCGATGTATAGGTAGATTTAATTACTCATGATCATACATGAATCGTCTTTGGTCCATCCGCAGTATCCACCTTGATTAGGCATGTATTCCGGCTTTGGCTAACAGAGGAAGGCTACATTAAGGTTTGACAGTCCTACTTGTGCCTGTGGATCTGTGACACTGATCGGCAACGTCGACAATCGGCAATTAACAGATCCGGGGCCTTATTTTACGGGAACTAACTTTATTAAGAGGCACCATTCACAGGGAGATTCTATGTTGGAAATGACTGTATTAAGTAAGGACAAAGGAGTGTCGTTATCGTTCCGCTAGCTTCCATCGCTTTTTCTCATAACCGTGTGCATCAGATCTCGTTGCATAAATTGTTGAAATTTTCATAAACTCATTCGTAAAAGTCCCATGCAGGATGTTCTTAAAAGCCGGCAATAGCAGAGATTCCAATAGAGTCGATGAGTTCATGCTGGGTTTGGACCAAGCTGGCGATGGCAGCCTCGAGCCCAGTAATAACAACAGTGACGGTAACAGCAGCGCTTCGGACGGCAGCCGAGAAGAGAAGAAGAGGAGTGATGAAAGGGTTGATGAGTGTGGTCACTGCGTTGATCTCGGCTTGGATGGTAGCTCTCACAGCGGGAGTCAAGTCAGTGACTGTGACGGTGATGGTGGCACCGATCTGCTCAAGAGTGGCGATGGTGCGGCGAATAGTGGCAGTGAGTTGGACAATCTGCTGCGTAGTAAGGCCAACGACCTGGCCAGTGACTCCTCCAACAGCCCCGGTGGTTACACCAATTATGTTGATTGTAGATGTGTTCAGGGCCTGGGCAATTGCCTGGTAGTTGGCCCTGAGGAGGGCCTGGACTTGAATGATGACTTGGGCGTCTACACTGCCCTGGATAGTATCGAGGGCATCGTCTGTGGGAAAGTTAGCATACAAGAAGTAGTATATCTACAGGAAGAACTGACTGATCTCATTGACATTCACCGTGACAGCATTAGAGAGGGTGTTGACTGAGCTCTGGAGAGTTCCAGTCACAGTTTGCTGCCGACGGAAAGGAGTCGCAATGGCGAAAGAGGCGAGAGTGATGAGGCTAAGGAACTTCATGATTGTGATAGTTTTCAAGAAACAAGTCTTGTATGAGAGGTGAGTTTATGGGTGATGAGTTGGCTTGTGAATGATGAGTGAGTTGATGAGGATATCGTAACTTCATCGCCAGACCAAGCAAGTTATATAGACTTTTCCACAACACCAAATCAATGTCTCTATCACGATTCGCCACTTTAATTTCAACAACTCCAACCTCAACTTCAACTTCACGACACCACATCGAGACTTAGGCTAACAAGCTTTGAGAAAACATCCCGAGTTGCATTCCAGAGCCCAGACACACATCACGGGCTAGAGACTGGATCATTTCCGCGCCCCCATTTCCGTGCCCCCATTCCAACAACCCCTCAGAAACCTTGATTCAAGCCTCTTTGACTCTTGTCATCCTTTTTCCTCCGCGCGGCTAATCTCAGTGCGGCTTCGGAACCACACCGTTGCGATCGGGCCGCAACGGGGAGGCGTTTGGTCTAGGGGGAGTGTGATATGCATGCGGTATTGCCATTTTTATGAAGAGTTGCATGTCTGAAGAGAGACAGATGACGTCTGGAACGGCCTCTGGTGTCTAGTTTGGTCGAATGAGCTGTGATACAAGATGTTTTGACAGTCAAGGTTTGATCTACAGTCGAGACAGCGTTAATAGCGTGTGAGACCTGGGCAGAAAGTAGCTGTGTGGAGATATTTGTTTCTCTGAATAAGGTCAAGACTATCTTGAAGGTTCTCCGGTAGTCTTCAGTAGTGGTTGAGATTAGTTCAAGAAGAGTTGCGATGGTTATGAGCTTGTTGAGATACTGCTCTATTTCAAGGCTACAGAGTAAAGTCCGGCGATGCTCAGCGTTTTTCAACTCAGTTGTCTCCTCATTAGAATATAGATGGACATTCGACCTGAATTGTAAAATGTCAATAGCTCATCACGTAACAAGTCAGAGTTCTCCAGCTGGCTCTCAGACTATTCACCTTGAGTCTCACACAAAGATTCTAGATTCATTCAAGACAAGCCACTTGACCAACAGGGTCACCAATCTCGTAAGCACATCATCAGCCTCACTCACCCACGTTAGCCCAGCATATTACGACATATCAATCTCGTTGGATCTACGCATCCACCTCGGAGCTGAGATATGTGATAAAGCCGCAGGGCCAAGACTCAATCGGAAGCTTCCGAGCGGTTACATGTCTCAGACATCCTGTCACTTGCCGTGTGTTCTTTGATCATAGCGGAGAATTTTCCGGATCCGCTCTATGTCTGAGACAACTAACGCGCTCACGATATAACTTCTAGTTGTGGAACGACTTGCATCACAGCTTGGCTGAAAAGTTTTTGTTGTTGCGGCACAGTTGGTTCTAGATCGTCAGTGCGAGCCCTCGATTCAAGGGATTCGGAGCTAGTGTTGAGACAAACATCTCAGCGTAAGGATAGCCGGTGATTGCTCTCAACTTGGAAGATGGGTTGGAATCTGGGTTGCAGTCAGTTAACGATGGCCAGATCGAGATCGAGATCAAACCAGGTACGAATTCTGTCTCCTTTCAGAGTCCTCAAACTTTACTGAGCCTCCTCCCAGTATCATCCTCCTAATGGGAGTGAAGTTTTTCACGCTTGCAACGATATAATTCAAAACGATCAGGATCTTTAGTATGAGCACTGCGACTTTGACTCAACACTTGTCGCAAGCTAAGAGAGGTAGTAAATGCTTATATTTAACCTTGTTTCTATGTATTGAGTACCAAAGCCTGGTGAGACCAGAGCCATTCGAGTATGTTCTCACGTTCTCCAAAGAAGACTTTTGTTTTGGTAATACAGACCGAAGCCGATCGGACAATTACCTACACTGCATGGATCAAACACGCATATGCGTCATGTTGTGCGAGTTCGGCTCGTATTTCTGACAGCTTCCGACGTCCAAGCCACTGTTCATCAGTCTTCCACCTTACTTCCGACCCGTGTTCCAGTTCACCTCATTCACTAGGACGTAGACTTCTTGCCTTTACAGCCTCTACACCTCGTCGACAAGTAACTGAAACAACTCGGTATCACACGACAACACTTGGGCCTCAATTCAACGTCAGCTGCCAAGAGTAATTAACACCTCAGTGACCTCCTTACATTGAGTCTAGATATATTTCTGGTTGTAAGCTTTGTCTTATACTATCTTGAGCATACACCTTGTCTCCATTCCTTTCTTATCATCGGCCTCGACTGAGTGTCCCTGTCCCCCCAGCTAAAACAGCTAAGAAACTGGCAATGTAAACTTATACAGCCCTTATGGATCACAGGGCCATATCCTAGGAACTGGTATCAAGCCCTTGTTGCACAAATTCAGGCCCTAGACCCAAACTCGAGTTTAACAACTCTTGGTCCTATCATATTCCCGATGGTGTGCCAAGCCCCCTTATCTCGATCCAGGTTTTGGACTCACCTAGACCATGGTGCAGCTGAGGGATGGCTGAGATCTGCAACGGAAAAGACGCCTGCCGAAAACATAACTTGATTTGTAAGTATCACACCTTAGCCTATGAATGGGGCGACGGTCAAAAGACGACATACTCAAGGCATCAATCTCTAAACCGACACCCAATGCCGCAAGTATCTCTCTAGATACATCGTCAAGGCTACAGTCACTGGTGAAGTTCTCCTTGTATAAGACATGCAGTTCATAAAGATCCACAAGTTCAACCTCCTTTATACGGCACCCGGGAAGCGCGGGCCCGAGATGCCGAGATGGGTAGTATGAGATCACCTCGATCTTTTCCGAAGTAGCACAAGCCTGCTTGTTGTTACGATCTCATTGATCGTGGCTGAGTTCAAGTCACTTTTGAAAGCTTCAAGTTGATTCAAGTCAAATATCTTTGAATTTTGTTTCACCAACTCCTCAAGGTGACAATTTTAAACATTCGCGCCCCTTCCACTCTAGGTACGATGCAATTACATGAAAAATGGTATGTGACAAATCAAAGAGCAATTGCTCCCTTTCCCTTTTCTTCTTCAATTCATTCTTTTTCTCCTTTTACATATCCTTGGCCTTCTCTTCCAGGATTGAGACAACACTAGAAGGACCTTGAGAAGGGGCCTCGGCTGAGGGCTTCAGGTGAGGGCTGGCAGGACGGCTAGCAATGAACTGTTATCGTGTTAGTTTAAGTGTCAATTTTATCGTCTGCAAGAATAAATGCTTACGTTGCTTGCTGCGCTCAGGAGAGCAATCAGAGAACTCTGGACAACATCCTCGTGAATACCAACCCCCCAGACACTCTGCTTGCTACCGACAGGCTTGCACTCAACGTACGACGCAGCCTTTACGCCACGTCCCTCACCAATGGCGTGCTCCTTGTAGTCGTTGACATCAAACTCGATGTTGATCTCCTTAAGAGCAGCAACCATACTGGAGATAGGTCCGTTGCCCCGGCCACGCAGCTTGAGTTCCTTGCCATTCGCCTCAACAACACCCTCGAAGATACGGATAAAATCCTTGGTATCCTGAGTTCGGCCCTGGGCTGAAGGCGCGGGAGATCGCGATCGGTCAGGGGTAATGCTGTAGTCGACCAGGCGGAAGTGGGGGTTGTCGGTGAGGAAGTAGGTTGACTCGAACAGCGAGGTGATCTCTGAGGCCAAAAGCTCGCGTCCGACATGCTCGCTGTGCTTCTGGACAACCTTTGAGAAGGCGACCTGGAGACCACGGGGTAGATCGAGCTGGAGCTTGGTGTGCACGATAAAGGCACTTCCTCCCTTTCCTGACTGCGAGTTGACACGGATGATGGCCTCGTAGTTGCGGCCGATATCTCTGGGGTCCAGGGGCAGGTATGGCATTCCATTCCAGGGATCCTCGTGTCCAAGGCCCTTGTTCTTGCGGTCCTGGAAACCCTTCTTGATAGCATCTTGATGGCTGCCTGAGAAGGCCGCGCAGACCAGACTGCCACCGTATGGGGCACGCTGGTGAACAGGGATCTTGGTACAGGATTCGACCATGTCGATAACTGAGTTGAGGTCGGAGAAGTCGATTTGAGGGTTCACACCTTGTGTGTACAGGTTGAGAGCCAGAGTAACGAGATCAACGTTTCCAGTTCGCTCGCCGTTGCCAAAGAGGCAGCCCTCTACACGGTCAGCTCCAGCCATTTGGGCCAGTTCAGCAGCAGCAACACTACACCCACGATCGTTGTGGGGGTGCAGAGATACGCAGACATCCTTTCTGTCTCCAATATTGTTGCAGAATGTCTCGATTAAATCGGCATATACGTTGGGTGTTGACACCTCGACTGTGGCGGGAAGGTTGAAGATGATTTGGTCACCGGCCTCTACGCTAGGTTCCCAGGCCGCCTTCACAGCTTGGCAAACCTTGACGGCGTAGTCAGGGTCTGTGTCTGAGAAGCATTCGGGAGAGAACTCGAATTGCCATTTGGTATCCGAGGCCTCCGGGTTATCCTTGGTCAGAGATCTCACCAGCTTGGTGCACTCGACAGCAAGGTCGAGAGTCTGCTGTTCGGAGTAGCCAAAAACGACTTGGCGGAAACACGAACTTGTAGCGAGGTAGATGTGAATGATGGCGTTCTTGGCTCCACGGACAGACTCGACGGTTCTGCGGATGAGGTCGGGTCGGCAAGGTGAAAGAACTTGTAGGCAGACATCATCGGGAACGGCTCCAGGGGTCTCGATCAGGCGTCGGGTAAAGTCGAAGTCGGTCTGAGACGCAGAAGGGAAAGAGACCTCGATCTCCTTGTAGCCCAGGTCGCAAAGCATCTTGAAGTATCGCCACTTCTCCTCGCCGTTCTGTCCAAGCCATGTCAGTTCCGAGTCGCAATTGTGCGCAGACATCAATCAACATACCATGGGATCAGGCAGACTCTGGTTTCCATCGCGCAGACAACTCCTTAGGGATTATTAGCATTGAAAAGTTCCATGAGTATTGTCGAGTGACGTACGACAGCCAACGAGGAGCCTTCTCAATAACCTTGTCAGGCCATGTTCGGTTTGGTAGTTTAGGAGCCTAACCATGTTAATTACCAGACATATTCGAGTCCATTGAACATAAAACTGACCTTAAATGGCTTGTATTTCTTCGACGGTTCCTGGAGCCTGGAGAAAGAAAAGTTAACTTCACATCACCATTGACACACGCCGATATCGCATCTTACATTGTCATCTTGGCGGCTGAATGTAGAGGGGCGATTTGTTTCTATTTCCAAACAGGATATGTCTGGGGAACAAGTAAAAGAAGAGGAAGAAGCACGGATACAAATAGTCAAGAGAAAGACTTCAAAAAACCATTGAGTCAGTCAAAAAGGTTTGAGTCACGGAAGTGGAGGCGGGGTAGTGGTGTAGGTGATATTTATATTTATTAGAGGTGACAGCGCAAGGATACGGCACTTTAAACCTTTGGAGGGGCACTTTTTCCCTGCAGAATAATTCAATTGTTGCTGTTTCTGCTTGTACCTTGCTTTCCCGTGGTTATCCGGCGTCCGGAGTCGGAGACGGCCCCATTTATAAGCTCAGTAGCTTTCCGTGGAGAGCAGCGATCTCTCGATTGTCCGTGTTGTTTCTTTATTAGTAAATTGTGACTTGTTATTGGTGTTGGATGGAAATTCTGCATGCTTAGGGAAAGCATTATAGGTCTAGAGTGAGGCAATGGAGACTGGTGTCCATTTAAACTTGAGTGCCGTGTTGAAGATGGTATTATCCAATACAGTTAGTCAACCTAATGTGAAGAGAACAAATGGCAAAATTCTGTTGTTTCCAAGACAGGCTATTGCACACAAATGCGCAGATAAATATCAATAAATGTCGTAAGGCTACTCCGTAGTTGCCAGGTTATCATTCATCCAAATTCATACGGCACAGTCATGTTGTCCCATGTCAGATTAGCCTGATGACGTAAGGCCGATCCAACTTCTGAGCTTACCTTCCCAGGTTTAGGGTCACGAGCTGCTCTGTCTCGCATCTGGACACTGCAAACCATAACCCTCCAACAACTATCCTCGAGCAAATCATGTGCTACGGTCATCGCCATCAACAACTGACAACCTTGTCAGGCTGAAAGAGCCTCCATCAGAAGACTCAGCCGCCTGGACTGCCTCTGCCCACCTCTTTTCCCCAGCTTCTGCGTCTCTAGATAGCCTCGTCTGACCCTACATATCTCGGTCCCTTAAAAGTCGACAAGCTGGCGCCTTTCAGATTCTTCGGTCCTTATCGCCCTCATCCGCGTAATAAGCAGAGCTTCACACGCTTTTTCTTCCCCCGCGCCGTAAGAGACCGATACCGTGAGCGACTGCTCAATTTCCAACTCAATACTCTTCCCCACCTCAAGCATAGCCTCCAGTCCCGAGTCTACCGTTATATTCTAGAGCGCCAAAGTCGGCGTGCGAACCAATCGCGCATTGTCGACATCGTTAGGCGACAAGGTAGACAGCTCTGGCTTGGATCGCAAGCGAATCGCCCCGTCAAGCATGCAAGGACCCGATCCAAGGGACTACCGGCAAATAAAGCGCCCCAGACAGGAGGAATCATGATGGGATATGGCTCCAACCAGGGAGCGGACCCTGGCGATGGCGAGAGAGGTTATAGGAGGAAGCGGTTAGCTGCCATGGCTGGCAATCTATACAGGAGCGGCCAAGCTGCGGTTTCCGAGATCAAGGAATCATATGCCCAGACTAGGGCAGGACCTGCGGCTGCAGGACACGAGAACCATGGACGTATACACATCCCAGGTGCGTTTCCTGATGTCGTAATTACCGTCAGAGGCGATGATCAGATGGTGCTATTTCCATCATACGCAAAACAGCACACCAAGCAAGATTGGAACGAGGTGGTAAAGGACGACTCAGATTCTTCGCATAGTAGTACCAAAGACGAAGACTTTTGGCGTCAAGAATGGGAACGAAACGAGGACGAAAGGGCTATTGTTGACGTTGACGTCCGTGGATGGATTTATACTCCTCACACAGGCCCCATGACAAGGAGAAACAGATTCCTGATCGGTTTGGCACGGCAATTGAGTGGAATCCCAGCCCCCAGAGCAGACCAGACTTATAATTCGGCGACTGGTCTCCCGCACTCGAGCCTTCAAGCACGCGAGGAGCAGAAGGAACAAGAAAAGATCAACTCCGAAGCCAAGCGCATAGAACGAATAGGACAACGCGAGAAGAAGGCTGCCTACCAGGGACGCTACAGTGAGAAGACGCCTGAAATCGATGATCCTCTGAAGGATAGTACCTACTATCCTTCTCGATCAGGGAATCAATCTCCAGATTCAATACCATCAAGCCCGACAATGCCAGCTAGAACTATGTCATCGAGCACTGCCGACCTTAGTGAGAGCGATCTAGTTCTCGCCAACGCCAACCTCATGGCTCGAATTGCCCCTTTCATGACGAACCCTTCGGTTGCCCTTCCGATCACCTTCTTCTTCTACAACCGTGACAAGTCTCAATCCAAGACCGTCATGACTAACGACGCGGGTCATTTCGTTATTCGTGCTGCTCTCGACTTTGTTCCGACCCATGTTCGAGTTCTCGCAGATGAAGGTCTCTCGGTTATTCAAGAGATCAAGGTCATCGAGCCATATGGAGTTAGTCTTATCAGTGATATTGACGACACAGTCAAGAAATCCAATATTTCTGCAGGAGCCAAAGAGATATTCCGCAACACTTTTATCCGAGATCTCTCTGATCTCTCTGTGGAAGGTGTCAAGGAGTGGTATAATCGAATGGTTGATATGGGCGTCAGCATCCACTACTGTTCCAACAGCCCATGGCAGCTTTTCCCGGTCCTGGCTAGCTTTTTCAAGATTCATGGACTGCCGCCTGGATCACTTCATCTGAAGCAATACAGCGGTATGTTGCAGGGTATCTTCGAACCAGTCGCTGAGCGAAAGAAGTCAACACTTACTCGACTCCTAAAAGACTTCCCCGAGCGAATGTTCATTCTCGTGGGTGACAGTGGAGAAGCAGATTTGGAGGTTTACACTGAGCTCGCTCTGACGAATCCTGGTCGTATCCTCGCTGTGTTTATTCGGGATGTCACGACGCCTGAAGAAACAGCATACTTCAGTTCTGGGTTTGATTTCAACCGGCCAAGGACCTCGGCCGCCCAAAACGATGCTTCAAGAAATGTTTCAAGAAAACCTTCCTATCAGAACATGGGGTCTGGTGAAAATCGAGAAATGAAGTCATCAGCAGGTCCAGCTATGGGAGACTTGATCGACCTTTCAAATGAGCCCGGACAAACAACGATCGATCGCAACGCAGCACTTGCTCAAGTCCGAGGCTCCAACACAAGAAGTGCAAGCACAAACGATCTCATAAGTGGACGTAAGCCACCACCACCTAGGCCGGCGAAGCCAGTTGCACTGAGAAGTGCCAAGTCAATCACGGAACTGAATAAGGGACTTGTTCGACAGAACTCTGATGAGCTCCCACCGCCGCCTCCGCCAAGAAGGCCTGGGGTGCAACCTCGAGAGCATACAGCACCAGTTCACCCCTTGAAGCAAATTCACAACTCCTCTGAGCAGAGCTCGGTTGGCAGTGGTAGCAGCTTCAAGATTCCAGCTCAATCTCGTGATAGAGGTTCTTCCTCTCCAGGAAATGTTCCTCCGCCACCTCCACCACGTCGGCGTGGTACGCCATCCAGTATCACCGAACCGAGCCAAAACCCTCGCCTTCCACCACGTCCCACACAGACATTGGCTGATCGGGACGTAGACTATGATCCTCTACCTTCACCATCAGCATATCCCCCTCAATCATTTGGTTCCGCAGGATCACTCTACAGGCCAGAGACCAACGCATCAGCAGCAGGCTCACCGACACTGGGCCCCGCGGTAGTGAACAAGAAGTTAGAATTATGGAAGAGGAGATTAGCAAGAGCACATGAACAGTTGGACGGGCTAGGTGTGGCCCTGTACACGTGGCGACGAGGAAACGATGTCATTGCCGAGGCAGAGGGAATTGTAAAACGGACCCTCGCGGACATGGAGAAGAAGAGAAGGATGAAACAATAGCGACTCTACGCACATATATCCAGCCATTATTAGGTTCTTCTTGCATAGACATGAGAAACGAGTTCGCTAGGATACCCCCATACTAAGCATCCACAAGTTGAATTAGTCTCGACGATCATCATCCAATCAGTAAAGGCGCAGTGGCAGAGTGGTCTAATGCGATAGACTAGAAATCTATTCTCCTCGGAGGCGTCTGTTCGAATCAGGCCTGCGTCGATTGGTTTTCCTTTTGCATGGGTTTGTGAATGGTGACTGATGTTTTTTAATCTTTTACCTACCATATTGTTGCTTCCCTTTCATCAGGTGTGGGAGACAAAGCAAATTGTGATAGGATTGTTTGTCCGCGGCCGGTTGATACTTCGATTTCGTCGTCGAGTGATTGTCCCGGAGCTTTCAGCGCAATATCACATATACGAAAATATGCATCGATCTTTCTTTGAAGGTATAATAAATATCAAGGCCGTCTGACCAGTAAGTTTATCTGTGCTATATTCGTTTCTAGATATTCCCAACTCCGACTCCACTGGATCACGACGTTCGCTCTTATGTCGTGAATAATCATTGAGGTTTCATATCGCCTGCCAGATTCATATGCATCATAGCGTCTGTTGTCCAGTCTTCTCCGCTCTTCTCATCCTTGTTCGGCTGCTGCTGCCAGAAGTTCACCTGTTCTCGTCCATCAACACCTGGTAGACGGATCTGGGGAGGCGCTTGACCGTTCCCTGGGATCTGCTCTGAGGGTTGTTGTGAGTGACCGGGGACTGGACGTCTATGGACTTGGCCCTGGTCGGACTCCGCAGCGCCGTACCGTGAGAAGTCAGGGATGTCAAACCCTTGATCCGGTTGGTAATTAAGATTCAGTTGCGATGGAGGTTGAGAGCCTGCGGATTGGGGTGGGTGTTCAAATTGCGAGTGCTGGAATCCTGTTGGCGTCTCCTGATCGGGGAGCTCGGAGAGCATGGTCTGGGTAGGCTCATATTCGTGACGAGGCGTTGTCTGATCATATTCCTCTTCCAAAATTTGTGGTGCTGGCTCGACATTTCTCAGGCTAGAAGATCCAGGAGCAGCGCCGCCTCCGCTTCGTACGCTTACCATAGACACTCGGGACGGGTCCATCATATCGCCCGCTGTAGAGTCAGCATCCATATCACGGATGGAGAACTGTGCGAGAGTCCGCAGCTTTCTGCTGACCCAGCCACCTAGAATCTTGCCACGTTGTTTCTCGCCCAGACGAGATCGTGGGAAGTCTCCCTTGCTCACAAAGGCAACAATGTCGACAATGATTTGATGCTCGTTGAGAATGGCGTTCACAATGACAGGTACAATCGATGCCAAGTAAGGCTTCCGGCTAACTTCAACAAGTACGACTACCAAGCCGCCAGCCTGGAATACGGCACTAGATCTTGTTAGCAAACGTACTCAACCTCGAAAATTACGTTACTTACCAGCCGTTCGGCACAATGTTCCTATGGCATCGCTCCACAGAATTCTCAATATCCATTGGGAAGTGGCTCAAACCGTTGATCTCGAAAGTCTCGCCAATATTTCCAAGAACGAAGAGCACCTGCATATCCACCTGAGCGCCGTTAGGGCCAATGGGTCGGCTCACATTATGAAGGAAACCCAAATCTCCTGTACGGACATATTGGATGTTTGGGTCTCCATCAAGGGCTCGGCCATCAAAGCGCTCGGCATCGAAAGCATCCTTGGAACCATAAAATGATTTGACACAGGCTTCTGAGTCGACCCAAATTTCACCATATTCACCATCAAGACAGTGTACTCTGCTCTCGGGGTTGATGATGGCAATTTGTGTTGAAACAGGAACCATACCGCTATCCTGCACCAACAAAGCCAGAGGATCTGACTCGGGGTCCACAGGAATAACCAAGCCGCGACGGAGAGCCTGAGTGTCAAGCCAGAGCTCGATAGGCTCAATGCACATGTAAGATCGCGAAGCAACCATGGGGTTGAGGACATGCGAATATACTGTGTTAATGGCAGTTCTATCCAGACCGGCTCCGGCAAAGTGGAGTCTGACCTTTTGGAACACATCAACTCTTGGCCGACCCTCAGCAGTAATCATCATGTTCTTAAGTTCATGAAGTGTGAAACCCTTAGCGGCCATGGAAGCCATGGCATGGTCAAGCATTTGCGGTGTCGCATAAGTATCCTTAATCTTGTATCGTGACAATGTAACAAATAGAGACATAGGGTTTGCCGCAAACTCGACGGGAGAGAGAAGGTACGTGGGTGTTCCAATATAGATACCCATAAGAGCTGTGTGGATGAATCCCAGGCCGGTTGTGCTCCTTACACAACCAAGCACTGGTCTTGAACTTGTCATTTGGCATGTTTCTTTCTGAACCTTACACATCCCCATGATGGTGTCGTGTCCAAGCTGGACTGAGATACGCCTTTGGTCGGGAGTCCAATATGTCCAAACGATAACTGGATAACCAGGTCGGATCCACGCAGGGTCAATGGTGAATCTCAAATCTCGCAATCCACTACTCTGCTTTGGCGGCTTAGTTGTGTTGAAGATTGCAGGGCTGGTGATCTTTAAGACTTGAGCCGATTGCTTGATATGACTAGCCACAGGCTTGACCTTGATCAAATGGTCCACTTCGGAGTTGACGAGCACAGCCTTGACGTTGTAGTCGGCAACAATGTGAAGGAACGCTGGAACATCCTCGTTCAATCTGTTTTGGTCGAGAGGGGCGATGGGGATGATAATTGCACCCAAGGTAATGCAGGCGTGAACAGCGTAGACATACTCCTCTGAGTGAGTGTACATGAGAATGACGTGGTCTCCTGGTCTAACCTTGACCTTATTTTTCAGATACATCGCAACAGAAGCAACCTTGATATCGAACTTCTTCCATGTAACGCCTTTGCCTTCTCGGCCTCTGCCATCGATTGTGCAGTAGGATAGCTCCTCTGGCTGACGAGCAACACGCCATTGGACGAGGTCAGAGATGCAGGAGAAGTTGTTAAGGGGAGTCGAAGTTCGGTCATCAATGACAACCTCTCGTCTGTCAACACCAGAATATTGCTTGTCTGCTGGTAGCAAAAACTCGGCTCGTGAATCCGAAGCCAATGGCGACCAAATACCGCCCATGGGATCGACACCAATGGGCAGATTCAGAACCGCGTGCTCGACACCAAACTTGACGTGCACGCAAGGAAGGTTACCGAGATCAAACTCTCGGCGACAAAGCATGTTGCCAATCTCGCGTCGACCATTCTTGACAACGCGCGGCAGTGTGTTCGGTGCTGTGATCATAACGCAGTACAATCGAAGGTGATGCTCTGTCATGAGAACCTCCACACAACGTTCGGCTAGTGACTCCAAAAGAGCAGTATCCGGTTGTCGTGGAGGTCCTCCTGATGTCAGCGGTGCTGTGGAGGCGGCTGCTGATTCCAATACGACCACTGGCAAATGTTCATCGTTGACAAAGACATCAAAGGCTGAACAATCATAGATCTTTGGAACATTTTTGACGATGCTCACGACGATATGCTGAACAAAGAAATAGCGGTACTCGGCCAGCTCGTGTCCATGCTCAACCCACTCAACCTTTTGTCGAATGCGGTCCTCATAAAGGCCTAGGACAAAGATTTTACCCTCGATGACAGTACCCAAGAGACCTGTTCTTAAAAACTCGGGCTCTACAGGCTGTGGTGTAGGATCACCGGGACCAAACTTGTAAGGACGAGCATGGAAGATCAGTTCGGTGTTCTTTGGTTGCGCCCAGAAGCCACCTGACAGCGATGGTGAGTCAACCCAGATCTCACCCACGGAATGGGGTGAGGCAAGTAAGCCCGTTTCAGGATCAACCACAGTGAGTGTAGCATCCGGTATAGGATATCCAAAGGAGCCAACCCGGACCAATCCCGGATCATCCGTCACCCTCTTACGCGCGTCATTACCAATGGCAACTACCACGACTTCGTTGGTTTTGAGAGCCTCGCGGTCCAGAAGAACTTCACCAAGCTCGTTCTTTGCTCTTTCTTCTGTAGTTGTAGTGCCGCCACCACTCAAAAGACTGCCAAATCCATTGGAGATCGTTGGCTTCTCTGTTTCCTCCTTTTCTCCGTCTGTGTCTGTGTCTTCATCTATATCGAGTCTTAAAGGACATCCCATGCGTTCTTCGCCTCCTAGCCAATCACGCACACTGATGACCATGCCTCCGTGCTCAGGTAGACAAAGCATGGGCGCAACGACCTCACGCGCGCGAGGGTTTCTCAGTGGCCTTAGCCATCGGTCTGCTAGGACTTCGTGGAACCCGCTGTCTACAGTCAAAGTATCGATCAAGCAGAGTTTGATCATCTGGAAGTTCGGTTCCATCCCCTTCTTGTAATTTCTGGTTACCATTGGTTCTTGTTGGTAATTATAAGCCGCACGCTTCAGTCCAGGATAATCGGCGATCACAATCGTGGATTTGTACTTGGTAAGAAGGTGTGCGTAGAGTCCAGGAACATCAACCGCCTTATTGTCAAACCAGACAGTAGTGTGGCCGCCATAAACTGTCAGCAATACGCTCAGAATCATGCCAATACCCTGTCGAGGGTCCAGGTATGAAACCAAGATCTCGCTGCTTGCGCCACCACCAATCAGTCGGCCGTTCTTATCCCGCAAAGACGGATTGAATGTGTCACCAGGTCCATTGCCCGGGATCGTAGAAATAATCGCACTTAGACATGCCATTTGATGCATGATAGTTCGGTGACTAAGAACAACACCCCTCAAATCTCCTGTAGGTGCTCGTGAAAACTCGATATAGGCCAGATCAGGGACAACCAAGGGCGGGACATCTTCCTTTTTCTTGGGATGATAACTACCGAACTCGTTGGTCTTCCACCATTCGACACCCTTGGGCCATGTCAATTTTTGAGTCGTGATATCTCGCTGGAAAGCCTTGAGGTTATTGTCGGTGGTCAGGGCAAGATGGGCCTGCGTTGTGGTGAGAATGTGGTTTAGACGTTGGTAATCTTGCAAGTCGTTGATAGGTACAGCCACAACTCCAGCAATGAAGCAACCTAGTAGCGCAATAGCAAAGTCAATGACTTCTGAATCGCGGTATATGAGAGCAACTCGATCACCCCTGTATAAGGAACTCTTGTCTCTGATGACTTGTGCCACCTTTTCGGCCCTCGATGCCAATTTGTCCCATGTAATGGAAGCAATTTCCTTGCCCTTGCTGTCCAGTACCCAATACGCTGGTTTCTTAGCGATCGTTCTCCCTCGGTGTCTCAGCACAGCTGCGATATTATCGAATTTTGACATGGGAGTAGAGTCGTCATGAGGATCTTGAATTGCGAAAGGAACCTCGCGGGGGTCTAGAGGTAACTGGTACTCGAGGGCTTCGGGGGGTGGAAGATCGTTGGTTGTAAGCATTGGCGGTGCCATTGCGGCGGTTGGGGAAAAGGCATCGCTTGACGAGTATCGCTGCTGAGGTCCTCCGTATTCTACAGTCTGACCTTGATCGTAGTGCTGCTGTCCGGCAAAGTCCGAAAAATATCCTTGCGAATCAAGTAGCGTTGTTGTTCTTCCATCATATTGCTGTTGCGGTGGTTGTTGTTGAAACTGTGGTTGCTGTTGTTGTTGGTGCTGCTGTGAGTCTACATATGTGCCTTGTTGCTCAGGTCTAAAAGCATAATCGCCGGACATCATTGTTCCCGTCCGGGTTTCAGGTTCGATATGTGAAGGAGAGAAGAAGAGCGAGTCGCGATGGGCAGCCGTTGATCCTCCACCTAGGGGTCCTCCTGGACGCAACAGCGAAGGCGGAGGCGGGGGCTGCTCTGTAGGAGGTCTTGGCGACTCTGACGGGGCATAGCCAGAATGTGGTCTATATATGGGTGCATCCGGTGTATCGGGGATTGGGCCGCTGGCACTACCAAGAGCGGCATATGCAGCGGCGCGGTGGCCATCGCCTGAGGGATGGTCCGAGTCATCGGGGGTATGTATGCGAAGACCAGACTGCGGCTCGGCGAGAGCAGCAATCTGAGGCGGAGGTGCGCCGAGGAATTGAGAAAAGAGCTGGGTTCGTCGTTTCTGATAGCTATATGCGCGTTAGTTGTTGAGGGACAATAATTATTGGTGCATCACAGAGCAGCTTACCCCTTCTGTGTAATATCTCCTTCCTACAGCAAGCACAAAGTTAGTAATGGCAAATCGAGAGAATGGTAATTGATCGCATGCGACACCAACCAGTCACGTTCAAGTCGGCTCCAATGGCGTGTTGAAGCGTCAAAAGTAGGTCGCATTGAGAGGGAAATGAGAAGCTGTGAAACAATCGGGGGGCATTTGACGAACCTCAAGCTCGCGATCCAACTCTTCCAGCCGCTCTTGGAGCTCTGGATTAGCTTCAGCCATGATGGCGGTTGTTTGGCTGTGGCCGCTGAAAGTATGAAGTTTGGTGGGTTATCGAGTTTAGCCACGGAGTCTCACAGGTTGAAGGGACCCGACGGGAGAGCAGAGTCTCGTGACGTAGTCTGAACTCAAGCCTTGGAGGGCGGGCAAGGGATTGCTCTTATTGGTTCTCTCGAGTAGGACCCGTTGGATCAAGGGCGGGGTGCCCCTGGACTGTCTTTGCCAAGTTTAGCTTGTATCACTACTCTAACCAGTTTTTTCTCCTAAGAGTTTAGTTCCTTGTAACGGGTTAATCCACCACCTCAATAGGACGTGGATAATGGTCAAGGTTGTAAATATCAATAAATATTAATCAAGATATCATACGCAGGGTACCATGATGCTTAGTTCTTGGCTTATGTCTTGTAAAGTCTTCTTAAATAAATCCATCAATAATACGGAGTAAAAAAGGCACCTCCCGTATTTTTAGGTGAACCCTGCAGACCTCCTCTTCTGCAGCTCCGCTAATGCCGTAAAGAAAGCATTGGCCGCTAAATTTAGTGGTTGCCCGCAGCTTTAGCGTCCTGTTGGCTACCATCGACCATGATAGCAAGGGAACAAGATGGATATCTTCAACCCAAGCGCAAGTTCTACGCCAAAACAGGCTCAATGATCAGGCCAACAAGCAGGTTTTGCCGTAAATCATGTCGCATAGTTCTGTCCTAAACATGGGGAAGACGGCGCAGTTATGGGCAACACGAGGTGTTCGTCGGCTTCAGTTGCATCAGTTCGTCAACTGGTGTCTTGCTATTTTTGGAAATAAGAGACAGCTCCTTTGTAGTAAAGAAAGCAATCACCATAGAATAATCCCTAATAATATGGAATCAATTCTATCGCCATCAACTAGATTCTTAAATCTATCTGTATTCGTTAGTTTCTAGTGATATACTCTCCTCCGCTCACCAGACGTTGACCTTGCTCAGTCGCAGCAGGGTAAGTTGTTCGAGTTTCGGAGGATGTAGCTCCGAAGCCCCGGCCCCACAATTCAGATTTACCTATATCCTCAGAGATTTCAATCCGAATCTTCCATCAAACGTCAACATGTTCCAACAGAATATCTCAGCTGTAGAATCATTTTCTCACGCAAGATGTTCTCAACACCATATCAAGACACCATGAAGTCATGTGCTGTCGAGACAGCTTCTTTCTAGGCCATGAGCCTCTGCGCATACAACCACTTGCTTTCTTGACACGATGCCACTCACCAAAACAGTGAACCGTCTTTGGTCAATGGCTCATAACTATCTGGTATGTGTACACTCTTTTTCTTTCACCACTTTCTATTTTCATGATGAAATATACATAACACAGACCTGTTCTGAATACTTCTGTAGAGCAACATGGTTTTAAACTCCTGATTACCCATTCTTCACACTCTTTGGCATCGCATCGTCTTTCATGTCCTTCAGACTAACATGTCATTAGATTCTAGAATAGCAAAAAGCCTTACCCGAAATGGACACTGGACTTGAAAGCTTCGACTCACCCGAGTTGTGCTTTTTGTCCGGGTCTTGGGCAGACAAAGACAAACGAACACACCCTTTTGGGTACACGTTCATCGAAAAAGATACTTCCTTGTTCAACTAAAGCCGTCTATTCTGATGCTCGACTACAGTTCCAGACAAAGCCCTGGACGAGAACAATGTTGCTATATCAGAATACTCGTTCTAGTGTTTCCGTCGTAGTAATATAAAAACCCATGTTGGCCATGTCCCAAAACGCTTCAATCATTCAAACAAACTCGTATTCTGATCCAAGCATTGGATGGAATCATCACAAATTTGCCAACTCAAACCACATAACAGCTTTTCTCCAGACTACAACATGGAGGATTTCAACGACGCCAATCTCAATGACGCTTACATGCCAGGCTCACTCCTGCACGGCGTTACAAATGTCTTGCAACCAGATGTTGCTACTGACCTATTGAACGACCCTGCTTTTTTGAACACCTTGAACGACCCGGATTCTGAGGACCCGAGTTTTTGGACGGACTTGATTCACGAGACCAACCCCGACTTCATCGACCCATCATTGAACGACGGCGCTACACCAACATCTTTATTCTCACAGGCTCAGGCCTATGACGGACTTCCATTAGCAAGCGACGATGTGTTCCTCCCATATACATCGGTATCTGATCAGAGCCTTACCTACGCAGCATCACCGGCCCATCAAAACGCTGTCTCATATGCATCGCCCAGTCATCAGAACATCCTCTCGTATGCATCGCCTGTTGGCCAGAAGGTTGTAGTAAAGGTTCCAAACAATGGCTTGGCACACTCCCCCACACCCATTTCGTCAAGATACCGGCCATCCAAAACCGCACGAGTGCCCTCATTAGTACCTCAGCGACAAGAAGTTCCTGTTCAGCAATTCCAGTTTGATAACCTGAACTCTTACCAGCCCAGTATCGACTACTCGTCTCAAGGCATCACTGGGAACAACGGGGTTTTGAACTTTCCACTGTTACCACCAGCTCCAGTGAAAGCGGGAGTCAATGGGCTTGCGCAACAGTTCCCGGATTTGCCTCATTTGAACGCAGGTCTTCAGCGTGTCTTCGCACCTCAGGTTCAACAGCCCATCTCGGAGTGCATAGCATGTGGTTGCCAGCCCCATCGTGGCCCATGCCCTCCGCTCCAGCTCCAGATGCATCAGTTTCAACAGTTTCAGAAGCTACAAGCGCAATGCGCAATAAAGGCTAAGGCATCGTTGCCCTCCCCCCCACGCAAGAGACCATCTCAGAATGATGACGATTACGCGAATGATCATGCAGTCAAGGTTCGAAAGACCGCCCAAACTGGCCGTCGCTTTTCGGCACCAAAAAGAGGAAGGGCTAGCAAGGTTAGCAAGGCTGACGCAAGAAAGCACTACCCGGCAAGCATTCATATCAACCAGTGGCAGGCAAATGGGTTTCATTTCTCATACCAACCAGGAGGACAGTGGGATGAGGACATCTTGCTCTCAGCTATGGATGTTCGTTCTTACGTGGACAACTGCCCTCGAAAACTCACAATCTGGCTGCAAAACACTCCGTCGCAGGTCGGCCAACGGACTAGTAAATGCGACATGAGGTGCCGCTACTCAGAGTGCCCGGTCAAATACGGAACCATGAGAAACGGTTGGTTTCGCGTAGCATTCGACGAGTTTCCTGAGCATACTACCGAGAGCCGCTTTGACCCCTACAGAGTGGCCGGCTCCATGCATCTCTGGTGTTTCGAGCAGTGTATTGATCCTTTCGAACTCTTCCAGAGGGGTATGCTGGTTGGAGATGAGCGTGATTTCCGATTGGAGCACAACGCCATGACACTCCTCCGATCGGGCGAGAAGGACATCTTTGAGGCAGCCATTGATCCCTGGATCAAGGGTCGCCAAAAAGTCGGGGTTTCTCGCCATATCCCTTATGCTAGGCATGAGGATACCCTCTCGTACGCGCTGATCAAGCACCACCTCGAGAGCCAGCCCGGGACCCGCCAGCATGTCCGCGACAAGCGCAATGGTGAAAGGCAACTGGACAACTTGAAGACACAGGACATCCACATGGGCCGTCTTGACTTCTTTGTCGAGAGGGATGAGGCGTCCAAGGCTAAGCTGAAGGGCAAGATGGAGTATCAAAGGCCTGCCAAGAAGCAATACAGACCACCTGCCGTGCCAGAACAGAAAGAGTTAACTGCGGACAACGACTTTTCTAAAGACTTTGCTTCGATTATTGACGCATATCTTCCTCAAGCCACTGGGCAAAGTTTTGCAGAGGTGCAGGCCCAGTACAAGACAGAGAAATTGGCTACAAAGGCTCCCGTCCTGGCTCATGGCGCAAAAGTTGAGGATTCGATCACGGTCAGTGTACCCGCTGACCAGATGGTTGATCAGAAGAACCTAACTCTTGGAACTCCCTCCGATCTGTTTTCGCCGATATCACCAAAAGCCAAGAAAGCTACAGCTAGTGATCAGTCAGGCAGCGAGTCCAAGCAACGAAGTTGTTCTCCTCACTCAAAGTTCATGGAAATTCAAAAGGGTGAAAGACCACTCCCGGATATCAGCCACCACATGAAAGGTAGGAAGTCCTGGGCTCAAGTCAAAGTTGCCACCGCCCTGTTCGAGGGACAAAGCCCCCGCTCGGCGTCTGGGAACGCCGGCGAGGAAGCTCAGCGCTCACCTTTGAGGAGAAGCATCCGGGTGAGCGCCAAGAGGACGCCTTGAAAGGCTGGATTGAGGTCCACTGAGTGGTCCTAGGGTGTTGAGGTGGGTTAGCCGGCGTAATTCTCTGCTGGTCAGAGGACTTTTCACAAAAGCGTTCTTCATTTTGGCCATGAACATGGAGTTAGGTTTGGGTTTTATGGAGCCATGGGTAGGTGTTTTTTGTTTGAATCATCCGATACCCGGTTCTACTTAGCATTTTATGATAGCATAGCGAAGGTGCATTAGACTTGGCTCAGCACTCAGTCCGGAGTTACAGGTTAATTTTCTGTTTAGGTATTGGGAATGAAGGGTACATGAATGAACGGATAGTGTAGTCAAAAAGAATTTTTAAAAATGATCGCGACTCTGACGCTCCTGTGATAATGAAGCTTATAGACAGATGAGCCCTGGAAGATAAAGAAATCTCCAACTAGAATATCATTTCTGTACCAGAATCTTAGACCACTGACGAGAGTCAAGTCTCTTTGTTCTTCAGCAATAACGATACCACCATCATAGGTTATCCTCTTTCTCGCCGCAAAACGCACAGCTCGACTTAAGGCCATACCTCGATCTTCCAAGAAAAGCCATGGCCGTTTAGGCACGATCGTCTTTTCCCCCGTTAGGTCCAAGCTTTTTACTCCAACAAAGAAAAGACAACGTCAACGCCCGGGACAAGCTCACTGGCCTACCCTTGCGCCCATGGTACTAGGTAGCTAACAGCCCGCCCCCGTTGTATAAGTGACGCTTTTCTGGTGGGGGTGCAGAAAGGAACCTTTGGAGGGGAACGGGAACGCCGATGCAGGGCTTACAGCTTTTGGACGCTAACTGCATGGTTGGGCGTTGCTAGGTGCTGTAGCTGAGCTGAGACGGCAGGGGGAGCTTCATGTTGTCTCTGTTCTTTTGGAGGGGGAAGTGTGAGTTGTTCATGATGTCCTTTTTTGGCTGGGGGATGTGATGTGAGAGGTGAGTTGGGGTAGTAGAAGCTACATCGGCAAGTGCGAGAACAAGACTTTGTTGTCTGATTGAGAAAGATGCTAGTATCTCATGGTTGTAGAAATATATAGTCTACTCAAATTCTACATGAATTCTTTGTCTCTCTAACAAATCAACTACTTAACTTCCCCTCTCTACTTACTAACTATCCATACTGGCAAACTCGCCAAGTGTGATCGAAGCAAGGGTCGACAAGCGATATTCGGCGAGAGCGAAAGCGTATCAGCACATCCTATCCCATATCACACATTATTGATGCACGGCATTGAGAAATAACGTTGTGTCACAGCCGCGATAAACGATAAAGCAATCACGTGTAAGCGAATCAATCGACCAAGTTACACGTTATCGTCTCTTGTCTTTTCTTTTTCAGGTTTCTCGCATCTCGTCTGTCGGTATTTGCATCATCGCGTTCAAAGGTTGCAACCTGTATCTACCTCTCGGAGAATTATACAAGAACCGTGCACTTTCTTTTGCCAAGTCGAGGCTGCACGCTTGTAAATCACAGGTAATTTATATCATTGGCTTTCCCATTTGCTTTCCAGATCCAAATATTAACTAAATCTTTTTTGAAAATTAAAAAGACCAACCAGTGACGGAGACGGCGTGGCATAGCTACCTCTAAGCTTTATCCTCTTATCTTAGGTCCAGGTTCCCAGTTTTTAGCTTTTGTACTTGAACCCTTTCAGGCGGTACCTTACAGGCCTTTTAGTGGGTCTACCGCCTAAAGCGTCTCCCTGGGTCCCGCCATCTACCAACCCCATCTCCACAATCCCAGATCCATATCCCAACCATATCAATCATACCCGAGTCGAATTGAAGCTGCCGAGTCCAAGCTCGCGCCCGTAAAGCTTCTTGATTCTCCAACTGCAGTCTCTCTCTGCTCTCTTTTTATTCTTCTCTTTTCCTCCTCTCACTCGCCGTTCACTCCCGTTAAGCCATGGGAGTCGGCGAGAAACCTGCTCTGCAGGTGATTGTTTTGGTATGTTCTATATGTTCTACATACTCTACTCTATCTATCTCACATGCTTCCCAATTACCACGACACATCATGACTCGTCGAGTGGCGTTTGTCTCGCCGTGGACTTTCTCTCATAGTTATATATCATAATGACCTCAGCACCTCACAAGTCACAGCCATGTTCCACACACTGATGCAACCAACTCATTCAAAGTCAAATCTCTCACTGACAGAAATCTCAGGGCTCTGGAGGTGGTCCTCAAGAATCAAATACCACTGCTTTTCTGGTCCGCTCTGTTGCTCAAAAATGGCATCGGGGCTCCATCGTTGCCGTCGATGCGGGTGTTCATCTCTCTTCTATAACACGCATCATGGAAGCTTCGATACCATCACCGCCGCCACCTCCTCCATTCACACTCACAACAGGTCCCTTTGCAGGTCTTGAGCTTCCTCATTCTTCAGCTTCTGCTAACGCTGCTCACTTCACCCGATCTCTGGTCGACACATATCTCATCACCCATCCCCACCTGGACCACATCTCTGGCTTTGTGGTCAACACAGCTGGTTTCCCGGGAACAAGGCCCAAGAAACTCGCTGCCTTGCCTAGCACAATTCAAGCCTTCAAGAAACACATCTTCAACAATGTTATCTGGCCCAACCTCAGTGATGAGAATAACGGAGCAGGTCTCGTGACGTACATGAGATTGATGGAAGGTGGGAGTCCCTCACTCGGCGACGGTGAAAGTAGGGGTTACATCGAAGTTGCAGACGGACTCCTAGTCAAGATCTGGAGCGTAAGTCACGGACACTGTCTTGAGAAACACAGTCACAGAGGCTCAACATCAAGCGCGTCTACTCGCTTCAGCAGCCACGATGCATCCATGCCACAGGGGCCGATAGCACGCTCATCATCCTACTATCCAGGGTCAATACACCGTGGTTCAGTTTTGCTCTCACAGAATAGCTTTGGTTCTGTCGCGCCTCCACCCGAACAGGAGCGAATGTGCGTCTACGACTCAAGCGCCTATTTCATCCAGGACCCCGCCACTCATCGCGAAGTCCTCATTTTCGGGGATGTTGAACCGGACAGCCTATCTCTAAGTCCACGAAATCTACAGATCTGGCAAGAAGCCGCACCAAAATTCGCCGCAGGAAATCTCAAGGCAATATTTATCGAGTGCAGCTACGAAGACTCACAGAGCAACGATCGTCTATTTGGCCATCTGAAACCCTTATTTGTTATAGAGGAGCTGCATGTGCTCGCTGGGGAAGTCGACGCCGTTCGCAAGATGCGCAACGATACTAAGAAGCGTAAGCGCATGGGCAGCTTAGCTGATGAGGCTCCACGACGAAATCCCTCTGTTGTGAACCTCACAACTGAAGACCCCGTCTCTCCCAAGACAGTCAAGGCTTCGACACCGGATTTCATATATTCAGGCCCGGAGACACCTCCAACACCGCACCTTGCTACGCCCACAGCTGAGTTGACACTCAATCCATCTGAGTCTTTCACATCTGTACCCGCGACAAGACGGCCACTTGAAGGTCTCAAAGTCGTCATCATCCATGTCAAGGACCGGCTGGACGATGGACCCAACGTTGGGGATATCATTTTGGAGCAACTGAACGATCACGAAAGCTCCAGCCAGACGCCATTAGGGTGTGAGTTTGTTATTTCTAAGCCTGGACATAGCTTCTATCTTTGAGCATTTCAAATACCGGCGTTGGGAGTTTTATTAGGTCATTGTATTCGACCATAGGGTTATTTTTCTTCTTTCCTGGCAGGAGAGCTATAGGCTTTTGTTGGGTCTGCTATACCACTGGGGGATGTGTTTATCTCAACCATATGGGATGATTTGGCATGTGGGATATATCTTAGGAAGGGATGACGAATTTGGATTGGGCCTGTTTCAATCGCGGTGCATCGCCCAATGGACATCTTTTCTTGGAGCCTGGATTGTGGCTTCTCTTCTCTATATATTGGGTCTAGGTTTTGAATGGATATATACCTTCAGATCTATTCTAGTTCTTGTTCTTTATCTTCTCAAGTCCCTCTTCACCACCAATATCCTTTGCATAATCCGTTCTCGGAATCTCAAACGCCTCTGTGACTCTTGCATACGTGATTCCTCCCAGTCTGCTCACCGGCTTCAACACATTAGGGTCGACCAGGTTCTTCTCCTCGTTCAGGGCATCCTCTCTAACCCAGAACCGAGTACCCTCAAGGACAGCCAGTGTGCCCGACTTGTTTCCCGGGCGCGCCTTGCTATCAAACTCCTTGAGCATATCGAGCTTGCACTCAATGCTCACAATAGCCTCGCGCACACGAGCGCACTTGACCGTCTCGCAGTCATTAACAGGTGTCAGGCCCGAAACATCCCACTCAGACACGCCGTAGGGGGCGTTGACACTGGTTGAGTTGGCTGCTTCGATGAAGTGCTCCGAGATGATGTTCACAACACACTCGCCCGAGTCGGCGATGTTGCGCAGCGTGTCCTTTGCAGCTTCGAGGCTGCTGGAGAAGCCAACAACAAACATGGGCGGGTCGTGATTCACCATGTTGAAGTAGCTGAAAGGCGCCAGGTTCTTGTGTGTGCCGTCGGGAGCTTGGCTGCTTACAAAGGCGATGGGGCGGGGCAAGATGGAGGAGATGAGGAGCTTGTAGTTGAAACCCGCGGGGCGATCAGCCTCGTGGGGATCTATAGTGATGTGCTTTTTCTCAGCATCCTCCTTGCCCAGCTTGTTCGCACCGCCACCAAAAGCCCATTCCGAATCAACAGTCTTGGTGTAGCGGAAGTGGGACTTGGTATCCAGCTCAGGACGAGAAGCCTCGACCTTTTTAAAATCCGGGTGAGGATTGCGTTTCATAGCGTCTCCCATTGTGAAGTGAGAGGTGGTAAAGAGTCTAGATGAGATAGTTGTGGTTCTGGTTGTGAGTGGTTTAGAGAGGCGGTTCAGGATAGACATGGACATCTAAGGTGGAGATTAAGACTGTGGAAATTCTAGGAGGGCCGCGGAGATTCCGGTGTAACTTAGAGAGTACCGTTAGCTAGCTCTCAGTTATCTTGGTAAGGATGTAGAGATCGTTTGTAATGCGTGATAAAGCATGGCGGGCGTTTTCCCCACTGTGTTTTGAGTGACCTCATTGATTGTTGTAGCACATAATTCGGCAAATTTGAGTCAAGACTGCCGGTTCCTCGGAATATATCGCTTTGTGTTCCGAAATAGGATGACAATGAGTAGGATAAATGACTAGATTTATAAGGCGAACAGACCTTGTGTATTTCCTTTTGCAAGGTGCATTATAGATTGCATCACTTGCCTTACATGCTTTGACTTCAAGTGTCATAGATTCTACAAGATCCTGCACTCTCGGGCTCTCTTATCGACTGCTAATTGGCGTTCCTTACATGGGTAGTTTCCCTTCCGTCCATGAACGGTAATTGGTGCTGACATCAGAAATTAACATTAATGTCAATATCGTGCCAGAGTATAGGGTAAATCGCCCATCATTAAGCACTTTAAGTTATGCACGTGACATCGTGAGCTAGCGTAACGCGGAGCAAGAGTCATTCGCCGCGTTCAAAGTAAGAAAAAAAAAGAAAAAAAGTGGTTGATGTAAAAGGCAAGAAAGAGCAAATATGACATTCGGTAGTTGATGCGCTATTGTATCACGCCCTATCTTCCCACCAACATCCCCTAAAACTCCTCTCATGCAAACATGGGGAACTCGACGTCTCCCACCTTCATTCAATTCTTTTAACCGTCAATTATCCTCGTCTTTTCAATTTAAACGCCTCTCTTCTCCATTTTCAACTCAGACTTTTCTCTATAGAAAATTCTCGCGCCAAGAGAAACGAGGATACTACTATACCATTTTCTGTATTCCAATGACGTCTTCAGTTGAGATTGCTTCTGTTCCCACTGTGGACACTCCTGGAACATGTCTCTTTGTCCACGCCGAGAAACGCTCATATGTCTTTGGTCGTCCTGAAGAAGGCACCCAGCGAGCCTTCCAGAGCAGGAAACTAGGAATGGGAGCGACCGAGCAGGTGTTTTTAACCGGAAGTGTCTCATGGCAGCAAATCGGAGGCCTTTTTGGCTATGTTCTCACAGTTGGTGGTGCGCTGGAGGCGAGCAAGGAGCAGGCTGCTATGTTGAATGAGGAGAGGAAGAGCAGGGGAAAGCAACCTGCTAAGCCGGCCTCGTTCGACACCATCCATGTCCATGGCGGTGCGAACTTGTGTCATACTCTGGCCGCATGTCGTCCTGTTATTCTGCGACAACCTATCAAGCTCCGTACGCATGAGCACAGGGAAGACCCTAGACTCGAGGGGGTTGAAAGCCTCGAACCAGACTGGCAGGACGATGTACTGCGTGTCTGGAAGATACCAGTTCTGCAAGAGCGGTCCAGCAGTCCCAAGAAGCGTCGCCGTTCAAGCCCCCTCGTTGGAGACGCCGACCCATCGTCGGAGCCTCAGTTCAAGGAATGGTCGCTCCTTTCAAATCCCGAATTTTCGGCGGCTCTTATCGAGGAGGTTATGTTCAATGGCTCGATTAGAGGAAACGGGTTTGTTTACGCTGCAAAATTGAGAGATGTCGGGCCTACGGAGACGGTCTTCACGCGCTTTCAAGATGGCGATGTTGAAGTCTATAAAGGACCAAGACCTGGTGATACGTCAGAGCCTACAAACCTGGACCAAACTGTGTGGAAATTCTCCAAGCAGGGAGCCAGAATCGATCGCGAGTCTGAGTCTATCAACCTTGTACACCGGCCACTACCTCCCACCATATACAGCAAGACTTCCATGTGCTACATCGTCAAATGTTTCGATCGCCGTGGCAAATTCAATGCAAAGAGGGCTAAGGAGCTTGGAGTAGAGGTCACTGACTTCAAACGACTGACCGGGGGCGAAACAGTGGAAACAAAGGACGGTGTCGTTGTGACCCCTGATATGGTTCTGGGCGAAACTCAGCCTGGGCAAGGATTTATTGTTGCTGATCTGGAGTCTCGCGATTATATCGACTCTTTCATGGAGCGGCCAGAATGGTCCAACCCGGAATTAATGGATCAAGTCAATGTCATGTACTGGATTCTCGGTCCTAAGTTGGCAGACGATGCTAGGATTCAGAAATTCGTCGAGGAGCACCCCACGTTGAAGCATATTTTCTGTGCCAAAGACACTTGTCCCAACATGATCTCCCTTGCTGGACCTGGCCAGCTCCAAGCCAAGCTACGAAGAATAGACCCCGACCGATTCAGCCTACTGAACTACGATAACACTGTCCATGGATCTCTCCCGTCTGGACCCCTAGTAGAGTCCGGCCGTGTTGGAAACAAGGTAGCGCTCATGCCCAGATTCAGGTTCGACGCTGGAACAGTTGTCCCTTTTCCTGACCTCGCAGAGGCAGCTCAATCTGTCAGCGACGAGATTCTGGAATTGGCCAAGAAAGCCCATGAAGAGACTACTGACCCTGAGTTTCTGCGGAAACTAGAAGAAGAGGAGAGTGATATCCCCAACCGTGATGCCGAGATCATTCCTCTCGGTACGGGCTCTTCCATCCCAGGCAAGTACCGCAACGTTTCAGCGACGCTGATTCGTGTGCCTGGTATTGGTAACTACATTTTCGATGTCGGTGAGGGCACCTTGGGCCAAATTCGTCGTCTCTTTGGAGATGAAGAAACAGGAAATATCCTTCGAGACTTAAAGTGCATTGTAATCAGCCATCTTCACGCCGATCATCATCTGGGCGCCCCCAACTTGATCAAGGCCTGGTACAACCACAATATCGAGAACAGCAAAGCAAGACTAGCCATATCTTGCGTATCAAGATACAAAGCCCTCTTAGAAGAGGTCTCCCAGGTCGACGACATTGGCTTTCACCGACTAAAATTCCCCAACTGCACCTTTATAAACGACAGGCTCAACACAGGCCGGTTCGAGCTCGACGAGAACGACTTTGGACTCAAATCCATCACGCGTATCCCAGTTCCCCACTGCTGGATGGCCTTTGCCACAGAACTTGAGCTCACATCAGGTCTACGCATGGCCTACTCGGGTGACTGCCGCCCCTCGGATGACTTTGCCCTCGCATGCGAAGGCGCCCACCTGCTGATCCACGAGTGCACCTTTGACGACGACATGCTTGCCCACGCCAAGAAGAAGATGCATTCCACCATGAGCGAGGCGCTCGAGGTTGCGCGCAAGATGAAGGCCCGGAAGACGCTCCTGACGCATTTCTCGCAGCGCTACGTCAAGTCCGACTCGCTCAAGCGGGAGGATGCGGGACGGCCTGGTGAGGTCCTCATGGCGTTTGATCATATGAATGTGAAGCTGGGAGATTTTAGAAAGGCGGCTGCGTTCCAGCCTGCGATTGCTCAGTTGTTGGCTGATGCGAGCGATAAGTGAGGACGGGAGACTTGTATGTTAAGATAAGATAAAGATAGATTTTGTACACTATGATTTGATGATCCTATATGCCTGTCGAATGTGATTCCGTTTAACTTTGATGAAGGGTCTATGATATACATTCGCATAACGCTGGATATTACAGCAAGCATATCGCCTAAAGGTTTCGTTAATGGAACAGAACCCGGCTTAGTAGAAAGCATAAGAATACGTATTTATTGCAATCATCAAGCTTCACTGGCTTCCTCTAATGCATCAAGTACCATGCTAAGCTATTGATTCTGATCTAGAATAACGACATCCTTCTTTCAGTATAGGCCTTGGGACAAGGCGACCCTCAGTATCCTGCGGTCTCATAACCAAGTCTTTTCACTTGTCTTAACCTTCTCACTTAGTGCTCTTGGACGGACTCTTGCCCTTCTTGCTGCCATTTTTACCATGCTTAGTCTTCTTTCCCAGACCAGCCGCTGTAGAAGTTCCCTGGATGATGCTGTTCATAACATTTACTCCGTAACCTTCACCTCCACAACTCTGGAGACTCGCAAAAGGACCTTTGGCGGTGGCGTCGCCGATTTCACTATGCATACCTGCAGCCAGAGATTCTAGAGGTCGTATTAGTAACTCAACTGATGTTGGGAGATACCACACTAACTTTTACTGATGCCCTTTTTACCAAAGCCAATGAGTTTAAGAGCGGGTGAAATTACAGTGTCTTGTGCTTTGGAAACTGTTGTCACCATCGCTGCTGAAGCACCTGGGATTACCTTCCCGTAGCTGAAAACCTTTCTGGCGGCCTATGTATAAAAGTCTCTGGTCAGTACACGATACTTGAATGTGCGGTAGGATACACATACGCCAAAGACAAGCGATTTCGCTTGACCCAACATGATCATGGTGAGTTTGGGTAGACTGATGTGGCAACATTAGGAGACAATACTTTCGCACGATCTTTTGGGTATTTGGATGAGACTAGTATGAGTGGTACCGTGGAGAGTATTCAGGTCCAGATGAAAGCTGATCATTATATAGGAGGACATTGATAGTGAATATCTCAGGCAGATACCCATGAGTTGTTGAATACACACTTCTGCCTCACTATTAATGACGGTAAGCTACATACACCGTCCTGCAGGTTTTACAAACATCTAACAAACAGAAGGTTGGATGGATTTATATCAAGAGGTGTGGTTTGCGATTCAGCTGCCTGAGGGAAACAATATCTTATGTCGGGGACGAAATTTGTACCAAAAGTCTCATTGCTATCCTAATAGTATGTAGGGATAAGTTCACTATCAAGCCTCGATAGTCCTCAGAGTATTTAAACAGCACACGTGAAGTTCCCTGACTTAATCACGTCATAGAGTACAGAGAATGACGGCTCTGCAGCAAGCCGAGTTGCAATTTTGGCAATCTCAGCACCACAACCACCCATGCCCGCGCTTTGAAGTATCGCAAAGCAGCTTTCAGGCGCAACGTTTCCAATCATGCCCTGAACACACGCCACAAGATATCCTAAACAGTTGTCAGATCAGTATATTGGCTATGTTGTGAAGAACAAGTGTTTACAAACCTGCTGAAGGGCCGATGGGTGTGAAGCCCATAGCCTGAAGAGCCAAGTGCAACAGAGCCATGGGAATAACCATTTTGATTGATGGCCAAGCACCAAGGTTCTTGGTGTTGATTTGTGAGATGACACGGTTACTGAGCGAAGAGAATGCGAAATTGAGGCTTTAGTAGTGATGATTTCTTGATAGGTTGTTGGAAGGAATGAAGACGAAGAGTGTGGTTGTTAATTGTTGATGTTTTTGAGGTAAAGATGAGAAATTGATATTGAGTGACTGGCATGGCAAGTACAAAATATATATGAAGTGTATTATAGACCAAAGCGAATGGCGATACGTATGTAATCACCGGAATGGATACACCCTCATCAAGCCGGGTTTGTGTACGTGCCGAGAATTGTGAAGCAATCATCTTAGTTATTGTACCAGCTCTCTCCGCTTACTGGTGAATTGGCTATGTGCGTCCCCAAACCAAACATTCAAACAACAAAGAGCTTTGAACCCACTTAGAGAGCCCATCAATGAAGTTACACGTTAATGTGAACTAATGTTATGTCGATATCCTCCTCACTCCTCTGTATCCCTCTCCCCTGATAGTAAGAATCAAGCTCTCACCCCTCCTATTTAGCGAGTTCTTCTTTCATCCTCCTATCGAGCTCGTCCTGGCCCATCCATACGAATCTCCGAGCATCTTCGGCCTGTTGCTTCAAGCAAGACACGCAGTTCCCTCTTTCGCTGCAGCAAACACCATATTTGTGGTAGAACCGATCGCCAGTGTCGAACTTAGCGCGGCTGCGATGGAATACCCTTGGTCGGTGCTCCATGTAATCCTCTAGAGGGATGTCTTCTTTCCAGAGATTTCTCACAGTTGAAGAGAGTATTTCCGCAACGAATGGGGCGCCTATTCTAGTTAGTATCATATCAGGAGTGAAGCCATAAGGTGTGAACTCACCGCCGAGGAGTGAAAGGACTCCGGCAATAAATGCTCCGCCGATAGCTTGTCGCGGTGTTTCCAAAGGCGTGTTGGCAGCGATCATAAAGGCCATGGCGAACAGTGTGATAAAGAGCACAGCAAGCTCCATGATGGTGAACTCTTGAAAGAATTCTTAATCTTCAGATGAGAAAATTCACAGAATGAGATGTATAGAAATAAGTTTGGTGACATATATAGCTCTGCAAAGCAAACAAAGAAAATAGTCTGCATCACGAACTGTTTGCCTGTGGAATCTTCTCTGTTGGACTGTCACTGGCAAACATGCGCCAACGCAGCTCTGTATGTCGCAGTAGTGCCAATCACAACAGTATCAAACGTACAAGGCCGGTTTAATAGGAAATCTCTGTCTATTTACCTACCATCATCAGGTGTATGATTATGGCCAAGTCCCTGTTATATCCCTCACATATGACCAAAAAGAAAGGCAAAACTGCTGAAATGATACTGTCGCCTTGGTCATAAACATAACTCCTTTCCTTTCCCAGTATCCCAAATACCCCTCTTCACCAAACGCCAATGTGATAGAGGTGTTGCGTTCAACGAGCCGCCTTTGAATCCCAAGAGCGAGTTCATACTGTAGATTGCAAGGAGATCACCGGCTAGAAAGGGTGCAGAGGGAGAGGGAAATGGGGTGGTGGTTGAAAAGAGACCAAGTTTCAGAGTACAACTCATATTGATATTCGTGACAATTAGCCTGAGACACCTTCGACCAAAGAACTGCTTGTAACAAAACATACACCATCATCACAATACACCCAACAAAGCAACCCCGTAGACTTCACCTCCCAACACTCCTAAACAGCAATGATAACAAGATCAAATAACGTAGGCCTCAAAAGCTTTCAATTTTGGTAGTCCCGCTGATGATACAACTCCACAAGCCGACCCATCTAATTACGAATAATCCCTACTTTCTTCATTATAATCCAGTTTCAGTCTCCCGTACTATTTCACTTTCTTCCTTCAGCTACCTCTTCGTCCTCGCTTCATCGGCGGCGGTGACCTAGAGACACTATCGCTATACCGTCTCCTCTTTGGCGGCACAGGACTCAAAGACTTCCTCGCTCCACGTCGCGGCGGACTAGGCGATCGCGAGTATGAGGCCGGACGTCCGTTACGCGCAGGTGGAGGCGACACGCTTGCAGGCTTGGTCCTCTTTGGTGGCGGAGATCGTGAATCATATGAGGGTGAGCGGCTGTACTGCTTAGCCTTATCTCGAGGTCCGTCGCTCACGGATGAGCTGTTGCGTCGATGGGAGCCTGGACCAGCGTTTCCGCGCGGTCGACCACGGGGGGCCGGGCTACCGGACTGTGATCTCTCCCGTTTTCTTGTAGGGGGAGGGGATCGACTCTGTGAATCATACGAGCGGCTTCGTGCATCTCGAGCAGGAGGTAGCGGTGATCGTGCCCCCGAAGCATAAGAATCTTTTCGACCACGCACTTGTCGCGGCGGAGTGCGTGAGCGACTACGAGACGAGTATGAAGCACTACGAGCTCGGCCCTTGCCATTTCGGGGGGCCGGGGATCGCGAGCGGCTCTCATCAGCGTTGCCACGGCCTCGTCGAGGAGGGTTTGCAGAATAAGACTGGCTTCGTCCTCTTCCTCGTGCAGACAGAGATCTAGAGTATGACCTTGACCTTGACGAGCTGTATGAGCGTCCCCTGCTTCTTCTGTCGGGGGAGCGAGAAAGCGATCGTCCACGATCAGCCACCTTACGTGGTGTTCGCGACCTAGATCGAGATCGTGAGTAGGAAGAGCCCGTGTACGACGAGTAACTGGAAATAGAGTCCGAGTCCGAATCGTCTGCTGCAGCAGGAGCAGGCAGCGCAGGCTTGGGCATGTTTTGAAGATAGGCTCGCATCTCTTCTGTGAGAGCTCCCATACCAATACTGGTGAAGTAGTTGATAGAGAATCTGATGTTGCGGGGGTTGTCCTTGGGGAAGAGGCCTTCCAAGTTGGGACGGAGGGTCTCGTCTGTCATACGTGCCCTCAACTTAGGCATACCTGTTTCTTCTGAAATAAATTGAAACATAATCTTGATGAAGATGCGGCTACTGGATGTGGTCTCGTCCTCATTTAGGTGAATGACAGAGAGGCAGTGCCAGCCCAGAGCGTCTGACGCAAACATATGACCAAAGAGCATGGCAATGTTTCGTAGCTTGTTGTTCTCGTATCGATGGATGGTCTCGTAGTACTTGACAAAAGCCTGCTCAAACAGGTCGCACCACAGTCGGTTGATCTTGGCGAAACGCTCACCAATCATTCCAAAGAACTTTGTGTAAGTCTTTTCTTGTGAGCAACACTCCACAATCATGGAGGGAAGCTCTGGTTCCTGGCCTGCAGGGAGGTTGATCTTCATGAGCTTGTGGACGGCTTCCTCAGGATCAGCACTGGACATGATGGTCAGGTAGATGGTCCTGCGCAGGTTGACCAGGTCAGCATTGGACTGATCCTTGATCTCCATGGCTTTTGTCTTTTCGTCCTCCTCATCCTCGGAGGAGCTCTCGTATTCGTCCTCGTCGTCATCCTCATCGTCGCTACCTTCGCCTAGAATCTCAGCCTTGAGCTTCTTGTACGCATCTTCGTGCTCCTCCCATTCTGAGTCGAACTTGAAAATGTTGAGTCCATCCTGGACGTCGATTTCACCTTCCAACTCAACCCGATGGGTGATCTGATCCTCCTCCTCGACCAAGTCCAATTCCTCCTTGATTGCTGGGTTGTCCTTAAACTTGTCCTTGCGCACCTGGAATAGCACCTCGATCATGTACTGTGTTCGCTTATCGATATCGGCTTCGTGCAGGATGTTTCGGAACTGGTCAAAGACCGCCATGGCAATGGATGGCTGCATTTCCTCCAGATACTGTCCAACCTCACGGCAGAAACCGACCGCAATCTCAACACTGTCGTCGGTTGGTTTGTGCAGCAGTAGGAGCAGGATCTGGCCGGCAAGCATTTCGTGCTGGACCTGCTGGTTGATAAGATGCGCGAGGAAGGTGGTCGAGGAGAGGCAGACGGCCTTGTCGTTTCGCTTGAAGCCTTTTCGGAACTGCATTACCAGACGACGCACAAGGAGTTCTCCAACCTGGGGCAGCTTAGTGTTGACAATCGCAGCCATGGCGGCATAGATAGGTGTGAATGGCAAACTGGCAGCCTGGGCCTTCATGATCGATCGACAAAACAAACCGCGACCACGGACCAGATTCTCGCCAAACAGCTCCGGAACGATAAACTTGATGTTGGCAGTGTTGACCTTGTTGATCAGACCGTTGATACTCTTCTTGAGCGCCTCCCACGCCATGCGCTGATACTCCTTGCTCGTCTTATCCGTGATCTGTGCCTGCAGCGCGCGCAGTCTCGCGGGTGGGATATATGTTCCGCCGGATCGCATCGTGAGGAGCTTCTCGTACTCGGCCTTTGCAGCAGCCTGCTTCTCCTCCTCAGTCCGCACAGGTGCGGTTTCTCGTTTTTGCCTGGGAGAAGGCGATCGCTGTGCCCTCCCAGGGCGATACGAGTCGCCATCACGCTTGTCGCTGCGATCACGGTCCCGACGCGGGAGATCGACCTCGGCGGAAGCCATCTGAAAAGATTGCAGTTGAAGCTGCAGTCTCCGTCGCAATCGATATGTTTTATCGGTTCTATCTCTTCCGCTTTGGATTTTGATGGCGTGGTGGTGGATCGAGGTGAAACTCTTTCAACGAGCCGATAAAGTTGTCGTTGCTAGCTTAGCGAAGCTCGCGCGCGAACAAGACTTGGAAAAAAGATTGGCGCGGCGCACGCAGCCACAGTTTGACACAGGCTTTGTGGCTGTGCTGTGGCGCCCCACGTCGTCACTTTCTCCTGAGAAGCCAGTCTGGACTTTCGACGGGACAGCTACTAACTATAACTCCATTTCACCACCACAAGATACACGACACTCCTTTGTTTCTAATTCTCGGCCTCCCTCTTCTTGTCGGCTCAACCAAAAGTTCGCTCGTTCACTTTGCGCATCTTTAACAATGGTCAGTATCATCATCTTCTTATAGCCCTGGTTTACACGCTGTTCCCCTTTACGCGCTTCATGCTGGGCTATCGCGGCAACCCCTCGCTGTTCTTCTATTTAACTAACACAATTATCTTGCAGTTGGACAAAATCGTCGGTCTCGCCATGCTCGTGGCCGCTTCCGTCGTCTTCACCTACTACACCATCTGGGCTCTTCTTATGGTGAGTGCCCCTCATTGCTCCTCGAATACTCGAATACTCGATACGACTTCGATGCAACCCTTGCCTAAGCAGTCTATATAATTCCCAAAGCTAACAATTGTTTAGCCCTTTGTCGACGATGACCACCCTCTCCAGAACTTCTTCCCTCCTCGCGTTTGGGCCATTCGCATCCCCGTCATTATCATCCTCCTCGGTTCTGCTGTTGTTGGCTCATTCCTCGGCATGGTTATGATTCGGAGCAACCAGAAGAAGGCTGCAAAGGCCAAGGTTGCCGCTAAGAAGGCCAACTAGACGACCAATGTGTCGATCCATATACCTTGTAATAATTCAGTGGCATCTAAGGGCATGGCCAACTCACGAGCTCACTTAATCGCACTATGGATACCTCGATTAAACTATAAATCATGTTGGGCCGTGTCTTCCTGCCAAAGAGATAATAGAGTACTACAGAAATGGGTGTCTAATTTGTTTCTATTTATTTAATAAGGTATCATGACCTATCAAAACGAATGCCTTGCTAAAGAGGGTTTCTTCCATATAAGCAAATTGCCCACATCAGAATCAAACAACTCCAACATTCCAAACCGATGAGTGGTCGAAAGTAGCCATACATGTTACGCATGAATAGATATAAGCTGTCTCAAGATGCCAATTGGCTTGCGCGATGGGTTTCCACGCTCTGGCATCGTGTGCATATAGAAAAGCAAAGCCCAGGAATCCAGACGCCCCTCAAAACACGCTGCACTTGTTGCCTGATGTTAGAAAGCTTCCACCTCACTTAGACTCTCTGATCTGCAAAGTCGAGAACTTCACAATCATCCTCGAAGAAGCCATCTTCACCTTGGCCTCCACCTTGAGCGCCACGTCTTCTTCGTGTGGTCACCACAATCTGCTCCTCATCACCATATTGCATCACGCGCTCCATGGCAGAAGGTGGCAAAGCAAGATGACTTTCGGAACCGTATTCCTCCTCGACAACGGTCGCCAGACCCAAGTCCAGTCGCATCACTGGAATATCCTGACCAAAAGCCCAAGCTGTCGTGTTTGACATCTCTCTAGATGACCCTGAATCCATGGGTTGCCCCTTCTTCTTCTTTTTCTTTGTCATATTTTCTTCGAGACTGGTCTCGGCCAAGATGGCAGAGACAACTTCAAGTTGATCGACAGTGCCTCGCCGATACTCGCAGAGAGTCACCCGCCGGTCAGTGTGGAAAGGCTGATACGGTGCACTGGACTCTATTTCAGCCTGAGGAATCGATGACTCCATAGTATGATCCGCCGATGCCACGCGAGGTCGTGCATTAAGCGTCAGAGTATTTCCTGCATCCATATCGCGATCCGAAAGGTCAAGGATCTCGTCTTGAGCTCCCAAATCTACCATCTGTCGTACAGCTTGGGCTACCAAGTCGCTGGGTACAATCGGCACGTTGTAATCGCGGTACCTGCTCGCCCGTGTCACCCGCCTGCCAGCCTGTACGCTAGATCGGCGTGTTCTACAAGAGAATGAGCGTACCAGACCGTTTCCGACCACGAACAGCCCTTGATGTTTTTTGCTTTTGACCCAAGTCACGCAGCACGCTGAAGGGAGAGTTGAACTCGATGGCAGAGAAACTCGGTTCTCACCAGTATGTCGAAGCTGGTTGATCGCAGTACCCGTCTTGCCGAGCGAACTGCTGATACTAGCAGCAATCACTCGCCCTCCCATAGCCGCCGAGTCTTTCAGCGTGTTACCGGCCATGTTGGGTACATTACCGCTGCTGCGGCGGGGGCGTGATACAAATGGTCTCGCCGCTTGGTAGGCCGCACCAAAGGCGCCAGTTGCCAAAGAGACAGCAGTGGTTGATGGCTCTGGTGTCGCAGTGCCACTCTCCTGGACAGCCTGACGACGGCGAGGGGCAGGCCACATGAACGCACTCGTGGGCATGTCAAGAAGATGCACAGTGCCACGCTCCGTCACCATTGCCAACCGCTCGCCCTGCGCCTGCGTCCAAGCAACATCGATAATACGTGCGACAGTCATTCGTGAGAACTGGGCGATCTGGCGAACCTGGGGTCCCGTGCTCGTGTTCGGGGTGACCGTGGCCTGCAGAGGGGATGATCTGGTATGTTGAATACGGAAAAGATCCCAAACCGTCTGAACATCTCCCTTGCTGCTTGCTGTAAACAGAGCCAGTGATGATGGGGAGAATGAAAGAAAACTGCACCCCAAAGGCGGTGCGAACGTAGTGATCGGATGAATGGAAGACGAAGCAGAGAGTGACTCGGCATCGATGATTGATACAAGTCCTGGATCCTTGACCACAGCTTGTCCAGATTGGCCATGGGTCGGAGGGAATTGTGTCGGTTCGCCACGCGGTGATAGAGTCCCAGTCCAGCTCTGAGGAGGTGAACGTGCTTGCTGAGTCTGCAACTGGGAGTTTGAGGGCTTGTTCCAGTAGGAATTCCAAGCCTGCAAACCTTGCTGTCCCACCCACTTAGCACCTTGGATAAGCTCCTGTGTGGTTTCACGCATGATTTTGTTGACAACGCTATCCGATATGGGGAGATCTACAGATGCAGACGCAGAAGGGAGCTGCGGTGGCGTCACGGTGGAGAGTCCAGGCGCCTTGCCCAATATAGGGAGTGGCACATGAGCTCTGAGCGAAACCTGAGATGACGGAGTCGCGGGACAGTAAGAAATCCATCGTCCACTGATCGCCAGGATTGGGGTTTGCGGGTTTGAGCGTGGAGGTGCAGCTAAAGGTCGTATCTTATCGGCCTCCTCTGGTACCTCACCTCGAGTGCTCTGCTGGAGACTGGTCCAGATCTTGCCAACACATGTAAATACATGGCCGTTTTGATCTTCCAGTAGCTGCAAGTACACCCAGCATTCGCCAGTAACGCCTGAGCATACTGCAAGTGTACCAGAATCTGCTCGTACTGTAAAGGAGCCACTGGGTGGAGGAGGTCTAAAGATTGGGTTTGTGACGGAGATCTCAGGGTTTATTGATATCTTTGGCGCTTGAAGCAGCACATCGACAAGTTGGTTCGTCCTGAGCGAGTATATCTCGACAGAAGTCTGATACGCATCGATGGTCTGTTTTCCCTGAATCCCGTCCTGGTGGGTGAAAACTGATCGAGGGCTAGCCGCCCCGTCGGCCCTTGGACTTGGTCCGTCGTCGTGCGCAAACGAACCGGGTGTAGCTGAAGGTAGGACGGGGCCATGCAGTACCACGGCCACGAGTGGGAAGAGCGATTTATTATCATTGTCGAGCGTCCACGGAAGGATCTTCGCATGATGAACTCCTCCTCGCAGTCCTTTCAGACTGGCAACAGGATCAAGGCCTCTCTTGCCAACAGCATATACGTCCAAACCGCCCTCATATCCTGCGATGACGACGTTACTTGGCCCGAAAGGAAAATCGGGACATTCGGGAAGTTTGTCGAAGCCAAAGAAATAACCACGTTCGCCGGCTTTCATCCCTGAGTTGTTTGTCAAGTTGAGATCAATATCCGGAACACCATAGAAGTGTGCCTGGGGTTGATGGGGCAGTGGTGGATGATTTCCCAGGCGTGAGCCAGCAAAAGGAGAGGCGACTGAGCTACGACGATAGTGAACACTTGGTGGCGGGGTTTCTGGAGACTGGTATTGTGCGTCCATATGAAAGCTCAAAGGACGTCGGCTGTGATTTGGCGGAGATAGGGATGAAGGTGAAGGGCTCATGTAAGGACGCTGAGTAGCCCATCCGTGATGCAGTCGACCCGAGTCTTCGTACGAAGATGGTTGAGTAGGAGGTGAATCACCCATGATGCTAATCAGATTTCCTGGAGAGCCGGCCATGCCGTTCCTAATCCAGTCGTTGTTCATACTCGGTGCTGTGCTCACGGAAGCTGGAGTCGTGGACAGTGCAGCCAGCATAGGAGAGACGGCAGGGTTGACATTGTCAGTGCCAGAAGGCTTAATCTCTGGTGTATCGACCGGGGGCGTGGAAGCGACCGAAGTAGATGAGCTCTTGTTGTCCCCACTGCTGGGAATGGTGTTGGTATTATCTTTATTGGCGTTGCCGTTATTGAAACTGCTATGTGACTACGGGTCAGCTAGGTTCCTAGGTGGTGATGGAGAGGTCATGTGGACAGGGAGGTACTCACGCGAACTTTCCAGCTGTTTGCTTTGTCACGGCCGCGGCGATGCCGCCACTTTCTCTAGCATGCTTTCTGTCCTTCTTGGAGGCTGAAGAAAGGGTCATGGTCAGCTCTCCGGTCTGTGAAGATGAAGAGGAAGCGCGCTCTGCGCAGGTGGTTTTGTGTAGGAGGAATGACTCCAGCGGATAGTGGAGGGGTAGAGGCGGGAGGAGGTATAGAGTTCAAGCGGTACAACATACAAGGCATTCAAGTGGTTTGGACAAATTTCGGAGCAGTTTCCTACCCCAAAAAAACGCTTGCGTTTCTGCAGAGCGTAGTTGCCAGAAAAGAGGCGTCAAGTTGACCCTTTTCGCAGTCAGGGCGACGCCGGCACTTGGTCTAGGTTCGAAGTCTGTGTCCCTAATGTCGCGTACAGTGTTAAGCAATGACGCCAGAGGAAGCGACTCGCCCAGGTCCAGGGGGCAGCAACTGTAGTGCTGCTGTTGAATATAGGAGGGAAGTGCGGTCCTGTGCAGACCGGTATTGGTCAAGTTGAGTTATTGAGTTATTATTGAGATGCTCGAGATTGGTGTGTAGCGGCGCAGACCAGCTTCGTCGCTGCAGGTATGGGGATGTCTATACTGTAAGTCGAAAACAGACGATAGGATGAAAAGGACAGAACGAGATGAAACAAAGATCGTTATAGAGTTGGCTAGTCAAGGAAATGGAAATCGTAATCGTAATCGTCAGACGCTTGTTTGATGCTTGTATCGTGTAGTCATTCACTGGAAAGTTGTAAGTGAAAGAAGAGAATGGTCGAGGTCAAGGTCAAAGGGAGCTGATTGATAGTCACTCCGATAGAGTCATTCCGAGAATCCTCTAAGGCAACCCCATCCCATTCACAGCGGGGTGTCCAGGGTGTTTAGAAGGGTGTCAGGGGTGTCCGAGGCTAATCCAGGTCACCACATGCACTATTGAAGAAGCCCGGGACAGCTTGGGCCTTGGGGTCGTGTGTAGGGTGGTTGGATGATAAGAGGTCGTACCTCTCGAGATAACACACCCCGTGGGACGTCTTGTTCTCGACATGTTGAGGGGTACGGATGCTCTATCAATGGCGGATCTGCATTCGGCCTGTCAGGAACCGCCAACCAGGCTAGGGGGAGAAGTAAAACACCAGCGGTGACTCTGCTATAAGATATCTTTAGTTAAGTATAATAATACTAGATAAAATTATTTCTTTTTAATAAAATATATTATAAGTATTATTAAAGCTTCCTCTAAACTTTTTTACTTTTATAGTCTATATATAATATTTTTATAAATACTTTAGCCAGAGAGTCTAAGATGTAGGAAATCTAATATCTGGTGATTTATGTCCCCCCAAGGCCAGGCTGCATTTCTAGCTCAAACCGGGAAGTCAAAAGTGCTTGCTTTTATTTCATACGGTATAGTACGGTACGGTACCAAACAGGTGGCTGGTGAGGTATGATTGACAGGGCCAGACTGGCGGTAATTGTGGTTTTTGATAGCAGGTTATGCATAGCAATGAGAGAATGCTTCGAGTTTGCTCCGTGATCTCTTGCTCATGCTCATGCGCGAGGTTCATGCGCTCATAGCTCATAGGATAGGACTGGGTGAGATGTGCCTGAATTCGGCAACTCACCTCTTCCCCGCCTTTACTTGTTATCGATACTGACTGATCTCATATAGGTACTAGCTGGCACCTTGTCATCCCCCATCCCAACCACAACAGGTTTCCATGATGCTCTCGGCTATCTTGAAGAGTACCATTGATGACAACCTGTTTCTCGATCTCGAGATGCCCTGATTTGTTCTCGTTACAAACCAGTCACCCATCATTCTTCATTCATCCGTTCATCCAACCATCGTGGTCTATCCATTCGACCAACCCAGCCAAGCCACATGATTCTACGCCGTGATCATGGGTCAGGTGAGATATGCCATCTACGCCATCAGCATGGCCACGCTCCGTGCTGATGTGCCCCCCAGCTTAGCCTGGATTTGACTTAGCACGCAAGATCGTAGGTAGGGGAAAAGGGAAGGTAAGGAACGGTGAACATTGGGCTGTAAGGTGAGAATGCCATGCCCATACTCATTCATATTGGCGCATGAATTACGCCTCTGGGTGTGTTATTAGTGTTCCATTTTCGGAGCAGAATACCAGCGTCTTTCACTTCTGCCCCTGCCAGACCTTCCCGTTAATCGGCGTGTTGATCCGGCGCTTTACCATTCGACGGGCGGCAGACTTCGGCATTTCGTCCCCGCAATTCTCAACTTCTCCCACGGGCCTAAGATGACGTACCCGGTTGGGTTGAGTTATAAACAGTAGCTTCCTTGAGTGATTTGATGTATGCTTTCAAAGAGAAGGTTTTATAATGGACCAATAACTTGCTTGTGCCTATGTGAGCCTCGATGTCTGTGATCAGCATGACCGATCATAATATCCGGGTAGCAATTCTCAAACTGTACCTTTGCCAGTTGCTTTTGGTTGCCATTGAATGAGTACAAGCTTGTTATGATAGGTGTTTGCGTTGCACCGAGACGTAATAGCGTTGAGAGGTTATTTTTAGACAGGGCAACAAAGGATCCAGACGCATATGGTAGGCATATAATAACATCTGTCTTGGTATCAGAGAAAACGGCTACGCTTTCGCTGGTTCAGTTTACCTCTCTGTTCATATCTGTTCAGGGTAGTGTGATAGTTTAGGCGGGAATAATACCTATCAACACTTTGACAGTAGAATTACTCCCATCCACGCCAAGCCAGGCCCTGAAGCAAGCATGCAAAGAAAAAAACAAACAGGATCCTGAATGTAATTATTCATTGACAAATTCACTCAAGAAATGCCGTATTTTTCATGGATCAATTGACTAACACGAGACGATGAACTGACACAAGCAGCAACCTATGAAGCGCCCATCCAGGTACATCCATCTTCACGACCCTGTTGACCTTACAAACTATCAACCACCCAGCCCTGCAGGGTGAATGCCTACAGAATGCATAAAGAACAGCCTCACTTTCCTTCTAGAAAAGAACCAGAAAGAAGTCATCTCACGGTAACTTTCCGTTAAAGAGAGTTTGGCTAGTCAGTTTACCTCCACTCGAACGGGGCAATTGCATCATATCCCCATATCTATTCTCCAGATTTAGCAATCATGAAGAAGGTCATCCCCGCGATAGCTGCCATTCCTGTATTTAAAATAAAATCTCTTTCTTTCTACTGTTTACCGTAAGAGACAAAAGACAAGCAAGACTCTTCTCGTTCTAAATTCAAGTAACCTTCTTCGTTGTTCACCCCAAGACTTGACAGAGAAACAGCTACTTCAAGACATAATTCGTCATGGCCCAGAACGCTCCCGACAACTACATCCCCCAGTATGCCAAGCAGGACGAGTGGGAGGACCAGGAGCTCCAGAAGTTCGCGATTGAGTTCTACCGCATCTCAGACAATCCCGAAGAGAACCAGCGATGGGTAGACTCTTTCACAAAAGATGCCCAAGTGCAGATTGGCGCCGACAAGGCGCAAGGCTCCAAAGGTAAGCTCTTGAATCTCTGATGCACCAAGCATCTATCCTGAAGCTCAGAACGAAAGGCTGATCATGTGAACCATCTAGACCTCTCTGAATTCCGAACCCGGATGTGGGCGCATATCAAGGAGCGCAGACACAAGGTGCTCAAGGTCTTCCCTGGACGATTCGCAGACTCCAAAAGCAGTGAGGCCATGTTGCTCGGCGAGGTGAGCGTCACCACGACAGACGGACGGCTCAAGGATGCTGCTTGGTCGGCGCATGCCGTTGTCAGGAAGGTGGATGGACAGTGGAAGTTCTCGTCCTACAGAGTTTGGCTACAAGCCGATGGACATCTTCTATGAATGGGATGCTGCTGAATAAGTTGAGCAAAAGTGAATTTGTGCATAGCCTTTAGTTTTCAATATCAAGATAACCCGGATCACACCCGGGACACAATACAGATCAAGAGAAAGACTTCAAATATTCAATGCACAATGTCGGGTGTATTTTAAGCACCTCTTTATGTGACGAGAAGCTGCCGTGATAAAGACAAAGGACTCGAAGACAGCACTGAACCCGGCGCTGTTGAGAAGGCCAACATAAGCTGTATACATGATGTTAAAGGAAGAAGGAAGCAATACTGTTAAATTCTACCTGACTCGCTATGGTGGCTACAGCAATGGGTTATCCCATTGTCCACGATTGACGTACGAGTATGAATGCTTTAACATAAATTCCAACGCCAGGGTATCATCCCCTCAAAAATCTCCGAGAAGCTTAGGGAGCACATCCGAACCACCCTTCCAATCTACGCCGATTTATTCCGTTTTCATTCTGACCCATAGACCCCAGCTATCCTTTTCAAGACGATCCTACTTCTTGATACCGCGAGCACTGACCTCGCCCTTCTCACCAATGTTGAGCTTGACCCGACAATCAGGACAGTACCACTTCGTTGTACGCGCAGGCACCTCAGTGAGATCGACGCATGCGAGATGGAACCACTCCTGCTTACACTGCTGGCTTGTCAGTTTAATGTCTGCTTGCTTTTGGCGTGCCGCTATGGAGAGTGGATAGGTGTTTGCGGCAGAAGAGTCGCTTACGTCGGAATTTTCGCAAGCAATCATTGTACCGAAACTGACTCTATTACAGAGGCAGTACTTCGGTTCGTCAGGGTCAATAGGATTTCCATCATCATCCACGTCCTCCATCTCGACTTCGACAGATCCCCTGTCCTTCTTCTGACGGGCCTTCTTCTTCGGTGGAGCCTTTCGCTTACCAACAGCGCTGTTACCGCCGCTTTTGGTGGTGCTAACAATTCCAGGAGCAGGCCGCTTAGTTCGCTTTGGTGGTCGAGGTTCCGGGGCAGGGGTGTTGCGAGCAGTGCTCGCTCGACGTGGCCGATCTGCAGCTAACGAGGGCTGCGGCTCTTGACTCGCAGCTTTGCCTCGAGAGCTTGGTCGGCGGATGGCGAGGCCTTCAGGGCCAGGAGTTAGTTGAGGAGTAGGCGCGCGAGAAAGGATCTGTTTGTTTACTGTCTCTGGAGCAAATTGAGGAGGGGGAGGAGGAGAGTGTGGAGGCGCAAGGGCAATCTGAATGGGCTGTGTTTGTAGTAGTGGAGAGGATTTCTGCTCAGACTTAAGAGGTTCTTCCTCCGACTTCTCTGGTATTGGCTCGATCACTTGAGGATGTGGTGTTTCTGTCTGTTGCTGTTGTGCCTGTGTACGCTTTGCTGCCTCACCACGGGTTTCTCTTTTTGTGGTCTCCCTCACTGGAGGGAGGACAGGAGTCACTGACTTTCGTGATTCAGTATTAGGTAGAGGGACTGGGGTTTGATGTGGAGGGGGTTTAATAGCCCCCGTGTTGTTAGCCGTAGCTGGAATTGGCGTGGGAGACTTTGCCGATCCTCTGGTCGCCATGCCAGGAATAGGTATAGGAACTGGTGTTTCAGCATGCGATACAACAGGATGATCTCCAGGCGTAATCTCAGGAGTTGGACCCTTACTCAACCTCACTTGCTGAGGCGGCGGAACCGGAGTTTCCGTCTTGACGCGTTTGATTTGAGGTCGTTGTGGCTGACTCTCGTTCTTCTCACCACTCTCATTGACATTGTTGGACTCATCAATCTCTGGTTCTCTTTTTCGCTTTGTTGATCGCGATCCTGCTCGGGTTTTGGCGGGTTTTGGAGTTTCTTTGGGCTTTGGGGTCTCCGCGGGCTTTAGAGTCTCTGCAGGCTTTGGAACCTCTGCGGGTTTGGGAGTCTCTTTGGGCTTGGGAATCTCCTTGGGTTTGGGAGTATCCTTAGGTTTTGGAGCTTCCTTTACCTTTGTGTTTTCTTTGGGCGTCTCAGACGTTGGTGTCTTCGGAGTCCCGTTACTCCCGTTGTTGCTGTTGTTTCCGTTTCCGAGAAATAACTTTGCGGCCTCGTTCATCTTCCTTGCCGATTCCTCTGCTTCCTCTGCGGCCATTTTCGCAAGGACTTCACGCTTGACCTTTTTGGCCTCGTTGAGCTTCATCCCCCGATTGCTGGTGGGTACTTCATCGGCTTCCAAGATCTCGGCATCAAGGGCGCCAGCAGGCAGCTGCTTCTCCCCTGACTCGGTATCGACCACCGGTGTAGGGACTGGAGGTTCAAAGGTCTGACCCTCATCTTCTGCATGCTTCTTGGCTTCGTGATATGCATCCGGGCCACGACCAAGAATTTTAAGTTCACGAGCGATCATCGTTTCGCTGGGTGTCCATGTTGCATTTTTCTTCATGCGCTTTCGTAATCTTGCCAACTCATACTGAGTAAGCTGAAGCCATGGGGCATCAGGACTACCCACAACGGCATCCTCGGGAGGGGGGTGGAGCAAGGCAGCATTGTTGGCTGCAGCGGCTTGGAGGAGAGCTGGCGTAGCATATGTGACTGGCCGAGCATGGCGATTCGGTGTCTTTGGTGGTTTGCTGGAAACAAGCTTGATCCGAGATCCAGGTGCTGGGGTTCTTCGGTTGGTTGCAGGTACATCCGAGTCGTCGTCGGAGCTCACATCGCTTTCCTCGGTATATGTATCATAATCAAGATCGTATGGTGCTAGAACCTCACCGGGCACAATGATCCTGGGGACCTGGGGACGTCGGGGCTTCTGAACACCATCACCAGGCTTAACGGCTGCCTTGCTTCTAGCTAGTTGTGGCGACTTTGACTGAACTGGACTCTTGGGTTCCTCTGTTGGATAGTTGTCTCGCATCTTCTGCAGTTTGGATAGCAAGACCTTGGCCTTGTTGCAGTGCCGGTTGACGTTGTCCGACATTCTAATAGCTTCTGCATGCGCAAAAGCACGAGAATTAACAGCCAGTTCGAGTTGCTCAGAGATATCCGCCCGAAGCTGCACTGGCGCCGGACGTTCCTCTTGGGCAAGCGTTGGTAGTCGACCCCATACTGTAGTCAGGTCGTGAACTTTGTGGGATGCTTTGGCGTACGTTTCGTCGAGTTTGCCGATAAGTGTAAGGGATCGCACAATATCGGAAGGGAGGTAATCCGTGAAATCGAGAAAGTCCGTCACAGTGGTTTGCGCATCTGGGTCCACGCGCGACTCCATGGATGCGAGACTGTCGATGCGCTCAAGGGTGGGTGCCCTGAATGTTGTCCGGTTCTTGGGTGAGATAGGCTCCATATTCGTGTCGCCATCGGCGTCTGCTACAGTGGCCATCGTAGCGCCATGAGCCTGTGGCTCTTTTAGTGAATAATGAAAATCGGTCGTGTATTAGAAGAATTTAATGCGTAGTTTGGTGATGGCATTTGATGATGTGGGTTGCGCGTCGAGAGCTTAACGCGACGGAGCTTGCTTGTCTGCGGGATACGTCAATCGGAATTTAGAATGCGCTTGCCTGAAATGCTTTAGCGCCAGGAAGGATGGGCCCAGTGGGGGGCGGGCTGTTCGATCATGTGATGCTCCGCTGAGTCATTGAAGTAACTGAGCTGCCTTAGCTGCTGCAGTGCCTGGCCAGGCTGCAACGACAATGGGATTTCACGGACTTGATATGCTTCTGCGCATTTGCGAGTTAAGCTTATCTGCACACGCTACGGTAAACTGTATTTAATGCTTTCCGTCTTTGTTCGGAGTGTAAGGCGTTTTTGTGGCCCCCACTTCCTTGCCTAAGGAGTCATGATAGCTCATGATGGGAACTGTCACCCCCAAATCATATCGCGACTTGGCCAAACTTAGCGCAGGGATGTTGAAATATGCCTTGGCCCAGTGAATATTGAATTGGCTTGAAATTCGCTACTTTCTATGCTGAATACTGCGAGAGGTAGAGTGGAACGTCTTATGCATAGTGTCACTAAATTGTCGGATGCTGGTCCCACTTACAGGGCTAATGTTCAGTCAATCTGGGGTCAAGTACAGCATCAAGATCAATGAATAGACCAAGGATGCGACCCAACTTGGACAGTATTGTCGTCTAATGTAAACGTATGGTATGAAGTGATTTAATGGGAATGTATGTAGCTTCAAAAAGCAATATCCTGATTTAATAACTCTAGTAACAATGTCCACCTCATGAGAGTGCTGTTTAACATAACTGTATCTAATGCAATGTATCCAAACGCCAAAAAGAAATGTCTCCCAGTCTATATCCATGCCCATGCCGAAGTCTCAAGGTAACAAGTTCCAATCTCATAATACAAATAACATGCCAGTCATAGCCGCATAGCTTGTAACATAAGAAATCTAATGCGCAAACACCCAACACAAATCACCCTGCTAGATTAGCAGTCCCAGTCAGGCTCTGCTTCTCTCATCATGACAGCTCCACCGATTTGTTCAGACTCCTCAGCATAGTAGGCAGACTCGCTTCCGATCAGCGTCAGGGTTCCGTAGACAACAAGGCGTCTGCATTTCCTGCAATTGGTTAGCACTCCATCTGAATTCCTAACTGCAAGTTGGCTTACAAGTATCCCGTGATGCTCACGTTTCCGTATATCTCAAGTTCAGTTGCTTCCAGGGTTCCCAGGACTTTGAGCTTGCCGCAGCCCTTCATCTTGTCGTTGGCAACTGTGTATCCGTTCACCAAGATGTTTCCGTAGGCTTTGACCCTGCCACTTTTTGATGTTAGCTTCGGCTTGAGTTTAAGTGTGAGGTAGTATACTTACTCGCATCTGATGCTGCCGTTCAAGCCAAGGGCTCCATAAGCATCGACCTTTTCGCGGACAATCACATCGCCGTTCAAGTTGATGCTGCTTCCAGACTTGACAGATCCCACAACCTCAATAGGTCCGTTGAGGTTGACCTCATGGTCGCTCTTGACGCTCCTGGATCTCTTGTAGGCCGGTGGGTTGGCGTAAGTGGTAGTGTTGTAGTAGCTTGACATGTTTAAGACTTTGGAGTTTGGTCCGATTGTTCAAGATGCTCTTGTATAAGATTGCAATTGTTGTTTCAAGTGGTGGCTCGAGTAATAGTGCTTAAGTTGGTATACCAAAGATTGTAATGAAGATGGAATTGTGAAATGTTTTCCTCAGGAACAAGGTCCTTCTCTTATACCTGAGATTTTCAACCCATCTGCGCAGAGGTTGAAACTGCATGTAGGTAGGCATACTGGAGCCTCGAGAGGTTCTCGTTCCATACGAGATAAAACACCCTTGCTCTAAGCCGCAGCCATAAGGCATATCGTCCTGAACGAGATGGACCCTTATTACTCAGGCTAGGCACGAGACCCGTTGATGGGGACCGCCATGCCGGGCACTGCATAGAAAGGGCGTGACGCCTGGCACTGGCTGGGGCACTTGGACAGAGGCCTATTGGACTAGCTGATGGATAACTGTAGGTCTAGAGACATAGTATGAAAGGACTTGCAGTAGTATATGAATCATACTTGAATGTGATCACTCGGTGTAAGTCAGAGTCCTAATCACCTCGGAGCTCAAGATTAGGAATGTCGTGCGATAGTTTTGACTCCTTCATAAAACAACTCTACTCACAAAGAAAGCTTTGCTCAAAAACATATTCAATGACTTGCCACATAAACAGCTCTCTTAGGAATGCTCTGTATCAGACACTCACAAGGCACTCTTTAGATGTGGAGTAGTCACAGCCTAGCCTAGAAGTACACAAGCATATCCAATAACAGGGATGTTAGTAAATAGTCCTATCCAAGCCCAGGACCACCAAACGCCTCGTTTGTCCCACGAACACCACCATTTCACGCTCTAGACATTGAACAGGACTGGATGTGGTTTGCGGTTTGTGGTTTGTGGTTTGTGTTTTGCATGTACATGCCCCATGCGTCATATGGATCCAGAAGTTGGGGAATAGCAGGGCTTAGGCAGGGGTTGTAAGCCCAGGACTCGTTTCTCTTGGTGTTTGAATGCCTGCCTGTCTGCTTGTGGTCTACCGAATTGCCGATCAACCTGCAACTAATTCTGCTGCCTTAAATTCCGGGCGTATCGTATGGCCGTTGTACGTTGTATGTTCAGCAAGACATGGATTTCTCCAATTTAACGTCGAAACCCTGCATTCGTTAAGAATCGCCCGAGGCTGTACAGTCCCTAGTTTCCTAGTCTAGTCCCCCAGTTTGCAGATGGCTGCAGCGCCCATCTAAGGATGGTTACCATCAGCCCTATGAGAGGCAAGCCACTTTGTCTCTCTATGTTCTTCCCCATCTGCAAGCGCACACCATCCTTGTTTCTTCTAGAAGATGCTAAGCCCATTGAGCAGAATGCTCCATCGTTGCCTAATAAGCAGTCAAGGCATCTATCCCTCTATTCAATGTTTCACAGCATCTCCGGCAACGATGACTCAGGGGTTGTGTTGTGTGTATGCCATGACATTCTCATAGATTTGGGGGCCAAAGCGAACTCTTGATTATGGTATTCATACAATATCAACACAACAGGCCTAAGCTATCAAGACATAGAAAACAATATAAACAAAATCATGGCTATTTGACAATGACTTCAACACTATCACCAATTAACCACGCCCTGAATCCTTCCGACTCCGATTGTTAAATGAAAACCAGGGTATTCATCCATCCATCTACCCATTTCAAAACAAGGATGCCATCAACACCCGGATTCTTGACCCCCAACCGACCCAGGTCCAGTCTCCCCCAGTAAGGCTGATCGCAGTCTTCTGGAATTGACATATCCAGTGCTTTAATCTCCGCCGACGAATCCCAGGCCAATACCGCTGCAGATGGCGGCAAATGCCCAGACGCCTGCATACGCAGCAGCTCCGATAGCATCAACACGGTACATGGTCTTGTAGGAGGCAAGGAACGTGTTGACCGCAGCTACGAAGGCGACAACGGCTGTTCGTCGAATAACCACCTTGGTCTTAACAGTGTAACCCCACATGTTCCACCAGACGGTCTCTCCGAGAGATGCAGCCACAGGGTCAAACTTGTTGATCTTGTCGTCCTCCTTGACACGTGCCGTCGTCGCGAAAGGCGCAAAGATGAAAGTGCTGGCGGCGATGCCGAACAGGGTCGTCACGGGGAGAATGGCAGCGTATGAGGCATTGTAGGCCGGGTCAAGAGTGGCAATTCCCGAGTAGTTGACCACCAGGATGCGAGGCAGAACGAAGCGCAGCGACAGGACAAGCACAACAGTGTAGATGCCTGTTGACAGAGCCGTCGTGTATGTCTGGAGCGGAAGGTCGAGAAGCTCGCGGTTAGGCAGACCCGCAGCTGCGGCAGCCGAGGGCGTATGGATGGTAGAGAGCGGGCGAAGCATGTAAAATGGCAAAGCAACTGAGATAACGTCAATGGCCAGTGCCGAAGCTGCTGTGGTCCAGTTAAGCCCGTAGAAAGTCGAGAGAAGATAGAACTGTTCGCAAGTCAGCCTTTGCACAACATAGCGCTTTGGAAGAGTGGGGTTCGACTTACGTGCGGGCCGTGAGAGAGAATATCCAGCATCGCAACATCCAAGCTGTCCAGCTTGCCGTACCATCCCAAAGTGAGCTCGATCCTAGTCGCATTCATTAGTATATTTTCGATCGCGCATAGCTCACCATTACTCACACTCTCCAGCCTGCCAAAAGAAGAACCTCTGCCCAGGTGTCCTGGCTTCGACTAAAGGCAGCCAACTCGCCGCCAGTAAGCTCGCCCAAGAGGCTGTATCCCAGAGAAGCCATCGCGAAGCTAGTCGCAACGGCAAGAGGAAACTGCGCCTGCTGAGGAATCATTTCGCGAAAGGTGCGCGGTGGTTGCTGCACCTCCTTTGGTGATGAGGAGGTCGTCGCCAACGCTGTGTCGTCGCTAGCCGCAGCGATAGCTCGTCGCGTAGCCATGTTTGGATTTGTTGGAGTTGAGACAATGACTGTCTTAAGATTCTGATTTATACGCCACTGCCACTGGTCTGGGACAGGTTGAGATGGAGATATGCCAGAGTCGTCGCGACAAAGAGACAAACTGGCGTTGAGGGTCAGATATTAAAGGTCGTGTTATTGCGATGGATGAGGTAGGGTTAAGGTGGATGGCTACCAACTGAACGAGCGACAGTGGGGAATCCGCAACTCAGAGCTCAAGATCAGTGACGTACGTCGCTAGGACAACAACGGGAAAACTCCATCCAACGGCAGTCTCTTCTTCCCCACTGTAGGCCTCTAACTGGGTTAGTGTTCCTTTTTGCGACAGCCGATGAGAGATGAATTTTCTTCCTCTTGAGACTCTGGACTTTTGTTCATTTTTCTTTTTCCTATACAAACACAATCAAGTCAGACACAATCAATTAACAAGTGTGACCTCAAGAGGATGGATCTTGATCTTGTGCCCATTTTCCCTCTGTCTATAGACGAGGCTGGCTGCTTCTTAACCGTTTGCTGAATTGTGATTATCTTATTTGAACTGCGTAGTGATGTCTCATCACAGTACTTCTTTTCTTCCTCTTATTCTTGACAATCATCGATCTCAATCACATCATGGTGCTTCAATGTCGATTCAATGTTTGATTTCCATTTGGTAGGTATTTATTTGGGCGTCCAACTCGACGCCTGTCCGACTCCTCACTTTAACCTCGTGGCGATGCAATCTCATCCAGCTTCTCACCAGACGGGCCCTCCACTCATTGGTGCTAAGGTATATCGGCGGCGGAGACACGCTATGTATGTGATACAGAAAATGAAGAAGAAAAAAGACAACGCGCCTGTCCGTCCATCGACGTCATTCGAGATAATCCAACTCCAGAGCCAACATGCCCGACCCAAGAGATATACTCCGTCCCATTCGTTAACCCATTAATGATAATTCCAAAATCATTCCTCCATGCGACCGAAAACGCCATCATCTTCATCTTCACTGCGACCGCGCGAACGAACTTCGAAATCATCGTCATCCATGACCGAATCGCCGCTGCCATCCATCCTGACGTCTTCGCTAGGACGTCTCATCTCGCCGCGAGTGAAGCTCTCGGGTTGACGACGTGGAAAGCTGTTGATAAAGCTCGCCGTCGATAGCGATGTTGCTTGACCTAGGTACTGCGCCGGCACCGGAGGTACAGGGGGCGCATCTTCAGGAATCGTGGCGGTACGAGATCCATTGTTACTGCCAAAACTGCAGCTGAGCAGCTCAACGGCAGCAGCAAGATCCCGATCGTCTTCGCCTGTTGCATTTCGTCCAGACGAACCTGGACGATGATCGTGGCTTGGCTGACGGTAGTGACCGAAGCCTGAGCCGTACGGCACACTGCCAGCTCCATAAGACGCAGCCGAGGCTGACTGGAAACTTCTCGCATACCCAGCGTTGCTGCTGGACCGCTTGTTTCGGTACGATGTGCCGTTAACATTGACCCCTTCGGCAACTGGAGGTGGGGTAGTGTCGGCAGAGCTCTGTCGTTCCACGGGATCAGAGTATCCGGACGCAGCAGGTGAAGATGACCCTGCTTCACTCTGGAAGTCCTTGGTAGACTCAGGAGGGGTATCACCGATGCTCTCCATACCGTTCATTGTTACAAGAACAGAAGCGGCTTCAAGTAGCTGGACTTGCTGATGCTTCGAAATGAGCAGCTTGGAGGTCAAGGCCCATTCAGGTGTGTGTTCCCACCTATACACAGTCAGTGACATTATTCATGGATACGAAACGTTACACGCCAAAAACAGCCCTCGTCTTAAGACAAAGGTTGCTGTGCTGGGGCAAGTCATTGGGAGGAGGGGAACCAACAAGTGCTTAGTCAAACAACTGCTATGCTTGTAGCCTTTACCGCACTTGTCACAGCGAACCTCAACCCTGTTGCTCTTCTTGCTCTCCTTGAGAGTCTGGCCGTCGCTTGCACGGCGTTGGCGGGCCTTCTGGAACTTGGTGGTTCCTTCATCAGCCGACCCATCGTTCATGTCATCCTCGATGGCGCTACCATTGAGTTCTTGCTTCGTTTCGGGTATCGACTTGTGGTTTGGGAGGCTAGCGGGCGGAGAGGGAAGGCTACCAGCGATGGCAGCCCGAGCAGCGGCGCTCTTGGACATACGACGGACACCGTTGTTAATGGGCAAGGCGCCAGAAAGCTCACTTTCCCGTAGAGCAGCGGCGATCGCGGCAACATTGGTATTCGGGTTGGTGACCGACTTGCGTCGAGTCACTCGGTGGTTGGCGTTGAGAGCACCTGTGAGCAGCGAGTGCGAGCTCGTCCGAGCGTGGGATTGACGGCCAGGCAGGGCCGACGATGCGGACGACATCGGAGAGCGGTTCTGAGTCAATGGCCTCGAGGACTGCTGCATTTCCTGAAAGGACGAAGGAGATCAGCAAATCTGGGCATTGATAGGTTGTCATGCCATCTGGCAGGTCGTGGAAAGATTATGGTAGGGCTCGGATCGGATCCCTCCGAGTGTGAGGGCAGCGTACTTTGGATGAGGCCATTGCCGGCGACTTGGGATCTGTTCAGGATTCGACCGACGACTGTCGAGACGATCACGAACTATGCGTTGGGATTGGTGTTGTTGGTTGCTGTTGAACTTGGAACTGATAGATGAGTGTTGCTAGAAGGAAGACAGGTGGTGAGAGGAGAGATAATTCATGGCAAGAGCCCCAGACGAGAAATAATATTTTGGGAAGAGCACCCAACCCGGGGTGTGTGTGGGAGGGGTGGTGATACACTCTGAAAGGGATGAGAATGGGCACCCGGTTAGCTATGCCACAGTCACTTATTCACTAGTAATCTTTGAGCCACTGAACATGACCTTGTGCCTTGGAATCGGTTCCAACGCCTTCTACCAGGAGCCGTCCTCACTGGCCTCTGGGTTGGCTCTGTCAGGCCCCAGGAGCAGCCACTGAATGGCAACAGGTGGGGATGATAGCAACGGTTCATTGGCTGGGTGACCCCCTTGTCGAGTTACAACAGGGAAGACGGCCAGGTCAGGCGGGGGGGCGTGTCGACAGTGGAGGTGCCATGCACCCTATTAAGAACCCGGCCAGAAAGAGACGCTCTTGAACGGGGGCTGAGCATCTATCTATCCGTTCCCCTTATTGCCAACCTGGATAGATATGATACCCTGCGAAAGGAGATACGAAATGATAGTGCCTGGCTGTCTGTGCTGGTAATCAAAACATTGCAGCAGCGAGGAGGACATTTCCTCGGGAGCCATTATGCCAGGCAAGCAACAGAGGTGAGCTTAAAGGACATACGGACGGAGATCCGAGGTGCGTATCCCCTCATTCCCCTCCATGCATGAGGCGTTGTGCTTTGTACTGCTGATTGGGTCCCCTCACAAGCTGGCACCAAGTACTTGCTGGATAAGGTATAAAAAGGTGATGGTTCCCTTTGTGCACCATCATAAAAAGAAGTGCAGACGTGCCAGGGTCCGCTGCACAACGTTGTAGCCAGGGGATGAAACTAACCGTTCTGAACATTGTTCCTGGAGTATCTGCACTTGTAAAGTCAGATGCCGTCTGGACAAACGATGCCGACAGAAGGATGAAAGGAGAACTACGAGTCCCAACGATTTGCATCGTATCAGCAAGTGAAGTGCATCTGCTCGGCTTGTTGTCGTCCGTTTTCCTGTTGGGGACCATCAGCAGTCAATCGTCTTCGTTATGCTTGATTCTGGGCTGATTCGTCACCCGACGCGTCCATGTCCTCATCGTCGTACATGCAGCATACTGTACAGTCAAAGTCAGTGCTGTAATTAATGAAAGTCTCGTACACTTTGGCTGCTCTCCTCCATTTCCCCAACTTCCGAGTGCGGGTAGGGTGGACAGTGGCCCCGTGGCCCAGGCGGCTTGGCGAGGCCATCCGAAGTCCGCTAGAGCCCCAGGCCTAATCCAGCTCTATAAGCTCACACTGGGCGGGGTGCTTATGAAATGGACTGCGAATGAGGAGCTGATGCTTGGGAGACAAGTTTGGGGGATTGCGTGGTTGTCGGTGGTGTGCCGGTAGATGGTAACCTACTACGGATAGCCAGGCCTCGAAAGAGGGGGAGTTCCAGTGTCTGCACTGCACAGTGCAAATAGTGAAGAAGGACGGCCATCTCAAAGAGGCTGTTCGATCGTGGTCGATGATGTGAGCCTTTATCACCATCGAAAACAATAGTTCGATGCACATCGACCGACAAGAACATGCCAGATGGCGATATCGAACTGTCTCATATTTCCAGTGCTGTTCTTGGTTCTTGTTTCTCGATCAAGCGGCCGCTTCATCTTGCATCGGGGAATTTTGTAGCGAGATTGTTTGGGGTCGTAACCGAGAATCTCTATGGAGCAGCACATGGCATTGCTTTCATATTCTGGTTAGAATCCAGCTGTGCCGTGCATATTTGATGCGTTTCTGGTCATTACATTGAAATACCTGGCGTTGTCTGGCGGCTTTGAAACATGGCACAATGTCTTGCTTGCTGTCATTGTTCTTGAAAGGCTCGAAGTGAACAGATATTGCCTTGGCGTGACGACGATAAGTCTACACGAAAAGGACTTATCAATCCGGGAACTTCATGTCGCGACGAGGCTCTCCCTAGCTGAACCAGCTTGAGACGCGTCTAATAGAATGTCAGACCAAGGGGCGATGGGTTTGTTTCGAGCCCTGGGGAGTGGACTTTGTTTTTAGAAAACAGGTTTCAGTCAAGTGTCCTCCACGCGTACAAACTCTCTTGATGGGTTATGCTCGAAGTTTAATTATGCAGTTGAATTATACGATATGTGGATTTGTGTTTAAGCGCGTAGACGCTGGGTGCAGGGCTGACATCAGCGTTCTAACGTCTACAGGAACACGAAATTAATTGAGCGGCAAAGCAGCAGTTTATGCCCAGTGGTTAAGCAAAATCGAGCCAGATACCAAGAGTAATTAGAGCTGCAATCAATTAATTCAGCTTCCTACATTCGATCCTGGCCACAAACATGAATCCTCAGCCTCTTACACGTGGTGACACCCCATGCTTCAGAGTTCAGACCCAAATTAACCCTTGCCCTCCTATCGTAGCCCTGCCCTGACCGCGTAACCTTAATAAGTTAATGCCTACTCCGTATCCAGCCCAGGTGAACGGATCCCTGGTCTGATCTGATAACGCTGTTTCCTCGTTCAAGTGGTCACTGGCCTGACCTATTGGCCTGATGTTTTGATAGTGCGGCCCCGGACAATTTTAACATGTCGGACAGAGAAGGATAAAGAAGGTCTTATTCGGCAATGGCTGAATCTTGGACGTTCCAGCGGAGAATAATAAAGACCCTTCATTGTCCAACTTTTTTTTTTTTTTTTTTGGTTGAATGAGTGAGTTTCGATTGATGTCGATTCAACCATGTAAATGCCCAATAGCGGTCCCCAAACTCCATGTAACCCTCATACGTATTGCATTGACTGCGTAGAAATTTGTTACTTTATAATAACTCATGACTTGCCCGAGAGAACATTCTCGGATCTTAAAGTAGGCGATGTCAACTCCATCTTCAACAATGAACTTGATTTCCCCGAAAAGGCATAGGGTGTGCGATTAAGAAACACCCCAAATGGTTTAGGTGCATGTACCCCCGCCTTTGAGTACTCCGTACCAAACTTCCATTGTAGGCGTTTGGCTGTCAGCTAGCCCACCACCATCCATCCATCATTTGGCGCTCTGCACTTGGAATTGGAATTGGAACTGGAATTGGAAGCTGATCTTACATAGGCTTGGGACTTGGGGCTTGTTCAGAAATAGTCAAGGGGAGAGGCCCTGAATTTAGCTGCCACCGCAATCTTAAAGTCTAGAGCACGACTAAGAAGAGGCTGTTTGGCGTTCTCACGGCAGCTCCGGACATGGCCATTGGAGCTCTTGAAAGGAGCCTGATAGCCTGAGTTTGTTAACTCTGTCCTGTGGGAGTAGTATCATATACGTAGTATGGCTTTCGTGGAATAACGCGCAACGCACCGTGCCTCTTCTCTATTGGTCTCTGCACCTGGATATAGTAATAGAAACCAGATTAACCAGGCTCTCTCTCACGTAAGGAGGCGGGTGCGAGTGCAAGATGAACAACGTCACAAACAGTCCCGTCAGAGTGATAGATGAGGCAGTTGAATAGCCAGCCACTCGTTGGTCTGTTGAAACGCGTCCATATCTTTTTTATGCAGCACTTTCATAGTCCCAGTCTCCCAGCTCCAGCACTTTGAGATGATGTCCGGCCAGGATTAGTGCAGTGTTACCCCTCAAATTGCTAAGCAGATCGGGCAAGCTGTCCCGTCCCGTCACACGCTCGTTCGCCTGACCTCCGTTGTGCCTTTCCTTTGGATGATCACACGCACAAGCAGTTCCGGGAACATTCTAGCATTGGAGAGGAGGTATTATTGTATCGTGGGAAAGTCTGGACACTGACAACCTTGACAGTGGGTTAGGTGGCCTGTTCCTGCTGTGCTGCTGCAACGTCAAAGTTGCCACTAGCCTCCATATCGAGATCTTTGGTTAAGTGTCTTCATGTTGTCTACGGAGTACGGAGTACGAGGCGGGACAATGATGTAGGCTTCTTATTGTTGTTGAGACGGTATCCCCGTAGCCACGGCATTTTCATTCGCACTCAATAAAACAGATACAAGGCAGCGGTCTTTTTAGCACTCGGGAATTCCATTACACGTTCCTGACTATCCTCTGGAGAAGTTCCATCTGGAGCGACGATCCCCAATTTGAATCCCAGTGTACATCGGGAATTAAAGCCAAGCGCCATGTCATCCAATGCCAAACTTTTTCTCAATGGTTGAGCTTCGGGACACGGAACTAATGCTTCGGGAAGCACTTGGAATGTTTGCATTTTCCATAAATCTTTTCTACACAAAAAGACATCGATCGAATTGGCTTTGAGAATTGGGGACAACAGTCAAGTTTGTGAGAGAAACGACGTCATCGTTTGGAAAGACAATGAAACCCCGGTCAAGAGCATGTATAGGGTCGGTCCCGTCAGCCTGGAAGCGTACGTACAAATAACAACTTTTTTTTTCGGTTTCACGTCTATCATTAAACCTTGACTTTTGAGAAATTTCATACTCAATGATGTAATCGTGACATTAAAATGAACAATCGAATAAGTTCGATTTAAGGCAGTCGGTGCTGGCAGCCCGCTGAACACATAAAAATAAATTAAAGACTCCATCAGAGTGGAAATCCTAGGACAAGCCCAGTTGGGGAGCTTTGAGCTTACCTGACAAAGCCAATCAGACTCAGCACACATTCCTCCACAATCTGCCAATCTCGATCTCGATTCTGTCTTGACCGGTAACGATTGAACAAAAACTCGCTCAATGCCGTGCGAGTATGCCGCTTGTCAACTGAGACATTGGCACGAGGACGCCCACGATGCACTTTACGGCTCTACAGTGACAGTCCAGTGCACCATAGCGCAACAATAGCCTGAGCACTCTCCCCTCCCTCACCAGCTCACCCTGTCTGCCTTCTGCAACACGGGGATTTCTCGCATCAGCGCCTGCAGTTGGCGACGATCCGGGGTCGGTGATCGCTGATAAACGCACGAGCACCTAAGAAAAACAGCCGCTTCAAAATAGACAGACACGCTGCTCGATACACACACTTTTTTACCTCATGGAGTATGGCTGGGAACTTGGGACCCAGGAGGCTTAGGCAGGTTCGTGACAGCTGGGGCTCGGGTGGATTCTGATGCTCAGAAACACGCATTTTGGCCAACCTAGACCTAGCAATAACCTCACATCCCTTGGGGGGCAGAAGACCTAACACTAATCCAAAAGGGATCTATGCCCTTAGGATGGTCGGTGACGACCCTGGAGTTATTCAGGCAACAGTCAATGTGCTTGTAGGCGATTTGAGTGTCGATGGTAAAGTGATCCCGATGGGCGGGACAAAGGACCATGAAATGCCTACCATTCGGACCTTTGGGTCCACCACGGAGGACCCCAACGAAAGAATATATGACAGTACAGAGAAGCGGACAGACGATTTGTACAGCACATAGCGTACCGCGGTTCGACCTGTATAACCGGCATTTACTTTATGATGCCGCTGACTGTTGGCGACGGTCCAGTCCGGCTCCGTGTCCGTGAGTCGCCGTGAAATGAAATACCCATATGCATTGCATCTGTGCTATCCTGTGGCCGAGGCTTCCCCGCGCCTTAACTGCACTGAATTACCCCTCTATCACGACGCCCGTCCTCGCTGGCGTGCTGCTGATATGGATGGTTATGGACTGTGGCACAGCAGTTCTTGGCACATGCTAGAAGTGCAATATGCACAGGGGCGTGCCTCTCATCCCACCGGGGAGCCTGGAGGGGATTCCAGCGAGACCATGTGGATGCCTCTATCCTGATAAGAATGGGGAAATTCATGCCTCAACCTCAACTAAATGGGTACAGTGGCATTGAGCGTTTGAAGGATACCTCAATGCTGTGACCTGCGATGTTACAGTACAGGAATGAATAATGGAGAGTCAACGTCAGCAAGAGGGCATTATCTCATCCTCAGGCACTGCTCAGTATGTTGGTATGTTCCTGAGTTGTTCCTGCATGACATGGAAGGGGAGCTCCCAGTCCAAGTCCACGTGGTGTCATATTATTGTGTCTGGCACTCTCATCTTGAGACACGGCAAGGGTTTCATTGTTGTGATATCGACCACCAATTGCCGCAGACAGAGAAGATGATCGATACTCTCCCAATGCCGTGGTTTGGTCTGCCAGCTCCCGAGATCAGATCAGCAATGCTTATCGGGACCAACCAAGGAATGTTGGGCATATTGGAGGGGACCCTGCCGCGGCGACGACGAGCCCTACGGCGGGTACCCGAATTCTTTAATTTCTTGGTTCCTGATCCATTTCTGATTCCAGAAACGTGAGAAACTTATCTGAGACTGTGTGGCTTGACAATTGCCAGCTGTAAATTGGATTTAGATTTGGATTTGGCTTTGGCTTTGAGGCTGGGGCCTGGATTTACTAGAGCAAACTGCGTAGAGCTGAGCAAACAGAGAGGGATATGACGTGCTACGAGTACATGGGATAAGATCAGCCAAGCTGAATATTTACAATTGGGTATGTGAATTGGAAGATCATCTACATTCTGATAAGGTCATTGGCTTCAGAGTCACGCAAGTGTATGTACTCATAGACGGTGAAGGTCAATCGCTGCCGATGTCGGAGCACGCATGACAGCGTGTTGAAGCCCTTATCGTGGTAGAGAATCTGGAAACAAGCCCTACCTTGAGTATCTAGTTATGCAGCAATACGCTCCATCAAAAGAGTTATTGCTTTGAATGTGTCGAGTGCCAGTAAAGTGAAGCCTGTATTCGTACTTTTGTGGCCCAAGCCTCCATTCCTCGTACCTTAAACAAACGATGTCGATCATGGATGATATCAATTGTGCCTACCAAGCCACAATAGAGAATAAGGCTTTTCCAGAGACAGCTCAACTCAACACAGATATATTATCCCGAAGCCAGACAGGAAATAAGTCTCGGTCAAAATCATTCCCATTCAGCTTACATGTGAGAGCGAAAACAAGTCACACAAAGGCCGATTGCTTGCCATAGAGGCCCAGCAAAAAAACACAGGCGATCTACACCCTAGTTCATGTACCCCGGATTAAATCAACTCTAGTTTCGATTTCCGCCCGGCGGGCGCTGGACCTTTCCCATGTCCAAATCCGTTGACACACGGAAAACGATGTTGAGATAGCAGTGGTCGAATGTATACGTATCTGAAGCTGAAATAGAGGCATATACACTGGAACTTTGACGTCGTCGGACAGAGGCGAAAACTCCCCCACGTTTCTTTATGCAGTGGCGTATAAAACAAAACTGGTTTAATGATTTGTGAGACTTGAATGAGCGCGAGGGAAATACTTCTTTGTTTCTTAATCTCTTTTTCTTTTACGAGTCAAAAGTATCGGCTTGTTACTGCAACAACACAGCCCGGTCTGTTGCTTCAATAGGTAGCATCTGCAAATCAGATCCACACATAGTGTTTCAACCTCATAACAACAACATCATCACAACAATGGCTCCTGATATGGACGTATATCGTAAGACTGGTAGAGGAGGAGCGGGCAATTACCATCAGGGCAAGGCCGAAGATGCTTCCAAAGTAAGCCAAATACTAAACTTTCGAGTCCTTCCACTTTCCAGCATCCTCACACCTATAACCAGGATCTCGAAGCCCAGAACCTAGCCACCGACGAGGTTCCTCCCCCAGACCGTCTAACAGCCAACGTCCCCGCGAGAGCCGGGCGCGGCGGCTCTGGCAATTACGTCAACCCAGAGGATCTGCCAGATGCGCAGGAGCAGGACGAAATGGCCCGGAAGACGGCTGCAGCTGTGAACGCGAGCCTCAAGAAGAACCAGGCTGTCCGTGGAGGGCTGGGCGGTCGCGGAGGGGCGGGGAACTGGAAGCATGCCGTTTCTTTCGAAGAGGAGGAGAGGATGCGTGAAGAAGAGAGGAGCAGGGAGGAGGAGCTGCAGAAGAGGGTGAAGGATTCGGTTGATCAAGGGCTGAAGATGCCTGAGAAGGTGCACCACGGGCATAAACTTGAAAAGCGCGGTGATTAATGGGTTTCATACAGTAGAATGTTTTAGGTCCTTTTTAGATTATAAGTAGTCAAGATTCTTCATTTGCATCTCATGTCCTTAAGTCGTCCCTCATGTTCTTGTCCGTAACCCACTCGCTATACTGAGTCCTTGCTCTTCTTCTCGTTCCCATGAACGTCCAAATGCTGCGTTTCTCAAAATGCCCTAGGGATCTCTACCTCCCTCGCTAGCATAAGCGCAACGGAACTAAGCTCATCTAAGCCTGTCACATCCTCTCCCAACTTGGGCATCTCAAAGAGATCGTAGTCCGAGTCACACTCAGTACCAGGAGCTGGGAGCGTGCCGTTCTGGAAATACTCTCTGATATATCGAATAGAGCATGACGAGGGTGCTGCGGCAGAGCAGTGCTATTTGGGAAGTTAGTGTATGTGACAAACGTCAGGCTGGAGTTGGACCTACACCGTAGGAGTTTTGCTTCAGGACAACAGAGCTTGGGAACTTGGCTGAGTTGTTAAAGGAGCTCTGAAGAGGCGTGACGTTATCGGCCATGTTGCCAATATATAGGATAGGGTGCGCAGTATCGCCCCTAAAGTCCGCTGCAAAAGGTGTCAGCATAGTCGTGACCGTTGAGTGCACAGTTACTAACCATCTGTGAACTTCCACTTTGGCCTCATCTTTCTCCCCACGCATGACACTCGGAAATTAGCATTAGCTGCTCCAGCCCAACGACTCTTGTTTGTAATTTGATCAAAGAAATCTGCAATTTCTTGAGGAGTCTCTGTCGCAGCCTTTGAATCCGAGCACATAATCGCAGGGAAGGCATCCAACTCCATAGGCGTCTCAACAGGCATCGTACTAGGTGTGTCACCCAGTTCACACATGTTCCCATCGAGAGCCTTGTTTATACCCTCAAGGACCATCTCAAGATAGGGTGTGCCGTCACCTTTCTCCAAGGCGGCGAACACGCTGGCTAGCTTAGGGAACTTCTTCATTGGGCTATAGATAGAGGTTTGGATAAGGCGTTGGAGGTGGGAGTATGTGACGAGCAGGGGCAGCTCGGGACCTGATTCTTGGTTCACTGGCGGAAGTAAAACAGGTGATATTTTGAGCTGAGTGAGAAGATCACTTCGACGCTTCTCTATGGCTTTGGGCGAGTCGGCGTAGAAGGCGCACTTGAGAGGGCCAACTTTATGGCAGGCTGTATCAAAGCCGTCAAAGATCTTGTCTGTGTCAGAGACAAAGTTGCTATGGTCCAAGTTGAACCAGTCGTAATAGTCGACGTTTCCTAAGGCAAAGTCAGTCATGATTATCAGAGAAGTGGTTCATATGAGAACTTACCATCGCTAACCAATCTCTCTACCCGTTCAGGGTAAAGTCCAGCAAACACACCACCAAGAATAGTGCCGTAACTGAAGCCCCAGTAGCGAAGCTTCTCGTGACCCGTCTTGTCAAGAATCTCGAGCATGTCTCGAGCGATGGATGCACTTCCAAGGAACTGCATGATACCCATGTCCTCCATTGCTGCTTCACATGTACCCGAGTAGGCTGAGGCACGGGCATAAGCATCGTATATCAGACCTGGACGTTCGTCGGCAACGGGTGTGTCTTGGAGAGCCCAGAGGATTCTCTTCTGAGTAGATCCCCAGCACTCGACACGAGGTGTAGAGACGCCAACTAAAGCAAGTTAGTTTGATCTGACTGGTGTGAGAGATTGAGAGAACCTACCTCCTCGCGGGTCGAAGCTGATGACATCCTACGTTGGTGAGTATCAAAGTTTGATATTTGGATTTAAATGACCTTACATGGTTGTCGCCCACAGCTGCTTGAAGGATATGTCCTTCTCTTCTCACAAAGGCAACTCCTGACCCACCAGGGCCCTATCATCAAGTCAGTGTCTCAGCTATGAATTAGACAGACAAAGATCTTACACCAGGATTGACGAAAAGTGGCGACACAGGGTTATTCTTGGACTTGGCCGGCAATTTGATGAGTCCAAGCACGACACGTTTATCATCTGAAGGCTCGAGCCAATCCATCGGGACCTAGACAAAGTTGTTAGTACCCATGAGGCCAACAAGCCAGCAGCAGTACTCACATCAAGTCTTGCACATTCAAACTTGGCATAACATGGCTTCCAGTGGAGCTCTCGGCTTGGCTTGACCTGTTCTTATTAGTGACGGTCCTTATCACTATGCAAGTGTGTCCTCACATCTTCCCATGTCCATGGCTTCTCTGTAGGGTTTTCGGTCACCGCTGGTTCAGGATGAGGCCGGTGATGGAAGAAAGAGATAAGACAAACAGCAGCCAAGAGACCCAGCACGGTAGAATAGTTGGATCTGCGTGGCTGTTGAACTCGTCCTCGCAGTAGAGGCACTGCCTCGGCGGTCATCTTCTCGCTCATAGTAAGCAAGTCCAAATACAACCACTATCAAGATAACGCAAAGCAGAGAGAATATCGGGCTTGGGGGGTTGTCGCTCAAACGAATCCGCGATTAACTCTACACCTCGCAAAACACCAAGAAAGTCACACGGGGAGAATGAAGGAGATAAAACTCTACGGAATCAAGAAGATAAAAGCAGTGCGACCCTTGTATCGACAACGCAGCTGAGTTACGAATCACTAGTCATTTGCCTAAGACATGCAGGACGGGATGGGTGAATTGATAAGACAAGATCAGCGGTCCAGGAGACGTGATTGATCAACGCAGACAAGCAATAAAGCATTGCCCTTTTCAGCTCTCAACAGACTCCAGAAATCATCCTACAAGGGGTCTACTCTTGGTTGTACTGCACTGAAGGTTGGGCTTACGTCGCCCTATCACACGGCACTTTATTCCAATTGCCTATTTCAGTCTGGGGTCATAAGATCTCTTGACCACGCTGCTAACGTTACGATCTTCCTTACTACAATAGTTCCCCGCTTTATCCAATTCAAAGACAGCAGAGGGTCAGGCTAAGCATAGATGATATCAAGTCAATTCTTTTTTTCTATTAAGCAGAATAGTCGTCCAATCGTTCTGGATGTTCAAGCTCCGGAAAAAGAGGGTGTTTGGCCAAGTCAATAGCGATAACTTGGGACTTATTGGGATACTCGGGAACACAAGATCATTGCGCCAGAAAGAGTCACATCGCAAAGAACCAACTCTTGGTGTGCACTGCATGACGAAGAAAATGGTTTCTCTCTATAGTATCCCAACGCCGTGGTATGCCTTCGAATCAAAAACACCCGTAACGCCCTGCCTCGTAGACCTTCTCTTTGTCTGTCTCTTCCTTCTGCTCTGGACATGCAAAACTTTTTCCTCTTGAATTTGTCCCTCCCAGAATTTTTCAAAATCAGTCGGCATCCATGTCGATATCGTCCATCTCGGCATCGTCATCGTCGTCCTCATCGTCTTCATCCTCGAACATGCCACTCTCACCCTCCTCGTCATCGTCATCATCCTCGTCAGCCTCGAGCGCAATGGCGACCCTCTTCTTCTCTCCACCGAAAGCTATGGATGTCACGCGCTCGGGCTCCAGCTCCTCGATCTCCTCCTCGGTCATGCCCAGGTCGCGCAGGCGCTTCTTCTCGCTGCCGCGCATGCGGGGCAGGAGATGCTCGTTCTCGGTGACCAGCTTGCGGGCGAGGGCGAGCTCGCGCTCACGCTTACCAGCCATGCGCTTCTTGTAGAAGACGCGCTCGCGGCGTTGGCGGATCTCGGACACGCGCTCCATGGCCTTGAGGGTCTTGCCCATAAGGTCTCGGTTGTAGCGAACAGGCACGTTGCGGCGGGCGGCGAACTGCAGTGTCGAGTCGACAGTCATCTCCTTGCCTGCGGCCTTGCGGAAAGCCTTTGTCCACTTGAGCTTGCGAGGGTTACGCTTCATCTTGAACTACAGAGGGAAGAGTGTTAGCGGTGTGAAATCATGGATAGGCTGTGAATGCGTAGACGTACGTTCTTGTGACATTTGCTGCGACAGAATCGAAAGACTCGGGCATCGTTGCGCACGAAGGTGATACCCTTGCTGGGGTAAGCAGGGCGACTGCAGAAGTAACAGGTTTCAATTCTGAAGCAATTCGTTAGTATTTGTCAAAGGTCGAGCTCGAGTCTCTATCGTGAATGATTGTTCATGAGGAGGAATTCCAAGCCTCAATACCTCCTCAAGACAAGCATTCAGTACAGAGCTCATCTAGTTTCCAAAGACTTACCTCATTTTGCTTTGATGGTGGTCTGAAAGACCAAAAACAACTTCAATTCAACTTCCACCCCGCTGGCTGCGCTGTAGATACTTTTTCTTATTGCGACTCTCAAAAATTTCAGAACTTTGCGGGTCTCCAGCTTATCGATAAGCTCCACGGAACAACATGCATCCGCGATTTGTCCCGCCTCGATCTCTGCCGGGCCGGGGTAAGTTCTCGAAAAAGGATTTGCGGGTTTGGAGGGTCCGAATCTTTGCCTCACCTCACCAAACTACGTCGACGAGACCGAATTACATCTACAAAATGGCTTCTGTTATGGCATTGGGCGCCGGCGCTGCCGTCGCAGCCTTTTTGGTAAGTCTCCAGTAGTTGAAAATGCCAAGTCTTAAGTACTAATAACTTTTGTAGGGCCGAGCTGGTCTGGTCGCATGGAGACGTTCGCGTGGCGGCGTCGGAGCCATGGGACAGGCTTTCTACAAGGGTGGTTTTGAGCCCAAGATGACCAAGAAGGAGGCTACTCTGATCCTTTCTCTTAAGTATGTCTTGTCTGTTGTTATTCCATATCCAACGGTGCACTAACATTTCCTAGTGAACGAGCTGTTACCAAGGACAAGATCCGCAAGGCTCATCGAAACCTCATGCTTCTTAACCATCCCGATCGAGGCGGCAGTCCTTACCTTGCGACAAAGGTGAACGAGGCGAAGGAGTTTCTCGACAAAAACAGTTAAATCGTCATGATCTCGAAAACTACTCGTTATTAGTCCCCGATATTCGAACTGCGACATTCAGCAATCGGCATATGGGTCTCATGAAAATATAATCAACGGCGGGAGTCTCAGCGTAGGCGTATGGCCGCGTGTGTATAATTTACACTACTTGTTTCCATAGCGATGGCGTTTGTTGGGTTTAGAGGAAGCTTTTGAGAGCTGGGTGATGGGATATGCCGTCGTTAAAGCTATCTAGGCTAAACGTTGTATGAATACAGGGTGCTAACGACCCATTCTCTTCTCATGCTGCCTTACCTTATATTTCGTTACATAATTATCCGCCCTGGCTAATCCTCGTGTCTCGTTTCCACTCCGCAGCATTATGCTTCAGTCAATATTGTTGAGCATTTCGTTGCCCTGCTCTTCGTCTCCGCAAGCTTCTTGCAGCGCAATTCCAATCATAGCGCAGATGGTGTAGTAAGCATCGTTTCCTGCATTGTGCAGATTCCTGCTCTGGATATTTAGGTCGTTGAGCAGTGTGATTAGACTTCTTCCGTTGGTTGAGCCGGACCAGGCTTGATGGATCTCCTGGGTGTCGACGGGTTCAATAAGTCCTGCAAGAAGTCGCAGGTCTATGCCCAATTCATTGAAGTACTTGATGTCTTGTTTCACATCGTGTCCGACGACGATGACGTTTCGTTCAGCGTCAATGAATGGAGTTAAGATGCTCATGATGGCTTCTCCAACTTGCGACTCACGAGGGAAAGTGCTCATTCTGAGGATCAATAGTTAGCAAGAAGAATACCTACTCTCAAAAGCTTGTCCTTACCCAAAGTCGAAATAATCAGGACACCCCTTGACGAATCTGTAGTTTCGCAGACCAGCATACTCATAGACCCGTAGATGATGGGCCTTGATCTTGGGCCACCAACCACGACCAACAACCCCAGGGTCAACACCTTTGATGTCTCGGGTATCAAGAATAGCGAAGCCGATCTCAGAAATAGGATTTGGTCGCTGTTCGATGGCCTCAACGTCAACACAGATGAAGACGATGTCATGGCCATCAGGATCTCCTAGAAGACCAAGATAGCTCAGCGTGTTGCGAAGCATCTGATCTCTGTGTCTCTTCTTCTTCGCAGCCTTTTCCGGGTCTGCCCCATTCTTTGGGGTAAAGCCGGTCTTAACGACTCGCATCTTGGATCTCCAGGCTAACTTCTCCTTGGGAGTTGCCGCCTCGAAGGCATTGATATCATTGGGATGAATGGTGGGCCATGGCCGAACGTCAAGGGAAGTCTCCTCCTCAGATCGTCGCAGGTACCGAGGGCGTGGAGTGTCTCCTTCACCAAACTTGAGATAGAATTTGTCAGTGTTGCAGCCTGAAGGGATTCTGAGGGAAGTGTCCAGATCGTGGTTGACTTCTTCGAGGAACACTTCGAACTGAGCGGATGGGATCAACAGGTAAGGGTCTCTGGTAGGCTCTACTGGGTCGTGAAGATAGAAGCTTGCTTAGTTAGTATTAATAAAAGTAAGTCAAGAATTCCCTTACAAGTCCCAAGTTCTTTCGAAAAGAATTCTGGTAAAGTAGGGCTTCGCCTTGGTACGGTCAGCTAGGGAATAGAACGATAGCAAGTGTGGACACATACACGAGGCTTGTTGATCTTGCCGATGAATCGCTCAGGGTATGATACCACAATTTTGAAAGGGCAGAAGGCGAAATCTTTGTCGACAGGTTCGCCGATGCGAAACTTGGAGTTGTCAAAGGCCTCTGCTTTCTTGGCTGCGATCTCGGCTTTTTTGGTGGCGTATGCATCGGCTTGCAACTGCTGCACAGTAGGAAGATTGTCTTTCCTTGCGGCCAGTCTCTGCTCTTCCATCCACTGTTCGCTCGTAGACATTCCTTGACTTTTGGTGGGGTTTTTATCGCTGTCGTCTTGTTCATCGTCTTGCGGCTTATCCACAAGCTTCACGCCCTGGCCTAGAAGCCGCTGCAGCTTCTCTAGGCGGTCGTTGAGATCAGTCATCGCAGCTTGTGTTCTTTTTTCAGCCAATAAATGTAAAGACATACGGGTCAGGAATGGATGATTCAGAAATATTTTTAAGAGCGGAGTTGGAGGAAGGAGAAATGGATTTGGTTGTGCGGATGAAGTTAGAGTTGGAGTTGTGAGGTGGGAGGTGGAAAGAAAGAAGGAAGCCTTCACGGTGGCACATGTGGAGGGAGCAAAAAAGGGCAGCACAAAACTCTCTGGTTAGGTATTGGTCAAAGGCCAAGTGTGATTCACTGTCGTAAAAAGTTACTATTAAAGACAACTCATAATTACTTATGTATGCCACGCTGACCGTGACACTGGCTGGCAGTGGCAGATGAAAGCTACGGCTATCTACATCAAACAAACGCCAGCCAAATATTGTCTTAATACATAAACGCCCTCTCTCTCAAGCAAACAGCAAGCGCATTCATACCTCATATTTACTTTGACTTGTAGAACTAGTTCCTGTTAGTAAATCGGTCAAAATCACAATAGCAAAGACTTACCTCGTCCGCTTCTTCTACAGATATCTCAGACACTTCAGACTGCTTGTGGTCAATGAGACCAAGACGTCCCCATCGTACCTTGAACCAGAAATCTCGTCGGTCGCCTCCTAGAGCTCCACCAAGAAGCTTCTTCTTCAAGCCTTGCATAAAGGTATTGTACAATCCAGGTTCTTCGAGGCTGATAAGTTCTTCTCGCATGACACCCAAACACTCCAGAGCGCGTTGGTATTTAGCATCACCAAAGCTTTCCGTCACGAAATTTGAGATGATTGCACCCATCTGCTTTGCTGCTTCTTCAATATCAGAGACCTCTTCAGTTGCAGCAAGTATCTGCTTGAATTCGGGCACTGCATTGTCAGGACTGATCTCGCCCTTCTCCTCTTCGCCCAGAAGAGCATCTACATCAAGGCCTGAAATAGGCTTGACTGTTTCTCTGCCGCGTTTACCCTTAACCTTGGGTGGTACTATTACCAGTTAGTTGATATTCGAGCTCACAAAGCGTACTGCATACCTTTCTTGACATCAGCTGCTTCAATAAGAGAATCCGCCTTGCTTTGCACTTTCTCCACCAGGTCTTGGGGTGGTTGAGCAAACCGCAGCAATGTAGGAGGGATCTCTGAAACGGATTTCTCAGGGTAGACTGCTCGTGATTTCACGGCGTGGTTGACACGGTGAACGGTAGGGTTAAACGTTTCATCAATAGGTACATATTCAGCCGGGTCACTGCCATCGTTAGTTGTTGAAAACATGAAGATTAGACAAGCCATACCCATTGTCGTCTATGCCGTATGTTGACAAGTCCATCGCGTCGACATAGTCACTCATGGAATCGCTAAGCTCATCTGTAGGGAGTAGTCTGTGCTTGGTAAGAGTCTGGCCGGTAACTGTGATGACCCTATCCAAGGGTGGGAACTGGTAGCTCCGAATGTCTTCTGCAAAAGGCAGAGGGATATCGTACAGACACTCCATGTCTGGTTCCATGCCAGGTGCTAGCAGCACCAACAGCGGGTCTTTGCCATCTTTAGTTACAATTCGGGCAATCGCATAAGACTCGAGTTCAGAGAGAGCCCAAACGAGAGATGAAAGAGCAAGGGCGGATTTGGCATCAAACTTGCGGGCTACCGTCACGCATGTCTCGCCAAGGTTAAGGAATGGTTCGTACTGGACAACGTTAGCTAGGTAAGCGCGAAGGAAAGTAATGATGTACTGACCTTTGAGCATGGGATGAATCCAACAATCGAGAAGCTCTTCTGTGTGTCAATCTTGGTGATGTTATGCTCTGACTCACTGATATGGACTGCGGTTCGCCCATATTCGTAGCCTTTGGCGAGATCGTCAAACTCGACGTCTCGCTTTCCTCCTGGAGCATCTGGATCATTGACCTTGTACGACCGAGCCTGCTTGACTGCGGAAAATTCGATTCCCTCCATCTCATCGCCCTCAGCTGGTTGCGTAGCTTCAGATTCTGGTCCACCGTCAGATTTGACAACCACTGTGCTTGCTGTCAAAGGTCGTGCGAGATGGGTCTTGAAGTATCTCTCAACGTTGATACTCATGGCCGCGGGGAAAGTTTTGGGATCACCGAGAGTAAGAGTGCCGTCATATGTCTTGTAAGGCTTCACTCCTTTGATTCGGGGGGTGTCGAGCTCATCGATGGCCTCGGCAATGGTCGCGAAAACACCATCTTTGCACTCATTGGCAAGTGATCTGAGGGCTTTCTCGTTCTCTCTCTGCCAATAATTAGCCATGAAATTCAGATTATTTTAATTAATTCTGACCTTGGTGCTTGGCTTGTCCTCTTCCTTAAAGCCGTAGTCTGGATCATCAAAATCCACACCTCTGTCGCTTGTCAGAATTGCCATCTCAAGAGGCGTCACGAACTTACAGGATAGTGAGTTGGATGTTGGAGTCGTTCATTTTCTTCGAGATGTCGCTCAAATCATCCGCGTCCATCGGGCCTTGACCGTCCGTGACCAAGAAGATCTTTCGATTCCATTTGAGTTTCTTTGTAAACGTGTCGATCATGTCAATGGCAAGAACAATAGCCGAAACAGCATCTCCGGACCAAGTGTTGCTCGGCTTCACAAGGGACTGCAGGTTCCTCAAAGACGCCATAGTCATTGGCCCCAGCTCCTGTAGTACTGCAATATTCTCATAGCCATCATCGTCTTGAAGTTTGTTGTCAGTCTCATCTGTTCTGAGGCCCAACACACCAACACATAGTGTTTTTCGGTTCGCGGCGACAATGTCTGTGATCTTGTCCCATACGTATTGCATGCTCCATTCCAGGTCGGATTCTGATCTTCCACTGTGCGTCTGGGCCATTGTAGAGCCCAGATCTAGCACGAAAATAGTCGCTTCTTTCTCGGCCATCTTGTCAACAATTCGTGTTATGGCTCGGATGATATTGAGTTAATTCGATAAAAGACTAAAAACGAGAGTTGGTCTTATTGCGCTTTTCAATGAATGGCAGCCACGCACGAGAAGCCTCTCACAGTGAATCCCGGCTTCGTTTTAGGCAGATGGAACTAGGCGACCCATTTCGTCCGAGCTCTGTAAGATGACAGGAGACCGACGCGACATCACGTGATCTGGCTGCCTAAGCACTTAAACTTACGTCTCTCGTGATAATGATTTTGGTTCGGGGAAAGAGTCGTTGGTAGTGATACTTGTATTCATATTAATGATTGAGGAACTCGTATTAGGTATGGCCGAGTTTGCAGTTGGGCCGTTGCTTCCGCGTTCATGAGTTTAGGCATGTACAATGACAAGAACAACGAACCTTGTTACTAAGAAAACAAGAATAGCAACATCAATATACGTAGTAAGCGTGCACCCCTGGAAAAGATGTAAACGGCATAACGGTTTCACGATCAATGTTCTTCAGAGGTGCTGTATCAAGGAAACATATTGATCACGTGATCTCATGAATCATCGACTGGAGACGATCTACATTATCACGAAACACCTCGGCTGATCTGAACAACTCATCCTCACTCACAAGTGAAAACATAGCAACAATGGCAAGCACAGCAAAGGCCGTCGCCTTTTCGCCGGCTCCCTACCACATCATCACGCAAGCACCCCGGTTCACTTAATGTATAGACAGAATAAACTAACTAGAAGACAGCTATGGAACTCTCCTGGGAACCACCTTCTTCCATGTGCGTATCTGATACAGCTATGATCCAATTCCAACTCTAACAGCTTCACAGTCATTCATAAATGGCATCGTTATGTTCAAGGCCGTCGACCGGGCCAGCTTCTCCGCCATCCAGCAGAAGCTCTTCCCTATCTACTTCGGCCTTCAGACTGTCTTGCCTGGTGTTCTGGCTTTGACATTTCCCGGAAATACTCTCATTGGCTTGTCAAATGGTCCTGCTGGCTTGGTGTCGGAATTTGCCCGATATCACTCGCTGTTGCCGATCACTCTCATGGCTGTGACCGGCGCTCTCAACCTGACCGTCCTGCTGCCTTTGACAATGGACGTTATGAAGCAGCGACGTGGTCAAGGTATGTCGATATGTGTCTTATATTGACTCCATGTAATACTAACATATCCATAGTCAAGCGAGACGGAAAGGAGTGGTATGCCGAGGGACCTCACTCAGATGAGATGAAGGTTTTGAACAAAAGGTTTGGCATCCTTCACGGCATCTCATCCTTGTTGAACCTGGTCACTTTTGCCGCTGCTGTTGGATACGGCTTCACTCTTGGCGGTCGCGTGCTGTCTGTTGCGGACCTTGCTTAAGCAATGCATTGATGAAAATTAAATTCTTATTCTATGTTGTTCAACTGCTAAAAATCGCAAATCTCTCCTCAACCTAGTCTAGCCGGTATTTCCATCGTACAATAGGTAATCTATATGTCTAATCGTTGTATCGTAATTCGTTGATCTCTTGGGTATGATCTTGGAACAGTGCGCCGTGTGGGTCTATAATATGCAAACCAGCGAAGCTCTCCTAGCTTTATGTATGACCACATGTAACTCACGGTCGCCATGAGGCACGGAGCTCCTCCTTGGCCTTCTCGAGGTCTCGGAGACGCTGGGCCTTGAGCTCTTCCTCAGTAGGGGCTTGGTTCTGTCGACGCTGGTTGGCCTCCATCTGGCCCTTGATAGTCCATCTGCCAGGCTGGCGGTCGAGCATAGATTGAAGGTCGACTTCATTGGATGGCTTGGGGAATTCGCGGTTCAGGACAGGGAGGGGCTTGTGTCCCACAGCATTGTCGAACTCCTCGTTCTTGAATCCAGGAGTAGAAACAGGGGTTGACTCGGTGGACTGTGTCTTGTGTACGCCAAAGTAGCTGTTGGCATTGCTAGAGGTAGCACCAACGGTGGTAGGGATGTTGAAAGTCATGTTAAATGCTTTGTGAGGGAGATGTGATAAGAGTTTGGTTATTTTTGGAATATTCCGCCTTTATGTGTTGATTGCGGTTCAGAGTAGATTTCGTGGATGAACAGTAGGTATATTTGCGCTTGTCTCGCTAGGAAGTCAACCGCACAGTAAATAAAGTATGATGAAAAGTTTTAAATGGAAGAACCATCAACTAAACACAGGCAGCCCTCTTAATATTTATAATTACGTAGGTCCCCCAGGTCTCCAGCGTCTCCAGCTGGGTCAACTCCAAAACGTCAGAAGCATGTGGAAACACTTTTTTAGTCTCACGGAAATGGAGCAGTGTCGTAGGTCCGTGGGGACCCTGAAGCCTCTAGCTTCAGGGTCCACGTCTGTCTGAACAGAAGCCTCCAGTAAACAGAGTAAACATGGAGCGGTGAATCAGCCTGTTATCTGGTGCTTTTCGCTTGCGCGTGTCGGTCTGCAAAGTCCAGGTGACTAGCAAGTAGACTCACCTCGGAGGTAAGCGAGTCAAGAATCACCAGGTACCGGGTCGTATCACGGATGTAGCCCGTTAAGGTATCTCCAAGCACTGGATATCAGAAATTTTTAAGGGAAAAAAGCTTCCGAGAGAAAGTGGAATTATACAAGCTCCACCGATGACGGTGTCCTAGTCCATTACTCGTAGGGCCGAGTTTGAAGAGCCAATGGCTGGTTCTGGAGCAGACGTCGATTTCCAAGCCTCGATTGCCACACGGGAAGGGCTCACGGCTCTCAGTATCTATTTCGATCCAATCAAGGGTTCCGTTTTGGCAGGTCGCAACCTTGCAGGGATTTCCGTACTGTAGATGCAGATTGCAGAGATTGTAAATGCAGGGGCGGTCATGTTCCTTGCAGCAAATCAACGACGAGTCATCCAGATATAAGTCTAAGTCCATTCTGGCTTCTCCAAGCATTTCCCTATATCAACCATGCGGCTTAGAGTGACTGGAAAATAAAGCTCGCTAATACTAATAAGAAATCTCAAGTTAGATATATAATACCTATTAGCTCGAGCCGAGGGGGGGCTAACTAAGTAAGCTTAGTTAGGTATATTTAACTAGGGCAGGTATATAGCCCTAAGATATTAACAGGGGGTTAGATTTAATATAATCTTTAATAAAATTAATATTATAATCCTTAAATATAATTAAAAAAGTTATAAATTATTAAAAAGAAATAAATTAAAGTTTTTTATAATAATTAATTAATTAATAACTATCTTAAGGTTATAATAATAATAATTATTATTACTAAATAAGGTAGCCTTATAGAATAGCTTACTATATTAATTAAATTATAAATATATTTCTTTAATTAAAAATTATTATATTTTTTCTTTTTATAATAAGATTATTAAGGAAATCTATAAATTAGCCTTAATATTAAGTTAGGTATAATATTAAAAAAGGTAAGTAAGGGGGTAATTTATAATTAAAAAGGTAAGGTAATAATAAAGATATTATTATATTATTAAGGTTAAAGAATTTATTAAAGTTATTATTATATTTATTATTTCCTTAATTAATAATATTATTAATAATATTATATATTATATTATAGAAATAAGTATAATAAGATTTTAATAAGGGTTATATAATTTAATTTAATTTCTTAGCCTAAAATTACCTTTAACTTTAGGCTATCTTAACTTTAACTTTAACTCTAATTAATAAAATATATATTCCTTTAAGTAATATATTTTAACCTTTACCTTTACCTTTCTAGCCCTTTAATACCTTATATATAACTTCTATTACTTTATAGATTATTTTTAAATACCTTAAGTACCTTTATAACCTACCTCTTTAAGTTATTACGCTAAGCTATATAGTAAGGCTTTAACTTAAATACCTTAATAAAAGAGCTATTAGTCTTAAGGACTAGCCTTTTTATAAGCCTATTTTCTAGGCTTTTTAAGTATTTAAGCTATTTTTTTACTTTCTATATTTAATTTAATATATACTTTTAATTCCGGTTTTTCTTATTAAGCCTTAAAGTATAAAATATTAAAAGCTTATAGCTAAAGGTAATTAATTTAACTAAGCTATAATTATCTTACTTATTATAGAGAGGTAATATAAAATAGCTATTAAAATCTTACTTTAAATTAAGCTAAAGATCTCTAGCCTTAACTTTAAGTAGGTTAAGTTCTTACCTATTATAGTAATTATTAATAGCTTTTTAAATAATTTTATAGGTTACATTAAGGCTTATATTACGGTAGATATTTATTACTTAAATAGTACTTATTATAGTAATAACTATAAAAAAAGTTAGTAATATAAACTAAAAGGGGACTAAAGGTTAATTAACTAACTATAACTATAAGGGTTAATTAACTAGCTTATAATATAGATTAAGTTAAGGATATAAAAAAAGCTAGTTTTTATATATATAGTTATATAAATTATAGTATATATATTTATTTAATTAAAGTTTAGTTACTATATATAACTTTTATTATATTAATTATATTAAGTTTTTAACTTTAGAAAAGGTTATTTTTATTATTAATATTATTAAGAGATTTAAAAAGCCTAGGCTTAATAAAATTAAAGGTTAAAGTAAAAAGAAATTATTTATTATTTATATAAATATAAGGTTATATAAAGGTAAAGTTAATACTATTATTATTTTAAAAAAGTCTTAATAGATTTACTATATTAAAAGGCTTTATAGTAAATTAAGTATTATAAATAGACTTATTAATTTCTAAAATGTATTATATATTAATTATAAAGAATTTCTCTTTTTAATTACGCCTTTTTAATATATTAAGTTAGTTTTTTTTTATTAAATAATATTTTATATCTCTTTTTATATATTTAAGTTATTATTTAAACTATAACTTCTTTAAAAGCTTATTAATAATAACCTTTCTTTTTTTTTTTTTTATCTTTTTTTTTTTTTAATTAATAATAAGAGTTTAAGTTAAATAAAGTTATTATTATTAATTCTTTTTTTTACCTTCCTTAAGGAAAGTATTTTATTAATTTTATAAGTTTTATAGGTTTATATTAAAAAAGTAGTTTTTTATTATCTTTATATATTTATTATATTTCTTTTAATTATATCTTTTAATAATATAGCCCTATTAATTTTTTATTTAATACTTAATTACTTCTTTAAGTATAATAACTTTATTAATAATATTCTTAATATATTTTATACCTTAATATATTAAAGGATTTAAAATCTTATAATATTTCTTATTAATATATTTTATAGTATTAAAAGTAATACTAAAGTATAATTTATATAGAAAAAGTAATATAAAAGTAAGATTAATAACCTTCTTTATTTTTAACTATCTTTTTATAAAATAAGTAATTATAAATATCTTTATCCTAATTAATAATATTATTAATAATATTATATATTATATTATAGAAATAAATATAGTAAGATTTTAATAAAGGTTATATAATTTAATTTAATTCTTTAGTCTAAAGCTACCTTTAACTTCAGGCTATCTTAACTTTAACTTTAACTCTAACCAATAGAATATATATTCCTCTAAGTAATATATTAACCTTTTACTTCTATTTCTACCCCCCCTTAGCGCCTTATATATAACTTCTATTAAATCTAGCTTTACTTTATACCTTCGCTGGCCTTAATTACCTATTTAACCTGCTTTTTTAAGCGGTTATACTAAACTATATAGTTAAGTTTTAACTTAAATACCTTAATAAAGAAGGTTTTAGTCTTAAAGACTAACCCTTTTAAAAGCCTTTTTTTTAAGCTTTTTAAATTCTTAAGTTAATTTTTTATATACTTTAAACTTAATATTTTTATTTAATAAAATTTCTAACTTAATTATATATAAAAAAGTATTAAAAACTTATAATTAAAGGTAATTAACTTAACTAAACTATAATTATTTTATTTATTATAAAAAGATATTAACTAGCCTTAAAAATCCTACCTTATTTTAATCTTAAGGTCTTTAACTATATAGATAAGTTATTTATACTTTTCCTTACTATAATTATTAATTACCTTATAGATCTTATTATAGGTTAGGCCGAGACTTATATTACGATAGGTATTTATTATTTAAATAGTAATACTTATCGTAATAGCTATAAAAGAGGTTAGTAATATAGACCGAAGGGGGACTAGGGGTTAATTAACTAACTATATATAACTTAGCTTAAGCTTTACTTCTTAATTCTAACCTCTACTAGGTAGCTATAAGGGTTAATTAACTAGTATACTTATAGTATAGATTAGTTTAAGGGGTATAAAGGGGAAGCTAGCTTTTATATATATAGCTATATAAGTTATAATATAAGTATTTATTTAATTAAAGTTTAGTTACTATATATAATATCTATTATCTTAATTATTAAGTTTTAACCTTAGAAGAGATTACTTTTATTATTAATATTATTAAGAGTTTTAAAAAGCCTAGGCTTAATAAAGTTAAAGCTTAAAATAAAAAATATAAAGAATAGGTATCTTTATTAATAAGTGAATTTCTAATTTTTTAAATCTATTAATAATATATATAGATATAAAGCCTAAATTAAAGATTTCCTAATTTTTATTAGATTAATATATAGAAAGTAAGGAAATTAAAAAACTAACTATCTTTTTTATATATACCTAAAAAGCCTTTATAAAGTTATAGTAATTAAAGGTTAACTTTCCTTTTTATAATATATTATAAAGCTTCCTTTAATATATATCCTTTAGAAATTAAAATATACCTATATCTATTAACTAAAGGATATATATTAAATAAGGAAAAAGATATACTATAAAGATATTAAATTTAATATAATATTTATAGAAAGTAAAAAAGCTATAATTAAAAAAGCTATTAATAATAAGTAATTACTATATAAAATCTTTATTATCCTTTTAAGTAGTATTTAAAGGTATATTAAGGGCTTTACTTTAAGGATTTATTTTTAAGTATTTATTATACTTAAATTACTTTTTAAAATTAAGTTAATAATATTATATAGTAATAGATTTTTCTTAAGATATATAATTAAAATACTTTATTTACTTAAGTATTATCTTACTATTAGAAAATACTATATTTAACTATATAAAATATATATTAAGATTAGCTTTAATAATTAATTACTTTAATATTAAAAATACCTTAAAGATAAGCTAAGGAGGAGTTATTAATCTTATTATATTTCCGGTTTTAATAACTATATAAGTCTTATAATCTTTAAGGGAAAGAACCTTTATAATAACCTTCTTCTTTATATATATAATAAGATATTTTACCTATTTATATAATATCTTTACTTTAATACTAACTTAATTAGCGTTTTAATACTTAAAGGTATTAATATTATAGTTAATAATAACCTTATTAAGCTAGGTAAATTACTTTTTAGTCTTTTCTATCCCTATAGTTTTATATTTTATATAAATAGCTTTTTTTACCTTTAATATTAATTTTTAAAGCTTAAGGTAATTATTATAAAATCTTTTATATTATATTTTACTAACCGGTTTTATAATAAAATCTTTATATATATATAAGGTATTTACTATATCTTTAATTTTCTTTTTTAAAATAGGTAATCCGGCCTTATTTATTTAAATAATAAAGTTTATAATAATTTTATTTTTTTTATTAATTAATAACTATAGTAATCTTTTTAATAAATTAATTAAGTCTTTAATATTTAAAGTATTTATAACTTCTAGCCACTTTATAAACTATTAAATATTATTTTTATAAAAGCTTTTATATTATATCTTAATATTATAATATAAAAGGCCTTTATATAAAGCTAGGGTAATATATTAAAAAAGGCCTTTTTAAAGTTATTAATATAAAAAAATAACTATTTATATAGCCTTAGTATTTACCTATAAATTTATATTAAATTTAAATAGAAATTTTAGTATTTTTATTAATTATTATCTAGCTTTTTATTAGTTTTTAATATAAAACTAGTAAAAATTAAATAGCCGGCCGTATAGGGTTATCCTAAGGTTATATACCTGTCCTAGTTAAATATACCTAACTAAGCTTACTTAGTTAGCCCCCCCTCGGCTTAAGCCAATAGGTAGATATTTATTTAATCGATCGTGTTCTTTCTCGTAGCCCCGTATTTTATGTTTTGCTACTCCGTACAATATGTTGAGCTTCATTACATCACCCTGTCAATCTTAACTAAGCACAGCTCGCACATCTTGCCGAGTCAAGTGCCGCCAAGATCAGCGATAAGTATTGTCCCTTGTGTCAACCAACTGAATAAACGTATCGTCGATCGCATTCAACTGTTCTTTATTTGTTTATTTGTTCTAATCCACAGCGAATATGTCATCTACACCAAAATACATTAGCGGAGACGCTGCCGCGATCAATGAGTTCATCGACAAATTCGACGTGAGTCATTTATGGTATACACTGGCTTGAGCTTAACTAATTCTCGTCGACAGGTCTTCCTCCTAGATTGTGATGGTAATTACATCAGAACTTGTATCATGAATAAGTGACTTACTCATATAGGTGTTCTCTGGTCTGGAGACCATGTCTATGAAGGTGTTCCTGAGACCATCAACTACCTGAAATCAAAAGGTTGGTTTACTACACTCACAGTCCGACCCCCAAACTCACCCGTACCCAGGAAAGCGAGTTGTGTTTGTGACAAACAACTCAACAAAATCCCGCGATGAGTACTTGAAGAAACTTACTGGCCTCGGAATCCCAAGTGAGAAGGATGATGTATTCGGCTCCAGCTACTCGGCCGCCATCTACATCTCCCGTATCATGAAGCTTCCTGAGGGTAAGCACAAGGTCTTTATTATCGGAGAGGCAGGAATAGAGAAAGAACTTGACTCTGAGGGTGTCGCCCACATCGGAGGCACGGATGAGGCTTTCCGACGGGACATCACAAACGACGATTTCAAGGGTATCGCTGATGGCTCCCTTCTTGACCCTGAGGTAGGAGTTGTTCTCGCTGGCCTTGACTATCACGTCAACTACCTCAAATACGCTCACGCTATGCACTACGTCAAGCGGGGAGCCACGTTCCTTGCTACAAATGTTGACTCGACATTGCCGATGCACCACGAGTTCTTTCTCGGCGCAGGTTCTTGTCACATCCCTGTTGTTCATGCCACTGGAGTACAGCCCCTGGCGCTCGGAAAGCCCAGCCAGGCTATGATGGATGCCGTTGAGGGAAAGTTCCAGCTCGACCGCGCTCGAACATGTATGGTTGGTGATCGACTAAACACTGACATCAAGTTTGGTATTGAGGGCCGACTTGGTGGAACACTCCACGTGTTGACTGGTGTAAACAAGAAAGAGGATTGGGAGACGGAGGATGCTATTGCTGTGCCTTCGTTCTATGCCGACAAATTTAGTGATCTGAGACTGGCAGAGGAGTAATAAATATTATAGATTCGTATAGATTATAGACTACTTGGTTGCATTTGCAACACACGCTTACACCATCGCTAGCTGGCAGTCCATATTTGTGCTTCTCGAACACATAGCCCAGGCTACTAAGCTACGAACTCATCAAGCAACTGGAGCCGAAACAATGATTAAGCTTGCTTCTTTCCCTCCGCATTCTTGGCAAAATCACTGCTGCGAATGATCTTGGGCAGAGGGGTCTTGTACGGTGAAAGTGACTTGGGCAAAAACATGCCAACCTGCTTCTGGTACTTCTGGTACTCAGAGTACTTGCCAACAGTGATGAGCTCGGTGAGCCAAGTGGAGCCCTGAAAGAGGAAGATCAGAGCAGCAGAGCCGGCAAATGTGTAGCTGTACAGGTTCTTGGTTGCAAAACAACTCCACTGGTACAGCGCAAACCAGACCAGCTGCTCGGCAGCAAAGTTGGGATGTCTGCTGTAGGCCCAGAGCCCCGAGGTATTGAAGCCTCGATCAAGATCAGCCTGAGTATACTTGAAGTCCTTGGGGACCTTGGCCTCAGCCTGGTACTTGTGCTTGGCTGCATGGAAATCTGCAATATTGTCAGCTTGTATCAGCCTTGCAGCACATACTACTCACCCCATTGTTGGCCATCGCTAACCCACTCGCTATAGACCAGACCGACCATTGTGAGAAAGAAGAGTACATCAGAGGGAGTGACGTTCTGCTCAAATTTGGTCGAGACCAAGATGGCGTAGGCGGGAACGCATGAGAAGCTGAAGAGTAGAACGCTCTGAATAAAAGAGATAAATGTGACGTTGAATAGGAACCAAATGAATTTAGGTACGTATTTCTGAAGAATTGCCCTGTAAGGTGTAAGCTTGATGGATAAATATCTGTGGTTGGCCAACATACCATCGATAATCTTCAGATCCTCGATTGTAACCACCCTTACGCCAGTAATTATAGGTCAAGCGACACTGTTACACAAGTTAGCCACTTGAGCAGTTTAACGAATGAGACAATGCAACTTACACTCCAAAGAGTCGTAGCAAGAGAGATCAGATCAACCCGGGAAGAAGGGACACCAGCAAGACGCGCCCAAACTGAAAGATGGACGATGTAAAGGTTGGGCAGGATACTCCACATGCGGTCAACTTGGGAGTAGTTCCTGTTGATCTCTGAGACAACAAGAAAGACGAAGCCAAGGGCAAGAGAAATTGCAAAACCCGAGATGAGCGGGTTCGTGTCAACATACAGCTGCCTCAAGCCATCTGCACTGGCGATGTTGTCGAGGACCTGTCGAGGGAGGGCATAAAGTTGAGGAATGAAAGGTTCAATTGTCTTTGCATAATCGCCACAGTCCTCAAGGGACTTGACAAAGGGGAGAGCCATGTTGCTTAATCTGAGTAGAACAATTCTTGGGTTCAACTTGTGATAGATAGTAAGGTATGTTAAGTAAACAGATGTAGTACAAGTGGTGTTTTAATACTTGCGTACAACCGCTGGAGCATAGCCTCTAAAAGCCCGCGTCATAGACGGGCAGCTTTGAGTGGAATGACACGGCACGAATACGCTTTCATCGTTACGCCGCTTGGCTCCCGCCTTGTTTGCGGGGCACTAAAGCGTAGCGGGTGGCTCCCTAAAAAGTGTGGATGCAGCCGCTGTGGCTAGTGGATGCCTGAGGGATATCCGCTGTAAGCCACTGAAGAGGCTCATGGAAGCCAACCTGATTTTCAACGTCAAGACAAGCTTGGCCTTAGCTTTTTCCCTCCAGGCCTCATCGTGAATGTTGCGAGTTGCAGTTTTGGGGTAAATTGTTAAGGTCACGACGTGTTTTAACGCACAGGATATCATATCATCAAACAAAGGACTTAGTGCTGCTGCGAGATTCCCGACAGGATATCTCTTCAATTCATTCTTATGGCAACGTGTCGGGTTGATCCCGTTTTGCAAGGCCTTTCCGTGCATCGTGCCTGCTCTGCGCAAAACTTCATCCACGCTTAAAACCTGAGGCAACCTTCTACTCGCTTCATGTAATCATTACAACAGCCCAACACACTTCAGCCGAGACGAAGCATCACCGTTAACAACGAAACGGTCCAAAATGAAAGTCCTTTGTGTGGCTGAGAAGCCATCGATTTCCAAGGCTGTGGCTACGCATCTTTCCGGAGGTCGCATTGAAACAGTAAGAGTACAACTCCTACACCGGTCTAAAGGTACTGACAAGAGTCTGAAGCACAATACAAGAAACAAGTACATCAAGAACTACGCGTTCGACTTTGACTTTGGCCACCAACTGGGCAACTGCTCCGTTACTATGACCTGTGTCACTGGACACTTGACCAATGTCGACTTTACACCAGCACACAAGAATTGGTATCAACCTCCTCCAGAATCCTTGTTCAGCGCCCCTATTGTTACAACTGTTAGCGAGGTAAGATCCACTGCCCACATGCGGTATCATTTAATGCTAAGCCTAGTAGGATAAAAAAACAATAGCCCAGAATTTGGAATCCCAGGCCAAATATGCCCAAGCTCTAGTGATATGGACGGATTGTGATCGTGAGGGTGAACATATCGGTAACGAGATCGTCGAGGCTGCACGAAAGGGCAAGCCAGGTATTCGTGTTTTACGAGCAAGGTTCAGCAATGTTGAAAGAGCGTATGTTCTTCTATCCTACGTCTCGGCAGGATAAAAACTAATGACAACAGCCATGTGCTCTCTGCAGCTAAGAACCTGGCAACTTTGGACGAGAGACAAGTCCACGCTGTGGCTGCAAGAATAGAACTGGATCTTCGCATCGGATATGCCTTTACTCGCTTCATCACAAACAATCTACGACCCCTTGGCGGACCTTTGGAAAAGCTAACTCTAAGCTATGGTTTGTATCCTTCCTTTGAGATCTATATTCCTTACTGACTGTCCAGGTTCTTGTCAATTTCCAACTCTCGGATTCGTTGTGGATCGTTACTTTCGCGTCAAAAACTTCGTCCCAGAGCCATTTTGGAGCATAAAGGTAGTGCACAACCGGGACGGTAAAAAGATCGATTTCTCCTGGCAACGGAACAGACTTTTCGACCGAATGTCTACAGTCATTCTATATGAAAGATGTCTTGCAGCCAAAACAGCGACGGTGACAAAAGTTCAGCAGAAACCTACTCGAAAGTTCAAGCCTTTACCCCTTACGACGGTCGAGTTGCAGAAGGCCGCGACTAGATTACTTCAAATGACTGGACAGCAGGCCATGAGCATTGCTGAAGGCCTCTATAACAAGGGATTCCTGAGTTACCCCCGAACGGAAACTGATCGCTTTGACCGAGGGATGAACCTCCGAGCACTGGTCGAGAAACATACCAGCGACCAAAGGTGGGGTACGTTTGCACAGAATCTCGTCAACGGTGGTTTTCAACAACCGAGAGAAGGACGACATGATGATAAAGCACATCCTCCCATTCACCCTATTACATATGCATCACCTTCCGTATTGAGCCGTGATGAGGCCCGCTTATATGAGTACGTCGCCCGGCGATTTCTTGCATGTTGCTCAGATGATGCCAAAGGTAGTGCAACCGATGTTGAACTCGAGTTTGGAGAAGAGCGTTTCAATGCTCATGGAGTCATTGTGCTTGAGAGGAACTATCTCGACGTATTCATATATGAGAAATGGAACAACACTGTGGAACTGCCGAAGTTCACAGAAGGGGAGCATTTTCAGCCAACAGAGGCCATGATGACGGAAGGGCATACCACAGCGCCTGGTTATCTTACCGAGGCTGATTTAATCGCCCTTATGGATGCTAATGGGATCGGCACAGATGCCACCATGGCCGAGCACATCCAAAAGATCCAGGATAGAGAATACGTCGCTACAATGGGCCGATCAGGTCAAGCTTCGGCAGATGACGAGGAGTCGGACATGGGCCCAGCCACAAGAGGTCGTGGACGTGGACGTGGAGGCCGAGGTGGCCGAGGTGGACGTGGAGGTTCATCAACATCAGGGGGTCGAGGCGGTTTGAAGGTATTCATCCCTACACAGCTGGGAGTAGCTCTGATCCTAGGATTTGATCGAATGAACTTCGAGACCAGCCTAGGTAAACCCTTTCTCCGCAAGGAAATGGAAAGCAAGATGAAAGCTATTTGCGAAGGTCGTACGAACAAGGAGGTTGTTCTACGAGAGAGCCTAGCTCAATACCAGCATGTTTTCGAACAGTCCAAGCAGAAACTCAACGTCCTACGAACGGTATGTTCCCCAATCGTAACACTAACTCAGTTCATAGTATCACTGACCATGATCAACTAGGCGTGCCGTGAATTTGTCTTTGCCTCATGAGCCATCGGGCCCTCGGCATTCAGGGCAGGAAACCCTTAGTCGATGCCACATTCACAACTGGGAACTCGGGCAACGTTTGAAGATATCTGGGGTTGAGTTGCCAACCTTGGAAGTTAACGACGTAGCAAGAGCATACCTACACCCCCCGTTGTCTCACTTGTGGGTCGCTTGGTCTGCGAGGTTCAACCCGACTTGGAGCCTATCAGCCGGTGGATCATGCACACGTACGATCTGAATGATGTGATTTGGATATCGTCAACGATGGCCTCGAGACATGACGGCGGCATATTGGTATCAAACCACCCCTCAGTTGAGACGGGCTTGGCAGCGGGGTTGGCTCAGCTGCAGCCATGTCCCAAAGAGTCACACTGGTGGAAGCATGGCAGTGACGAGCCTACATGCTCAACTCGGCAGTAGACAAGCGAGAGAAGACAAGGAAGCCTATGTGTTAACCATCTGGTTGGGACGAATGGATGAGGTCTCGCAGTGTGGAGGCCGGAGCGGGATAGACCGGCTTGACCGGGATCGTCAACGGCACGGGAGCCACTGGACATCATGACCCCCGCACAATGCGATATCGTAGCCTCGGGCTTCAAGAACGCGGGGCAACGGGATTGAAGGATTAAGCCTGTCGCTCTTCCATCGTTCCCTATTGATGCGTGGGTAAGCGCCATTTTCACGGTGTGTCGATGGCGCAGCATTGTCCAACGTGGGGTTGTGTCAATGGATGATGGGTCATAGAGGCGCCCAAAGACGAATTTCCTTGGTTCAAGCCATGGGATGTTTCATAAACACCGGCAAGCCGGTACCTCCACCGTCCGAAACAGACGTCCTGTTGGGTGACGATATCGGCTTCAAGAAATACTAACGAAGAAGAGCCGGTAATACTGACGGAATCCTGAGCCCAATCATAGGAAAGGAACTTGGCAACGTGACAGTCACACACCTAGCTTCCTTGACGTGTTAGTACTCGAGTCCAATACATCTGACACGACCGATTAACTTGTTTCGCAATGAAAAAGGACGCGAATACTTCTACGGATTTGGACTCAGCCATCGACAATAATACGAAGACCTAAGAACGACAATGATTACGTGGGATTTGTCACAGTCAACCACCTTGCATAGAAAGCGAATTCAAAGCGGGAAATAGGGCTTCCAACTGAAATATATCTGGGTACTTCGGTCAAGCCGGAGGGACGTGATGGTGTCCTATCTTTGGAACCGATAGTTAGGGTTAAGTATTCGCCTGACAACGCCAATACCAGACGCCCGCTTGGTCCCAACGGGAGCAGTCTTGAATGAAGCGATCACACAAATGACCAAGCCGAAAGAAAGGGCCGTATGAGCAATATGTCAAAAAACAGTACCACGGGACAGGATAGCGTGTACCCACGCCCTGGACATGGCTTATAAACACACACCCCCATCGCGATACAGAACACGGGATGCCACAGGTGGCTTGGGTTCGCCGGGAGCTTGCCTCTCTGCATGCTTCTAGCCCTACACACTTGTGAACAAAGGCTTCGAAAGCACGCAGGTACGTGTCAAATTGAGCACACAATAATTTCCAGAAATCCAAGTCCGCTGCCCCATCTCAGTCCTCCTTTTCACAGAGCCAAGGGCTCACTAACACGAGCCGAAAGAAATTAGGGCATGGTGCTGGATTGTCAGTGCATCAAATGGTAAGACATGACTGATTCCCAGTGAAGGATGGACCCTCTACCCCTGTCGATGAATGCTTAAGGGGCCCGCTGAACTCCGGGTTCTAAAGGGGTCAAAGAAACCCATACAAAGAGCCGTTGGACACAAACACTTACATGCTTTTGTGGTAAATTCTATACTAGAAGGTGCCTGCATTATTCTTGCATGAGCGTATATATGCAGCTATTTTCCACGATCCCGCAGGTCGTCTGTCCATGGGGGTCCCTGTGATGCATATCATGACGACAACGTTTCCGTGAGCAGGAGCAGAATGCCATGACGCCGATGACTTCCCCTTTAGTTGAGTTACCATTTCAATGAATCAACCATCGACTGAACTGGAACCTGACGGGTCAAGGTTTAGGCGTCTCTGGCGATGGACGGATGGAATGTTGGTTGTTACCATCTAGTGCCGATGTTGAATCGTGAACAGCCACAACTATTCACTAACATTAACTCCAAAAGCTTGCAGGTTTACCCCAATCTCCTGGGCCCCGTGGCCTAAGGCGTTGGCCGAAAGGAAGCGCTGTGGTGTATATATTTGTGCTAAAAGTGACACCGGGACAGTAGCAAACCTGCGACTAATTAATCAATCCCCAGACTCAACGAAAACTGGAGCCACCAGACCTGAGCATAACTTTGTCTGTTTGACAGACGGGAAGGCGACGTACTAGGTACCCCATCGAGCCGAGAGATCAGAACCAGCCGCCTCCAACACGGGGTCCATCGCTAGGCGCTGCTTGAAGCTTGAAGCACAATGACGATCAATACTGGTGCCGTGTTAGTCAATCGCACCGTCCTTGGTTTTTGTGGCCGTCTAAGTGCCCCGACTCCCTCCGTCTCAACGCCCAGTAGCATTTCATACTCAGTATATCATGATAGATTTGAATTATGCCCTCCGTGTGCCGAAAACCCCCGACATCCGGGACTAGAGCAGGGCGCCGAACCCGGACCTGAACGGACCCTCGCGTTAACAAAATAAGATAATATTTGCTTTTCATATCCATAGTTGACGGAGAAATAATGAGATGAGACTTCACAAGTTCATCTTTGTCATCCGGAAGTTGACCCGACATTTGATGCCATGCTAATCTGGCGAAACCCGCGGAACTGGGAAAGGGGAGTCAATAGCGAGAAGCCCGAGCCAGGTCGTGGACGCTGCGCAGCCTGCGCTGGAGCTCACTGGGGCTTGAAACGGCATTTTTATCTCGTTTGGCTGGTCTGGCTGGTCCGGCTCGCTTCCCCGTTTGCGCGCTGGGCCGGATCCTCTCGTTTCCCTAGACTACCAGCTGCTTGGGAATTGGAAGCAAATGAATAACACAGCAAAACAATTTTACATGGGCCAGCAAAAACAAAGGAGAGAGCCACTTTCAGACCTGCATGGAAGAAAAGAAGTGTAATGGAACCAGAAATAAAGGGGAGAGGCCGTGTACAGTGCCTCTAATTAACCATTATAGCTCTGACTCTGGCTCAGACTTGGGTTGGTTGCCTGTTGAAAAGCACACTCACAATGAATGCACCCATACCAGTATCACTCACTATCATGAAAGCCACTCACTCGCTATCTACACTAAACTTACGCCCCCTACCATGGACGAGACAAAACATGGGGGCAGACGAAAGAGAGCGACGCTTGACCAGGTTAGGCAATGACTCTGTGAGATGGTGGTTTGCGATTGGGTTGTGATTTGTTGTTGCTAGCGGGCGTGGCTCTATTATCCAAGGTGAGCGCAAATTCACACCCACCATTACCTTACCTTTTAGCACATTCGCCCCCTGTGCTGCCTCCAAACTGCGCCTATCGCACGCACACGCACCGCCTTGCAAACAGGTGCTTTAAGCCTGGGTTGGGGTGCGATACCAACACGACTGCAAGTGCAAGTGCAAGTGTAAAGAACAAACAAGTACGTACCGACCCAGGCTGCTGCTCGGGCTGGGCTGGACTTGCTGGGTTGGCTACGACTCACACAGGTTCACCTGCCCTTGGCTGGCGAGTTGGTGGTCATACTTGAAGTCGGGACGCCCTCCATGGAATTTACTCTTTCTTCTCCTCAAACAACAACGACACTACTAAAGAAACACCAAGATTCGATCAAGAGTCTCTTGTCACAGTCCAGATCATCGCGCCAGCTCTGCCCAGGCCTGCCATACTATCGCCATATTTGTGCAAGCAACTTGTCTTGCCAGCGCTCCTTATAGTCGACTTCTGAATAGGTACGTACCCAATCTGACGCGGTGCGCCGTCCGTGGTGACTCGAGCAAGAGCCCAACTCCCAGCTCCCAACTCCCATCTGCAACTCTTTACCGCTCCCGTTGAGCACGGCTTTGCAAGGATCGCATAGAAAAACAGACCGCTTCGTCAAGAGCAAACCCGCTGACCGTACTCTCTCATCATCAGACTTGCTCTCTCGGAAGCGCATACTTCAAGACCGACATACGGTAATCATGGCTACCATGGCAGCGGCTGCTCGTGATATCTCCCAGGCCTCCTCGAGTCGAGACAACTTAACTGCTGTAGCGGCTCGAAGTGCGTCTGCGACTGTGACACGATCTCAACAACCCCTCCCTACTCCCCCCAACTCCATTTCTCCCAACCTGCCGGCTCACGGGCTCAAGGCGCAGCTCCAGAAGGCCAAGCTTGAGCCTATAGACTCAGACCTGGATCTTCAGGAATCTTCGGATCGACGACGATCGATCTCGCCTACCCTCGAGGCCTCAGGTGCCATCACCGGCTCTCTCCTCGCCAAATACCACTTGCCAGAGATCTTGCTCAACCACGGTCCCTTGGCCATCAGACACATCATGGGGTACCTAACCACTTCGGTCCCCGGATTTTCGGGAATTCCCCCAACAAAGGCGCGAAGACTGGTCGTGGGAGCTTTGGAGGGTCGAGGAGGAGAAGGCGGTGGACAGGATGGAGAGGTGGAATTTGAAAAGGTGGGCTGGGGCCGATGGGATGCTCGCAAGCGAGGTCAACCTTCGCGACACCGCCAGGGAACTCCACCTTCCTACATTGCCGGCATCCCCATCAGCAAAAACAGCGGTAGAGATGACCGACCCAGACTCAGCATTGCTTCAAGCAACGGAGATTCGGCTCATTTTTCTCATGAAGACCACGACGTTTACATGATGGAACATGAGGCCGATAAAATGTCCATGGATGGATCCGGGTCTGCCTCGTGCTCCGAGGCTCCTGACGACGATGTTGTCATGAATGACGACCCTGAGGATGCGACGGACGACGAGGACTGGGCCACGATGGGTGCTGCTGCACTCCGAGCTGAGTCTTACCCCAACCCGGCGGCGGCTCAGATCGACTGCGGCTTCCAGTCCTCTTCTGCATATACACCAGGTGGGCTTCGTTCGTTCTCTGCCAGCTCTGGTATGGCGCGTCCACCTCGAGCACTTAACATCGATTTCTCGGCATTGGCGGGTACCTCTGACGCACAGGAGCGGGAGGCTGTCGAGGCTCTTCTGCAACTCGGTTCTGCATAATACTTTTTCTGCATGCGCGGCGTTTCTTTTTTTGGGCTTTCGGGGTTTCTGAAAGCGATGCGATTTGGGGCGGGTTGGCTTAAGGAGAGGCTGTGTCGGCCCACATCCTGACCGAGGCGGCGACCTCTGGCTCACTATTATTCTCATGATGACACGGCTCTCTTCACGTTTTGCTTCGGGTTGTACTCTTTCTTAATATGGGCTCAGTTATTGGCGTCTTGGTACTCGGCGGCATACTGTCTACAGGACAGATGAATCATCGTCGGCTGTTGATGGTCAGCACGCAGGCAATGTTCCATGAGCTGAACGCACAACGAAACTTTTCGGATGCTTAAGCCTGAAAACTCATGATATCCGGGTCTTATTTCTTTTTATTGTGGGGACACAAGTCGTCGAGGCACTGCCTTTTGTCGCTTGATCTTCCCGTCGCTCCATGGGGGCTGTTCGATTCTAGCCCCAAGGCGCAAACTTATGCCAGGAGCTTTGGTTCCTGAGCGACACAATACCCTTGACGGGAAGGGCTGGTCTCCGATGTTGAGTCGTCTCCTTGGGGTATTTACTTTACAATACCCGGTTGGCCAGGTTTGGCTTTGCATCATAACCAGATCCTACCACTTCAACACCACGTGGGGGGATCATGACGACGATTATTTTTATACCATTTGTGGGCAGTTGCAGCCAGTTTTTGGGCCTCGTTTTGCAACCTTCTCGACTATTTGTTTAATCAACTTTTCATGGGCATTTGAGGCGGGGTACGCATCATCATCATCAGCAACAGCAGATAGAGGAGGAAAAGGTCGGAAAGGGACATGTTGGATGGACCCTTGGCACCATTAGGGATATGATATCATGGCTGGAACCACTTGGGCTCGAACACTATGCTCGCCCTCATGTCTTTTGTTTGCCGAGGGCACAAAGACTGAAAAAAAGGAGTAAAATCATATGGGTCAGCGAAGGATCATTAGGTAGCTTCCTGGTCGTTAGTATTTTGGAGCCTCGCAAGCTTCACCAATGGAAGTTCTGGTCTTTCCTTTCCAGATGGAGTGTCAATAACAATTGAGTGTGTGAATATTCATGAAAACGAAGAGGTTGGTCGGTATATGCCGCTCTGAAGGGCTGAGTATGTCTCAAAATCGGTTGGGGAAGTGACTTGTTGGTGTTGGTGTTGATGTTGATGTTGATGTTGCGAAAGTCAAGTAAACAAAGCATGTGCTTGTGGGATGGTCGGACAGGAATTTCTTGACAGGCTGTTGCTGTTGCGTTGTGGTATGTATCAGATATTGTTTCAAGTACAAAAATTAAAGCAGCTTAAATTGACAGAGTTTGCATCGGGGAAAAGTAATTGAGCATATGAAGTCATCCGATTCAATCGATCGTTAGTCACGTGCCCATTATCGTGATCTTGGATACTTTAACCTCGGATGAAGCTCTGTGGAATTATAACACTGGATATCCTAAAATGAACTCAAAATAGACACAGTCAGGCTATGTCTAGGATAATAATTTCTTCATGTTTGGCTGAATATTTGATATGTTCAGGTTCTGTGCTTCATCTCCCACATCAGCTTTTGTTAAGCAAAACTTATACATTATACTCACAGATAATAAGTGGAAGACATAATTTCATATCTGGAGAACTACGAATAGCCACATCCCAGCAGGAGAGTTTTACTCGTGTGTTACTGTATTACCATCTTAGATATTCGTTTTATCGACGTTATGTCGGAGCCTACCCTGGACATGCATTCTGGGAAGCAAGTATACAAAGTGGCTTGCTGCCAGGTACTAGTTGTTTACAACAAACTTGCTGGCTAGTGTTTTGCAAGCTGCATGATATAATCCGTACAGTGAATGATCACATGGGCAGTGTTGGTGGTCTCCGGCTTCTCACATCCAGTAGTTCATTCTCACCAGTCGCAAAGCAATATCATCATGCCAAGATGACAAGTATCGGCAATAGCCGCCACTATGAGGAGCGCACGTTCTCTGTTACAATGTTACGTTAGTTTACCGCTGGACATCCTGCCCTTTGACACGCAATGAGGTGAGTATCAAAACCTAAAGTGTCTTGGCTACAAAGCTTGAGGCAGGCTCATGTCCACAAGACTCGGGACAAGAACAGAGAGCGCTAGGCCAACTCTTGGGTACCACAAGCATCTGTCCCTTGGCATGCACTGCCACCAGCTGTCGTCATCTCCAAGACCTTGGCGCGGAACGGGGTGGGATGCTTGGATGGAGAGGAGTTCTGGGCGGTTCCTTGGCTTTGCTTGGCCTGGAGAGATGTGGTATCATGAGACTTGGCCCGGGGTAGTGAACTTTGCTGATGAGGAGAAATAAGAGGAGTATTGACGAGTGAGGGATTTCTTATGATAATGGAAACTGGATATGTAGCACAAGTTGATTCTGTGTAGTGCGTGGCTGTCCTAAAGTCGTCCCTTGTTAGCATGAATAAGTATGGCCGCCGGAAGGTAAAACTTGTAAACGTCTGAGGCTGCATCATATTTGTCTGGGCATTCTGCAACAGAAACCACAAGGACGCATGTTTATTCCCGATCTTCCATTGCGGTAATGGTTTTGGATTGTCGACCGTGTCAATTGCTGGGCGCGTTTAACAGAACAGGTTATTATGAAGGAAATGCAAGGATACGGATATCTGACCCATACAAGTGATGCGGCCTCGTCGTGCCGTCTTATTGAGTACTATGTAATTATTGGATAGGATAAGAGGTCTGGGACAATAAAGAAAGACGTGTTATCTTGTGAAATGCGCAAATTGATGGAGAGTATCCGTAGTTGATCAATGTGTGTAAGGATTGAATGTTGCAATGGCCTGACCCGCCTTGCCCGCATGTAGATCTGATGTTGGTGTCAAAAAACGGGATTAACGGGTTATCATACATTGCGAGTTTGAGCCTTCTTTCACATTTCACCTTTCACCCATCTCCGAATACTACATTCCTTATCCAAGCTCAAGGCTTAGTCGGGATGATCGATCGACCTTATCTGACCCTATGTAGGCAGGCGGACAGGCCAAAAAAGAAGCATAATCGCATCAAACAAGGGGAAAACGTGGGCTTGGCTCTGCAGTGATTGCTTGGCAAACTACCAAGAGAAAAGAGGAAAAGGACAAGAAAAAGGTCTTGGCCGATGAAAGTCTTGGTTTTCCCAAACCTGCCAAGACGAGCCAAGGCTTGATTAAGATTGGGGCAGTCGGTCTTGGCGAAGAGTCTGGGCGAAGAAAAGAAGGGGGGCCGGCCAAGAAAGGGAAACTTTGTGGAGAATACTCGGGAAAAAAACGAAGGCAAAGAAAAAGAAGCAAGGAGACAAGAGGCGCAGAAAGCTTGAGTCGTGTGGATGCCGTGCTTGGCTGACGTCTGGTCTTTCCGAGTCAGCTGTTATTGGAGGAATCGTAACTAGCATTGATGGACATGGGTTAATGTTGTGTATATATCGGGTATTGTTGAATGTTGTTCACAAGCCATTGAGTTGAAGGTTTGGTATTGTTATTTAAAACCATGTGGTTTTTCTCTCTGTATACTGCTTTTGGACTGGTAAATCAAACTCAAGGCATTCATTCACATTCATATGGTGCAATTGAGCCTCTGCTAAAGACCTGAAGCATGGAAATAAACAAAACCTGGCCTGTTCCGGTAGAGTTTATTAGTTGATTGACGTTACGGGGGATAACAGTTCCCCGAAACATCCGAAAAGTCTCCAGTGTACGGAGTAAGGTTGTTAATACCGGTCCAACAGCATCCGTAATTACCGGGTGTATTGTTTGATCAGCCCTTTTTTTAAACTCTGTACGCATTCAGTTGCGCAACAGTTTGGTCAGAGGCCATTCATTCTTGTCTGTCCCTGTCAGATTTGGCCCCGGGAAAGTTCCTGACTTGATCCCGGGTAATGGAGATTAAGGTTAGGTACGTAGTAAGGTGAGGGTGAGGTGAGTGAGGTAAAAAGAAAAAGAAAAAGAAAAAGAAAAAGGGTGATGGCTCAGGTGACGGAAGGACAAAACGCTTGACGCAGTAGGTGGCCAGCTTGTGTGAGGCCCAATACAGCAAAGACCAATAGAAATGTCATGATGAGGGGCAGTGCCCAGACTGCCAAGCCTTGGCGGTCTTGGCACCGTTCCCTCCGCCTACGTTCTTGGCGTAGCGTCCGCATGAGGGTACTTATCTCACAATGCTGTTCCACTAAGAAATCTAAGTACCCTTTCGCTCCTGCTACCTCTCAATCATCGCCAAGACCGCCAAGACTTTCCGCTCGTTCTCACCCTCTCTCTTGCCCAGACTTGACTTTTGCGTAAATGTAAAGGGAGCACATTCCCCCGTAGATTCTCTTTTGAACGTTCATTTGTCTCTAACTCTAACATCAATCTATCAACTCTATTTGTCTCCTCTTCTTGTTTCTTTTTGACAAGTTTGGATAGTTCACAGCCTGAGAGACGATCCTTGTTGCACCACAACAAGACCTGGCCTACCCTTTCTAGTCCTGTCACCCATCACTCGCCGGGTTTTAATCACTCGAATCCTGATCACTTCACGTTATTCCCGTCATGTCTTCTTCGGGTTCTGAGCAGAAGCCTCAGCTTCAACAACAGCAGCAGCAGTCATCATCGTCAGCAGATTCTTCCTCTGGCAGTGCGAGCAATGACTCCAAGTCTGTGACGCCTGCACCTAGCGCCACATCAAACACCTCACAGAGCAGCAATGCTCCTTCAACATCAAACGACGACAATCTCATCTGCCGATGGAACGCCTGTAACCAAAAGTTCCCTGCTCCCGAGGTGCTCTACGTAAGAAACTCCAATCACAGCAACTCAAAACCACAGTCACTGACATCATACAGGAGCACATCTGTGAGCGCCATGTTGGTCGCAAGAGCACAAACAACCTCAACTTGACTTGCCAGTGGAACTCTTGCCGAACTACCACGGTCAAGCGAGACCACATCACCTCGCACATCCGTGTCCACGTTCCTCTGAAGCCTCACAAGTGTGAGTTCTGCGGAAAGTCTTTCAAGCGACCCCAAGATTTGAAGAAGCACGTCAAGGTAAGCCTCAGCCCGCATGACCCCGACTATGTACCCAGAATCAAGCTCACACCAAGTAGACTCATGCCGACGACTCTGTACTTGTCCGCCCATCCCAGGATCCCCAAGGCGGACTCAACTATAGGCCACAGCCTCCTAAGGGTATGTCTCAACTCGATTCTAGTCCACGGCTGTGGTCAACCGGTTTTCCTTCTCTCGAGGCTAATTCGCCTCCAGGACCTTCTAGCTACTACGACCACACTGGCCAGATGCGAACTAACGCAGCTGCCTTTGCACACCAAACTGGTCACCCTACTGGCGGCTACTACGCTCCTCAGCCTTCTACCAACTACGGTCTCTACTTCAACCAGCCCCCTATCAACAATGGCCGTGCCGAGCACCTTGGCTACACTGCTCATGGCGGCTACGACCGAAAGCGCACATATGACATGGTCGACGACTTCTTTGGCAGTGCCAAGCGTCGCCAGATCGACCCCTCGTCCTACACCCAGATTGGCCGTTCCTTGATGCCTCTCCACGGCAACCTCTCCGTTGCCAACGGTCCCATGGCTGCCACTGAGCAGTACATGCCTCAGCATGCTCCCGCTCCTGTCCACGCTGGTCATACCCCCGGCCAGAACCCTCTGGCTCAGCAATACTACCTGCCCATGCCTAGCGCGCGCACCCAGAAGGATCTCATTCACATCGATAACATTCTCGGTCAGATGCAAGATACCATCTACGAGAATGCCAACCACGCTACTGCGGGTGTTCACATCCACCAGTCTGAGGGCGGTTTCAACGGTTACCGCAACACTCCCTCGCCTCCTAGCTCTCACAGATCTCCTATTGGTATGCACGTCGCCACTGATGGCTACCACCCCGTGTCTGCAGCCAGCATGGCTTCGCCTCTGACGGCTATCTCTTCTACTGGGACTCCTGCTGTTACACCGCCCTCAAGTTCCATGTCTTACACTTCAGGCCATTCGCCGAGCCCATCCTCCTCTGCCATGTCTCCTCAGTCGCGCCACGGCTCAACCGCCTCGGTCATGTACCCTACTCTTCCCACAAGTCTCCCCGCCGTTAGCCAAGGCTTTGGTCACTCTGCCACAACCACTCTCGGCCCTAGCTTTGATGGCAGTGAGCGTCGCCGCTACTCTGGTGGCATGCTTCAGCGGGCTCGTGGCCCTCTGCCTCTTCCTCAGCCTCAGGAGGATATGAGCGGTGCCTCTACCCCCAAGGTTAGCGAGTCTGCTCTCTCCGTTGGCTCTCCATCTTCAGAGTCTGACGCCAGTGAGACCACCCGTGAGCGCGAGGAACAATATGACCGTTGGCTCGAGAACATGCGGGTTATTGAGACTCTTCGCGAATACGTTCGTGGACGCCTGGACCGCAAGGAGTTCGTGGACGAGAACAAAACTCCGCAACCAAGCCACGCTGATGCTATGGATGTCGATCCCAAGAGCCCCCAGCCTCCTTCAAGGGAATTGAATACCCCCCGCGAGGGATCCTCGCTTTACCCCATTCTTCGCATGCCTGGTTCTTAGGTAACTCTTTGATTCAGCTGCTGGTTTGGCTGTACGTGTACTATTATCGTCTATCCTTTCTGCTGCGTCAAAGCAATGCAGCATATATCATGTTCATGCGGGTTTTTGTCAGTCAGCATAGGCTTTGTTTGGACTGTTTATTCTTTGGACGCTCTACAGCTGAGCATGTACTCGCGTTTGGTGGAACATAAGGGCAACTTTGGTGAAGTTGAAGCTCACAATTCTTTTGCGATTTATTATTCTTTGTGTTGGCAATTGCTAGACACAATCTTGTGGCCAATCTATGATGGATTATGAATGATATGGGGAAAAGGTGGTCTGGATTTTGAGACGAGAAAGCTATAGTTTCTGAGTTATCGGGCATTACATTAAGCACAATTAAAAAATGCATCAAATCATCATCTGTTCAGTCTGATTCGAATGCAAACCATCATGACTAATGTCACATTAGATGCGTGACTTGCGCGAAGCATCGTTTTGGCATGATTTCGTTGATCGATGCATATAAACAGGACGGCCCAGCTTTTGCTGGAGAGGCTACACAGACGTATGCAGTACCCCTTTATACACAAGCGTATATGCACCCCGAGATGTAGTAGAAACGATGGCCAAACAAGTATTCTCCGAAGATGTAGTCACAAGCCGCCACCTTCAGTCTATCGACAGAAAGATCCCTGCCGTAAGCCCCGTACTTCCCCAAACCTGAAGCAGCGGATCTCGCGATTCTCTGTCGTAGGCTCGTAGCAGGCATAGCTGTGTCGATCTCTGTGAGGCTGAGGGAGAATAAACGTCACTTGTGAGTCAGCGTGTACTCCTTTCGCTTGCAGGTAGAGTTAAGTTAGTTCCTTAGAAATGACTCCATGTTTATTGTGTTTTGCCTGTGATGCCTTTACCATCGCAGTTTTGCCTGTCGTGGTTTTTGCCTGCGATGTTACTGTTTCATTGAAACATGCCAGTTTATGGGAGAAACAATCTAGGCATGGTTCTCATTAGAGTCTTGGTCTGGACTGATGATACTCTGACCGGGCCATCGGTACCTGCCTACCTACTTAACCATTGATCCGAACTGTACACCTAGTATAAAGTGAGTTTCGCACTTTTGCCGTAACGACATCAAAGTTAATATTTCTATAGCCTGAAGTTTAAGTTCTCTTACGCCCTCAACTCAACCTGTGAGGATCAGACTTTCAGCGTCAGCCAGTACCCCAAGGTTCTGAAACAGCAACGGAAATGAAATGACGGCACGTTGCGCTGCGCACAGAGCCCCTTGACTTGATACCAGCGAGAGAATGGAATAAAAATAATCAACTTAAAAAGCACCGGGGTATCAGGTATATGATATATGACTGCACAGCCGCGAAAAGGTCTTGGGCTACGTTGGCTTTAATTTCATTGTTCAGGTGCTATCCCGTACCTCGAGGTGAGCACTAGGTAGAAACGCGAAGATCAGAATAAGGGAATTTGCTTTTTGGTAGCAATAGGATTCAAAGGAAGTAGTTTCTGTTTCTGCCCCTCATATAATCTGGCAAAATGGATTCTGCAGCCGTTTAACTCATGAAGGATTTAACTAGGGACATAGAATAACCGGGACATTGCGTTTGTCAGACGTAAGTTGCCGAACGGTCCCGTCGTGAGAAGCATGTAAATTGATCGTCAACCAAGGATAAAGGAAGGGACGGGACCGTTTCGTCATTTTCAATGGGCAGGTTACGCTTACCCAGTTTTTGCTTTATTATATCCGTACCTTGAGTGAAAGTGTATTTAGGTAACCTTTGTTCCTCGTGCTGGGCAGTTCCCCTTTTGCTGTTTACCTTATATCACTGTCATATCCTCTCTCTCTCTCTCTTCCTACGTGAATCACGAACAAACACTACTGTTCACGAATACTCTTGACCTAACACCTATATACATATACATACGTACTTCTTTCTTCGTTCATCACTCACTTGTTTACTACCCTCTGATTATCTTCAACCATAACTAGCTTCTTGCGAACATCCAAAACCCCGAACCTCTCAACCACATACACCAAACCCATCCATCATGCGCTTCTTCGCCGTCGCCGCCCTCTTCCTCGGCAGCGTCGCCCTCGCAGCGCCCTCCACGGGAAAGACAAAGGACTGCTGCTGCTGCGACATCTCCCAACCGGCCATAGTCTGCAAGAAAAACGTCAAAACCGAAGACTGCATCTGCGCCGCCGTAGTCTGTCCCGTCAATGCTCCCACCTACTGGCCTGCCACGGCCAGACCCACCGCTACGTCCGTCCCTACTTCTGCTGTCGCTGCTAAGCGCGAGGAGCCGAAGGAGCCGCCTACTCCCGCGGGGCCACCGTGCTGCTGCTGCGATCCCTCCAAGGATGCCATCGTATGTGAACTGCGTGCTCAAGGAGAGGACAATACCTGTATGTGTCCTATGGTCAAGTGCTCTGCCGGTGTGAAGACTTTAACGGTCTGGCCGGGCGCGGAGGAGACAAGCATCTAAGCATTCATGAACACAGAGGACACAGGTGTTCCATTTCTATGTCGAAAAGACGGCAACGTGTGGTTTTCGCTTTGACTTCTTGATGTATATTCTCTAGGCGAGGGTTTTTGGTTGCGATCAGTATGAATAGCAAGGCATGGTTTCTTCAGAGCAGAAAGAACAAAAATAACAAATTGACATCAAGTACATTGAAGTGGTCAAATAATAACTTCCCTCATCTTTGTCTTCGTTTTCAAAAGATATTACTGTCTTGTCGTGTTAGTGCCATATCGATATCACCAATTGTGTCAACGACGATCATCAACCAGGATAATGTCGATACATTCTCAACTTAGTCTAGCTGTTTCAGGAGGAAATAGTCATCAAACAAACTTGTGAAACTTTTTAACATTCCTAGTTCAACGTTCCTGGCCCTGGAAGTCGTTCAACGTCGACGTTAACGTCAACGCCAAGGGTGATCTGCGCCACATATCAGTATATTTACTGTTGATTGGCTGCTTTCCCCAGCACTGGATGGAAGAGGCAATCCAACGAATGCAGATGTGTGAGATTACCATACGGCTAAATGCCAGATTGACCTCCCTTGCCAACACCTTTCCAGCATTAACTTCCTCAGCTTTGAATCGAATATCACTGTCTAGGTCACTGCGAATCTGCGAATAATTTGGTAGGATAAGAAATTATACAATATCGACTACAGATAGATATAGATATATGGTTGCTATTCCAAAATGCTCCATGTGTCGTGTCCCAAGGCTCAACCCCATGGAAGATAAGAATTGCTTGATGTAAAGTGTTTTGCTTCGGCCCATAGTTACCCATCAGCTGCCAGAGTGATCCAAGGCCTTTCCTCGGGGCGCATCACTGCCGCCCCTCTCCATCTCTTTTTTAAATCATTCATCTAGCCCTTTTCCTAAGACCTTGGACCATGGCAGCTTGTTGTTATTGTACAAGTCGGCTAAAGGGAAAGGGAGAAATGCAAAAGTTTCATGGGGAAAGGTGGGCCACTGATGGGTAGCAATGCGAAAATTAGACCGCAGCGTAAACGGGTATATAGTAACGGGTCATGAAAAGTGCCGTTGACTCTCCGGTTGCTGAATGGCAAGGTCGAGCCATAAAAGGCGGGTTATAAGTTCGCTAATTTTTGGTAGGAACAAAAGGTTCCAAAAGAAGAATCGTATCCAAAGCTTTGTCGTGACAAGGTCATCCAGACGGCTCAAAGATGCATCGCCGGCGACGAACGAAGGGAAAGAGAGGCATCAAAGGGGAACCAGCTCTTTATTGAAATTGAGTACGGTCCTTCTCCTTGAGGCCGCCAATGTGGTCCATATCGATAGAGTAGAACTGGCCCTTGGCCTCCTTCTCGTAGGCGGGGAGCTGCTCGTCGTTCATAGGCTCAAGACCAACAGTCGAGTTGTCGCCAACACGGACAACGAGTACACGGCCGCTCTGCTGTCGGCCTTGCTCGTCCTGCTCATCGGGGAAGGTGATGTGAATCTCCGGGACGTTATCGGGGGAGGAAGGAGGAGAGTTGGGGTTGGCAAGCATAGGACGGCCGTCTTGGTTGATGACGAAAACGCTGGAACGGCCGTTATGTGTTGTCTCGATGGTGAGTCCGCGGTGGTTGGTGAAGCGCTTGCTGTTGCTGTCGTAGTAAGAAGGCAGACCGTCCTCCTCGGATTGAAGGACTTGCTGGTTCTGGAGACGGGCGCGGCGGAAAAGGAAGAGGATAGCCACGAGAATGAGGCCGAGGAAAACAAGGCCGAGAAGGCCAAGCATGAGGTTGATCATGCTGTCGTTTGAGCCGTCGGAATCGGCAGGCATGTCAGATCGGGTGACGAGGTTGAGAATAGTAGGCATCGTGAACAGATTTAAGGTTGAATGTTACGTGGGTACAGCAACAAGAACAAATTTTGATCAAGTTTGTAACAACGCTAGGTGCTCTGTGTATAAAGAGAACGAATTTCAGGTCGATTAACGTCTGTTCATAATGTTAGCAAGCCATGTATCTCATTGCAAAACTGTCACCGGCGAGAGCGATTGGGTCATGCTGTGTCTGCCGTCAAATTTATCTGCAACGCAGCCTCCAATATTGTAGCCAACGGTCATTCCGTCACGAGGCCGGAAGAGCCCATCGAGGCTTAAGTCGGCTTATACTAGAGGTTCGGCCAATTCGGGAATATAGCGGTCCCACCAATTCAATTCATGCCATGACGTGTTGCAGATTGATGACCCAAACAGAGAGCGACTCGAGAAATGCAGGTGGCAGGTGGAGGGTCAGATGGGACAGAGAGACGTACGCCAGGGAGAAGATATCGCCAATAGTCCGTAGATGAATGCCTGGCGAGAACCGAAAACCGAGGTGGTTGGTGATAGACCTAAGGTAGTGGGTAAAACGAAGGGATAGAGGTGGTTGGAAAGACCGGACGGAAATCAGCTGAAAGAGTGAAGCTGAAGATCCAAGAAATGGTAAAGACAAGATGTACTGGAGCAAGAAACGATGCCTTTGACGATATTCACAAATTGGCCCGCGAGGATTGGGGTTGAGAAAAGAAAAGAAACAGAGCGAGAGGAACGTCTAGTTTTGGCTGCCCGGGGGAAGATCCATGGATATGAAATCGACAGGGAGGCCCGCCCGGAAATGAGACCATGCCAGGGTGTACAGGCCGCTAGGCGCTCGAGAGGTGCTGGACAACCACTAGGACCACTATTTCCTTGATTCCCTCAGGGGCACAGCCGCTGTAATTGGCGGCTAAAGCAGCCGGTGCTGGTGTGCTGGGGCACCTTCTCTGGTGAGCTTGGGGGCACTTTCCTTGTGAAGGCAACTTAGGCAAGGGGCGGTGCGGGGCCTCACCGCAGTCGGCTGGCTCATATCAACCAGTGAGAGGTTATTTGAGTGTCCCGCTTCAGTCATCTAATGTTGAGCCGTGACTGGGTCTTAGAAGAGGAGCCAGGAGATGAAAACTGTTGGCTCCAGGTTCTTCCTCCCAACCTTGCATTCTTCAACTTAGCTTCTCAAGAGACTGGATACTCGCCAGGATTCGCTACCCTCGACGCTCACATGTTCCCCTGTACGCGCGCGCTTTATTGGTTGAACGACTCGAAGCCGTTGGTGTCCCCGCTTCCCCTGCCAAGCTACCCAGGCCAGGTACGGTGAAAGCTTGGATATGTTTTCCAGTGGACGACAACAAAAGAATCGATCCTGACTAGCTTATCGATAAGACAGCGAGACAAGGAAATGATGCCTCTGCTGGTGCTGGATTGGACTCAATTCTTTGACCTCATCTAAACAATGCTGAAAGGGGCCTAGATTGCACGCGAGAGTGGCAAGCACCCAACTTCGATTTCAACGCCAATGCAAGGCACGAACGGTTATCACACACAAAGGGACAAGTTCAAGCACAACCCCCATGCTAAGCCCAGCGCCACGACGCTTGCAAAAGCAGAAAGGTCACCGGGATTGGAGGGCCCATTGCTTCGAATCGAATGAAAGCGAGATGCCCCTGACGTCTCAACCGCATGCGCGTGATGACTTTGTTCAGACGTTGCATAGCCACTCTTCTTCCATCGTTTTCTTCCTTTAAACCTTTGTCATATGCATACGGACATAAGCAGGCAGCACACGCGTTCGACGGACTGTGCTGTGCTGCTTCTATTTCGAGCAAGACGATCGTGAAAGGTAATCGGACAAGCTCTGCAGTGCAAGCTTGATCCATGCTTGAGAAAAAGGCGGGCACGCAATCGTTCATCCCTTGTATCTCGTTTGCCTGGCCACTTACCCGCTTCATTTAGGGTGGCTCCAACATCTGTGCTTCTCGTCCACGTTGCCACGATACTTGAATCGATCAGGAGACATATTATAGGTAGTTCCCCTTTCTCGCGTACTTGCCGATTACCCTGCACAGCTACGACTGGGTCTTGGGTAGTTGACGAGTTGTAACTTCTGACTTTTCATCTGTTTTTTTCTCCGACCGACCAACGAGTTAGCGGACGACAATACACCCTGGTAAAATGTCACCAAGCGTCGCCCAGGGTCAAGCACACCATGTTCACCCCATGTAGGCAGGTTTGTTTGCTCAGGGGAAACTCTCACAGAAAATGGTTGCGTGATATATACTTCGAAGATGTATATATCGCTCATCGTAACTCTATGTACATCTCGTTGTGCGGTCTGAAGTCTTACGATGAAACACTTGACAAGTAAAATCACGAGGACAAGCATTCGCAATCAATCGGTCGATCGGATAGCCTTACTATTTGAACGGTTAGCATAATCACTATAGCTGTCTAATATAATATTTTACAATCTTGCGGTCAGTGAACCCCTTAGTAAGAGTAGTTTTTCTATTCCATGCATTAACGGAGTTTCGGACAAGTAGGCGACGTCCCTTACTATCAATCATTCGGTTATTTGTCTCGAAAGAGGATGCTCTCTCCAATCCACTGTTCTGTGATATTATAAGATCTATAGTGATAATAATGACTGGGACATAAGTGTTTCGAATACTATACCATTAAACATATTACTATTTGGTACTATTATGTGCTCCACCGTCTATCACCCACCTTACCAATATCAGAGCGGAGATTTCCATGATCACCGGAAGCTTGCCATAGAACACTAAGAGCTGAAAGCTTGGTCGTCACTCCTCAGCAACGAGCTATTAGCGCTCCTACGACTATGGCTACTTGTTCTTTGTAAACAATATTTTTCGACTTCGTTTGAAATGCACAGTTGCTAGGTCAGGGGTAGGGCATAACCTGGGCCGAGTATGTCGGGACTTTCGGAATGCAATAATGAGGCCATCACAGGATGTTTGGGACATACAGATGAAACATTTTTGCACCACAATAAATGACAACAAACAAAGCATACCCGATCACAGCAGCCAGTATTTTTCAAACTACGGATTACAGCAGTATGCATTAATCCTATTTGTTTTTCATTCAAAATCGCTATGCCCTGACGCGTTCTGGAGAAAGATGTAGTCGACTGACTGACTGTTTAGGGTAAGAAGCTGCCAGATGAACAATTGACGAAATATGCTATATCCTGATGCCAAGAGTCTAAATAAATCTGAGCCCTTCATATCCGATACAGATCGGTCCTCAACACACGCGCAAGTGGACATTGTCTTAATGACAGCTGTCGTTATGGCAATGTTTATCATTTCCATCAAGAGGCGCACTCCTGGGACACGCAAGTGCTGGTGCCTTTTGTTGTCCTAGGTCCTAGGATCCATCTGGATCCATCTCCCTTGCTTAGACTTTGTCCATATCGGCCTTGTTTAGTCCCACTGGAGACACTTTTCCTTACATTTTGCTGGGGATCTCATATGGATGGCGCTGTCACAGGGCTTTATGGTTATATGCCCGACCACTGTCGTGGATAGGTTATTCGGGTGTTGACGTGTTGTCAATTTGCTCGCTCATTCTCTCACCTCTAGCCCGCTGAAGATGTGACAGTAAGATATTCAAAATTATCGTGGCCATAAGATCTCGAGGCGTATCCTTGCAAAATGCGCACATACCGAGAAAGCAGCATCGTCAGGGAAGAGGATATTTGTCAGTTTCGAGAGTTTCGTCGATTTGATTTGCATTTCAGCAACAATACAGCATACTAGAGGAGCCAGAGATATGCTTAACATTAGAAATGAATTCGTATTCTCCAGTGCCAGTTTCTAGCTTTGTTATACAATTTCAATCCGTGTTATACTTGGAAGTTGTATCTACCACATGCTGTCATTTAGACCGTCATTCCCAGGACATTACGCGCACCATATGTATCGGTTGATCGCCGTTGCCCATGGGATTGAAGCCTAAAACAATACGAATATGTTGACGAAGAAGCAGACAAATTTACGGAGTATTAAAAGTCAAATCGTTAAACTCAAAGCTTCCCTGATCAGGATATAACGATATGGGGTGACGGTAAGCTAAGCCACGTTGGGCATGGCCTGACGGGTGCCCGCAGCAGCGCCTTCTTGGCCTCTGAAGCTTCTCCCGCTTCAGGCCATCCATCAAGCAATATGAGGCTTAACTAAGGCTTGAAGTCAAACTGCCAGTCATGATGTTGTGAGATATATATTTCCACAGGCTTTGGACCCAGAAGCAGTCGAAATATGACACATGGCAGAAACCGGCCAGCAATGGACACAGTTACTCGTCAGAGAACCCTCCATGCTGAACCGAACCCCCTCCCTCGTTGCACATTGTTTCTTGGGGTTGCTCAATCATCAGTATCAAGACACGATTGATCTTGATGTCATTTTCATGCAAAAAGACACAGTTTGTGTGACGCTCGGGAGATGCGAGCCCCCCTCCTTGTGCCAAGTAGCGAGGCAACACAGAGATAGCGGGCGACCAGCCAAACAGTAATGCTTTTCATGTGCGGTTGCAGCCCGGACTCGGGTTGAACAATAAACAAAGGAGTTTGTTACGACAGTGACTGAAAGATAGTTTGACAGGTATTTTTGTGGCGGTAAATGGGGCAATGAGCACTTGGGGTTTTAGCAGTGTTTCAACAAGTCATCTAACACAAAATACACCGATGAAGGCAGATGAATTTTTTTTTACTTCGTTGTCGAATGTATGTGTATGCCATGATTTTAGTCACTGAGGTGATGCTCTGTACCCTCAAAAATTGAGTTCCCTCAAGAACTATATCTAACACTTGTGGCTTTCAAGCGCGAGGTCCAGTACTAAGTACTAATTTAATAGGCATGGTTTGCGCGGGATGCTCCTCTTGATCCCTTTTTTCATGTAACTTGTATGCTGTCACTTGCTGTCACGTCCCTCGTCGACTCAAGAATCCAATAGCTGTACACTATCGGCTCTTCATCTGCCTCCCTGATTGTTCACCAAAGCTGCCAGGTGGGTTACAATTTAATCCGCACACCAAGCGAGGCTGACAGAATGACTTCGTAGAGATTCCATATGAAAGCGACGCATAAATTCTGTCAACATCCATTTCAAAAAGGTGCTTACAGTGCTTTAGTGTGCGGATTATATTGCGACCCATATCCTAGGTGTACTGAGGTGAGCTTAAGGGACAACTACACGGCCCTCCCTGCTTTAACTACGACCCCTGGCTGGTCCTCTTTAAGCATATTCTACACTACTACCCTTACCTCCACATCTATTCATATCACTTTATTCGATACTGTGTCTAGACTAACCTATTGCCAAACCGCAGAAACAGAAACAGCCACATACATTTTCGGGCTTGTCTTGCCCGTCATTCCTCATCATTCCTCTGCCCTGAGCGGTGTCTCCCTTAGCCGCGAGGAGCAACATTCTGTGTCCTACTCGGTGCTCAGTGCTCACTACACTTGCCTTGACTCCTCGCTGGCCCGCACATTCCGACACTCGGTGTGCTACCTTGCGTTGGTTTGCCCTTGATTCCCATAGCTCGCGGGAGACTACATCTTTTTTCTGTAAAACAGGCTCTGCTCCCGCTTGACTGAAGCTTTCGGTTGCTGCACCTTCTTTACTCACTTAAAACCCAAGCAAAGTCTGTCTTCGTTCCGTCAGCATCAACACTTTTGCTTCACCTACACTTCTAATGTCTTAATCCTCTATTTCTTGTCATTTCTATTTACAGTTTTATGTAAATAAACTCTTCAAATACTACAAAAAGACAAAAGCCCATCCACCCAAAAACAACAAAAAAAAACCCCCCCAGCTTTCGTCGACCAAGGTTTTATTCACCCTTGCACCTCTATATCGATTGTCTACCTGAATTATTTCTACCGCAAAACTACCGACTCTCTAAACTTCTTGTTATATTGATCAACTACAAACCTTCTGCTGCCTGTTGCATCTCGTGACAGACTCAGACTCGGGGATCATACTGTCAATACTGCCAACCAAGCACACCGTACAGAGCTACAGATCTTTACCGCCCCTGGCCGGTCCCAACACATAACCTGTCTCTATCGCCTAGGATCCTGCTACATTCCTAAACATATCCCACACAAACCCGAGCAGAGAGCTTCTCTGGAGTCGATAATTCAACTGAATCTGGTCCAGGACGACTATTTTCTCAACTATCAGCATCGATTTGTCGTTAGTACATCATGTCTAGCAAGACTGGCAACAATCAGGTAAGCCATTCCCTACTTGGCATTCGTTGTTTTTATTTCTTATCACTCCTCATCTTCCTAATCTCCTTCCCTCCCTTGATTAGCGATACCCTGGTTTCAAATGCCCTGGGCTGGGGCCGAAGCTGGGGTTAGGTTTGGTCTGGTCTGATCTGGTCTGGTCCAGGGATGCGACGTCAGAGATGCTCGTGTGTCGAAACGAGACCAGATGCGTCAGACTAGCGCAAGTCTAGCTACGATTCGCTCCCGCCTCCAGGTCTGCAAGTGCAACGCAACCCAAAAAAAAAGGCCTTGCTGTCCCCCATAAGTTACCATCAATAGGTCCATACTCCATACTTATGCACACCAAATCAAGCCCAACTCCAAACACAAGCCCTGTACAAACCACACATCACCACATCACAACATCGCGACTCAATATTCTTATTGTTTCTCCGACTTCATCGCATACTAACATCGTACAATAGCGTCAGCAGCTCAACCCTGCACCTCACCACATCATGGCACCGGGAAGCCACAGTAGAGTGCAATCCGCGTCCATGCATAGTCTCAACGCAAACTCCGAACCTGCATCCGACGTCTGGAACCTCAACAACACTCGTCCTCTAAACTTGAGAGGTATGCTTCAACCTTCCTTTCTTCTGCTTCAACCTCCCTGCAAAAATACTGATGTTCAGCTCAGACAACGGTGACCGATCCAATGCCTACATGGCCTTCAACCCCACAACCAACAATCGTCCATGGAACACCAATACCGTATCGCAATCGCCCAGCTCATCGCCGAGCAGGACGCGGAACGCACTTACCAACAACGATTCGGATTACGCACAAATGACTGGAGGAATGAGCCAATTGAGAATGTCCAACATCCCGACCACATACAACAGTGCATATACCATACCTGCAAACTCCGACAACTTTGTGCCCTCAACGAGTGTCTTTCCCTCGTACCGGAACCATCGTTCTACCCCTTCTCGACATTCTCAATCTCAGTCCCAATCCCAATCATCACCGCCATTCTCTGCCGCCCATGCTGCGAGCAACTCGACCCAGTCTCAGCGGGCAGCGCAGCCTTACATGACTCCCTACCAAGTGAATAACCAAGCCTATAGTTTCAACAACACGCAGGGCATTGACGATTCGTCGTCGCAGTTCACGGACCGATTGTCTATGCCTTTGGAATCACGTCCATTTCAGTTCAATCCTGGTTCTCAGCCCTGGAACAATGACGGCAGCGTGCACCGCAGCCTGGAATTGCCTTCTCAGATGACCTCACATTATCAGCCAATCAACCGAGGGTCTGTCGACCGCGGCACATCGAGCCAAGCGGAGCAAGGAAATAGCTCTAGGTTGCACACGGCTTCCTCGAACGACTGGGGCCGCAGCCTTGCTGGCCGTGATACCCGACCATTCAATGAGGAGCGTCGCATGTCAAACCAACAAGCTACGCAGCATTTCCCAGCCTACTATGCCAACCAATTTGTATATTCCGAGCACATGGTGCCGTACGCACCAGGAGCTGACGCGCGCCTGGTTCACCAACTGGCATCTACTCAACACCTGGCATCTTTGTACGGCTCCTACGCACCTGGAGTTACAAACTTGCCTCAAGAAAGCGAGCAAACCACGAGGGCCAATGCCTTCATACAAGAAATTGTCCCTCGCATAAAGGGGAACAAGAGCATCGATCTCAATCAGCTTTATGAGTTCATTGTCGCGTGCAGCGGACACCCGGAAGTATCAAGGTTCATCCAGAACAAGCTCGAATCGGCCAACAGTGCTGAAAAGGAGAAGATTTTCAACGGTATTGGAGACGATGCTGTCGCTTTGATGAAAGATGTGTATGGCAACTACGTTATGCAGAAGCTGCTTGAGCATGGAAGCCAGGCACAGAAAGCGCGCCTTTGCAATTGTATGAGGGGTCATATGTTTGAGCTTTCAAAGAATATGTACGGTTGCCGTGTGGTTCAGAAGGCAGTAGACATTTTGCTTGTCGCGCAGCTTGTCGAACTCTTTGACGAGCTCAGAGAACACATCGAGGAAGTGATGGTGCACACGCACGGTAATCACGTTATCCAAAGAGCTGTTCAGGTCGTCCCCCAACAGCATATCGCTTTCATCTTCGAGTTTTGCCTGGAAAATGTCGTCAAGCTTTCCCAAGACCAAAACGGCTGCCGCGTCGTTCAGCGAGTGCTTGAAAGGTGCACCGAAGATGAAAGGGCCAGAATTCTAAACACGCTTCGTCCCAAATGGGAAAATCTTATTCAACACAGCTGGGGTAACTACGTCGTTCAGCATGTCCTCGAGCATAGAGGTGCTGAGGAGAAGCTCCCAATCATCGAGTTGGTCAAGAGCAACCTTGTCCGCTTTTCTAAGCAGAAGCTTGCATCCAACGTGGTTGAGGCATGCATCCGCTGGTGCACGAACGAACAGCGCAGGGAAATACTACAGATCTTCTTGACCCCAGGCGCGGATGGCACAGACACATTGCTTGATGTCGCAGGCGATCAGTATGGAAACTATGTCATCAGTAAGCAACTGCCACTGCTGCTCACGAGCAATTTATTGACTACCCCAGTTCGTTTGGATAAGAAGCTTGGGGAACATAGTCCACCTGAGAACCAGGCGCTGCTGGACGAATTGCGACCCCGTTACGAAAAGCTCAGGACGGCAAACAATGTTATGCCCAAGGTCTTGAGTACATTGGGTAGGGTTGTCGAGGACGCATCTCACCCTCAAAACGGAACGGGCAGACTCCAAGTCGAAGTGGACTCGGCTGCACCAACTCCAGTATTGACGAACGAAACCAACAGTCCTCAAAGCGATGGCCCTCTAAGTGCTAATGTGAGCGCCATCGGAGTCCCATCTGCCGACATAAAGACCCCGGCAGCCCCTCTGCAGGTTCAAGATCATGAGGCATAAGCGATCCATGAAAGACCACAACAGAATGTTCGTTCTCATACAATCAGTGGTATTACACACCTTGTATCATAGACGAATTGGGATGTGTTGCTTCAAGAACAAATCCCATCCCCAAAAGCTACAATCGAGGATAACATACGGTCACTAGAAGGCACTTGGTTATGGGATATATGCCACCTTTATAACTAATGGTTGAGTACAGCGTTGGGCTGCGGAGACGGATTGAGTGTTGATTGTGGGGTAATTTCTGGGTTTTGATTATGGACGAATTCACAGCGGTCACTGGGTTGGGGATAGAAAAATGGACAAACGGAAGAACTGGCAAGTTCACCCACCAATGGATCTTACGCGGACACATCAGGGCGAGGGGGGTTTGAGCCTGATGTAGGATCTCTGTTTGCTTTTGTCTGATATGCTAGTTTCTGTTGGATTATATATGGGAGAAGGGATGAGGGCTTTGCCGCGGTAGACCAAGCGGTTATTGGGGAGTCGACCATGACAGCGTTGCTTTACTTTTGGATGGGAGGGACAAGAAAGATACCGGCTGATCGATGGATACTGGACGAAGAATGCGGTATAAACGGAAAGGACACATGATCAAGCCTGGACTGCAGATACACATAAACACGACGAGAAAGTCGCAGCGTTTGAGATCTGCAGGTAATTAGTACCCCAGGTTTTCAATGAAATAAAGTTGAAATTGAAAAGAGACCCAAGGAACTTTGATAAGATAAGCTGCGGCTAATATCGGTACTTGTGAGTTGAGTTGTCATGTATGAGCTAACCTATTTTGGGGATAGAATGACGCCAACGCCAGATGGTGGGAAGCCAAGTCACTTAGGCAGGTACGGCGATTCCCGACTCCGACTCCGAGACTCAATTTCTAGTTCATGTGCTGTTCAGAGCAGTGTACACCTTTTAGTTCGCACAACAAATACTCCAGATGAGGCATGTTAAATACAACCAATACTTCGCCTAGTATCTATGTCAGATTCGAATCGTTTGGCACTCGGTAGCCATCGCTGACCATTCACCACCCAATCGACTACCCCTACTCTTGTTCGCGGGGTCTTTGCCAGCCATGACAGCCGCTGCCCGCTTGACTTTTCTGAGTCCGCAGGTGCTACGTGGGTTGCGTGCGACGCCTCGTTCTGCAGCTGGTTTTGCGAGACATAGAGGCACTTTTGCGCGAAGGAGGGGGAAGGCTGTTGAGCCTCAACCCCTAAAGGTGGATGCGACCCCGAAGCTCAATACCTTGCATCCTCTCACTAGCGACGCCCCTACTCGTCCCGAGCTTGATAAGAACACGACCCAAGAGCCGGTGCAGTCTACGATCGATGAGTCAGTTTCGACAAACAATACCCAACAGGCTGCTGCATCATCGAGTAGTAAACCACAGACCAAAGACGATGATACATCCAAGGAAGAACAAGCCAGGACAGTTCGGGAAGAGGCCAAGCAGAGCGGCCCCCTTGAGGCGGTCTTGCACATGGAACCTCCCAAGACCACAGAAACGACAACAACAAGACTGGGCCCGACAATGAGCCCACCGCCCTACGTCCATCACTTTGACACTTATTCGCTCGTAAAGCAATTGCAGGACGGAGGGTATTCGCAGGCGCAGGCTACGACATCGATGAAAGCAATTCGAACATTACTTGCAGAGAACTTGGAGATTGCGCAATCATCTTTGATCAGCAAGAGCGATGTGGAAAATGTGAGACATTATTGGGATAGGCCGATAGGCAATGCGACATTCGCTAATGGCTTTGCCTAGGAAACATATCTATTCACGGCGGCTTGTTCAGAGTTGAGTACCGAAATTAAGAATAACCGACGACTCGAAGAGGAACAACTGCGACAACAGCGAACGCACTTGCAGCACGAGGTCGACATTTTGAATCAATCTCTCAACCAAGAGGTTCATGCGCTCAACGATAATGTGCGGGGCTCTTTCAATGATCGAAAGATGGCTGTCCGGGAAGAGCAGAAAGTTGTGGAGAGCGCTGTAGGTTTTCATCTTGGACTGATAAGGCTGGTATGCTGACATTGAGGCAGGTTCAACAAATCAACTACAAGATCAGTATTGTGCTCAGTAGCGATGCGAAGTCGGAGATTGAGGCTGTGCGCTGGATTCTTATCCGTCGCTCTGTCGTGGGTATACTGTTCATGGCGGTTTTAACACTTGGTACGCTTCGATACGCTACCTACGTCAGTCATGAGAGACAAAGAGAAGTCGATCGTATCAAGAAAGAGGAGGAAGAGAAGCGAAGGAATGGCGGAAAGCAGGATCGCGCCACTGATGCTGATGCAATCGCAATTCTAGCTGCCAACTGAGTATGAAGAGAAAGAGCGGCGACGATAAGGACTGGAACATAACACACAGGCGTGACGAACAATTTCCTTGGGATTTATAACCGATACCCTATAGATTTTCTACTTGAGAGTAAAATGGGCTTTTCATACACTGGAGGCTGCGTCATGGGACCTGTTGGGATTTTCATGAGCTGATGAGAGCCTTGATATGATGGGTCAGGGACATACATACATACACATTGTACATACAAACACAGCATACAGTTGGCTTTGACAAGCTTATTTCATAGACGCATATAGATATTTTGGAATTTATAAAGACCAGCAAATCTCTGGCTTTCTTTACTTAGGTACTTAAGTAAACGGCGTTGTTGCCAGCCACGTGCGGGAACTTGAACACTTTACCCCACGCGCTTATCGTTTATCGCCCGTCGCGTCTCCCGCAATCCACCAACACCAAGACTAAACATCACCACCACCACGAACTATCTCGACGACTTCTGTACCAATGGCACCCGATCCGCAACCGGAACCCCCCGCGCAAGCCGAACCGGCCCAAGACACAGCTTCACAACAACCACAGCAACAATCGGAGCAAGAACAAAATCCCAACACCCAAGAACCCCCGGCGTCTCCTCCCCTCCCCCAGCGACACACAGCCGTGACACCCGGTCCCCGTGCAGCGCGTCTACAAGAGCTCTATGCGCGGTCGCTGAAGAAGACGCTGGGAAAGGTTGGCTGGGGGAATGTGGCTGGCTGCTACCCCACGATTGCGAAGAGGGCAGAGGGGGTGCTGAGACAGGTTCAGGTACAAATGGTTGATAAACTGGGCGAAAAGTGCGAGGTACGTTTTGATAACATTGGCGCAAAAGGATGGTACTAATACAATTGATTGCAGAAAGAGTTTGAAAATATCATTGTGTCGAGACAGGTTGTTCCAAAGCTCAACGATCTAGAGAGCCTCATCAGCGATGCCTCCCGGCGACGCACTGGATCTAAAACAGAACCCCCTACACCGTAAGTTCTCTCGTCTTATTCGGGTCGACGCTATATACTAATAAAAGTCCAGGCCTCATCTCCTCCCTCCGTCGACTATCCTCGCCGCGCACCTTACACCTTCTCTCACAGCCCACCAATCCCAGCTCAACGCGCGCTTACAAACGACACAATCGCAAAATGCCCTGTTGCACGACGAGGTGCAACGCCAACGAGAGGAGATTCGCGCACTACTGGATGCCCTCGAGGCTGTCGTTGCCGATGTCCAGGGCGCAAATGACGCGCTGCGACCGGTCGTTGACGATGTTGCTGCTGAGACAAGACAAGGAATCGCGGCTGTTGAGGCTGCTAGTGGTGGCGGACAAAAAGAAACGACAAAATGAGATGGAAGTCAGGGCAGGTTGCAGAGTTGAAGCCGTGTACTGGGGCCATGTAATGAATTCGGAGTCATGGGGCACCTATTTGTGCCAAAGGCATTATGATACCAAACTGATTTATCTTGCTTGCATAGCAGCATCTACGAAGAAATGTTCTCACAAGACCAATCATCTGATAAAAGGGCCATCTTTGATGTGTATCCTATGCAAAGTTTCTATGAATAAGTAATACCCCTTCATACCAACGTTGTAAGCGAAGATAAACAAGGATCTGGCACTTGCTTTATATGCAAAAAATCCAAACTGCTCGGGGTGTGGCTAGCCAACACTCATGCCATGCAGCGCTCCTCGATGTCGAAATGCATGAGGTTCTAAAACAAATAACAAAATCAAATGTTAACTCCGTTCCATGCTCGTGAGACCTCGTCACCATTGGCTGATGCAACCCGCAGCCATTCATGCGCCAGATATGCAAAGTACCTATGTACAGTCGTGAGAAAGGAGATGCGATGTGTGCACATCTCTGTATATGATATGTGATATGTCGGACGACTTATGTGGTGAGTCAGTTATAAATGGTAGAATATCATGACGGGATAGAATGTAGGTCATGTCAGGTGGGATATGGCTGGTCCCGTTGGCGAGTGTTTTTTGTAAGAGAATGATACTAAATCGAGTATATGAGAATGGTGTAGGCGATGCGGAGATAAAAGTCGTATGCGTTTGGCCAAGAACTTAGATAAGTCTGTTTTCGGTATGAACCGTTTGCCAAGCACCAAAGTAGTCGATCTCACCATAGGCGGGCGGGAGGACCCTGACCATTCGGCCTGTCGTCCAATCAACATAAAACTTTTTGCCCTTGCTGATGATGTATGGTGTTTTGCGGGGACTTCTGAAAAGTAGATTGCTGTAACATAGCTTGGCGTACAGCAAGTCATGGGCACTCGACCACTGATGTTCTGGTATCCATTTTCCATCGACAGGGTCAATGCCCATGTTGTTGTATGACGTTGTGCTGAGACGACGGGCGAGATCAATTCGTGGTGGAGGCTCTGCCACATCTTCTTCATCTCCTTCTACCTCGATTTCAGGTTCTAGTCTCGTTTGAGATTCCGGAGCCAGAGGCAAAGATGGGGCTGACGGACGAGCTTCGCTTGTTGCCGATATCTCCTCGGATCCCCCTTCGATGCCCAGTTCCGACAGATCTACGGCTGTTGCAGTCGGTGACTGACCGTGAAACCAGCGAATACGTTGTATTCGGGGAATAGACATGTCGCGAGGGAAGTCACGGTCTTCTAAAGGCAAAGCAATGTCGATGGCTGCAAACAGACCTTCAAGCCACTTATTAAACGTACTCAACTCGACACAACACAACAGAAATTGATCCGTCTCTGCTCGAATGCGGATGGTATATCGCCGTCTATATCATGTTAGTCACACGGCCTTCAGTTTTTCGTACCCAGCACTAATGGCAGCTTACTTCTTGTAGTCAGCAGCGATACCGACATCCGCATATAGAAGGCTATACGTTTTCTCGAGCTTGCCCTTCTTTACCCATGGAGGGTTATCCGGGTCGACTGATGGTCCGTCATCGCGTGTCCTGCCCCAACTCCAAGCCTTCTTGGTCCCATGTATGCTAAGCGCAGTGCCATTTAGACAGACGTATACGGGATACCATTGGCGATCCTCCGCCCTCTTTATCAAGTTTTCGATTTCGTGTTTCTTGTCAAAGACGCCCTCTAACGATAATGAGTTCTTGTAGTCAGGCAGTCTTTCGTTTCCTGTATCTGGATGAAGTTGAGTTTGGCCGCCCCCGTCAGTTGTGAGCTCGGTTTCCTTCTCCAAACGATTCCCATGATGAGAGGAGACTTTCGTTGTTGTCGGTGGTGGATCTCGCTCTTGCTGGTACGGAGGCGGCTGGGAGGGTCGGCGCGGGTTCGTCATAACACGCTGGTAGTGAAGGTCTTCCTCCATCGATACACGCCGCCTGAGAGGCGGCGAAGTAGCAGCGGTCGTGGATGATTCATCGTCCTCGGCCGCAAACCTGCGTAGGTCCATTGGAGGGCGACGGGACTTATATGAAGTCGAAGAGGGTCCCACAACCGGCCGGTGCGGGACGTGGATGGCGCACGAAGTTTCTCTGTGGTCTGGGGGCGTGAACCTCAACGAGCATTGACCGCAGGAGTCTCCATAGAGGATGGTAGATTGAGGAGGTTGATCATTCCGACCCGCTCTGAACGTTATGTGGAGAGAGTTGAAGGAAGAAACTGGAGCGAGCCAAAAGAAGACGTGGGTAGAGAATCAGAACAGTCAGCACGGATCCACGAAGAGAAGTGTCGTGGAAGAAGGTCGCACGCAGGGGCCGTAGGTTTGGAAGTCGTGGATCGAAGGGGGGTGTGAGCCGAGCTGGAAGACGGGGTTGACGGGATATCGGTAGGGCCCAAATCAGACGTGCCTCCGTCTGGCTTCGATGGGGTATGGAAGAGGAATGGAAATGCGGCGGCTCTTTTGTTCGTGGTGACTAGGGTCGAAAGTCAGGACAATGGTGGTTAAACCAAAGCAGAGCGACGTCAGCCGTTTCAAACAGGCCCACGTCGAGTCGGGTTTTGAGGAGGATTCGGAGAGAGTGGAGCGCAAGTCGTAGAAATGTGAGGGTGTGGGATATCTGGGACCGTTGACCAAAGCGCCGGCGCAGAGTGGCGAGATGAGGCTGCACTGCTGCAGTACTGCACGCTACTCGTATTTTTCGACAGAAGGGATTTCGCCTAAATCTGAACAAGTCAGGTCAGTCACAGAAAAGATCTCATGCGACGGAGTCTTGATTGGCCTTTTGTCTCGGCCGGGTTGTGGGATGCGGATGTGATGCGATCCGCACTTTTGGAGAGAACATACTAATGCGCCGAATTTCCGCGCTGACTGTCGATCTCAACTATATCAGTGGGTATTTTGTTTGATTTGGCATAGAATTTTGTCTGGTAATGTTTCAAGAGCAGTTATAGTTGACTATTACTTGTTCTCCAACATCAATGATGAAAAGTGTAAGATGTCGTTGGTGGTGTCAAGTCCAAGGTTCTCTCTCCTCTTTCTTGCCAGGCTTGGTTCGCGAGCGATATTCGATTCAAGGACATGGAGTAGGTACTGTACCACAGTTGGTTTGGGGAAGGGACACCTTGATCGCTAATGCCCCCAACTTTGAGCAAGCACGACACATGGTTGCCCTGCGCCTGCGCCTGCGACTGCTGCTGGCTATGGCTCCGGCTCTGGCTCCGGCTCTGGCCTCTCTCCAATCTATGGCAGGCGCCGCATGTTGCAGGTTCAAAAGGACCTCCTTCCCGCCAAAAGGTCCCGCGCGACTGGGGTCTCACAAGTCCATAGAACCGCACGAGGAAGTTGCAACGCGGCCCCACCGTCCATCAGCCAAAACTGCTAGTCCCGGATGGGAAGGAACGAATATAATCGGCAAGAACGGCACCACAAGGGAACAACGACCAAGGGTTTCTTGGCAATCGCGGGTACTTGCTCGCACGATAGGTTCTATCCACTGCCAATGCATGTAACATCGAATTATATGTTTGATGTATGATATTGACCGACTATAAACTATACTTCCCCGACTATAGGTAGTCTTGGTATTTCGCAATGGCAATGGCAATTGCCCTGCCTAACAGCCGGGAAGCAGTGCAGGAAATCTCCGCACCCGTTAAAGTTCAAGCCTTGATGAGTACCTCTTCAACGTACGGAGGCAGGCGTCAAAAGTTCTTGCTCAAGAGAACTTACGCCACAAATGGCTACCCTTGTCAGATACTCTGAGATACAAGAGTGTCTAAAGACCTACAGAGGGATAGCCTTCTATAAGCCCTATAGCCCAGAGGCCTTAGAGAGTTCTGACCAGTATATTATAGTGGCTCTATCTCTATAGCGAAATAATGATCAGCGGCTCATCTTACCGCTAAAGTACCCCTTGTACCTGTGGCTGGTAAGCGATATAGCCACAGTTCTGTTGAGTAAGAACTTTTGACGGCTACCTCCGTACCTCTACTCCATACATACGCCATGTCTGGATATCTCGGCCGGGTCTGAGACAGTGATATCCGGGATCCGATGCTACCTGCAAGTGCAAGGCATGATAATTATTCTATTCACTGATAGGATACCAAGTCGCACAAAAGTCCTTCAATAGTCAATATATTCTCGGCTTCTCCTTTCATTAATCTGAGACGGCGCATACAAGACGGTCAACCAACAAGAAAATAGAATACCCGGCCGCTTGACAAAAGTGCCCTTTTCACAGTCTGGACGTGAATATCCATTCACTTTAACTCCTGATTCGCTCGTTGCAGACAAACCAGACTTCTGGGAAGAACATGCAGTTTTTCTTCAGTCAGGAGTCAAACAAGACAGCTTACGTTACTTCATCTCTCCAGACTTTTGCGCCCAACAAACTTCCAAGGGACTTTTGGAACCACCATTGGCACCTTTGATAGCGGCCCCTCTCTGTGTCTGGGGTTCTCTTTTGCTGAAAAACAAGTGACCCCACCCATCAATCTATAATGGCATTTTGTGCTGTTCTTATTATTCAGAGTCAGCTGTTGTGGCATTGCATTATGCTCAAGTTTCATGCGGATTGACTCAACGAATCAATAGTTCCTTCACCCATTTCTGCTCTGCTCAGACATGAAAGCGACGGGACAAATCGCAAACTAAGACGAATTGGCATTTGATTGACAGCGGTGCGCGAGGTATTAGTGTACATGCAGCATTTCCGGACTGTCTCCGTTGAAACTCCCCGTCTTACTGTCCATTCAATCCCCATAATGGTACACTATGACTATTGAACACAAAAGTCCGAGCAGGGCCGATTCAAAACCCCATCACGATCGCTGCTGAGTTACCTTGACTGCGGGGGAGAAGTATACGCAACCTATTCGCTCGGCGTGACGACGGATGATCAAGATAATCAAATCCATGATCAATCAAACATGCAGTGTGAATGATGATGTTTGATCATCTCCAGATTTGGCCAGAGACGCCGGCAGTCGAATTACTTCCTGACGATCGCGCAAATCTCGCGGTAATTATAACTCCGAGAGACATGTAAGCAATCAAATCCTGTCACTCACGGGCACCCAAGGTGTTGCAAGTAAAAAGGTTATGCTCTATGCCGATCCCTGCTTCATCTTATTACATGAAAACGGTTTCAGTCATGGCAAGGTCTTGATTCGAGATTAATACACTCAACAATACTCCGCACACATCTAAATTCCAGCCAAGTAAACGCACCTCTCTCATGTCATACTGTGATTTGCTACTCGAAAAACACGCTTAAAGGACAAGCTTACAACGATGATCCTCTCCCGTCTTGGCTGCAACCTCCAGTGATCTCACTCATACAATGAAATGTGATAAACTAAACTCAAGCCGCTGTCTCATTTCTCGCTGATCTCCAGACGACTAATTCCCCGGATATCTCGGCACTGGCCGCGTCTCATACCGATGTTGAAAAACCTTTCTCTCATGATGCGTGTTGTTGTTCTTTTCGTCCTTCTCAGATCTGCTTTGAGAAGGTCGCAAATAACCGAGGAACCTTTTGTCTTCCCATTCGCGGCGCTTCCTGAATGAGAATATGGGACACGCCCTGGATGATCGGGATAGCGCCCGATCAACCGAGCGAATCTGAGTATGCGATAGAAGCCGCCGTGTTCCGACCACACGTGCGACTTCACCGTCAATAGGTAGAGCTGATCTACAACCTACCTATAAACAAGGACTACTTTGTATGTAATTATTACGAGTGAGTATCCTCATGTGTGCAAAAGTTCCCAGAAACTGTCAATGCCCTCCCCGTTACAAAAGAACCTTGAGGGAACACATTCTCACCAACGAACCGTTCGATTTGCTTGACCCACGAGGCTCAACTTGATTTCGCATCTGCTACTTGCAAGGGCAACAACTCAACCCGATCGAATTAGTAACGGATGTCATCGCCAAGCCCCTATATAGCCTGGGTATACATAACTTATGCTACGTTACTTGGCATGATCATATCGATCTCACTTTGACCAGATATTTTGTTCTTTCACCTACTGCTTTTGGCAACTTGGCTGTGAGTACGGAAACCAAAATATACTGATCATTACTTGCACAGTAAAAAGTACAGAACATGGTCTCAGTAGACCCATTCTTCCCGGGCCTAAACCCTCTTCCGCCTCAATCAACTGCCACTGTCTCTTCGGTATACCCATTGATATTCCTCTGTCCATCCGGATACAGCCTCTATCCCCCACCCGTTCGCTTTTGTAAGATATACACGTTCATTAGAAAGTAATGATGCCAAATCAAAGCTCCCAGTCAAGGGCCTTTTCCCCGTTTTTCGCTGAAATCCGTAACCCAATCGCCGGCTGGGAGGATCAGATGCAGATGCAGCGCGCAAACCACCGAAACTGAAAAACGAACAATCATGACTCCAAATTCCCAACTCCATCCTTCCTCCAAAAGGGAATACCAAACTCCGCCTTCCCCTTGCCCTTTCGTCCCTTTCATCTGACCCGTCTTATCATATGCTAAGATTGCCTTCCGTCGACTTCCGCTGGTGGTGATGTTGTGATTTTGGTTAGGTATGCCGTACACGGGAGTTGTAATGGTACTCCCGGCACTCGTTGGCAGGCGAATCGTGAGACTAGCAATTGTGCTCGAGTCTCACGTTTGCCATATTATGTATACTAGTGACGATCGCTTAAGCGTTCTGAGACTGGGCACCGCCACGACCGCGAGCAGCACCACCTCGGCCACGGTTTTGACCAGAGAAGTTGCCTCGAGGGCCCTGACCTCCAGACCGACCACCCTCGGCTCCGCCACGACCGCGGCCGGGCACGGGGCCACGGCCTCCGTAGCTAGCACCACCGTAGGCGTTGGCCTTGGGGCGACGGGCCTCGACAACAATACTTTCGCCATTAACGGTGTGAGGGTTGGCGGCAGCCGCAGCCTGGTAACCTTCAGGGGTCTTATACTCGACGAAAGCGCAGTTCTATTTTTCGTTAGTTACCAAGATTATCATCGCAGAGGGTTAAACCGTACCTTCTGGCGGTTGATGTCGAAGTAGGTCAACTCGCCAAAAGCAGCCAGAGCGTTCTTAAGCTCGGCATCTTGAACCTTGTCCGTAACGAACTTAACGTATCCCAGGGTACCCTCCTTCTCAGTAGGGGGAGGTCCGGAAACAGACTGAGGTCGGGTTTGTCGCTTAGAGTCAACGCCAGCAGTCTGCCATCCAGCAGCCTCCTTGGGCGCGGACTCGGTAGCAGGGGCATTGGCAGTAGTAGCAGGGGCGGCGGCGGGTTGAGATGTAGGGGCGGCAGCAGCGGGAGCTGGAGCGCGGCTCTGGTTCACAGGAGGGGTCTTGGAAAGAGGAACGACGGGCTTGGGAATACCAGCGCCGACTCGGGTGGCCCAAGTCATAGGCTTGGGAGGGCCGGCAGGCTTCTCAGGGGCAGCGGGAGGAGCAGCGACAGGCTTGGAGACAGGCGTAGGGCTGGGGTCCTTGGGTTTCTCGGGCTCCTTGACATCCTCTTGGGCAAGCTCCTTAGCAGCCTCTTCAGCAGTCTCGACAGGTTCCTCAGTCTTAGTCTCAGGGATCTTAGCCTCATCAGACGTCTCATCAGTCACGCTGCCGTTCAGAGTCGCACTCTCCTTAGAAGTGGCCTCCTCTAGCTTGTGATCAACAGCCTCGGGGTCGAGGGCGGGAGTCTCCTCCTTGGCCTCCTCAACGGACTGAGGGGCCTCAGGCTCAGCAGGGGCAGCAACTTCCTCCGTGGCGGGGGCAGGGGCGGCGGGCTCCTCGGCAGCCTCCTCGGGGGCCGCGGCAGATTCATCATCGCTCTCCTCGTCGATATATCGCAGGATATCGTTCAGAACGAAGTAGCCCGAGGGCTGCTGGGCAAGAACGAAGGTTTGGACAAACTTCTTGGGCTCGGCAGCCTTGTTGGAGGTCTCGCCAATAACCTGGATGACGATGTTGTCGAAAGAAGCCTGGGAGTCAACATTAGACACCCGGACCTTACAGTCTTGGAAGTCGAGGGCCTTGATGCGTTCTTGGATGTCCTGTTGTTTCATTAGCAGCTGTTTGTAGACTATTGCTTGCCATTATATCAAATACCTGTCGACCGACGGAGACGGGTGAAACTTCGGCCTCAAGACCGTATACGAATTGCGAACGTTTGCCGTAGAAGAGCTGGAAGTTTGTTAGCAAAGGTTTAGACCCACTAACGGCTGGAAGAAACATACGTGGAGCTTCTCGGGCGACTTGCTCAAGGTGGTGTAGTATTGCTCAACAAAGTACCAGCCAACCTCGTCTTTGGACAGGCCGCTGTTGGAGGAAGCGGCAGCAGTAGCAGAGCCGTCGGCAGCAGAGGTGGCAGGGACTGTTTGTTGTTGCTCGGCAGGTTCCTTGTACTGGTCCTGTTGAGCAAAGTTACCGTTGGAGGCCATGATGGCTGTGCTGTGATGTGAAGATTTGAGCTGGCGAGTGTGATGAAGGAACAAGAATTAGGTCGAGTGCGCGATCGGCGAGCTCGTTGTGTCGCGGAAACAGAGCAGACAAAGGCGTAAAAGTGTCAAAGAAACAAAGGCCGAGCTGCTGGAGCGATCGTGTTCGGTCGAAAGTGCAATGACGAGTTTGAGTTCGGTCGAATCGAATCAAGTAGAATAGGGCAAGCTTGATGACAAACCGGGGTCGGGAGGGTTCGCGGATGGAGATGTCGTGAGGGGTGGCAAGAACCAAGGATCGAAGAGATTGATGAGAAGACTCGAGAGGCCGGGAGGTCGAAGGAGAGAAACCCTAGGGTGTGTAAGAAGAAGATGAGAGCTGTAGCTGCAGCTAGGAGAGAGGAGAAGGGTTAGAAGGGTTGTGAGTCTCTGAATTGGGATGAATGAGATCAGGTCGAGATGATGTTGTAATATGACAAGTTACGCTCAGTTGGTGTTGATTGTGGAGTTTGTGTGGTTATTGTGTGTGGCTACTAAGCCCAGCCCGACCATCACCCAGTTAGAACCGGGAAAGGAAAACTGCTGCAGAGCTTCAACCGGGTCCGTGCACGGCATGTCTTTTTTCGCGATGCTTCGGAGCGGGAAGCGTGATAGTTTTCCCGAAACGCCAAGTTCCAAAGCTGCAAACAACTACGGGTTCTCCAAAACGGGGACCAATTGATAGATGCTGGGGATACATATATCCAATCAAATACCTGTCAAGTGCTTGTGTAACCTTACTCTCTTAAAACATACGTCCTTCTATGCAAAATAAGCCATTCGGGTCGTCCCATGCTCTATACCACTAGCTTTTTCAGGGATCTTTCATGTCAGCACCTGTAGCCTTCTAGCATGGAACCCTGTCATTGCAGCATTGCACAAGAAAGAATTGGTTTGGGATCTAAGATCAAACGCCCGAGGATCAGCCTTTCTCTGCCTCTCTATGCTGCGTGCAGCGTAACATAATTCTCACGATAGCCTCATTTTCTTCAGGTTGCGACTTTCACAGATGACTACTCATCGGGATATTGCCAACACCCGTAGGACAATCAACATCCATTGAGCCTGATAAGTGACACTATCAGTAGGCAAACAATACTGAACCTTACATATGTATACCATAGAATGACCTTTTGCTTTTACATATGTTATCATAGTAACGTCTACACGGAGCTGCACAAGACTTGATAGTCCTCTGACTGCTTGGCAGTCAGTTCACAACCAATGGCTAATTTACTTCCACAGCCTCAGTATCGATGTTAAGAGATACGTCTGGACTATATTCGGCTTAGGGGTAAAGGTCTTCGCAGACTTGAGAGTAACAATATCACTAAGAATTCAATCGACAATAAGACAACCTAGGATCTCATAACGGTGCCTCGTCCTGAAGCTGGCATTTTATGTACCTATACCCAGACATACAGCAAAAGTTCACTAACACCCAGGGTTAGCGATTGGACCCTTGCACTCCAATTGCGGGGTCCCACCTAAACCAACGCTCAAGAAAAAAAATTCCTCTATCTTATCAGCCAGCGACTTGAACTTTGAAGCGGGCGTCCAGATCTCTCAACTTTTGATTAAAACCACAACCGAAACCCAAATCTTTTCGCCATATCCCAATCGTTGTTTCGACCTCTTTCGAGCTCTACGCAAATCCCCAACAGTCAGATCAAAGGAAACCCACCGCCAAAATGCCCAAGTCAAGGCGCTCAAAGGTCGTCCACCTCACGCAGGTCGAGAAGAAGACGCGCGAGAACAAGGACAAGCTCTTCCAGAACATCCGCGATACCGTCCCCGAGTACCAGAACTGCTTTGTTTTCAGCGTCGACAACATGCGCAACAACCATCTCAAGAACGTGCGACGTGAGCTCTCAGACTGCCGGTAATGCTTTCTCTCTGCTTTTGGCCTTTTTGGGTCGCGAACGGGTCCGACTAACTCTGCGCATAGACTCTTCTTCGGAAAGACAAAGCTCATGGTCAAGGCCCTTGGCCAGACCCCCGAGGAGGCCATCGCCCCTGGCATTGAGGGCCTCAGCCGTTACCTGACTGGCACCGTCGGCCTGATCTTGACCAACCGCCCTGCCGAAGAGATCCTCACCTACTTTGAGAACCTCGCTCCCGTCGACTTTGCCCGCGCCGGCGCCGTGGCCACCCGCGACTTCTCTATCCCCACCGGTATTGTCTACGCTACCGCCGGTGAGGTTCCTGCCGAGCACGACGTTCCCCTCGAGCACAGCATTGAGCCCGAGCTGCGCCGTCTTGGAGTCCCTACCCGCATGGTCAAGGGCCGTGTCGTTCTTGGTGACGAGGCTGGAGAGGGCGAGGACTACGTTGTGTGCAAGGACGGCGACGTCCTGGATTCGCGACAGACAAGATTGCTCAAGCTCTTCGATATGTGCATGAGCGAGTTCAAGGTCAAGGTGTTAGCGTAAGTTCAGATCCCATCTCAAGTCGAGGAACCCGGCACCGGAATAATACTAACACGCTTTAGGTACTGGAACGCTGGCAACTCAGAGGTGACAGAGGTCAACCCCGAGGCTATGCAAGAGAATTAGACGAGCCTAGGACTGGGCATATAAAACGGTGCTAGACGTTGGGTTTAACATCTTCTGTTTGAATGACTGATACCAGCATGAAATTTTTTATGGGATCTCGGCGTTGAGGGCCATGGGATATGGGGGCTTCATGTTTTACCAATAGGCCCGCCCCGAATGACAATACGTACTTCAAGACAATCACGCGACTTGGTGTTTCTTTTTAACTGTTATTAAACATCAAAACTCCTAAGTGATACATCAGGGTCGGCCTTCTCAGCCAGCCTGGGCAACATTTCGGGGGTCAATGGGTCACGGAGCTTACCCTGACCTTACCTATGCAGCACATTATGGCTAGTTCACCATCGAACCACCCTCCAATTTTTGTCCCCCAACTCCCTAAAGACAAGTAGACTACATATAAAGGTTACCAGATACAGCGCGTCGACCCAAGTCCTTGAAGGTGTGCCAGAGGTTGTTACCTCAAACAAATGGAGTAGCTGTCGTGTCTTGGCGGGTTAGATGGACAGCGGAATAAGGAAAAAAGAACAAGCCAGATGGATTCGAATGGGCAGAGGCGTATAGTATAATCCCGGATTGTTTGGAATCTCTTTGTTGTCGTAGAGAACGGTGTGCTTACCCTTTGGTGGAAAAGGGGCCTGGATTAATGACTGAGACACGAGATCAACAACCCACCACCATACGTCCAAAATAGACATTGCTTAGTAGCGTCGCAGCTTTCGGGGATCCTCGTAGCCACCTTCGTATCCGCGCTTACGGCCAGCATCGTCGTCGCGAGGTCTGTCGTAGTCTCGGTCCCTCTCGCGATACCCACCTTCTCGTCGGCCGATGGGTTCCATGTTGCTTCCGGTACGTCGGTTCTCGCGTTCTCCGCCGAATCGACCACCATCACGATGGCCGCCGCCCTGTCTGTCGTCATATGAGCGACCACCACCTCGTGAATCATACCCACCAGGGCCTCGGTCGCCCCTTCGGTCGCCGCGGTCACCACGATCACTGCGGTCACCACGGTCGCCATGGCCGCCGTTTCTGCGATCAAATCCAGGTCCGGACGGAGCATCGCTAGGTGCGCCAAAGCCACCTCGATCACCACCTCGATCACTACCTCGGTCGCCGCCACGGCTGAAGTCTCCACCACCGTTTCGGAATCCTCCTCCACGGCCGCCGAAACCTCCTCGGAAGCCGCCTCGGCCACGTCCACCGTCGAAGCCCTTAAAGCCGCCGCGGAAGCCACCGCTGCTACCTCCACCAAAGCCTCCGGGGCCCATAGGACGAGAAGCCATAGCTCTGGTGTAGCCTCGGCCACCGAGACCACCACCGAGGCGTCGAGGTCGCCAGCCCTTTACGGTTCTGCCTCGCTCGACGTCTACCTTGATCCGTCGATCTTTGATACGCATACCATCACAAGAATCCAAAGCCGCTGCTCATGGTTGCGCCGGATGGCGCAGGTGTCAGTCAATCTTACCCTCAATGGTACCTTGTGTGCTGAATGGATTTGACAAAAGAAAAGGAAGAGGCAGAGACGGGCAAGCTTGAGGGCCCTTTGGTGTCTCGCCATATACTTCGAGAGAAGGGCAAGCCTGAGGGCCACAACTCAAAAGGTACATCCGGGGAAGGAAAGCAATGGCTAGTCAGAGGGGAGAGGGGGATATATTTACCTCGCATATCTTTCTCGCGTTCAAATACGACGAAAGCGTAGCCACGGTGGGGCTTCTTTTTCTTGTTTGGCTTCTCGTGAGCGTGAGTATCGGCAACAATTCTGATCTGTGATTATGTTAGTTGATGTCCATATCATAAAGCCATGACGGCTACATACGCGCTCGATAGGGCCAAAGCGACCAAACTCCTTCTCCAAGTCTCTCTCATCGGCTTCATAGCTTAGGCGCGCAACAATCAAAGTCTTGAACGCATCACCACGGACGTTGGGGTCTTCGTTTGGCTTATCTGCATATGATGTTAGTAAGTGCGACGCGAGAAGATAGAAGGGTTCTCCTGACAATTCTTGGGTGCCTCTGTTAATAGGTTCTCGATCTTCTCTTTCTTCTCCTGCTTCTTGCGATCGCGAGCTTGCAGCCAACTCTCGGTAGGATGGTATACATCTGTCTCCTTATACTTCTGAAGCTCCGGGAGAAACTGCGCGACGCCGCTGATGGGCGCGGTCTTGCGATCCTGGGGCGCATGGTCGGACGGCTCAACCCATCGCAGGGGTGGTCGCGCCGCGAAGAGCGCGAGCAGGTTAGGGGGGAGCTTGTCCGTCATTGCACTGTCTCGAATCGAACGGGGTAAAAGGAGTGGTAAGAAGAAGTAAGTCGATGAGAACAACTAAGCGCGCGTGGGTTCGCGATAAAGGATAGATGGAATCCCAAGGCAGTACCAAGTTTATTTGAAGTTGTCGCACAGTCTGGAGGAAATTAGACTACGGACTCGAGTGTGCCTGGCGGCTGAGGCTTCTTAGCAACCGATGTTCTGCCGTTTGACGCTAAACCTCAGTGGGACACAATGTGGGAGCTGATTTTCTGGCGATGACCTCGCAGGCGGTACCTCCAATTCTTTTTGGTTGCTGTCGGATCATGAGTATAGCGATTGATACGGCCACACAAACATGACTGTCAAAGCGATAAGACAAATAGCAAAGGCCCAGGTAAGTGAATGCTTCAAAGCATCCGCTTCATTAGACGCATAAATGCTGACCTTTTCAGAATGGCCTTGGCGCATTTATCTTGCAGTGCAAGAAGTTAGACTTCTACTACTGCGATTGGGCTGGTAGTTCCAAGGGAATGAAGTACGTGAAACACTCTGAAATTCTTCACCCTTATTCTGAGCATCCTCTAACACGGCTACAGTGGCTTCATCAAGTCTCTTCTCCCCAAGTTCGCCGCTGCCAATCCCCAAGTCGAATTCTCCATCTCCCCTCGACCTGGAAAGCACCCCGTCGTTATCGGTCACTACATCAACGGCCGAACGAAGCCTATTTGCGTACGAAATCTCTCACCATACGAGATCCTACAGAAGGCCGAACTTCTACGCGATGCCAGCGGAGACAAGCTGAAGCGTCACAACCAGGCCGTCACCAGCACTCGGCCAAGTGTGCGTGGTGTCTGGTCCCCATACCACGGCAAGGGAACGGTTGTTTAAAAAGCTGGCTGCTATGTTTGGGTTCTGTCTTTTTATGTATAGAAGTTTGTAACAATTTTGAGGTTGCTTGAGGTAGCATTGGGTTGCGAGGAAATTTGTACGATTTAGAGCAAGATCTCCGTAACGTCGAGAAGCATTAATGAAATTGCTTCACACCTACCACTAGTCACACCTAATTGCCGGTGATGAACCTTGATGTCTCTTCAACTGTTGAGATATAAGTCTCAACAACCACTAGGAATTCATCCATTTCTGGTTTTCAACATTAACTGTAGACTATGCACCTTGTAGGTTTTGCATTCACGGAACATTTACATAACATGATATTCATGGGTATAATCTTTTTGTTTTCATTCATCGTCTATCTGCTCTCACGTCAAGGTATCAGGACCTGGACGGAACAAGACCTTTTTTCTTTTAATTAATGCATTTACTGCCTAGTAGCGTTGATGATGTCGACGACTGGAAGGTGTTAGTGTGGTTCAAAGAGACCGTACTAGGAGTAACTTACAAGCAGGCTTGAGAGAAGCACCACCAACGAGGAAACCGTCAATGTCGGGCTGCTTGGCGAGCTCGCCGCAGTTCTTCTCGTTGACGCTGCCGCCGTAGAGAATGCGGGTCTCGTCAGCAACCTTGTCGCTGATGCTGCGGAGTAGGTCACGGATGGCCTTGTGGACCTCCTGGGCCTGCTCAGTGGTGGCAACCTTGCCAGTGCCAATGGCCCAGATGGGCTCGTAGGCGATGACAATGTTGGACCAGTCGGAGACGTGAGACTTGAGAGACTCGATCTGGGCGGAGACGAACTCAATGGTCTTGTTGGCCTCGCGGGTCTCGAGGGACTCGCCGCAGCACCAGATGACCTTGATGCCGTTCTCGGTGGCGTACTTGGTCTTGGAGGAGATGACCTCGTCAGACTCGTTGAGGATGGTTCGGCGCTCAGAGTGTCCGAGGATGGCCCAGTTGACGTCGAGGTCCTTAAGCTGAGAGACAGAGATCTCGCCAGTGAAAGCACCGTTGGGCTTGTCGAAGACGTTCTGGGCGGCGACCTCAATCTCCTTGCGGAGTGTCTCGCGGACGAGAGGGAGGTAGAGAGCGGGAGGAGAAACAACGACCTCTGGCAGTGTGTTAGTTGTGCTCTACCAGCAAAAACGATGAGGGGTTCTGTTGAGAAGCTGGGATGAGGCGCGGGGCAGGGGAACGAAGGATGACGTACCGGCGTTCTTGTCGAGATCAGCGTTGTTGAGGTTGTCGACAATCTCCTTGATGGACGACTTGGAGCCGTTCCTAAGAAAATGAATGTAAGCTTCCTGAATAGCTTCAACTTGACCAGATGTGCGGCCTTTTTTGCTTTTTGGAGGGGCAGCCAGAAAACAGAGCTGAGCTGACCATGGCAACGCAGAATTGCTATGGTGGGGTAAAAACGTACATCTTGAAGTTGCCGCCGACGAAGAACTTGCGAGCCATGATGGGCAATTGATGTGATATAGTGATGTTATGGAGGGAAGAGTTGCTGTAGGTGAGCAAGAAATTGAGGCAGATGAGGAAGAATAAAAGTCAATGTTGAGATGGGGAATGGAGGTAGCTACTATAAGTACTACCTACTACTACGTAAATAATCACCTCAGTATTGGATCCGTAGCAGCTTAGCTGCTGCACCTTGTCGGTTGTCGTCTGTAGGTAGGTCCATAGTTACTGGACTTAATTTGGGGCCGCTTCAGACCGAGCCAAGTCAGGTCATGAATATGGACAGACGCCAACGATGACATGGATTAATGGGATCAGCTTGTTATCTAGGAGTGGTTAGAATGTATTTGCTGAAGCATTGACATTGTTTTATATATCTCATTAATGGGCAGTTCGTAGTAACAAACGACCCTGACATAGAATCTCAGCACTGAGCTACCTCCTCTTACACAACAGCAGAGCTTACCTGAAAATACCCCCCATTTCTATCCGTCAGCCCGTTCCATACTCTCCCTCAGCCAAGGTACAACTCACCATTACACTTCATAATAGAAAGACTTCCAGATCCTTCCCTCAGGTACACGAGTCGCAGCTGTTTCTGTTGATCCCAGGGGAACGTCATAGTGGAGGCCAACATCATAGGGCCCCTCCACTACCATTGACCAACCTACAAGATGCAACTCAAACCACCGAGACCGTGACCGAGCCGACAATATCTCGGAGCTACTTCCCGCAGTTGTCGTGCCATAAATTGACTTCTCAAAAGCACGGGCTTTATGGTCTTTGGTAAGGAGTCAAACACGATGCGCTGCATGTAACAGTAAAAATACATCCTCTAAAAAGGCTCTACCTCCACGATTTGACCCCGGAATGTCTGACTTGGTCGACCCTGCTTCTCCCGAAAAGTTGCAGGTTTCACCGCTGATCATGAGTCGTATCCAAGCGTCTAAGTGCCTATCTACAGCACTTCTATCCGTAACTAGAGCGAGATCTTGGTAGCTGAAACTCATGTACTTCACGAGAATACGCTCAAGATGGCTTCCATATTGTCGAACCATAACTACTAAGCACCTTCCAAAACTGAATTTTCACAGGTACCAACCACTTTACTTTCGCCAGTAGTTCCATCATAGTTTATGTATAAAACTCAATTGTACTTTCAATCCTATTTGCAGTGATGCTATCAATATCAAAATTCCTCCCAAACAAAGTGTCTAATCTGCTACCCTTTCCTGTTGTCAAGGGCCATCTGGTGTTGTCTGTTGTAAAATATGTATCAAACTTGAATCAGAATGATCAAACTATCTGTTTTCTTCCCCATGACGTCCCCCTCTTTTCCTTCTCAGCTCGACTCTGAAATCGTTTGTTTCTCCTTTTAGCAGGGACTCCGTTATCCTCCTGGCGCGACAATGGCGCGATCCTTGGGTCCGTATCCGTGTCCTTGGATTTATGGATTCCGGTGGTAATGCAATGCATCCGTTCCTGGGAAATATTCTACTTGGCGGGACGAATCCCTTTGCCGTAGATCATGGGCATCATTGCCCTGTCCTTGGGACGTCTTGGAGATTCTGAATTTGTCTCTGTATTAGACGGACATTCTTATCTCTTCTTGTGCACTTGCACAAATCTATGTTGGTATTTTTTGGTAGCAGACAAGACTCGTATTTCTGAAGGAACGGTTAGTCGATTGTACCTCTACGGGTGCTAGTGGCAACTTACTATTTATTCAGCCAGTACCAACAAGGGTGTTTCCAGGGTTGTTGATGGCATTGAGGTCCGTAGTCAACTTCATCATAGAGTTGAGGCGGCTCTGCATGGTTCCGATGTGCTGAAGGTTCTGGGCATCCTCAGGCTTGACAACGCTTCGCATGAGGCTCTCCACGGCCTTGCGGTGCTCCATCCATTGGTCAAGAAGAGGCTGGGTCAAGTTCTCCTTAGGCTCCGGGGGAGGAGGCATGGACTTGACAGCCGCCTTGCGGCTGTTGGAAGTCTGGGCCTCGGAAGTCTCAGTCTTGCGCTTACGTCCCTTGGCGGGCTGAGCAGGTCCAGTTGTAGGTGAGCCACTAGAGCTTCCGTGATCGTTGTGAACACGCTTCATGTGGTCGCGCAAGTTCCACTGGCGAGGGAATCCGTTTCCAGGAACAGCACGCTCACAGCCCTCGTAAACACAAAGGAAAGGCTTGTCGCCGTGGCCATGGAGTCCGTGGGCCTCGCGCTCATGGCGGAGGAGGCAAGCAGTCGACGAGAAGCGGGCGCCCTCGCACGACTCGGCCTTGCAGCGGTAGGGCTTCAAGTGGGAGTCAACGAATTTGCTGGCCGAGTTAGTACACATCATCTAAATTTACAGGTAAACAGTTTCTTACTCATAGTTGCACTTGAGCTTCTCGGGTCGGTGACCGCAGCTGGGTTGGCCCTCCCAGGGGCAGTGGTAGAGTCCATCCTCAAAAGGAGCAGCCTTCTTGTAAAGGTCATGATCGCGGGCAGACTCGCCGTCGCTGTTTTGGCGGCGGGGACCGGTGAAAGCAGAAGTGGTGGAGAAGTCATCGAGAGATGGGATTGTCTTTCCGGTAACATCCTCAGGAATCAAGGGAATGGTCTGGTCAAGGCTAAAGTCGTCTTGGTAAGAAGCCGGACTAAGTGTCACTTTCTGGTTGTGTTGTACATACCTTGGTGACTGGCACTGGATCTGAGGAGAGGAGTTGGGGCTCTGGTTAGGGAACCACAAGTCCTCAATGGTGTTGGGGGAAGATGAACGAGAGATGGAGCTGGAGAAGCAGTCCCAAGGGCTAGGGGGAGAGTTCTCGGCAAGGGAAACATCAGGGCCATGCTGCATGTGAGATGGGACAACATGCAGAGGGCTAGCACCGGGAAGGGAAAACGTGGCATCGCCGTTCAATCCACCGTCAAAAGAGTATCCGGGCCAGTACATCTGGTTCTCAATGCCATCGATGGGGTCCAGGAGGCAAGTATCAATTCCATGCATGGTAGCTCCGGCTTGGTTTCCTGTCTGAAGAGCAGAAGCATTACCTGTGAAGTCCATGTTGGACAGATGTGATGATTGTGATAGCGAGGAGCCGCTAGACCTGCTAGAGCTAACCCTGGACATGGCTTGTCCACCTTGGGTCACTGAAGCGATAGTCCTGGAATTGGACCAGTTTCCTTGGGAGAGCACCCGGGTTCCTCGGGGTGTAGCATGGCCAGATGTGAAAATGAACTCCTCGGCTTCTCCGGAATGGGCGGATCCATTGTCTGAGAAATCTCGAAAGTTCTGTGATCCTTCTACTGTCGTGGCCCACGACGAACCTGCCAACAGGTCCGTCGATGGTTCTGTTTGAGAAGAAAAAGAAAAAAGTCCAGCGTTGGAGGCCATTGAAGGCTGAGAAAAGCTATAATCGCTGGGGAAGGGTCAGTGTGCCATTCTGCGCAATATTGAAAGCAAACAATGAAAACGAAAAAGATCAAAAGACAACGCTGAAGCCATAGCTTGAATCAACTTTGAATCTGTAGATGAGGTTAGCGTTATGATCAGTCAAAAGTTGGCATAGATTACAGACCAAGTATGACAGTTTAAGATGTAACCTAGAGTTAGATCTTGCATCCTGTCTCGGTTCCTGATGGTGTCCATGGGCAAAGGTTGTGATCCGGATCAAAGTCGTCAACATAGTAAAGTCACAGTAATCGAATCCGGCAGTGTGATCCAGTGTTGAGTGGTGTCGTAGCGTCAAGTCCAGTCCTTCATTCTAAGTATTCGCATAAAATCAAGTTGGTATAGCATCATGCATTGTCGGTGAGTGGAATCCAGAGGTGGTTGTGTAGAGCAGTCATAAGATTCTTGGCATCCATTGTGTGTCCAGAAACAAGCAAGAGAAGCGGAAATCAAAGTGGTGGCCCATAAACTGAAGTCCAGTGCGGCTGCACGAATAAAGCAATCAAATTGGATTGCAAGGCCATTCGGCCGAGTGCTACCTTGAGTTCTAACACCGCTAAGCGATCAAGAAGGAGCGGAAGTCCAGGCGAGTGATTCCATGGGTCGTCTTGTCCAGTCGAAACAAATCCGTATGAAAGATCCATCCAGAGAACGGTGAAGATGAAAGGGTCCATTGTCCTAAGGGTCGAGAGTCCTCAAATCCGGCAGAGAAATCCTTGTGCTCCATTGAAAGTCCAGGGAATAAAAATCCAGGCGAGCTGCAGTTTTCAATTTGGAAAACGGGCAATACTTACGACCGGCACTTGGCCAATACAGAGATATTATTTGTTTCATGTCCGGACGGACAGATCCAGATATGTGAGAAATCCAGCGGCTTTGTCGACGATGTCCATGGAATAATGGTCCTTGAAATCCGGCATAATTGTTCCTGAAAATGTCCTTGGGGCGATTGATTGTTGATTGATTCCCGGACTGGTATCCTTGGATAGAGTGAAGCAAGATTGTCGGTGTACATGATTTGAGCGCAACATGGTATAAAAAAGCAAATGAAAGCCTCCCGGGGAAGAGTAAGAAAAACAGTACCTGGACAGCGAGTGAACCTCATCGAGGTCAGTCTTGAAGGCGTGCATGGTAGCAGGCTGTGTCACAAGAGTAACAGTCATTGTATCCTCGGATTGTAGAGCAAATTGAGCTCGTGGAGTAGCAAAGATCAACGTTGGACGTTGTCTTGCAAGTTCAGACCAGTGGCAATTCTGTCAAGTGTTGGTGTTGTTGCGCGACAGGATGGATCCTTGGGCTGATTGGGTTGCTTTCAATTCCAGACGGATTGTAAGCGTTGATAGTTGTGTGTATGAGAAAGAGATGTGAAAAGGCTTGGTAGTCTATGAAGGATTAGACCGAAGTGATGGTTGGGTAGTAAGAGGCGAGTTGGGCAGGAAATTGAGGAGACAGAAGGGAAACGTTGGGCAACGAGGGATCCTGCGGGTTTTATTGTCATCGAAGCCTGACGACCTGCCGGGACAGGGTTCCACTATCCCTGGAACTGCCGCAAAACGCGGCCATTGCCCGGTCGCAGGAGTGAGTTGGCGTTTGTGATTTCAGTGTGCAGAAACCGGTGTGTTGGATTGTTGCAGGGATGGAGCGCGAGGGATGGGCCATAACGAAAAGCGACTGGTTAACTTCCCTGATTTGGGATGGGTCAGAGTGGAGATAGGACCCTTGTCACTATCCTATCACTCAACATTAGCCTATGAGCAGGAGGGATGATGGCTGTTGGACAACGCATCACTGCAGCTTGTGAGCGCAAAAACAAGTTGGAGACGAGGGTTGCGGTGCGAAAAGATGAGAGGAAACAGTTCGTGGAAGAAACGGAAGAGGTCGGTGCAAAATTGCATCCAAATCGTCATTTCGTCTCTATCGTGAGAGAACATGGGCAATGAGGCTGATCTTCATCAAAACCCATCTAAGAATCCCGGGCGAAAACTAGTGCCGGCCACAGCAGCCTCCGTGAATTCGCATTGGACCGCAAAGTATCTAGAGCATGGCTCCTGACGATCACTTCCATCACAGCCTCAAGCTCTTACGAGTTGCGAGTCAATCCATACTCGCGGCCATAACTCTGTCAACATCGTCTGTGTCAGAGTCTGGCCGTGGCTTTGTGGCCCGCTGCGCTATTATCGCGAGTGACCCTCCCCAACCCCTAACAACTGCGGCCAAGTCAGCAAGGGTGGATTAAGACAAAGCAAGCAATGCCAACCAAACCGCGTCCTGTGAACCGATATGCAGCAAACGGCACACCGAATCTGCCGCTGGGTCACCCAGGTGGTCAACCTCCGTCCTGTGATTGCTCGTGAAGCAGACCGCAACGGGCGGGGTTGGCCTTGGTTTGGGGTTTAGCATGCCTCCAAAGGTGCTCTAAGAGCACGACAAGCGGGCTACAGGATGGGCCAGCGAATCGCCGGCAGGATGCATATGACACACAACTGCGGTCAAGGATGGGTGAAATGCAATGCAAAACCTAGCGGCTGAAGCGCGAAGACTGACGAGAGAAGACAACGAGTATCGAGATAACAAACGAGACGACCAGCAAGTCGGCGAGAGGTCACGACGTGGTTGTCCTGGGTATAAACGATTGGCGGTTGAACATTGCGTTTGTGACTGATGCAACAGGCTCCGGTATTCATTTCCAATCTCCTTGGTACCACGTATAATCAGCCAACAGAAGAAATGAGCTCCAAGCGAGCAAGCAAAAGAAAGAAAGGTTGGTTGGCGCGTAATTGACATCTGATTAATGGATCCGAGCTTGCCGCAGTTTTGAGTTTACTTGCAGTCTTCCTCCAGGGTTAGGCAGTCTGCAACGTCTGCAACGGGTTGAACGGGATGACCCTTCCGTACCTTCCTCCCTCCCGTCTTTCCCACCTGGGAAGGGGAATGAATGGAAGGAACAATGGAAGGGAAGGATGGACGGGCCGGTACTCCACGTGATAACCTGTAACGGTCTCAATTTCATTTAGGTTCAGTCCTTTGTCGTATACGTATACATACATTGCGTGGGTGGTAACTCAAGGCTCTTGTTCTATGTTGTACATGATGTCTAACTGGTATGTTCTCTTTCTACCATCTTGTCCAGTTCCTCCGCAGGCATTTCGTCCACCACCACCTCCTCCTGGCGTTAAGCGACGCCAAGTGACTATGATAGCTCATATATACACGTCGCTTTGCTTACCCTCGCTCTATTCTAATCCAGTCAGATGGCCCAGCTCAATCGAGATGTCGTCGGTCGAGACGGGTCCTAGTCTTACTCTGACAGTTCTATCACTGCTGGGCTTATGCCGCTGTCGCCTGATATCTCTCCTGAGATCCCCTCATTCCATAACTCTTCCAGGCCCTTTTCTAATTCGCTGTCTATCCCTCCCACCACCTCGGCCAGCATCGTCCGAGCTGCCTGCCAACTTGTGATTCCCAATTCGCGGCTGGCCAGTTTCATCTTGTCTCCGTAGACGCCGCGCCATTTGGCCAGTTGTCTCTCTTCGATTACGTTGTTTGCTCGCCCAGTAAACGCCATAGACGCACCAAACAGTACGCAGAATAACCAGAGTGACTGTGTCCATTCGCTCATCCTGAGATGCTCTTCGCCAGCATTAACATCGTCAATAAGCTGTTCGAGGAGCCAGTCGATCATGGTTACGTCAAAGTACCTGTCGCCCAGCTCCGAGCACAGATAGAAGAAAGTAGCAATGAAACTCGTCCGACTACTTTTGGGGTCACCGTTCAATATCCGGGGTACATATTGACTTCCGTTGAATCCTCTTGAGATCTCATAGTTGAGGTTGAGGTCCCGAGTATGATTTTGCCAGAGTCTGGCTGCTGGTGTTTCGATGTCTTCCCACCAACCATATCTCGGTGCTTCGCGCGGTGGTAACGCCGTGATATCCCATATTGATGCAAATAGGAGCGCCATAAATGTCGGTTGGTATTCGGGCACGTTTACGAGCTGGCCTGCTTTTCCGGTCCGCAGTCCATCTCCGATCCTGTCTTGTGTCAGCAAACACTGCGTTAGGACCAACGTCCTCCCAGTACAACTAACATCTTGAGCATTCTTTGAGGCAACGTCGGAACTTTATCAGTCACTTTGTTCCACTCCTTCACTGCAGACTGTATACCCTTCAAGTGTCTGGAGGAAGCATCCAACTCTCCTATTGCGCCCTAGGTTATGAAACATCAGCATCGAAGAGTCGGTAGCTACTAGCCAAACGGACACCATACCTCTGTCAATGCAAGTGCGGAAATAGCCAGCATTGTATCTCCGCTCTGCGCCAATCCTGGGCTCTGGAGCTGTTCCCTTGCGAACTGATAGGTTGCTGCTTTGTGATACAGAAACGGGATCCTGACCTCATCCATTGAGCCCGTGACCCATGCCCACTGACATGCTGAAAGCATGAGGCACATATGCATATAACCGGGGTTTTCGAATGACTTTTGTATCCTATGCAGTTGTCAGTGAAGTATCTTCAACAGGCCAAATTGACCTGGAGTATTGGGTTACCGCACGCCGAAGATTCCAGCTCCCGGGCTACAGGTCTTGAGCCCCAGACTGTATACTGTGAAACTGATCCAAGGCCATTAGTCTTGCTACAAATAAAGTGGCCCCCGCTGATATGACCTACAGTGACGCAGAAGCCTCTTAGACGGCTCCGGTAGAGCATCGAAAGAGCCTCCTACATAGTTGTTAAGGGCATTACTTATCCCCGGTGTTGGTGGCTCGGCAAGTGACATCTGAGAGCCAAAGCTCCCAACGGCAACAGTGCTAGATGAGGATGGTGAAGGTGAAGATTCATTGGATGGTAGAGGCTGTTCTGGAGTCGGGTATATGCATTCACTTCCCGTTTGAAGACAATTGGTGCTGTGTTGGCAATGTCAGTTACTTCGGTCCCAACAGCGGCCTTTGACTCGCCCATGGCCTTATGCGAGGCTCGTCTATCTCGCGTCCAAGCCGCGCGCGGGCTTACGGCATCGACCATAAGATGAGAGGAAAGTATCGTCTGCTGCACGAGTGAAACCGGGGAAGTTAAACATACCAAAGCGGCTTTTGCTCGTCGCACCTCACGTGCCTTGCCTTGCATCGAGTGCATCCATTTTTGCTTCTTCGATGAAACTTCCTCTTGCGTTCTTTCTCTTTGGGCGGCGCCATAATGTCACTTTGGCATTCCTCTGTTGCTATCGCTGTACACTCTTTGTGGAACTGATCAAGGGTTCAGAGCAACAATGGTTTCGTCTACATGCTGCTAATGTAGGCTCGTATATCATCAGACTCCGCTCACTCCCAATAGCTCGGGGGCGGTCGAGAGGAAATATTCCACGAGAAGTTTGGTTTGGAGTCACGGCTGACACGGTTTCAATTAAGCATAGGCAAGCGATACAGGAAATTCTTCGTATTGAGGATCAGTCTTTGCCCGATACAATCCACGCCGGCTGGCAGGATGTCCCCAAATAGAATTCAAGGGGAGTAAAGCTCGTTTTCCTAGACGAAGGGTGCAGGGCCCGTGTCCAATCACATAGCACTGTTCCTTTTAGCCCCATGACTCGCTCGTCCCCGGGTGGCGGGGGCTTGTTCACAAAACCTCGTAGAGGCTTCGATTTGCCCGGGGGTTGATGAGCTCAGTGAGGCCATATCCAGTGAAAAGTCGGCCGCCAGGAGTCGTTCTTGGCTAGAATAAAATGTCTCGCCTTGTTAGTGGACCTTGACTTCTGAGTGTTAAATACCCTTCTCCTACGTCACATGTGTTCGGCGACAGACATTTTCAGCTGCGAGCAGGGGCATGGCGATGACAGTTGCCCGCCATTTGATATAAAAGCACGATGCTGAGTGTCGTATTAAGAAGCAATGGAAAGATAAGAATATGTCTTGGTCAGCATGCGGCATAATGACATGGGACATTACGAACTCCGAATGGGCGCCCGCTGAAACAAAGGCGAATCTATGCGCAAGCCAACATTCCGGGTCATTTCCTTTTCTCTCTAGTCTCGTGCCATTAACGGTCGAGAATTGGAGGTTCTCACGATACCGAAACACGCCGAGTCTCTAGTTCGGAGCGGGACGGCCATGTTTGTTGGCGCCGGTCGGTGTGGGTCCCGTCTTTCGGAGTTGTCTGTGTCTACGACCTGACAACCTAAAAAATGGCCGAGTGTTAGTGGTCAAAATGTGGAGATCAGTGTCTATTTTGGGCGCGTTCCAGATGTCAACAGGGGCAACCGCATGGACGAACGCCTGGTACCGAGAGAATAGCTCGTGTTCCTTAGGCCATCAAGCCACGTGCTAGTGAGCGGCGGCGACGTTAAACATGGTCCATTTCAGCCCTAGGGGCAGTAAGGACAGAGACAATGACGCATTTGATCCTCTGAGCAAGGGATGATGTCTCGTGTCGTGAAATTACCAGAGGTGTTTTCAAATCCGAGAGGCTGGGACGGTCTCGTGTTAGTCCGTACAGACCAGACCGTCCACCGTCCACCGTCCTTGGTCCAGAGTCCAGGGTATGGATTAAAAAGAAAAAGGCGCGAGAGAACGGACTTGTTTTTCGTATCCAAGAAAAGAAAAGATTGCAGAGAATGTCGATGGCCTATCGATTCCTAGAAGCAGCGAGCTGAACAAAAGTTCAATCTGACGGACGGATCAGAGCTGATGGTAATCAATTGAGTCTGATCTGGGGAACCGCCGAAGGGAGAACATCTGCAGATCATGACTGTTTTCACCGTTGAGCTTGTAAGTGAAGCGGTGTGTGATGTGTAATCCAAGGCGAGGACGTTCAACAGGACAGAGAGAAAGAGAAGGAAAGAAGAAACCGTCAATGACCTGATATGGCAAAAGAAAAGAGAAAGTGGCTGAGAAATGTCGACATAAAGAGACGTTGTCTATGTTTTTACCGTGCCACATCATCTCTCTCCACGTCAGGTCAACAAGACGAGACGAGACCAGACGAGACAGAAGATAAGACAAGGGACGGAACTTTGGGTTCCGCAGATCGGGTCACATGCATTTGCCCATGTCCATTAATTAATGATCTGGCATCTTTCCAGTGGACAGCGGACAGCCCTGCTTCGGCTAACCGTTGACATGGGGAATTGAGGTGAATAAGTGCCGCCTTCTATCCAACTCAATGAGGAGGCGGTCAATCACGAACATCAACCAAGCTCGGCCTCGAATTCTCAACAAATCCATCAAATCACGATCTGCAATTGAATATTCATCCGTTATCAAGATCCACTCGCAACTATAGGCGCCCGCCTCACAATCGACAAAGCTGAGGCTCGCTCACTCACTCACTCACTCACTCACTTACTCACTTTACTCGGCCGGGTTAAAGCGCCTTCACTTCCACATTCTGACGTCTCCGTTCTCCGTATCCAGATGCCGAGAAATGCCACGAGCTTTAAGGGTCACGGCAGGCCAGGGACAGGTGGAGTAGATAGCCACATTGCAATTGCCAGCGGCTGTTTGCATTAGACGTCAGACCATTTCCATTGTCGATATCCGTACTCCGTACTCTGTCCAGATAAGGAATCAATCATTTGGACACAGCGCAATCATGTAACGATTGTACAAGTTCTGTCTAGTATCTCACAATGACTTACAGAGAGAGATATGGATGATCACGGTACTGTCAGTTCGGTCATTTTAATCCTTCAAACTGCTGACGCCCAATCATCAGTCGCCTTATTCAATATGCAAACCCCAGATTTAATTCGTCTGACTTCCCTCCCGTCAGGTTCCGCCTCGTTTCGATGCCCTGCCGATGTGCTGTGCTGTGCAGCGCATGTGCCCTGTGGTGCACTGCTGGCAGTTGATAGAATGGTGCGTTGTCCACTGAAGCATCAAGGAACAGCGCCAAAGTCAAACCTTTTACCCGACCCAACTAACCCAACCCCAAACCTTTCATGACTTAAGTTAGTACCCAAAACCCCAAAACCCAACCGCCAGGCACGCTGCACGCTGCACACTGCACACTGCACGCTGCACGCTGCACGCTGCACGCTGACGCTGACGCTGGTGCTGATGCTAATGCTCCCGTGATGGAGGTGGTCGGTGGGCATCAACGGGAAAAGCCCTGTCGGTTGCTATTACATGCACAGCTTTGGTGCCTGACCTTCTGGCTTCTGCAAGTCCCATCTCTGGTTTCCGCCATTGACCGCTCCTCCAACGTTCCGGGTACTCCCCTGCTGATGCTTAGCATCTCCTGAGGTCAGCTCAATTCGGCACTGCCAACGCGTCTTGGGCAACAATGCTTGCGCCTAATGATGCATGATGCCCAGGAGATCAATTGCCTCGCCCAAAGCCGAGGTAGTGGAAGTGTGGTGAGGACTGCCCCGCGATACATACCTATGGAGCAGAGGTGACAGAGGTGATAGAGGTGACTATCTACTGGACATAGGTATGTGTTGATGCAGAAACCTGACATCTGGGGTAGTTCCGGCACTCTACCTACACTCCACTCTCGGGCCATAGTTACAGCTCACAGCTACAGCTACAGCGACAGCTACAGCTACAGCTACACAATGCCTATGTTCTGGGTGTATTTGGTCGTACTGAATAGAGGCACAAACCGGTAACGTTTCAAACGTCTTCGATCATTAAGCTTCCCCACCCTGGCTTCGGATCAGAGGACAGGCCTGGCCTGTGGACTCGCTTCTTTTTGGTGCTCGGCTGCTGCTTGCGCCATCAACTTAAGTCAGAATTGGACTGGATTGCCGGTACTACACTGTTACAGTACGGTATCGCAGCCTTTGGGAGAGTGACACCCTCCAGACATTAAGGATTGTTTTCTGGGGCGAATTCCATTGCAAATCTTGCCAGAAAAGACTCTGGTCCATCACTTGCTTCTCGCCTGGTCCCTGTCTACTCCGCTACTAGTGAATGGGATGGGGCATCGTTGTTTTCTATCGCCATCTTCCACGACCAGGGTTTCGCTCATGACATGCGTCCGTCCCTTATCCCTTTGGCCCTTGCAGCCTCACGGACGAACATAAATCGTCGCTATTCCGAGCTTCAATCTCCTGCTTCTCTCTCATATCTCATCTCTTCAACAGCTCTCTCTCTGTATCTGTATCTATACCCGCAACTGGTTTGCTGAGAAAGCAGAAGCGCCAATCCAAAAGATATTGCACTACTGTCTTTTAGTGCTTCACTATTGCCCGCGAAGTTTTTTGTCCAATCCAGCAGGAGTTTGGTTGGACCTTTGCAGATAGATCCATCTGTCTGGACCACAGACCACTACCACAGACCGCATACCGCAAACCGCAGACCACAGGTCACACCGCCTATAACCACAACAGGAGGACCCAGGGAATTTCATCGACCGTGGATGCCCCGGACAAGAGATTTGGAGCCAGCCAGCCTTTTGGAAAACCCAGGATCACTGCCCAAGGACCCATATTGTACAAGCTGTCCATCGCTTTATTATTAGTCTCTTTTTTTAACTGGAACCCAAGGCGTGGACCCGTTGCTTCTTGTCACCTGTGGATTCTTTCTTTATCAGCCGCAAGTCTCGTCAAGTCTCGTCAAAATTAACACTGCCGGTTTTTTACAATGATGAGCCAGTACAGTATGGCGCAACCAGACCATGCTTTCAAGACTTCTACAATGTCAAACAGTCCTTGGAACCCAGCTCGCAAGTGAGTCAGCATCCTACATCTGCTGGCCGTATATGTCCCAAACCCGTTTGACTAACTCATCGGCAGTTCCTATACCGAACCTTCGGTACATGGAAGCTTCGACAATAGCTTCTACTCATCACAAAGGTATGGTGATTCTCGGAACAATACCACCTCGGACATTTTAGTAACATTGGCCAATTCAAGTCTCAACTACTCCGCTAGCAACTATAACTTAGCTGGTGGTCTCCCTATTGGTACCAACGGTCAACTGTCGCGCCCCGAGTCAGCCTATCCTGCGGCTCCCTCGTATGGTGCTCGTCCTCCTTCAGGATCATATGGAAAGCCTGTCGGACATGGCTCTTATAAGGCACCGGCATCGCAGTCTTGGGAGAACCAGGATCGATACTCGCCTACCGACTCGGTGGACGATATTATCGCATCCCCCAACCTGTCCGATTACTCCATGGAAAATGGTATGAGCAATGCTGCCCCAGGAGGAAAGGCCAAGTCTACTGGAAAAGGCCGATCACAGAGACGACCGTCGAACCGTGACGAGTTCGACGGCCCTCATCAGTTCTTGCAGCGACCGCCCCCGGATGTCATTGCTATGCAGGAACGGGAGCTTCCTCACCTCCCTACCAACCTTCATGTCCAGGAGCAGGACAGTGTTTTAAGCCAGGTGAACGACCGACTTTCGCAGTGCGCCTTCGATTTCGTTGCCAAGTACCAGTTCCCGATTCCTCTGACCCAGGACATGAGACCTGTCGAGCGACCGCAGGACCGAGAATGGACCGAGTGGGTTTATCTCCTCAAGCGGCTCGCAACGAAGCGACGTATCCCAGCGAGAGTGCTCTACAACGGACAGATTAAGCAGTTTGTTACGATTCTCGAGAACTCCCTCGAAATGAGACATGCCGCCAAACATCAGAGTCGACCTCTCAAGGACGACCGCAACATCCTTCAGCTGATCTCGGCCGGTATTCAAGTGGCCAAGATCCTGAAGGATGCGTCGGCTATGGACTACCTAGACCGACTATACGTTTCCACAGACAAGCAGATCCAAGACCGTGCCGCCACGCGGTACCGAGCTTAAAAAGTCAAGCTTGACCACGAGTCCCAAGCGACTCTAATGATATACGTTTATATGCTCTCCTGAAACAGGAGACATGACCTGCCGGTGACGACAACGGCAACGATCAGAAACAGGGATGTGGCCCGAGTAAAGGGTTGGGACCACGAGCACAAGCACAATTTGACATTGTGAGCGATAATGTTTACCATATACTGGCGATACTCTCCTGGGTCAGATGGGTTGGTGTGCCAGGTTCACGCCAGCCTAACCCAGCAACCGTCTTTCTGGTTGGGAGGATATTGTCCCGAGCGTGTTGGAGTTATCTTGCGGCAACATTTGTTTTGATTTACCTTGACGAGTCATGTTTGATGTTTTTATTATTTGGTATATGTTTATACTTTTACTGTTTTTACCACTGGACTTGAAGAGAGCCCCAATACAGGACTCACGATGATGCATTCACTACAGTACGTGTTTTTAGTTACCCAGTTGATTTGAAGAACTCATTGATTAGCCACGACGGCTTTTTGGTTGCTTCGCCTGTTAGTGGTGGAGGTAACGACGACGGTGGTGGTGGTGTTGGGCATCGGTTGGGTTGGCAGATCACTTGTTTGGGTGAGGCTTAGCCGCGACGATGATCTCTTGGGAGCAGGCATCTCAACTCTGATACCGTTGTAGATCATTGGGCATATATTGGGCACATAATTCTAGTGAGAATTAGGAATCTGACAATGGCGGGAGCTCCCGAGAGGGGATGGAGAATGCCTGTTCATCACTGCAAGGGACGATAAGACAGGTTGTTACGAATACAATTTGAGCGAATATGGTACGCAGCATATGTCACTCTATTCTTATACATTCCACTGAAGAACACCCAATGAGTGATTCAAAGCTAGCCAGGTCGGTTTGGGGACTTGCCTCATGAACCTTGCAGCTCTGATAGGGTATGCAATGATGATAATTCAACCCCGAAACCTTACCTCACTTTTGAATCATATCGAGATCATGTGGTGGCAGTTTTATGTGAAACACTGGTTTATCCCGGATTTTGTTAGGCGCATCAAGCTTATGAGGCGACTCGTCATCTGATATTGCGGCTCCAATACTTACTCTAGATAAAACAGCTTGAGGCCTTCTCTGTATGCTGTGATGCACGAAATCGTACACCAATCGGATAGTCACAGACACAGATCGATAATGCTACCGCTGCTGCTGTGCAATGCCAATGACAGCTCGAGCTCATGCGATAGACTACTCAAATTAGCACCTGACACCCATACACCTTTTCAGGTTGTGAATAGGTAAGCAAAGCATATACACTCTTGGAAAACTGCGTATAATTAATCACAGCGGAATAGAAGACTACCATATTGCTCAGAAGGGAATAGCGTGCATAGAACGCCTGAGCATGTGCAGCATAGGACGGGCATGAGTGGTTCAGACAGGTACTTGCCTTTAGCTGCAGAATCCCATATGAAGAGATGTATCGCCCTCTCGGTCCCCAGTTGGGCTTAGCGTCGAGATGTCCATGAAGGTTGACCGAGAGAGAAAGAAGCAGGCATCTTTTCTGACTTCTCCCTCTTCTTCTTATTCCTTTCGGTCTGGTATTTTTGGTGAGAAAGTGCACTTTTGTTTAACATATATCTCGTGGCTTTTCCCCAGGTCTAGGAACAAAAGAGAGAACGTTCCTGAGACTTGTAATTACTGGACGATGCGCGTGGACTAGGGTCACTGAGCATCCTGGCCGATTTGCGAACATCGTTTTAATAGCGACGAATATTAACGACACTTCACATATTCAACTTGCACAAGACAGTGAACAACTCTGATATCCTGTTTCATCATCACAGAATCGGTTTTACTATATAAGAGCCTTCTATCGGCTGGACCACTATTTCCTCTCTTATCATCTCGATCTGGACTTCAACCTCAATCTCATCAATATCAACGGCCCATGAAATTGATATATACTACTTAAGATCATCAGTATATACAAATCAACCTTCAAAAACCCTCACAATGACTTCAGTTCACTCCCGGCCTTCACCAAGCTCATCATCCCCCTACGACTTCGACTCCGTCCCTGACGACGAATCATGGCAGTATATCGACTACACAGCAACGAACTCTGGTCCCTCATCTATTGGCTTCCTTTCTGACCCTGCTAGTGGAAGCTTGGGTAGTTTTTCCATGGTTGGGAACGTTCATGGGACACCACCACCTTTCATTCCCGGCAACACTCCTCCTTCGTACACATCTGTTAGCAATTCTTCGCCTTTCATGCCTGGCAACACACCCTCCCCATCAGCTGCCTCTCCCTTGCTTTTGGGAGAGATGGATCAGAATGCTTTCTTCGCTGCCAATGCCTCATTCCAGGCGCCGTCAGACATGGCCAACTCGGACATGTTTGCTACTACGACAGATGGTGGCTATGGCCAACCACAGAACTTCCTGACACCCCAGCAGTACCTTTTCTCACAGCAGGATACGAATCAGTTCCAAGATCAGGGCTTGAATGGTATGATGCCAAAGCGGAAGACGGTCTCCCCTGGAGTGCAGGGTGCTGATGCTGCTGTAGACATGACTCTCATGCAAAACTTCGGAAACGATATGTTCTCGATGAACATGAACGAACAAGTTCAGCAGCCTCAACTTGATTTTAACATCATACAGTCAGACCCTAATGTCCCGCCGTGGAGTCAAACGAATACGCGAGGCAACGAAGCTATCTTCATCATGGATGACTTCAACAACTCTCCATCACCCATGAGCAACTATTCGCAGACCTCGTTCCCCAGCTCGAAAGCAAGCCCTAGTGGGAACAAGTCCCCTATCACGATGCCAATCCGCAAGGTCAAGGTTGGGAAAGTCGAGAAAAAGAAGAAGATCGAGCAGTCTGGCAAATTTGTCATTGTGACCCCTGACTCTATCTCAGCTCACGCTAGCCGTCCTAATCCTTTTGAATGTTTCGAGGCTTTGAACCGAACGAGTCAGCGAGGGCGCAAGGGCCCCTTGGCGGATGCTACGAAGGAGAATGCTTTGCAGGTCCGCAGACAAGGTGCCTGCTTCTGTTGTCATAGCCGCAAGGTGAAATGCGACCTCGAGCGTCCGTGCAAGAGTTGCAAGAAACTCATGGTTCAAGTTCCCCAAGTTGTCTGTTGGCGGTTCAGCGACTTCTTGACTATTTTGTTCCCTGAGTATATCCGTGGCCACCTTGTCAAGGAACAGATGATCACGTTCGTCAAAGAAAATATCGCTGGATTCCATGTTCAGGGGGTTGAGCAGGTCTGCTCCATTGAGCTATTCTCCGGTCCACTATTCAATACAGTTCTGGCCATTCAAGCCAAATTCTTCACGCCAAAGACGGAAGAGGTCAAGAACCATTGGCAGCTTCAAAACGTGGGAGGGAATCGAGTTGAGCTGAGACCCAACAGAGCAGCTAACATCGGCGTCGAACTCGAGAAGAGTGCTGAAAGGGACGGGCTCAAGAAACGGACCAAGAGATACATCCAGGAGCTTCTTACCGAGCCGTACTTTGTCGATCAAGTCACGGATAGTTTCCAGAGTACAAACCTGCCGAGGAAGATACTACGAATCGTCAAGCAGTATGCTGACGCAACTGAGGTAAGTTAAACCGAGCAAGTTGTGTCATCAACCGAGCTGACAGTCATACTGCAGTGCCTCATGGTCAAGCGGGCCTTGTCCATTTACTGCATGCACTACATCATGACCAGACAGCTTTGCCTCACCCAGCAGACCGCCGATACACTTCGATCAACCGGTATGATAGACCAGGGCGACAACCATGTAACCCCTCGAGTACTCGCACGACAGATCAAGTCTATCGTAGACGAGCTGATGCAGCGTGAGATGCAGCAGCTCTTCGATCTCTTCTCCAAGTCGCTCAAACCCAAGTCTCGACGCGAGTGGGCACCCTGCACTGCTGCCTTTCTCGTTCTTTGCCTCTTCATGGAGGCTGTAGAGACGGCAGCTGACATCTTTGTGATCTCCCAGAACGAAATCAACATGAGAGGCAGCAAGAGACCCGAGTACGAAAGAAGCCTCGCGCTGAACACTTGCGCCGAAGTCGAGAACATGCCTTTCAAGCAGTTCGCCTACTCGTTCCACCAAGTTTACCAGACACACAGCAAGGAGGCCAATGCCAAAGGCTTCAATCCCTTGCTTGACAACAGTTTTGCTGAACAGGGGGAGCTGGATGGACCGGCCATCCAACTCTCGGCCCAACTCCGAGAACTTCTATTCGGCGACAGCTGTAAGTGTGACCCGAGAATTTGCTAACGGCTGAGGATTATTGTTCTGGAAAGGATCACAAAGCTGATATTCCATGTCTCACTAGGGCAAGAGTTGCAGTTTCTGGCTGCGAATGAGCTTCTCACAAACAACGCCAGCCATCCATTTCCCATGAACCCTGAGACTCTGTACACTGGGCGCCTCGTGGCCAAGTTTCTCATGTCATTTCAGGATGACAGAGCCATTTTTGGAGATGCTGTCTGAGAGCTATTCGTCTGAGACACACGCTGACGGAGAACGGTGAAATATGGATTCGTCAAACGTTTTTTTCGGGGTGACATGGCGCATGCGAGGCTTTTGCTTGGTATAACGGTCAAGGGGATAGGGTAGCTACCCTTGCACAGGCTTTGGAGTTATGAGACATGGATATGATATGACTTGAGGGCGTACGCAGGCCGCACAGGAGGCTGAATGAAACGACATATGCTAAGATGTTATTGCGAGTACGAGGCACAGGGCGGTCTCATAGTGGACAAGAACATATTCGCGTCAAGAGTTACAAGCAACATGAGCATATTATGACATGATCAAAATCATGATTACTCCTCATGCCAGAACGGGCAAGACATTGTGTGTAACGAATGTGACAATCAATGCGCAGCGGTTGATTTCTCAACAGAAACAGCAAAGGATTTACTCGTCACACAAGCCACATGCAAATACAAGACATTTGTTCACGATTGTTTATAGCAAAGATATGTTTGCCCGATTTTAGTCCTGAAGCCACACTGCTCTATGGTATCAGGGTGGAGCGGGTCGGTTGTCTAGACCGTGGTTTTCATCTCCCACTCGAACGATAAAAAATAAAGTTGACACACATGTGCATTGAAAGCGCAGAGTGTAGGCAATTCGTGGGTGCCGCTGTGAAAGCGGACTTTGTATCTATGGATAAAGACAAAACAAATGAGCATTTCTGTGTGGGTTAGTTCGTGAAAAAGCATGTGAAGTAGCAACTCGAGCAGTCACACCCCGAAGATATCCGCTGCGAAAGACTGTCCAACACAAGACGCAGATTATTCTCACTTAGAGGGCCTGGCGTCACTATGGCGTTCAACAGCATCCGAAGGGCTTGCGGGTTTGAAGCAGGACAAACGGCACAACATGGGCGCTGCTGAATCGGCGATGCCGTTGAGAACAGAAATGAGCTCACAAGCCGAGGATGTTACCTCTGCGTATGGCAAAAGTTGCCTTCGGCGTCGGGAGAGGCAACAGGCGGGAAAAGAAGAGGCGTTTGTTGTTGTGATGATGGGATAAGAAAATCGTCAAGTGCAAAAGATCAGGTAGAGTTTTTAAGGAGGTTGACACAGACCCACTCTCCACGTGACACCAATTCTTTCGATGCTTTGCTATACCTCGCGCCAGATGTGGATTGCCTCAATTTTTCTTTCCTTTCCTCCTTACACTTAAATTACGCACGATAAAATCAACCGGCCTCGATGTTCTTTCACTCGGAGTCGGTCATATTCAGTGCAAGAGTGATAGGTTTCTCTTCTGCTGTCATATTGCGTCACGGGCCAACTTAATTGTCTCGCCGATCTGGCAGAAGCTCCGATATATCAATTCTAAGCAGTATCAGCGTCCACCTACTACTGCTGCTGCTACCACCTTTACATAGACACCACCTTATAAAAGACCGCCAGGAACCGCCGTGCATAGTCGTGTAACTAAGATCCTGCAGTAGGCACAGGGGCTTGCTTAACCAAGCCCATTGTCGCGTTAATGATGGGCCAATAGGTTCATTGTGTTTCCTGTACTTGGCTACTTCGAGTATTGGCTGCCTGCTGGTACTCAGATACAATGAGTCTGCAGCATCGTCTCCGACCAAGAATGTTCTACTTGAGCAACCTGTGTCTATTTACAGGACGGTATATGACCAAGAGCTGTACCTACCCGACAGTTGTGTCGTAAACGCTGCCCATCTCATTGGGACCCAATTATTATACTGATAGGCACTTGGCAACGATCAGCATGTCATGATAGTTCAAACTAACATTTGCGTTACCTGCCGTACGAACATCCTCTCTTGTGGACTCGATGGGCCATGACTGTCCCCTTACTCTGGGCTGATTTGGCTGCTTTTTGTATGACTTGCGTAACCTATTACCTTTATTGACATGACGAAAGTACCCAACCCTTAGTAGGACAAGCTGGGAATTGAACTTGCACCATGGTACTAGTGTGGTGAATCGTTCAACTCCATATTGAGATCGAGTTGTCCCAATCCATGTCGGCTCCGTTATACGCTGGCAGTGATTTCGTACACGAGATGGAGTTGACCATGAACCAACAAATACGAGTATGCTACTAGGCATATGAATCGTTTCACACATCTTGACTTTGACTTCTGTCCTACGCCGCACGTCAGTCAATACGCAGAATACGTCTATTTCAAGTGTATATTACTCCTGAATTGTGGGATTGTCCAACTGGCGCCCTTGACCAATTGGTAAGGAAAACGTCAACTTACATTGCGACGAGATTGTGCCTCCTCGTTCCGGAACCTGGCTTGCGGCAATTTGCATGGAACGGGTTGAGTTGAACTGAGGCGCTGACGACGACGTTTATCAAAAGAACGCCTTGAGCAACAACCTATATGCTCATCTAGAGGACCGCACGGCGTGTGGCGACATGTATCTCTATCTAGCGGGCAAGAGAGATTATCGATGTTCCAAGACTTTTGGGCAGTTGAGTCCAGAAACGAGTTTCTTGTCCAACAGTAGTTGTGTATAAGATGTTTGATTCCTGCCGACGGTTTTTGGATTCATCCTGCTCTCAAGGCATCCGATCAACCTGCAAACAACCATCAATTCGGCTTGAACTCTTAGACTTTCTCTCCCAAAACAATCTTCTGAATAGTTCGACGCTTGTCGAGCTTCATGTGTTAATACACCCTTCAAAGCAATCATGGCTGCCTCTACCAATCCTGTTGTTGGTGTCAACTTTTCCAACAATGACCCGAAGCCCCCTAAGCCCTGGCCTAAGGACCCCAGTAAGTCGAAACCCCATTTCTCTCTTCTCGTTTCTTGACAATTCTGGAGTGATGTCTCGGCTATCACCTATTATTGACGTGTCGTTGAACAACTTCCGCAGTGGCATGGTATTGCTGCAGCAACATTGCCCCTGTTATAGAAGAACTATATCTCCGGTTGGACCTATACTGACACAAGTACACAGCTATGGGAAATTAGTTCACAACTATCATACTGTGCATGGCGCAACATGTAGCAATTTGTGGCCTTGGGGAGGAATAGCGACATATCAACGGAGCATACGCACGGGGGGATAAACGAGAAGAGGGCGGTGGACTTATTCTGTCATTCTCGCAAAACTGTTTTAGTTTTTAGATTAGAAATTGCACGGTACCGTTGCTTTTAAACCCTGTTTCTTGTGCGTTGTGCATAATGTATCAACCACGCTGTGTGCCCTTACAGGACTCACACGAAGCCAGAAATGTACTATGCCGTACAATCAAGATGAGAATGGGGTGAGCGAGAAGAGAGAACAACTCAACTTTCCGCAGCGAATAAGATAAAGAAACTAAACGTTGTGATGGTGGTGTTGAGAAAAAGACTTCAGCTTTAGGGTGTTGATCGTACGAGTACGGTAACACTGGTGTAAAGACAGATCGAAAGGTTTGAAGACATCAGCTCATGGCTTCTCGTAGATGATTTCTGCACACTTGTATATTACTATGGCTGTGGCTAACAATCCGTGGTAGCAATAGTTAAGTCAAGTGAAGTGGGCTTGATAATTAGGGGCAGTTATCCATGGTGGTTAGATGCCGTCTCGCTGGCTGAGTTGTTTCTAGAGTGATGAATTGCTCGGGTCAGGGATGTTAGCCGCAAAAGAGGTTCCCAACAACTTTGTTACGATTAACGCGGAAGCGGAAGGAAAGACCATAATGTTGTGTGTCGTTTCGTGTACTTGGTCGTAACTCCCCGATTTGGCGCCTTTTAGAGAAAGTGCGACTACGACCATGACTGCAACATGTTGTCCTTATGTACTGCCTAGGCCTTATCTGGGGTTCCGTTGGGCATACAGAGGATACATACGCTTAACTTTATACCTGAGACTAGAAACCCCTTATCATGCAGAAAATTAAACGTACAAGTTGCTCCTGTTCCTATTAACCTATCGACCTAAGCCCTCCAAGTACTCTTTAACTTCACACCGACATTCCCCCGTGACACGCACGGCAGATGAAAGCAATAATAACTTCCTCTACGTCGAATCGTACCTCCGGTAGCAACTTGTTCTGTGCGGTTTGGTGTGGTTCTGTGCGGTCTTGAGTTGGATCGTCTGCCGTGTAGCCAAATTTGCGCGACTCCTGCGACTTGAAGTGCAGCAAGCATGACCGACACTACCCGATCAGTGGAATCGGCTACACTGGAAATTATCCTGATCGCAATCGTTGTCCTTGTCCTTGTCCTATGCCTTGGGCTCTTCTTGCTAGGCGCCAGTTTGAGAACACCAAGAGGAACCCGGGATACCGAAAATGGACAGCGAGAAACGCACTGGGGCGAATGGCACCAGGCAGATCAAGGGGATGGGGCATACCATGATGATGAAGCTTCGTTTATCAAGAGTGTGCGAAGACGAAGCCAGTCTTTGGCGGATGAGCTCCGACTGGAGTTGAACAACCTTAAACGCAACCTATCCTTATTGACAATTCCCTCAAGGGTCCGACTCGAAAGCACAAACACAGGAGAAGCACGAAGATTCAGCATCGACCGGCTATTGAGTTTCTCCCCACCCAGCTCGGAATTAGTCACAGACTGCGAGAGCTGCTTCGAGTACTTGGACTCTCCGCTGTCCGCCACCGGTAGGGAGGAGGATGCAACCGGGACACAGAGGAGACCAACTCGACCGGCAGGAAATGCAGTAAGATATGGGGAGGCACAACAGTGGGATAGTCCTTTGCTGTAGATTACTGGGAGCAGCTGGGAAAAAGACCAGTGAATGGTCGGGAATGGCAGATTGTTGTACATGATACCTCTATTGATCTGAAAAAACCCTTCTACTCTGACATTGGCCTTTCGTGAAGCCCGCGGCAAAGCCCCTTGTGTCATTCCTTAACACGCTGCCATTTTCAGGTGTGTTTGTTGCTGGTACAAAATAAACGACTCGTCCCTCTTAACTGGTGCCTAATTTTTTATCCCTCATGCGGCCTGCTTCTTCAGGTCTCGTGCAGCCTGCTTCAGGCTGAAGTTGCACTCCTCGTAGGCACGGCCAGCACCGAAGCCAACACCGACAAACGCGGGCCATGCTCTTCGCTTGAATAGAAGGACGGAGAAGACGACACCGAAACCGAGACCGAGGGAGGACTTGACGAGGAGGTTGGAGAGGCAGCGATCCCACTGGAAATAGTCAGCACCTTCATTCTGTTGTAGAGACCACTGATTCATTCGGAATTTATAGTTACCTTCTCGTTGAGAAGCGACTCGCTGAGCGGCCGGGAAATGGCGCTGGGGGGAGGGCGGGCAACAGTGGAATCGGCCATTTTGACCTGTAAGTAATCGCGTTAGTTCCATCCAATCGAGATTGTTATCAACGGAGGAATTGACCTACTGGAGTCGTACAATCGGTCGTTGCGAGCGGAATCAGTAGCTACGACGAGCTGTAATTATGGACGTGATGTCAAGCTCGATTATGGAATAAGTCGGGAGACTTGAGCCGGCTCTTGGGCGGTGAGAGCCGGAAGCCGGCAAAGGTCTAGCGCAGTGGCAGAATTTAATAAATTTTGGGCGGACTCTGGAAAAGTCGCGGGGCGCATTCAAAGATTGAGGTTAGAATAGCTTCTTTTGTCAAACAATTTTCTTAATCATTCATTTATCCATCACTCGCTATGGATGTGGAAATGGTGAACGGTTCCTCGCAGGAGATACCTTCTCCTCTTGTAAGTTTTCTCTTCATTCCTCTGCTGCGCAATTGCGAAAAGGCTTACACGTGTTGCAGGAAAAAATGGACCTGATTAAGACTGTGAGAGGTCTTGACCAAAGTGGCCCTGGAGAGGATGGAAAGAATCTCGAAAAGCTTTGGAAACATTTGACTGTATCAGCAGATGGTCAGTTTCATGCTGCCGAAGAGAGCAGTCTGCGATGGCTGCTAAAGTCGATGAACGGCTCATCAAAGGATGCGGAAACTTTGCGACGCTGGCCCTTGACCTGGACAATACTCGAATGCGTCTTCCAGCGCATCCCCTTGTTCTCACTCGCCAAGTCGCTTGCGGATAGACGGTTCGTCGCCGTCTTGCAACAGACTCTGAAAGATATCTCCCAGCCAACAGAAACATCATCAACCCGGTCCAAGAGGAAGAGGTCTATAACAAAAAGTTTCGATTTAGATGCTCTTCGAGATACTGAAGGATGCTTGATGGCTGGCGATGCTCTATTCAGTGCTTTGAAGAGGCTTTTGGACCGTCTCGATTCTTCTGTCACACAATCATCCCACGACAAGATTGGCGCCGAACATATCCGATCTCTTTTCTGTACTTCAGCAGCTGATGCAGCGATCTTAACGTCACTATCTTTACAGCTATGCGATATTGCGCTCACCAGCGGAGAGGAGCAAGAGGGCTGCGAATCATGGATCGAGACGATAACATCCATCTGGAATTTACATCTGCAAGGAAATGACGATGTGTTAGAGGTCGCTGCACACCTGTTCCCTCCAGCTGCGGCCATCATTGGCACACTAGAGGGTATCTCCGGATCACAAGAGACTGCGAAACCCGAACCACTACGAACGAGATGGACGAACGATTTGGAAAAGCTCATGCATCGCAACTTTATACTCCCCGCCCGAGCCGCCTATATCAACCGACAAGATTTGGAATCTGTTACAAGAGCGCTTCATGCAGCCGACAAGAACATCGATGTGGCGGCCCCTGCGCTGTACTTTATGGCGTCAAGTGTGACTGATGCTTTGGGCGAGGGAAGATTACGAAAAGGAAATATCGATTGGATGAAGCAGATTTTCAAGGCCGTGGAGGGTTCATTACGAAGTCGCGAAAACCGAAACAAGCTTGTGCAAGTTGTTCTGGAACGAGCGGCCCAGAAGTCGATGTCTATCGAAACAGACGACCTGCGCTCAGTCTGCCAAGAGTATGCTTTGCAGGAGGAGAACACGAACTGGTACTTGACCGCGGTCATTGCTAGCTGTGACGCTGATATATTCCTCGAGCGCTTCGAAGAAGGCGCACGCTTGTTGAATATTGTCTGTGAACGAAGTACTTCACCAGAGCTTAGCCAAGACGATTTCGTCCCAGTCACAAAAATCATCCAGGCCATCTCACAAACATTCCGTACAGGCCGAGACTTTGCTGGTTTCTTGAAGCTGTGGTATCAACAACTTTGCAAGGTTGAGAAGCAGAAAGGAAAGACTAGCTCCCCGTGGCTTCAGGTTGGCAACGCGCAACACGGGAAGGATTCATTTGCGAGTTTGATTGAGAAGGAAATGTCAACGCAACAGCTGCTTGAAGTTTTGGACTGGGTCAAGGAAGAGAAGTTGCATTCTCGAGCGCTCTGCCTCTTCCTGGACTCTATTGCTCAAGGGATTCGGAGTGAGGCTTATGTGGACGCTGTTGGCAGCAAGCTCTTTGACTTGGTGAGCCAGGTCAAGAAATCATCATCCACATTGACATCCCTAAAATGGGGAGTTGTGTCAAAGACCCTTTCCTGGAGCACTGCTGAGTCCAGAACTGAAATCTGGAGCTCTGTGCAAGGACAAGTCGCCAAGGTTCTGTCTGAGGAGCCTGTTGAGTCGAGGGAAACCTACGAGGCTTTCAAGTGCTGTTGTCAGGCTTGGGTCTCCATGAGCCCCGATGACGCGCATTTCGAAGAGCCTGCAGGCCTAGTGGATGCTTTTACCACTCGTCTTTCATCAGAACTGCTCTCATCGAACTCCCTGAAGGGCAAAGATTTGTCCTCGATTATAGAACAAGACCCTGCCCCGGCATTCCTTGAGGAAGCTGCTGCGCAACATTACCTAGCTTGGTTCTTGCGCGGCTCAGGTCGTCTAAGTCGATTCGTCTATGGCGCAAAAGCTACCCTCCCTCAGGCATTGCAAAGTGCACTATCGCTGCCCAATAGTGAGATTACGCAGCTGAGAGGTATCTGGGCGTGCCTTCTTGAAAACGAGAATAACGTCAACAGTACCAAAGTCGTTGGTGAGCTTATCGATCAATTGGTCAAATCGCTGGAGGAGGACGGAAAGGAGAAACGTTGGCCTGAGGAGGGTAGCCAAACTTGGATCCGGACTTTGAGCAGTGTTCATACCGATGCTTTCTCTCGATCTCAGCGAGAGCGCACCATGGTTCTCCTTAACGCACACCGAGGAAAGACGACAAAGCGAGTCTCTATCGAGGGCTGGAGGTACATCCTTGCGTTGTCTACCAAGTTGATGGGCAGGGCGACATTTTACGAGGGAATGGAGTTTTCCCATCTTGTAGATGTTGCTGATGCCATGTCAGATCTCTCAAGCTCAACGCCAACACGAGACGGCACTTTGGCTGACCTGATCAAAGCTTACTATGAGATGGCAGCGGCAACTATCCGGCAAATGACTGAGCATGTCGGCGAGCGAAGTATCAAGTACTTGAACCAAAGCCGCAGCTTCGCCTCTGATTGTGAGGATGCTGGGGATTTATCACCCTTCCGTATGACGCTGTTGAAGGCATTGATCACAGAGGTCTCGAATTCACCAAACTGCACCAGCCACCCTGAATTGGTTTCTTTGCCAGACAGCGCAAAAGATGTGCTAGGAAAGTGCGTTATTGCTGCGACAGGCTACTTCTTGACGGAGAAGAAGGCATACGAAAGTCACAATGTCATGGCTGACCTTCGACTTTTCGCTGCCGTCGATGCTGCTGAGTCACTGGAAAGTCTTTCTGGAGCCTCCAAGTTGAAGCAGTCTGATGTGCGAAAAGCCGAGAAGCGAAGCCACGCGGCCATGGCGTCGGGAGATTTGCGCGGATGGAAGATGCAGACGTTCCTCAGAACATACTTTTCGTCACTGTTGGAAGAGTCCAGACCAACAACGTTTTACACCATTAGTGAGGTGCCAAAGAAGCTTCAGGATCCTTTCTTCCAAAGCAACGTCGCTTCAGTTACAAAAGGAATGGATACCCTTGCCAAGATGGAATATCTTAGAGACTTGATTCAAGTGTTTGTGCAAGGTTCAGAGACGGATGGTCAAGTATCGGCCATCCATACTGTCGTGAACCAGCTTCTGGGTAAGATATTTAATGCCAAGTTTTATAGATGTACACTGACACTCGATAGCCTGCCCCGAATTGCAAGGCAAAGGATCAAGGTTTGGCTTGGCCACTGCTCACAGCGAACTGACATCGACTCTTTTAACACTCAAGAGCCAATCAGTTTGTATCGTAGTGTGCCGAGTTCTCTGTGCACTCCTCGAGAAGAAGCCACAATCCATGAGTCAATGGAACATCGAGTTCGTTCTTAATACTGTCTCGGACCTAAGCCTGTCAGCAAAACCACTTGATGAGCAATTCCCCAACGAACGAGTGCCGTTCACACGTCTTTGCGACCTAGTCGAAGTTATCATCAAGAAGCACCGTCTCCGACTCGAGGGCCATCACCACCTTCTCCTGTCGACGATGCAGGCTCTCCTCCGCAACCTCGTTATCAACCATAAAGCCACCGATGCCCTAGGCCAAACTCTTCACGAGACCAAGGCCCATCGTTATGCTCGCCTTGTTACGTTGATTTGTGAGCCAACAGCTGGAGCCGTGTCTCGGTCTCAGCACCAGAGTGCTCTTGATTCGGCGACCGATGCAGCAAAACGTTCAGCTGGACGGCATATGTATCTGGTCATGATGGAGTATGTCAAGTTACAGCTTGAGGCTGATGTACCACGCCGTGTGAGAGAAGCTCTTGAGCCAGCGATGAATTCCATCTTTGATATTACTCCCCCTGAGGTGAGGAAGATTCTAAACGACGCTATGGACAAAAGTGGACGTGCCATTTTGAGGGAGACATTCAAGAATTACACCAAGTTCGGTAAATGGAGTGGCGTATAGATAGACATATAGACTTTGACAGATACCATATTAACAGATATAAAAAAGGGACAACTTGTTTGATCATTATTATATTGGGTATCTCTAAATTATTGCCTTTATCCTTTTGAACCCAACCACAAAACCTTAAGCGTTCTGGGATTTCTTGTTGTACAAGGTCGGATGACCATGCTTTTTGCCATAGCTCCTGATTTGATAGTCAATAAATGGACGAACAAAGATCATGACAAATGTGGCAAGAAATGCACCAAGAATGTCAACAAAACTATTCTTGGGGGCGCCGCCAAACGCTGACCATTTCATGAGCGAGCCAAGGAAGTTAACCGTAATATTGTGTTGTCCAGCTTCAAGGCCTTTGATAGCAATTGCTGCAACTTCATCAGGTGTCTGCTTGGGGTCGTCTTTCTCAATTTCCTTTGTGATTTCGGGCTTGTGCTCGTTCTCACGGACCATGCTCGGAGAAAGAATTGTGCCGGGCAAGACCAGGTGTACCTGGACGTTCTGGGGGTAGAGGAGAACTTCTTGCTGGATGCATTCGGCCAGACCGCGCATGGCATACTTGGAGGGAGTGTATGGAGTGTATCCAGGAGGAGAATAGCAGGCGCAGACGCTCCCAGTCATGATGAGGTGCTTGGCCTCCTTCTCGACAGGCTTATCGACGGCAAGCCACTCGCGCATAATAGCATGCGCCATCTCAGCTGTGCCCCAGAAGTTGACGTCCATATGGTGTCGCATGGATTTCATTTCCATATCGACGAACAGCTCGGGGTAGGACAATCCAGCAAGAGTCCAGACGATATCGGGGGCTTGGCCATTGTTCCAGGCGATGACCTCGGCGAGGAGCGGCTTCGCGTAGGACTCGACACCGACGTCGGCAGCGATATAGTGAAAGCGTTGGGTTTCGGGGTTTTTGGCAGCGGCCTGTATATATCGAATCAGTACGTATTTGTCACGACGGCGAGAAAACAGCGGACCTTGACGGTGAAGAGGGCAGCTTCGAGTTTGCTGGTGCTGCGAGAGACGAGAACGACATTTGCACCCTTGGCAGAGAGCTGGGTCGCTACACTAAGACCTGCGCCTTCTGATGCGCCTGTGATGAGAATTGTCTAGAGGCATTGTTAGTTGTGGCGTGGTGTATAGGAGGGGATCATGAGACGTCTCATGAGGAGGTCAAGAAAGCATACCTTGCCCTCGACGGGGAATTTGTTGCCGCCAAAGAGACCCATGATGAAATAACCAGCAAAAAGAGTCGCGACAGAGACAGAAATGTATATAACGAGGGTCGTCGAGGAGAAATCCATTGCGAGAAAGCAGCAGATATGTCTGTGGACTGCGAGGGGCAGAGCTGGGAGTTTTAAAAATACCCCCCCTACAGGTGCAGTCTGCTATCCGCTAAGAACCTACCTACCATCAGGGAGTATGGAGCACAGTGTCCCATTCCCTCAGCGCCACATGCCGTTTACCACGTAGAATTGTAGATTCCCGCTTACATTGTCGGAGTCCTCGGAATCAATGCGAGCAGATAATAACATTGCAGTTGTCTTCGATCGGACGATATTGTATAATAGCGGTAGTTGGGTGTGACGGCGTGTCAACCAATGCCCCTGGCTTACTGACTGCACTGGGCCAAGTGCTGACGCAGTGTGCGAAGATTGCAGCACTTACAATTCAGCTCTGGCTTGATGTTTATGTGATTGGACTGTTCGGGTCATTGTTCCAGTCGTAGGGATTATCAGTAAGACGGACATAGAAGATGGATTCAGAGGCTTCTGACACTCATAGATCTTCAAGATTGGGTATGATCATAATAACGCAGGAAGCTATTCAACAATTTTTCTTCGTGATAATCATGACTTGAAAGCGTCAAGACTGTGAAGACCCTATGCACAGTGAACATATACTAATATATACTGTGCATTCTGAGACTGTGGCTGAAGCTCCATGAGGCTGACATGCTCTCTCACTGACTTTCAACTTACAAGATATCCATATCAGTGACTACTTTTCGAGAACTCATGATCAACCCCCTGGGAAATTATTTTTGACGTTTTCCCCATCACATTCGCATTTGTACTCTCAAACATTCAAACATGACAGCCAGGTCATGACAGAATCGAATTGACCTATCAGCACAATGTCCAACAAAGATGGGGACACCAAGCTTACGGTACCGAAATTCACATCTTTTAAGCCAAAAGAATCTTCCAACTTGAAGATCCCTAAGTTTTCATCTTTCAAATCCAAAGACAAGGATCAGGACACACCTGCAGGATCTGATAGCAAAGAATCGGAGCGGGAGCGACATCGAGACCAAGAGTCGAGGAGAAAGAGAAGCCATCACCACTCTGAGTCTCATCGCGACCATCACCATTCAAAAAGACATCGCACAGACTCTCACCACCGACATCGGGAAAAGTCGCGACCATCCAGTCATCAAGAAATACTGGAACACCGTCCAGTTACTAAGCCTCCACGCGACGCCAATGATGCACCGCGTCTGTACGTCGTTGATCCTAAAGGCGATCCCTTGATCATTCGATATGGAAATCTTGATCGCTCGCAGATTCCCGCTTACTATCGTGATGGATATGGTAAGGTGCTTGGTACACGAGGCCGTCTCGTAATCCACCGCGATGGACCAAGAGATCAGTTCAGTCTACGTATGCCCGGTGACGGTTCATATGCCTCCAAAGACAAGGATGGTCTTCGCTCGAAGTCGTGGCGTATAAGGCCAAATCCCTTTCGAATCAGAAAACAGGAGAATGACGATAATGGTGAAGACGAAGGTGATTTCCTGGCGCTAAGCACATCAAAGAAGCGCAAGAATGGACGCCAAACTTCTGAATCCTCCGACGATGAGGAGCAACCTACCTATCGCTCGATAGAGGGCAAGGCCAAACCGCGGCAATACGATGACAGCGACTTGGAGTCTGAATCCGATGCGCCTGCAGAGAATATTGATCTTGACCAAAACAACCCGTTAAAGTGGAAATCAATTCAGCTCTCGAGACGCGTGAAAGACCAACCGGATGATATTGACGCGTGGCTTGAGCTGGCGAATCACCAAGATGCTCTCTTAAAGGCTGGCGAGGATATCGATCACAGGGTACTGGAGGCCGAGGTACACAGTTTCGCCGAGATCAAGCTTCATATGCTTGAATCGGCACTATCTAATGTCTCGAATCATCAAGATCGTATCCGAGTGTTGGTTCCTCTGATGCGCGAATGTATCAAAGTCTGGAACAGCAAGACAAACAACAAAAGGTGGAACGACTTGCGCGAGGATGAGAAAAAGAGCTTCAAGCTTTGGAAAACGCATCTTGATTTTACCATGTCAAATATTTCCACCTTCCACTTTGATGCTACTAAGCAGATGCACCTCGATAGGTTACGTCAAGTCATTTCGCAATCCCAACCAAATATTGAGCTAGAAGACTTCAGGGAAGCAATTTACGTCTTCCTCAGACTCACAAGGTTCATATCTGATTCAGGATATAAGGAACTCGCTATCGCAGCATGGCAGGCTTTCCTGGAGCTCAATTTCTTCCGGCCAACACAGCTGGACGACCAAAGCGCGGCTCTCGAATCTCTTCGTGACTTCTGGGAAAGCGAGGCTCCCAGAATAGGAGAAGTGGAGGCTCAAGGTTGGGCAAAATTTGTGGAAGATGGCGAGATGGGTGATGCCCCTGAGCCTCTTAAAGAGCAGATGGATTCTGAGCTCCCGTCTAGGGACGACTACAAGCGGTGGGCGAATCTGGAAAGCTCCCAGGCTGAGAAAGCTCGAGTGCCTGCCAGAACAATGGATGACGGTACAGAAGACGATCCATTCAGAGTGGTGATGTTTTCTGATATTGAATCATTCCTCTTTACCATCCCAAGAGTTATTCTGCCAGCTACACAGGAGCAAATAATCGACGCGTTTTTGACGTTTCAGGGGTTCCCGCCAACGTTCTGGTCTGAGCATTGGACAGAAGAGGCGTACCACGACCAGTTTCTGGCTCGCTCTACATCGAATTTGGAACCCAGCACTCCCATGCCTCTGTCTGGAGACGAGGACCCTACTGAGATACAACGAAAACCACCTGCTCTCGATCAAAGGCCGCTCTGCATTTCTAAGTCTCCTGATGTGCTATTCTCCAAGGCAGATTGGTTCTCTTACCTGCCTGTGAAGAATAAGGCGAATGACATCGAGCTTGGGTTTCTAGTCAACGCAACGAAGCAATTAGTTCATGGCGCCAACATTGGGGGTTTGGCCACATATCACCTGGCTTTGTGTGCAGCGCAAGATAGCTCCAGTGTCAAAAAAGTAGCGAAAGGTCTGCTAAAACGGTATCCAACCAACATGGGCCTCTATGAAGCATATGCACTCGCCGAGTATGCAAATAAGAACGGCGAAGTCGCTTCCAAGGTGGTATCATCAGCGACTGAGCTTGCGTCGGTAAGTAGCCTTAAGCCCAATGTGCACTTAATCGTAAAAGTACTAATTGGGTTGGTTAGAAGTCATCGACAGCAGATTCATTTGCTCTTTGGAGAACATGGGCTTGTATGGAGCTTGAAGCAGGAGATAAAATGTCAGCAGTTAGAAGACTATGCTCTTCTGTTGATGAGATTTTACGAAGTGCTGTCGGGACGCCTGAGATAACCCCGACTCATGTTCTCAAAGCTCATCAAATCTTCTCATCTACAATGGGCGACTTCGTGTCCGGAGGTAACCTCGATCATGCAGTGACTCCTGCCGGATGCCTAGTCCTCCTATCCTATTTGACAGCTGATGGATCTGCGGAGCCAATGTCGGTCTCTCAGGGAAGCATTTCAGCTGCTATAGAGACAGTACACAGAGTGTCCCAGGAGTTAAAACGCCGGGGTTATGAGAGATCGCGCGCCCATGAGCGAATCTTGCAGTTTGCGTCAAAGTTACTATACTTGCACGCAGCTCGAGGGTAAGTCTAAGTCGCACGACCATTGTGCACCTGCTAACAAAACCAAGGCCTTTCCGCCGTGCATACCTGCTCGAACAACTGAAGCAGTTTCTGGTATACTTTCCCCGGAACACCGTGTTTCTGTCGCTGTTTGAATGGGCCGATACAAGTCTTCGTGTGATTGACGAAACAAGAACAATTCTTTACGAAACGGTTCTAACCTTGGCTCAAGATTGCTTGAGTAGTCGAATGTTTGCCATCCACCATGAGATGGAACGTGGCAACGTCAATACAACGAAGGCAGCATTTGAGCACGCCGTATCAAGCGACGCTTGCAAGTTTAACACGTCTCTATGGATCAACTTTATCAGATTTTGCAGTTCTCAGAGAGAATTGCGACCAAAAGCCAAGGATGTGCTATTCAGGGCATTGAGGCATTGTCCGTGGTCCAAGGATGTCATGATGGAAGCATTTGTTACCGTGAATCGGGATATGGACTCTTCAGAGCTCAAGGGAATCTTTGAGACGATGACGTCGAAGGGATTGAGGGTTCACGTTGATCTGGAGGAGTTTTTGGATAAGAGGAGGAATGAGAGGAAGACGGAGAAGAGTCGACGTTGAGTGAGACACGGGAACCCAAATAAGGTTGTGTTTACAGGAAAGAACCTGGTTCAGTTGAGTACTAAAAATAGTATGTCTTGTACTTTAAATCGTCACAGCTGCTCTGTTCTTTACTGCGTACTCAGGTAGCAGTGAAGAATGAACAGACAAATAAACAAGTATAATATCACCACGTAAATGCATGGCAGTTTCCAAGGAAACAAACCCTCAGCTACTGAGGTTATCTGACGCAGAGACACGTTTCCTTGAAACCGCGTCATGTCCTCCCATGTCCACAGCGTCTTGGTTGTGTTGTCTGTGGAGTAGCGCTAAGGGGTCTTCAGGGTCCTTCAGTGGGCCAGGCGCTGAAGCTGTCGTGAGCTTGCGCTTGGACGTTGGAACCTCGTCAGACAGAGAAAGACAGGGTCAGATTAAGATGAGTTAAGGAGGAAAGAAGGAAGTACAGAGGGTTCTTGTATGGGTTTATAGGAGGCCGCCATTGAATATAACTACTATCAACATTCTTACTCCCACAGGCACCCAAGTCTTAGCTTGGTACCGTGATATGGAGGCCCAGAACGTGAACATGCAGGGGCACGACACCAATGGCAGTACCAGTAGTAGGCAGGCTTTGGCTCAACGACAGCGAATAACCTCACGAATTCAACACCACTTGATCGCCCTCTCCTTTCTCCGCTCTCTTCGTTCTCTCACCTCTTCAAAAGCTGGAAAGCATCAAAAGCCACACCTAGAATACTCCCCCAACAGCAGAAATATGGCTCAGGAGCTCAAAGCTGGCGGCGGTGCCAGCGAGGTTACTCGCTATCTCTCCAGCGTCGACCCCGTGGTCAGCAGTCACCTTGTCAATCTATTCGAGTCTCTGGCAGATCGACCAGACAAAACTTGGAGCAAAGAGAGGATCTCTGCTTTTATCAAGGACGTTCAAAAAGACAATCCCTCACCCGCAGTCGATGAACTCCTCGCTCGAGACTCTCTCAACCTCGATGGCTTCACCAACTGGATGACGTCGTCTCATGGAGCTGCTACAACCCCGCCCAAGCCTCAGGATCTCTCATACCCGCTCTCCTCTTACTTTATCAGCTCCAGTCATAACACCTATCTCACCGGAAACCAGCTCTCAAGTGACAGTTCTACCAGGCCTTATACCGAGACTCTGCTGCGCGGTGGCCGCTGTATTGAGATTGACGTCTGGGATGGCGACGACTCTGATGCAGAGGGCACAAGCAGTCCCTCCAGCAGCGATGAAGAGAGGGGCGTCAAGATGATCGTGAGGAAGACAAAGACTAAAAAGAGAAGTGCGTTTGGCAAACTCAAAGAAAAGTTCGCAAAGACGAGCCTTCGTGATAAGAATGAGTCCACATCCGCTTCCGATCCCGCCTCCGCCTCTCGTGAACAGCCCGGACCCAACACTGATCCTGAGGCAGGGGAACCCGAAGCCGCTATAGTCGAGCCTCGAGTCCTCCACGGATATACCCTCACCAAGGAGATCTCCTTCCGTGCTGTTTGCGAGGCCATTCGCGAGAGCGCCTTTGTCGTGAGCGACCTGCCAGTCATTGTCTCTCTCGAAGTTCACTGTAACGCGGACCAACAGCTCGCCATGGTCCGCATTATGAAGGAAGTCTGGGAGGGGCTTCTTGTACCGCAGCCCGAGAATGACCCTGATGTTCTGCCGAGTCCCGAGCAGTTGCGCCGTAAACTTGTCGTCAAGGTCAAGTATGCCCCGCCTAACACAGACGCTACGCAGGAGGACAGCGAGGAGGACGATCGGGCACCGCCTCCAGGTGCTGAGTCGGGAGATGCTACCAAGAAGAAGCCTGCAAAGGTCATACAGGAGCTGAGCCGTATGGGATTCCACGCATGGGGTGTGTCTTTTAAGAGCTTGTCGCAGCCCGAGGCAGGAATGCCGACGCATATCTTCTCCTTGTCTGAGAAGAAGGTCATCGATGTACACGAGCAGCAAGCATCTGATCTGTTCAACCACAATCGACACTTCCTCATGAGAACATATCCGTGGGGGCTGAGAATAGGATCCTCGAACCTGGATCCTTCCGTCTTCTGGAGAAAGGGTATCCAGATTGTTGCGCTCAACTGGCAGAGGTGGGATGAGGGTATGATGCTCAACGAAGGCATGTTTGCTGGCACAGGAGGCTATGTCCTTAAGCCTCAAGGTATGTCGCTCATCTCATTTTCACCCATATACCATGTCTAACTCATTCCAGGCTACCTACCTAATCGCGGCGATGAAGTAACCCAGAACAGCATCCCCCGCAAAACCCTTCATCTCGCAATCACAGTCCTCGCTGCCCAAAAAATCCCCCTCCCACCGGGCGACAAGTCTGCCCGTGGTTTCGAGCCCTACGTCAAAGTCGAGCTTCACGTCGAAGGTCCCGATGAGTTCCACGGCGGCCCTATACCTAACGATGGCCACGAGCGCGAGGGTGAATACAAGGCTCGCACACGAACATACCGTGGCGACGTCGTGGACTTTGCCGGCGAACGTCTCGAGTTTCCTCCCGTTCCGCACATTGTAGATGAGCTGTCTTGGGTACGTTTCACCGTACGTGATGATGAGATTGGAAGGGATGATTTGGCAGCTTGGGCTTGTATGAGGCTTGATCGGCTGGGTTCTGGTTATCGGTTTGTGCATCTCACTGATTGCGAGGGGCGTATCACGGATGGTGCGATTTTTATCAAGGTTGAGAAGAAGCTAGTCTAACTGAAGTGATTAAGCTACATAATGATGAGGATCAGGATCAGGGTCATTTTCCTGCTGTTTATAGCATATGCATACAAATGAAGCATGGGATTCATTGAACTTGGCTAACGATTACCACAAGCGATGATTCTTGACATAATTGAATTCGCGAACTCTCCAGGCAGCTCATTCATGCGTTGTATGAAGTGGCAAGGTAAACCTTAAACATGTACAGCAAGGTCATTCACTTCACGGAGTTTTTAAAAAGGCCAAGATGAAAACAAATGAAGTTTCAATTCAAGAGCGAGGAATATCTCATCTCACTCAACAATTGCTAAAACCCTACGCTATAGTCCCCCAAACAATCACGCTTAGTATTCATTGTCGTTGTCACGGTTCTTGTTGCCGTGGAGCTTGTCCTCAACCTTGTCCTTGACCTTGCTCAGGAGACCACCAGACTTCTCCTTGTCGTTGTCGTTGTCCCGGCCGTATGTGTTGCTGGATCCGTAGGAATCGTTGTCGTTGCGGCTGGAGCCGTAAGAGTCATTGTCAGTGCGGCCAGAGGAGCCGTAGTTGTCTGAGCTGGAGCCGTATGTGTTTCCAGAGCCACCGAGGTTGTCGTTGTCTCGCTTGCTGGAGCCGTAAGAGTTGTCATCATCGCGGCGAGATGAGCCCTGATATGAATGTCAGTTGCGGAAGGTATGAGACATATCATATTGACTTACGTAGCTGTCACTGCCGCCACTCAGACCAGTAGTGCCGCTGGAGCCGTATGTGTTGTCGTTGTCACGGTTGGAAGAGCCCTTTAGAGAGGTTAGCTTGAGGCCCATGAGTACAGGCTGATGGTTTCATACATAGCTATCGCTTCCACCGAGTCCGGACTGGCCGCTGGAGCCGAAGGTATCGTTATCCTTGCGGCTAGACCCGTACGAGTCGTTGTCCTTGTTGCTGGATCCGTAAGAGTCATTGTCCCGCTTGCTGGAACCGTATGTGTTGTCGTTGTCACGGTTGGAAGAGCCCTGAGCATCGTCAGTATCTTCTAGTAAGAGATATGTGGATATGAACTCACATAGCTGTCACTTCCACCGAGTCCGGTGTTACCGGATCCGTAAGAGGACTCGTTGTTGTCTCGGCCAGATGAGCCAAATGAGTTGTCGTCATCACGACGGCCGGAGCCCTGATATTTTTGTTAGTTGTCGTGTTTTCAGAAGTTGATGAGGGAAGAACATACGAAGCTGTTGTCGTTGTCGTCACGGCGGTTGTCAGAGCCCTAGGATAGTTGTTAGACATGTTTGTTGTGAGAATCATATATGATTGCATACGTAGCTGTCGTTGTCGCGACGGCTGGAGCCCTGGAGGGAGTATTAGTCCGTGTAAACTAAGAGTGAGAGGTGAGAACATACGTAGCTGTCGTTTCCACCGTAGCTGTCAGACATATTGATAATGGGAGATTGGGTTTGTTGAAAAGAGTTGAGTTGGTTGATTGATGATGCGAAAGTATGGATGAGAGAGACTTAGAAAAGAGAGGGCATAGCTTCAGCTTAATATCTGAGAGAAGCTTTCCCCTCCGACCCCTCTAGCTCTCTCATGTGGATCGACCTCCCCTCCTTCATCATAGGGAGGAATGACGTGCCACTGTTCCATTGTGGCATAGTTCTTGTCTTGGAGAGCTGAAGCAGTACGGTTAGCAAGTGTCTTAGCTCAAAGGCCCGCTCATGGAAGTATCAGTACGTACTCTACCGATCGTGAGACTCCGTTCGACTAACACTTCTCCTTGGAGGCCTGGAGACAAATACGACCGTGTCCCACAAGGAACGCGCGTTGACTGAGCTACTGTGCATGCTATGCTGTCGTTTGTCGTACCGTGTGGTAGAGTACTGTATGCCCATGTATACCAACAAAGTTTAGCCTGCGAATTCGAGCCTGATGACCAAATTCCTGGTGATCTTGCACTGTAGCATGAATGTAAGGTACTGAAGATAAGCTCTTTGTAGTAACCCTGCCAAGTCATCAGATGTAAATGCCCGGGGCGATACTTGGTTCCTTTGATAGCTACCCCTCCAACGTGTGTTTGACCCCTCTATCATTTCCATATTTACTTTCGAGCAAAAACCTGTTGTTCGTGCATTCTTTAGCAACTAGGTGTTACATTCCCACGAATCAGCCTCTTCTGCAACCAATTGGTTCGATCACAACGTCTGGACTTGTCTCGGTTTGGTGTCGTCATATTGCTTGTTGGTGATGGAACGGGATAGCTCCAGGGTACGTACCCAAGCTCGGAAGTCGACGTCCCATTGATTGATCTGCCTGAAAGCCGCATTAGCCCATGGATCTAATGGGACCGCGCTAGGCTAAACAAGCATTGAGGGAACACCCGCGTCCCAGCTCGACAGGGTCCAAATCAGGTCCCAGAACCTGGACGAGCTGATCTGGAGCTCCACGGGCTGTGGCTATGTCAGCTCTGGACGGTAATGGTCTTTAAGGAGCGAGCTATTGTCGACAAATATCAAAGTTGCGGTCCATCAATTCACGATATGGAAGAGTCCAGATCTCCTAGACTAAACTGATTCAGCCAGACCAAAGCCGAAGAGCACCGGGCGTACTCCGTAGATCGTAGCGGTAAGCTTTGTCAGACCAGACAAGCTGAAGCAGAAGTGGTCACTCAAGGAAGAATCGGCATCAGACTGAGTTTGGTTGAAGGAGTGACATGCCCCCCTTCCTGTGCCAAGCCGAGGTCTAAGCCAAGATCAAATTCAAGCTCGCAATCGGGCCTAGCAATATTGTCTTAACTCCCCGCTCAAGTTCCAGAACAACTGTTGGTGGTCCTGGAGACTCGTTTGAACTTGACAGCAAAGAATATCGACCCCGCTTCATCGGAGGACCCTTGCCTTGGCATTTCACTGATTCGATTACTTGATCCCATAGCTTGCTTCCTTGATCTTGATCAGTGTGTTCCCGGATTTCGATATATATTAAGGTCGTATTATTTTATCCTGTCCGGGTATAACCTCCAATCTCTTGTCTTCCTCCCGGCTCAGAGGTGACCGGGACGGTAACAGCCCACCACTGGTTCTTAAACCACCACCACCCAACATATCCAAGCTAGGCCAAAACTCTGGGCATCCAGTTCGTGCCCTGTCCGATACTCTGTCTGTGCACGTGTGGTGATAGTCCATTCTCCGGCGTGTCCGGCTCCTTCAGAGTCGAGACACCCAATTCCTAGTCCATCTCGATCTGCTCCAAGCACGTATAGCCTATTGGGGCTAGAGATTCAAGCACAAATGGCACACGCGCATAAATGCCCATGACAGACATACCCCGACGTCCTTATGCCCGCAATGTGCTTGTCGGGCTTCCCACAGCACCCAGGTGACCAATCTGAGAAACGTGAACCTCTTTGATCTGTTTCACAGCGTCATCATTCCAAGATGCAGTTGCATTTACTCAATAACTGCCGTTTGAGTCACTTCGAACTTGAGATGCGACGTGAAACAAAACATCCCGAGCTCTGTGTTGGCGGATTACTTGCTGAATTGAAGTCAATGGTTTCATCTTGGACACCACATGCCTATGGCAATATTGTGCCGAAGAAGGCATCTCATAGCCGGCTAGATCTATCAGGTCCAGGGAGTGCACCGCTCATCATGGCAGGTTCCGCGCTTGCACCAAGAATAAGTTCCCGGCCTCCTCGAGTTCCCCACCAAGCCACCCCGATGGCTGCTCGCTCCACATCTAGCTCTCCACTAACTAGAAGCTGTAAGAACCGTTGCTTGACGGGTTCTCGTAGTGCCGGGTCTTTAATTTCATTCATGGCTTGAGCAGTAATCGTAAACCATTCTTCCAATAAAGGAAGCGGTAGATATGGAAGCGAATCAACTAGAGCTAAAGCAAGGGAGCTTTGCTGAGAAAAGCGCTCTTCCTGCGATTCCTCCATAGCGGCTTGGGCAACAATGTTTGATGTAGACGGAAGCAGACTTGTTGGTGCTGCTGAAACTGAAGAGCGAAGCATCTCCAACAGAGTCTCCGAAATATGCGGCTCCAACTCTGCAATGGGGAATGGGGGCGATACAATCTGCATAACAGTCTTGAAAGCCACCCGGAATTGGTGAGATGAGATATACTGCGGGAACGAATTAAACAGAAGGTCGATATAGAATGGTGTGAGTTGAATGGTGAGAGGACTGTGTTGGGGACAGGAGATGGTCGAGAGAATGGCACTATGCGCAGACTCAAAGATGTCAACCATGTTTTGTGTTGTCGGTCCTTCATGAGAGATATATGCAATTGCCGGTTTTATTATCAGTGCATCGCATGCATCCGTTGACAGAGTAAGTGGTAGGTGTTCCGAGAGGTTGAGGTAGAACAAGTCTAAGGATCTTTGCAGATATGTGGTGGATGTTGATGCATCTTCAGAGGGTCGGAACTCCTGAAGAAAAAGGTGACAGGCATCGGAACTTCGCGAAATGGAGTCGATCGATGTCAGATATGTAAAATTATAAACTTGAAACGCGCTGTTGCCGTTTCTTGAAGAAATGAAGAAGATGTTGCGTAGTATGCGCAGAGACTTTGACGCAATGATAGGGGCAGCCACATTATTGAGCATGTGCGGGTCAAGCAGACTTCGTGAGACGATCGCTTGAAGGATAACAACTGTTCCAAACATGACCTTTCTGAGCAGGTTCCAGAGGACCGGCCAAGTGATTGTAAGGGTCTCCTGAGTGAGCACATTGGCCTCCAGTGCAGGATCTATATCGCTCAACCGGTTCAGCCGCCAGGCGTCCAGTACTCTGTTGCTAAAATCAACAAGGGCGTCCTGTGCAGCAATGACGGCGTTTGTATCGGTTGCCTGCTGGACTGCAAACCCAGCAAGTTTAGCCAGGGGGCCCAAATTCGCCAACGTAGGCCGCTGATCCAGTTCCTGAATGTATCGAAACGATGGCGTATTCGGTGACCAAGCAAGGAGATGGTTTGGTGATTCGACGATCTCGGAGCTAACTGAAGCAAGGAACTGGCCGTAGGCAAGGCCCTCCTCGGCAATCACTGTCCAGACGATAAGAGGCAACAGTGCATTGCAGTTGATGAGGCTCCTATGGAAGTCGGAGAGCAACGGGAAGGCAAAGTTCAGAGCCATGACAACCGATGCGCCTGCCACCGGCCCATCCTCTTCGCGACTGTCGAGTGCCAGGTTGGCTGCCATCACAACGGCCTCTTCAAGAGTATTCCTCAACCCGCGCGGAAGAGATTGGCGATTGCTCGACTCCATACCCATAAGGACACCAGTGAGCACTAAGAGATGTTGCCATCGTCTCGATCGATCGTCCGCTCCTTTGACAACGGCGCGCGTCCATTCTTCACATCCCAGCCCTCCACCTTCATGGGGTTCTTTTCGATCGCGCGCGGCAACTTCGTAATTGTGAATGCGCGCAGCAGCAGTGTTGTATATGCTTATAACCCGAACAGAAGTACGAATGCCGCCCGGTTGGAACCAGATCGCTGGGGCCGTCAAAAGTTGCGACGTGAGGAGGCCGAGATTCAGCGGGTTTGTAAGCTCGGTAAGAAGGTGTGTCGTCGATCCGATAATTTGGTCGGTCTTCGCGGCATCGTGAACATCTGGGTAATGCTGCAAGACTGTTCTGAGGAGTCTATCGGAAGACATGTCGACACATTCAATTGGTTCAGTGAATGCGGGTTGTTTTCGATGGAGAGTTGATGAACGAAGTTGAAGGTCCGAGGTCGCGGTTGCGGTTGCGGTTGCGCATGCCGACTTCACGGGCTTTTGCCGAGGCCTTGCGCATGACGTTCCGGGGGAAGTTCAGCTCCATCATAACACCCCTGCACCCCTACCTAAGCTAGTCCCCTGTCGCCGCCAATTCAACCACCCCATACTCCATAATCGTAGGTAATCAGTTCTCAACGACATCGCAATACACGTTAACGCAGCTATTCCAGCCTACAATGGCACGGTATGTTCAGGTTGGACCTATTTGGGTAGACAAAAATGGCTAACCCTCACACCAACAGATGGCGCTGCCAAATACACCTCCAAAGGACTATAAAACGCCGCGCTTCCCGTCCTTGAACGTCCAGACTCTGTATGACACCACCGACAACAAACAATTCACACTGTTCTACATCTTGGACGTTTGGCGCTTCACGCTACTATGGACCCTCATCATATACGCAGTTTTCCATATGGGCGCGGTGCTAGTCGCTATGTTCACCCACGGCTGGAAGAAATCATCATGGCGATACCTTTGGGCGATACCCGTCATCTATCTTGTTATGGCCGGACTTGAGGCTGTCATGGCTGGCAGCATCGTTGGTTTATTGTCAGTATTCTTTCTTCACAACAAGATATGCACTAACAAGGCTTTAGGCTGGGCGCTGTCTACTCTGCTGGATACTACGAGATGAATACTTGGATTCCCTGCACATGGGGATTTATCAACGTGCTCGTACTCATCATTTCCTCCTTCTCGATTCAAGGAGGGCTTTGAATAGTCGACACGCCACCTTACATGCTTGGCAGAAGTGATACAAGATGTCGAAGAGCAACATCTCACGCGTAGGAATAGCCTTTGAACGTCAGTCGATCGGACAGGGCTCGCGCACCATGATATCTTGGGAGAAAGGGCTTGTCAAGACCAAGTTCCAACTCGAGGGCCGCCGCATACCCCCTCGCCATATAATACATGGCTGCGCCGGCTCAGTTTGAATTTGTCGATATATTGGACCTGAAAATGCAGCGCTGGAACGTAATCTCACGTATAGGCTGTAAGATATTGCGATACAGCACGGGGAAAAGGCAATGTAAGGCTCAAGAGTTTAAAGCTTGGCATGTCGGCGCATAGATTTTGTTTTGTTTTGAATACCCATTCTCGCTTTTGCAGAAAGTTCCCTATCCATGGAATAGAAGGGTACATCACAAGTGCACTTTGATCGAGCCCATGTGATGTTCATGTCTTTAATAACTCGACTTCAGGGGGTCACATTGTTCCAAACAAACTTGTACGTTGAGGTACCTCTCATATCAAGGCACCTGCAATTTGGGGTTCGAGTCCAAAAAATACCGACGATGGGAAGATGAAATCTGCACCACAACAAGAAAAAAAGGTCAGAAAAGTTCTTAATAAGGTCTTCATTATATAGAAAACCGACCTTATGCTTTTTAGCATGTTTTAGTCATTTTTGCGTAGAGCATATCAATCCGAATATTCAACACGATAAGTACACAAGTACGCCTAAAGTACCTCCAGATGATCGGTACCTGACACCCCCTAACCACCCTGGAGCCACTGCTCGCCTTAGGTGGATACACCCCCAAGCCATGAGCTAAGGCCAACAATCTTCATATTGTTCTCTGCCTCACAATCCAAAACTGCAGACGCCGCACAAGGGGACGAGGGCCAACACGCCTTTTTGAAAAGCAACTTGTAATTATCTTTCAGTTCCCGATAAGCCTTGGAACTTCTTTGTTTCTCTCTCGTGGTTCTCTTCTGTTTATAAATTGTACGTTCATCTCATTGCCCTGCTACTAATCGTTCAAAACTTCCAGTCAACCCCTTGAAGACCTCATGAGATCTTATAGATTATTCTCTGACTTTTCATCAGGGAAAGCCATGTCTGAAGCTTCGCAGCCCGCCAACGGCGGTCCCGTCAACTTCAACCCAACACCCGCCCATCACCAAGCTTCGCCTTCTCATCATGACTCCTTCTCAGGCAACTCGCGCTCACTGGACGAACTCATGATCTTGAAGCCCTACTTTGCAGGCCAACCCAAATCACTGTCCGGCATAGCTCTGAGGGCCTTTTGTCTGGGTATTGCCCTGGCGTTAAGTGCTATCGCCATGGTGGCCGTCCTATTCTTGACATCTAGCCCTGCTTGGCGTGTGCCCTTCTTCCTCTTTGCCCTCTCTGCTTTCCACTTCCTTGAATTTTGGACTACAGCTGAGAAGAACACACTTGTGGCTAGCATCGGGAGCTTCCTCCTTACTGCAAACTGGCCAGGGTATGCCATCGCCCATTCTGCTGCATTTGCTGAATGTGCCTTGGTCAACCTTGTTTTCCCTGAGCGTCATTGGGCACCCTTCGGCACTGGGCCTTTACTTCTGGTCGTGGGTCTCCTCATGGTCACGGGTGGGCAGTATGTCCGCTCAGTGGCTATGCTGCAAGCTGGGGCCAGCTTCAATCACCATGTCCAGACCAGGAAGAAGGACTCGCACGAGTTGGTAACCACGGGTATCTACTCCGTCTTCCGCCACCCGAGCTACTTTGGATTCTTCTACTGGGGGCTGGGAACTCAGCTGGTAATGGGCAATGTTCTGTGTTTCTTTGCCTATGCGAGTGTGCTTTGGATGTTTTTCAGCAAGAGGGTCAAGCATGAGGAGGCCAAGCTCATTGAGTTCTTCCAAGATGATTACGTGCAGTACAGGAAGAGGGTTGGCACAAAGATCCCCTTTGTCGGGTAGATACCACTAGGCTTCATTATGTAAATAGCCCCTGTATTGACCTTTCAGTCCGATACCCAGCATATATGTAGATGGGCGAGCGAATTGTCAATAAGAATCTATCAGGCAGTTATCTAGCTAGAACGTTATATATACTAGCTGGAGAGCGCTAGGATGTATTCAAACTCCTTATCAATATCCAAGATCAAACTCAGGTCGAGACTATTGTCATCTGCTTGCTGACGCTTCCATACTTGGCTTGCCAAGCATAGAAGTACATTAAGGCTGCAAATGGTTGTCCAAATATGGTGAATGATACCCAGAAAATAGTGTTACCGACTATTTTACCAGTATGACCAAGCTTCATGTTTTCAAGCGGTTTAGTAAGAGCGATGAGTGGAAGCTGGAGGAACATGCCCAAGAAAGCAACACCTGTCATGGTTAGTAATGGTGATACCGGTAAGAAGGGAATAGGCTCACCAATGATGTTATGCGTAGGAACACCAACAAGGATCTCGTGGAGGATGGCTGATACGAGGAAGACGACGAAGCTGGCCGCCTGAGGACTCCAGCCACGCCCGATCATGGGCATGTACAGATGCCGCTTGAAGTACGTGTAAACAGGCTTGTTCCACGTGCGCCAGTATGCTCCCAGACTCTCGCTGTTCCACCAATCGTCATAGAACGACCTATCACCAAACCTCAGGACTTCAGCCAGGGCATTGAGGAACGATTGGAATAGCGCGAAGAAGCCAGCGAGCCAGATGACGAGGGAGATGGTGGAAAGCTTGAGCAGCCGTTCTAAAATGGACATGAGGTCCAGAGATGCAATTTTATCAAGCGAGTTTCGAAGGACAGGTGCAGCGTACTGAGCACTCGCAACCCACATGAACACACTGAGGCCAAAGAATTCTCCAATACGCTTGGCCACGAAGACCCATCTGATCTTGTCGGTACGAGGATACACGGGCTGGTAGACGAGGGTAGGTGCCCACCAGAAATAAACCAAGTTGCTGAATGTGATGTTTTCCGGATACGGGCATTGCGTGTACAGCTCGGGTACTAGCTCGCGTTCTCCTTCGACAGGGTGTAGGTAGGCATGCCTCAAATCACGATTTGTGAAGGCATATGATGCGGTCTTGAGCCAGACAGCAATGGCATGCATCTCAGTCAAGGTACCAATAAGGGGGTGATAAATCTTGAAGTAGACAACCCATGTTGTGAGGACAAGAGCAAGAGTGATGTTGAAAAGGTGAGCCCATGCAACAATGACCCAAGTCTTGTGAAACTTCTGGCGCTCATTTTCCGAAGGACCACCAGAAGAACCATCGTTGATACGCTTGAGTGATCCTCGCGCCTGCTGGGCAGCAGCCAGCTCAATTAGATAGGCAGCGAGAAGATGGCATGGGATGAGGAAGTAGAGGAGAAGGCCCAAAGAAACGTCTCGGCGACTGTAATCATGACACCTTACGCAGATTAGGACACCATACTAAAGGATTGTGTCAGTTTATTATTTCGGAGCACAATTGATTCGCGACAGTAAAACAATACCTTTTGGATGTTTTCAATCATCAATCGCAAGTTGCCGACCACTACCAAGCATTAACAACCAGAACATCACATCATATGAGGGGCTTTGGAGGGATCATACCAAGCACAATGACCATGAGGTTGCGAAACCCAATAAAGCTAGGAGCAGCATCGGAATCGTGACTCAAACATGACGGCCTTGTTTGTTTGTGAACCGCAGCGACATGTCTGTATTTCTGCCCGGGCTTCTTTGGCGACCCTGTCGTGGCTGTGGCTGTTCCGTTGGTGCGATGCTGAGTGACGTCGTGGGGGCTGCGTCTAGAGGCCGAACCATTCGAGGTTTCTATACTTGTCGCTGTGGCCGAATTCATCTTGTACGAGCCTCGCCGAGACGGCAGACTGATGGTGGAAAACGGAAGGACACGAGAGATTAAAGAAAGAAGAGGAACGAGTTGAATTGAGTTGCCGACGGAGATGCAAGGTTGTTAAAGTCAAGTTTATACGGAGTACGGGTAGGTGGGCGGCGATTGGCAATTGGCAATTGCGACAAGGATGATAAGATAGCAACCGAGGGGCGCCACTGTCGCAGTGAGTGAGTAAACTGAGCCAGCGAGAGCTTCATAGAGCACGACCAACAAAACACAATAAGGTTATCAGAGTAAAGGAATGCAGAGATAAAGGGCCAAGGTAAGAAGGGAGAGGAGAGAGGGAGATTCTAATTACAACCAAGACCCGAATTCGCAGACAGACTCGAAGGAATAAAGTACCCAGTTCAATTGCCTTTTCATTAACTTGCATTTCTTTGTCATCTCCATCTCGCCAAGCTCCAAAGTTGTCGTAGCATCTATGCGAGGCGTCCAGTTTGGTGTCTCATGGCGGGGCTGTTTGAGCTTCTGTAGCAGTCGGTTCTTTTTTGGGGGTTCTCGTTCTTCAGGGAGGCCAAAGTCCATCATGAACGCTAAAAGGACCTAGGGGCCAGAAGCATTACTTACACCCCTGGCTGGTTCTGGAGCATTTTCAGTGGATGAATGAGCCCCATTAGAGCCGCTGGCTTGTGGCGCTACAGGGGAAATGATACGGCTGCAACTTTACGGATACGTCTGATATCACTGGGAAAAGGAAAAGCATGTGAAAGTGCGGTTGTATTGCATGTGCTGGTGACATTGGTAGCTCCCGGGGAGAACCGAAGGATCGTCCGGCCTGCGCCCCAACAACTCGGTATACGAAGAATATTCACGCATGTGCATCATGTTTAGAGGGCCCTTGGATCTCATCAGATCTAACCGTTGAGAATCTAACTAAAGTTTGGAGAACTGGAGAACTGGAGAAGTTGCTTGCTGAGTCATGCTCTCTCCAACATCATCCCAGTCACATGACCTACTCCAAAGCTCAGACAGCGGCTAATTATCGCTTGGATATGGAGCTTCATAGCTTAGAACTTCACTTGAGAGCTCACGCGCCTGAGAGAACATGCACGCTTTTGTCCTTTGTCGATTCTAATTGCAGCAAACTTCACCTTTTATACCAGATATAAACTGGCGTTATTATCATCAAGAATACTCGACTTTCCCAGCTATTCATTAACGACTGTCATCATTGCATTGATCTCTTTTTAACATTTCAAGACCCATTCCCGACGACGCGCTTCTCACCACGAAACTTACTGTGTATGCTTGATCTTTTTAAGAAAAATAGTCACGATGGCCTATGAGCCTCGTGGTGATCATGGTGGCGGTGGACAGGATGCTTTCGTCAAGGTGAGAGGTAGAAGTAAGTATATCTTTACACCTCATTGATTTATCTCCCATCGTTTGCACCCACCAAGCTGCTTAGTGGCAGTCAAATAATATCAAAGATAGAACATTTAGTTCATATTTGAATGGGCATAGCTTGCCATATATTGTTAGGTAGCATCTTTTGCTGAGATGGACGAGCGACGTATCCAGAACTATGGCCTGGACTTGCTCTCTTACGTTACCCATCATTGGGGCAGGAATATTTCATTTCTTATAGAAAAGACCCTGTATCTTCATTCATCTTGAGCAGAAACTCAGTAAACAGAAAGTCCATGTTCATTACTAACCTCTGAACTCATAGGACCTGTAACTGACTACGGCGCCACCATCACACATTGGCAACATGATCGTATCCCCGGTTTCAAGGGAGGATATACTGGCGAAGCTGAACGACCCAGCGTCAGCTATATCGTTGATGTAGGCGATGACTTGTATAAACAACTACTGTACGAGACTGACTTGAACACAGATGCTCCCTCCTGCAGCCCGAGTCACCAAAGCAGCTGACAGCATTCCTATCAAGCACCTTCACTCTTCTCTTAACAAAATCAAGCATCCTATCAACCTAGTCCGATGGACACCAGAAGGTCGGAGATTATTAACAGCGTCGACAAGTGGCGAGTTTACCTTGTGGAACGGTACCGGTTTCAATTTCGAGACCATCATGCAGGCGCACGATTCCGCTATTCGTTCTCTAGAGTACTCCCACAGTGACGACTGGCTTATTTCTGCGGATCATGATGGAGTTATCAAATACTGGCAACCAAACTTCAACAATGTCCAGAGCATCAACGCACATACCGATCCTATTCGAGATCTTGCCTTCAGCCCAAGCGACTCCAAGTTTGTCACCGCCAGCGACGACTCTACCCTCAAAATTTTTGACTTTGCCCTGGGCCAGATGGAATCTAAGCTCGAAGGTCACGGATGGGATGCCAAAAGTGTGGATTGGCATCCAACCAAGGGATTGCTTGTTTCTGGATCCAAGGACCATCTTGTTAAGCTCTGGGACCCCCGTACAAGTCGCTGTTTAACTACTCTGCATGGTCACAAGAGCACCATCACCAAGGTGCTTTTCGAAAAGGTCCGCGGAGCCTGTCTAGCAACATCCGCAAGAGACCAAACCGCCCGTATCTTCGATCTGCGCATGATGCGTGATATCTGCCTCCTAAAAGGTCACGAAAAAGATATTTCTACACTTACATGGCATCCTATCCATCCCAATCTCCTCAGCACTGGTGGCATGGATGGTTCATTATTCCATTACCTCTTAGATTCTCCGAACCCTCCTCCTGGCCAGTCTTTCACTGTTGCTCCTTACGATAGCCCCGATCCGACATCAGTGGCAGCGCAGTCCATATGGCCAATGCACAAGGTTCCTTTTGCGCACGACTACGCTATCTGGTCCCTGGATTGGCATCCTCTTGGTCATATTCTGGCATCAGGCTCCAACGATCGTATAACACGTTTCTGGAGTAGAGCTCGACCAGGTGATGCCGATGTTTTCCAAGACCGTTACCATATTGGTGAGGCAGCCGCCGAGGCCCAAGGAACATGGGATCGCCGCGGTAACCGTCGTCAACGACAGGAAGAGGAACAGCAAGAGATGGAGGATGAGATGGATGCTTTGGTCGACCAAGATGCCCCCAAGACCACGGTACCTGGCCTGCCTGGTATCCCAGGCCTTCCCCTTGGCGGAGGTCTACCCGGACTCGGCTCTGGTGTTCTGCCTCCTCCCATCCCCGGTGTCGGTGCCGCGGGCGCTCCTCCGCTACCTCTACCATTCCCCCTACCCGGACTCAATGGTGGCGTGCCACCGCCGCCTCTGCCTGGCCTGGATCCCAATAATCCTCCAGACCCAGCGCAGCTTCTTGAGCTCATGAAGAAGGCCGGTGTGCCCCTACCACCCCCGGGAGCTCTACCTCCTGGTCTCCTCCCACCTCCGGGCAGCATCCCCCCACCGCCAGGAAGCTTCTCCATCCCGGTACCACCTCCTTTTATGTCTGCCATGGACGCCGAGACTGCAGAAAGTCTCCGGCGAAGGGCTCCCCTGCCAAGTCAAGAGGAAAGCCTGCGTCACGAGCAGCGACAAGGAAAATACACACGTGCAAAGTAGCGAAGGAGACGTGATTGAATTCAGTGTCGACCGTTCGATACCCCTTTGGCGTTGGTGGTAGTTTAGAAATAATGCCGGCTAGCTACAATCGAGCAGCTGCATACTGTATACTTGGTGTTGTGTCAAATACGGGGCTTAGCAACAGCGTAATATTAAATCAAAGAACTTTTGTATACTCGTGATTCGTTTAAGCTTATGGCAAGATATAAACGCTATATAGTGCATATGTGATTCGAGGGCCTTGAACTATTTGTAGCATAAATATGACGCTTTGGCAGTATATAGCCGTATGATACGCAGTTTCTGATGACTACCTAGATAGTAATCATGAGGCACCTAGTGCCGATACAGTTCTTTACGCGGGACCTAATATTCCCTGTCTTTGTTTATAACATGCTCGATCCAAGATCTAGCGTTTCACTTCTTGGGGAAAGCCTTTTGCTTATCCGCATAATCACGAATCACCAAAGCACAAGTGTGATCAGCACACAGACGACGTCTTCGCTGAGGAGGTAGCTTAGCAGCAAACTCGAGGCCACTAGCGCGCTCAACGGCCTCAAGAGGAACCTCGAAATCGGTGATGGGCTTAGAGTTGGGGATGGGTGCATTGGGAAGAACGAAAGCGCCCAGCGCGACGTTTCCACCAACACGACCATCCTCGGCAAAGATCACCTTGTAGAAGTGCGTGGGCACAGCAACAGAAGGCGGGCTGCCGATCATCTCATACTTGACGTACCACTTGCCATCGGCCTCTTTCTTAGGCAGATATAGAGGACCCGTGACAATACGAACAGAGGGGTACTTGACGGTTAGACGACGGCAGAAGTCCTCAAAGTGCGCCCAGTAATCACGGTTGAAGCCATCTCCGACCTGAGGGCACATGTTTGTAAGGTAAAAGGTATCATCCATGGCCTTCTGGGACCACTTGCAGTCGGCCGCGGGGACCTGGTGGCCACGATCAAAGCCACTGCGGAAGTAGTCCTTGAGAGAAGCTCGGAACTTTTGCGGGACTGAATCATCCTCGGCAAAGTTGCTGTGTTTTCGGTCTCCGTCACGAATGGCAAGAGACGCAGGTGTAATGTGTTCGACGACCCAGTGAGGGTTTCGTAGGCGGCGGTCGTATGAAGAGACAAGGCCAGACCGATTGGCAACGTCGGCGACGGGGCCGGGAAATCCATATTCGAAGAGACCGGCAGGGTTTACAATCGCGCTCGCATCGATGGGCGTGTGGGGAGGAGGGGCAGCGGCGGGGGGCCCAAAGACCTGAGATGAAGGAATAGAGGGCGAAGCGGTGGGAGCAGGAAGAGCGGCGAAGGAATTCGAGGTCGTTGGAGAAGTAGTAGCTAGCGTATTGGTCTCTTCCATACGTTTTCCACCCCGGATGGAGTAAATAGCAGCAGTAATAGCAGCGCCGCCTCCTGCGCCTAGGCAGGCCATGGTAGCGAGAGTGGTCTTGGACATGATTGCGGAGAGCAGTTAAAAAGAAGGGAGAAAAGTGTTTGGTTTTAAGGAAAGAATTGATGCCAATGTATGAGAGAATCGAATTGGAAGCAAGATCACGCGCGATCTATGCCCAATGGTGTTGAGTTGTAGAGCCCCGTGATAACTGAGGTCGGTCACAGGGTATAGTTGACACCCATAGCTTCAAGCTGGCCCGTAAAAGTTTTGGGGAGACCGGAACGTGGGGGAGGTGTTTTGCCGCGTCTTATCGCTATCAGTGAATCTAGGGGTCTTCTCTTCGGGCAGCAACCCAGCCTAGGAATTGACGTCACAGGTACAGTTCCGTGTAAAAGTTCCGACAACAAGCAACTAGAGATATGTATGTAATGGAATAGACAAATAAACTCTAATATGGTTAGAAGACTTATATATAATCCTAAGATACGATCATATAATATCGTATAAAATAAAAAAAGTTCATCATAGTTGATAAAACTTTGAATAAAATCTATAATAGAGGAAATTATCAGAAATTTTGCACACCCACTGTAAGAACAGCCCAGTTAATATTTAATGAAAGGTTAGGTACCTATGCTGGGAACGATACGCGATAGGTGCTGTTGCAGGCGCGCAAATTGCGAGCCGTTATTTACGAGCCGTTATTTACGATCTGCCTTCAAGACTTTAGAGAGCATTTAAGTGATATTGTTGCTACTTGAAGTGAATGCATAATACAGTCATGACATGGATGACAAACGTAAGAAATCGATTGGACATCATATGAGATACGCACAGAGTACTCCATACTGTAAGCCATAAATCGTGCGCATATGCATAAGCTTAGTACTCGAGGCCATACATGTTCATACCTTAGCAGATACCAACAAACACACTACAGCATGTGGATAAACTGGTCGAATCAAGTCCCTACGGTATGAGGGTATTCGTACAAAGCTCACATTAATAGCGCATCAGCCTCTTATTAATGTCTCACTACCTTAGCACAATTACAAAAGACCAAAGGCATACCTTATTCGTAAGCCAGGCGGTCAATGAAACGCCGTGTGGTCCAATAGTGCGCAGATGCTGAGACGTGAGAACCTTGAGGGACAGGTTGATGGAGATGCACGGCCTCATGATATGTAATTGTAAGTGAACCCCCCAATCTTTGATGCACTAAAGGGGCAAAACGAAGTCAGGTTCCCAGTAAAGCCTGAAAGAGGAGGTTGATATTAGGAGGTTGAAATAGCAACCGAAGAAAGAGGTTACCACTGGACTGAAGATATCTAGAGGCAGGTTCCATTGTCATCCATCGCCAGAGACCTGCCATATCCTGGCCCAGGCACCTCGACCAAGCCCCATTCTTTTGTTGGTATTTCTCGCTACCTACCTCTACGTTGAAACTCTTCCCCAAACCGTTTGAAAACGTCCATTATTTATTCACTTTGTCTTGTTCTTTGTGTTAACATCTTCCTCGACTTGTCATTGACGACTCGAAGCTAACAAGGTCCCCAAAAGGTCCCCGCTCATTGCGCTAAGCAAAACCGCATCGACCTCCCCCTGTTTGTTCTTATCCGTTACGTCAGGCTTAATCCAAAAAGATCGACGGCTTCTTTACTCATTATTTCTCTTCGCGCCCAGCATAGCATCGACTTGACATTCAAGACTCGATATAGCTTGAAATTCTATCCTTTTGGCCTCCTCGCGACCGAAATCTTACCCCCAGGCGCATAACAAGACGATACGCCTCCAGCAGTATGGGCACGTCTGTGGCCCCGAGCAGTCTCGACAATGATACCCGTGGCTGGATCATGTGTATTGTTAGCGGAATCGGTGAGTAGTTTCCCTTTCTTATAATCCAATGCGCTCTCAAGATACAATGCCTAATACTCGTGTTCAGCTTGCGTTGTTGGCGCCTCCATAGTGTGTGTTGACGTGATCGTTCGTTTGTTCCCTGGCAAGAAGAACTTTCGCATACAGGATAGCAATGTCTTCCTGGCATGCTCTCTCAGCTTGAGTTTTGGTGTTATGGTAATACTCCATTCTATTTGCGCCGTCACCTATGCTGACAACCCAATAGCTCTTCTCCGCGTTGTATAGTATGCTACCCGAATCCAAGGAATATTTCGAGCAAGCAAAGTGGTCCCAGCAGGCCGCTGGCCTCGTCATGATGGCTTGCTTTGTTGGCGGGTTCATTGGTATCCAGGGTGTTTCACGACTGCTTCACCAGTTCATGCCTACCCATGTTGTCGAATGCGACCATACCCACGAAGAAACTGCGACCAAAGACAGCTCATGCCAACACGAGAGAAGACAATCTCGAGCGAGCCGTGCCCGCCGTCAATCTTCTTATCCACCCGCATCTCAATCTCCCGCCGACAAAACGGTATCAAAGATTGCCAACGGAAACGGGCAGAATGCCGCCACCGAGTCTACTCCTCTACTTGAATCGACGTTGGATAGCCCAACTACGACCCTCAGACGGCAAGCTTCCGCCCGTGATGGGATGCGACGCCCTGCCAGCCCCATTCGAAGCCGCACAGCTACAGGACTTACAGATGGCTTCCCTGAGAGGAGAAAATCTATACGGGACGTTCAAAAGCGAGTCATGTCCTTTGTACAAGATACAAAGTGCAACTGCGACGAGTCGAATTCTTGCTACGGATTTTCAGACCCTTGCGGCCAGGAGTGCTTTAAACATCTGAACAGCCGTCCCAGCTTACCTAGCAGACCGGGACGACAGCCCCAGATCCTGCGCACTACTACAGGGTCGTTCTTGGGCCGTGGTCACGAAAACTCACACGCCCCCCACGATCATCAGCATGACCATGACCATGACCACGAGCACTCGGCTGAGACGTTTGTCAGACCAACATACCGAACCAGCAGAGCCAAGTCGCGCGAGCCATTGGATCCGATAGTCCCGGAGGAATCTTCTGAGCATGATGACTCTTGCTCATCTGCAGCAGGCGAGGAGGATGTTGAAGCTCAGCAGCACCACCACCATGTTCCCACCAATGCGTTCTTATCCATTGGCCTTCAGACTTCCATTGCCATTGCTCTACACAAATTCCCCGAGGGATTTATCACCTACGCCACTAACCATGTAAACCCGTCTTTGGGATTTAATGTCTTTATGGCCCTCTTTGTTCACAACATTACTGAAGGGTTTGCCATGTGTTTGCCTTTATACATGGCTTTAGGCTCCCGTTGGCGTGCCATGGCCTGGTCAGCTTTCCTCGGTGGCCTTTCACAGCCTATTGGCGCAGGCGTGGCAGCATTATGGTTCAAGCTTGCCGACAAAACAAACATGCAACCCAATGCAGTTGCTTATGCCTGCCTTTTTGCTATAACCTCGGGCATCATGGTTAGTGTAGCTTTGCAACTGTTTGTGGAAAGTCTGAGTCTCAACCACAGCCGCAATCTCTGCATCTTCTTTGGCTTTCTCGGAATGGCGTTGTTGGGACTCAGCAACGCCCTCGTGGGCTCTCACTAGACCACAGAACTCGTAGTATGTATGACTAGCAAAGGCATTTCTTATTTCGGACGGTCTGTCATTCGGTTACCTGTTCACTTCTTGTTACTTGACACTTCTGTTGCGCGGTGTTTGGTTGGGTTACAATTTGGTTTGTAAACTTGGAATTGGGTGGGAGGCAAAACTATGTCTGGGTATTCCGGTATAGACGACGGACATCACTTATACAGGACTGGATTACACACATCAAAATACTTTTATTGTTTCGTAAAGCCATCCCCCATTGCTTTTGTGACATGCCTTCATTTGCATCATGAGTACATCCGCCATGGCCTCGCGGCCGGGTATCTATTTACCTACTTTTCCGTTTCCATGTGAAGATAATCACGTTTTTCCATTTTACACTCTCAATTCCATTTTCACCATCTTTTTGCTCTTCAGAGACCACCGAGAGCCGGATCAATAAGAGGGTCCTGACTTGTTGGGTCGCGTGCTAACAAGAGGATGTTGGTTTCGTCTTCAGGCCAATCGTCATGAGGAGGGCCGTAATCCATAGACGCAGCAAAAATATCATCCTCGCCCATTATTCCCGACCAGGCCGGCGTATTAGGAAAGCTTCCGTCAAATAAGTACTGATTCGGGTCAAATTGCTCTCCCGATAGCAGCAGCGCTGGATCCGGAACTGGTGGATGATATAACTCGACGTGGACATCTCGGTCATGATAGCGTAGGAAAGCTTCATCACAGTGAGGACAATATATGGTCCGCTCCACCAGGGTAGCGACCGCAGAAATCTCGTCGATGATGTTGTTTCCTTGAGATGATTCAGGCCTGGAACATCTCGGACGCTCGAGACCGAGGTGTTTATAGCGGATATGATCCTCCAACCGACCCTTGGTACTGAACTTGTCGCCACAACCTTGGTCATTTGCCCAGCCCAGCAGATCTGCACAGCTTATATCAACTTGACCACAGACAAACCGATAACCCTCGTGTGCTGTGCGGATATGAGCATTGAGGTTTGACTTTTTGGTAAACCTCTTGGGGCATTCATCGTAGGGGCAGGGTATGTTCTTTCGATCCTTGACAGACTGGCCAGAATGGTGCATCTCCACATGCTTCTCGAGTTCCCAACGTGACCCAGGTGTGAATTCACAAAAGATGCAGTTTTGATGCTCCTGGCGGACATGTGCCTGAAGCAACACCTCGGTGGTGAACCCCACACGCTGTCCAATGCCATCAGGCATCTTCTTCAAGGCACACTCGCCACACCAAAACTTTGCTTCGCCGTGGTCTTTCTCACGATGCCGCTTAAGCGCAGCTTTGGAGTCCACTGCCAGCTGACATCCTGGCTCGGGACATTGAAGTGCAGGCAAACCCTGATGATCTTTGCGGACGTGCTTGCTCAATGTCTCTTTCTTTCTGAAGCTCTGCCCACAATCTTGACAGCGAAACCTCTCCTCGCCCTCATGGACGGCCTGATGCCTTTTAAGTCGAGTACCTGTGACGAAACTCTTGCCGCAACCTTCCTTTGGACAGACATGTTTCCGCTCGAGTGTGTGGACTGCTTTGATGTGCTGTTTCAAATGCTTGTCCTCGATATAGTCCTTGTCACAATCATCATAAGGGCATTTGAATGGACGGGAATTGGTGTGCGAATTGAGATGGTCCCGTAATCGTGCAGGTCGATTGAAGGTTTTAGGGCAACCTGGCCAAGTGCAGGCCAGAGTCTTGTAATCTGACGGGAACTTGGTTCGAGGAGTAGTCGCAGCGGTGTTAATCGTTTGAGGCGAGTCGGGTTCCAGGGCAGAATATGGAGTATGGGCACTAGTTATGTCGTCCTCGACATCATCAATATCTAAAGATTGTGATATCAGCAAATATTAATTTGGAGGTGACAATTAGCACGAGAACTGACATAGATCATCTGGACCTCCTCCTCTTTGAAGCCTTTTCGCCTGAGGAAACTCGAGTGCTGCCTCAGCAGCATCTCTTTTGTCCGTCATGATTGTATCATGCTCAGGACCTTGCCCTGGAAGTTGTCGAGATCAAACCGAGCTTTGAGCGGCAGAATCGTTGTCAAAATTAAGGCGGTGGCTTTTGGATTTTTACGGTGGGGGCTTGACATGGATTAAAGACAAGGCGCGACCCACTCTGGCTTCTGAAGCTTCGCGCTTTGTTCAAAAGTACGGCGCGCCGGGTAATTATCGGCCGGACCAGGTTTTACTTTGCTCTTCTCTAGAACTTTTTTGCGAGGTTGGACTGGTCGTTTCTAAACCACCCATTCAAAGACAACTTCCCAATACACCACTTTCGCTACACATCAGGTCTTTACTGGTTACTATACATCATGTCTGACTTCGGCGATGACGATATGGGCGGTGCTGGAGGGTAAGTTGCTTCGCGAACCTCAAAGCGCACGCGATTCTAACTACCAGGCAGCGACGAGCCCATGTACGAGGACGAGGAGATCAACGAGTACTATGACCCCGAGGTTATGGAGGATGAGGATGGCGAACAGCAACAAAACGGACAAGAGGATAACGTTGTTGTCTCCGGAGACCCTTCTGCCGCCGCGAACGCGCTCAAGGGCGGCGACAAGCTACTCAAAGACAAGAAGATCCCCGAAAGCGAGCGAACCACCACGCCTTACATGACCAAGTACGAGAGGGCGCGTATTCTCGGCACCCGCGCTCTGCAGATCAGGTTCGCATTATTGGGACCAAATACATCGGCGCCAGAAGACTAACGTGGTATAGCATGAATGCGCCTGTACTTGTTGATCTTGAGGGCGAGACCGACCCCCTTCAGATTGCGATTAAGGAGATGCGGGAGAAGAAGATCCCTTTGATCGTGCGGCGATACATGCCCGATGGCTAGTAAGTAATGATTGCTTAAGCGGCCCCTCGATACCTTGATTAACACGCGTGGCACAGCTATGAGGACTGGACCTGCGAGGAACTGCTTCAGTAAGGGAGATAGGAACTGGCACGAAACGAAACAACCGATTACCGACGAGGCGTATATACCCATGCGGCCCTCCTTAGACCACAATCGAGCTGGAACGTCGTGTGCTCCCCTCTGGCTTGGCACGTTGAGTAGCATATCTGGAGGTTAATTAATGATGTATAAGCGCGGCGTTTGAGATTGAGATTGGTTTACACAGGAACTAGACAAAAAAAGAAGGAAATCACATTGCTTCTGTGTCTGGGTGCACGAGTGTGTTGATTGACTCTGACGAATTTGTTGACGAAGACGGAAAGGGGACCTGTTCCCGTACCGTTTAGAGGCCACAGCGTCACATTGTAGTCTCGGGCTTGTCCTGCGACCTGCGGGAGCGCACGCGGGAATGATGTCAAGCGGGAATGGCTTATTTGAGATACCATGGCCCAGACAAGGCCGACCAGATTGTGTTTTACTGAAACACTGGCGCAAGACATGACGGCATTTCTGTTTGAAAGGAATATGCTTATATACGTCAGATGGTTTGATAGACGGTCAATCTAAGTAAGGGGGCGACTCCTCATACCACGCAAACCGTCTCAACAGGTCCTTCGTCACTTCAAATGCAGGGCTGCTGTTACTGCAACGTTGATGGCTTGTTGCTCGTTGTTGTTGCATTAAGAAGCGTCCATGCACGTAAATGAATGGCCCAACCACGAGTCTAGAATTGTTCTCTCCAGCCTCCGACGTTGTGCCACCACGGATCCGGAAATGGGCCAAGAGTGGGAGAGCCGTGACAGCCGTAGCTTCGCAGATCATGCAGGTGAACTTTTAGGTGACCTTACTCAGCTGGGCTTTAGCGAAGGGCGGTTCGATTGTGCTTTCGCCTTTCAACTGTGTTGGTGGCCTACTAACGATCTCCCTTCTTCGGTGGGGACTGGGTTAAGACTGTGTTAAATTGATTGACATGACGTCGGTGGTGATTCTTCTTTCCAAGCGTGATCTGAATTGAACGATGATGAAGGTTTAGGTTTAGTAGCACGAGTCGTGCATAGAAGACAAACTAAACGAGTTTGGTGAAGCCATTTGTGCTATGGAAGTTTAACATAAAGAGGTTGGTCGTGCCCGTGGTGCTGTGCATGAAGGTGGTTGGTATTACTATTACCTGCTTGACTTACAGCGACAAACAACAGGAAGCACTATACCAAATATCAGTGCCTACCATCAATATATCTACACAGCTCCAACCTCTACTAAGAACCTCTCTGATTCATATTCTTCAATCGTTTGCACCTCAAACATTCTTGGTCCTTGGCAATTCCATATCCACCATCTTTTCCAAGCAGACCCAGAAACTACACCCGCCACAATGAAGCTTTCTCATACCATCACGGCATTCTTTTGTGCCATGAGCGTTTCTGCATCGCCTCTTTACACAAGGCAAATCGGAGGCGTGAGTATAAATTCACTCTCTTCCCATGTCCCAGTTTTATACGTATACTGACCGTCTTGCTGAAGGTCCTGATTTGTACTGGTGCCAACCAAACAGGTGACTGCACCCACAAGGTCTACAAGCTCGAGAAATGCCATCAACTTAAGAAACCCTTTCTTTTCAACGTCACCACATTCGCTCCTGATGGCGAATCGTTTGAATGTTTCCCACGCACGACTGGGTGTAATGATACCTGTAAGAGTCCTACAGGGTGCACATTTGGCCCCGTTGATTTCAACTACGAGCACAAGGACAACCTGACTGCCATACAATGGAACACTCTTTTCAACAGCTTCGATTGTTCGCTCAAGAGAAAGAAGTCGTCGTCGTTGCTTTCATGAGTGATTGGCGCAACGACAACGGGAAACAGATTCGCCAAAGTCGCGATTCTTGATATTCAACAGGTTATGGCAGATGCACGTAACTTGGGAATTTTTACATTCATGTTGCTCTTTTCATACACTACCTGCTCTATGGGTTGACAGGTTCTGATACATTCACCGCAATTCCGGGTCTATTAGGAGTTTATTGCCATTGACTGATAGTCTTGTCCTGTTTTGATTTACTGACTTTGGAGTAATGGGCATAAATATCTGGGGGGCATGGAGTTCTTTGGAGCATTGGAAACACGGATTCATGTCACAGATTTGATGATAACGAAACAGCTAAAATCAATTAAAGATCAACAATTACATAGTCTATAATACCGGTCCGATATCTCAAATGACATGGTTTTACATGCCTCCGTCTTATCTTCTCCGACCCGTGACACGGAGAGGCTTCCGGACTTCGGAGCGGGGAGATAGTTCGGCATTCGTCATGTTGATGAAGCATCCCGATACCGATGGTGGGGTAAGGTTACCCCAGACCACTCCTTGACTGGAAGCTTCCCCTCCTTGGATAGAGCTTGACTATATCATGACAACCTGCCTGACGTCTTTCACTTGATTCATTTCATTCTTGAAACCATTTTCAGTCTTACACTCTCAAATTGGCTCTGGTTTCGTTCTTAGAATCAAAATATCTAAATACCAGAGTGACATCACAATCGCCCATCATGGCCTTCACCACAAATGCCATCATCAACAGCTTCGGCGGACGCTTCCTCAAGCTCTCTCACAAGTCCGCTGTCACAGGAACACCCATGAACGCAACCCTCTACCTTCCTGGATCCGCCTCCTCTTCCAAGCCTGCGCCTCTCCTCATCTACCTCTCGGGCCTCACATGCACTCCCGACAACGTCACGGAGAAGGGCTTTCTCCAAGCCCATGCTTCCAAGCTCGGCCTCGCCCTCCTCTACCCAGATACTTCTCCTCGCGAGCTCGACTTGCCAGGTGAGCACGACGCTTATGACTTTGGCAGCGGCGCTGGTTTTTACATCGATGCCAAGAAGGACCCTTATAGCAAGCACTACAAGATGGAGACATACATTGGCAGTGAGCTGCCTGATCTCATTTTCAAGGAGTTTAAGGAGGTTGATTCCTCACGCGTGTCTATCTCTGGTCACTCTATGGGTGGCCACGGTGCTTTGACTCTGTTCCTCAAGAACCCCGGCAAGTACAAGAGTGTCAGTGCTTGGGCGCCCATCACCAACCCTACTCAGTGCCCATGGGGTGAGAAGGCTTTCAAGGGTTACCTGGGCGAGGACAAGGAGGAGTGGAAGAAGCACGATGCTACTGAGCTTGTCAAGAGCTGGAAGGGCAACTTCCCTGCTCTCATCGATGTGGTAGGTTTTAGATCCCCTCCCAGTTTTGCTCCCAGACAGATCCTAACAAAACTAGGGTACTGGCGACAACTTCTACAAGCAGAGCCAGCTTCTCCCCGAGAACTTTGAGAAGGCTGTCAAGGACGCTGGTATTGACGGCTTGAACCTCCGCTACCAGGATGTAAGTGTCTCACAAGTCTTGAGCACCAATGCGATACTAACATCTCCAGGGCTACGACCACTCCTACTTCTTCATTTCCACCTTCGGCGAGGATCACGTCAAGCACGCCGCCAAGGCTCTCGGTCTCTTGTGACTACCTCGCAGTGCGCTGTAAAATAGGTGAAAAGGCCAACAATTCTTTGACAATGATGGGTTGGGTTGTTTACGGCGCCATATTGGGAATAATGAATGACTTAGATGCAAAAGGGTATACATAGTTTTGTTCAAGAGAAGCTGAAGCTCTTGACGACGCTGCCATATGTTTGGCACTGAACTCTTATTGGTTAGAGTCTGCAACTCCCTCGACCAAAGATTTAAAAGAAAGTTAAATGATAATATTCGTTCCAATTCACTTCAAGTGGTTATGCTCGCTGAGCACGAAGATTGTTTATCTTGTTCTAATGTTTGAAAAACGCCGCCAAGATGAGTGTTAAAAGGTATATGATGCGATGTGAACCCATGGACATGACACCTCGGAGAAACGACCCATCAACGTTACTCCAGCCCACAAGTAATACTCCCCCAAACCCGTATATGAACTCCAATTGAAACGTTCAGGTCGCCGCCAATCGCTCCATCTCTGCGCTTATCCCCTCCTTTTCAAGCTTCGCTTGCATCTCCGCGTCCACCTCTCGACGCAGACGCATATACGCCAGCTTCTCAAAGCGACTGAGACTCCTCCACCAGTGCTGTCCCGCTTCGTGGTCGGCGATACGCTCTAACAAATCTGCAGTCCTGAGACGGACTTCACGATCTTTGTGGAATAAACCGAGGCCTAGATAGAAAAGTCCAGCGTGAGACTCTGGGGCAACACTGAGTAGCAGACAAATCTCATCGTATGTGTGGACGTGTTTCGAAACGGTTAGATAAATGTCTCTACTTTGTGCCGGCGTCAAACGCTGCATACGGAGACGGTCATGGAGATGGGCCAGATCAAGACCTTTTAGCGGCCTAATGGTGTAAATCTGTGCCAAGTCCTGGGATTGTTAGCTTCAGATTATACCTTTGTCAATGTTAGGTCCTTACCTGGATGAAGCTATAATAACTTCGAGTATTGCGCCATCCTTCGATTCTTGTCACATTACCAGCAAGCTCTTTATGCTTTGCCGTATCGTCCGGCCAGACGTAGCCGTGTCCATTGGCACCTGGCGGCATCAAGTCCTGGTCTTCGCCTCCGATATACAAGGCACTAGCTCCATAAACGCCCTCTTCGAATTTGGCCGCAATCTGCGTAAACTTCGCGACCCAGTCACGCCATTTTGCTCGGATGACTCTCTCGCCATGTCTTGCTGCTATGCTCCTTAGAACATCCGCCATAAATGCATTGTCATTCGTGTAGTCTTGGCTTGTACTCGTGGTACCGCTTGCGATCGACGCAAAAGCTGCATTCTGTTGCTGGAAGTACTGCAGGCCCTCTGTCACAGGGGCAGAATCGATCTTTGTACTGATCTTGACCCTTCCACTGGGTAAATCGCACAAGACGTCCCACCACTCGGGATGAAGCTCGAATGTCGGGTTTGTTACACCAGCGATAAAACCGGGTACGTTGAGCAAGTCGTCGATTTTGGTCAAATCGGTGTACGGGAAAGCATGTCGTGTAAACCCACGAAGGATGCCGCCCGATGCCAGCGCACACGCGGCTAAGACAGCTTCTGCGACCTCGCCTGAGGGCATGTTGTGTCCCAGGAATATGATTCTCTTTTGCGTCAATAGCGCATTTGCGAGAATAATGATTGGGTGTGTGTTGACTCCATTGGTAGTGAGATGAGGGTGCAGCGCAAAGGGCTGAGGCGACTTTTGATGAGAATCTGAGAAGTTCTGAATGAGTTTAATAAGTGAAAAGTCACCGACGGTTTCAGGCATGACAGCAACTGGCACTTTAATAGGGATTGGTATGCCCTTATACATGACCTTGCTCTCGAACTCATGCGTGTCGCGGGGAACAGAGTAAACTGACTGGCCGCCCTCAACATGAGCCTTTGTGCCAGCTCTTGATATGCCCGTCTGTCTTGTTGGACTCTTGGTCGCCTCCAATGACTGGTCTACTGCCTCCTCGCGTTGGTCTTCGGCTATCCGCATCTGAATCATCTGTTCGAATTTCTCCACAAAGAGATCCCTGTTATCGCTTGCTTGTAACAGATGACGCTCGAGAAGGCTAAGTCTGGGCATAAGGGATAAGTCCATGGCGTTGACTGAGTCGTATAGCATGGCTAATGTCTCTGGCACAGGCGCCTTGAAATACTCCTCCAAAGCCAATAAGAGCAGCGGCTAGAAAGATGGTTAGCAAGTGCGCGTGTACACATGATTCATGTGAGAAGGCTACTTGCCTTATATATATGCAGGAAGGGATGCCGCGTGCAGATGGCCATGGCCTTGACAATGGCCCCTCGCTTGACCGACTTGTCATGTTTAGTATTGACCAGATTTAGCACATAAATTAGGGGAGGGCCTTCGCCGCCCTCAGGTTCGCTATCAGATTCGGTGTCGTCTTCATCATCATCATCGTCGTTGTCCCATTCGTCTTCTGGTAGATCCTCCTCGTTTTCCTCGTCCTCCTCATCTATTATACCAGCCGCCTTATCACGTCGTCTCTTTCGCCTTTTCTTTCGATTTTCTTTAGTTTTGCGCTCCTCGTCCTCCTCTTCTTGGCTTGTGTCCTTGTGAAGAAAGAATATGGTCCAGTCCTGGTTGCGGGCGTGGGCTTGATCCGGCAACATGAGCTCAGCCAGCATATTCTCGTCTCCCGTGATCGCGACCGGGTATTGATGTTCCATAACAGGACCTCGATCGATATCGAAGGATGCGACAAGAATGTATTCAACATGGTTTTCGGTAGAGCTTCGCGGGTACTGAGGGCGAAGCTTTCTCGATTGTCTAGCATGAGGATTGGTTCGTCGGGGAGCGGACAGAGACGAATGCTGGGAGGAGAGACCAGTCGAAGGCGTCTTTGACCGGGAATTGGGGTCGGAAAGGCGATCGACTTCTGGGCCAGGAGGTAGAGGTGACCTCGAGGGGGGTGGTGAGGCCTGTGACATTTGCGATTCGGGGCGCGAAGAGTGAAATGAGGCCAAGGAAGTTCGTCGGTTGGACACTGAAGCATTGGAAAAATTGCTAAGGCTATGTTTATGACCGTGAGTGTTTGTGCTGTTGCTGGCCGTCTTTGGCAAGAATGGCAGCGTTGACTGGAACGAAGCCATGATGGAGCCAACCGAAGACGGAAGTAGACCAGGATTCTGAGACACGAAACAGCAGCAGAAACAGAAACACGAGATCTCTCACCGGGTACCTTGACTGGAGAACCCTCGTATGTTGCGTTCTGACGGTACTCGGGAGGTCCGACAGGTTACAGTACTGGACTTGTATTGCGCGGTACAGTACCTAGCTGTCTGTACCTTAGGTTGTCTAGGGTTGAAGGATGCGGTGTACTCCGTAAATGCAATGTGGGATCGACACTTGTTCCACTTTGGGCGTCACGTACACCTAATTCTCCTCAATCGAATGCAGCAGCGAAGCAGCTGTGATGGTACAGTACCACTGCGACCAGGAATATGCAACAGAAACAACAGAGACAGCTTTAGAGAGTGTGTTGTAACCGAGACATGGCCCGCCACAAGTGGGCGCAACTTGCGCAACGAGGCTTAACTTTGGTGTGGAGACAGAGACCTATAGACGGATGTATTGGAGGCGGGACGAGACAAGGCAACTAGATCCTGTGGTGTAGGTAAGTTGGAACTATCGTGTACTTTGGATCTTTGCAATATTTCTCTTTAAAAATGATAGATATTTAACAAGTACTGGTTGTGTTGTGTTGTGTTGTGTCGCGCATAATAAAGGGTTGTCGGCCAACTTCAGGAGCCAGCACTAGGTATATCCACCACGTCGGGTCCAGCCTTTCCCCCTCATTCCCATTTAACTCACAGTTATCAACCCCTGGAAACGGGCGGCTTTAGATTTGAAAACGGATCAAAGCTGTTTGTGCTTGCGTTTGCTATCCACTAATTGAGCCTCCTGTAGCATCAACTATCAAGCTTCTAGATTGAGTGGTTAATTGGATCTTGTAGTGACCAACCGAACGTCGTGAAGCAGCAAAGGTATCATTAGCAAAGACCTCAACCACTCAAAACCCATCCCCGCTAAGAAATAAAAAAGGGTCGCCCTCCCCTGAATCGCAGCTTTCAGCTTGTGGTTGGGGGCATCCATGCTCGCTAGCGCCATGCGAGTGCCACGACTTGGAGACTTGGCTTTCACGTGTGGCTTTCATCAGCTGTGGCACGGAACATCTGTGTGGTGTCCCCCTACTTTGTCATGCATCTCCCTGGGAACCACTCTCTTGTTTACTTTGGCGAGTCTCGTTAGAGCCCATTACGGTACAACCTCAATTGCATCCCCAAATGACGACAACGGCTGCCCATCACCATCCCACAGACTCTTGATCTATTTCACTCTACACTCTACCCTGTATATCTCAAATCATCCTCGCATCCTCCCCTTTTTCCTCGTCTTTTTCCTAACCTGTTTATTTTCCATCTCCGCTCGGCGGACCCACGTACACGACAATGGTACTTCCTCCATGACGAACTATCCCTGGCAGTTGACGCCCGTACCAGCTAACACCGTCATTTTCAGTCTGTACCTGTAACATATAAGCCTTCTCCTCTAGGCTATGGCTCTTCTCCTACACGCAGTTCACCCTTCCGTCGAGCTGAATCTCCTGCTTCGCCATCCCCTCTCCGACATACTACACCAACTGGATCTCCAACAAAGACCAGACCTTTTGGCTCGACATCGCGCTTCGCTAGACCGACTACTCCCACAAGTACGCAGCCTAGCTGGACACCGAAGCCCAAAACACCGGTGAGAGACGAAATGGTTTCCTCACCTTCGCGAATTTCACCGGCTCCACGGACGCCCATATCGAAGTCGCTGGGCAGCGGCAATGCGCTATCACAACTGCAAGCTACTCAGGTTCGAACATTGCGAGATGCTTTCCAGATAATGGACCGAGATTGCGATGGTCTTGTGAACCGCGAGGATGTTACCGATATGCTGAACCAACTTGGTACGCGAGATGCTTCCAGATTGTAATCGAAACGATGGTAGCTAACCTAATTTACAGGTCTTCCGTCTAGCCCAGCCGATGTATCTAACTTCTTCCCCCCATCTGCTCCCCAAACCATTGCGCTCGCAGCATTCCTCAATTCGCTTGCCGACGTGCTAGCAGAGCTCTCGGACAGCGCCGAGCTACTCAATGCCTTCTCAGCCTTCGACGACGATGACAGTGGTCAAGTGGATCTAAATGAGCTGCGAAACGCCCTTCTCGAAACAGCACCCGAACCCGGTGAGAAGGCTTTGACTGCAAGTGAAGTGGATAAGATCATGAACGGTTTCACTGGACGAAGAGGCTTCAACCGCAACATGAATGCTCAACGGGGTGCCAAGAGAGGCGAAGTGTTCAAGTACCAAGAATTTGTTGGCTCCATCATGGGTTCCAACAATGGATCAGAGAACCAGTCCAACGAGAACGAAGACTAGTCAAGGTTGGTTGGCATACATGTTTCGCACACTTAGCAGCAACTGTGAGGACACGTTGTTGTCACACTCACTGTGTATGTTCTTGTTGGACGAAGTTCTATGATACTTAGCATATGTTTTTATTGTTTTACTTGATGTACCTCTATGGCGGCTTTTGTTAGGAAAAGGACGGGTTGGTTAATTGGGCTGGGCACAATTCATGGTTTGGGTTAGCACTTGGGAATATCATAGGACAACGAATGAGAGCACGATCGATTGCTTTATATCAACACTCGAAAATACTTCCCTCATGATCAATTCTTGACTAGTTCGTAAGCAATGCTTAGAGTTCAAAAAGTGCATTACTCGTTGTAATCTGTATCTTGGTTAGATGATATTGGCATAGTATACCTAGCAGCCAGTGACCATATACCCTCTTATAAGCCATCGATGTTGATTCTGGCATATGGCTCTGTCCAGCCTGGTCAGTATAGAGATTTCTCTAATTACGCCGCGAACTCTACTAAGAGTTACAACAACATTGTCTGGGATAAGACGGTTACGTACATGGTGCAATATAAACGTTGAAGCGGATACCTTATATCACATTATACTCATCGACGGACTAGCCTTTGCTTTTGTAGGCAACGTGAAGATAGCCAAGCTTCCAAGTGGTAGCGTCCTTTGATTGTAGTATGCTCCTCTTAGAGAACAAGGCACAGGTACGGCATGTGTCATGCCATTCGGCAAATACCAGGCAGCATCGTTTCCGTTGTACAATGTCTGGCGCTTTCCGATGTGATACAACGTGACGCAGGGGCGTCTTTGTCGCACGTGGTATACTCGACAGCAGTATTTAAGAATAAATATTACGTAGGCTCCTAGGTACTTAATGACACAAGATTGCTGGAGCAATAGAATCATTGAGGATACAGTTCCTGAATACATCAAACTACGGAGTACCATGGTGAATCATAATGCAGGCACTCTCGCTGTGGACAGGATCGATATGCTTGTAATAGGAGGAATCCAATTTGTCCAAAACGAACAGGCTGGATGATGGCTCTGGCTTGAGCTGATAGGCGTAGAAAGACAATCCGGGGATCCGTGGACTGCAATGATTTGCAGCCAAGCGAAACACAAGCCCCTTGAGGATCCCAGCTTGAAGTCTGAAGAACAGGCCGTTGACCCGCCACTTTTTAACGTGCCCGAGTACGGAGCACCTGATGAATGGTTGAGAGCTGGACCTGGAGCCTTGAAAGAGCGCCAAATAAATAACCAGTAGGAATCGAGAATGGCTGGGGAAAGATTTTTGAAAAAACGTTGTCAGGCCTGTCAGGGTCCTGAAAAAATGGAGACACCGGGCGGCCCCACTGAACCTTCTAGAATAGATGACGTTTGGTTAAGCGCAAAGCCTCGATATTAGATTAGCCTTTCGCGGGCCGGGGCTTGACGGGACCTGGGTTACCTGAAGACGGGCACTAAAACTTACTACAACGTTAGGTTGTTAGTTGACCTTGACGCGGGGTGAGAATTTGTATGGAATTGATTGAGAGCCTGTTTTTTTGTTGGCCCTTTTGAATCTTGTCTTGGCTGGCGACATTTAGTAATTATAAGATCTGGTAGATAGACCATAGCGGAGAATGTTGCTTGGGCTATGTAGGAAAGCCAAGTTATGATTATTCCTTATGTTGTCATAGGTTGTAATTCGAGGTTGATAGACTATTCCCAACCTCCAACCTCTTTTACAAGCTATTTTAGCTGGCTCTACGTTTGACGTTTGAGAGGACAACTCACTGCATATGCACAATGATAAAGATCAAGAGTATCTGGCCATTAAACCCCGTTGTCATTACAGCCCCCGCTGCGATTGTTCTATACCTGGTCTATCCCGCGGTGACCATGTCATGACTGTCCAGGTACAAGATACTCGCACAGCAGGCAAACAGATCGTGTGTTGCCCAAGTTTTGGAGATCCATAGCCGAAATATGGAATACAGTATCATTTGACATGACACTGACAGGTCACAATTCCTTTTCTTCTCATCCTACCTCTTCCATTTTCAAAGTCTGATTACCTGCCAAGGTAAATTACTCAGCTGAACGTAGGCCCTGTAGACAAAACGCTTAGGCTGCCGCACTGAGCCGGCAACTATGGATAGAGTATGGACACCTGCAGAGCCCAGCCTTTTCCCCCCAACTTGCAGCGACCCGACAGGCTGTGCTTGGAGGACGGGTTACTACTCTAGGAAATCAGGCAGTTTAATGGCGGTCTTTCACACATAGTTCTAGTCTCCTGTTGAGACTGGAGACTGGGGAAGCCGTGAAAATGCCCTGGGCTTGGGCTTGGGCTTGGCCCGTTGTCGCTTGTAACTCGTCACTCGTCACTGTCACAGCCCGGTTCGCTCATCTCATTAACAGCCTGTCCCGTTGTCTTTTTTAGCTGCTGGCTGCTGGCTGCTGGCTGCTAGTTTATTAGTTGTCGGCGGTTCGTATATTGGCTCAACAAGGGTTGTTTCTCCTTCATCATCTCATCTCTTGTCTTCCCTGTCCCCCGACCTGTTTTCCTTCTGTCCCGTCATATCTCGTTGTCATTTTCCACTTGTCTTTGTATTCAAACTTTGACTCTATCATTTCCCCTCTGGCTCTCTCTCCCTACCTCTAAAGCTCTATCCCTATCTCTCCTCTTCTCAGTTGACTTGCTCCCGCCCCTTTTAGGCTCAAGAGCCGCACGACCGTTCCCGGAGCCACTTGAGAGGGAGCGCAGCCCCGAAAAAAAAGTTCGGTTTTTTCCTTAACGCCCGTTTAGGGCATCGATTCGGACAGTAAAGTATCCGGCATAACCTTGTTACGGGGATTCTTGGGGATTCTTCCATCCCGTCTAAAGTATTCTTTAAAATCAATCGGGAACTTTGTTTGGTCCAAATGAAGAACTTCTTTGGTAGCGGCAAGAAGCCAACTTCCTCATCCACTCCGTCTTCCTCTGCAAGGAAGTCCGCCACTTTTGAAGAGCGCGACCGGGACCACGAATCTGACCCTCCTCCCGCCTACTCCGAGCCTTCATCGCCCGCACGAGAGAAGTCGCCTTCAAAATCTTCAAAGAGAATATCTCGCCCCGCCTCCTTCGCCGAGTCAACAAAGACCTCACGTTCGTCCAGATTGTCGAGGCAATCTACCGACCCAGGCCACGCTCACTCCTCTTCCTCTCGTCGACCCAAGTACGAGCCTGATACGCACCCTCTTAACCTCCCCCCCGAAGAGCGCAAGCGATTATCCGCTCTCGCCGCAGCCATGAACGGTAACTCAATGGACGTCGACAGCGAGCCTGTCAACGGCGCCCGCTCTCCTACTCCTCCCAACCCCAAATCCAATGCTCAGGCCAACTTCTCCGTTCCTATTCCCAACGGCTCCAGTCATGATGACGGTGCCCCTCCGCCTCCACCTCACAAGTCCAACCCTGGAAGCCCAACGATTACACCTGAGGAGGATGCTGAAGCCTACAAGGCTGCGGGCAACCGATTCTTCAAGGAGAAGAATTATTACAAGGCTGTTGAACAGTATAGCAAAGGTATGCATAGCCACTTTCCACTAGGCTCCCATCCCCACCACTTTTCCGCCTGGTCTCATGAATCTCCAAATGCTGACAAAAGTACAGCTGTCGACCTGTTTCCCTTCTCCGCTACTTATCTAGGCAACCGAGCTGCCGCTTATATGTCTAACGGCCAATATGAGCATGCTCTTGACGACTGCTCCAGGGCCGCCGACTATGAACCTCAGAATGCCAAGATTCTCCTGCGCTTGGCCCGTATCTACACTGGTCTGGGCCGACCAGATGAGGCCATGACAACATTCAACCGCATTGACCCTCCACCATCTGCTAAAGACATGGCGCCGGCCAAGGAAATGTTGCACCACATTCAGTCCGCCCGTGATATTCTTCAAAAGGGATCCGGGTCTGGTATGTCCATGGTTCTTCATGCCCTTGACCTGGCTGAGCGTGGCCTCGGTCCTCGTGTGAACAAGCCCCGCAAGTGGCAACTCATGCGTGGAGAGGCTTACCTGTTGATGGGACGTGAGAACTCCCTAGGAGAGGCGCAAAACATTGCTATGAATCTTCTCCGAAACAACAACCAGGACCCTGAGGCTCTTGTCCTCCGTGGACGTGTTCTTTACAACCAAGGCGAGAACGAAAAGGCTATTCAATGCTTCCGTATGGCCATCAACTGTGATCCCGATTTCCGCGATGCCGTCAAGTGGCTCAGGATCGTCCAGAGACTTGATCGCATGAAGGAAGAGGGCAACGCCGATTTCAAGGCCGGTCGTCTGCAGCCAGCTATCGAGAAGTACACCAGCGCTTTGGACATCGACCCCTCCAACAAGGGCATGAACTCTAAGCTGTTGCAGAACCGAGCCCAATGCAAGATCAAGCTCAAGCAGTACGATGATGCCATTGCCGACTGTGAGAGGGCTATCAGCCTTGACCCTGGTTACACAAAGGCCCGCAAGACCAAGGCCAATGCTTTGGGTGGTGCTGAGAGGTGGGAAGATGCTGTTAAGGAGTGGAAGGCGATCCAGGAGCTTGAACCAGAGGACCGTAACATTGCGCGAGAGATCCGCAAGGCAGAGCTGGAGCTCAAGAAAGCTCAACGAAAGGACTATTATAAGATTGTGGGCGTCGAGAAGACGGCCACAGGTGACGAGATCAAAAAGGCATACCGCAAGATGGCTGTCAAGCTCCACCCTGACAAGAACCCTGGCGACTCACATGCCGAGGAGAAGTTCAAGGACTTGCAGGAGGCTTACGAGACTCTGAGCGACCCTCAGTAAGTATCCCTGACATGTATGTACTCGACGAATTACTGACTCTTTCTTTAGGAAGCGTGCTGCCTATGATAACGGCGATGATCTTATGGACCCAAACGACATGTTCGGCGGCGGAGGTATGGGAGGAGGCATGGGCGGTATTGACCCTGAAATTCTCTTTAGCATGATGGGCCAGCAAGGTTTCGGTGGCGGCGGTGGCGGTTTCCGATCAGCCGGAGGCTTCCCTGGCGGCGGTGGCGGCGGAGGTGCTCACTTCAACTTTGGTGGTGATCCCCGACAACAGCGTGGAGGATACCCCGGCGGTTTCAACTTCTCATGACCATCCGGCGCTGATGATGATGATGACGACCTAGAGGATAGCGAGGATGAGGATGCAGACTTTTACTGCAAGGAAGAGGATGAAGAGGAAGATAACGGTCAAGACGACGACTATGCAGTACCTCCCAGCGAAGAGAACTTCTACCCACGAACGTCCACAAACAGCAAACCCAGAGGCCACTCTCAACAGCGCCGAGAAGCCCATGATCAGCTTGTTGATACCGTACGGCGATACGGTACATTGTTCTTGGCGGCAGCTGTCTTGCTCCCTTGGCAAGTGGTGATCCTGGTTTTGACGCTGGTTGGATCAGCCTACATTTGTATGAAGCACATTCCGGTCTTAGGTAGGAAAAAAGCGTCGACATTGTAAAACGTATTGCATATATAATGGGGGCAGGTCGCATATGCTACACCACATGTTGCTATTGCGGCGTTTATTTCAAGGATAGACATCATTGAGAGGCCGGGCAATGCTAGGGAACAACGTGTTGCTCAGGGGACCGAGGACACGAACGCGGGCTCTTTATTTAGATCGGTTCCTGGGGGATTGTGTTACATGTATATATCATATCTTGGCATAATAGACGATTGTCCGTAAAAAGGCTATGTCACAACCATACACTGGTGACGTTTTTACAGGTTTACTAAGATTTTAATAATAATTATAACTACTTTCAGTTATTCATATCTTACTAAAGCTATAGGACAAAAATCCACCACAAGCACACTACCTAGGTAGTCGATTGACCCTTTCAGCTGCTTGATAAAGATCAGAATCGAGAAGCAAGATATACATGCCAAGTCACATACCTACCCGTCGTTAGTCAATCCATCAAGAAGCCAAGACTAGGTAGTCAGCACCTGTCTGGCTGCGCTTCATAGTCTAGGTATTCAGTGAAACAATGCATTTATTTGCGCGGCATCGCACGCGCTTGGGGTATCATAAAAGCACGGTAAAAGCAATAGCCGTGTGAAAAAAACATGCTCACGCTATGGATCGTTTTCATCCATATGTCCATCCTCTCAAGCCCCTCTCAAGCAGCCGACGAGGACGCATGGTTGGAGGCATTTCCATTCTGCTGCGGCTGCTCCCCATTCCTCCTCCCAGGCGGTGCACCTCCCGTGGCCTCAACCACCTGGACCACATCGTCATGCAACTCAGGCATAGCGGAGGTGATGTTTTCTGCGAGGACGTCGCGGAAGGTACCAAAAGCGTTGAGCTTTCCGCGCATGAGCTGGTTGCCGTGACGCACAAGCTCAACAAACTCTCGCGTGTAGATGTCCGGGTTGCGGCCGTGCTCGACGTACTCGAGGAGTTCTGGCGGCACGGAGGGGAGATTGTGTGGAGGAGCGGCAGAAGCGTGAAGCGAGCGGAGGGAGTCGGAGAGTGTTTTGCTTGGTGCTTGTTAGTACGGTAGACGCCAATGGGAGGGGAGGTTAGGGATTGGTGGATGTACATTTCATTAATGAGGACTTCTCTGCTGGAGCGGCCAACAGAGTCGTAGGTTGAGACCTGGACCATAATCTGGTACAGATCTTGGATAATATCCTTGAGCTGCTCTGCGGGGAGTTAGTTAGCGCATGCTGAAATCGCGATGGGATTGACATACGCTCAAGGGCATCGTGGTTTACGCGGTCGACTGGCGCCATGATGAAGCTATCGTGGCTATTGCTCGTCAGAGGTATAGGTCGGTATTGGACGAATGGTAAACATGCGAAGTCGCGATCTTCTTCTCGTAAGCTCGGTGGGGGGTTGATTGAAGTGTGGAGAGGGACTTGTGGCGCCAACAGTGGTTCTTGCAGGGGCTTTTTATACCTGTGAGAAATACTCTGTACCTACCTTAGGTAGAGTTGCGGTGGCTGACCCTACGGAACGGGAAGTGGGGGGTCGTGGTGGGGTATCTTATCTCTTACAATGACATATCCATATTCTTTGTTGAACATAAACAGCAAATTTATCACTACTTAGGTACCTGCTTTTGGATATTCTTGTTTAAGATCTAGTTATACTGTATAAGGAAGCGTAATTGATCTTATTTACTGTTCCCGGTTTGAGCAGGCAGAGTCTACATCAAATGTTCTCAATATGACATAGGCAGACACACTGTCTTACCAAGAGCATGTCCACCTGAGAAGCAACTGGTAGAAAGCCTGTGTCACAGGATATACTTTTGTCTACGACTATATTCTTCTAGATGGTGAATACAGGGTTATTTAGTATGCTATGGCCCAGCAATTACAAATGACGGTCAAGACATGGGCCAGTGCCTTTGTTATGGTAGAAGGGAACCATTTATTGTAGATAAACACTACTAACTAGCATCAGACCTGAAATGCACCCACCTTTGTTGTAGAAAAACTACCATGTAAAACGATACACTCAGGTTATTACCATCAAAAAGGCTACTTGTTGGCCCTTGATGATAAAACATATATGGCTTTGTCAGACTATTCTTCTCAACTTTGGTCTGTAGCTTTGTTATCAGGAAAGATCCATACACTAGCATCCTTTGACTCTGGACCAGGGTTACAAAGATGATTTCCATGTAACCGTCTACATATGGCTCTCTTTCTTATACCAGATCTCAGTGCTTTCAGATGTCTCTTACCGAACATTAGCATTGCAACATTCTGTGAATCAAGCCTCGTCAGATATCACTTTCTAGACATGCCAGCCTCTTAATTTCACCAAGAGCACAATGTGATCTTTGTTTGCTCATTCACATAACAGGGCTCTAACACCAGCAGGGGAGATGCTTTGTGCTCTGTCTCCTACCATTCCTAGTATATGTCTATAGATCAACTGTATATATAACATCTGAGCATCTGCTTGAAATCGTCTCGGCATAACTGCTTCAGTCTCTCAATATCTTTCAGTTTCATCAATATTCGCTTCAAAATTTCGATTCCAGCATGTCAGCCTCTGAGTATCGGTCTTGGTTCTCCCGGTCCGTTTTTCCTTATATCAGAGGAAAAGACAACCACTGCATCGGGTACGTACGGTCGAAGGGCCGCCGGTGTAAGAAACCCATCAGTGTAGCCAGCATCAACAGGCACAACGAATGTATGATTCAGATCATTAGCCTTCCTCCTTATGAGCGAGCTTGTAGTGCCCTGCTCAAGAAAGCCACTGAGAGGATTCTCTGCGGTTGTCATGGTCATAACAACCTCGAGTGGCAGCTCTATAACGCTCAAGCGGTCATGAGAGGTCTTGCCCGGGATCATCAAGCCGAGGTATGTCGTCGATGAGTTTTGTTTTCAGGCCAAGATCTTAACAAGATGTAACGGAAGAGTCATGGCTGTTAGGAACCCAGAAAATTTACTCAGGATATTCAAAACCTTCATGTTCAGAACACGGCAAACAAGGTTGGTGTAGCCAACGTCGCAGCATCCGGCATCTCTCTCTCTCTCTCTCTCTCTCTCTCTCTCTCTCTCTCTCTTTTGTTTTATTTGATATAGGGTCCTTTGCATTTTATGGTTGTACTGGGAGGCGCTTTTGCTTTTTGCTCTTTTATTCTAAGTTACAGGTCTGGTTGGGAACACAGGATTGGGTTGTTTTATGGGACATTGCATTTCTTTAGCCGTCGGTCAAAGCAGGTTACCGCTCGAAAATTGTTTGCTGTGCGTGTAGGTCAGTCGTAGATGAAACAAGGAAACAATAAGACTCGTTCTTCTCCTTCTCTCATGATTGTGTTTATGTGACTCGTATCCTTGTGTTCTATGATTGTTGCAGGATGGCGAAGCGAAGCATTTCTGACGACAACTCGATATGCGACGGTGATTCTAAACATGAACAAACTCGGGGATCTGTCTCAGAGATGGAGAGAAAGTACAAAAAACGAAGAATACCTAAATTAGATGAGATCGCCAGGAAGTGTACCATCGATACTCATCTTAGTGCTCTGGACCATCGTTTAACCGCTCAAGAGTCTTTCTGCGAGCTTGTTCAATGGTGGTGAGTAAATCGTCACTTAAATCAACGCAAGCACTAATGTATTGCTCAGGAGAGGCAGCATCATGGAGTCGTTTTACGTGCAACTCGTCGACTTTACTGTCGTCCGTCGAGAGCGACACGAAAAAGTAAGCGGACGCACAGTAACAGAGATTTTGTATAAAGCACTAGACCAGTCCTCACTTGACAAGAGGGAATTGGGCTACATCCAGTTCTTAAACACGAAGTACGATAAGGCTGGAGTTGTCAGGATCGTCAACCGTCAAGTAACTCTGCAGCCCGAAAACCTCCTGACCAAGACTCAAGATACCACATCAACGTACTCGACTCATTCTCAGTTCAATCTAGCAAGGGCCATCTTGAACTTTGTCGGAGGCGGAACAAATCATTCTGTCACTTGTCAATCTGGCGGGGTCAACATGAATTTCAACTTTAACACTGCAAGAGAACTCGTTGCTCGCGTGACTAGGATGAGACCCGACACCATTTCTAAGTCCTACAAGTCTGCATCGTCCAGATTCAAGAGCCATGTGCCATTCTATCCAAGACCAAGCGTCGATACTATCTTGAGCATCGGCGAAGCTGGACTTGGACGATCCGGGAACAATGAATGGATAAAACGCGCCAAGGTCTCTCCAGGGGAGTTTGCCATCTGGTGCGAAGCTGCTTTGTTTCTCCAAGATATCAAAGAGGAGGGTATCATCAGAACTCGCATGGGCGATCTGATCCTTGACGTCAAGTATCGCGATAACCTCCATCTCAATGGCTTTCTCTTGCACGCAAAGAGCAAGACAACACACGCAAGTCTATCCGGAAAGCGACTCAAATACGGCTATAATATCATATACGGAACGGCTGAAAAAGAGGGGAAGCGCATATGTTCCCTGGAAGATGAGTCTAAAGCTCTCATGTCCATATAGGATTTGGCATTGAAGCAACGGCCTCATTTGGTGGGACTACTCAGTGATCTACTCAATGATTGGCAGTGGGGAGATGTAGAGCTTGCATATCAGTTCATCTCGAGAGATGCCGTTGTTTGTCTCAAAGATTATCTGTTCAAGGATACTTCCAAGTGGCATTACAGACAGGTACGGCTGCAGTATTGTTATTTATCAAACCTACACTAATATATTTGAGTAGAATCCTCAACTTGACTCTATCATCGCAAGCCTCGGTCGACAAGGAGGAGAGCTACGAGATTCGTATTGGGACATTCTCCAGATACACGGCATGGTTCATACAGTAGAAGTCGAACACCAACGCCGTTTTATAACCAGCAAAACCGTCTCTATACCCGATGATGAATTTGCCAGGCATATTAGCAGAGCCCTCGAAACGTGTTTGTACGCATGCAATGCAACACAGACTATCCGAGCTATATTCGTTCAAGGTAGCGGTCTACCTCTCCAAGTTGTATACTCAAAAGGTGAAAGCATCATCAGGATACACCGGAACTGGCTTTCTCAGGAAGATACAAGGTTCAGACTTGGACTAGGTGCTCACAAGTCACTCCCGGATGTTGTGTTCCTCACTTCGGTGACACTTCTCAAAGACATTATTGATCAGCTTCCTAATGAGTTGTTCTGTAATGGTAAAGCTCATGAGCTACAACTTGCTGAGCAAAGATTACTCGAATATACACGAAAGTATATCAACTCCGATGTTTTGAGTCGCGACTTCATAGCACCGTCTCGAAGCAAACTGGCGGATATCGCATGGGAGAAGTGTATCTCGTCCAAGTCACACGCAAAGTATCACATGCAGCCTCATCAAGCTGAGACTTACTCAAAAATCCAATAAAATTCGCCTCACAAATGGAACGGGTACAGTTCAGGCGTCATCCCGGGATCGTCCATCGGAAATAAGGTGGCTGAACGTTGACAAAGGCGTTGGCACGTGTTATTCCTCGAGCTATGCTGTCTGAGAGGCTGGGCAGAGATAGAAAGATTCAGAGTTCGAGAAGAACTTGGAATAGGGCAAAAGATCGTTTCTCTTGAACTAATCAGAAGAGCTATTCATAGAACAAATAAAAGGTTTCGCGCCTCTTCCCAGCCACTCGACAGAGCATACATACGAGCTGTCAAAGTAAAGTTTACGGACAAATTCCAACCTGTTCGAGTCTAAACTTACGGTTATTTGTGACTATCACAAGCCACTGTCGTGTTTAGGAAAATGATCATCACTAGCATGACAACACAGGCAATGAGAAGTATCACAGGAAACACAGCTAGTTCAGCAACACATCTCCAGATTAACTACCTATCCTATCATATCCTATACTATACTACCCAGATCCTTTTCCACCTTTCCAATTCCGCCCATCAGTGAAAGAATATCTACATTAGAAGTTAAAGAATAATAAAACAACAAAACCACCCCCGTCCACATCATTAAGTGTCAAAAGCCCCCCCCCCCTGAGCCAGGAAAAACATCCTCCCATATCTACCATGAGTCTTGTTCGCCATGTCTTTCATAAAAAGGAGCGTATATATGCGATACCAATGCTCGCCATGAAAATTAAAACAGAAGTGAAAGAAATGTCCTTGTGCCTGGGACAGTATCCCGACTTTTTACTAGAAGTGAAAAGGGTGAGAAGAATAAAAAGATGAAGAAGAACCAATCCGGCCGGTGCTGATGGGGTTGGGAGATTCCAAAGAACTCTCTTTGTTTAGATAAGAGCGACGGCTCCGAGGATACCAGCCATGAAAGCGAAGACGGGAGCTCCGTTGGCGGCAGCAGCGCCAGTGGAGACAGGTGCGGGAGCGGTGGGAGTAGAAGGGGCTGGGACAGGGACAGTGACCACAGGCTTGGTGACGACCTCAGTCTGAGGAGCCTCAACGGTAGTGGGCTGGGGAGCAACGGTCTGGTAGACAGTACCGCCACCAACAGTCTGAACGATCTTGGAGTACTGAGTGACAACCTCGCCCTTGCCAATGGTCTTGACGATGGTCTCGTAGGCGGGAACAGTGGTGACAACCTTCTCAACAACGATGGAGGTGGAGGTGTAGACGTTGGTGACAACTTCGCCCTCGACGGTCTGAGTGACAGTCACGGGGTGAACCTCGTACTTGGTCTGGTAGACAACATCTGTCTCGTGCTTGGTCACATCGGGCTTCTTGACCTGGTCGTAGACAGTAGTATGGACCTTGTTGACGACGTAGTCGGTGGAGGTGTAGACGCTGGTGATGACCTCGCCGGCAATGGTTTTAGTGACAGTGACGGGGTAGACGTTGGTCTTGGTAACGTAGACAACATCGGTCTCGTACTTGGTCACGTCGGGCTGCTTAACATGCTCGTACGCGGTTGTGGCAACTTTCTCCTCAATGACACTGGTGGTGGTGTAGGTCTGGGTGACGACCTCACCAGCGATGGTCTTTGTGACAGTGACGGGGCATACAGTGGTTCGGGTGATGTACTCGACGTCGGTCTCGTGCTTGGTGACATCGGGTTGCTTGACATGCTCATAGTCGGTAGACTTGACAACATCGTAGACAACGCTGGTGGTGGTGTATGTTTGAGTCACAACCTCGCCGGCAATAGTGTTGGTGACAGTCACAGGGCAGACAGTGGTTCGAGTGACATACTCGACATCTGTAGCGTGCTTGGTAATATCAGGCTGCTTGACGTGCTCGTAGTCAGTGGACTTGACGACGTCGTAGACAACACTGGTGGTTGTGTAGACGTCGGTAATGACCTCTCCAGCAACGGTCTTGGTCACGGTCACAGGGCAGACTGTTGTTCGAGTAACGTAGGCAACATCAGTGTAGTGGTGAGTGACATCAGGCTCCTGAACTGTGACATCGACAGTCTTGGTCTCAGCAACAACGAGTGTCGAGGTTGTGAGCACGGTCTCACAGTAGGTTCTATACAAGGTTAGCTCTCTGCAGGCTCTTTGGATTGACTCAGACAACTTACTTTCCCTCCTTGGTGTGAGTGTAGGTAACAGGGCAGACAGTAGTGGTCGTATAAGTCACAGCGACCTCCGTGACCTTGTGCCCGTAGTCTTTGTTTCCATAGCCTTGCTCTTCATGTCCGTAGTCGCCTTCACCGGTCTCGTAATCCTGTCCAGACTCGTAGTCGGGATTTCCATACTCGTCTCCTCCTCGTCGGATGTTCTCAGCCAGGGCCGAGGTGGCCAAGACCAGAAGGGCAGCGCCGAACTTCATGATGAAGATGGTAAAAGAGGATTTGTGATATCAACGAAAGGTTTTGTAAACGAGTGCAAGCTGTGAGCAAGCGATGGTGGTGGTTGAGCGAAGGTATTTAAGCAACCTGAACGAGTTGGTTACTTGGATATACACAAAGCCAATTCGGGCTGATCGAGATATGAGAGAGTTGAGAGAGGTGAAGAGAGATGCAGAAGATGGATGTAAAGCGGGAGGATGCTGCAGGCTTATATCTGCAAGTTGCCGAACCAGTCCAGCCTCAGATGAGAGGGAGGTTGGCCAAGTTGGCCTTGACAACTTCCAAACCTTCCAAGCTAGGTCGTCCAACAGAGTTCGCTTCTGCCAACCCCGCCCTAGTTTGCATTAGACCAATGCTTCCTGTGAGGAGACGATAATCATTAGGAGGGAGGGGTGTAAATATTGCCAAGATGTGATACGGACATCATGAGTCCAACCATTGATGGAGTGGTCAAAGGATGTGGCTGAAGCTCACTGGAGCAACCATGCTGCAGGAAGGATTTTCTATCAAGATGGCTAGGTAGCTAGCGATCAGCTAGGAAAGATCAGTAATGGGCATGGTAGGAACCTCTCTTGACGATGGACCTAGACGGGATGTCAACAGCATGTACGGAAGTCTGCGAGACTCTGTAGAGCAACGGCCAAGACCATTGGGAGCTCTTTTGCCTAAGGTTTGGAAAACTCGCCCTAGCTAGGAAGATCCGCAACAGCAGGGCCGATATTTCGGCCTCCCTCCAAGCTCAACAAAAGATCCCGCCCTTGTTAAGGCAAGGCTGCCAGGTGGTCAGGTTGTGCAAGGCCACGCCTTATCGACCCGCTTGGGTTGGCCATTCACTTCATCAGTTGATCACTGGATCAGCCTGCATTCAGTCTGGGGAACCCAGTAAGACGGGAGACGGCATGAGTAACCAGAAAGAGACTTGTATACGAGGAAACCTGAAATATCTTTGCGTGAGAGGCAGCAAAGAGCTGCAATGGTGACTGCATCACAAGCGCACATCCTTCAACAACAGGTACATCAAGCTTGTCGATAGTCGAACACCTCGTAAACAAACGAGGCGGAAAGGATGCAACTCGGGCTTGATGACAGCATCAGCCAGCTTTGGTAATGCTCTCGACTCATTGTGTTATCTAGTTGAAGTATATGGCAATCGAGGCTGAACTATACCGCGTTATACCGAATCACAGTATGAGCGGTTTTGCTGTCGATGCAAAACTGCGAGGCCGGCCACTCCGCTGGAGCTTGATATGCATCAGTCTTCAGCATCGTAGACGCTTAGTGCCTGACAGCAACCAACAAGGTCTCGAGCCTCTTGAAGCTTGAATCAGCGCTACGTGTACGAAGTGACTTGGCGCCATGCCAGCGATGACACAACAAATACGCAGAAACCTGCTTGCCGCGATGGTCAGAGAGACGAAACGAGGTGGTTGTGATTAGCATTGTAACCATAGAGATAACATTAATAAGTGAGAGGCTAGGGAAGGGTGAGCAACTGCAGCTGCAGCGCCAATGCTGTAAGCCTCTACGGAAGAGAGTTTTCGCTTACAGTGCCAAAGGCGCCTTGCTGGACATGGCTAGTGAGGATTATCACCCCCATATCAAAGTCATGTCGCCAATCGACGATTTGCTCGTGATAGAAAACGCCCAGTCCCCGAGAGTGAGACCAAGAGCCAAGGGCCCCATACTTGGGGGTCTTTGTCTCTGTGGGCTTGTTCGTGGTGGGATATTCCCGTTGTTTGGCAAACTATAGCATTGTCTATCATGACTGCCCAGACTTGGCGTTCGGGTCAATGGGCCGATGAGAGGCGGTCCAGGGTGTGGCTGGGCAGTCTGTTTCCTCTCTGCTATTGCCAATATGGAAAATGGCGGATACGACCAGTGAAGAACTCTAAATATGTTGCTCATCATAACCACGTTGATATACGCCATGCATGGTTGCTCCGGTGTATTGACTGCCATGATAATCGCGAACAAGCCTCCGGATCCCGAGAGGCAGATGGATAAACAAATCGAAGGCTGGATCTCGGTAGATACACCACTTGATAGAGGTTGAATTGAGTTGAGTAGTGGTAAAAGCCAGCGAGAAGTCGGATCTAGTCTCGCTCTGACCCGAGTTTCGACGGCTATGCCATACTACGGGCGTCAAGACCTAGAGGCGGGCGTCTTTGCAAGAGAGCACGGCATTTTCGTCGATCAGACTGGGCTGATCATCAGGAGGGAGAGCTGCGGGTCGGAACCAATCCACATCTGAAGTCTGACAGAGCACAAGCCGGAGCATTAGTAGAGTAATACATGGATTACACAGCATGAATACACTGAGTAGAGCAGAACAGAGCTGCAGCTACCGCGTCTCGTGCTTGTGGAAGCCGGTTTCTAGTACAGTACGTCAAGAAGTATAACAAGGCCAGGGAGCTCTGCTGCGCTGTAAAATTCCGCCCTGACTCGATAAAACACACGTCAACAAGGGCGATATGCAGATGCAGATGCAAATGCAGTTGTTGCAGTTGTTGCAGTCAATAACAAAACAATAAAGGTCGCAGTATCGCATCCCTAGCGTATCGGTCCCGTGTTGTTAGCGCGCAATTATGGGAGAGAAAATGAAACAGCCAATGCTAAAGCCTAAAGCTCGATCGTAGTTGGTGTTGTGCTGTGATGGTGTGTAGCAATAGGGCGTTGAATACGAGAGAATGCTACCATGGATTGAGTTTTTGGTTTTTGGGGCAACTAAACTTAACGGCTGTGGAAGCCTGAGGAACCAAGCACCAACCATTTGTCTAACCCACCAGAGGAAACGCTTAAGCTTGTAAGTTAAGTGTAAGTGAAGAGAATACTCCAACCAATGCAAGGTTTTAATTGAAAGACACACAAATCTGTTCGCATAGTCATTGAACTTGTTCCAATTAATCGCTGACTATACCTCGTCAGGCTCGTCTCCTCCTCAACCAGAGATACCCTAACGTTAGTTTCGGCATTTTGCAGTTCTCGCCCGTGGCTGCATGACGCCAATTCCGCCATTATCCAACACTGGCGAACCAGCCACCGCAATTCAACTCAACCCTTCTGCAGAGCAAAAACTATCATTGGAGTCGTACAGTAAGTACAGCACTCCGTACTCCGTACAGCGCTAGCAACTAACTTCGAGGGCGAACTAACTACTACACGAGTATCCGTATATACGTAGTGACTAACCCCTGTAAGGGAACAGTATGAGGCTGCTATGACATCAGATTGGAGTGATAACTACTGCTCAAGTGGTATAGACGGGAGAGGTCGAGATGCTTCAGCAAGTTCGGCCGCTACCCTATTGTTAAGCTTGGAGTCATTAACAAAAGTGATTCAGAATACGACACAGGCTAGACAGGCTATTTTATCATCCAACATGCCAGATTCAAGGTTGCACAGTAATCAAGGAAGAATGCCTCCATTGACTGGTACCTAGATTGGCGCTCTTCGTATCGTATCCAAGTGGTGTGTACACTGCTGTAGTCTCTACTCTCTCGTCTGCCATGTCAGCCACATAAGTACGAAGTATACGTCTTGTCACCTCACACGTACAGAATATCACCTCCGACACATTCTTATCAACTCCTCAAATAATATAAAAACTTGGATATCCCGTTCTATCCGGGCCAAGTCTCACAGGGCATGGCTCTCAAGCCAAACATAGCTGAGAAAGGCCAGGAATCGAGAACCATGCCTATCAAATCTGATTCTTCCAACTCTTTGACCTTGCAAAGGAACCCGACTTGGAGAAAACAAGTGGGTGTGCGAGGTGCAGCTCGGTTGATTAGTAGATAGAGCTAAGGCAGTGGGAGCTGCAACTTGATGTGTTCTCGACACTCACTATTGGCTGGACTTGCATGGCCATGCTTTCTTTTCCCCTCCCTCGCACAACTAGCAAACCAGGCACAGCTGCATTGTGTGTGTACCTTACAGAAGCTCGGATGTTGCTGTGCTGCCATGCTCTGAGCTGTCTGCTGCGTGGGCTATGGCTGATCATGTCTCATATATTGTTGTCGGCAGGTATACAACAGAGACAATAGAGACAAGACAAGCAAGGACAACTATCCCTCGAGCCCTTTTACCACTCAAAAGACAAATGACAATAGAGCCGCTACCCTAAGAAAAAGGTTCTAAGCCTTATCATGACTCCTCGTGCAAGCTCATGCAGGCTCCGCCAATCACCATCTCAATCACTGACCTCCTCGCTTTTGATATTCCTCCACAACGACCCATTATTGAAACAAAACGAAACAAACTGATTTGGTACAGTCACAATTTTAAGTTACAGCATCTACATAATGCTTCAAGCTTATTCTCTCTCAAGTCTTAAACGTCATGACTTTCGTTCTCTTCTCCTCTCTTCCTCGTGTAATAAGGGGCTGCAGCTTCTTCCCACTGCAGTGCATATCTCTCGTAAGACCAAGACCAAGGCTTTTTTTTTTCTCCCTCTACCTTTCGGCCGTTTCCGTTCCGAGAAGCGGTTACCTTGGACCCCAATGCAAAAGCAAATATTTCACTGGCGGTGAAATAAACCTGCGTGTCTTATGACTTATGTGATCACTTCTGCATATTGAGTGCAGTAAACTCTATGTCAGCAGGGAGTGCTGTCTGACCACAATTGGACACTAGACGTGCTACGTCTTGTTGCATAGGTAAGCAAGGAATTATTCGGTTCAAGATCACGGATAACATACAGACTAAAAGCTTACTTCCTAAGGAATTGCAATTGAGTTTGCCTGAAACCCTACTTATGGATCCGCTCACTGCAAGTGATATTCCGTGGTGCAGGGTAAGTACCTTTGCGTTTCTTTTCTTACATAGCTCTAGCTTGCATTCACAGCCGTGAAATTCTCTCGAAGCTTGGTGAAGTCTTGTATATAAGACCTGGTAAGATTCTATAATTCAAATTGATATGTCAAAGCGCCTTGAGACATTTCTACCTTAGTAGCTTGTTGTTGGAACTTTTGTATGGGATTATAATCACTGTTGTCTTCTCAAAACCCTTTCGTAATTCATCGTTTTATTCAGATACCCACGAGCTTGAATAACTAACGGATTCTCTTTACTTTGGAGAAGTTTGATATGATTTTAACGTTTCTTGTATTCATAGGCTATTATTAAGCCATGTCATAAACTAAATGCACTCTTTTACCCTTTCATCATGCATCGTCAACCACAAACAGATCGCTTTTAAGCCCGGCGTCCATGAAGCTTCCAAGCTACAATCGCCGAGATAATACCACTTTAGCCTTTAAACTTTGCGACTGATTAAGCCTTGATGATCTTCTCGAGCTCCTTGACAACTGCATCGCCAACCTCCTTCGTGGTAGCGTTACCGCCGAGGTCCTTGGTGCGCAGACCTCCGTCGAGGGCCACACGGACGGCATCCTCGACAGCCTTGGCCTCCTCGGGCAGGTTGAGCGAGTATCGGAGCAGCATGGCGACGGACAGGATCGTGCCGATGGGGTTGACGATGCCCTTGCCAGAGATATCAGGAGCGGAGCCTAGTGATACATGTTAGCTTCTCAAACCTCATAAGACACAAAGAGTTGTAGATCACATACCGTGGATGGGCTCGTAGATACCGTTGCACTTGCCCTTGCCGTCAGGAATACCGCTCAAGCTGGCACTGGGCAACAGGCCAATGCTACCAGGGATAACACTAGCCTCGTCACTGATGATGTCGCCAAACAGGTTGCTCGTCACGACAACACCGTTAAGACCAGTGGGGTTCTTGACCAGGATCATGGCCGCACTGTCAATAAGCTGGTGCTCGACCTTGAGGTCAGGGAACTCCTTCTCAAACGTCTCCGTCATGACCTTGCGCCACAGCCGACTTGTCGCCAGCACATTGGCCTTGTCGAGAGACCACACCTTCTTGTCACCGCGGCCACGGGCAAGGAATCCAGCCAAACGAGCCACGCGCTCGATCTCGACGCGCGAGTAAGGCTCTGTGTCCCATGCTGTACCGGAGCCGTCGTCCTCCTTGCGCTCACCAAAGTAGATACCACCCGTGAGCTCCCGGACGATGACGATGTCGGTTCCTTTGCACACGGAGGCCTTGAGAGGTGACGAGTCGACCAGCGACTCGGAGGCAAAGAAGCAAGGTCGCAGGTTTCCGTATGTGCCCATCTCCTTTCGCAGCTTCAGCAGACCCTGTTCGGGGCGGACAGCGCCGGTTCCCCATTCAGGACCGCCGATGGAACCAAGAAGGACGGCGTCGGCTGCCTTTGCGGCGGCGAGGGTCTCGTCGGTCAGAGGGCTGCCGTTTGCATCGATGGAGCACTGAAAGTATGGATGTTAGCTTCACGCACGTGCAAGCACCGGAAGCTCAAGACTTACACCACCCATGAGATGGTCATGAAGGTTGAACTTGCCAACGCTAGGTTTGTTCTCTTCGATAGTTTTGAGAACCTAGGCAATCTGTCAGTTTTCCAGGTCTCAAAGGCGAACTGTCGCACAAGTACTCCTTACCCGAATACCCTCGGCCACGACCTATCCTCAAGTTAGCACACGTACAAGCAATCAGCTCCAAAGCTACATACCTCAGGACCACAGTGGTCACCTCCAAGCACGACGATGTTGTGTTCAGCCATCTTGAGTTTCTGTTAATTGGATTGGTATAATTGACGTCGAGAGAAGAAGAATAAGGGAGAAAGAAGAGAGTCGACGAGTTGGATCTTGTTTTCTGAACCTCCGTTCCTGCCCCGCATCATCAACATTCTTCCCCGCCATTCCGAGATCGGAGGTCTTGGAGCTCCGCAAGCCGGCTCTTCGCTCAGTGGCCGGTTCGGGGACTACGGCAGAGCTAAGTGGGTAGCTACGGCATTGGCCAACGAGAGACAAGGTCAAAATCATTTTAGGTAGTATCCGAAGCTATCTGGGTCTTGACGTTTGTTTACATTGATTTTGTAGCTGTAGCTGTAGCTGTAGCGTAGATATTCACTGCGATGCTGTCATTCATGGGCACCTCCATGACCTGAATGGCGTGTGCTTAAGAAAGGTACAAATTGTAAGGACCAATACAGATGATGGTTTTGTCAGAAACGACAATGCATGTATGTTGTACCTAATCAAAGCATATCGTTGTCCCGTACTCCACATCCAGTCTACTCCCTCAAAAAATGCTCATAAAACCCATTCCTCATCGAAACGCCCTAAATGATTTGGTTGCCGAAGGTGAAGCCTTGGGCACAGTCCCCGTTAAATGTCCTCGTCCCGTGTCTCGCAGTCGGCCTCCCCGCATATTTGGCGTATTGGCACAGAATGCACAAATGTACACCCGTGGCCGAGTCCTGAGGTTGATATTGATACATTTTCCGTGGAGCCACATTTCACAGGACTCACTATATCACAAGTTAGTCGGAACTCACTACACATACCGGCGCCAGCAACTGATTGCTGCGATTACCGGAGCTGGGAATAGCTTACCACTGAATCATGAACCCGTCTCCCCCGTCAGCCCCCTTTCGGCTACAGACACACCTGATATCTGGTCTGTCTGTTAAAAGGCTTGACTCGGTAAGGCTCGACGGCGAATTGCTATCACCTCGAAAAGGCCCAAAGCTGCCACCTTGAAAAGAGCGATGTTGCCCTCCGTGTCCATTTTGGTTCGACCGCTTCCTGCGATCTTCCATCACCTTGCGAAGCTCGCTTGCAGCATCTCCGATCTTGTCTCTGCGTTCGTGCATGACCGTCTCAGTCTCGCTGTCTCCATCATGCGGCGAACCTCCCATGGTATCCTGTATGCTGCTCATGCTTCTATCACTGACGCTGCGTCGTGAAGAGTGAAAGATAGAACCAACTGGCCTCAGAGGATCTGGCAAGGCAAATGAAGCATTGAACGAGTTGTTCCGGCTAGGAATGATAATGGGCTCGTCGTCAGACGATGACTCGTCATCAGATGGTCCCAGCTCGCGTGTCCGGCTCCTCTCACGGGATAGCCTTCTCTGATCAATACTTGGCTCCCAGTCCCAATCATTTGATACAATCGTTGTCTCGGCGCGGGCTCTTCCTCTCTCGTCGATGGTGAATTTCACGGCTGTTCGAGTTGGCGGATGGTGTAGTGCTGGCCCTTCGGGAATAGAAGCCAGGCTCGATAGACGATTTTGGCTCTTCATGGGAGACAATCTTCCCGTTGGCTTAGCTATAGGCCGTTGAGCAGGTGCACTTTCGCCATTGGATCCGTTGCTAGCTTGTGAGACAGGTCGAGCTGGGGCAAGTTTGGGAAGCACAGGTCGGTGCTGTGTCTGAGTCCTCTTGCCACGGTTCTCGCTGAAGCTTCGGCCCATTCCAGGGCGAGGATTGGACTTGACCGGTGATGGTGCAAGTGCACGATCTGGTACCTTCGTGGCCCTCAAGTCCTTCATACTAGTTGATTGCCGGATATTGTCACCTAGAGGTGTTCTAGACCTCGATTGGAAAATCGTGGCCTCGGCTGAGCCAGCCTGTGTCACTGGGATAAGAGCAGGGTTATTCAGAATGGGGTTCTGCGGGGGTTCAAAGAGCAATCCAGGGTTCACTCCATTCATGGATTGACCAAGCCCAAAAGGGTTATCTAAAGGAGCAGAAAGCGCCGCAGACATAGCGGCGCTTGCTGCAGTTGTAGCAGATGTAGAGCCCATGGGCTTCGGGGCAAGGGGACGGTCACGTTGGATCGTTTGCATATGGTCTGTATTTGCCGAAGCAAATGGTGCAGTAGGGTCCTGAAACAGCGGCACCTCGCTGTTCCAGTCGAAGGATCCTGTGTGGCGATGGCCATGTTGAACAGGCGTTGTCTGGAAAACATTTGAAGGTGATGCACTAAAGTCAAAGTCCATTCCCATCGAGGGGTCCCAAAATGTAGTAGGTGCGGCAGCAGGGGCTGTCATTGGATACCCAAACATGTCACTAGATGAGGCCATAAGGGCAGCAATGTCATGCTGTTGTTGTTGGGAGTTGCCGGTGAAGTCGGGCTGGCCGAAGATCTGATCATTTTGCATCTTGAGCTTGTCAGCGAGCTTCCGCTCTCCCCTACGTCCGGTAGATGGGGGTGTCGCCGTCTGCAATGGCTCTTCACCCTCAACTCCGACTTTCCTAGCCTTCTTGGTGGATTGAGGTTGCTTGGATGGATCAGGACTGGGCAAAGGTGTCGAATCGGTTATGTATTCTTGGGGTACGGTTACTGAGTTCGGGGACGAGGCCAAGCGGCGACAGGGCTCGACCGGCGGCAGTGGTAAATTTCGGTTCGAAGAAAAGTGATTTACATGGGTCGCAATTTCAGCGGCAAAAGTTTCGGCGGAGAGAAGCCTCTTGTGGCTGTTGGAAGGCGTAGCGGCTCGGTAGTCAATGAAAAGATTCTGGGAACCACGAAGATTTCCTGGAGTCGAGTTGAATACGGAGTAGTCCTCGGCAAAATGCGGCGTCCAGCCCCCGGTGTCGGTAACTGAGCCTTGCCCGGGCTTGGGGGTCTCAAAGATAGGATTGGAAAAGGAGGCTGAGGTTGGTGTCTCTGTGGATATAGGAGGACGGTGGTTCGAATTGGCAAAACTGTAGATCAAGGGATAGGTTAGTGAATGTAGATGGAGACCATGTCGACGTTAAGATAGTTGGCATTGGAAGGGAATTGAGGGCAATGCTGAAAATTTGAGCTTGCCTTGCAGCCGGTTGATCCCTACTCATAGCAGCACTTTACGCTTATCATAAAGGCCAGCTCTGATGCAGGTTGAGAGGTGTATCGAATTCGAGTTTGAGGATGTGCACGGTCCGTCAGGTCAGGCTGCTGTAGAGCGCTTGCAAGCTGCGGTACATCCAAAATATTGATAAGTGACAGTCGATAACCAGCGCGGACAAGATGAAAAACGTTGAAAGATTGTAGGTCGTTGGTCGAGTTTAGGTTCGTAAATTTCGAGCGGATGATAGTAGGCTGTAACGGACAGGAAGTCTATCTAGATTCGGATGTTGCTGGTCGGTGGTGTTCGTGGGGCATTATACAAGGTCGTGAATGATTATAGAAGGACGGAAAAAAAGGCATTAAGGTCTAAGACTGTTTTGCTTGTGCAGGCATGTCTGTCAGCCACTGATGATAAAAAGATCAGATGTGGTGCAAAGGGAGGAATGAAGTTCGGATGGAATACGGGATGGGCCAAAGGTAAGCCCCGATAAAAAAAGAGGAGGGGCAGGGAACGGCAAAGGCAAAGGCAAAAAGAAAGGGAGAAAACAAGCAAAAGCAGGGAGAGAAATCTCCGCAGAATAACGCCCGAACAATCAGGATAAATAGAGAGATGGGCTCCTTTAATGTTGAGATTGAGACCTGGCTTGTGTCTTGTCTCGTTGCTAATGGAGATAAATAACTATAGATGTCCAGCTGCATGTTGATGGGGATACCGAGGCCAGTTGCAGTTGCAGCTGTGGTTGCAGATTTAGAGACAGAGTATCCATACCTTGATATCCATTAAACAGAGTTATCTCATCGATTCGCAGGTTCGTCTCGTCTTTGTCTTGTCTTGTATCGTTCCGGATCGTCCGTCTCCTTCTTAACTTCTCGTCACTTGGTGGTGATGTCGTGATTTTGCGGATGCCGACGTCGAGGTTCGGTTCCTTTAGGCAGAAGGAGGTTGAGAGGCCCGTTCGTTTGCTCGCTTCAACTCGGTCGGTAAATTCTCGATGGCAATGGATGGATTGGATAGGATAGGACGTCCCCGGGGACGGTTGCAGTGGATACAATACGTGCCCCGACCTTCTATTTACGACCAACACCTGCACTCGACGGACTAGGCTGAGCTGTTTGCAGGAACTGGATTGCTTAGGTGTTTGCTGCTAACCGAAGCCACAGGTTCTTGGATATACAGACAGATTTGATAACACAGAAATAGAGGATGTTTACAAAATAGGACCAAGCAATTAGATTAGATCTACCTAAATTCGAAATGAAGAACCTCCAATCCAATTCAACATCACAAGCTGTACGAAGGTGGCGCATAGGTTAATAAACCGGACAGGTCCAGTGCTGAACTTAGCCGTTGTTGGGCAACCGCCGGGGAAAGGCCTTCAGGGGCTTCAGTGCGCTACTAGCCTCTGCTAGCCAACCGCTGGAACAGATCTAGGCTGGAATAAGCACTGGCCGAAACATAACGGCTGCGCTCATGAGCTGGGACATAACAATGCGCCAGCTATCAAGACGTTATAACACGATAGCCGTTGATTTGCCCTGAGAAGAAAGTTTGTTGCTTTCTTCCAACAGCGGCTATAGCGGGGTGGTGTTTGAGTTAGCTCAATCAGCTCAACGGGCTGAAAGTGTGTTTGTTCCAATAATACCATCTCATCGTGATTGCACGCTATGGCTCCCGTCATAGATATTTGACCAAGGTTCCTATTTAGAACTGGCGGCTGATTCGTTGCAATTTTCATGGGATACCCTCAAGAAATAATCCCTCAGGAAAGTCTGACTGATGACTGATTATGATCATGATAAGGACAAGTTTCCCCTTCAAGACCATGTATATAACTGCAGCTCTCTTGTCCATCCCCTGTAACTGCATCCCTCACCGACTGCTGATAGCCAACCAACAAGTTTCCGAAACCACAGTCAGCTCACCACTTTGTCACTATCAGCTGCCGTCTTTTCTCAGCCAGACAGGACTGATTCAGCCTCATGTCTTGAGGGTGCAGCCAAGTTCCGACTTGAGACGCGAGCACTTAGATCCAGCCGTTGCTTGAGAAACACACGAACCATCACGTCACTTGTTAATTAACACTTTCCAGTGAGAACAACAATAACAAATACAACTTCATCTCATAGTCTGGTAGATTTGCACTCGTCATCGAGTGTCTGGTTGTTGGGGCCCTATCTTACTAGTGGTTTTAAAGGTGGTCATGTTTTCTTTTTCGGCCTCCTATTTAGTATCAGCTAGCTATTCTACCAGTGACTTTACTATAAATGATGATTAAGTGATGACATAGGTTCTGATCAACCTCATCATATTATTCGTGGTTAATCGCTCACCTATGAAAACTATAACTTATTTTGGACATACCTAGTCGAGAGTAAGGTTATTTGCCTTGCCGAGAGTCAGCACAAGTACGGAGTTGCACATATAACTACAACCCCAAGACTATGACTTTGCCATTCTCACTACCTCTTAGCTTCGATACACTACAAATAGATCCCTCACTACTAAGGCTTTTGATCATAAAGTTCAACAGCATGGCTCAAACAGTCAAGTCCGTGAATATTAACACACTCTGTAATACAGATGTTGGGGAAATTCTAACGAGGCACGGTTAAGTCAACAACAACTTGAAACTACAATATATATTTGGTGGTTTCACAACGTTCAGCTCCGTTGAATACAAAACATAAACTTGTTTCCTAGTAAAAGCTTCCACACTGTTACTCACATCTTATAGAAATTGGTTATGCATGTAAATATCGATCATACATGAGATCGCATGATCGTTCACGTGCTTTACAAACAACTTTCCCCTCAAATCCAGCTGGGCGGTTAAGGTGAAGCACCTCAGCGGCTCGTGATTGGTCACCGTCGATCGACGAGACGGTGTGAATCACCTGTAAATAGACCTTTCATGACCAGGGTTTTAAGTGCTTGCATTTCCCTTCCCGCTCTGATTCTACGGTATCCGTACAATTCTAATTGTAACTTGATTGTCCTTCAGTGGTTTTTGTGTCTTGTTCTTGCTGTGATTCACTAAACGATGCGTCTTTGGACGTGCTTTCTGGTTCACGATGCGCAATCCTTTAAAGCCATGGCCATCTGACCAATGTATTTGTCAGTGCACGTCGGACACAGTGTCTCGTTGGTTACTCCGTATAACACTTATAGATCAGAGTACACCATGACTTGTCGTACCAAGGTCAACTTGCCGCATACATCTACCGAACAAGCGTGCACAATGATATAATCCGCTCTCTACTTACGGTCCAAGTACCTATTCCAGTATACGGACCATGGAGTCGGATATTGGCTCAAATCACGCCCATGCAAACATTGCCCCATTTGAAAATAAGCTACACACACTGCACTATACTCTCTTGGTTTTATGTATCACATCACACGTAGCATTATTCACATATCCTGATCCTCACCAACTTCAACATATTCCCCCGTTCATCGCTTCCTACCATCCGGGTCCCGCTTCCCGGTCGGCCCCATCCGGGCCCTTCTCCGCGGCGCATGAATTTTGGGAGATTAAGCATTTTGAGTCTACCCTCCTCTGTCTACAAACATACACCCCCCTCAAAGATCGAGGCCAGCATCAACTCCCGTTCGGAAACAGCTACCTTTATTAGGAAAACCCTATTAAGAGCAAGGATAAAAATGCTTGTTGGCGTTTACTCGCCAGGACCGGCCTTGCTCGTTGGCGATGCGTTGTTCATCCAGCCTCGCCTCGCTCTTCCTAGCCTGCTGCCTCCCCACAAAGTAAAGACTAAGACAATATGCAAAAGCAGAGCTCAACAGGTCTTCCCCCGGCTCAACTTGTGTTTCAAACATCCCCTGTAGCGAAAACCCTCTCTCTTCTCGACCCACGCGTTAGGTTTTGGGTTTTGAGACCGTTGGTTTGGTAATGGTAATGGTAACGGTTTGGGTTGTCTCGGGCCACTTACAAAACTTCTCCGAAACCAAAGGCTTTGCAAAACTCATCGTTGAAGATTTGCAGACACCATATGTTTCCGCTACCAAAAACTCGACTTGGTATGGTACGATATAGCCCTACCTTTCTTAGGTCATCGGGTACCTGCATCATGTCAAACTTCGCCAAATCAAGATCCTGATCCTGTCACGTCAACAGAAACAACAAGTATTAATGATAGGCAAGATAAACTGCCTAATGCATCCATCCTCTTCTCGCTAAATCATATATTAGCAATAGTCCAGAATGCTATCAAAAAAGTATTAGCACATTTTCGCCTATTTTCCAAGGATACTATCAAGTAACGTGAACATACGCAAGTCACTTGCGAGTCCGCCCCGTGAAGCGGTTCCTAAAACGGAATTCAAATCGTGACCGTTTCCTCAGCCGTTGTCACGATCAACAAGCGATCTCTGCTTCCCGCTCAGGCTTTCAAGTCCTGTCCTTGTCAGCCTTGAGCATTGAGCATTGAAGATCGTGTTTAATGTCATATCATGGAAGCCCATCAGACACTCCCCCTCAGCGTTGCAACACTCCCTGAAGTGGATGCTGATCCCCTCGGAACCCTGATCTTAACACAACATTGCTTGTCTATTATGTATTCCCACAAAGCGACAAACCATTTTATAAGAACCGCCGAACATCGTGCCAGTAAACTTACTCTTTACCCCCGTGGTGCCACTTTTCTTCTGCAAGGCAACATTGCATAGTTACAACGGGCTGACAAGCCAGCCCTTAATTATGTTTGAACTCACGTCACATCGCGGCTTTCTACCTCGAAACAAACCTACCCGAAGATCCCTTTCATTAGGCCCTGGGGCGTTTCACGGAGTCTGCCGTTTTCACTCTTTACTCACTGACGGACCAGTTCAGGTGCAATGCAGCAGTGCGAATCGTAACAGTGATACTTGGGTGACCGTACCTATTTCTATCTATGTAAACCTTGCCTTTGACTTCGACTGGCCAGCAGCATCGTCCATCTTGCTCGTTTCAATCATCAACCTCTTCCCAACAAAGGCGAAAGGCTCTTAGTCCTTAATCGACCATTCTATCTAGTGCGATAAAAGCAAAACTCCTGGGTATCTCTCAAATGTGAGCAGATGTAGAAAGAGAAATATGAAAAGAAACATGTTATGACGAATCCTCCACTTTTTTCCCGGTTTCTCAATTCTGACATGTATTTTACCCCAAGCAAACTCTTGCCCAGCTTCGAATATGGCCACGTCCACGTGGTGATCCAAACCTCGAAACTGGGTATTCCCCGGCCCAATGGCCGGATAACCAGAAGAACATGACAGAAACAGAAATTAAACAGAAAACTATAAGCCATAAGGATCGATAAAACATCGTCCCTGCTCCAACTGGTATCAAAGATCATCTCAAGTTCTTTTCGTAACGTAGCGAGTGTGGTGCCAGCCACGACGGAATATGCTGTCGTGGCATGGCGGAAATCGATAGGAAAATGTCTAAGCGGTATAAATGCAGAAGTCGTAGCGAGTTAAATCATGTTCGGGAAGGGCTCTGTCGTGACGAGGACGTTTCCAGACATCGGGTCAATGGTGTAGGGCTCCTGAGGAGTAAGAACGTTGGTGACGTGAGGGTGGTGATGAGGATGAGACGTAATCTGGGACATAGTAGAAGGTCTGGGCGTAGTGGCAGTCTCCATCGAGGAGATTGGCATCTGGGGCGTCATGGGTCGTTGAGTTTCAATCTTGGGCTTAGCCATGGTCGACATGGCAAGCGCCCTGGCGTTGCTGCTTTCGCGGCGACGTTTAGGCGTATCTTTCACTTTGAGGTGTGTGTGGCACTGTAATGTTAGTCAAAGACCGTCGCAGAGAATATGCCAGGCTTACCTTATACGCGTGTCTGAACCAGGTTGTTCCCTTCTTCTTGCTGCTGACGAGTGCGATCCACTCGTTGCAGCTACCGCAAAGACCTTCCCACACATCAGGGTTTCCGTCCATGCGTCGCTTCTGCTGGGGCTCCTGGAACGAACTTCCTGTTGCGGCGCTAATACCGTGAGAGAAAGACTTGTCGTACCAAAAGGCCGAGTTCTTCAGCACAAGCCACCTTCCGGGCTTGCAGATTCCACACCAGCCCTCTCGCTTGTTGCCATGGCCTCGTACCCATCTAGGGGTGTAGAGATCGCCTTCAAATCGCAGTTCCTGCTCGCGGGGAATCATTTCGGGGTCCTCAGGGTTCATGTCCTCGGGAGGAGGAGGAATCTGCTCCTCCTGGAGGGCAGCGTACAGATCCGGAGGGTCGGAAAGATCAGTGTAGTGACTGTTCAAGCAAGTAGGGTCACCGTTGCTCTGGAGCATTCGGAAAAGGCCATGAGATAGAAGAGGCTGCGGGGGAGCGAAATGGCTCACATCAGGTTGCCATTGCTGTTGCTGTTGCTGCTGCGCCATATGAGATGGAAGCTGAGTGGGAAGAAGCATGCTGTTCCTCTGAAAAACGGGAGTGCTAGGAACGACGAATGGCGCTTGCTGAATGGCCTGGAGATTGCCATAATTGAGAGGCATAGGAGCGGCGCCTATGGCGGGAGAAGAATGACCGGAGAACATGTGCTGATGAGCGTTGTACATATCCTGGCAAGGGTGGTAGGCGTATTGAGCAGGCTTGCGGCTCGCAGAGGTTCCGTAAGTACCTGTAGACCATCGCTTGATTCTCGGGCCCTCCACGCTGTAGGGAGCAGATCGCACATTTCCGGGTCGTGGAGAAGGAGAGGCGCCCCGGCCACGGCTCTGAGTCCTCACGAGGTCGGTTCTTGACTGGGGAGTCATTCGTGGTGAGGCAACAGGCGAGAGTTGAGTTGAAGACATCATAGAAGTGCGGTTAGATGTAGGCGGGTAGTCGGAGCTGAAAGAGGGCGCCTCAGAGAGCGCCGTCGAGAAGTCATCGTAAGGCATATCGGAGAATGCCCCAGAGGTCGACATGGAAAACGAAGAGCCGGACATACGGCGCTGTTTTGAACCATCGTCGATAGCCATCAGATCTTCGTCAATCAGTGCACCTTGCTTGAGGTCAAGAACCGGAATGGCTTCATCAGTAGCGAAAGAGTTGCCCATTCCCATAGTCATATCGTAGTCCATGCCTTGAAGATCAAAGTGGTCCTCGGTTGTCTTGTCCATCCATGAGGCTTTTTTATGTTAGCCGAGTGAAGCAACCGGATTTCTGCATGTACTTACAGTTGTCCATCGTTGGAGGATAAAAGTCTTGGTGCATAGACACCGGACGTGACATGGTCTCACTAGGAGTTTGTTGAAAGGAAACAGAAGATGTATCCCAAGATGGGACTGAAGCGAAATCCTCGGTGCCGCAGAAAGAAAATCCTTGGTAAATTGGCATAGGACGAGGTTTGGACTGAGATGCAGGTGTTGACCACATCTCGTCCGAGCCCATGACGGACTCGGTCTCTGCGAAGTCGTTGGTGTTCATCTTGGTGATAGGCGTGGGCCTTGATCAATACTCAGGCCAGCCGTATAGCCTATCGCAGATAGAAAGAAAGAATGTTAAGCTTCAACGTTGTGTTGCTGTACACATTGACTGTAAGTATCGTGTGGATATGAATGAAAGGAGTGACAAGAAGTGACGCATACAGTAGGGTGTGACAAGAAGTAGGAACTCAGTAGTCCAAGTAAAGGAGCGAGCCGTTAAACTATTATGCAGAATCTATCTGGCAAGGGCAGGGTGGTGTCAGCATGAATCCACGATGGAGGACGATCACGGTAAACGGCTCAGGGTACCAGGTCCACATCATATCTGGATCTTCGGAAGTGCCGCGGGACATCACTGGCTTACCTGGGCAACTAAGAGAGCAATGGCCAAGTTCGAATGTGGGAGTAATTTCCGGACTGCCAACATGCGTTGTAAGGAATGCGTTGTAATAGTGAACGTATAGATTTGGGATGCAAGTCGGCCGGGGTATATTGGTAGTCTTATCAAGAAACAGGATGCCTTGGAGCGTAGAGAGTGTGTTGACTGATCGTCTTTATAAAGGAAAGTGGCGTAGTTGGTTCGAGCCCTGCTGAATAGAAGGAAAGGATATCTGGACTTCAAGTCTTGGATAGCGGTGGGCAGGCTCGCTATATTATACGGCTTGCCGATATGCACGAGCTTGTGTTAAGGAATGACTGGAGACTAAAAGGATAAACAGAGCTAATGTGCAGGTAGAGTTGCGGAAGAAAGGGCAGATTGAAAGGCGGAGCCGGAACCTGGAGGTATAAGAGAAGACGAGAGAGGCATCATCCATGGAGGCAACGTAGCTCGGCAAGTCAGGGACGGCCACCAGGGGAGAGGTTTGGATAGACGGGAGGGGCTGGACCGAGTGGGTTCCAACACACAACACAGACCGATCTATGAACAGGTACAAGAGAAAGCGGATACAAGGTAAGGAGGGGGTTATCCGGTGCAAGACAGAGTCGCAGCGCTGCTAGGATAGGATGGGCCTGGGCAGGCAAGTTGCGAGTACAGTATGTTCGTCAGTAGAGTCAAGGAAGTTAAGAAGCTGGTGGAGCTAGACGACAGGGGTAGTGGCAGGGATTCTCATGACCCCGGACTAGGGACAATAAGGCCACAGCTTTCAGTCGACAGGGCTGGATAGCATACTAAAAGAAAGTTAGTCTTTTGTTAGACTAAGAGGGTGCAGAAAGTACGCCGACGAAAATTAGAGGCATTTAAGGATTCGTAGCTGCAAGACGTTGGTCCTGTATAATACCAATTCACGATCCCAAACAGACTCCAAGACGACCAAGCGTGGCGCAGGCTTCAAGATTGTATCGTCAGGGGGCTCGATCGGGCCATTGAACCGTCCAGTCGGGCTGCACAGCAGAATCTCGACCAAGGTGGCTTGTCTCATCCTACTGAAGAAACAAGAGTCGATGGGGAAATGGGTGGATGGACGGGCGGGCAAGTGAGTCGATGAGGTCGGATCTCAGTGTGTCGACTCAACCTGAGCCACGTTAGGCCTGTCTGGGGGTTGACAAAACTTCCGACGACAGTGGATTGAAGCTGGAGACACACCACATTTGTTTCCCGACACCCAGGGCTTGGGTGCTATAACTTGATGCCTCGCCTCGGCCGTTGTTGCCAACACACCCTGAGAACCGGCCGGCACGCCCCCTGCCACCCTGGACGAGGGACAATGCGCTCTAGAGTCGAGACAGGCCAGGGTAAAACAGATGCAGTATGCTATTTTCACAACAGTTGAAACCGCTAAAGCCCGGATGTCAAGGTTGATACGCAGGCTAATTGCTTGACGGGTCCCATCGTCAAGAGATTTCAGGAACCCAGCCGAAGAGCTACGGGATCGCCTACGCCAGACGCAAGACAGCTCGAAATGTCTCCCAACATGGCAATATGTAATACGGCAATATCGCACATATGTCAAAGACCCCGTCCTCTGATCCCCCGCATGAGGGGCGCTAAGATGGCGAGATGCGAGTACTTTTGTCTCGATCGTACGGCGGTTGACCCCTAGGGAATTTGACAGAGGGTTTGATCGCTTCTTTGAGGCTACAAAACCGGAGACAACCGTGTAAGCGAAGCGGCAACTCTGTACGGCAATGACGCCGTATCCTTTGATGATAGGTCACCAGGAAGCTTGTGGCTCAGCATGCATCTTGTTCAGGAGGAAGCAGGGCGACTCGCATCGAGGCAGTAGGCGACGCGCTCTGAAGTCTGGGCTGGACCGGTTAGCCAGTCAATGGTAGAAGCATGTGTGACATTTTAGCGACAGAGGACGAATCGGAAGCACACTTGACCTATAGCGTCTGTTTTTGCTGCCGCTGATATAGACCGGAATATGAGTTATCCAATTTAGAGGGACTTTGAGGCTCTCGATCTCCATCGCTATTGTTCTCGCTACCGTACCCTGATGGAGGGTATATCCGACTGAGACACAGCAGTTTAGCTGAGTCTGCTATTCCCGGTCTGTTGGCTAGTGTTTACTGCTGCGGTCGACTTCTGGAGATGTGCTGGAGCAAGTGTGAGAAGATGAGGATAAGCGTGTGTTTGAAGTTGTAAGAGAGTGGGTCATGCAAAGCCATCTGATTTGCAAAGCAGGCACAGGGGTCTGAGGGAAGAGCGGGGCGAGCCTCTTGTTCCTACCGTTTTGGCGTAGAAGCCGTTATTATGGCTCTCTGATTGGCTGCAGTCCCCAAGTCTCAGCTCCTGGTAGAATGAGCCGGCGTGTCTCAGATCTGTTGCAAGATCAGGGGTTTTTTGAACGAGTAATGTCCACCACTGACACCCACCTGATGATTTCGTGGCTCACTCTCAACACCCACTAGAAGCTCACTGGAACAAGCTGTAAACTCAGTACGTAGTAATCGAATTTGAGCCCAGCTCATAAAAGCCACATATGAGCGACTCGATTCGGCCACTCAAGGACCACGCCACGTCAGAGCTCCTGCTGTGTTGGTGGTAGTTAGTGGAAACCCTATCGGTTGATTAATTGCGGTGGATCGCTGAGTCTATGAATAGTAAAATGCCCGGCTTTCTTTTTGCACAGACTTACCGAGCACAGAACATCATCTCCTCTCAAACCACCGGTCTTTTTCGTCTTTACAAAGCTATCGCTCCATCTCGTGACAAATCTCGATCAGCTTTCATCCGTTTTAGCCTTACATTCATCTCTACTAATCAACCTGCTGCACCTGAATATCGAACAGCACCACGAATGTCTTACCTGAAGGAATCAGCTTCCACTCCTCCCGCGATTGCAATAAATTATAAACCCCATTCTCCATTCTCCATTCCTCAGGTTGCTATCTCTACGTTTAACAAGAGGTGCCGGATCCTCCTTAGGGGTCAGGGAAGAGCCCAGTTGAGACTGTTACATCGTGCTGGCAATCCGTTGTTTTCCCTCACATGTATGTACCTATCATCCGAGCAGTGCTTCCCCTCGTCTCATCTCCATACATGTCCCCATTCGCCTATTTAGTTTTGCTGCATATAATTCACGTCAGTGTAACGCGTCATCTCTTTGTCGGTCTGTCACGACGGGTTTCCTCATTATTCTGTGCCTGTGCGTGACGCTATGTGCTCACTCTCCACCTTGTCTGAGCACGCACCGTGAAATCTTCCACTCCGTTGGGTTAACGCCCGACAGGTTGGGACGTAAACAAGGCTGTTAGCAGATATAGTAACAGTAACGATCTTGCATAATGGTTTATAAACATGTCAAAGCTCCAGTAGCTAGATGTATACTAGCTAAAAACTTTGATAGCACATATCCCATGATGACGCTGATCGTGATCGTGATCGTGCTTAGATCACGGTTCCGCTGTACCCTGCGGCGGTCGACCTGAGCAAGGCTAGAGTCAGAGCTCGTCCATTTCCATTTCGAGATAAGGAGTCTAGCCGATGCCCAATGGGTCGAAAGCAGCCAGGAAGTTGCAGGACATTCTGCCGCGCACTAAAACCAAGAGAATTTCTCCATATTCTGCACACGTTCCATCATTCTTCTACGGCCCTCCCGCTACGGTCGTTTTGCGGCCGGGGTCTGGCACATCTGTTTCTGAAGCACTACTCAAATGGGAAATTACACCACCACTATCTGCGGGAGAGCATGAATCAGGCCTTGTCAATTTAACAGACTTCACTCAAAATGGGCAACACGAGCCAATCACAGCACCTCATTCTCCCCGCAGACTCGACGCTCAGCGCTTCCTCATCTTCTTGCTACGTTACGGACCTGGGCATCCTGGATAACTTCTAGAAAAGCCGTTTTCAGCTGCCTGTATGCCACTCCGTTTCCCTTTTCACCTTAACACTCCCAGAAATAGAACTGTAGAAACAACATCCCGAATGGGTCCAATCCCCTTAAAACATCAATGTATTTGATTAACACTTTCTCAACGAAACGTTATCTCATCCCGGTCGTAGGCTTGTAGCCCTAATATCATGCCGAACCGGTCTTCCGTCCCCTACCATGTGCTGTTTGTAGCATTGGGCAATGCTATTTCTCCTTGTTGATCCTCTTCCACACTTCATTCTCGGCTGCAGCAAGACTGTCGCCAGCAGCCGATGCCCACTTCTTGGCAGCCGACCAGACTCCTTCGCCTTCGTCGTCCCCTATCAAGGATGGTCTGCGCTCCTGTGCCACTGAGGCCTCGTGTGCTGCACGCTGTGAACTTGAGAATTCAGACGCGTGCACGTTCTGATGGTATCCCGGTGGATGAGAAAAGTCGCTGCCGGAGCCTCCGCTCAGCACGGCCGTGGGGCCCAAGCCAGCCATTGGGGACGGACCAGGCGCCGTTATAGTCGACGAGCGAGCGGCGGCGAACTCCGTTCCACTAGATAGCGGCGCATATGACATCTGGGGAGGCATTTGCACTGGTGTAGCCTGCGTCTGAGTATCGCGCAGCGTCTCACCGACTTTAGGTGGTGGTGGTAAGTAAGATCCGGTTTGCGGCTCCGGTACTGCTCCGGGCTGCGGAGCTGGAGGACTCGGGTCTGCGACTGTCCGGGTCGGGGTGGGCTGGATATTTGGTGGTTGCGGTGCTCCGGTTGGAGCTGGCATGGACGGACGGGCTCCTGGCTGAGCTACTGGATACGTAGAGGTAGGGACTTCATTGCTAGCCGGTGCTGCAGCTGATGCCGCTGGATTGTCAGAGTGCGCCGTCTTGGGAGTAATTCCTGACGGCTTTTCTGCCGTGATAGGGCTTTCGGTATGAATTGGGATGGGAGGCATATTGACGGTTCTGAACTTAAGCGTCTAGCTGTAATGTGCACGGGTAGCTCTCTTGTTTCTTAAAGATCATGCGATCTCTTTTAGAAGTAAAGTGTCTTGTCTTGGAGCTCCTGTAGCTTGAGATGGAACTGGTCTGAAGCTTTAGGTAGCGTGCAAACGAGATGTTGTCTGAATAAGAGAGTGGCAATGAATGCCAATTACGTCATGTGATCTGCTCTGCAGGTACATGGCACGCGGTTACCTGCAGTCAGCGGGGAAATGCCGATCAGATTTCGTGAATAGCTCCGTGGCCTCTTTGCTGTTTCCCGATGCGGAGTACGAGGATTAATTCTTGATTGAACGGTATGTTCTTTGTATAAGCTTGCGACGAGTGACGTAACATACTTGTAGGCATAATAGCGACTACCTTACCCTGGAGTTACGAGGGGTTAGTAGCATATAATACCTTGAGCACAAAACAACGGTCGCATGTTGGTGTTACAGACTGTGGAGATTGCATTAGATAGAGCATACGTAGCAATGTGACCAGGATGAACCAGTACAAGATAGAGTTAAAAGAGTTTAATGGTTGTTGAGGTAGTGTGGAGAAGTTCATGTGATACGGTGTAAGTGTCTATCGACAGTTCACCTGATATTCTGTGAACGAAGATGAACTCTGGACTTAATACCATTAACCAAGCTTGAAAACCGTAGCGTGATAGGTACGACTCTAACCGAACCAAACTCCCCATGTCGAATGCCTCTGATATGACTTAACATAGCTACTAAGCTATACATACTATGCTGTACTAATATGCCACAAGATCGTCAGACTTCTTCAATTCATACAGTTTCTATTAGAATCCTGTGACGTTGACCATTTCTTCCTTAACTCTCCTTCCTTAGTCAAGTACTTTAACTTGGCTGTAGTCTACTTAGGCGTTTGTCGACTTATAAACACAACCCGCAAACGCCTTGGACTTCACAATCTCTTCGAACTTCTTTGTCTCCTCAACGCCCTTGCCAACGACCCTATTGGGACCTAGATCCTCAAACAGGAATCCGTCAGGCTTCATTTCAGCGCCACCATCACCGGGAAGTAGTCCACCAGAAAGTCTTGTGATACATGCCTCGGGATTCCAGCGTTGCCAGAACGTGGGAGGGACGTAGAATGGCTCCTTCATGTAATGGTACGACTTGATTCGACCTGTCTCCTGGTCTGGCTGGGACAGGTACACAGAGGGAGTTAGACGGGGAAGGCAAAGGAACCGGACAAACAATTTTCGGACGAGCAATAGGCTGTACGTCAGAACGGTGATGGCCAGTCCTGGCTCCGGAAAGCTGTGAGTCTGGTAAGTATCTATCTCGTGAATGACTGAATGACAGGACAAATGAAACCTACCCGAAAGCTCGCCTTAATCGAGGACCCATGAGGACACAGGCTGCTTGATATCCAACAGGAGAGACAATCTTGGGGTATGAATCCAGCAGTAGGTTCATCAGGACGTCTCCCAGCTTCTGGATATCTTCTGTAGGGCGCAGATACTTATCCTCGTAATCGCTTCCGAAACGTGTCATATCCTCGAGGAATTCAAGCCCATCCGTCCACTCGTTCTTCTTGAGCACAGTTCTGTAATCGATATCCATCATGTCGGCAACATACTTCCACATAGTTACCAGACCAGCTATTTCCATATCCTCAAGTTTGCGATACTCATAGATGGGGAGGAACCTGATAGGCTCAGCAAAGGAGGCGTAAAGCACATAGAGTAAATCCTCTTGTGTAATTTTGCCACTCTTGATATATGGACCATGGAGGAAGTTTGTCCGCGCGACCGCTTTATGGAGTACGGGTGAGGTAGGGGGGAAGTTTGCAAAACTGCGAGCGTCAATATAGCTCTCTCCGGGAGAAGGATAGCTAGGCAGACGGCAGACTCACCAAACATAGACAGCCTCAGTATCTGCGTATCTATAGTGGGTTAGTAGGGATGTCGGCGAGATGAAGATTGTTTGTACCTTTTGGGTGCTTTAGTCCGCGAGGCTAGATCACTGCCGCCATAAAGAACATGGGCAACAGGTTGAACAGCATACGTCTAATCAAAGGACGTGGGTCAATATAGAACTTGCATTCTCACGACACCAGGCAGTTGAGTATACCTCGAAAAGGGCCAATCGAACAGAAAGGTCATAAAAGAGCGGGAACTCGAATCGTGCTAAATGACTAGTAATCTCAAAGGCATCTTGGTTTGTCATTCGACTCAATGAGGCACGATCATGATATCCAAGTTTGGACCGAAGTGAGTTGATCCGGGAGAACCTGAAAAGAGAGCAGAGAGCGACATAACCAACGAACAGTCCCAGAAGAATTGAACCGGACCAAGACGTTGGCACAGCGCTGATAAACAGACTTGAATCAACACCCTCGATCGTCGAGTTTGGCGCTGCAACGGATACGTGGGCGTCCATGGTAGCGTCGAAGCGCCTCTCACAGTGTTTTCGAAAGAGGGGAAGAGAAACTAGCGAGCTACTGAGTGAACAGAAAGAAGAGGGATCAACTACAACATTGGAATGGAGGTTGAATACCTACCTAGGTAGGTATTTATGGAACCCCCTTGTCAAGATATTCAAGGACCATCCTGCTGTAATTGCAAGGCACAGCGGCCTTCAACCCAAGTTTGGCATGTCTTGGATGTGACATAACGCTAACAAGGCCCCACCAGGCCTATCATGAGAAAGGTGTTCACAATGTGCGAATGGCTTGTGTTACACAATGATGAGTTGGCCAAGTTCGAGTGCTACCGACTAATACTATTATCTAATTGTCTGTTTTGAAGCATGTATATGGTCTTGACCGGTAAAATATCATCAGCTCTTAGAAGTTGTTAAAGTCTGACAAGTAAACGTATGGAACCCATCCAATAGTAACCAAGAGACAACACGGAGATAGCTAACCAAGCTCAGCAATAGATGATACCTTATCCGTACCTTCGCTACAGATATCCATATGCAATCGCCGTATAGAGTCAATTGCATGACTTACAGCGAGAACATTGTAACCGCTCTGGAGACGAAAGGAATTTATAGAATATTGGGAAGGTTTCTAGATCACCTTACATCGTATGTATTTTTCTTATTTCCCAATCAGCTGCCAAATAACTGGAATGCTTAGGTCGGTACTCTGTCCCTCCCTAGTGCAGCATAACCTCTACCGGGTTATCAAAAGTCCGGATGACCCGCGCTAAGCCTATTGTTGCCGCGATTAAGTCCATCAATGGATCGGATGCGCTCCTGGTGTTTTTGAGGTTGAGCTTCTAGGCGCGTTGCAAGCTTCTTCTTTACCTCACCTCACTATCGATGTGAGCTTGCTCAGCGCCATTACTGCCCCAACATAGAAAGGCCAAGACCAATCCATCAATCATGGTCGGAAAAGTCAGCGAGCGAGTCCTCCTAAGGGAAGGTATGTTTCATTGCTCCTTAATTCTGAAGAAGCTCGTCCGTCTGTCATTCAAGACACATATACTAACCTTATTCCAGGTCTTGAGAGGACCGACAATGGCATGAAGCTGACAACATGGCCTGATGTAACCCCGATTAATCAGAAAAACTACTACACGTATGGCCAGGCCTACCAATGAACGAATGGCCTTTGCTGATGCTACGATAGTGATTATATGAAGCGCGATGACCAAGTTCTTGCCCTTCGCCTCCAAAGCGATGCCACCCGCGACCGCTTAGTACAAAGCGCCCGAGATCGAGACCGCGTTTTATCCAAATCTGCTAATGGCGAGCTGCCGCTTCCTGTCGCAGACTTGCCTGACGAAGATGGTGCTACAACACCATCGGCTGGCATTGACCCCTCCAGGATCATTGTGATTCATCCTGGAAGTCAAAACCTTCGGATAGGCTTTGCGAGCGATGCGCTTCCCAAGACGATTCCTATGACCTTGGCGACCAAATTTCCCCAGACCGAGTCTGACATGTACGAAGCTCTCCCGCGACGACAATTCGAGGCCAAGACCGCAGACCAGCAATATGGAGAGGAGTGGTCAAAGAAGTACAATAAGATGTGCAGCGACCTCAAGGTTGAGATGCGAGCCAACAAGCGCAAGGTGTTGCCCAACTCCAAGGAACTCGTTCAAACCTTCAATCGCCGAACAGAGCCCGAAATCATTCAGAAACACAACGATCCGCTTGAGATCGAATGGACTGACATCCAAACGCTCGATGATCCCGAATCTTTAGCTTCGTGTTTCATTGGACACAAGGCCGAGCGTGTCCCCGACGACTCAAATCCGAAATTCAAACTCTGGTGGCCGATGCAGCATGGCCAATGGAACGAAGATGGATACACAAGCCAGGAGCACCTCTTTGACGATTTTGAAACATTGCTCGATAAGGCATTGAGGCAAGAGCTTGGATTGAAGACAAACAGCGAATGGCAACAATACAGCTGCGTTTTTGTCATTCCCGATTTATACGACAAGAAATACGTGGAGCAAATTCTACGATCCTGCATGACCTGGTTCGAATTCTCCAAGGTGTGCTTTGTCCAGGAAGGAATGGCTGCGACTTTTGGCGCTGGATACACCCAGGCCTGTGTCGTTGATGTGGGAGCTCAGAAGACAGCTGTCACTTGCGTGGAAGACGGTCTTGTTATTGAGGATTCAAGAATCAACCTGAAATATGGAGGTTACGACATTACCGACACATTCCTCAAGATGATGCTTTACGACAACTTCCCCTACCAGGATATGAACTTGCGACGACGATACGACTTCCTTCTAGCTGAAGAGCTCAAGATCAAGCACTGCACTATGTCACAGGCAGACATATCCGTTCAACTCTACCAATTCCATGTTCGAGCGCCGAACCAACCAACAAAGAAATACCAGTTCAAGACATACGATGAGGTTATACTGGCCCCAATGGGAGTGTATGATCCCGCCATCTTTGACAACAGCACCAAGTTGAAGGGACGCCGCAAATTGGTTGAGAGATCCTATAACGCCTACGATGTTGATATTCCAGATGACCCTACTTCTGCCGCTCAACTAGCAATTCTAGCGCTCGTCCAGCCGTCAATAACATCCAATGCCAACGGGTTCCCACAGTCCCAGGCCGAAGTCTCCACACCGATGAAGGAGAAGGGACCGTTCAACTTCCTTGGCAAGGACGGTATCACGAACGGAACTCCTATGGGCTCCCATGCTGGATCTCCTGCACCAGAGGGTGCAAACACACCAGTTCCGCCATACGTCTTTTCTGGAAAGGATAAGGAGGGTGCAAATGGAGGAAGCCCAGCGCCCAACGGTTCTCGCGCAGGAGGAACTCCTACTCCTGGACAAGGGCAACCGCCCGCGGGCATGTTTGTTGATGCCTCTGCTCGAACCGCCAAGTCCATGGCTGCTGAACGAGATGCCGTGCTACCTGTGGCTCCCCTAGATATTGCCATTCTCACAAGTATTCAAAATGCCGCTAAAAGCGATGAGAAGAAGCTGCGAGATCTGCTGGGAAGTATCATGGTTATTGGTGGCGGTGCCAAGATCCCTCATTTTACTGTTGTTCTAGAGGACAAGATCAAGGCTCGACGACCCGACCTAAGCGATCGAATTCTTGTGAGTCGAAGCGCAAGAGACATGGACGAACAGGTGGTTACCTGGAAGGGCGCCAGCGTGTTTGCCAAGCTATCAACCAACGACTCATGGATCACACCTTTTGAATTCGAGAGATTGGGCGCCAGGACCCTGCACCACAAGGTGCTTTGGGCCTGGTAGAAGGGATCTGTGCTATACTAGGCATATAATGGGTTTATGGAGTTCGGGCAAAGGCATGGAGTCTGGGTTACCTTGATTGAGCGTGATGGAATGCAGCGTGGAGCAGTTTTACAAGTAGTTGTAGACAGACAAGCAAGCTTAGGTCAGGATGAAAAGCCGCTAGGTACAACTACGTACCTATGTTTATGTTTATGTTGAACTTACACATAAGCTGAGTTTGTGATTCGCAATCATGGTGTAACCAACCACCTTCAGAGCTTTGAGATGTGACTATATATCAGCACTGAGTACCAACTACCGCAATCCAAGACACAATTTATTACATATTATCTTATGATTGCTTCTCAACTTCAATTGCGATGTCGGGTGCAGACATGAGCTTATGTAATGGCCCCGTCATTCTACATGCACCCGACTTCCGAGCTTCAAGAGCTAGGTACCCGGTTATTATTGTTTTGGCATCGCATCGCGCTTAGAAACACTACGTCAACACTCGGCGCGCCCAGATTACCAGTATTCTGTCTGCAATGTGATATATCCCTCTTCCTTTGGCTAAACTCCCCCCGCCCAAGATCTTTCTTACATCATTCACCTTTAAGCGAAAGTGGACCAAAGCCTCCGCCGTCATGCTGCGACATCTTCCCTTTGCGCCGTCGACGACGCCTTTACAGGCACTGACGTACCTCCTCGGTATCTCGCTCTTTTCCATCTCGTTTCTTGTCTTTTTGAACAGCTCTATTTCTTTTGTCATCACCGATTTGATTGGACAGAAGGAGGGCGTTGGTGATGTTGTGGGAACGCTCGGCTTCGTCGATGAGCTTGTTGCTCTTGTTGCCTGTCCGGGATGGGGTCTTGTGTCGGATCGGCTGGGTGTGAGATGGGTTGCTGTTATTGGATATGCGATAATCGCTGTATCGCTGGCTCTGTTTGTCCAAGCGAAGACGATATATCCGCAACTGTTGCTGGCTCGCGTGTTATTCGCAATCGGCGCATCTGCAGCGTGAGTCGACACAGCTCTTGTATTCAACAGAGGGACATGCTAACGTTACGAAAGGGCTACAATGGTGACCGCGATTCTGCCATCCTTGACCGACGACAGTAATGACGAGGAGGACGAAGCCAAGGCCAGAATACAGGCGCTTCAGCATGCGACAGCTCGAAACAGCATTGCCTTTTCTGTCGAATCCGAATCGACCATCACCCAGGAGCGATACACGCAGTCAGTCTCCGAACCAAGCACAACCGATACTGCAGATACTGCGGCCGGACGACCTTCGAAGCTAGCGGGATTCGTCGGACTGTTCACGGGTTGCGGTGCGCTTGTCGCATTGACGCTATTCCTTCCTCTACCCGCGCAATTTAGCAAGGATAAGGATACCACACCTGCTGAAGCGGTGTCTTATAGCTTTTACGTTGTCTCTATTGTCTCGTTGGCCGTGTCTGTGTTTGTCGCGATCGGCCTGCGCAACATCAAGGGTGAGGAAGGCAAGGGCTGGAGGACGCTCTTTGGACTCAAGGATGAGCATGACTCGGCTTTAGGGGCAGGTAGGAATGGCCGTGAGCGACGTGTAAGTCATGCACTTTAATAGCGGGTTTCATTTTCACTAACAAGATACAGAAGGTGGCGCCCTATTTAAGCCTGATGAAGGACTCCGTCTTCCTGGGCTTTGTTGACTCACGAATCGGTCTTGGATATGTCGGCGGCTTTGTTGCTCGAGCCTCCAGCGTTGCGATTTCGCTCTTCATCCCTCTGTTCGTCAACACATTCTACATCAGCAACGGTTTCTGCAAAGGCTCGCCTCACGACTCGTCGCCGGAGCTCAAGGAGGAGTGCAGAGCTGCATATGTCCTATCTTCCATCCTCACTGGCGTAGCGCAACTCATGGGTCTCATCTGCGCTCCGGTTTTCGGATACCTTGCCAGCCGAACTGGTCGTATCAACTACCCCATCGTCGTCTCGACCGTCTTTGGCATCATAGGCTACATCGCCCTACCACAGCTCTCAAGTCCCGAGATCAAGAATGTGGACGGTCGAGGCGGCAGCCCAGCCATCTTTGTGGTCGTGTCGCTTCTCGGCATCAGCCAGATCGGTGCCATCGTCTGTAGTCTAGGCTCTCTCGGTCGTGGAGTGCTCGCGGTTGAACTACCCCGAACTGCGCGCCCTGAGAGTCTCCTGCAGCCAGATGAGTACGAATCTGCCAACGAAGAGAGCCGGCCTCTCATCAACATCACAACAGACCAAGAATCTACATCGCGCATCCGCCTCAAGGGCTCTATTGCAGGCGTGTACTCTTTGTGCGGCGGTTTCGCCATCTTGCTACTCACGAAATTGGGAGGATACTTGTTTGACAAGCTGTCCAACGGTGCGCCTTTTTACATGATGGCTGTTTTCAACGCTGTTTTACTTGCATTTTCTCTTGGGATGGATGCTTCGCACACGTTTTCGCATCGAGCGTAATGTAGTTCCGGTGTCTTTGTCTATTTTTGTTCCTAGGTACGAAGTAAATGAAGAAGCGATCTCCCCTTATTTGGAAGTTACAGGGGTTTCATGGCTTGACTACGATCACAATAGATTTTTACTTACCATGAATGAATTTGACATAATAGTGAGACGTACAAGTTTATTGCCGGTACCTTAAATAGTACAAGATATCAGTGTAGAGAAGTTATCCAAGCATGTACTCACCTTACTGTGCTTCAACCCAAAAAGACACGGGGCTCACTCACTCCATTCACTCCACCCACTCTACGAGATCCACCAACTTACTTTTTCATCCCGGCTTTGTACTTCCGTCCATCTTCGATGAAGTCGTCGGTGGTTTTCTTCCACTGCATCTCGGCCCTAACTTCTGCGTCAGGAAGGAGACTCTTGAAGTCCTCTAGCACATCGGAGACCGCCACGACATAGTCTTTGGTGATGTCTTTTGCGTAGAACTTGAGCCGGTCACATACACTTTCAAAGCACTCCCGGGAATGTTTGAAAGCAGGGGCCTGTCTGACTCGGATAGGACGGTGGGAACTCATAGTCGTGGCAGTGGTAGTGGTTACTTGACGAGATGAGTTCAGTGGTAAACTTAACAAAGAAGTAACAAATGGTTCAAGGGTTATTTGGAAGATGGTAGATCTCAGTGCTCACTTCGCTGGATTCAAGAGATTAGCTTGCTTGATAGGAGTTGTTGGAAGGGAAAAGGAGCAATAGGCCATGAAGAGCGGAAGAGCTATTTTATACCCCAATAATGTGAATGTTCTTCGCAGTTTCGATGTTCCAATGTTCGGGACAATCTGGCACTGCAGAAGCATAGTCAGAAACCCAGAACGAAATTCAATTTCATGAGACGTCGCTGGCAAGAAAGGGGTGAAGATGAGAACACATTTTGCGACTTTGAGAACAGGTAAACAGGTGAGACGAGAGATTGTACTTCCTATACAGCATCTACTCGATGAATAGATTCTACTATAGTGCTTATCAGAGCATTCGACCTTCGATTCTCGGGCAAAAACTGACATTCGACGAACCGCAGCTCGAGGTAGTGCTATGAATTGCCCAACCAGGAACCACCATTCTGAGCCATCTCTGATACGAACAATACAAAGCCTTCTATTACATGATCTATGAACAGGATTTCGTTTAAAAGGGTCGATGGCAGTAGTTCTTTGAATATCGGCTTTTGTAATGGTGGCTTTGAGCCAACGCTCAGGGGTAATCCCAGCCAGACATGCGTCTCCCAGCACCACTTTGTTACTTTAACGAACACTGAGTGCGTTCTTACTCATAATTATTGTGTTTTATCGAGCAGAGCAGTCTTTCGGGTTAAAAACCTGTTCTCATGGACTACCTTGGTAGATGGCTGTGTGATATATCAGATTCATAATGTACAATAGGGTTCCCATTTAAACACTTGAACAGGATATGACCTGTATCTACCCGGTGGCTTGGTAAGAGTATACGGGGAGCGCATTATTAGCGGAACAGGGAAAGAACACATTTTGATAGTATTGCAAGTCTTGTAATATTAGGAAAGCCAAGTGTCGGTTTCGGGGGCACCCAAGGAATGTTGAGATCATAGTGTATCAACGATCTTGCATGTTATCAACTACCAAACAGAAACGACTCCGGTGAACATTAAGCGTAACATTACGTCTACTGAGCCTTATGAAGCAATTCCTAGTTACATTGGAAAGGGGGTGGACATGGTTGGTTGAATTGTCCACCTTCATCTACATCACACCTCGGACAACACAGAAATATAAGAGCATTTCAACTGAATTTTGTACGGATAACCTTTGAGAAGACCTAGAGGACAGAAATACTTCTGGGTGCAGACGAGCCAGCGAGAATTGAGCTCAAATCCTCCCTATATCACGCAGCACTTTGCCTGGCGGAACACGTATCCGGCCAGGGTAAAACCAATGGTCAACTTTTTTTTCATTCATTTCAACTTGTCGAAAAACAACGAATATGACATCTCTCCCCCCTTTCTTATATCGTGACGAGGAAAAAAAGGAAAAAGGGAGGCGTGAACATGACGTTGACCCGTGTGTCGCTATGAGACATGGCAAACAAGGGATTTATGAGGCACGCTCTGGCAAGAGGCGAGCGGGCAGGGCAATTTAGTTGCCGCCGAGGCTGGGGAAAGCGGACTGGTCGCTGGTGTTGATGGCAGCGCTGCCCTTAGCAGCTCCCTGAGGAGCGCCGCCGCGACCGCCACGGGAGTTGTTACCACCACGGCCACGGTCACCACCACGCTCTCCGCCACGACCACCACGGCCGCCACGGCCACCGCGGGCACCACCTCGGCCACCACCGGTGCGCTCAGGCTCGACGAATCGAGGGTCGAAGTCAATGGTCTGCTTGACCTTGCGCTCACGCTGTCGCTGAGCCTTGCCTCCAGCGGGGGAGAAGTACTCCTCCTCCTCGTTCTCGAGGGGCTTGGCGTTGGCCCACTTCTTGTCGAGCTTGCTGCCCTCGTTGGCCTCGCGGACCTTAAGACCAGACTCAAGAGCGGCCTTCTTCTCAGCCTGCTGGGCGAGGTAGTCGTTGTAAGAGACCTGCTTCTCGGCCTCCTCCTCGGCGGCAGCCTCAGCAGCAGCAGCCTCCTCAGCGGCGGCGTCCTTCTGCTCGTCCTTAGCGATAGCCTCGCCAGCCTGCTCGTCCTTAAGCTCAGCAGTACCCTCGTTGGCACCCCAGGATTGGGCAGCCTGCTTGTCAGAGCCACTACAAGTTTCATCGTCAGCAAATGGGTTCGAGAGCAAGGGGTTCGAGTGTAGCATACCCGTGACCGCCGAACTTGGTCTGGTGTCGGTCCTCGCGTTCGTTACCGCGTCTAGCACCACGTCCTGCAAGATGTAAGCTCAGGTTTGTCGAAAGAGGGGAGCATTAGGCTGGCTACTCACCACCACGAACACGGGCACCAGCGCCGCCTCGGGGACCATCGCGAGGAGTCTCCTCGGTGGATCGCTTCTGGTTTCGGCCGCTGCCGGCACCACGGTCTTGGAAGGCTGCGGGAAGACAAAAAGTCAGAATTTGGCGATCAAACCCAGGACAGGGACAAAACTTACCACCCTCGTTACCACCGGGTCCACGGCGGTTACCGCCAGCACCTCCGGTCCTTACGGGAGCTTGGGGCTCGACATTGCGCTTAGTAGTGCGAGCAGTGTTCTTGTCAACGGTCTTGACAGGAACGACGGGCTTCTCCTCGCCGTCACTGTCGTTGCCTGTGCAGGGGTCGCTATGTCAGCAAGAGTAATCGTGATTGAGTTTGCGTTGAATTGAGTTGGGCAGCATCGGAAATTCGGCCAAGCAACGTTGGTTTGTGTGGTTTGTGTGGTTTTTTTTTTTGGGTTTTTTTTTTCTTTCTTTTCTCGCGGGGAAAGCGGGGAGAGGAGGAATCGTACCGAGGTAGGCAAAAGGGTTCTGGCAAGTGAGTTAGCATGATTATATCGTATGGCGATTGCGAAGCATTGCGTCGGTGTTGTGCTGGTCTGGGAGGCAAGTCGTTGCGGCCGGTTAGGGCAAACAACCTGATGGCCAGACGGGTAACGGGATGAGGGGCTCGTTTTGTGTCGTGGGCGTTGACGAGACGACAGCCGTTGGGGAGAACAAGTCGACGGCAAGCAGCGACGGCGTATAGCGAGGGGAGAGGGCAGAGGCAGATGCGATTGCTGAAGCCATCGAGAGCGAGTGTCTCAATAGCAAAGACTCGAATCTGAGGCGTCGCAAAACCGCATACCGCAGGGGGGGTTCCGGAGGAAGCATACGCAGAGCAGAAGCAGAGGCAAAAGCAAAAGCAAAAAGGCAATCGAGAGAAGCGACGGCAATAGAGACGGGAAACGAATCGAGACAGATTGGAAATGAATATATCTTACCTTTGTGACAACCGACATCTTTAATCGTCGCCTTGGGCTTATCGCCTTCCGTCCGGGGCGTAATTCAAATCTTGAGGGCGACGAAGAGTGGTCTACGGTCGCATGACCTTGTAAGAAGGAGAGCTTTGGGTGGTTTTTGGCTGGTAAAGGGTAAGAGGTCTGGCTCACTAGGTTTGGGTATTGTAGGAGTGGAGGGTTCAGGTCTGACGGGAGAGTCAGGTTGGGTCGGGTAGGGTACGGATACAGAGAATCGAGAATCGAGGTTGTAGGTATTTTTTTCTTGATTTGGTGTGACTTAAGACACTTGAGACCTAACTTTCTATTTTACCTACCCACGACTAACTTGACGGATCCAATACAACCCAGCTCCCTAACTAGTACACACGTCCAGTACTTTTTTATCACTGTGCTGGTGCTGTTTTTCCTATTTCAATGCCCGTGTAGGTACTACTGTAAGGTATTTTTTTACCTGATACTCACACTCACACTGCCAAACCCAGCTGTTACTGGTCGTCAGGTGGGACGCTGAGGAAACTCTGACGCAGTCGTCACGCTAAGAACCTGGTTTCCCTCGCTTAACGATTCTGGCAATTAAATATTTTTGTGACTTTGGTTAGGGCATGAGGATCTCACTTCTGACCTACCTAAGTACGCATGCGGAGTCGGAGTCAAGCTTGGCACAGGCCAATTATTAACCCCGCGGTTGAGAGCTCTCCCATACCCAGCCCAGGGAATGATCAAATGCTTCGTTATACTGTGCAGCTCGAGGAAAGAGCCTGTAGGAACTCGTATACAATAAAGTTTACCAGCCATTGCTTTGATTTGCTTTGATTTGATTTGTTTGAGTAACCTATCGAAATTGCTTCAAACTCAAAAGCAACTCCTCCCACAAGTAGAGTTCAATACCTCTCAAGTAACAGGCCTTTGCTCAACCCGCCATCCAATTACCCCGCCAGAGCTTGCTACCTTAGCTACCCTCTCTAACGTCACCAGTTTTCACGCCTCTTGTGTCGTTGGCAGAGTCAATTCATGTCATTCTTATTTATGAAGCCTTATTTTGTAAAACATGGATCATTATATCTATTGCCTTAATAACCATGAAGCCCAGTTTCAATCAATTCCATTCTTCCCCCCTACTACCAAAATCATACCGTGGATGGTAAACCGCTTGGTTCCGTGCCTCGGCCGCCCGCTTCCGCTTCCGGTGCCGAACCTACTTGCATGATGCTCTCATGACTACGTACCTCCTCTTCGGATCTTCTTATTGGCTTAATGAAACTGTAATACATTCTTACAAGCCCAGACTGTCCCAGTGGTTCAAGATTATACAGATACAGCTTTGTTCGAATAGTAAATACTACATAAAAAAGCCCAAGTTGCTATAGGTATTCCTATTATTGTTTGTAACAAACACTCATACTCTGTCGTGTAACACTCATCTATCGTCCCGTGAAGAATCGTCTCAGCTCAGATCCAACCTTTCCCCATTCGCTACCTTCGGAATAATCTGATCTTGTCTTCCCAAGACCTTCCTCACTCACACTCGCAACCACTCTTCTCAGCCTTCTCACTTCCTGGTTCTGTATCGGTCTCGTCATTGCGGGTTGGTAACGATCCAGATACTCTGATGATTGTGGTGCAGCATCTGCAGTTTGCTGCAAGTGCGACGTGAGCTGCGAGGGCAAGGGGCTGGCTGACCTGATGCTTGACAGAGGGAGCGGGTAGGGCGTTCGCAGTACCTGATCGGGGTACTCGGGGGGTGTTCGATAGGCTGAAGAGTTGGCGTCCGAACGGTTAATATCTGGACGACGACGTGACGGAGCAAGTCGAGAAGACGGCCGTTTCAGGGGTTCCTCTTTGACCCAGCTAACCGCTTGTTTGTGCCGTAATTCAGAATGTTGATTGTTTGCGGTGTATATTTGCTGAGAGTCTCGTTCACGAGAGGGACCCGGGGATCTAGGAGCTGGGTAAACAGGTAATGCTGGTAAGGCTTGATGAGTATCATAATGATCTGAAAATTTGTCTTTCATAGGGGGCTCCGATGGACAGACTGAATCAGGAGCCGAGTGTGGTTTTCGTAAAGGAGGAGGAGCTTGAAGGTATTTGTCGTTGGTCGTCAATATGCGTTGAAGCGGGTCGGCAGGGCTTGGTGATCGTTGCATGAACAGAGGTATAGGCTTCAAGGGACCCGGTTTGAAGGAAGGGCGGTTGATGGGGTCGAAGATGTCGACCCATATGACTGATCGAGAGGCATCTCGAGAATCGATTGAGACGTTGTTGACTATGACTTCGTGATTCGCTACACCACCTTCAGTACTGTGCCTCGATGGTTGCCAAGTGGAGGGGGACTAACACGTTCAGTGTCAGTTGGTATCGCAATATTAAGCAACTCGATGCTCACCTTCGAGCCTCTCTCACTGGTGTTGGCCTCCCATCTCTTCCTCGTCAGACCGCCATCCACCTTCTCGACCCTTTTTAGTCCCCTTTTCACAACCACATTCTGGTCTGTAACTCTATCCACTTCAACCTCTACAACACAGACAGCGCACAACGGGACCTCAGTGACCTCTTTCCCTCCACAGTCATCCCTTGCCTGGCCTTCCAGCTCGTCATCCAGGAAGAGATCCTGCACTGGCACACCCTGACAAATGGCTCTGCTCCCGTAGAGTAAACATCCGTAGCACGCCCGGTGCCAGAAGCACCACCCAAAACTAACGCACTCGTCGCCTCGAAAGATAAGCTCGCCGCAAACCCAGCAGATGGCGAGATTGAGAAGAGCTGCGTGGCATGTTGAGCAGGCGAGGCGTGCGGAACGACCGATGATCTGGGGAGGTCCCTGGAAGACGTGGAAGCAAAATGTGCAGGTGAAGATGTTGGTTTGGCTAGGGTCTGACATTTCAAAAGCCTATTAAAGAATTGCATGCGATTATCATATTAAGGGTATTGCAAAAGAACGTAAAAGAATGACCGGATTGAACCCCAATATTGTAGTTTGGCTATGTCCAAATCATGTTCTTAGAGAATTACTACGGTGTATGTAATCCGCAGATAAAGGATGGCACTGAAGTATCTATCTCAATCAAACAGGTATGGCTAGATTAAGGTTGAGAGTGGAAAGTGCAACTTAGATGTGATGTTAGGACGGCAAGAGCACTATACACTATACACCATCACCAAGCACGTTCACTAGGACGAACCGAGAGCAATAAGAGTAGAGCAATGTGCTGGAGTTTATACACAACTCTATACAATCATTTACAGAGATGAACTATCTTCACCTGAATTTTAATCAACCTGATCCGGTTTACCTAAACGCCCCTAACCTCCTAGGCCTTGACTGACCCAAATCCTTTGCCTTGTAAACAACATGTTCATGACTTTACCAATTGGTAAACAGTAATAAACAGCCAGGTAAAAACAATCTCGAAAACTCCGGCTTGATCAATGCGCACTTCATCATTCCCTTCTTGTGTCCAGCTCTGGAAGCCAACTGGCAGACTCAGATGGCCAGCATGCCAATAACCAAGACTAGCAGCTGCTTCAATCTCCAAATCCGCATGCAGTAAGCTAGCCTCCAGGGTACGACAGACACATAAAGGTCGTATTATACATTCATATGATATAAAAGACAGCGCAGCTATGTAGCATAGTTGCCGGTCTTATGGTATTCCAACCATGGTGAGAATTAGGCTCGGTGCTTGGGTCGAGCAAGCATGTTGAGCCGGCTCAGGCTGAGGACTCGCTTCTTGGTAGGGCTTGCTGAGGCAGGGGCGCGTGGGGTCACACTGCCAGCCTTAGTCCTAATCTTCTTTGCACTAGGGGTGCCACCAACAAGACGAGGAGCAAGAAGAGCCTCGCCTTCGGGGACATGCTCAGCCTTGCGTTTCTTGGCTGCACGCTCAGCGTCCTTCTGCTCGGCTTCCTCGTCATCCCAGCTCGTTCTATGTCGCTTCTTGTTGGACATGCCATGAGGTGCTCCAAAAAGAATCTTGCCCGAGTCGGGTTCCTTGTTCTCCTTGTTGGGGCCTATGGGAGAAGTGACCCCGGGGAAACTACCGGGCATTTTTGCATCAGGCTTGAGGGACTGTCGCACTTGACGGACACTCGACTGGCCTGGGGAAGCTCCAAAGCCCAGCACAGGGGCATCTCCAAACTCGATGGTATGATCGCTGCGGAACGTGAACTTGCCAGGGGCAGACGCAGGTGTGGCTTCCTTCTGTTGACTAAGAAGTTCGGGGAGGGGTCTGAAACCGCTGAGATCAGGATAAACCACATCACCTGAATCAGCCTTTGCGAGGGCACCATCAATGCCTTGAAACTGTTCGTCCGCCAAAGTCCGGGTCACTTGCGCCTTGAGACAGGACTTCTGGGGGGATGGCGAGTTTTGCTCAAACGAGATGCGGGTAACCTCTGGAGTAAAGGCAACGTGCTTTGTCACCTTTCGTCGAGGAGTAGTCAACGGAAGAGGTGGCAGAGCTTTGTCGTTGTCAGGCTTGGGTGGAGCCGGTGTTTGGGAAACCGTAGGTAGTGGAATTGCAGTTTGAACGTTGCCAGAGGGTGTTCGCGTTCCTCGCAAGATTGACTTGACCTTATCAAAGCGTCCTGGGCTGATAACGCGAGCTCTTGGTGTGGCTGGTTTGCCGGGCATGAGGAGGCCCGGAGTGCTGGTGGATTTCGGCAGACCACTCTTCAAGTCAACCTTGGAAGGCGATCTAGTAAGAGAGATGGTCGGTTTGCCTGTATGAGCAATCGATGCCTTTGTTGGGCTCATGAGTCTCGCCAGGCTTGACTTTGAGGTAGGCAACTTGGTGGGCAGTTTGGTGGGTGATTTGGTGGAATCGTTTCCACTGGACTTGGGTCGAGGGATTGAAGAATCATCGCGTGAGACAGGTCGGTTCGTTGTCGCGTCATCTTCTTCTCGCTGCTTAAATCTCTTTGAACTAACGCGCTGGTGCACGTTGGGGAACAGCTGTGTCTTCTTGGAGGATGCAGGAAGAGCCATAGGGAGACCAGACGGAGGCAGAGTGGATTTCTTGGGTGAGGGTGATTGTTGATATTCTTCGAGGTCCGCTCGCGAGGACTTGCGCTTGAGGCTTTGTGTGACGCGAGGAGTTGATGGGGTAGGAGGAATGTCCAGGTCGGCCTTCGAATGCGAACGCGTCAGGCCAGACTTGTCGGGAGAGTTAGTCGGCGTCGTATCAAGGTTAGCCTTTGAAGGCGATCGCTTAAGCGACTGGACAACGGGCTGAAAACGTCCGTTCTGGGCTCTCCAGGCAGATGGGTGGTTCTCAATAGAGTCCATCTTTTTAAACTCAGCCATATGCGCCGCACTGTAACGGCTGGTCTTGCCCTTCGGTTTGGCGATCTTGCGACCATTCGCGTCCACGTCGGAACCCTCCGCCTCACGCTGAGCGACCATGTCTGCCTTTATCTTGGCAGCCTGCCCTCGAAGCTCCTCCATAAGCCGCTGTGCATCGTCGCTGAGATGGGTGTCGGCAGTCTCGCGCGTAAATCGGAACGTGAAATCAGAGGCAGGTACCCCTATCTTGGAAGGGGTGTCGGGTGCAGCGCCGGAGCGGTTGACGTCTTTGATGTCCGCGAAGCCCAGTCTCATAGCGGAAGATGGCTCACCCATAGTTTGGTGAGCTTTGCTCGGGTGCATCTCTTCGTGGGGTGGCTTCATGGCGGAAGAAGCAGGCGTCGAAGGCGCGGCAACTGGTGAGGATGGAACCGCATTGTTCTTATTCTTGTTTTTGTTCTTGTTCTTCAGTTGGGGGAGTCGTTGGGGAGATTCAACATCTTCAGCGACAGACGTCAGGCTAGATGTCACCGGTTTGGCCTGCAAAAAATAATTGTCAGTTGGTTGATCCCCAATATTGCCTAGTTGATGCCATCACGAAACTCACCTTAGGAGTAGAGGCCAGCCGAGCCGAACGACGGCGCGGGGGAGACATTGTGGTTGACAAAGTATGTTGTCTAATTTTCCGAAAGTTATGCAATCCTTGAGTAAGTAGTTTCAGGAATTAAAGGGTCGCGCAAGGCTCAAGGGTGATGACTTTGGGGGTCTCTGGTATGATGTCAAATCTCTCCAGTTCTCTCTCTGATGGCGCGTATATTCTAACGCTGTTACTGGTGGGGCTAAGCTGGTTTGTTTACATGGTCCAAGCTCCATAACAACCGACGGGTGCGAAAGTACAGTGTCTATTACAGTGTTTGTGTCGTTACGCTGTTATCGACACTGTCCTATGTGGCTTACCCTGTACCTTGGAGTTAAACTGTTAACGTCTAGAGTCACCGACAAAAACATCATAGGTACAGTATATGTTTTGCTGTTTTGAGATCTCTCACTGTTATTCAATATTTACTCACTCTCCTTCTAATGTTTCAAGTTCTTGGCTGCTATCTTGCACATCGACTAAGCGGGAAGAGATGATGGTGTGAGTATGTGTGTTTCGCATTCCACGGTATAAACCTTTAGGCATGTCAACCGAACGGGAGATGAATGACACGTTATGTTTCTGGTTTCCGAAAGGTTCGCCTCAAGTATAGATGGACTTCATTGACCAGGACACAAGGAGGTAAGTTGTAGCACGATAGTGGCGGGACAGTAAAGGAGTTTTGTGATTGAGAACTACACAGCGGAAGTGTAAGTAACTTAACAATAATTATGGGAAACAGAACAAGTCACATGGCATAGAGGTTGGTTCATCGGAACTCCATATAGTTTACACATAGGTACATCTCTCGCTGGAGAATGATGATGGTATATGTACAATGCCATCGGCACACCGCACTTGTTTTGCAACAAGATGCTGAACTACAAACACCGTACATAGACCACGATGGGCCCTTGTGATATTCGATCCACCCTTGCATATCGAACGTTCGGGCAAATATACGCATCTAGACTGTCATACCATTGAGATCGTCTTGTTGTTACGGAAGCATCATGTAAAGGATGGCGAGAGCTTTGCAACAATCTCATGTCAAGTTCTTCGTTCAAGGCAAAATAGTATTTCATGACAGGACAAACCCAGCTTCGCAGGAATGAAGTGGGTTGAGAGAATCGAATGGTCTCATCCAACAAAAGTACCTTGCTACCATAATAGCACTGGTCAATCTTTTACATACTTCATCTCTAGGACTTATCCAAGATGCCCTTCCCAGGGATTTCAGTACCTACTTCGAAGTTCGAAGTGCCTCGGCTCCTTACCCGGACATGATCACCGTAAGATCGAGATTAAATCTGCTCATATCACTTAATGGCCGTAACCGCAATCAATAGCGTGAGGTGCTGTAACCTAAGCCACGCTAGAAAATTTCCAGAAGTGACACCCCATGTCCATATTGAGAACATCCCGCCTAGCTATGGCGCGAGCGTTAATCCTGGCGTTGTCAGTGCACAAGCCTAGCCAACTCAAAGGCCATCAGCTGAGGCGAAATTGGTTTTATTCCGAGCTGCGTCTTTTCGGTGAAGAAGGTGAGAGAGTTTCGGCAGATCCTAGTGACGGTTAGGGTGGCTTGGCTAAGGTGACGGTGAGATCACACACAAGGAGTGAGCATGCTCTCCTAAGACAGGTTACCGGCTGGTACTCCGTACAGTAGGTATAATGTTAGCTTGATACTCAACAATCAAAGCCTCCTTTTGATAGTTGAGCTCTTATACAATACAATGCATCAGAAGTCGATGAAGCAATTGCTGTTTCTAAAGCATCGTCATGAAAACAACGTTGCAGAGAGACCCTCAAGTTGTTGTCCAAGGGCGGAGGCTAAGGCCCAACAAAGTTACAACAGGAGGCCGGCGCTGTTCGGGAGATGCAGGTCAAGCGGGTTCGCGAGACGAACCGTCTTGTTCGACCTTCCTTACTTTCTTACTTGGCAGATCCTCACATCGTAGTTAATGAGCGCAGGGATTGAACCGTCTGTGCCTGGCCTCGCCAACGGAACCGGCCCATCATAAACGATAGGGCGCAGTTGACAGACTTGGTCTGATATGATGGTACGTACTTCTCAACCATGGTCCGTAGTATTTTCATCTTACACAGGTACACTGAGAGTGCCAGCGGCTTGAGACTGAGAAGGCTGGTTGGTTTTCCTGTAACTCTAAAAACAGTCAACACTTTCAAGCCACCATCAATCTAACGAGATTTTCATGACAGCCATCAATGGCGGATGATCCGGGGTAGTAGTCGTCACAAATATTTCTGTACCCATAGTTAGAGCTAGCCCTGCTAACTAGCCATTAAGATTCGCCTACCAAAAGGGGAATGCAGTCCCCTAGATCTGTGGCTCCGATTAAAGACAAGCCATGCCTGAGCAGGAAATGAACCATGAGCAGAGTTTTCAACTCGGGTTTCTGGAAGAAGGCATGGAAGCCAATACTTCCTATCATGTGAGACTCCACTATCTCATGAAAGTCCACGGCTGGGGGTTCCGTATGCACGTATCCTTCTAAAAAGACAACGGACTGGGGTTGCTGTCCCTTGTAGGCTTGTAGCGACTCATGGCACATGCAAACATCAAGGTGATGCATCCTAGAGCATCATAGCAGCCATACGAAGGTTGAATATTGTCTAGGATTGTTGAGTTGCCAACAAGTGCGGAGTACGTAGTCAGATATGGTCGTTGTGGCTTCAGTGTGATATTCTGATGCAAGCTTGCAGTGTCTAGAATCTTCAATTGCATGATCTGACTGGGGTGTTAAGTTAAATTTGAGCTTACAACCTGAATGAAACGACAATTGAAAAGTTAATTTCTTAATAGACATGGACATGCTTTTCACGTTGTAACTCGACTTTGTGCTAGGGTTTTATGCCAAGATGCTAAGATATGCCGTCATTGCCATGTGTTAAGAGTGCTTTCTGTCTTGCGGATGATACCCTGCTGGGCATCATATTGATAAGTGAAGGGAGATGATGGTTTATTGAGGCATTTGTTTATCCTGCAAGACCGTTTCAGCCTCTCGTTCTACTGTATCATGATGATAATGGTGTAACTCAATCAAGAACACGGCATAACGGTAAGCTTCGGGCCGTCGGCAACGGGCAGTTATTGATATTTGACACATTACACTGTACTAAGTTCAAGCTTCTGTTTAAAATGTGAACATATAACTCGGTATAATTTTGTAAAAGCCTGCTTGTTTGGCACTGTATGTATCTGCCATATGATGCCAGGATAAGTTGAGCTTGATGGTAATTAGTTTGCTTGGTTCGGAGGTTCGGAGCCAGGATGTCTCGAGTCCTTAAGAGCAGCGCTAAGCAGAATACGTTCGCTATTGGACATTGGTGCTGCTGACAGCTCCACCTGATGCTCGAATAACCTGCTGTCGTAAGCCAGGCATTTTCAGTATCACGTAAAGTGTAATTCTCGGGCTCTACGGATATGGAGTACAGACTCAGATATAGGCACGATGAAGCCAGCGGCGTCGCGATTGTTAATAAAGTCGAACAGCTGACCATAAAATGCGAGAAGTAAATCATGGTCTCGATCGAATAACAACCAGGTGGAAGGTCGTAGAGGCTGAGGTGAATAGTGGGGGCTGGAGACATATCCCTGTTGATGGACAAGGCCCTGGTGATGGAGTCGTTCCCTGGGTTTTCTAGAACTGCAAGGGTAAAAACCAAAACAAACGGTGTAATTAAGCATGAAGCGGCGATCATCCATACGTAGTCAAGTGAAATGACGAGCCGTATGCTGGCACGAGGGGCATCACAAGCTGCTGTAAGCTCTGTGAGTTCTGTAAGAAATTGCAACAAGCGTCGAAAATTTGAACAGCCATCAGGATACAGGTTGATGATTGGCGTATGGAACAAGTGCGAGATTTCCAAACATGTCCGTGAGAGACTCGAGGTCTCAAAGCAGAAGAGAAACACAGTCTGGCACATGCACTCCGCCACCGAGTCGTACCGCGCACCGTTGAACCATCAGAGCCGCCCTGTCTGGCTGCTCTCTTGTCAACCAGCAACCGCCCAGCGACATAAGCGTTTCCGGTGAGAGGAGAAAGGAGAGCGAAAGCGGGGACTCCGACGTTACAGCTGCCGATCAGTCCAGCGAACAACAACAAAAGCCGGCGGCGGAGAGAGAATATTCAGCCGGCGGGCACACGATGAATTAAGTGCTTTTTGTTGATTAGCGGTTGGGGGGCATAGTTGGTATATCAGTATATCTGTAGATTTTGAGCATGAAGCAGATTCCTTATCAACCGACATCCCTTTCGGCTGGAATCCCACTGTCTCAGTTTGGGCGTGGTCTGGCTGTGACCTGTGACCTTATCTTTCCAGAGCTCAGCTCGAGCGTGATGGATGGTTGAAAAGAGCTAGTTCCAAGGTCGAGGTGGGATGTCCGTGGAAAAACCAGGCCAGGGCATGCATGGCTGCAGCGTCCTCGTCCTGTAGGAGTGCGAGTGCGAGTGGGCTTGTGCCGTCTATGGACTTATCGAGTAAGAAAGGCTCGCCCCAACAGCCATGCCAAAGCCAGGAGACATGTCGTCGATAACAGATCGAATACTTTTCGTTTTATCCCTCATTTCATGTGAAATGTTTAAGAGGGAATCGCAACGGGACCGTGCACCCACTCCATGGTCGCCGACAGGTGAAGAATTTAAGGTCAAGACTGAGGAGTCTGGTGGTGGACTGGTTTTTTTTTAGTGGGTGGTGCCGCCTGTCTTTTTGGGCTCCACAGGTGAGCCAAGGAATTAGGGAGCCCACTCTCGCTCGCCCGATACGAGGTTCTAATTGGCTCAAGGGCTTAGGCCCTCGAGTCGAAAGAGAAAAGAAGGAGTTTCCTGGGCTGCCCCCTCCTCGCAATTTACATTACATAAAACCGTATTCCCTTGCGGCCTGGGAGATCCCCTTCTCTGTTATCGCAACCGTCCCCCCCAAGAAATCGACGCGAATTACAGCCCGTCTTTTATCTCCTCGTAGAAATTCTTACGTTTCCAAAGACCCTGCGACATTCAACTGGATTGATAGGCGCTTGTTAGACGCGTATCATTCAAGCACATACATACTGTCTATCTTTTTGATAGCCAAGCGTTTGCCTTGCCTTGTCTATTGCATCTGATAAGGCCTATTCCTCACTGCTGACCCCCGTACAACCCCCAATCCGGGCTGCATCTACTATCTGTTGCGCCCGCTCTTCCAACGCCCGCAACCGCAAAGCAAAAACCCAACGGGCGCACACTTGCCTGTCTCGATTCATTGCGCCCGTCGTCGTCTTGACGTTCCACCTTCTGTCACGTAACAGAATTCCCGTTTTGCGTCTCTGGGGCGTTTGCCGCTGCGCGGCAAATCGTCTAATAGCCCGCTCTGGGTAATGGCAGACAAGATGTCAATCGATAAGGCGGATCCTACGCAGCACCAAAACAACAATAATCATCTCAACGGCCTAAACGGTCACTCTCGGGAAGAGACCGATTCTCTCGTTGGCTCAAGCCCTGAGGGCGATCATCACCCTACGATAACCTCTGCTTCTAATCCCACCCAAGAGCCTCAGCAGCCCAAGAGGAAGGGTGGTCGCAAGCCTGTAAGTCTCGACTCACTTTCACTTCACTTACACCATATACCATCTTGTCTTTTCTTCTGTCTATCAGAAGAGACCTCGTGTGTACAAACACCATGATGGCGTCAAGGGGTCGTTGCAATATTTCCCCGCTTGTACTTCCCGGTCTCACCAAGCTGTCTCTGTCCAAGACAACATGACGACAAGACACATCTATCATTGAACAAGGACTAACATACAATGAAAAGATTTATGCGACTTCTGAGGAACGAAAGCAGAGGAACCGACAGGCTCAAGCTGCTTTTCGAGAACGTCGAACTGAATACATAAAGCAACTCGAAGAGACCATCCGCGTCCATGAGTCCAACCTCCATAACCTTCAGGCGGCTCACCGCACTGCCGCCGACGAATGCTTGATGCTTCGATACAAGAACTCACTTCTCGAGCGTATTCTTCTTGAAAAAGGTACGACTTGCCCAACATAGATGACAACAAAGCGATCTTTATTGACACTTATTTAGGAATCGATGTTCAAGCTGAGCTTCGCGCCAAGACTGGCAGTCCTAACCTGGGACCAACTCATATGCCCCAGAACCTCGTCCAGCCGCCCCCGATCCAGCGCGCTATCATGAACCGACATCACCAGTCTCGTCGATCGAACTCGAATATCGCTCCCAAGGCTGAGCCTGTCCCGGTGCTGCCGCCTCCATTGCAACCGCATTCGACTGCCACTTCGCCCAAGAACCGGCCTACTCCATCATCTCACTCGAACTCGCCAAGCAACACTGGGTCTGCGTTCTCGCCTGCTGCCTCCGATAACATGTCGATGCGAGGTTCCATGACTAGTATGTCACGACAACCGATGTCTCAGCAGCCTCAGCAACCGCAACAGCAGCAAATGTCCCACAGCACTCAGCCGCCTCGATCATCGATGATGCAGAACAGTGGACGGGGAACTCAAGCTGGATCCGGAGCATCTTACTATCCTACTCCTGCCTTCCAGAACCATATCGAGCAACTTGGTAAGTTCTTTCTTATATCATTTGATGAGTGACACAATCTAACTCGATACACAGAACAGGAATATGACGCCCAAGCCGATATGATTGATGAGCCTGAGATTGAAACACCAGCTGCCCATGGAGGGTATTCTTCAGGCTACAACGGAGATAACCAACAGCCCATGATGATGTCTCCTGCCTCCAGCGGACCCGGACATCAGATGACACCATCTCACGAACCCGTTCAGCAACCACCTCAGACAACCCATTCCCAGTACCCGTCAATGACTCAGCTGTTGGATCAAAATGGCCTGGACTGGGATCCTTTTGGATTGAGTGCTAGCATGGCGTTCCCCAACGGACAACAGTTTCAATTTGAGCAAGCCAACATGAGGTGAACAAGCGACTCAAACATAGCCCCTGCGACCTGGTCATCCGGGGGGTCCAAATATCGACAGGCGCCTGTAGAGCTGGCTTAGGGGGCGCGTTCCCCCTGCCAGCTTGCGCCCAAATCTTTGAAATCCATGGTTAACGAGGGTTCTTGAGGGGCGAGAAACCCCTTGGGACACACAAACCTACGTACCATTGGAATGCTTACAAGAAGACAAAAACACTTAACGCTCGCACTTGATTGGAAGGCAATCTCGACGCGACTGACTTGTTGATTCTTCTGCGGGATGTGCGATAGATATATCCCACCGCAACAGACTTGGGCAACAGGCTCACCATGGTATGGCCTTTGACCTAGAACATGACACAGCCTACGCTGCCACTTGTCACGGCCCTGGTACCACCTTGGTGGCAAGACTTGTCGATGGACACAACGACTACAAAAAAAGACGGAACGCTTCGATATATATCTTATTTCGCGCTGCGAAGGCCTAGCAGTATTATACACAACAGCATTTAACCATCGCTTCTCGAATGCTAGCGACACGTTATTGTTAGAGCGACACATGCTTGCTGTTTGAATAATTCTGATGGGATACTGGCACACAAGGAGGCTAAAACAAAAATCAAAATCTGGAGTTAGTTCTACTATCATGGGATTTGGATTATTTAGGATTCAAACGAGCTGAGGGTTTATAAAAGTTAGTTATGATCAGACGGAGAGTCTGTTGAAAGCGGGTTTATTTCTTGTTGATATGATCATATCTGGGCATGAAGCCACACCGAATTCAGGACATAATATGATACCATAGTAAATGCACACACGATTGCAACATTCGCCATGAGAGAACACCTTCAGCTATTGCACTTGCGCACGGCCCATCACGTCAGCCTGTCCATAATTAACAGCTCTGTCTACCCCGGAAATGCAGTTATGGGCCTTTCCACAAGTCGAAATGATGGACCGGGGAAAAAGGACACGATGTGGGACAGAGTAGAGGATCGAGTCTATGTGAATCTTGGCACAGTGCCGAACATCCATGAGTCTTGTTATGCGTTATGTAACCGTTAATAATAGCCTCTGCACGAATCCTGAGCTGCCTCGAGTGTTGGGGCTAGAGCTTGAGGTGAGGTTGGAGGCGGGTCGGGACGGAATGCTGGAGAATCGGAGATTCAGTGGGACTTCATATGATGGACTATGATCGACACCTGGTGTGAGTTTGTGTTATTAATGAGTTCAAGGAAAAGCCGGGGAATTGCGGGAGGAGACGGTTATAGTTTGAAGCCCCTATTGATTATAGTTGCGGAGGCTATCCTAAGAGTTGGAGACAGAGCCATGCTTTGGCAAATTAGCTAGGCTGTTGGTTGTGTTGACTCGTACAATGTCCGTAAAATCATTGCTATGACAGGTACGGAGGTATCTCCAGTAACGTTAGTACTCATCCATCGTCTTAAACACACAACATCATGATCGCGAACCCAATGACGACCGTCCCTGTCCAATATCCCATCTCAGTCATTTGAGACGCCGCACTCTTCCAGAGCACCTTGGTCTCACCAGCCTTACTCACGTCATCAATGCTACATACGACTTTACACCCGTCCTCATCATCGTCTCGTCGAGCCAACTTATTTGTCTGCCCAGCATCACCTTCTAGCACTTGGCCACCAAGACTTCTCTTGTCCTCGTTCTCTTTCGTGGCATTGTACACCATATCGATCCACTGGATCTGCATGTACGCTGCACCACCGACACTCATATTACCGCTCCAAGAACCACCGTCATTCCAAGCATTGAGGATGATCTGCGCTGGGTCTTTGGGAGTCTGGAACTCGATGCTGGCTACCTCTTGACCTTGCACGTACCACACGGATCGTTCAGGTGTCCAGTCCAGCCTATGCACCACCCAATCATCCCATTCAACACCCTCAGGCAGGGTAGCGTTGCGAGTGGCTTTGGGAACCTCGTCGCCGTCCTCTGTGAATGACGGCTGGTTGGTGTACTGAATCCGATTCTTGGCATCGCGTGTCATGATCTCAATATCAGCTTCTTGTACATCGGCCAGCTCCTCACCCCCCAGGTATGTAAACAGGGCCATGCATGCGCCCGCACCACCGGTGACACGGGCGAGCATTCGCACCGAGACGTAGTGATACGTCGAGACAGACTCAAACTCTGCTGCGCTCTGGAAACTGGGAAGTCGCATGGTTCGCATGGTAAGAAACGTGTCCGAGGCTGCATTGCCATCGTCGTTCTTCTCAATGTAGACGTTGTTCGGAGAATTGACCATGAGTACAGTTGCATCGCCCGAGAGACTCACGCCGCCGCTCCCACGGTTATTCCAATCTTGAATACTCCATGCGCTATTCCAAGTGTCGCTTTTGAAATAGTCGCTGGCAACGCCTGCTTTTCTGGAAGCATTCTGAATGGGACTTGGCACTCGAGCGTACTCCCCAAGGTCTCGGAAGTCATGAAAGGTGTGTCGTGAATAATAGGCAGAGTTGGTGCCATTGGTCAGATAGCAACTGCACTCATCATCATCCCCTGCTGACGATCCATGCGTAGCAGTAGCTAACACAGCGAGCTGTAGGCAAAACAAGCCAAGTGACCGAGGCATGACTGTAAGTGAGTCACGAGTTAACAAGAAGTAGAAACATTGGAGCAAGCAGCATTACTGAGATATATCTCGGGCTGAACTATTTAATTGACTTGTGAGCCCCTTGAGGGCCTATGCTCACTGAGAACGGTCGAGACCTTACTTAGCCTCAATCCTTTAGAGACAGTATCTCATGACAATGGTTGTCGATGAGCATCTTGGAATGGGCTGATATGATGGTTGATAGGGCTCTCACGAACAGAGGCAGCCTCTTTTGCTGTTCTGGTATTTCCAAGACTGAAAATGTCGTTGAGTGATTGTGTTCCCAAGACATTCCAGACAGTTCGTCACTGAAGTGCTTCGGCATTGATTCACGTGACCAGACTATCCACTTTAAGCGGCTGTCGCCGAATTTATGCAACATGCAACATCAGAGGCGCAGCTGATTCATCATTCCCTTCCAGTTATTCCATTCGCTTCAATCGCAATCCTCTTGTACAAAACATCGTCACCAAGTTACGGTTCAATTCTTCTGCAACTTGCGACGCGCACTCTTGCTATGTAAAGCACAGCTGGCGAATTTATTCTACTGGATGTTCTAAAGGGAACTCGCGCCGCTCTGCTAAAGTACAAAAAACTCCAGGTGCATAAGTATCACGATGACATTCTCGATTCTCGTAAACTCATTTTTGGGATGATAGACGCTTCAACATAATATCGCAACAACCACTTGCAACAGTCGCCATGTCGTCGCCTAAGCCATCCGCCGGCCTAGAGGAGCCTGTGGCTCAGTCGCCAAAGCCCAAGTCAGAGTCACCAAACCACGATGGCGCGTCCGATGAGGCCGAGGAGAGTTCCGGTCGCGAATCCGGAGAGGCTTCTGAATCTCCGTCCAACTCCAACACTGTTGATGACAAGGATGCGCCGCCTCTGCCAAATGAACCAACACCAGATGGACCGCCTCTGCCCAGCGAACCTCTGCCTTCTGGCCCTCCGCTGCCGAACGAGCCTGCACCGCAACAAGAGGACGACGGCTGGGACTGTCAATGGGACCCTACCACTCAGGCTTGGTTCTTTATCAACCGCTTCACTGGAAAGTCTCAGTGGGATAATCCGCGAGTCGCCACGAGCCCTGCTGTTCCTGCAGTCCCTGCCATCGTAGCAGCCGCTCCAGGCACACAACCAGGCGTCCCTCAGCCTCCAGCATCAGAGAAACCTGCCGCTGGAGGCTACAACCCGGCCATCCATGGCGATTACGACCCAAATGCCTGGTATGCCCAGGGAGGTAAAGAAGAAGATCAGGTGGTAACGACAATACCCACGGCCATGGGCGAGCCTGCAGAGATCTATGGCGCAACAGCTACATTCAACCGCTTCACCGGACAGTTTCAAGCAGCTGGCACAGGGCCGGAACGCCACAGCGACGAAGCCAAGTCCAAGCGCCAAATGAACGCCTTCTTCGACGTTGAGGCTGCAGCTAACTCCCACGACGGTCGCAGTTTGAAGGCCGAGCGCTCGGGGAAGAAGCCTTCCAAGGCAGAGTTGAAGCAGTTCAAGGAGAAGAGACGAGCTCGCAAGGAGGAGAAACGTCGCGCTTGGCTGAGAGACTGAACCGAGGGAGTTAACATATTTTCATATACAAGGCGGCATCATCGTTAGGAGGCGTTTACTTGGTAGGTGTTGGCGGGCCGTTTCTGGATTTTGCTAGGAGGAATGATTGGCGTCGATACGTCTTGCGAGACGGCGACATTGGATGCAGACACGATGCCCGTTGAATAGGACTGAAGGCTAGAAGGCAAGGGATCAGATCATAAATATTATATACCCTCAATGAACTCTTATAACAGTTACTTTTCTATGTCCAGTACATTACTCCTCGTCATCCTCTTCCTCATCATCATCCAGTTCCATATTTAGATGGACACTTTCGTCATCGTCATCGTCGTCGTCCTCCTCCTCAACTTCCTTAGCTACAACTGGGACGCTCTGGATAGGCGCGGGGAGAACTCGATCAGGTGATGAGGACTTTTCCAGGACCTGTCTCTTCGGAGGCGCAGAGTCTGACCCCTCGTGCTTTCGCTTGGGCGGTGAAGCTGCTCGGGCAAAGGCGTTCTTTGTTACTGAACTGTTGGCCTTTTCGATAGGAGCAAAGGGGTTGCTCTGGATAGGCAGGTTTTTCTCAGCATGGGGAGCTTCAGGGAGCGTTCCTGGCTTGAACAGGTCGTCGTTCTTCTCGGGAACCGCTTCATCCTCGTTATCGCCGTCCTGCATCACCTCGTCCAGGACTTCCTCCTCCTCTTCATCCTCTACGGGAAGTTCCTTAAGTGGCTCTTCACCCTCGGCAAGACTCTGGGCGCCCGCGCGAATGTTGCTGCGCAGGATCTCAAGACCCTTGTCGTCAGGGAACTGCTGAGTGAGATGGGGTAGAATGCTGGGATACACTCGGCCACGCTGGTCCTTGTATGGGTTGAGAACACTGGCAAGCATGGCATCACGGTTACTCGTGAGAATGGCTGTTTGATCAACGAGACCTCGCAGGGAAGCCTTGATATGTCGCTGAGGTAGGTGTGACAGGATAACAGACAGGAGACTACTGGCAGCAGCCTTGTGCTTGGGCTCGAGAGAAGGATTGGTGACATTGGCGGTAGCTTGAGGCTGGAGGAAGAGGTCAGCGTTGGCGGCGACGCTGTTCTTCTTGCTGTCGGTGCTAGATGCCGCTGGCTTCTCAGGCTCCTTGAGGTGCCCTGCGTCTTGCTGCAAGTCGCGGCAGCAAGCGCCGAGGAGAGGATCGAGACTGCTAACGGAGAACTTGGACAGGGTTGGGCCTGAAATGATCAAGATATTCTTGAGGACGGTGTAGCCAGTTGTTCGGACTGTGGGAAGGTTGATGCCTGACTTGAATACTCGAACAAGGTGGTCAAGGACCTCAGGAGTAATAGACACAGCGTTTTTCTCCAGACGCTGGAACAGAGCTTCGATGAGGTGCAGAGCAGCAACATGGATATCTGGAAGCGCCGCCCAGAGGTCCTCCTTCTCCTCCCGAGAAATCGCTGCATTGGTCTGAAGTGCTTGATCCCACGTCTGGGATTTAGGCGAGAGCCTAGCAATGAGGAGTAATCGGGACGCAGCGTCAATTAGTGCGCTGGTAGGTATTGTGACGGGTGCCTTTGTAGGATATCGTAGACAATCGGAGAGATATTGGAAAAGACCAATCAAGCGATCAACGCCGGCGTTTTGGCCCGACCATGATGGGAGCTCGTCTGCGGATGAGCCACCGCCGTGAGGCTCGCCGTCACTCTCAACTTGCGACCGAGTGAACCCGTTTGATCCCTCCCAAGACTCCTTTACCGGCCTCAGGACCTGATCAGCTGTAGAGTGAAGATCCTTGAGAAGAGTGCTGACCAGCTTGGCCCATTCATCGCTGCCTCCTGACTTCGCTGCGACATGGTGAAGCAAGATGACAAGTTTTCGCGAAGCTCGCTGAAGACTTTGCGGAACAGCAATCTCGTCTGACTGCGTGGGAGCGAGATATGGCTTGACAGCGGTTCTAAGCTTGGAGTTTGAAGGACGGATGGTGGTTGGGTAAAGAGGGATCAAAGCTGAGATGGCGTCGCAGATGGTCTCGATGACGGATATAGGTGTTTGAAGCTTGTCGCCATTCTTGGGAGTGCTGATGAGCTTGATGCAAGATGTGACAAAAGCTGGGATTGTCGGGGTGGCAATCTCTCGGACCAGAGTCTGATACGGCTGGACTGAGATGTAGATGCGTGTAAGAGTTACAATAGCCAGCTCTTTTGAAGCAACGGGGTCGCTTTTCTGTTAATTTTTAGTATTTGAGACATACCAGAAGGAAGAAAGAAGTAACGTACATCAACTACAGACATAAGTCCAGTGACCCATGGTTGACAACCTCGCAGAGCCTCCCATCCACCAACGTCCACCACAGTCTTGATGAGTGCGACAGCTGCGAACCGAGCTTCACGGCTGCGCCCATTCAAGTGAGTTGTGATACTTGTCTTGATCTTGTGAACGAGCTGAGCGGCCTCGGAAGAGCTGCTGTTAACCTTGCCGGAAGGCTCTGACAATGCTTCCTTGCAGTGTAGGACGTGGTTGATGAGAGATGGGAGCGCGTGAGGGAGCTGGGTAGGCGGAATTGAGACAAGTTTGCGGCTGAGAACCCGCAGATCGGGTGGCAGTGAGGCAGACATCGGTTCTGAGCTTCGAATGAAGGCCTTTGAGAAAGATTGTGTGGTCTTGACGGTTTGCGACAAGGTTGCTTCTTGAAGATAGCGATCCAGACAAGAAGTAGACCAACTCAAGATTGATACTGCGCTGTCACGTGTGATTGGTAAAAGCGGCAGCCGTAAAAGAGTATTAGACAAATATGAAGGATACAATCTAATATCCAACCTGGTGTTTGATGTCCAATTCTTGGTGTATAACTTCAAATTATGAATGAAGCTGTAGATCAATCAATCAAGAAAGCCTCTATTGAAACTTTTTTTTCTGCTTCTGCTGTAGGTCCCTAGCAACAAGCACAGCTAATGTGGGTTAGCTTGAGCGGCGGGAAGACCCCTGGCGGTGGAGGCTTTCGTGCTGTTATCCGAGGCTCTAATTGGCCCTCAAGCCGAGTTACGTCGTCCCAGCAGCTCTCATCTGCCAAATACGACCCGTAACTGCAACCACCTTGAAGCCCAGAGACCTCACCGCAAGGGGGCATCTAAAACAACGCGAGTTACCTTCAGCACAACCAATTTAATTATTTATAATACCTCAGTAATCTCAACCCTGAGGTTTTACTGCTCGTATCCCCCGTCAAACCCCCCACGCCATGCGACTGGCGCTATCTGGCTGCTAGTATAAGTCCGAGACCGACTCCTGAACCCCGAATAGGCCGAATCATGGGTGTAAGACGAAACAAGACGCTCTTACCGAACTATCGCGAAGCTGACACTGTATTGTGACTGCCCTATAGCCAAAGGCCGTGCAGTACATTAACCAGCTGGACCATGCCCGCTGCGATGGCAACTGGGACCTGGTCCCGGAGCTTGTTCGCAAAGTCCGCAAGCATGCTCCTGAGAGAGCCTGTATGATATTTTCTGAATAGCTTCCCCAGGGTGATAGACTAATACTATTGATAGGCCTCGCACTGACCGCCGAGACCGAATGCGCCATCGCCAAAACGACGGGAGCCGGTACAGCAACTCACGCCCAAACTGAAGGTCGACCAGCAACTGCCATAAACACAAGCGAAATCAACGTTGCAGAGCAACTACCGAAGCTCGAGGCGGCAATTGACGAGGAAGCTGCACATGAGAACGATAGATTCCAGGCCGAGGTTTGTGCTGGATGGCTGCACTGGATACTAGAAGACTACAACCAGTGTGTTACTCGACTACCCGAGAACAACCTCGCAGAAGGAGAGATCAACCCGGCCGACAGAAGTGCCGAATGGACAAGTGTCTGCGCACTCAAAGCAGCGTATCTCAAGGCTAACTGCCTTGCGCGCAGCGGCGAGTTGAAGCAAGCCCTTGTCTCCTTTCGAGCTGGCCTTCCGTCTCTTGCTCGAGTATGGGCAGACCAAGGCATGGGACGGCAGCTTCGTTACTGGTCAGAACTGTTTCTGACCGAATACTGTATGCTCTCAGGTGAAGCCTACCGAAACAACGAGATTCCCCAAGGCGACGCCGACTCGCTGGCCGGTTATCGTGCGTGGGCAAGATTTTGGGACACCATGTCGACCCCCGTTACTGGAGGACAAGGCTTCAAGGGCTCAGTCCCGAGAAGGACTGTATGGAGAGAGTACTATCTTGCCCTTTCGCAAATCCTTGAGTACGACCAACCTTTCCCGACTGGGTTTGTGAGCAACACAGCAGGTAATCTTTCCCCCAGGAGTCAGCTGCGGATAGAGCTTAAGCATGCCGAGACCACGTATCAGGCCCTTTTGCTGGGCGAAACCAGCTTCCCCAGAGCTGAAGAGGAGCGTGAGGAAGTTGAAGCATTTGTCAATCAGGTACTACGAAACTGGTCTGTCCTCTGCGGTCGAGGATGGAGTGATAAGGATCTTGGTCAGGGCGGACGAAGCAGCCTAAGTCGTGGAGTCCTTGATATCCTTTACAGCGCATCCATGAAGACCTACCATTCGACATCTATTCTGCGCTCCCTCTTTCTCGTCCACCTCTCGGTTGCTGAATTCGATCTTGCTTTCAAGGCCTTCGACTCTTACCTCGAGATCGTCAAGAAGGGCAAGGCTCGCGTTGACAAGACAGGACATATCGAGCCTAGCCTGGACGACGACGCTACGGTGCTTGAGACAATCGCACAATGCATTTTGGCTCTTTGCCGGTATGGCCAACGGCCTGCTGCAGAGAAGGCGCACCAACTTGGATTAGAATTGGAAGATTGGTTGGCTAAGTTACCGCAGATAGCCTCGCCAGAGAACCCTACTCCCGCTATCGCAGAGAATGATGAGATCAACGCGCCACATCCACCTATGCCGCCTCACACCGTTGCTCTGGCGTGGCAGGCTATCGGCTTGTCACAGGCTCACTGGTCAAGAATAACACATGAAGCCTCGGCTAGGACTGAAATTCAGCAGAAGGCCATTCGCTGTCTAAGAAAATCACTCTCAGCCGAGCTTGGCCGCTCGAAAGATATTAGGAGTTTCTACGCTCTGGGTCTGCTTTTGGCTGAGCGAAGAGAGCTGACTGCTGCGATTGAGATTACCAGAACCGCATTAACAGCGAGCAAAGATCAGGAAGAGAATTATGATCTGGTATATGGGCCGTATTGGCAAGAGCGCTCTCTTATTCCTGTGTGGCATCTGCTAGCTCTTCTTCTCAGTGCTAGGCAGGATTACACCATGGCTGCGAGGGCTTGTGAGGGTGCTCTGGAACAGTTTAAGGATACTACAGTCTTGTTTGGTAAGGCCGACCAAGGCTTTAGAAGTGAGCATCTCAACGAAGCTGAGAAGAATGCTACATCCGACGAGCGACATGGTTTGGTTGATGATATGGACGATGCTGAGAAGGAGAGCATCTTGGAAGTCAAGATGACCCAGCTTGCACTGGTCGAGCTACTTGAAGGTCCCGATGTGGCTGTCAATGCCAGTTTTGAGTTGTTAACCCTGTTCTCGAGACTGTTTGGTAACGTGGCGGCACAGCCCACGCTCAACCCTCCCAAGGCCCTTGAGCCACCAAAGACTTCTGGTACGCTCAGAAGCATTAGAGGGACCATTTTCGGTGGCCACGATCGATCTCGGCCACCTACAAGGCAGGTCTACACGGCTGTCGGTGACAGGAACCCCAGACCTCAAACCGCAGCAACAGTCCGCAGTAGTGCACCAGCGATTCAAGTTACTGGCGATAATGGAACCCTAGCAGAGTCGCGACCACGAACATCAGCATCTTCTGTCCGTCGTAATAGAAGTGCCACAGGCAGAAGTAACAGTCTTCAGAAGCGCGAGCGAAGCCACACCCGACAACGATCTTCCAGCATAGGAGCTATCTCAACGTTGCATGGGCCTACGGTTGTCGATGGTGATGTCTTCTTCACACCAGCTGGTCCAGGCGGTGTAGTTGAAGAGAACAAGCAGCAGTCAGACTTCTTTACCATGCCGGGTAAACGACAAACTCCATCAAGAGGTTCGTCTTTCGCAAGGGCACGACCCGTGGGACATCTCAACTCGTATCTCTCGACCCAGTCCAAGTCGACCGACTACTCGGAGCTATCGGTAGACAACGCTTACGCTTCCACTTGTATTCTACCCCTGATCCACTTCCACAAGGACAAGGAACGAGCTCAACGAGTGGCTCTCCTGGTAAGGGTTTGGCTCATGATCGCCGGTTTTTATCGTCGCGCAGACATGCGGGAGGATTCGAAGGGAGCCATTACCGAAGCACAGAGACTTATTCAGAGCTTGGAGTCTGATCTGGCTAGAGATCCTTCTGGCTCAGGTGCTCTGAAAACCCCAAGCTGGGCTGAAAAGAAGAGTGTAGAGGACCTGTGGAGTGATTTATACGCAGAGGTAAGACCCGAAACACCATTCTATGCAATATGTGTACTTGACTAACTCCCTTCATAGTTAGGACAATTATCTCTATCAAAGGGGGCACCTTACACAGCCCGTAACGATTTCGAGACTGCCCTGACACACACGCCTAACCACTCGAGCGCTATCGTCGGGCTCGCAGGCATTCTCCTCGATATCTATAGTGAAGATCTTCTTCCACCGCCTTCAGTCCCCCCTTTGGAGGATGCCCTACTCAATCTTAGTCTTGGAAACAAATCAACACCCGGTTCAACCAGCTACGGAGTGTCCCCCCTGCCCTCAACACCACTTGGTCTGGGTCCTTCAACAGAGTTCCAATCCTCCCACAGACTCCCCATGGATGATGACGAGCTTCCCGCTACCTACAAAGCAACCCGCCTACCCGTGGTGGACCGTCTTGCCGCTCGAGATCGCGCGTACGCTCTTCTTTCTACCCTCACCAAACTCGGCTCTGGCTGGAACTCGTCTGAGGCATGGTTCGCGCTCGGTCGCGCTTACGAAGAGAGTGGTCAGCCTGACAAAGCAAAGGAGGTGCTCTGGTGGTGTGTCGAACTTGAAGAAGGGACTGGCGTTCGAGACTGGCGTTGCCTGACCAGTGGAGGCTACATTATTTAGAATCATACTCAGTGTCGAGAAGATTTCTGGTGCCTACTGGGGCTCTCGGCTTTGTGAAGGAGGACAATGATAGATGGAACTTGTAATTAATATCTCGGCCTTTTATGCCTGCTTGTACTGACTTGTATTGTCGTACTCGATTCTCTTCTTTTCAGTATACCATTGGCAGATAATCGACTCAAGTTTCACACCCATATTCGCTAATTTGTAGAGAGATTCAACACGAAGCTATAAATATCGAGCATCACAAGTCAACATGAAGGCACATGTTAAGTCGTGATTTATACACACATGGGTACAGCCAACCACCGAGGCGTTTTGGAGTCTGTGGCCACAAGATATCACTTGAAATATACCAGAATACAGCTTTTCAAACAACCGAAACTATCTCTTCCTGATATTGTTCTACCCTGCCCGCAGGAACTATTGTTTCGAGGCCCCAGGCAAATGGGAAGTATATATCCATAGGTCAGCTTTACCTAGCTAGCAAGTAGCGTATTGCACTGCACTTCTCTGTTTTGATCTACGGAGTTAAGGCATGTGCGTTAGTTCTATCAAAGGGGTTCCAACATCGGTAGTGAGGCAGCACCTACAGCTCATATCAGCATCTCGAAACAATCTGAGAGCCACACATCAGCACTTCAACTGTAACGCAATTCTGGGCCAAGTATCAAGTATATATTTTATGAAGAACTTGTATTTATCTTATCTTTGTCCAAGCCTCTTCATACCCTCTCCTCCCTCTCCAACAAACATCCCCGACTTTAAAAGATCCAGCCGCCCATATGAAATAAATAAATAAAAAGGGGGAATATTTGTTTTGACTGAGAATAACAAAGAAGACGAATCTTTTTAGCTCTAATGTGTTTGTCCGCATAACTCCCTGAACATGCGCCGCGAGGCTCCCATACACCCACCCACTTTGGCTCCAATCATCATCATCGTCACACCATGCACGCTATTCAGTCATGGCTTTTGTCCCTTTCATCAAACTGTCATCGTATTTTGTTTCCACCGTCGTCTACTGCCGGGACTTGAGTAGGTTCTGCAGGTATGAAGCAAACTGCCTCTTGTCCATCGATGTCGTAAGGGATCGTAAGAAGTCGTCACTGTTGACTCCGAGGCTGGGCAGGAGGTTGTTTTGTAATTCCTGGATGAAAACTTCACCAGTCTTGGTATAAATGACCTGCTCAAGACCTGCAATTTCGACGAGAAGTGACTTGGTCTGAGCATCTTGGGACGGGCGGAAGTTGGGGTTTTTGATAACCTCCCAGCAAGTTGAGTGGAATCTTTCAATCATGAATTGTTCAAACCCAGGGAACGCAGGGTTCGGGCTGCCAGTAGGAGCTGTCGGGTTCTGCGAAATAGTGGCAACATCGGGTCCACCCCAGATAGCTGCCATTCTCGTCATAAGAGTAAAGGCCAGGCGGCTGCTTGTAATATTGCCCTCCAAGGTCTTGGCGAGTTCGATAATGGACGAAATCATGGGCTCAAAGAAGCCCTGGTTGGATTCGCTGACAAGAACGCCGTCCAGTCCGTTGTTAAGAATGATCTGAAGGAAAGAGAGGTATTCTCTCCTCAACTCGGCCAGCTGAATCTCATCGTCGGTTCCAGCGATAGGTTCCGTAAGCCCACCAAAGATGCGCTGGAGCAGAGGTGTTAGAAGCATGTTGAGAACTTCGTAAATCTCGGCCTTGAAACCAAACACAACTTGATCCAGTAGACGCAGGAACATGGCCATCTCATCTTTAGACGAGCTCTGGGACAGTAAGCCCTCAATCCACTGCGGTAGCTGAGGCAGCACGGCAGCACCCAAAACTCCCAAAAGCTTGGAGAAGGCTGATCTACAAGCAGTTCGGATCTCAGCAGAAGAGTTTAACTGATTGAGAGCAATGAGAATAGCCTCAGCTGCACGGGAGAACTCATCAGACACCGCCTTGTCAGGTGGTCCATGTGCGTTGGCGGATGTATTACCTGGAGTCCAGTCGGAGAATCCATGGGCCAGCGTACCCAGTGCCAGAACGATATGATGCACTTGGAGAGTAGCCTGGGCATCTCCAGTCTTGGCCCTCGTGAGGTGTCCCTCCATATCAGTGAACAGAGGATCCATCACGGATCGGGCATACAAAGCTTGCTTGTCTGCAGGTGTACTCTGAGTCGAGGAAATGCATCCAATTGCCTCGAAAAGGTACAGCTGGCTGGTGAAGAGGGCATCCGCAGAGTGGTCAGATTCATCCGAGGACATGTCATCGTCGGCGTCGTCACCAGGGACCTCGGCCTTGATAGGTAAGAGATCCCCGATTGACTGAATGACAGTCTCGGCAACATTGCCGACCTGAGCACGCAGCTGCTTGATGAATCGGTGGAAAAGGTACCACGATCGCGTCTTTATGCGAACGTGGTCGTGATGCACTAATCGTACAAAGTTCTCGAGAACTTGGGGAATGTACTGTGATAGATGGTTTTCGAAAACAACACAATACCTGACACAGATCTCCATGTACTGCAGGAGAATGGCCGGATGAGAGAAGTTGGCAATACCTGTAACCTGTTAATATTAATGTCGCAAACAGTAGCTTGTGACAAGTGCTCACCAGATTCAACCATCTTCTGCATCATAACTACTAGCCTCTCGGAGGCTTCAGTGGAAGGCTGGTTCTTGGTTCCCAGCCCCTGGTTAGGTAGCGCAAGCTCACCAAAGAGATACATCTCATAAAGGGCAAGGTCAAGATCTCGCCAATCCATATGCGATCCCTGTTGATCAAGAGTCTGGAAAGTGGTGGCAACCAAGTTACTGAGCATATCCATGTACAAAGGCTGGTCGATAGCAGCGATGGACTTTTGCAGGTTCTGTAGCTTGCGGCGGAGCTCTTGGAACTCGGCTTCGTCAGTGAGCTCATCCTCATCACCCCAGCTGGTAGTCTCATCGTATCTCATTTTGTGGATAATGGCATCTAGGATTGGCGCGAGCATGCCGCCGTAGTCTTGGTGAACGACGGTGAGTTTACGGAGGAAGGTAAGGAGGTCTGTCAGGGCGGGGATGACAGAAGAGCAGACCTCGTCATATTCGTCGGAGAAGAAGCGTAGGAGGAAAGGCAGGAAACCATGAAGGTGCTGGTTAGCTCTGGCACGGGTGTCATCACTGATCTGGCTGTCTTCAAGAGCCCGTACGATGTCGGAGAGGACGGTGTTAACTAATTTGGCAACTGCCTCGGCCAAATCCGTATCGTATCGAGAGGTTCCCTTGAACTCGCTCAGGGAAGGGCTAGCAACTAATGTTTCGACGATTTCTCTCAAGTTGATAAATGAGATCATCTCCATCTTGTCCGCAGAACGCATCTTCTTGCCACATATTTCGTTCAAGGTGTCAATGGCGGTGTCGCGGACTTTGTCCTCACCTGACGAACTTGGCCGCCCAACTACCGGTAGCAAGAGTCCGAGCATGTCCTGGCTGATAACCAAAGATATGTCCATCCAGCTGACCCACTTGCCCAGAACCTTCAGAACAAGCTCTACGACAGTATCGTTGGTCGAGTATCGAGAGAGTAGTTGCTTCCACGACTCGGACACTTTGTGCATGTCTTGGGCTCGGAGCTGGTCCTTAAGCTCCGTATTTCGCTTGGTTTCGTTGTTCTGCCGTGACAGAAGCATATCGGCGATCTCGTCGTGAATGGAACCGAGGACCCGAAGATAGAAAACGACGCCAGAAACATTTTCCGTATTTGTGGGAATACCCGCCAACTCGATATGATCGTCGAGGAAGCTTTGCCATCCGTTTTGGTAAAGGAAAACAAACAGGTATGTCAATGTCTGTGTGAGCTTGTTCTGGAGGTGCGCAGGGTCGGCTTCTTGCTGGGCATTGGGGCCATATGTCTGGCGGCAGTACTGGAGCAGAGTGTCTTTGAGGAAGGCAAGGCTTGCCTGGTCAAGACCCTGGGTGTGGACAGCATAGTTGACAACCTCAAGACAGACCAGACGCACGACTTCTGATGTTCGAGGTGTTCGGGCGAAAAGAGTGGTGCAAGCTTGCCATCCTGAGGGATCGGTTCGTAGTTGGTTCAGGTATTCGAAGGCTTGCTCTTTAATAGAGTGGTCGGAGGTAGGGTTCGAGAGAATCTCGACAGCGTTCTCGATCTGAGCCATTGGGGTAAACGTTAGCAAAGAGACCCTGTCGTATATTCATGAGCTTCAAGTAGTATCCAGACCGTCGGGTCGGGCCTCGAGAATGTGGACATTGGGCCGATGCGGCTTGGCCATGACCAAAAGTGATGGTTGAAATGGCGGGGCACGAGAGCACCCCAGCGTCATGGGACAAAGACAATAGAGGGACAGCGCATCGACTCACCTGAGCTTCCATGATCAAGATTCAGGCGTGATACACGCTGGAAAGAATGAGAGAGGTATTTCAAATATGCACGATGCTGCTATAACTCTGGCAGCCTTATGTATACAGCATTCAGCATAATTATGTAAAGGTAGAATGGAGGACAAGGCGAGCAAGGCTACCGAGGGGTCATGCCTAAAGGAAGGTTGGGGTTTGATGTCGGTTAAAAAGAGCCTGTACGGTTGGCAGGGGTGCAGCTGATGGGGACTGGAGCTTTTCCAGCGGCAGCGGCGTCGATAAGAGCTGATGTATGCACAAAAGAAGAACTTCCGAGGCGGTGACACTGATTTTGGATGCGAATGCCGTGTGAAGACTGCGTTTTTATCTCGAGATGTGCTATTTCTAAAAGTCGGTGCGCTGAACTTCTTGGCCAGTGTGGGGTAACTTCTCTCGGCACATGTTCGGTAAAAGGGGCCTACTGTCAGGTACACTCAAGTCTACAGCACATAGGTACTGGCCTCACCTGTAACCTCAACCATATGACAGCACAAACAGGACATGGCGATGGTGAATAATATATCAGCATCAGCGACGTGTTGAAGATAGCTCACTTCACGTTCGGAAAACACCCCTAGATATATGGAGATCCATAAAAACGAGTATGAGCGGTAAATGGCATGCGGTGAGGTCTTTTTGAACCAAGTCACCTACTCAAACGCTTCCAACGCAGTCATGCGGAGCTATGAGTCGCGCAGACCACGAATAGCCTCGTTCGCAGATATACGAGCCCATAGCAAACTCAGACATCGACACATGTCTCCAGTCAAGAGGGAAGAGTAGTTCGAGCCCTACTTGTGGGGTAGGGCAACCCGACCAAGATATCGCTCGATCTCCATATCCTTAATTAGGCAGGCAGGTATCAACCTCAAGGAGCCTGGTTAGGATGAAGGTGAGATCCAACAATTGTGTCGTTGCGGAACAAAGGGTACGACTCGATTATCGTGACACGATACCTTGGTATCTGCCCAGTGTTCACGACTTTGTCTGGCGTGTCTCACTCATTGCGAGTCAGTTGACTTGTTTACGACAACATACTCCAAGCTGCCGGGAAACCGACAACATGTTGCCCTGTTGCTTTTAGCCGCTCTGTAGACAGGGACGAGGAGATGCGTGCGTAGAAGATCGAAGTGTTGCAATGTATTTCACAGGCTGTAATTAGGTTGAAGTTCAGGTCAAGTATTGAGAAAATGCCATGGTTCCTCACTCGAGAAACTTAAGATTCAAGAGCGATATGTCTTTCGTCCAACCCATAATTCTTATCTTGGAATATCAAAACTCGTTGATATAGGATCGTCAAACTCACATTGGAGCCCGCTACACGTGAACAGCATCATAAGCCAAAAGGTTTGTTAAGCACGTAAGATGATGGCATGATTTTCAAGATGATCAGAAACCTCAAACCCTGGCTATGCCAAAATATTAAGGAAATCGAAACGGTTATAGCCACCGATATGGTACATAAATGATCGCTTGCATGACGGCGCTTGTTTGAAACTTCTCTCAAAAGGACTGATTCGGAAAGGTCAAAGACCGATTTTAGCCGATGTTTCGCTCGGAGAATACGTCGGTTAATGGCCGTTTCAACCTACTCAAACAAACAAGATCATCATCAACAAGCATCGCTGGTCGATATCCAGCGCATGACGTGAACTTGTGTTCAGCGTCCGTGGGCCGCGTGCTTTGTTTCTCCTGGGAAAGTGACGATCGACAACGCACTCGTTGAAACAACGAGATCGACAAGAGGCCGGCGCTTCAGACCTGCAAAGCCATTTTTGGTGGGCAGGACGATCATCAATGGCGTAGAGACTGCTAAGAGATGAGTCGTCAGCTTCATTTCCCTATTTGGGCCCCCCTTCTTTATACCAGGTTAGAAATATGTTTGCTAAACGTCAGAATATCCACTCTCCAGTTCGCGTGGTTTTGCAAGCGAAAGGTTTTGGATCCCTATAACGAAGAGGAATATAGGAGGCCTAGAGACTCTGGTGCACTATGCTGTTTCTGAGTCGCATGTTCTCGATATGCGGGCTCTTGCTGCAGCTAACGATTCGTTGCCAAGCTTCCATAACAGCCGGGAAGATCGTCAGGAGGAGGCGGCAAGCCACAACCGGCTGGGGCATTGGCTCACAACCAGCCAACATCAAGCAAGGGTCCAGCAGGGGTTGCTGTGGTGGTTGTGGTGGTTGTTGGTGTTGATGGTGATGACTGCTTTGTTGCGCAAGAACAGACACAACAAATGTGGAAATAAGAGCAGAAGCATCTCTCCATTATATTTGGCGATTACAGTCGATGATCGTTTTTACTTGCTTACGGGCAGCCCGATTACATTGTCCATGGTGGATCTTCGACCCAGGAGCCGCGTAAGACGCAAATATTGTGGTTCTTTGTTTCGAACTACGGATACAACTCGACGTCATGAGTTTGCAAGAGTTGCTTTTCAATCAGCAGCGAACCAAGCCAAGCCATATGCATGGTGTGACAAGGGGGAGTAATATCGCGGGAATAGACGCGCTTGCGAGACCCAAGATTGGATGAGATCAATTGGCTTTTACGCTTGTTTGTGGAATGGCCATAGCGGCATCATCCATGTTTCTCGCACTTTTTGAGGCCTCTTTACGTAGTACGGAGTACTCTATTCAGCACGATGCATCGCTGTCACCGCCTCGAAATAATGTTTTTGAACAAGGTCGGAAATCTGCCTTCACCGACCATATCTTTGACCTGCCCCTGCTTCGTAGTAATTATCGTACTTGCTAATCTCTCCGGGCAAATCACAGCTAGGTAACCGAGATGCGAATCGAAAAGGCCTGTTGTATCTTGAGGTCTATCGCATCTAGGTCTTCCAGATTTAGAACAATTGATCTCGGTTCTTCTCTTATTGTGATGTTGCACTTTCGGCCCCCTTCATATCCACATAGAGAAAACAAGCTCATGGGGTCGGTGTACTAAACAGCAGCTGATATTTTTGTCTTGAACGTTTGTAGATTGGCGGCCCAAGATAGGCTCGCAGTAGCTAGCCTCAGCTTAAGATACAGCATAATAGGCAATACCTACTCCGTACTCCGTAATGAATGCCAAGTTTCGAGAAGATGCTTATGGCCTTTCTGGGGCGGAATAAGAATTGTGGTCACTTGGTGGGTTCCTGCATTAGACAAGGTGGCGAGGAGGACCCTGGCATCAGAGAGGCTCCACGGACGTTTAGTGCTGTATCAGATTTTGTGAAATCTCAAGGAGACCAATCATATTTACCATGTAAGCCCTGTATAGTAAATTATATGGCACAGAGTTGATCATGAAGGCATCTGTAGAGTTCATTGGCTGTGATAGGTTATGCAGTGAGATAATGCCTCTTTGCGCTGCCTCCATATCAGCCAAAGCTGTTATCGATGCTCCAGTACCCAAGCAAACAATGAAGTGAAGAACATTGCCCGTGCTAGATAGCATTAAATCCTCTCTAACAGGCCAGTGATCATATACCTAGCACAAGGCGAAACAAGACATGTCTTGGTCTTTTTTGACATCCCATCCCAGTCTATGGTAAAACAAAAGAACAATGCTAGGTAGGTTCAATGCTTTGCTGGTTTGTGCAAGGGACACTGGGCCCCTGCATAAAAGGGATGGACACTTGCACAAGTCCTTTTACTCTAACGTTAATAGCGGTTGGCCTCCAAAGGAAGGTGTGTAGCCAATGCTAGCAGGGAGCGCTCGAGGCTACCTCCCAGTTAGGTAGTAACGTAGCACTAACGTCCGCCAACTCCTCCAGGGAATAAACCCCGGTTTCGCCTTTGCTCAATTATCCCTGATCAACATATTACACCAAGCATCGATCCTCATATGCCGCGTTCTAAGGTGAGGCCGACTAGGCACAGTGGGAGCACACTCGACAATATGGGGTCTCTCAACTCTTTGGCTGAGGCCCATTGCGGCTTTTCATTCTTTTCTCGGAGCCTCATTCATCTTTGCTATGACAGATTAACGAGACGCTTCAGCCTCTACCGATCCTCGACAACCGTTCGCTGGACTTGGCGCCGCAGACCTCCCCCCTCTCGTCGCTCAAACAGCCACTCACCAATCAAACGGGGCATGTCGATCGCTGGGTGTGGCGGAATCCACTTTAGACGACCGAGATGAAGAGGGTGAAAGGACGGCTCTCGACTGGTCCACTTCTTGATCAACTAGCAACAGTGGCCATTGAATCCTCGCATTTCTACTCTGTACCATCAGGGAACAGACGATGCTCCTAAACGGGGTGATTTCTTGAGCTTGTAAAGCTATTTTAATGGAGATTCCTTGGGAGAAGTCGAACCGAAGCCTCATCGAATCGCCTATTGCACAGCCCAGGCTCTGTTTTCACGTACAAAGACACAGCACCAGCATTTGCCTTGTTTCTAGTCATGAACGATCGTCCGTGTCCTAAAGTCCATTGTGATCTAACAGCCAGCTTCTAAGTGCATGGACGAAATGGGTCTCGGATCCACGGGCCACACATGGGTGACCGACTCTGAAAGACTGGGGCAGTGACATGGGATTCCCCCCAGGTTTGATGGGCCATCGACTAGGATCAAGCACTTCATCCCATGTTTGCTGTCTTTACTGGAACCGCCCCTGGACCTAGGACGGTCTTTGTCTTAGACGAATGGTACGTAATCTCCTTATAGGAGTTGCTGCTCTTGGGATGGGTATCGCTATTAATATGCGACCATCCTGCGACCTCAAACTCGACTTTTTACCCTTCTTCTTCAGCCCAATAAGCCATTTCTAAGCTGCCAGTTTCAGAAACTTTTGACCTAGGTCGTCCATTCTTTCACCACTTTCGATATATCAACCAATTTTATAAGCTTGTAGCTTCAGACTTTCTTTACCAACCAACTTTCAACCAATTCTTCAAGATGCGTTACTCTTTCGCCGCCGCTGCTCTCCTGGCCTCTGGTGCCATTGCCCACGATGAGATTTCCAAGGTCTACGAGACCAAGCGAGTCACCATCACTTCTTGCGGTCCTGAGGTGACCAACTGCCCTGCTCGATCTACCGTCGTCAGCACCACCTCTTACCCCGTCGTTCCCCCCAAGGTCACCGATGCCTACCCTGTTCCTCCCCAGGTCACCTCTGCTCAGCAGGGCCAGGAGACCAGCGAGGAGGTTCCTGAGGTTCCTGCTACCACTGAGGCCCCTGAGGCTCCCGCCACCACCGAGGCTCCTCTGACCACCTCCACCATCTACTCTACCAACATCAAGACCATCACCTCTTGCGGTCCTGAGGTCCCCAACTGCCCCGCCACTGGCGGCACTCCTGTCGTTGTCACTGAGACCATTGCCGTCTCTACCACCATCTGCCCTGTCGAGCCCACTGGTGGCAGCGAGAAGCCCGAGCAGCCTGAGAAGCCCGAGCAGCCTCCCGCTCACACTCAGCCTGGCTATGAGCAGCCTCCTGCCCCTCCTGCTGAGACCAAGCCTGTGTCTCCTCCTACTCCCGAGAAGCCCGAGACCCCCGAGAAGCCCAGCAAGCCTGAGCAGCCCGAGACCCCCGGCAAGCCTGGAAAGCCCGAGCAGCCTGAGACCCCCGAACAGCCTGGAAAGCCTGAGCAGCCTCCCGCTCACACTCAGCCTGGCTATGAGCAGCCCCCTGCTCCTCCTGCTGAGACCAAGCCCGTTGTTCCTCCTACCCCCGAGCAGCCTCAGCAGCCTGGCCACCCCGGTAACGGCACCGTTCCTCACCCTCCCGTCTACCCCAACCCTCCCGCTACCGAGAGTGGTGCCAAGCCCGTGGTTCCTCCCACTCCTGTCCCCTCTGCCCCTGTCCCTGGCAACCCTGAGCAGTGCGTTCCTTCTCAGTCTGTGACTGCCATCACCAAGGAGTACACCACTGTCCTCACCAGCGTTGAGTACTCTACCATCCAGGTTCCTTGCCCTACTGGCAGCACTCCCGGAAACCCTGGCAGCCCTGGAAACCCTGGTGAGCCTGAGGTTCCTGCTCCTACTGGCCCTGCTCCTACAGGACCTGCTGTTCCCCCTCCTTCCACCCCCGTTGGCGGCGGTAACCAGACGTAAGCTATTCATATACTTCATTCGATCAAGTTACTAACATGTACTTCAGCATTCCTACTCCTCCCCCCGTCGTTGCTGGTGCCGCTACCTTCGCCGGCTCCGCGTTCTTCGCTGCCGTCGCTGGTATTGCCGTCTTCATCCTGGTCTAAGATATTCCCTTTATCAATTGTATCTGTTTGAGCCTGCAGGCTATGGCAACTCATGAACGCTTCTGTATTTAACTGTCTTTTTGCATGTACAGTACTTGACTAGACTTTTAAATACCACCGCCGTCTTGGCACATTACTATGTATATAATTCTAATCCGCAGTCCGGTATTCGCGATTAGAAGATATTGGTTACTGTTAATTTATCTTTAAAACTGCATGTTGCTGTCTAGTGTGATTTGTGTTGTTCAAGGCTCTCACATGTATTATGTCTCGGGTATGGAAATGTGAAACCCTTAATTAAACGATCTTGATGAGGGCTGCACTAGAATCGGGGCCAAGGCCACTTGTCAAGCCACCCGACTGCAAACCCTGGTAAATCTGGGGTGAAGCTCTCTTTATTGTGCATACTCCACCCGTCATTTCCCAAACCCGGCCTTGCAGCACCGGCGCCGGGTATCCGAAAAGGGATAGGAATAGGAATAGGAATAGGAAGGAACATGCAAATTGCTAAATGTCGCTTCAAGGAACTTCTGCTAGCACAGTCGTTGTTAGGCAGATGACATGGGTTATGAAGAGGATGAAACAGCTCATTAGCCATGGCTTGGTTGGTGCCAATCCTTCAAGATGGGTTTTGGCCATTGTTCTGTATCAAAATTGCACAAGCTGCTTGTAGTTGACTTGCTTGATTTTTAAGTACCTTACATCGATGTGATCCAACATCGGATTTGTTCGTCAACCCTACTAACTTACGCATTTATCCCAATTGTATTTTAGGCGTTGTAGACTACGGCAACCACTTTTCTATTATGAGCAACAGAGACCTTGAAATACGCGCTACCCTATACGGGCTCCCCTACTTAGTATTGTTCTAAGCTATGCAAATCTTGAATCATCGCTTAGAGGAGGCCTTTCTTAAATGCAGGACAAGAAGAAGAGAAACAGGAAATGTCCAGCGAACAGTAATGATAACAGAGTGAATTGGGTACGGCTCTCGGTGCTAGGAGGGACAAGTTCTACCCGCCCATCACCTAAGACCTGAAAACAGCAAAACGAGCTTCGACACATGCATTTAGTTAGCAGAGTTGCTTGGAGCATTATGTTCATTCGGTGCAGGGAGATGTCATTCGTTGTCATATGCTTTATTTACCTTTATGGGGGAGTGGTGGTCAACCTGGCCACATAGTCTGTGGCTACCTAGGTACTAGACTAAGTCAGCCTTTACAGTTTACCTCAAGGTCGAGATAAAAGCCCACAAGTTACCTACGGCGTTAGCATTCTGTGCCTGTTACCTCAATTTTTGGATAAGACACATCCCCGCATTGGAAGTCGACCTATTGGGGTACTTGGAGAGTTTCGACGCTATTTGTTTACTGAGGTTGTACTGCGTAAGATAGTACGTACCCATCCTCGTATTTCGGGAGAGAACGACATCAGCCTCACATGGTGTTGTAATGGACAGCAAATCATTGGGGTAAATATTGATGCTGTTTAAGAAACCTGGCACGATTCAGAAATAGGAAATACATAATTGAAGATGGTATTGTCTATGTGATGTCGTATTTGAAGATAAAGCAAGAAATGATGGGAGAAGAATTGGGAGAAGAAGTTGGCCATAAGATTTGGAGAAAGTTGGAGATGGTGCAAATGATGATAGGCGCTAAGTTGTTGTGCAGACTGCAGTCATTCTTGAGAGTGGAGTTCTTTGTATAGATCCAGTCTTGTTATCGCCAGAGTTACCAAGTTCCTCAACCACTATAGTGGCGAGTGTAAACAAAGATTTAACAGGAGACATTGTGTATGGTAGTAGGTAGTTCAAGAGTGCTCTGTGCACTGTATAGCCTCAGCCCTGTAAGTGAAGGAAGGGCAGAGGGTATCTGTAGACAGCAAAACACCGTCAACTTCTCGTCATCATCAACATTGGTACCTTCTACTATAAAAATAAGGTTGTGGCTGTAGAGGAGGCACCTAGGTAATTCACGATGTGGAGGATGGGAGGTGAGTGTGACCTGCCAGGGCGTCACGATAATGTTTATGGAGGAAAGGTAAAAGGGCGTCCGAGTTGTACTTGGAGACTGCTCGAGCTGGGCCAAATGTTAAAAGGCCACGACTTCCTCTGGGAAAACTTATTCTCTCCTCCCATGATCTTGTTTCCCCCAGATCCCCAAGGCGCTGTTTTATCTTCATCACCCTCACCCACTTTAGATTCTTTCTATCTTTACCCGTTCATCACCCTCGTTTGCAGCCCTCAACAACATGTCTACCCCCGAAGATATATCGTTACGGGAAAATGTCAACGTCAACGTGACCGAGACGCAGAACCAGAACGAGAATAAGTCCCAAGGCAAAGAAAAGGCATCTGACCTTGACCTTGCTCCCTCGCAACCAGGAACTACTGCTGCCACTCATGTTGAGGATCCCGTCTTTGGGCAAGTCTCAGAGAATGGCCCCAACTATCGCAGTGTATGTCTCAACTACCATCATGTTATGTCCTCTATTTACATGCACTAACAACTGTAGCTTGGCTGGATTGCCACCATCGCCCTCATGATGAAGACCCAAATCGGCCTTGGAATCCTCGGTATTCCCATGACATTCCACGAGCTCGGCATCGTCCCTGGCGTTGCGTGTCTCTGCGTGGTCGGTGCCATAACTACTTGGTCTGACTACATGATTGGTGTCTTCAAAAGGAACCATCCCGAGGTGTATACAATCGATGATGCCGGTTTCAAGATGTTTGGAAAAGTTGGCCGCGAGATCTTTGCTGTCATCTTCTTGCTCAGTAAGTGAAATGATCTTGTGTACTTTTTATAAACTACCTTTTAAACCTCGTACTAATACGACAATAGACTGGGTTTTCGTCGCCGGTTCCGCCATGTTGAGCATCTCGATCGGCTTCAACGCTGTGTCAACTCACGCCGCTTGCACTGCCGTTTTCGTGGCCGTTGCCGCCGTCTTGACATTCCTTTGCGCCAGTATTCGAACCCTCAGCAAAGTCAGTTGGCTTGCTTGGATCGGCCTTGTCTGTATTATGACCGCAATCTTCTCCGTCACCATTGCCGTAGGTGTTGAAGATCGTCCGGCTGCTGCACCCAGGGGCGTCGGTAAATGGCAATCCGATTATAGACTCACCAACAACCCTTCGTTCGTTAAGGCAGTAACTGCTATCTCGTGCCATATCTTTGCCTACGCTGGCACTCCCGCCTATTTCTCGATAATTGCAGAGATGCGGGAGCCCAAGCACTACACTCGATCACTCATCTGGGCCCAGAGTCTCATTTCTATTACCTATGTCATTATTGGTTGCGTTGTCTACTACTTCTGTGGCTCCTACGTTGCCTCCCCTGCCCTGGGCTCTGCTGGCCTAGTCATGAAGAAGGTCTGCTATGGCTTTGCTCTTCCCGGCCTTATTGTTACTGCCATGATCGTCACCCATGTAAGTCCTCCAAAGGACTAGATAAACACCAGCCTCTTCCCCCTTTACTGACAGTCAATTCAGATCCCCGCAAAGTATATCTTCCTCCGTATACTCCGTGGCTCTGAGCACCTCCACCGAAACAGCCTCGTCCATTGGGGCACTTGGCTTGGCTGCACCAGCGGTATCACCGTCGTCGCCTACATCATTGCCAGCGCCATCCCCGTATTTGGCTCTCTTGTGTCGCTGATTGGTGCCTCATTCGGTACTTTTCTTTGCTTCCAACCTTTTGGATGCATGTGGCTTTACGACAACTGGGGCTCTAAAAACCGCAACCTCAAGTGGAGTGCCATGGTCGGCTGGAGTATCTTTGTCATTGCTATTGGTACCTTCTTCATGATTGCTGGTACCTACGGATCCATCGTCGCTATTGTCGAGGCAAGCAAGTCTGAGGCAGGGTCCTCTTGGTCTTGTGCAGACAACTCCAACTCAGTTCCCCGCGAAGCATGAGTGATTTCTTTTGTCGTTCGTTATAATGAATGAGGAGTGTAGGAGTGTATGGTTAACGAGATATCCAATAGGAGTATGGCTATGGGGGGAGTTCATGCAGTATGAGGCGGCTCCGAGATAGACAATAAATTTCTTTTTCTCTTTTTGCTAAACACTCCAAGATGGGCAGAGCGAACATGGGCCTGATAACAGTATCCATGCCTCGACACAGAGGCGAAAAATGCCCGAGAATCTGGTTGGCTGGCCACACGAGGTTGGGAACAATTAACATTTATGTAGTTCAAAGTTGTGTGTTGTTGTTACCTCGGCGAATTAAGCGTGGGAGTCAATGGCCAATCATTCATTTCCCCAGCTTTGACAGCTTGGCAGTACCGATAACTTGGTTCAAAAAACCCGAACAAACATCTCCAGATCTACTGGGGTAGTAAGCCAAGACCTTGGCAAGGAGGGAAACACGGATCAACAACAGATCATGCTTAAACTACGTCTCTTCTGGGATAATTGGGCTGCCCTTACAATATGACCACTTCCAGTAAAGACTGTGATATGTTCTTGTATTTACCATGTACCATCATATGGGCGGAATAGATGCAAGGGTCATGAGATGGAAGGTGGCACTTTCATTCATAGGTGAGGCCGAGGTATTGGGGCTGGTAAGCCTCTTTCCAGAGTGATGCTTATATAACCGGGGCTGCCGTGTACGATATGTTTACGAGAATTGGAGGCCATCAGTCACATGAGCTTGATCCGTTCTCATTGTATCTTCGCTTCATTGGCTTGATTTTGTACCAGAGGCCTAGCGAAACTCATAGACTCCTTGAACGGCCAGTAGTGTGCAACTTTAGCACCATGCAAACGCTGTACAAGATCTCCATGTTATCAAACTTTGTAGGTTCTTAAAATCAACGTCCATCATCTTTCCGCTCTATACGTCTCTCGGGCAACCATTCGGAGTCAAGGAATTACACCGAAGTGGTGATGGTGGAGGGTTGGGATACGAGCGTTATATGATATCGGGCCGAGTTTTTGTTATTGCCAATTGAGTTGGGAGTGTAGTATAGGGAACTTTTGTCTTTGTTTTGTGTTGACTGCGGATCATTGATATTCGTCGTAAAGGATACTTACGGCTGAACTGACACGCCAAGACAATGAATTGTTGGGCGACTGCAGGGGAGCCCGATAGCCCATTCTTCCAGAAAGGAGATGGTCGCAGAAGAGTTGAAGTGAGCAAAGGTATTCGGTACTTGTTCCTCGAGGTCTGGAGGTAGCAAATTCGTGGGCACTTGGTGTGATTGTGGTTGTTTGTATCATTGAGTGTCAATGGTCCACAACTTGGAGCTCTGATAGAAACTCGCTGTTGGAACAGATGCTAGGAATTGTGTGTGATAGCTCTATATCCCGAGAGCTATTGAACGCAGTCATAGATGGCAACGGGAAGTTAACTGGGAACTTGCTCAACTGTACTGGAAAGTACTTGAGCAGATCCATCGACCTCTCACAATTAATTGGGGGGTACTGAGATGTAGGCGTCGTGCAGAACGTATAAAGGGCATGTTGGATATGTTGCAACAATTACGAACGACGTTTTCCGCCTACATAAGTCAAAGGCGGAGACGGAGACGGAGACAAAGACGGAGGCGGAGGCTGTGTTTCTAGTCGGATCGGAGGTTATAGTCAAGTCCGGCTCCACTATCAACGGCGGTGCGGAGCGGGCGCTAGTATGCAGACACGGACACGGACAAGGACACGGAGTCGGAGTAGGAGTTGGCTCACTCCGTAACAACATTGAATAAAAAAAACAATGCCGCATACGGAACAAGCTTATTAGTTATAACCATATTTGCAAGGCAGGGAAGTAAGGAGCTAGGAATACACTAGTAAATTAGAGCCTCTTACTGCTCCATCAGGTGTCATCACCTTGAACATGGATTATTAAAAGTTTGACAGCTCAAGCGCTTGGTTCGCATGATAATATGAATCTGAAAGGCAGTGCCTTGTAATTTGCGTTCACTCATTGTAATAAGATTGAGCTGACATAGGTAGGGTACGCGTACACGCGTAAGAGAATGAGTGTTTCGCTGAGGGAGTGGATGGTAAGATAATAGTTTGGTGGATTCTTAGGCGGGTTGAGCTGGCGGTCAGACTATCAATGTCCACTCGGACCGCAGTGTCTACACAAGTGGGAGGATGCAATGTGCAGCTGATTGTGAAACACGAGTCTTACCTCTGATACATGCGCCGATGTTAAAAGGCTGAAAGATGGACACTCTACTCGACGGTTGTAAGCTAACAGTCGGGGTAATTACAGTATGTCTGACTGCGCAATCAAGCAATTAAGCCTAACGGAGACATATTATGAACTTTGATAATAAAGTTCTTGAGGAAGCTGACGTACCTAGTCTACGTTCAATATGAAGTCTTAGGTCTAGGATAACAAACCACAGCCTCCACCGAAGCAAAACGGAACAAACACAAGTGAATCACGTCGAAACGATGACCCGAAACGGTCTAGACTAGTTGGGCTGAATGCTTGAGAATGACGCATGCATCAAGACCCATCCATTTTCATAGGAGAGGTGATAGATAATTGGTTGAGCGGAGCTGATCAATCTCACCTGTCAACTCATGTCGGACTCGCATTTCGCATTTCTTTTCTTAGCGTGTTTTTGCATTTGGTCTGATGTGCCGCTAGATTTTATGCATCATGAAAAAGATAGGAATTGATTTTTGATGGGTGTCTCAGCTGTCAGCAGAGTAACAAACATGGTGATATCTCTATGTTGATGATATCTACGTTACAGCCAGTCCAATGATTTAACGACTTCAATATCAAAAGTATCCTTTAAATAAAACAATCCTTATTCAAATCCTCCATGCTTACAGAGTACAGCCGTTGGCACAGACAGGCAATAATACCGGTAATACCTAAATATCTGTGGCCTGTGATAAGACGTGGATCTACAGCTTAGCGTCGCTTTCGCACACCCTTCGAGGCCTGACACTGCCCCCGTTTTCCAGGCTGATTCCTCCTGTTCCAAGCCTGTCACTGGTCGCTAGTTTGGGTGAATCGTTTCTTTTGCCCGCTCGACTTTCGCGTCGCATTCTCGCGGCGCTAAGATAGCGAGAGCGATAGTGGGCTCTCTCACAGCCCCAGGTCTTAGTCTCACTCCTACAGATGAGCCTCTTTTCTTTTGGAGTAGGCTTGTCCACTCTCAATATCCGAGTCCGACTGTGTTAGTGTCATAGGCAAATATTAAAAGTGATAACTCTATTGTTCTCTACTGCATATGCCATGTGTATATCAATCCCCGTCTTCCCCGTCCAACACGAAGTTTTCCTTTTCCTATCATCACAACAGCAATCACTCACTCTCATCTTCTTAATCAAAGCTTAACAATAAGCTTACTTGGATCTTCCAGTTGATTACGCATAACACACATACCACTATATCGAAATTAGTACCTACATCAGCCAACAGCTCAATATGCCTTACAACTACTCCATCAGCCCCGAAGATGCCTTTGGCTCTGACTCTCCCTGTAATCTCGACAACTGCCCTATCGACTGGAGTCTTTACGGCTACCGACCTTCTCTGGCCGCCAACATCGTCTTTGTCGTTATCTTCAGTCTCATCGGCTTCGTGCACGCCTATCTTGGCTTCCGATGGAAGAGCTGGGGTTTCATGACTGGTATGCTTCTCGGCTGCGTCTCTGAGATTGTTGGCTACGCCGGCCGCATCATGATGTACTACAACCCCTTCTCCTTCAACGCCTTCATGATCCAGATCGGTAAGTCTTCAAACCATTCTTCCTAGCTATCACAATCTAACCAACATCTAAAGTCTGCCTTACCGTCGCTCCCGTCTTTTATACCGCTTCCATCTACGTCACTCTCTCCAAGACCATCAACTTCCTCGACCCTACGCTTTCTCGCTTCAAGCCCAGTCTTTTCTACTGGATCTTCATCCCCTTCGACATCGTCTGTCTCATTCTCCAAGCTGCCGGTGGTGCCATGTCCACCAGCTCCGACAGCAGCGTTGGTGTTGATGTCTCCATGGCTGGTCTCGTCCTCCAAGTCGTTGTCCTCGTTGTCTTCATCGCCGTCTTCTCCGACTACATGGTCCGATATTGGCGATCCGGCCGGGCCAAGGCTTTTGGCTGGCGCATGGTTGCTTTTTTCGCTGGCCTCTCTACTGCCATCATCCTCGTCCTCACTCGATGCATCTACCGTGTTGCTGAGCTCCGAGAGGGTTACGATGGCGATCTGATCAAGCACGAGATCCCCTTCATCATTCTCGAGGGTGTTGTCATCGTCCTTGCTGCTATCGCTCTTTGCTTTGGTCACCCCGGCCTCGTCTTCAACAAGACTGAGGTTACCAACTCTGTCTCGCAGACTGAGAAAGGTGTTACTTCCAGTTCTGCCAGTAACAACTAAGCAACAATTTGCTAGGTGCCCCTTATGAGACATGGATTGTTCCTTTTGTGCTGAGTGTAGAGCGGAATACAATGTTTGAGTTTGCTTTTGATTTGGGTTTGCGTTTGCTTTTCCCTGTGCTTGGGAGAGATAGAATTTGATACCTCGCGGCTCTGGCGTTGCAGATGCAAGCCATTGAGCCCCGGATGAAACTGTTGGATGGTTAAAAGGAATTGGATAGACGGATCACAGGCTAGATGTTTAGACGATGAAGAATATAATACCCAGAATTTTATCATACTGCTCGAATATCATATAAGCAGCTAAGTCGTTGGCTTAGACGGGATGGCTTGGACCGATGAACGGCTGGCTCCTGGGTATCCTGAGTTTGTCTTAGACATACAATCGCACAATAACTTGACCTTGGAGCTGGCCCAACGCACTCAAAATGTTAATTAGATCTTGAAGAGGTCCACTTGTATTATAGTCAATGCCTTACTCCTAGACTTATACTTACCTAGAAGCATTTCCTCATTAGGAAGTTCAAGCTCCGATAAGATAAGCCCCGCTCAGGCAAGACCGGCACGGCAGGTTACAACGTTTGGATGCAGCTTCCTGCAGCCACCGACGAACCACATGACTCGCTTTCTATAAACGGCATCTACAGTCTCCAACTTTATTCTGAGGCTCCCACCGCTATCCTCTACCTCTAATCATCCCCTCACCAGATGCACACTTTGCTTCGCTGTTCTTCACGCCGTATATCACCTCTCAGAACCGCAATTGTAACTACCCCGCGTCTATTCTCAACTTCGTCGCCCATCATGGCACCTCCTCAGGAAGCTCTCGACTTCGTTGACTTCGTTAACGAGTCGCCAACTCGTTCGTTGTATACTTCCTCATGTATACCACCGATTCTTCTAACATATTCTAGCCTACCACGCCGTCCAATCTGCCTCTGCTCGCTTCGAAAAAGCCGGTTTCAAGCTCATCCGCGAGCGCGACTCGTGGGCTTCGACCCTCCGCCCTGGCGGCAAGTACTACCTTACTCGCAATGCCTCGACCATCGTAGCTTTCACCATCGGCAGCAAGTGGCGTCCTGGTAACCCTGTCGCCATTGTCGGCGCTCATACCGACTCTCCCTGCCTTCGACTTAAGCCTGTTTCCAAGAAGACCAATGTTGGCTTCCTTCAGATTGGTGTTGAGACATATGGTGGTGGTATCTGGACCTCTTGGTTCGATCGCGACTTGAGTATTGCAGGTCGTGTTCTGGTTAAGGACGGCGATAAATTCGTCCAGAAACTTGTCAAGGTTGACAAGCCTTTGGTCAGAATTCCAACCCTGGCTATCCACCTCCACCGACAGACCAACTTCGACCCCAACAAGGAGACTGAGCTTTTCCCTATTGCAGGACTTGTCGCAGCTGAGCTGAACAAGGACGTCAAGAAGGAGAAGGTTGAAGAGGAGAAGGACGATGGCGAAGATGAGGAGTTCAGGCCCCTGAAGGTTATCACCGAACGACATCACCCTCAGGTCCTTGATGTCATTGCATCTGAGGCAGGAGTTGAGGTGTCCGCGATCGTGGACTTTGAACTCGTCCTCTACGATACTCAAAAGTCGTGCATTGGTGGCCTTAGTGACGAATTTATCTTCTCCCCTCGTCTTGACAACCTCGGCATGACGTACTGTTCGGTAGAAGGACTAATTGAGTCCGCCAAGGACGAGTCCTCGCTCGAACATGATAATACTATCCGATTGACCGTTTGTTTCGATCACGAAGAAATTGGCTCAACCTCGGCCCAGGGTGCCAACTCTAACCTATTGCCCTCTGTTCTCCGTCGTCTCTCAGTCCTCCCTGGAAACCGGGATGCTTCCAGCGAAGGTAGCTATGAGGCCGTCCACCATGAAGGTGAGGACGCCACAGCATACGAACAGACTCTATCACGATCCTTCCTTGTGTCTGCCGATATGGCTCACTCTGTGCACCCCAACTACGCTGGCAAGTACGAGTCCTCTCATCAGCCAGCTATGAACGGCGGTACCGTCATCAAGGTCAATGCCAACCAACGATATGCTACAAACTCTCCTGGAATTGTCCTTATACAAGAGTGCGCTCGAACAGCTGGTGTTCCCCTCCAGCTTTTCGTTGTCCGCAACGACTCCCCCTGCGGTAGCACTATCGGACCTGGTCTCGCCGCTGCCCTGGGTATGCGAACCCTTGACCTCGGTAACCCGCAGCTCAGCATGCACAGCATTCGTGAGACAGGCGGTACTGCGGATGTCGCCTATGGCATCCGCTTGTTCAAGGGATTCTTTGAGAACTATGGGTCACTGGAGCCCAAGATTCTCATAGATTAAACTTTAGGAGTGGAGCTATGATGATGACGTATATATGATATAGTGGTTGCAGTTGAGCGAGTATAATAAGTACGGACTCGGAAGAAATACAACGTTCATGTGTTGAATATAGTCTTAGTTTCTTGGACAAATAAAATTATCGTTGCAGTCGATGTATAATCGAAAGTGAATCTATATGTGTGCGCATCAAACACATGCCTAGCTAGACATCGCAAAGCTCAAATCATTGATGTCTTTATAAACCCCCATAAACGCCGTGGGATATATCTCTGGTTATTTGTGACCAAATGTGAACACTGCCATGCCTCACTACCGCCCATGATCGTTAAAAGAAAGCAATGCTTTCGAGCAAACCCTCCGTATTGCTCATGACCCTTGCTTGATCCATAAAGTACGAATGCCATTAAGAACTCCTCAACACCATCCCCACCGCCGTTCCCATCATATCTTTTTTTGGGGTCGTTCCTTTATGTTCTCATCAACTTTGTCCCTCGTCTTCCTCCTCCATAATCTCTGTCTGCTGTGAATCTATCGAATCTCTTCGGCTTCTTGTCTCGGGCTCTTCAATAGACACGCTGGGGGACTCGGGGCTCTGTACGCGGACGACGCGTGGTGAGTCGCGGGGTAGTGGTCGTTGCTGAAGTTCGGAGAGGGGCACCGTTATCTGGCCGGTGCGGACCTTGTAGTTTGCGAGTGATAGCCGAAGACGGAGGGTTTCTGCTCTCTGGGATGGGTGTTAGTATCTTTGCTACGAAAAGAAAGAGAAGATAGGCCATCATAACGTACTTGTCTTATTTGCTGGCGTGTTAGTGTTGTGGGTTGTTGTATAGGTTGTGTCGTCGTCGCGGGCGCTGCAGTAGTGGTATCATGATCGCTTGTAGTGGTAGCCCATGAGGCGTCGTTGGCAGACGTGTCGAAGACAGAGCTCACGTCTGGACTAGCACTTCTCTCAGACGCGTCCTTAACAACCATTGTTAGCCATGAGTTCCTTTGGTTTTATAATAGTCTGCCGAGTAATGGAGCATACCTCATCACGTCCCAGACACGCCCTCTTCCCCGCGGGCGCGCTGCCCTCAATGTCGAGCAACCTCTTCCTCCCCTCAATAGCCATCTTAACAGGACTATGGCCAAGTGCAGGCTTGAACAGATTCTTAGGTGTACCAAGCGCGTTGGCATCCAATGGAGCGAGCGCGCGTCGCTTCGTAGGTGGTGATGTGGATGATGATGTTGCCGAAGGCTCCATTGTAGGAAAAGGTATACGTCCCCCGCCCGGTATTTATATAAGCAAGCGAGCAAACGCAAAAAGATACCTTACGTAGATATAGACTAACAAGGTATAAGAATGAAGAAAGAAAGAAAAGGTTTATAGAGCCGGTTGCGCGTGTTTGTTGGCGGCGTGTTTGGAAGCGTGTTAGTGGGAACAAACGTCCGGGCTGTGAAAGTAAAGTGGTGGTTTTGTTAACGGACGCGGGCGATAAGATAAGGCGGGGACGGGGCATGGCTAATGACTTATGGCGTTTTTGGGCGTTTTTGGAGAAAAAGGTTTCTTGGGTGTTTGAATGGCCGTTGTTCCTGGTCACCAAAACACGACAATAATGAATGAATGAATGATACTAGTTAAGATCACCCTGAAAAGGCCAATCGTTGAGTGTCAATCTATACATTTTCCTCTGAATCTAAACTCTATTAAAGTGGTTCATGGCCTCTACTTCTATCACCATCACCAGTGTTTCCCATTTCCATACTAACCCCAGCAAGATGTCAACTTCTCTGACTGAAAATGCCAGGACCGGACCCTCATTTACACGACTTTCACCTGTCACGTCTACAACCCTAACCCAGCCTCGCCCTTGCGACACGGTCGCGCTTTAGATCCCTGTCTCAATACCAGCCAACCTCTCTTGTATTGACTTACTTCCCCTTTTGGTCTAGCTCAGCTTACATAAGGCTCAATCCATCAACACCTGCGTGTCCCGGTGCCTGGACTGGAGATCGTCAGTCTAACCACAAATAGATTAGTCTATGTGCTTCCGGAGAGGCGCGTGCCTTGTGGGGCGGGATTGTCGTCCCGGCCCGGATGCAGGCACGGGACGGCCGGAGTTTAAGTTGATTCCTTACGGGCAGGGCAAGGCGGGCAAGGCGGGCAAGGCTGGGCAGACTGGGCCAGTCTCAATGTCACCATCATCATAACACATAACACATAACACAGGAATAGTCAGTCCCCAAAGATAGCAAAACGCTGGGTATCATTTGCTCGAGCCCATACCAATGGATCTCAAAAGCCTCCTAGCCACAAATCCCACATTGCGAAACGAAGCATCTGATAGCTTCGACTATTGTACTAAAATCGGCAACGAAAACCGTCATCAAACAAACATAATGCATATAAACGTTGTCTCCTACCAATGAAACTCCTGTGTACCTTCCGCCACCTCTAGCTGCAACCTGTCATCCCTGGTTCAGAACAAAATGTCTGCCATGGTGTTTTCAACCTCCGTTCACCTTTTGCTGCCTATCGCCTGGCATCCACGCCCCATGGCTGATGTCCAAAAGAAAAATGATGCAAATAACAAACACACTCTTAGTGGTAACACAACAAAAACAAGTAGTAGTGCTTGGGTATAAATCCCGGGCCGTGAAGTACATCGCGATTACCAGCCCGGCTGTCGTCTCAAGTCAAGCCCTAGGTAACTTGCCTCCTGTACATTGCCGTTCAACGGCTTCCAAGTTTATGAGGTAGCCATGTGGTAGTATTGGCTAGTGTCGAACTGGAAAGGTTTCGAGAAATCCATCTTGACGTCGCTCCAGTCCGGTTCTTGTAGTGATGACTGTTCAAATAACAAAGAAGGATCCATGCTTGTCATCTCGTTGCCAGGACCACCGTTTCCGTCCAGATTAGTCGTCATGTTGAGCAACAAGTCGGTGTCAACGTTATACCAGTCCAAGTTTATATCGAGGGATGCGCCTTCGGGGATATCACTGTTGGGCTCGCTGCTGCCAGTGTCCTTGGTAGATTCAGGTGTGTCCCTAGGTGTCAAGTAACTGAGAGCGTTGTAGTCTTGGTATGGGTTGTCGTAGAACCCGTATCTGCCTTCAATTCCAAGATTATTCACCAACATCTCAGTGTCGATAGTGGCGTTGGCCCAAGGATCAACGACAGTGGTGTTAGTAACCTTGGCATCTGCCAACCTAGGGGTGGTGCCAGCCTTGATGCCAGCCTTGCTGTCTTGAGGTTTGCCCATACTGCTGGCCGATCGCTTCATCCCACCATCGATAGACGCGGGAGTGGCCGCCATCGTGACAGGTGTCTGCCCCTGCTTAGAATTGGACAGGCTCATCGAGGCCGCCTCAGGACCCTGATCCTTTCTAGCAGAGCCATCGGGCTCAAGTCCTAAAGCCAGGGCCAAGTTTTCTTGAACGAACTTCAAGGGATCCTCCCGTGGCTTCGTGTGCTCTTCATGAATGTGCTGCTGAAGAGCTTGTTGAGTGCTGTAGCCAGTAGTCGAGAACTCGCATTCGGGCTCCTTGCAGAGAAGAACCGGCTTGGGGGTTACTTGAGACTCGGACGTCCTCCGGAGGTCGGGAGATCCCTTCTTGCTGATCTGCGGCGAAGGCGTAGCGCCCTGTGGTGTCTGCCCATTGGTCTTCTGCTTCTTCCGGGATGGCGGCAGATGCAGGTTGATCTCCTTGGGTTTGAACTGGAAGGGCGGCTGAGAGGTCGTTGGAGCGGGTGGGGCCTTGGAACCCTTGTTACCTTCTTTAGGAGTCGTGACTTGAGCGTGCGAGTTCCTGCGGGTTTCGGCTTCTACGGGGGCTGGCTGTCCTCCTTGTACTTGAGTTGGTTGTTGCGGTTGTGCAGGCTGGGCAGGCTGGGCTATAGGTGTAGGTTGCTGCTTAGCCCTGGCAGCGTACATGCTAGCAGCCAGATCCTTAGCCATGCTCTCAAGCATAGCTCGTGCTTGATCTATTTCCAATGACCGAATTGAGAATTTCTTTTTGAGCACGCTCATCCTTTCACCATCGGAAAACTGCTTCAGGATCCTCCATCGCTAGGCAAAGTTAGTATATGAAGTTATGATATCTGGATATAAAACTTACCGTTCGGAAGAACAGCTTTGCGCGTTTGTCATCATGTGTAAGGCCGTACCACTTACTAAGGCCGCGACCGATCTTGCTCATATCTACAACAATTCTTTGCAACTTGGCTGCCGTTTCGCCGTGCTCTTGTGGTGACATAGATATTTCTGGCATGTTCTCTAGCATTGATTGCCTTTGCTCCTCCTGTCCAAGAGCCTTGAGGCGTACCATGATCTCATTCTGTGGCTGCGTCTGCGCTGCCTGGAGTTGCATTTGACCTGCCTTACTCATCTGAGCCTTCATCATCTGCTCGTATTTGGCTCGTTGTTCCGGCGATAGCGTTGCGATTTGCTGGGGATTTAGCGGTCCTCGAACTTGCTGTGGTTGGGCTTGTTGCGTTACATTCGTCGCGGGCGCTGGCTTGGTAGCTTCGGGCACGTCAATGTTATCGTCGCTGCTGGAACGCTTAAGGTTCTTTGGGGGGGCAGCCGGCGACGGGTTGGTTGGTTGAGCTCGGTTGTTCGTGGGCTGTGGTCGAGCACGCGTCTGCTCTGGACTGACGTTCGGTTGCTTCTGGCCCGGCTGTTGAGGAGTAGCATTTTGTCCCATACCATTTGGCATTGACACATTCTGTGTCTGAGGGGTCTGATTAGGCTGGGGCGGTTGTTGAAGTTGCATCGAGTTGTGAGGTACACCCATCGGGTTCTGGATGCCTTGCTGGCCTTGACCTGGATTACGAGCAAGTGCTTGCGCCTGTGCCTGTGCGTGAGCTTGAGCCTGGTTTTGAGCCTGGACGTGTTGCTCGGTACGCACCTGCTGAGCTTGTACCCAACTCTGCTTCTTCATTTGGATGATCATATTGCGCAACGACTCATCTGGCATTTGAGCCAGATTCGGCCGTGAAGCCCTGACTTGAGCCATCTCTTGGGGAGATGCTTGGAGGAGATGGGGTGGGAAGTTAGAGATCTGTGGCCGTGCTGCCTGCATGGGATTAGGTCCGGGTCCATTTGCCGCTTGCATACCATTGTTGACATTGTTTTGGCCAGGCTGTTGTGGCAGCTGAGCTTGCTGTTGAGGTGACATTTGCTGTCCTTGCTGCGGTCCCTGTGGTTGTTGCGGTTGTTGGGGCATCATGCTAGCGCGTCGCTGAACAATGAGTTGGAACTGCTTTTGCTGGATCGCTGACAGTTGAGTCCGCAATTGCCCTGGAATATTGTTCTGTAGAAGCCATCCCTTGAGGTGGCCCCATTTCTTAATATCCGGAGGCAGTTGGTTTTGGAGCTGGTTGAGAACTTGAGGTGGCAGGTCCATCGAGTCCATCATGGCCATCTGCTGGTTAGGAGGAATGCGAGGCATTTGCATTTGCTGGGGGTTGCCATTCATAGGCACACCGTTCTGCGATTGTTGCATACCGACAGGCATTTGCCCACCCATGTTTGCATTCATCTGGCCCATCTGGCTGGGGGGTCGGTTAGGCATTTGTCCTGGAGTGACCTGTCCACCATTCAAGCCCATCTGCTCCTGGCGCTTAGTCTGCCATCGTTGCATCACCTCATTCAGCTTGTCTGGGGTCAGGCCGCTAACAATTGCCCGTTGCTCTTGTGGTAAGCTGGCTAGCATATTTTGGAAGGTCTGGTTGTTAGGTCGCTGTGCTCCCTGATTGAACCGCTGATCTCCAAATTGCACGTTGCCCTGGCCTGGTCCCTGACTCATGTTATTAGCCGGTCGAGAAACAGGCGTGTTAAGGGTGTTCATGGCAGGGCTTTGAGAAGGCTGCATGTTTCCTCCCATGCCTGCTTGGTTCTGCATCTGCTTCATCTGCTGCTGGGCCTGGAGTTGTGCTTGGGACTGCTGGGCCGCCTGGTTCATCTTCATCTGTTGGAGATTCATGTTCTGCTGTGGCTGCTGCTGTTGGGGTGGTCGCGGGCCTTGGTTGGGACCTTGTTGTGAGGCGTTCTGGCCCATCGGCTGTGGCGTAGGATTTCGGTTCTGGGCAGTGGCAGGCACGACCATCTGACCAGCTTGCTGGGCCATCAAACCATTCATCTGTTGATCTTTGATGCTATCCATGTTGGGTGGGAAGTAGGCAGGGTCGTTGCCCCCTTGCGCACCATTTATCATGCCGTGCTGCTGCTGCTGTCCTTGCTGTTGGAGCTGAGATTGCTGCTGGCGAAGAGATTGTTGGCTTGCCTGCTGCTGCATCAAAGGAGCCTGGTTGTTGTTGGCAGCCTGGGGCATACCACCTTGCTGTTGCTGCTGCTGTTGTATCCTTGTCATGTTCGCTCTCAGAACACCAAATGCCTGGTTTTGGTAAAACCACATCAAGGGGTCTTTACCCTGGGCTTGCAGCTCGGCCATTTGAGCTGGTGGCACCCGTTGTGCGAGTTGCATGCGGGTGCTCTGCTTTTGCTGCTCCGAGGCGGTGCTGTACATTTTAGTCGCAAGCTCTGCAACCTTGACCCTATCCTGCGGAGAAAGTCGGGCCATCTCTTGGGAAGGCGGACCGCCTTGTGGTCTGTTTTGTCCTCCGGGCATGCCCACCATTTGCTGCCCCGGGCCCATACCACGGCCAGCTTGGTTTGACATGCCCATATTCATCCCCGCACCCGCTGGCGATTGTTGCTGCCCCTGGCCCATTTGGCCACCTTGCATGGGGTGTTGCATGCCTTGAAAGCCTTGTTGAGCACCTTGGCCCATACCACGCCCCATTTGCATGCTCATCATCGCTTGGGCTTGGGCTTGGGCTTGTGCCTGCGCGCTGGCGTTGATGCTGTTCTGGATGTTGGATTCGTTGGCCTGTCGTCGCTTGTAGAAATCCATGATCTTATTACCCATCTCTTGGTCATACGCTTCCTGAATTAATGGTCAGTAACATATTCCTAGTCGAAAAGAAAAGAAAGTTTATAGCCGTACCTTTGTTGCCGATTTGTGGAACGCCTCGCGCTCAAAGTTGCATCCCCATTCGGCACCCTTCATGAAGTCGCTTCCATTCATAGCCAGAGAGATGTTTGTGATACTACGGTGGTTAGTAAGATTCGAAGCAAATGTAGGAAAGTGATTCATGAAGACACTCACAGGTTCATAGTCTTTCCCATTCGATCAGAGATAGCTACGTTAGATTGCCAACATATTCCCGTAAACGGTTGTGTGTGCTGCACTAGGTTCTGGTAAACAATCTGCTGTAGCTGAGTAGGGGTCGGTTTTCGCATCGGCTGTTGCATCATCTGGCCGGCCCCAGACATGTGCTGCATGTTGGCCGCCATGGCCGCTGTGAAATTGACGGGACAAGATCCAGTCTCGCAAGCGATAATTATTTCTCCAACAGTTCAAGTTTGTAGTCGTGGGGGGGGCGTTGAGCCAAAAGTCGGGCAGTGATAGTAAAAGTGTCAAGTTAACCAGAGTGCTTCGGAATGTGAAGTAGACGGCAGTGGAAAAGGTTCCGGCGGGTGGATTTTGTTGGCAGAACGGTTATTGACAAACGAGGCTGAGGTGCGTTCAAAGTTGCCTATAAGAACGCAGGGCGGTCCATAAAATGAGGCAGTCGTTTGTGCAACAGTGGACTGTTGAAAATGGCCACAAAAGTAATCCGCGCGTTTCGAAATATGCTCGGAAAGTTGGTACTTGTCGAAGAGAGCCGCGTCTTAACGAAAGAGTTGAACTTTGTGACGTCGCGAGCAAAGTGGCGGCGAAATTAAGGTCGTGTTGTATTAATAGTATCAACTTTCGTCGGTAGAGCGAGAGTTGGCAGTGAAAGGTAAGCTTGATTCAGTCGGTCTGGATCGTCGAGACTGGCGGGTATGGAGGTTCGATAGGCGACAGTGAGGATTGACTCGCGGTCGTCGAGATGGCGATGGGTGACCGACTAGGCATAGAATGCAAAGTAACGAAACAGAAGCAATAAAAAGAGAAATCGCTAAGAGGTCGGTCGTCGTCAAACAAACTCTTGCCGGCGCTACGGGAGAGGTGAAGGAGAGGAGAAGAGAAGAGTCGATAGTCGACCCAGGGCGGTGTTGGTCAAACGCTTTGGTGTTGTTTTGGTGAAAAGGTCGCAAGCGCCTTGGGTTGGGGGTTCCAAGGTGGTAATGGGTTATGGGTAATGTGTGCAGGTGGTGTCCAGTGGAATTTTGGCGGCGCCGGGAATCACCCTTACCCTGGCCACCCACTGGCCAAGGCAAGCTATTCGATGTACCTGATACTTTTACACCCTCCCCATCCACCATCCACCTCTGGCAATCTGCTGTAATAGGTTGGCAGAGCTAAGGTGGGCGCCGACTTTGTTGGAGGCACAAGGGTCAGGGCGACTGCCGAGTTGGAGCAATTCCTGAATTCGACTTTTCTTTGCCTTTGTTTTTTTGGTGGAGAGAGAGGAAAGAAGAGCGAGAATGACGATGTTAGGAACTTGATCTCGATCTGGGCGATTGCGATTGCGATTGCGATGGCGTATGGCGTATGGCACGATAAAGGGCAGTCAGTGTATCGCAGGTGAACGGTTGTAAGGCTGGAACGGGCTGAGACTGGGAGAAAAGTCAACAGCCGTGTGACGATAAAGAGGAGGGAATATTCTTCTTTGGGGTGGGCAGACTCACATCACTGAGTGATCTAATATCGATCAAAAAACACGTAGTGACACTTGGGTCTCCAAGGAATCGCTCAACGTAACCTAACATCCAACATCTGACAGACGGTACTGCACAATAAAAGGCAAATAAATCCAGGCACGAGTAGAAACGATACGTACCCGGTCTAACCACTGCCAACTGCCAACTGCCAAACTCTAACTAACATCCAAACCCTGGACCGTCACAAGCTTCGACGTAGATCCCCATCAGCCACTCACGGAATGTTTCAACCTTTCCCAAGTCTCCTGTTCTCTTCTTCCCCCGTTCCCAGATACGGAGCAATTCGATTTCGAGAACAAAAGCTCACCATCTCAACACACAAAAATGTCCTTGGAACTTCCAAGGTCCATGGTGGATAAGGCAGAGTCGCACTAGAGCCAAGAAGAGACGGCGAGGCATGGACAAGCGTCGGCAGGGCGCCTGGTCCTGAGCCTAGAGGCAGGCTAAGCCTGAGTTGAACTGGCCCTGTAACTTGCACAGAACCTGACCGTCTGTCGTCTGTCGTCTGTCTCGTAGAACCCTGAGTAGGTCTTTTGGAGGAAATCTCACAAAGCGCAGCGCAGCAGCAGCACAGCCTTGAATGAGATGGCCTCGCCAACCTGGTAGTCTGGGTACGTAACCATACCGCTATATTGAATCGATGTGCGCGACCCATGTCCATCTGCCGCTTCTTCAGGTATTCGTTATTATGTGCTCAGCTTACAAGGCCATGCCTATTCTCCTCTTCAACGTCTAACCATTCACTGCTGTTTCATACCTACATAAATGTTCAGCCCAGTGTGGCACGTAGGTTTTTGTGGCGACCCCCTCCTCTTTCTACTCCTACTCCATATCTAAGTAAGTTGAGGCGGTGGCCGCTCCAGCACATGGGCTGGGCTACTGGGTGTCTATCCGCTATTGGACGGCCGCTAGAATTAATTCAGTAAATGCATGGGTGACTACTCGTTCATCTCTCCGTGGTTTCCTCTGGATTCAACTCTGTGATGTGGTGTTAGGGTGTCTCCAATTGCGTCTGGGAATAGCGACAGTTGAAACAAGAGGCACCGAACGTGCACGGTCTGTCAAGAAGTAAAAATAAAAAGAGCTTTGAGGGTGATCTGCCAGAGGCTAAAAAAACAAAACAACCTATCCAAAAGGTCAGCCCAGCAGCATCTGTCCATTGCCCAGAGCGCACCCAAGTTTCATCTCATTTCACAAACTCTCTCAACATTGCTCAGCTGTTACGACGGATCTACCTTATATTGCCAAATTTGGTGTTGTATGCCTGGTGTCCAGGATGTAGCGCACATCAGTGGGGTAAGGTTAGGTCTATCAGTCGACAAGATCAGAGGCGTTTGTCGAAACCTCAAACCAAGTGAGTCCGAAAAAGGGTCGAGAGGGAAAATCTGCGACGAAGCATTGGAGACAAAGGTGACACGCTTGCACGGCAAAGGGAGAGTCGACACAACCTCTATTCATTGGTCCCAGTCAAACCCCCATTCAATCGAGTCGGGGAAGAGAGTGAGAAAGACAAAGACAGAGAGAGCGAGAGCAAGTGAGCAAGAGGAGCAAAGCAAGCAGTCGAGGTCCTAGTCGTTTGAAAGCCACTTCATCCCTGTTCCCCTAGTCTGGTTGGGGAACGGAGAGGGCGCCAGGTACGGTACCAGGTACTTTGTGACCGGGAGTGCCAGCAGCACCTCATGGTCAAGGGCTTCTATTTAGTCTTCCATGAAAACAAAAACTGGCCTAATGCATCTACACATTGCCTTGCCTTGCCTTGCCTTGCCTTGCGCGGGGCCGTGTGTACACTGGCAATTCGGATTTTCAAACGGTTCAGGCCTTCTCATCAACTCTGGAAAATCAGTCAATCAACGTGCATTTTCAACAGGCTGCAGCGTGAATGTCTGAGTGCATATGAAAGTGCAAGGTAGAGACGGCCCACCCGATGCATGTGTGTGTGCAAGAGTTGGGGGACCTGGCGTTTGATGGATGGTAGTAGCGGGTGGGCTGTCACTGTCAGTGAATGGCCTTGGCTCGTGGATCACCCGTCACCGTAGAAAGATACGGTATGACTCTTTTTGATCAGCTTGGACAGTCATTAATTTGGGAGAGACGTGAGGTTGAGAGAAAGAAGATTTAGAATGACTGAGAGTGGTTGAATGGGTACTCCGTATAATTCAAAAGATGCTCTTTCTTTTACCGCAGTGAACATACCTACACAGCAGTCAACGACCGACCGGGGGTGAATAAAAAAAGACAGGGGACCGTCTTGTCGAGTGTCAAGGGATCTCAGAGTGCAACTCCACCTCATCAACGACCTCGACGACACACCGTCAAAAGACGTGTTCCATTTCGAAACATGAGCCTCACAGATCTATAAACCCCCTTTATCTGTATTTGTGTTGCCACAATGTCTTTGCCGTTATGATTGAATATCTATCAAAGAAATACACCGTATTGTACTGTACCTGTACAGAGTACCGTATGTAGCATCTTTGGCTATGGTTGGTTCCTTGGAAAGAGGTTGGATGCGGAGATGCCACGAGGCCCGGGATGTCATCGTCACACACACACTCACTCACTCACTCACACACACACTCATACCGGGCACTGACTGAGCATCAGCAAGTACCGTACACACTCCGTACATGATTGCGGTTTATCCTCTTATTGTTATAAGATTGCTACTCCTTGAATAATAAAACTCTCTTGTCGAGAAGATCGCCACATACTCAATCCCAAACCATGTAAAGTTAATTCATCTCTCGAAAGGACAATCTCAATCATCATCATCTATCTCCTCTTCCCTTTCCTTTTTCCCTTACCTTGCCGCCCTTTGGTCGCCTCACCAGGGAGCAGCAGTTAACTAGTCCTCGCCCTCTCCTCCACCATGCCTCATCCCTGACCCTTGCACATGTCCATGTCCATCTGGGAGGACCCCGTCCGCTCACACCTTTTTTCAAGGCCCGCTCAGATACTCTGTAAAAAAGACAGCTTTGTATCTTGGATATACCATGCTATGGACGGCCACGAGCACTAACCGCCCGCGCGTGATTGACTAAGTGAACATAGCTATTTTCCCCCAAGTGATCCTCTTTTTTGGATCGGCGATCTATTTCGATCGCTCTTTAGTTGGAGACTATTACAGACCGATATGTCAGTTCGGCGGGGTGCAAAGACTTGTAAGGGCAGAAAGGGAGGATCAATTATCACTGTTACTGACCCTGGAGAGAAACAAAAAATAGGAATGCCCTGCCCTGGTGTGCTTTGTCTGAGCCTCTGAGGTCGAGGTCTGAGGTGTGAGGTCTGAGGTGGGAGGCTAGGAGGGTCCCCTGGTCAGGCTGCCCCAATGCCGTCACCAGCTGGGCTTAGTGTCACTGCTGCCACCGCATTAGCTCCAGGTCGATTGGCCAGATGAGGAAAACCAAGTCCTTTCTGTCTCTCTCCCGTCTTCAGATGCCAGTCTCCAGTCTTTTTTCCTGCTTGACTGTTGTCGCGGTTATCAGTATGTGTGTTTGCCTGTTGTAAACTCTGCATATCGCATCTTGACAGTGATGTTTACTACCAATTCTATAGAAAAGAAGTGTCATTGCTGCACCACGAGCAGTTGGGTATCTCAGCCCTGCCCAACTCAGCAATAGATATCTATCCGTCGACTCCAACCA